TGCAGCTTCTACATTCACATCTCGCGGCTGCGGTGTCTGCAGTATGGCACAGCACGCTCGCAGCCAAACACTCTTCCCATCACAAACCCTCAGAGACCAACCAAGCAAGTAGTCTAACCTACAGAATTACGACATGTAGGTAGTCATTCGAAAGAGAAAAGAAGAAAGGGGAAAGAAAAGGGGAGAAGTAAAGAAAGAAAAAGCCGTGTACTCTTGCTCAAGACCCCAAAATAGAGAATATCTTAAACATACAATAGCATGCTTCGCATCCACACAACATCTCGACCAAACAACAAAACCAGGTTTCGGAGACCCTCCCGATGTCAAGGAAAGAAAAAAAGGTTACACTGACAAGACACAAAAGGGCAGAAAAGAGGGCAGAACCTTGCCCTAACCATTGCATGAATCTTGCTTTTTATTGACTCAAGGCGCGGCTTAAGAGAGTTGCTATGCTTGCATCGCGTAAAAAGCGGAAAATGTCTGGAGAAGAGTCAAAAGACAGCCCTAGATATAAACGTGAGGGCATGATTCAACACGAAAGAAAAAGGAAAATGCATATGCAGGGTGTGCCCTGATTGTTCTCCGAGACAGGTTCACGAGGAAGATACGGAGGTTTTCCAAAAGCACATGAATAGTTTTGGATCTGTGACATACGTCGTAGAACCTTGGGGGCAAAATGAAAGCTATGTAATAACACAAGACTTGATAGAAATAGAGCGAAGGCAGGCCGGCCGACCGGCATATAGGTTCCATGGATGAATACAAAGGGAATAGCATATTTTCGAAGTGCTAAGGCAGAAAAGGTGAGACCCACACCTTAAGTAGCACGTCTACTCGTGGTCTTTCTCGTCATATGCAGGAGCATCTTCATACTTGGGGAGAGGCTCCTCGTGGACGTTGCTCTCAACAACCACGATGCCCTTTTCGACGCTGTCCCTGTCTTGTTCGGACTGAGCGACACTGGCGTAGCCGCGCTGACCTCCGCGTCCGAACTTGATCCACAAGAACGAGATCAAGCGTCCAACGAGCATGCCGATCAGGCTGACTACCATGCCCATGGTTACACCGGCCATGACGGGAATCAGAACTGCGACAAAGGCGTGAACAAAGGCAGGGAGGAAGTGGTGGTGTCTGTGGTGGTGGGGTCCGTGATGAGGTCCGTGGGGACCGTGGGGACCGTGATGAGGACGGGGGTGAGAACCAGGACCGTGAGGGTGGTGAGGACGGTCGCCAGCGTTGGGGGCGTCGGGGTGCATCTCAAAGTGAGGTCTAATGTGGCCTGGCAACTTGTGAGGAGGCTTACGACCACCACAGCCGCCAAATGCATGAGGCATGCTGGGCTTGAAGTCGGAGATCTTGTCTTCAACAACGGACTTCCACTTGCAGAGAGCAGCGGGGAGCATGCCACAGTCCTTGGATAGCATACCAGACAGAGGAGCGGTACCGAAGGGGTGCTTGGGAGGAGCGGCATCGACCGAGATGATCATCAGCGAACCGTCGGCACCCTTGAGAAGCTTGAGGTCGACAGCGTCGATGGCCATGGGCTGCGACTCTAGCTCGCCGACCTGGTAGTTGATGCTGACAAGCACATCGTGGAGGGAAGAAACAGTCTCCTCGTGTACACTCATGCCAGACGATGAGACGCGGAGGGGTGTGATCTGCTCCGGGTTGTTCTTGATGTAAGATAGGGAGGCTGATGAGTGAATCTGTCCAACGGTGGGTTCATCGAATGTGAAAGTGCCATCGACAGGGTAGACCCTGACACCATTCAGCAGAAGGTCTTTGTCGTTGTCGTCAATGGTGAAGTTGAAGACGACGTCCTTGGAACCACCTTGGATCCAGACAATATCATCATCGCCCTTCTCCTGGACCGACTCCTGCTGGGGCGAGGGAAAGGCGCATCCAGAACAGTGAACCTTGACGGCCTGAGATTTGGGGTCGAGAGCAAGCCCCAGAGCTCCACTACGCGAGTCGGAGATCTTGCTGATACCAGGCGGGAGAAGAATGGCGTTTGCGCCTAGCGAGAGGGCGGCGAGCGCGCCAACTGTGCGGCCAAGCATTGTGGTTGTTGTCAGGATAGTGGATTTGCTATGTGTGTTGAATGCGAAATGGTTTCGTGGTATTTTTGAAGACTGGTGTGATGGCTGGGTTGATGAAAAGAAAGAAGGCAAGGAGATGGAATAGGCAACAAAGAAACACAGACGTTTGTTGCAGGGAGGGTGACGACGACTCTCGCACCTTATTCGCGCCCATCAGACAATCGTGGCCAAATTATAACTCTAAGCTTACCACAGCCATCTTTACGGCCGTCGCTACTCCCTCACAACACGAGACAGTGCTGCTTAGATGAAGCCTTGCATCGCTGCCTGCACTCACCTTTGGCCATGGTCTTTCACCAGCTTTGAAGCGCGCAAAGCAGATCGATCCTCAGGTTGAAGGGGTCCGAAATATCCGAGTACGGAAGTCTCGTGCCGACACCCGGTTCCTGGTATTAATGCCCCCGTCCTTCTAGCCAGACACGACATCCATAGACATTTCCAGCAGCACTGGTATCATGGTGGCTTGCATACACCAATCTCACTGCCATGTATACACCTCATCTCAAATTGCTGGTATGAAATAATCTCAAGGATACGAGTTGGATTTGGAGTTCATGTGCTCGAGTATTACGGTTCTGTTGATCTGTAAGCCATGGCGCGTCTAGACCCTTGTACCCCGCTCCAAACCATACGTCACCTGCCATGTCAGGGTCGACCGCACAACGAGCTATTTTTCGAGCAATGCATCAGTATTGTAGCAGTGGTCGATGCAAAAGATGAAAACTCTCGGAGTACATTTTGCTCAGGCCCAACGGTGAGTATATCGTGTTTACGAAGCACTGGGTTCAGGGTGGAGAAGGTAGATATACATAGTGCCGAGGGCCTCGGCTTTTCAGATGGGAACACTGTCTGTAAAACCACAACTGGAGTCAGGACATTCCATCATCAAGCTCACCAATTGCAACAAACATGTCGTCTCAGAATGTCCCAAACGACATTGTCCTCTTCCACTACACCTTCTCTCCCTTTGCAAAGAGAATCGTCTGGTATTTGAAGCTACGCGGCATTCCCTATGCCGAATGCATACAGCCCTTGACGCTCCCTCGACCCGACTTGGCTCAGTTGGGCATCAACTACCGTCGCATACCTCTACTATCCATTGGCCGCGATGTCTACTACGACACCCGCCTAATCCTAGCAAGACTAGAGCAAAGCTTCCCAGCATCGTCGTCACACCCACCGCTATCGACGCCCGACAACAAAGGCTTGGAAGCCTTACTCGAGAAGTTCACTGTGGACGCGGGTATCTTTTCAAAGGCGGCACAGGCACTTCCCNCCGATTTGCCGACTATGAAGGATGAAAAGTTCTTGAAAGATCGGGCTGACTTCACGGGTACTAGCTGGTCTCAAGAGGCTCGTGTGAAGGGGTACCCTGAAGCGTTGGCACATATCAGGCATGCATTCGACATACTCGAGGCTCTACTCGCTGACGGGAGACAATGGATTGGAGGAACGAACAAAGTCAGTCTGGCAGACATTCATGGTAAGATTGCCAGACTTAAACAGTGGGACGACGAAAACTAATGAAAACATTCCANNGCCGCTTGGCCCTTCATCTGGATTGGCGACATGCTTCCCAAGCAGACTTTCTCTAAAGACCAACACCCCAAAACATGGGCATGGCTAGGCCGTTTCAAGAAAACAGTCAAGGAGGCGGAGAAGTCATCGAAGGCAGTCTCATTAGACGGTCAGGCTGCAATGCAGCACATCGTATCTGCATCGTATCATGATCAACAAACCGGTGTGGACGAGAACGATCCTGTCAAACTCAAAGAGGGCGATCTCGTTCAACTGTGGCCTACAGATAGTGGTTTCCGACACAAAGACCAAGGACATCTAGTCAAGCTGACAAGGGACGAAGTGGTTCTTGCCATACAAACCAAAAGTGGAGGCAAGGAAATCAGAGTCCATGCGCCAAGATGGGGCTTCAGAGTAGTGAAGGCCAAATCTCAGCTTTGAGAACAATTGCACCAAGCCACTGAGACGCTGGCTTAGGCATGATATATATCGGACAAGGAAACAGACTCAAATGCATGAAAACGATCCATAAGGGGTATTGTAACCAGAGGTGTAGAAATGGCCAACATTGCAAACATTCATGTAAAGAGAGGAAGTCCATGGTCAGAACGCTCAGGGATGAGCCCGTATAGAATGAGAAAAGGAAAAGGCTTTCCGGCACACGTAAAACCATCCTGGCGGAAGTCTAGGCTTTCCCTAGATGATGTCCAACATCGCAATGCGCAGGCGAGATAAAGATCGTCATAGTATATCTCAAAGAAATCGTGCCTGGGAACTCCCAAGGCTTTTGTCCAAATCCAAACGATAGATTACCTCGTAAAGCAAACGCCGGGAACAAGCCATACCAGGCTTGTCATGCAGAGAAACAAAAACTCCGTCGGGACCTATCCGTGCGCAGGGTTGCGTCCGATTGTTCTGGCGGTTCTGGCAACTGAAACTAACCACCTAGATTCTTGCTCCAAATTGTACTGGGCAGAGGCTCTGCTGGTCCAAGGATCAAGTATGCAAAATGCCAAACGAGGCAAGGACATATGTGGTGGCAACATCAGATCCTCTATCCATGAATCCGGAGATGACTCGATAGAGCAAGGACAGGACGACCGGTGGGGGATCAGAGAGCAGCACGCATGATTGTCAGGTAGTGAACCAGTCAGAGACATCCGAAGGCAGCCGGACCATTGGGAAGTCGAAATCCTTCAGATTAGAGGAATGGCTACTTTCAAGTCGAAGGAACTCCATCGTCATACGACAGGACTGGCACATTACCGAACATGATCCTAATTGATCCTACGACGAGGAGCGCCACGTTCCGCGCCAGGAGGAGCAGATGGGCGTTCGCGACCATAGGATGGGTCTACGGGAGACGGACGTGCATAAGATTGATCAGGCATGGGCGTCGAGGCGAGATAGGCTGTAGACGGGCACAGAATTGTTAGTCACTGACCAATGAGGATTGTCAATTAGCAAAAGACTTACGGNCGTCCATACGAGTCGTACTGTGGCATGCGAGGCGGAGGGTAGTTACTAGGTGGGGTCAGTCCGCGCGTGGTGGTCGTGGTCATATAATGATCCGACCTTGTGGTCTGTGGACTTGGGGCTCCGGTTGGTGCGACAGATACCGGAGGGTAGTTAGTGTATCTCATCTGGTCCTGATATTCCGGAGCATATCTGGGATCATCCCTGGGATCTCTATGCCCTGTGGGGTACTGGGGAGGGTACTGAGGNGGGCCTCTGACATGGGGCGGGGGAGCAGCATCATGAGCATATCCAGTGTGGCCGTTGTAGAAATCTCCTGAGGGACCATATCCATTGGCTGACGGCCTGGGTTGGTGCGAAGCATACATGGAAGGAGGTTCTCCAAAGGCAGAGGTAACGGGGGCCGCGGAATGGGGAGGAGCATACATCCGTCTGGGATCATCATAGGAAGTCATGTCCGGAACAGGCATCCTTGAGGCAGCAGGGTGTGGAACATGACCATTGGGNGGAAGGTAGCCGTCACCAGAAAGCTGGGGCGAGTTGGTGCCGGCGCGATAGGGACCAGTACCGTTAGCTCCGGTATTTGTAGCCTGTCTGTATGTGTGCGACTCTTCGTAGTTCATTCCTCGACGACCGGAGCGCTGCTCCTGCTCCCACTTGATCGAGGCCGTTCGAAGATCGTTGATCATTTCCTGGATCGAGGTTAGCAAGTGCGACAGGAGAGTCGCGGCAAAGACACGTACTGAAGTGAGGTTTCTGTATGCTTTGATCCAGTAGCCCTCGATCTGTGACGACGTCAGCCAGGTCCGGTCGAGTGTTGATGAAGCCGTCGGCGCTGGTCATGTCATGTTGTTTCCTACCTCTTTGTCTTTGCCAGGACGGACTGTTGCATCGTTGCCTAGATACTTCTGTATGTCTGCAGAGATGACCTGGCGGTTGATGCCATCCTTGGGCACGAACCAGTTTCGCAATATGTTTGAACCCATGGCTGTGGAGCAGAAAAGCAACAAAACAGAGCAAAAACAACCCGGTATTCCTCGTGGCTGCTATGCGAATCGGGAGCCTGGAGGGTTGAAGCCTAACGGGGCGCTTCGCTCTGGGAGAGCGGTCCTGTTCCTGGAAGTCCGAGGGCAAGGAAACAGGCCTGGTATATGGGAACCTAAGTCCTGAGCGCGAGGGCGCAAGCAAAAGCAGCAGCAGAGAGGCAACGGGCGGTAGTGGTGTATGGGAGAGATCAGGTGGTGGGTGAAAAGCTGTCGGCCGTTCAAGCAAGCAGGGGCAGACGAGGAGAAGGCGTGGGGCTCTCGGGGGAATTCAAGGCAAGACAGGCCAGAGACAGCACTGGACACTCGGGACGCTAGGCAGGCTGCTGCAGGTTAGCGATTGGAGAAGAGAGCAGCAGAGTCTTTGTGAGTGGGAGAAGAGCGAGTTGGCACGTCGTCAGCGGTCGCCCGTCGACGTGTGCTGCCGAATCTCGTCGCTGCCAACCACCACCTCAACGCCGATCCCGAGTGGGGCTGACCGACCACAAGACGACGCTGCCCGAATCTCTCTCTTCTTGCCCATGCGACACTTACCAAATACCGGTTTTTATGCACCCTTGATGTCCTTTTTCTTCTTTATGGCCACTGCCCTATTGTCTCGGTTCTATGCTTTGCGCTTCTTGTTCAAATACTCGTGTGGCAAACAGCCATGCCCATCGACGTGGCACATCTGTGTTGCGGCCCAACCGACGCGCTAACGGTACATGCTCCTTGTTCATCAAACCACATGTTCACCTTGTTTGCTGTATCATTCTTACCCACTTGGGCATCTGCTGATTTGCCATGTTTGTGCCTACCATAATACAAGCTGTTCCTGTAATACAAATCGAGCATATCGCTTCGCTAAGAGTTACGTGAAAATATATTCTCGATCACGACAAAGTTGCTCGGGCATAATCGAGTAGGGTCGCTCATGACGAGTAGGAAGACAAACAAGAGAGAATCGTGACCATCGAGGATTTAGCGGCACCCGCAGACCGAGCCCCTCGACGTTTCTTATGTACATGTCTCTACATATTGAATCAAGTTGAGTACCTTCCAGCGACAACATCTGTCGCAGCTTCCGGCATTACGGCGCCTCTCTAGGATTCTCTCTTTACTTCTGAGTGTCATCATGCACTTTCAACCAGCTCAGTATGGCTGAGCTGATACCGAGTCTATACCGTGTAGTATCCTCGTCGTTCAACAAGAGAAAGCATAATGGCGCCGACAAGTTGGTGTGGAGAGCTTTGATCTTTCCCAGTCGAGATATCCAGCATCATCTGGTTGAGTGCGGTCTTCTGAAGCCGACTTCATAGCCCACTCAGTCCTCTGACCAATGTCGGTCTCCGATACGCTCGAAATGGCTGTCGTCGACGGGCTCTCTTCGAAACAAGTCCCTGACTGCCGAAGTGAAGCGATGGCCTATGGGTGCAGACTCCTTAGAGCCTTTCTTATGCTGTCGTTTGTTGGAGGGTCTCTTAGAATTGGTGGGATGAGATTGGTTGTGGGTGGAACGACTCGACATAGTGCCAGGCAGAGCAACTACTTGTTGCCGACTAGTCGGAGGAGCGTATTCCTGTACATGACCATATGCTGGGCTCATGGTTCTGTGCTCGCTAGGCTGAGGTGACATTGCTCGTGCACTGTCCGCCAAGGATGGTTTCCTTCCTGACGATGACCCTGTATCAGTCCGGGGTGGTGGTGATGGTGCTGAGAATGCCGATTCCGGGAATCTTTCATCCATATCAGAGTCCCGGTGGTGGTCCGGTGTTGTTCTGCTCGCCCACAAAGAGGACAAGGCCTCCATTTCTGCTTTAGAAAGAGGTGGTGCCGCACTGGCAATGTGTGGTACTCGAGGAATGTCAGAAACCTCCCAAGGGGGAAGTGGCTTTGATCCAACGTATCCAGGTGTTGAAGCAGCGCTGGGAGGAGATATGTCACGGTCCATGATGTTGCGGGTCGACAGTACAGATATAACAAGCAAGCTGAAACAAGTAAACGATACTTTGGCGCCTGTACAGTCCGAATGATTCGCGACAGCACAAACGTACCGTCCTTGGCTAAAGAAGACAAGCTTCGAGGAGGGGTCAGACGTGATTATATTCGCATGCCATATAGCCGCGCGTGTGCACCCAAGCTGCTATTTCAAGGCAGTCAACGCTCCGATCGGCAGCTTCAAAAGTCTTAGTATGATAATATCTCCACTTCAAAGAGCTTGAAAGCAGTTTATAAGACTGGGGGAGTAACAGTCATGCGGATCAGCGCTTGCAGTGCCGCATACTCCGACACAACAAGGGGGTAGAAATGCAGATGCTGTGCCTCCTGACCACGCGACCCAATCAGAATATAGCCGACAGCTCTTTCCAGACCCGGGGACAAGGTTCTGAGAATCTGGCTTCTGCACCAATAGCGAGATGTGCCTACCTGACTTGGATGCTGGCGATAAGGCAACCTTCAAACTGTACCAGATGGCATTTGTGCTTTGATGGCGGAACGTAAGCAGTGCCGTCATGGTCTTACAGAGAACGGCCACATTTCACTCCCCTTGTCGTACTGGAGACTCGTGTACTGTTGTCGAGAGCAATTGGTAGAAGGTGAGGTTACTGGCGGAGGGGTCAGCGCTTACATGCTTGGGACTAACCGAATGAGGAAAGGTCGACCATGCATCACCACCATTGCATCAACCTGAATGGCTGGCATCTATCACTCATGTTCGTCTACTGCTGTAACTACATTGCCGTCACACAGCGCCTAGAGCAAGAACAAATGAGATAAGTCATGGGTCGGCGACTCCTCTTCTAGAGGCCTCTCGCTGTTTCTTTGCTAAAGTCTCTATCTTGCATCGAACGTTAACATGCTTGCCACATACCTAGTTCTTGCCGCTCTGGCCTTGCATCTGAGTCTCGTACAGTCGCACACAGGTAGGTCTCTTCTCGCCTCGTGGTGCCAAATCCTTCTAAATCTCCACNCAGTAATCACATATCCTCCGTGGAGAGGCAATAACCTTATCACCAATGGCACTCTGCCACAGTATAATATGAATGCTATGGGAGAGAACTATGTAGACGGACAATACACGTTTCCCTACGGGTGAGTAACTCAACATTCATGTGCGGTCTGGCACAAGTTTCAACCGAAATACCACTGACACAATTTGCCTCTTGTAGTCNAGCAGTGGATGTATCCATGTGGAGGCATGCCGACGAGCACGAACAGAAGTTTGTGGCCAGTCTCTGGTGGCGCTCTTGCTATTCAGCCAGGATGGTTCCAAGGCAAGCCAACTGCTCTATCCGATACAACCAACAGCTAACATCTCTCCANNGGCCACAAGACAGCAATGTTCTATGTCAACATCGGCATCAATGGCCCTGGAGAAGTTGCGCCGCCCAACATGTCCCATCCAGTCGTCGCACCTTTCCAGATCACCGGTCCATCGAACCAAGAATACCCAGGCTCTTTTTGTCTACCACAAGTGCCTCTGGTACCCAACCTTACATTCAATATCGGCGACAACATCACAATTCAAGTCATTGAGACCGCTCAGCACGGTGCAGCCATCTACAATGTAAGCAACCTTACACGTTCGCTCCAACCCAGGACTGACGTATCTGCCGCAGNNTGTGCAGATGTAACGCTCGCAGATCCAGCCGACGTACCAGAAGTGAATGCATCTAACTGCTTCAACTCCTCAGACCTGAGTTTCCAGTTGATCTACGCAACCGGCAACCTCAGCAGCGGTGCTCTACCGACAGCTATAGTGTCTTCGTCAATGTCCCTCACACTACCAGTACTCGTAGCCAGTTTGACCTTCATGTTGTGGTAAAAGAGAAGGAGAAACAAGAATAGATGATATACTTTTGTTTGCGGCATGGCGTTTTTGCGAAAGATATCCACACTGTATTCCACCAGTGTAATGCTCGCTCCTTTTCAGCTTACCAGGAGCACAAGGCGTTTATGTCCCTACTATTTCAGCGAGCGATCTGCCAATTGTATTTAATTCAGTCAAATCGTCATTATAAATATTCAAACTCATCCTCAAGTGATGAAATAAAGGTAGGCCTCAAAGATCAGGGCTTGATTGTGGTAATGAACGAGAAATAGTAGCGTGGATGGCGAAGCAAAACCTCCTTTCGCGTCGGAAAAGGTATGATTGGTGTATCTCTGTAAATATGTAAAGTCAAACTCATGCATCGACCTCCATGGCAACAGCAGGAGCATCATGAGCGTCAGCCTGGTCAGCGGCCGAGTCACCAGCAGTCTTGTGCTTTCTGCGCCTCCTCTTCTTGCCTGCCGCTTCTGAGGCGTCGTTTTCCGTCGACTCGACAGCGACATGTGCGTCCAGTGCCTTTTCAGCAGCTTGTGGGTCTGTCTTTGCGGCTTTCCTGATTGCTTGTTTCTCCACCTCCTCTTTCGCCGTCTGCTTCTTCGACTTTTTGACACTGAGAGGGTTGGGGCCCTTGGGACCCTTCTTTACGCGCTTCTTCGGCGCAGCCTCTGTTTCTCGTGCAGGAGCATCGTCCTTTGTCTCGCTATCCTCGTCATCATCATCGTCGTCCTCTCTCTTGCGCTTCAAGGCTTGCTCGGGAGCGGCACCTCTCCTGCCCTTCAAGCCTGCTCTGACCTTGCCCATCTCTTCAGCCTCTCTGAACTCCTCAGTCTGTGTTGCCATAGGCTCCATGATCATGACACTTCGGTTGACGTAGATGAGTGGTACACCAGTGATTTTGCGCATGGCAGATCTGACTTTTTGGTCCTGACTGGCGACAACATAACGGTTCTTGTTGGTGCTGCTGTCCTTGGGGTCGACGACGGACTTTAAGCATTCCAATGTGGACAGAGGTTCGTCGAGAGTGTGGTGGTTGCAGCGACGGCGCTCAAAAGACTTTGCCGTGTCGATCCAGGCGTTCTTAGAGGCGGTATCAGGGGCTTCGGCGGTATACAAGTGGCGTATTGAGCATTGGGTGATCACTNNTTCAGGTATTAGTCGTGGCCATACGACAATGAAGCAAGATTTGAAGGACATACTCGGCTTGACCTGTCCATGGAGAGTACGTTCGAGGAAAAGAGGTAGGTTCATCTTGAAACGGAAGGTGTCCTTGATCATGTCGGCGTCGATCAAGACCTGGTAAGGAACGCGAAAGTTGAACGAGAGCTCATACTGGTGCATGAGTTTGCGATATTGCTTTGAACGTTTGCCGCGCATGGTGGAGGTGGTTGTGTGGGATTGTCTGGTTGTCGAGAGAAGTAGGCAGTTCCAGAGACCAAATATGCAAGAGTGACAGTGGTTGCGACAGAGATGGCAGGCGCGAGTGTGATTGGAAGGGCATACAATAAAAAAAAGGCAAGAGCCAAAGCAAAAGATTAGAGTTTTGCGGGGAGACAGACACGGACGCGGCTTCCTGCCCGCTGCGCCATTCCGGAAGCCTGCCCTTTGATGTTTCAATGCACACTCGTTCTAACCACAGGCACGTGTCATGGAATTATAGACGTGGCCCAACCATCGCCAGGTCCGGCGAAGACTGCCCAAGAACATGCCCGACGACCAAGTCCACCAGCAGGCCCAACACGGACCTCCTGCTTCTCCCCAGGTCGACGAGTTTGGCCTCCCTATTCGACCTGCCCGGACGAGGACCTACGACGAAGAAGAAGAAGAAGACACAGACCAGGACGCTCCTTCCTCAACCAATGAGAATACCAATGCGACCCAACAAGACGCTTCAAACAGTACCTCCGAGGCCCCGGACGCTCCTTCCTCGACCGATGCGACAATAACGAAGCCGAGTACAAGTACCATTGATCAACATGACCTTGCCCATCCCGCAACCTCACATGAGGCCTCCACCACCCACCCACCGACGACTGAGCCTGCTACCTCAACAGTAGAACCCGTCATTCCTGATCAAGCTCAACAAGCTGTCATTGTCGCGAACTCCGACTCGCTCACACAGCCCCTCGCTGGCGCATCCGAATGGTCACATCAAGCTGTCACCGCTGCTCCAGCCAAGGAGAAACAGCCCCAAGAAAATGAGCTGGAATGGCAGGAGATGCCAGCCTTTGCTACCCACACCATATACGATGATTGGGGCAAAGTCGTTGCGCGCGAGGTTGCCGAGCTTGAGGAAGAGGACTATGCATACGGCAATGCGGCTGCCAAGGGATACACAAGAGTCCAGCTCGATGATGACGTCCAATCTGCCACCAGTATGGATGAAGATACCGCATACCTCTTCAAGCCTGATGCTGGCACCAACACCTTGGACGAAGACGACAGTCGCGACGTCCTGTCTCAGATGCAAGCTACAAAAGACCTCCTGACTGAAGGCCAACGCATCGCATATGTCGGTCTCGTACGCGTGTCCATGTACCAAATGACAAAGTATCTCGAAGGACTCGACAAGACTCGATCCACAAAGAAACAACTCGATATTGCTATAGAGTCCATGCAGATGTGGGCTCAGAAGATCATGGTTCGGTTGTACAGTCACATGGACCTAGACGCTGCAGAGCAGATCATGATCGAGCAACTCGCTGAACACGGTGTCGAACCAGCAGATCTGACGGCTCCCCTAATGCAAAACGCTAGAGTCAAAAATCCCTCAAAGAACACCGAAGACGCTCCTGTACCAGCGAATCCCTCCGACTCTCAATCTCTGAAATCTCCTCCGCTCAGCCGTCCACCCACTCCACCGATGCCTCCACCATACGAGCAAGAGGTACCGCCAGATTATTCTGTCAAGGATCCATCAGAATTGCCCGACACAAAGAGCATCGACATTGACCTCCGATGGACTGTACTCTGTGACCTCTTCCTAGTACTGGTTGCTGATAGCATTTACGATGGTCGCTCGAGGGCTCTTCTAGAATTGGTCGGGAGTGCGCTCTCAGTGGACTGGCTTGAGATTTGCCGATTCGAGAAGCGAATCACAGATGCTCTGGAGATGCAGCAAGAAGCTGACAAGGAGAACTGGAACGAGGACGAACACACCGACAAACGTCAAAAGATGGCTCGGAATAGGAGACTGGTCATGATGGGCCTTGCTACCGTGGGTGGAGGTCTTGTCATTGGCTTGAGTGCCGGTCTCCTCGCTCCTGTTATCGGTGCTGGTCTTGCTGCAGGTTTCACGACCATCGGCGTTGCTGGAACAAGTACCTTCCTCGGAGGTGTCGGTGGCGCAGCTCTAATCACATCAATTGGTGTCACGACCGGAGGTACCATTGCAGTTCGTGCGAGTAATAGGCGAACAGGCCCAGTCAAAACCTTCGAGTACCGACCACTCCACAATAACAAACGTGTGAACCTCATCGTCACTGTGGCCGGCTGGATGACAGGCAAGGTCGATGACGTTCGTCTACCTTTCAGTACGGTCAATCCTATCATGGGTGACATTTACAGTGTACACTGGGAGCCAGAAATGCTGCAAAGTATGGGTCAAACCATCAATATACTTGCAACTGAGGTATGTCAATGTTATTCGTTTTCATGATCTCATACTAACAGTTGTAGGNCTCTTACCCAAGGACTTCAACAGATTCTTGGTAGCACGCTGCTTACTGCTCTCATGTCTGCCATGTCACTTCCACTTGTGCTTACGAAATTGTCATATCTGATCGACAACCCGTGGAGTGTATCAATGGCTCGTGCCGACATGGCTGGTCTCATTCTCGCTGATTCTCTCATCGATCGCAATCTTGGTGTGCGACCAGTCACCCTCGTTGGTTTCTCCCTAGGTTCTCGTGTTATTTATGCCTGCCTCAAAGAGCTCGCCAACCGCGGAGCATACGGCATTGTCCAGAACGTCTACGTTTTTGGCAGCCCGGTAGTGTTCAAAAAGGATGAATATATCAAAGCGAAGTCGGTTGTTGCAGGAAGATTTGTCAACGGCTACGCTACCAATGATTGGATCTTGGGCTACTTGTTCCGCGCCACTGCAGGAGGTATCATGAGAGTTGCTGGACTTGCTTCGGTCGACATACCAGGTGTGGAAAACTACGACGTGACGGAGACCGTCGCAGGTCACATGGCGTACCGTAAAGCCATGCCGAAGCTTCTAAAAGAAGTAGGTTGGGTGGTGGATAGCGAAGAATTCTCTGAAATCGAAGACCCGGATCCGGACAACCACGAGAAAAGACAACGAGAACTCATCAACGAGATCGAAGAGGCCAGGAAAGCTCTCGAGAAGAAGCCCGAAAAGAAGGGCTTCAAGGCACTCTTCAGTCGAAACAAGAAGAATGCGGAGAAGAAGGAGTGGGAGACATACGACGAGAAGATCAAAGCTGGACCAGCGGATGAGTCTGCCGATGGATCCAATCAAGGGACACTGTTCGACATCGATGCTCTCCAGCACGAGGTCGCTGCACTTGCAGCTCAAGGTGTTGAGATCAAAGAAATTAAGGGTACATTGCCTCCCATGAAAATCGACACCACAGCCAATCCCATCAATGGCGATGGGTTGAAGAGTCCACCTCCAAGTCTTAGGCAGACCAAGAGCTTCAGTGGTTTCTCAGACGGAGCTCGAGATTCATCGAATAGTATCAACCAGACCAACGGAACAAACAGAAACCAACAGTACGACTACGACGAATTCGAGTATAACGCTCAGAACGATTCTCAGATATCAATGACTTTCGAAAGTCCCGAGCGGCCTCGACCAACATTTGGCGACCGTCAAACCACGATGCATGGATCGCCTACGACCTCACCATCATCGTCGCAGTTTCCAATCAGACCTGCATTGCAGTCGTCAAACACAATGCCTGTTTCCAGTCGATCAGTATCCAACAACACGCCTATGTCTCTCGAGAGAAACGCGTGGGTGGACGATGAGGACGAGTTTGGAAAGGAAAAGGAGATGTCGATGACGTTTGAGTAGGCGCGTAATATGACTCTCGGTCTCTGTACAAACGACTAGAACCTTGCGGCGTACATATGGGTGGGCTAGATTCTGCTCATCACTCATAATCTGGAGAATAAGGCGTTGCCCTGGTGGGCCATCTAGGAAGGGATATACAGCACACTTTTCGCATTGGTGGGTAGACACTGAGATAATACAACAACGATTCAAAATCGAGGAGTGATGCCCCACTCATCTGTTGATATCAACACGGTGCCTAATCACTGACACAAAAGAGCAAAAAAACCAAGAGTCAACGTCGGGGAAACATCTTTGTTGACCAAATCATGACAGCGACCAACCAAGGCGGAGAGTCGAACTCACCACCCCTGGATTCTATTTACGCTAGATTTGGAAGAGGTTTCATCGAGTTGGGCCAAAGCTCCGAACTCTGAGATGTAAACACATTCACTGGAATATGACAGCAAGAGGTGAGGTGCCAAATGGTCTCGTGAATTCACTGCCAAAATTGACCATAGTGATTGTCCTTCTATACCACAGGAGGGTTGTCGTTTAAGAGTGGTTGTTCGTGCGAGGATGAATGATGTCCTCACTTCCAATGACACCGCCGCCTTCGTGCAAGACCATGGCTTCTCTCCTCTGTCTCCTCACTTCAGCTTCATGATTGGAAGACGATTGAAACCTCGCTCTAGCAGCAGCATGTGGAACCTCGTCATCCACAACATCCAAGTCCTCCAAGTCTGGCAACCCGGAGGTCGTGGAAGAAGCACCATCACCATCCTGCTCTCCAGGAGCAGCAAATCTAACCATCGGACGCGTCATGACTGCCTGCTCAGCCAGCATATCCACCAACGACTCTACCCTCTGCGATACGGGTTGGAATCTTGCCGACGCAGCCACCTCAGCACTCTCTTCCTGCTGCGGAAACACAAAATGCGTTTCTGGATATCTCTGCGCTCGCCTCACCCTATTGTGGGTGATTCTCGTGGATCCCTCGACTGCATCTGCAATGTCTACCAAAGTTGCCAACCTGCCTTGACGATACTTTCTGGCTGCTTTGAAGTAAGCTCGGCACATGACCTGTACTGTAGGGTCGGATTTGTCATGGAGAGAAGAGACGGCAGTGTCGTTGAGAGGGTAGAAGTCGGTGGCTAAATTGTCGAAGAGGTCGAGGGTCCGTTTTGCGGAGAGTCGAGTGTCTGCGGACGGGGAGAAGAGGTCGTGGGTCAGAGACGAGGTTGCTGAGTCGTCTAGGGCGAAGCGGGATAGGATGAGAGAGGTAGCGCTGNNGAAGGGGCCTGAGTTAGAATACATTGCTTTTCGTTTCGTGAAGTCTTAGTCTAAAGTAGCCCGGCTCTATGAACAACAACTCGACCAATTCGCAAGAAGTTGTACATGCCATCAGTCTCCAAACAGATTATCCAACACCCGAGATAATCACTAGGTGATAGCATATTCAAGAAAATGTGCAACTCACGAATTTGAAATGTCCTGATTTGGCGAAGTAACCAATGTTGACAAGGCTTCGAGACTTATGGCTACAAACAAGGTCAGAAGCAAACAGATGAATACAAGCGAATGAGAAGACTCACACTCTTCTGCCTGGGTACCGTTAGCAGCTTTTGCATAGACGGGATCATAGATCTCGCTTAGTTTGATAGTAGTTCGGAGGCATCGCTCAACTCCTTTGACAGCAACGAACAAGAAGACGCCTGCACATGATCAGCTTGCGTAGTGGCTAGAAACAATGGTTTAAAACTTCAAGATACCAAAACCGAGCCACAGATGACGATCTTGAATCTCCCAAGACATGATGGTCGATGGTGCAGAAGGAGTCGAAGGTACAAAGATAGACGCACGGACGTGGCTGCTCGAAGCGGAGACTCGGATGAACGAGCCGAAGGCGGTCAGCGAAATCCTGGCCGGCCTTTCAGACTTCCCATTCGCGATTCAAGGCAAAAAAAAGTTGGACCGAGCTATTCGATCACAACACCCAGCATGCCGCCGTCACAACTAAAACGTCTCAAGGCGTCGCTGCGAGAGCAGGGCGTCACCGGCCCTCAGAAGTCGAAGAAGCAAAAGCAGCAGGACAGAAAAGGCAACAACGACAGCAGAGTCCAGCGCAATGCTGCCCTTCAGCAAATTCGCGACAGCTTTAACCCTTTCGAGATCAAGGCCAACAATCGTCCTGCAAAATTTCAGTCCTTGACCGCCCACCCCAAGAAAGATGCTGTCCTTAGACCCGGCGTCACCAGGAGCATGGGCGAGGAAGCTGTAAGCTCTGTCCTTCTACATCCCAAGACCAGCACTGACCTTGTATAGCGTCGTGCTACCTTGTTGCCCGAGATCCAGCGCCGCAACAAGACTGGTGGAATCATCGACAGACGTATCGGCGAGAACGACCCAACCATGACGCCCGAAGAGCGCGCTCTGCAACGTTTTGCCCAGGAGAAGATGCGCAAGAAGGGTGGCGCTTCTCTTTTCGATCTGGAAGCCGACGACGATTTTGAGGAGGCTGCTCTCACTCACGGCGGAAAGGCCCTGGACCTTGACAGAGACGACTTCGACATGGAGGGGCTCGAGGGCTCTGACGACGAATCAGACCGTGGTTTGAAACGCCGAAGATCTTCTGCGGGCGACGAGGACGATGACGAGGAAGCCATGTCGGACGACGAAGAAGGGCAAGACCCTGACAAACCGGCACGCAAGAAGTCAAAAGCAGAGGTCATGAAGGAGGTCATCGCAAAGTCCAAGTTGCACAAATACGAGAGACAAAAGAACAAGGAAGACGACGACGATTTGCGTGAAGAGCTGGACCAGGGATTGCAGGAAATGCTGTCTTTGCTCCGAGGCGTCAAGCCCNCTCCGAAGGCTGAGAAGGAACCTATGGACGCTGGCATGAACCCTGAGCGTCTGGCCATGCTCCAAAGCAAATCGCGCGAGGAGACTGAGAGAGAATACGATGTCAGACTTAGACAGATGGCCATGGACAAGAGAGCCGCTCCTACCACACGTACAAAGACAGAAGAGGAGCAGGCTATCGAAGAAGCCTACCGTCTGAAGGAGCTGGAACAATCGCGTCTTCGCCGCATGCAAGGCGAGGAGTCTGAGGAAGAGCCCGAGGTCGAGGACAAGAAGTCGAAGAAGAAGGCTGGTGTTGAGGTTGCTCCTGAGGATGAGGAAGACATGGGAGACGATGCTGCAGAATTTGGTCTACCGACTCAGCAATACGATGACAAGAAAGACGCAGTTGTGCACGACGACGAGGACGAGTTCTTGATGGAGGACGATCTGATCGCTAGTGGTTCGGACATCGACGTCAGCGATGAGGAAAGCGAGGATGAAGACGATTCGGATACCGAGGCAGGAGCTGCCGTTGCTGACGAGGAAGATGAAGAGGACGAGTTTGTTCGCGGAATCTTGGGCGACAAAGACGAGAAGAGCGAGAAGAAGGCAACTGCGCCGGCCGCTCCTTCTGGACTTGCCTACACCTACGAGTGCCCTCGTTCTCATGAAGAGTTGCTGGCCATCTTCGGAAAAATGGCTGTCGAGGACATCCCAGTCGCCGTCCAACGTATTCGTGCGCTTTACCACCCTTCGCTCACAGCCGACAACAAGCAGAAGCTTGCAGACTTCTCTGTTGCTCTCGTTGACCACATCTCATACATGGCCAACGAGAAGCAATCCNTTGCTGTCATCGAAACCCTCATTCGCCATTTGCACTCTTTATCGAGGACATACCCTGGTACCATTGGCAAGGCTTTCCGTACACACATGTCTGCTATGCACGAGAGTGGTATCTTTACCGCTGGTGATTTGGTCATCTTGACGGCTGTCAGCTCCATTTACCCAACATCAGACCACTTCCACCAAGTAGTCACCCCAGCAATCACCCTTATGGGACGCTGGCTGGAGATGACCGCTCCCGCGCCTTCTTACTTGGCCACCGGTGCATTTATTGTTGCTCTGTGCATCAAGTACCAATCACTATCCAAGCGTTACATCCCTGAAGCTGTACGCTACACCGTCAAGGCTCTGCAACTCCGTCCTCAACCCAGCGAGAAGGACTTGCAACCTCACGTCAACAACATCCTCGCTATGGCTGACCTCTGGAGCGCCAAATCAGCATTTGGTCGAATCTTCTCCCCTGCCGCTCTCTCCGCCCTCCAAGCCCTCAAGGGACAAAAGAAGTCGTCCCAACACCTCTCCATTATGCTCTCACAAGCCCGCCTCCGCCGTCGTCCTCTCGAACTCCACCATCACCGCCCTCTACCTATCCGCACCTCGATTCCCAAGTTCGAGGAGAACTTCAACCCAGACAAGCATTACGACCCAGACCGCGAACGCGCCGATGCCGCAAAGCTCAAGAAGGAGTACAAGCGCGAGCGCAAGGGAGCTGTGCGCGAGCTGCGCAAGGATGCAAACTTCATTGCGCGCGAACAGCTGCGCGACAAGAAGGAGAGAGATGCAGAGTACGAGAAGAAGTACAAGAGACTCGTTGCCGAGATCCAGGGAGAGGAGGGCCACGAGGCCAAGGAGTACGAGCGAGAGAAGAGGATGCGCAAGAGCAAGAGATAAACTGCTTTCTTGCTTCCTTGCTTCTTGTTTTCTTCTTACTCTTTTCTTATCTTGTTACTTGCATCGTTGTATATATACCCTTTTGTCGGGCCAATTTATGTTTCCACCTCTTCCTTTTGACCCAATTTCATATTTAATCCCTTGCCTCTCAGTCTGTAACATTGTGGTGACAAAACCGTTCTACTCCTCGCAAGTGGGATGTCAGACCGCGCTCTAGAAACAATGCTAGACTCTTCTCTCAAACAATCAACTTCGATCATGCTCCAATAACCGAGTATCGATGTAGTTGTGTTCGGAATGACCAAGCCAAGAAAGGGCAACCCTGACTATGAAGCTCGTCCATCAATGACGTCTCACCTTTGAACAACAATACATTCCAAAACACTCACTCTCACTCTTGAACAAAGAAACCTGATCAAGGACCTTTACAACAAACAAAATGTCAGACTTACTGCGCGCACTCCCCACCATAANNAAAAATCAGCACAACGCACCAAACCTCAGGCCACCAGCAATGCCCTTGACAACAGCAGACGAAGGCAACTCCTCATCTTCAGACAGTTCAGCATCCACAAACGACAGCATCGATACCCTACGCCCTTCTGAGTCTACCGTCCCAACACCAACACCAAACCCATGGCCCAAATATTTTGAGCAGGAACTTTTTCTCGAGTCAAAGACAGAGACTCAACATGCGAAATACCATGTGTATCTAACTCCACCGAGGGATGCAGCTAAAGGACCACTGTTTATCTGTCATCACGGAGCTGGCGCAACCGGGATGAGTTTTGCGTGTTTTGCTGCTGCGGTGAGGAAAGAGATGCCTGGAGCCGGTATCTGCAGTCTAGAAGCCAGGGAGCATGGATCCGCCGTCTTTGCTTCCTCTGGCAACGAAGAAATTCTCGATTTCAGTATTGAAACGCTGGTGACCGATACCCTTGCCATGATCGAAGGCGTAAAGCAGAGACAAGGCTGGAAAACCTTACCGCCATCCGTATTGATAGGCCATTCTCTCGGCGGCGCAGTCATCACCCGCATCGCAGCCGCTGGCTCTCTAGGCGCCCAATTAGTCGGCTTTGCAGTACTCGATGTAGTCGAGGGCTCTGCCATCGAAGCCTTGATGCACATGAAAACCTACCTGGCCTCTCGACCTTCGTCATTTGCTTCTGTGGATCAAGCCATCAATTGGCACATCCGCAGTCGCACAATCAGAGATCTCGAGTCTGCAAAGGCTAGTGTGCCTAGTTTATTGGTTCCCAAAGACGATCGTTGGGTCTGGAGGACAGATCTTGGACGCACACAGCGATGGTGGGAAGATTGGTTCACAGGGATGAGTGGGTTGTTTCTAAGGGGTAGAGCTGCAAAGGCTTTGGTGCTTGCGGGTACAGACAGACTAGACAAGGAACTCATGGTGGGCCAGATGCAAGGTAAGCACTCCTATTATGGAGACCATAGAGTATGGCTAACTCTCTTCANNGGCAAGTTCCAACTCACAGTTATTCCGGAGGCAGGCCACTTCATTCAAGAAGACGTGCCGGAAAAGACGGCACACCTCATGATCGAATTCTTCAAGCGAAATGATCGAAGCAGTCTGGTCCTGCCGCCCAAAGTTTCCGATCTGCTCGCCCAGGGCAAAAGGGTGTAGGTAGAAATCACAAAAGGCTAGAATAAAATAGATAGATGAGTCTTCAGGTAAACAATCAACCGTACTTGGATGATTACGTGGCATATTGAGATGTGTGAGTTCGAACTTTTACCTAATCGGCTACAACTGATGGAAGATATTTCTCTCGCTGCATTGACACGAGATTGCCTATTGGCTGCTCACACATATCTCATACCTTCAGTATGGATACATAGCACTGATCATTTTGGAGAAAACAGATTTGCATTCTTGATAATCGTGAAAATAAAAAGGACAGACCTAAATGCCATGTCCTTCCTCTGAAAAGTATTAAACAAGAAATGGAAGGATCAACTGAATGCATTGCTCCCCCTTGGGAAAAACAAAGAGCATCCTGCCCATCATGCCCTCCCTGTTTCGAGTCATGAGCAATTATGCTTTTTGCTTATTAATCATCAAAAACTGGAACCAATCGTGACTGTCGTTGCGTGAGGCCGTAAAGCAGAGAAGAGGCAGAAAATTTCCAAAAGAGTACAAGAAGTGGAGTGCAAAAACAAAACAATCATGAAGGTGCAAGAAAAGCAAGAGGGAAAACTCAAAGGGGTATCTCTGGGAAGTAGTGGGCCTCCCAGGTGGTCGTGAAAAGTCAATGCTGTACCGTATGTACTGTCGAGTGCTTTGTGTGTCGTCCTCCTGTATGTACAAGATCCGAGGTTTCGTACGAGCTTGGATTACGATGCTCGATTGCAGGATCAGAAGACGTCCTCGGGCCACTCCCAATGTTGTTTGCCAGCGCCAGCACCGATCTGTTCTTCTGTCGCCTTCTCCAGCGCGGTAGGCAGGGCTGGGACTGAGCCGACGCCAGGGGTGGCAGTGACGATGTGGTGCTTTTCAATAGTGACTAGCGTAGGCTTCGTGTAGACAGCGTCGGGCGAGGGCGAAGAGCGGCGTTGCGAGGAAGAAGGACGTTTGTTCGAACCTCTGGAGGTAGGTCGGGCAGTCTCGTACTTGTTGACTAGGATGGACTTGAGAGAGTCAGTGCGTACGTGGATGGACTCGGCGTCAGCGGTGGAGATGGCAGAGTCGTGCTGCGAGGGGACGAGGGAGTTGGTAGAGTCGACGCGTGGGGCGACAACAATGTTGTCTTCTTCGTTGATGGGATCGAGGGTGTCCAGGCTTGAGCGGCCGGAAGGAAGGAGGTCGACCGCCTGGTCGGTAGAGTGATGCTTACTGCTGTCCTGCTTCTTGGTGTTGGTCTTGTTCATACTACCATGGCCGACGTCGGGTCCAGGCTGATTGATTGCGGGCTCGACATTGGCTGCCTTTTTGCCGGTGGACTTACGCTTCTTCTTTGGCTTTTCCTTGACAACCTCCAGTTCGTCTTCCTCCTCATTTGCTGGGGGCTTGTAAGTGCCATCATCTTTGGACGAACTCTTGCGCTTTTTCGTAGGAGTCTTCTTGGCCTTGGACTTGATGCTAGCATCGAGAGCCTTGAGTTTGGCATCCAGACTGGGACGGTTCTCAGCATCACTTTGGTCGGTGACCTCGGAAGAGGCAAGAGCAGCTGGATCCATGGGAGCTTGGCTGTAGTAGTCGACAGGCAAAAGGACTGGATCTCTGAACGAGGCGTGTCAAGCACAATGACCGAGTCTCGTTGCTGCGCAGGGCTTCGCAGGTGAGTCAAGTCAAACGATTGAGAGTGAGTAGGCTTCGGTCTGACGAGCGAAGGAGTGTTCTGAGCCTGAGCGAGAGCGTCTGCCTGGATGAGGCTTTCTGAAGGAAGAGAAGGTAGCTTGCTACTGCTCAGACCAAACCTAGCCCTAGTGAATTTGGATTTGGAAGTAGGAGTGAACTTCTCGAAACGGGAAGGAAGGGGCGGGAGAGGAGAGGCGTTGGTGATGGCGTTGTTCAATTCACGACGAGCGTCAGCAAGTTTGGACTCGAGATCACTGACACGCTTGTTCAGCTTGACCGCTCTGTTGAGCTCCTTCTTGGACTGAGAGCGAGGGAGTGGTTGCAAAGTGAGTTGGTTGTAGGCAGGCTTCTCGGGTGACATGGACGGATTTCTCTTGTCCTTGTCTTCCGAGGTGCGCAGGATAGTCTCACTCAAATTAGCATGAGAGCGACCACGCTTCAGGGAGCTCAAGGAAGGGGCACGGAGAGAGGCACCACGGAGGGCGAAGAACGACTTGCGCTTGCTTATCGGCTTCTCGGGAGACAAATGTCGAGGTGATGTTGGCTCTGCGGTCGGGTTGAACAGAGCAGCCAGCTGTGGTGGTGCAGCATCGACGGCCAAGTCAAGAGAAGTATGGCGCGAGTTTGGGAAATCGGCATCTGGGCGTAGACGGGCATATGCGGCAGCGTGACGAGGAGAAGTCAGAGGCTGACGTGCGGGCGAACCGAATTGGCTGTTTCCACCAAGGCGAGGCGACGTCAGGGCCTTGTTGGGTACGACGGTGAAGTTGAACTGGCCGGACTTCTTAAGTTCCTGATAAGCCTGTTCATACATGGCCTTGTCGTCCATGGCCTTGCTATCCATGACCTTGTCGTCGTTCATTGCACGCTTGCGGTTCTCTTCGATGTTTCTAACAGTGAGATCTTCCTTGGACTCCTTCCATGTGCGTGAGAACGACTCCCATACGTTGGCCGGATTGAAGGTCGATGCAACCATCTTACCGAAGCGGAAGAGTCCGCCGGCCGGCTTGACGGATGCAGTCGTCGAGGGAGGGATCGAGTCGAAGGTAGGCGCGCTGAAAGGTAGGGATGGCCGGGACTCAACCGGCTCAACCTGGAGCGGGTTGCTGACAGTAGGCTTGAGAGCATGATCGACAGTAGGCCTGGGAGTGTGGTAGACTGCGGGGGTCGAGTTCTCTTGGTGGTACTGGGTCATCAGATCGTCGACGTTGGCCAGAGTGGGCAGACTGTTGTTCGAGTGGTCGCGAGTAAAGACACTCGGGGGTTGCGCGCTGGGCTTGTCCGACATGCTGCCTTCCTGGAAGCGAGAAGGGCGTGTGTTGTCCGGGACGAAGACGTCGGCGACATGTGCCTGGCGCTTGTTGAGCGACGACAGGCCGTAGCGGGCGTCTTTGCGGCGTATACTGCGAGGCTGCTGCTTGGGCGACGGCGATGGCCGGCTGCGCTTGGGCGTGTGGTGGCCGTCATGCTGGTCGTGGTCGTCACCATGGTCGTGCTGTCTCTCGTCGTGGTTCGAGTGCGAGTCGATGAGCAGATGGACATCTGCCTCGGGCACCTTCATAGCCCATTCCATCGTACGCTTTCGCTTGCTCCCGCTGGCAACCGGCTCCAGCGCCTGTCCGAACTCGCCGTGCATTCCTGCCTCTTCTGACATGTTGTTTGCTTCGTGCCTGCCATCAAACACGTCAGCCCATTGAATTCTGCGCTTTTTGCTGCTGCGAACGAGCGTTGCAATCAGGCCAATCCCGTTGATGCCCTTTGTTGACACCCTGGACCCCTTCCACTGGGACCCACAGTACTTCTCTGCACTTACCGTGGATCTTAGCTGCAGCTCTGCATCTGTCCAGACAGTCGAGATCTCTACTAGCGAATGATCAATCCGAGTCGTGTCTTGCAGAGTCTTGAGAACTATGAGCTCACTATGGCCGAGAAAGATGTGATTCACGAAAGGCGGGTTGACGACTCGTTGTCCCGACACTGCCGCCAAACACAACAGAACCGCCGTTTTTCTACGGAGCGACGCACTGGACGCAACGAGACCCTGCGCGAGACGAACCACTCATCCGCTCCGTCCTACCGCTCGTCTAAATACATGAGTCATTGTCACTCGATACTGTACCTCCTGATTCACTTCGCTCTTGTTTCTCACTCACTTCACTGGTGCTCTGTGTAATTATGCATTTTTAATTGCCTGTCATGTCTATCGTTGTCTCGTCGGGTCGTTTCATAATCTCTGATTGGTTGCGGCACTTCTATTCCTCCTCGATTACACGTCCCGCCTGTTCGCTTAGTAGCACAAAGGAGATCAAAGTCGCCGTCCTGGCCCCTGTACAGATGAAACACGGCTATCGACACTGTCCTGTGCCAATCCTGGTCCGCTACTCGTCCTTTAGTCATGGCTTGGGGGCAGAGGGCGAGCAATCTCGCGTCCATCTGCACGTCTGTAGCTCATCTTTAAGCTCTCCAATTCTGCAAGCTCGCTGTCGTTTCCGTCATCAGCAACCAGATGACCGTACCCCGACACTGATGGTCTAGCTCCCTGTCTCAAGGGTCCGTTCAAGTGACGTGTGTCAAACACACGGTCATACGAACGCTTGCCGTTGATCTGGCCGTTCTCAGAGGCTCTAGCCATGTCATAGTAGTGGTTCTGAGACACTGCGCTGGATGGCGGCGAGATCTCGAGCTTCGTCTGAGGGACGAGAGATGTGTTGATTGGAGGCAATACATGGGGTGCGATTGCCGATGCACCAGCTGCTGATGCCTGGCTCATCTGTCTCATCTTGGGCGTCTGCTGGGGNGTGTAGCCGGGTTGTTGATATTGAGACGAATATGCCTGAGGCTGGCTGCTGTGAGGATAAGAAGATGTTTGGATCATCGAGTGACGACGGGGGTCGGCGGGGACAGGAGCAGGAGCTCCGTGCGAATAGTCGACACTCATGGTTCTTGCAACAGCTGGCTCCTCGTATTGGGAATGCTGTTGAGCAGGGTGACCATATCCGTAGTAGGCGGCGTGCTGGTGGGCAGGAGCGGGTGCTGCAGCTTGGGGATACTGGTACTGTCCATAGTGCATCTGAGGTTGAGGAGGCTGCATGGTTGGTGGCTGCATCTGAGCTGGCTGCTGAGCGTAGGGTGCGGCGTACTGATGAGCAGGGGCCTGCGAGTACTGGGGCTGTGCAGAAGGAGCCGGTTGTGCTCCAGGGTGCTGAGCAACGGCTTGAGGGGGNTACAAAGCCTGAGGGTATGTCTGCAACATGTCATGTCCGGACGGACGGCGAGATGAGGAAGCAGCTGCAAGAGATACGTGGCTGGCAATACTGGCCGATCTTTCGCGATCCGCGGCTTCAGCGCCAGGATGAGCTCCGGCCAGATGGGGTTGGTAGGTATCAGGGGTGGCTGAATGTCTACCGCGATCAGAGTAGCCGTCGTAGTCCTTGCCCTTTTCACGTCTACGCATGCGGACTTCACGTCTGATACGAACACGGCATCCTTGATCGGCCACAGTGCGGCTCAGCTGGGTGCTGGAAGCAAGTCCAGGGAACTTCTTGGCACTGTAGACAGTGAATGGCTGGGACTTGACTTCGAGACGGTGGGTGATCTGCGTTTCTCCCTGGGCAGCGGCGGCTGCGGCGGCCTCGTCCAGCTGGTCGGCATCCTTGGGGTCCTTCAACTCCTCGTACAAGCTGAATCCCAGTCTATACTTTCCTTCGTGGCGGACGGACAGGTCAGGGAAGATGAAGTAGCCAGCTTGGTCAGGACGATCCAGATAAACCATACCAGCAACCGGAGTACCAGTCAAGACGGTCAATCGGGCTGGATCATTGTTAGGGACACGGCCCTGGGCAATAGGACGTGCCTGTTCCAGAGTTGCAAAGAGAAAGTAGTTCGCGTTCATGGCAAAGGTGATGTCGTTTTCCTTGTGCTCCTCGCCATCATAGATTCGAAGCTCGACGATTGGTGGTGGGTCGACAGGACGACGGTCGGCAGAAGCNTGATGTCGCGTCAGTATCATGGTTAAAGTTGAACGTTAGATCCACGCACACTTGGCACCAGAACCGCAGGCGCGAGCACGTTCAGGTTGTTGGAGAACCTTGAGCTTGTAGAGCAGGTGTCTTCCGTCACACGTGGTGCGCGAGAAAGAAGCTACAGTCTCGTTGGGGATTGAGATGACTCTGGGCTCCATGACGGTGGTGGTAACAGATTAGATATAAGTAAACCTGACGCGTCGCAACGATGGTGGAATAGTTGGTGTCTTTTGATGTGCAGTGTGGTCAGCAATGGTATATCAAAATTGAGTGCGGGTCCGTGACAGTGGTTTGGAGAAGGAAAGAAGGTTTGGGCGAGCCTGAGAATCCGGATGTCGAGGTAGCTGGAAACGAGCTACCATCGCATCGGCGTGGCCATGGCACTCCCACGAAAAGAAGGATGCAAGGAATGGGAGGATATAACGACTCACCCTTGCTGGCTGTGTACGTAAAGGAATGTACGGACTGCGTGGTGCAGGCGCGGTCAATGAAGCCCGAAATAAACGCTGGCTTTGAACGAAGAAACGAGCGCGTCGGTAGGACTGTAGAAGCCTATGGATGTCTCTGGGCAGCTCCCTCGACGTCAAAGAACGATGAGTTCAAAAGCGAAGAACGACGTTCTCTCGTTCTCTCGTCCAAACAAAAGGCCTCAACCCAGGGACTCGGATCTGAGGAGTAAAAGAAGGTGGGAGTCGCGGAGGAAAAGGCAGGTACAAGGGAACAGACGACTCAGATCGTCGGAGGCCCGGGCGTTCTTGCCGCACGCCGCACGCAAGCGAAGTGCTCCTTTGCCCTAAACATGGCCACTCTAACTGCCTTTGGTATCGGCAAGAGTCTGGCTCGGCTTTCCTTTTTCCTCACCTTTCGGATGGCTTACATGACCCATTCTCAGTTCCTGCGAACTGCATCTTATCCGATATCGGTGACCATGGCCGGCCTTTGTTGACCGCGAGGTGAGTTCTGCTGCTGGGTTTCTTGTTGTTGCTCTTGTAACTCAGCTTCATATCTTCGCCAGGCCGGATGCTCAAGATGTGTGGTAGACTAACGGGCGGTTCTCGCGCCTCATTGTCTGTTGGCTGCTCCCCACTGCGCACCGTCCCGTTGTGGGCCCTCGGGGCCTTCCCAATGTTTGCTTTGCCATGTTCGCAACCCTCAGATCGACCGGCGCCTCATCCTTCCTGCAGTAACGTCTGCACTACCACCACGCAGGAATCCGGTAACCGGCGTCGTGTCAGTGTTCCTGCTGAGTTCCTCCTCGACTGGAATGTGGTTTCAGGTTCATACCCGTTTGTCTGTACCCTCGTCTATTGAGATTGTCGTGCTCTATCATGATAAGCCTGAGGTTATACATGGAGCGCGGCATTCAATATCAGACTGTGGACTTTGGCTTTCTCCAAGCCAAGCGAGGCAATATAATTTGCGGAAGCAGCTTTACCCGGCTGCGCCCTTGGTGAGCGCTTCCGACATCACCCACCAGGCAGGCTGGTACTGTGTTGCTGGAGCCTTTCAAACTCCTTGACCGTACAGCCAGACGAGGCACATGCAGGGAAGAGACGCGTCTAAACATTCGAAGAGCGCGTCGAGCAGAAATAGAGAGCTCAGTGGATCATCAAGGATTGCGGAGGGTGCGTCTGGTCGTATCGCTTACAAGGTTTCGAAATAGGCGGAGAAATTGACTGCACTAAAACCTCTTTTAAGTGTAGCTTGCGGCAGACACCGCTCGGCTTCAGCGGCAGTCGTGGTAAAAGTTGCTCTGCATAACGGCGCAGGGTCTGCCAACACATTAGCGATGGACAAGTAACCACCTCTAGCCATCCACGGCTTCCAAGAGAGCGCCTGCTCGAAAGACGTTTGTGTATAACACGCCATCTCAGACGATCTGATCAGAGGCTTACTGTTGTATGCGAAATGCATGTCGGAAAAGTGTCTTGCAGGCTGCCTTAGTTGATGAAAAGGAGGGTGTCGTACTCTGCGATCGCAATGCAGGCCCGCACAACATTCACAAGCGGCGAGTTGTGATCAGTCCAATCGACGCAAGACCCGAGAAAGGCTGACACGCTCCAAAAACGAGTGGCTGGGTCAGATCTGAGGTCACCCACCAACAAAAGTCCCCATTCCAATGCATTTCCAAGACGGAACATCTCTTCGTACATGAAGAAAGGGAGGGCCTTTCCGCAATGACGGCGACATCGAGATGAAGGAAATAAGATTGCACACTTGTCGTCCGGATCTTGTTGTCCTAATGCTCATGCATATCGTATACAACACGGGCCCGGCTTGCCTGTTCAAGTACAGTCTTTCTTCTGAGCACGACAGATCTAAATTCTGCATGGCCTGACGAGGCAGAAAGCTGTCGACGTTCACGCATCACACATTCAAAGATATCTGTTCTATAACGCGTACCACAGCCGAACTCGCCCGCAGCCCCACTTGAAAGAGCTGATGCTGTCAGAGACTCGGAGGAGTTGGTTCGTCGGTCTCGGCGTTCCTACGCATCACTGCTACACGCTTGAATACTTTGAAGACAGGCTGCATTAATGAGCCTAGTCAACCAATCTCTGACCTCGCTTCTTTTATTGGAGCAAAGAAGCTAATAGGTATCAAGCTACACATGCAAGTCGCGAAAATTGTGATTGACACAGAAAATAAAGATGGGCGCGATCATGCACAGTTTATCTACATACAGCACCAGTAGCGAAGGACCGTCTTCTCAACAACCCTCATGCAGGAGGGCGAAAGCAGTCAATATCGCAGCAAAATACATCCTGCTGACTCTTTGATTCTGACACTCGCTCACACGTTCTTACGTGCTTCAAGAAACGCCTCGATGCAATAATGGGGGCAAGGCTATAACACGGAATTAGATGATCTATTCCTCTTCGGTCTTTCTGTTGCCAATCAAGGAGACCCTCGACCAGGTCTTTGTCTCCTGTCAGTGCTGGCTGTCACCTGCAACTTTAAAAAAGGTAAAAAGAAGTTTTGGCCAACGAGAGGTCTCCCCTTTCTCTGCATTGCAAACAGGCGGTCACCGAAGTAAAGCAACCACACACCTTTTCGACTCTGTTAACATCACACAGGCGCCTGGGTTCCGTCGCTTGGAGATATGATGTTTCTCGGCTGCCCCTGGGAAGTGACTTCAGACCCACACCTATGCCCACACCAACCACCATAGTGCCATGTTATCGCTTGAGATGCAAACATCCAACGTCTTCGCAACGAAAAGGGTGTGGTGCAGACCATCACATCTCCCAAGGAGATCGAAAACGTTCATACCTCAATAACTCAAGGTCCAGACCCATGACCCACGTTGAGCAACTTGGGCACTGACTCCTGACACGTACAATGAGAAGAGCCGGCGTCCCACAGAAGCGTACCGTGATCGTCATGTGTCCAAGTTCGTCATACCGACTCTTTCTCTGCTCGGATCGTTGGCAAAGTCCGAGGAAGAAGTGTTAATTCATTCATCTAGTAATGACGCTTATTATCCCGGATATTTCAACTTCAGAATATCGCTTGGTCTACCATCAGTTGGTATATAGTTTCCACCCCAAACCGCAACAAGACACTGTGGACTTGGCTCATTCAGCCCATCATGAATGAAAACAAGCAATTGTAACTTCAGATGCAGAAATTTGTTGGGCTTCCAATATAATGAAAGTTCCTGTGGTCAGGAGAAGGAACGAATGTGGTTCGTCTCATCTTCTGACGAGTTATAGCCTTCTCCAACACGCAGAGTAGCGAACCTTGTCTCGTCCCAAGCGGCCAACGCAGTCACTACAGCATCTTGTCTCTTACAAATTATCTCTCTGCGTTCAACACTACAGCGTCAGTGACTGGTATTTGCACACTATGTTATGAAGAGGCAGGCGGCGTTCACTGAAACTCGCCATGCACCAAGCTCCTTGAATGTTGTAGTCTAAGTTTTACAATATGATCCATCATGTATGCATCACAAGCCTTGGTACAGGTAAGGAATATATCTGAGGCTATGTTGTTGCCCCAGATCAGATGTAGCGTGTAGTGATGGAGGAAAGTGCGTTCGATATGCTTCGAAAGATCTCTGGATTCGAAGAAGCTGCAACGATGTTACCTTGACCGCGAACAATATAACTTTTATCTGGTCGGGAATCTTTTGACATTGGATTCTCTTCATCTCATAGCGCTTGGCTTGTCTGATACACATACATACAGTGTCGATGAGTGAACATAAAAAGTGCCTTGAGTATTTGAGCCAATGGTCTTGCACAAAGGAAAATCAATGTAGAAGGGAATGTTATATAAGCGACATGAAAAGAAGTATGTAGAGAGGGTAGCTGGCTTCACCCTATAAAAGAAACAAGGAAAGTAGAGAAAGGAAAGAAAAAACGCCCTTGGAAAAGAAGACCTCCTGGTTGCTAAAACTCCGTTTCTCAACCTCCCACGTTCGTGCCAGTTTATTCATGATATGGATAAGTTTTGTTCGTCACTGGTTACCGATAACTCCGCCGAAAAGAACGGGAAAGTAATGACACGCAAAGGACGCTGTGCCCAAGCAGCCTTTGAGTCGAAGCTGTGATGCATCATGATCGGACGTCATATGTACATATTCACATCGTTGCATCGTCAATTGCAAGATCGAAAGGTGTCCCCGACAGTCGGTTTCAAAGTGCCATTGTGAGCGCACACATCTCGAAGCTCATGCATGGGCCATGTGAGAAGATCTACGCATATCGCATATCTGCGATAGAGCCCTCAAAAGGTGTGCCTTGTGCCGTCTGAAGACCTGATGCAGCAGAACCCTGCGACATCCAGGCGCTGGCAGCACCTTGTGCCAGTGCTTGCCATTGATCTGCACGGCCTGTCTCTTTCTGACTGTAGAATCGAAGAGCCATCTCCATCATCTGCACTTCTGAAGTCTTTCCTACATAGTTGAAGACTTGTGTTTGCCCTGGTGGAGGCGCTGTGTACTGTCGCATGGGTGACGGTGCGATTGCCACTGGCACGATCCCGTTCTGGCCTGGNGGTAGAACGCAACAAAGGGCCTTCTCGCCCCAGAAAGTGGTAGCCGTAGCAACCTGGTCGCCGAATATGACCTCCATGCCAGGTGTGAAGCCGCTGCCGTACACCGAGACCTCTATACCACCAGATGGCGGGCCTTCAGACGGTGTCACCTTGTTGATGATAGGTCCAGGCCGATCTGGCTCGGCCATAGCATTAGGCATGGATGAGTTTGACATGGCGAATGGGTTTTGGCGATTTGGCATAGCGTTCGCTCCGCCATGCGCTTGCTGTCTTTGGAAAGCGGCCAGGTTGGGCCCAACCAATACAGGACTCGGCGCACGGCTCTGGTGAGCTGAACTTGGGGCAGAGTAGAACGCTTGATATGCAGCGCCGTCCATACTGTTCGTTCGGTTCAGAGCAGAGAATGGAAATGTGGTGGTTTCAATAGGAGTTGATGGACCTGTGTGGAAGTGGGCACGCGATGCCGAGTGCGGCATGGTGATGTAAGATGGGTCGTTATTGCTACCAATAAAGCCGGCATTAGTAGGCGAAAAGGGCGCCTGAGCGGTGGGTTGAGCCATTTGCTGGTTCGCCTCCATTTTGGTCATGGTAAGCGTACTAGGGATTCTTCGATGGGCAGATGACGATTTGCGTTTCTTGCTGGGGCCTGCTTGACCTGCGCTGGTAGGTGAGCCAGGACGGGACAGATTGCGTGGTGTCATTGTTCCGGGAGTAGTGGCTTGTGAGGGCGGGAAACCTTGCATATGCATGTTGCTAGGCTGATGGAACTGTTGGCTACCGTAACCAAGGCTCTGCAGGTTTCCCGTCGATTTAGAGACAGACATTGCAGGCATGTGAGAGTGCAAGTCAACCATCGAATGCGAGGTAAAGGGAGCCTGAGCCGGGAATTGGCCATCATACCATACCTGGCCAGGCACGCTCGACATGGGGTGCGTCTTGTGGTCATCGGTGATCAGAATCGAGTCAGATATGTCTTGGGCCACGACATTGCCTTGGTAGTCCTTGATGGTAAAGATGACCTGGAAGCCATCCTTCTCGTTCTGATGGCGGCAATAGCATGCAATGCGCATGGGAGCCACAACCTGCATCGCAGTCTCTGGGGGNCGGAAGTAATCAGAGGATGTAACGCTGTTGTCCTTGGGCGCCGGCGACTGCTGCCAGTCTTGCCATGGCTTGTACTCATTGGTGTTGAAGACAATGACGCGCTCCGTCTCATACTTTTCCCAGTGTGCTTGCTCTTCCTCCTTCTTTAGCTTCTTGCGGGCAGCTCTCTTGCGCTCGCGATTGATGCAGTTACTGCAGATACGCACTTCTCCGCCGTTGGCCGGCTTGTCGTTCTCGTCCACTTCCTCTTCGCCTGCCTTCTTCCCCGCGTTCTGGCCTCGTACCTGGATCTGAGCATTGTCCTGCTGCGCTGCTTGATTCATGGCTTTCTCACGCAGGTGAGGTTGGTTCATGGCACTGGTGCATACAAGCATGGTATGTAGCTCGAGTGTATCTTCGGCCAGATGGACTTCCTTGGCTAGCAGTTTGGCCTTTGCAATAGTATGAGTTGGCAGATGCAGCATCTTGACGCGCGGCGGCAGATAATCCATAGTCAAACGGATGTTGATCTGTGTCTCTACGCGAGATTTTGCTGGGATGGGGGCGACGTGCAGAGGAATGCGATCGCCCTGGGCTGTAGGAGGCTTGGGTAGTTCCGGCTTGTGGGCGTTCATCACAGGTGAAGGCGTCATGGCGAGAGCGCCGGGTGACGCGAAGGCATGAGCATAGTCATTGTTCCATGCAGGGTTTTGGTTTTGTGCCGAGTTATTCCACATCTGGTTCGCGTTGAACATGTCATTTCCTTCCGATGAAGGTGTGGGATTGTTGAACATGGCGCTGGGCGAGGCTTCTTGCGTTTGTGATGCCTTGACCGAAGCCGGCGATGCGGTACTCGAACCAAAGAAGAAGTTGGACGGTTCGAGGGTCCCAGCCTGCNNTCATGGGTCAGTACTGACGGATTACTCGGCACAGAATTGGGGACATACCAGTGGTTCGGGTTTGATGTGCATGTGATGAGAGTAGTTACGGTCAACCAAGTCCATAGGCTGGCCACCAGGACTACTTGCAGCGCTCCCAAAGTGGTTGGCAAAGTCTTGTTCTAGAGAAAGATTGTGTAGAGAGTGCAGCGAGGCCATGTTAGTAGTGCTGCCGGCATGAGAGTGCATCATGGGCTGTTGCTGTTCGAGCTTGATAGCCTCAAAGTTTCCTGGCGGAGACTCGGAAGTGGCCGAAGTGTTCTTGCGCTTTCTGCCACTCGTCTCGGAAGACGAGTCTTGCGACGAGCTCTCGGCTGAGCGCGACGAGACTAGCGATCGCGAGTTATACTGCTGGTGAGAGTGGGCGTGCTGGCCGTCGTCGGTCTTGATGTGGTAGCTGGGGCTGTCGGCTTGCACGGTCGCGGTCGACATGTCGAACAGGCGAGCGCCATCGAAGGGCGACTCGGCGGCGGTGCCCAGGTTGTCGTAGAGATTGGAGAAGGAAGGGTCGTCCCACATGGACATGTCGGTGTCCTGGACGACGTGTGGATTTGGATCCTGATCCATGACTTGTCCGGCGCGGTCGGTGGTGCGAAGCGACTTCGCGGGGTGGGTGGGGAGGGGCGTGAAGGGCGACGAAACGATTGTGGGCTGGTGGGTGGTGGTCTCAGCAAGTAGGCAACCAAGTTCCGGAGTCGCGAGTATTAACAGAGGCCAGTTCGGCTCGCGCAGGGCATGGTGTGTCCGGGTGGTCGTGTACTGGTCGGGAGACGCGGTGCCAGTCGTGCAAGCGGCGGGCAGCGGGCAGCGGGCGTGCACCTAGTGGCTGTGTGTCGCAAAGGACGATCGCTATGTTGCGGCCGTCAATGTCAGTTGCAAGAACAAGGGCAGTCGGTCAGCAGCCAGCGACAGGTCGAGCGCAGGGCAGGAGGGTGCAGGTCGTGTGTCAAGCAAGAGCGAACGGCAGCCGGCGAGACCTATTACGAGCAACTAGTAGCAACGCTGGAGTGCAGGCCNNCGGCGGCGGAGTACTCGGTGCGCGTGCGCTGTGCAGCCTTCCTGCTCAGTGCGGAGATCTGAAGTCTTGGGTATCCTCAGACCTANNTCAAAGCCAAATTTGCCAATATTGTTCTCTNGTCAAAGTCCTCGAGCATTCGTCCACCCTGCTGCTAAATACTCTCGCTCTCTGTCGTCCTCAATCTCAACCACTCTCCAGCTTCGTGACTCGAGACTCGACGTGACGANNCGACTCGAGTCCTCTCTGTCTTCCAACTTCCCGCTCGTCCAACTTCCCCTCGCGAATTCGTCATGCACGCCAAGCTNNGTCCGAGCTTTGCGCCTCCCACAGTCGTNNTTAGTCGTTCATCTAAAGAACCGCTGCAGCAGTCGCTCTCTCGCGTTTATTGTTTCTGAATGTCTCTTCAAGCGTACTCATTGTTGTCTGCAGCACTATGCAACTCTCAATTGCTTGCATCCTGTTTCCTTGAGAGCTTTGGCATCCACGTCGTGCCATTGCCTGCNNGTGTCATCTTTCCATACCCGCTACATCTGCTGCCTCGGTCTTCTCCGTACCCGTCACCAAGTACAGTACCAAACATCCTTAGAACCCGCCATCTTTCCCAGCCCGGCTGCTTTGACTTCCTGCCCTCATGCTCTGGAATACAGGAGAAGTAGACAGCAGGTGCTTAAGACATGAGATGTCACCTCGAGGCATGCCTCTTTGAGTTTCGGATGTGCCTAGCAAAGCACTGTAACGGTCCGAATATATAGACAGCCGTGCCGTGACTTGCACGGGGATCTGCAATCCTACGAGGTACCCAGCGCATGAGTACCTCTGAGGTTGAAGTGACACTGCATCCCGATCACGACACCTTTCTGCGTGGTAATACCTGTCTCTTGTTTAATCCTTATCCTAGTCCTGTCCGTTTGGGAGACCCCACTCTTCGAGCAGCTGCTGCATGCGATATTCTGTCGCCCATCCCGTCTCTCGCTGGATGCTCTGCAGCAAATTCAGCACGCAGCCACGCATAGCATCAACCTCATCCAGCGAGTTGCCTTCACCAATCGCAGTCATCCTGGCGGGNGAATCTCGCATGCCTAATACCTGACCAGCCGTATACAAAGGCTGAACACTGTGAATTCTCGCGCTGTCGTTCTTCAGACCAAGGCCGATGCTAACAATCTCCTCGGCGTGTTTCCTGCTCTGCCGCAAGATGGATGCGTACGATGCGTGCCGCTGAGCTAGAGACCACGTATTACCCTTACTGCTTGTACCTGGTTGCTTGATGTGCTTTGTGCCTGTCGATTCATGAGGTTTGTTGAGGAGCAGCTGAATTTTTGCAAAGTGGAATGATTGCATCGTTGATGCACACATGGGCCGAGCGAACCATTTCAATGGGATTTTGGTGGCACTTCTCACATTATTNCTGGCGCCGAAACAGGTCAGCTTGCGTGTAGTGCGCAATCGATTCATTGAACCTACGTTGCCCTTGTCAGGCCATTCTGTCGCACTCGGTTTGAAGCTGTGTGGCAGTCCCNNTGTAGAAATCATAGATCAACATCTACGACTCGAAGCGGCCGGTTGAGTCCTTACCTCGAACCATATATCCAGTTGCTTTTCCAGCCCCTGCCAGTATTCTAGCAGTGCTATCTGTCGAACACCCAAGCCCATCTCATGTGGAAACTCGTCGCCAGCAGAAATGAAATTGACTAGCTTCATCATGAGCCAGATCAACGCATTTGATACCATGTCATCAGCCATCGGCTCGTGTACTGCAGGATCGTTAGATGGCAAAATGTATCCCGACTGTGAGATGTGCAGTCCAGCAGACCGCCACATGGATAGGTCGGTTGTATCTAGTCTAGTATTGGTATTGTTTATGACTGGAAGCTTCATTAGCATGTTCCAATCCGATCAGTGTCATGTCATAACTCACAGNGCGTTCAGCATCTCTTGTCGACAGATATTCCAGAATACAGCCCGACGCCCCTTCGTAGAAGTGTTTGGTCTCGAGGTAAGCATTGGACTGTGATCTGGGGCAGTGTTTGACAAAGGCATTGTACCGTCTTTGGCGATATCGAACAAACTCTTAGCACCGTCCAAATGCCTTGACCATTCTGTGCCTGATGCATCGAGAAACTCAAACACACACAATATGGCTGTTGTAGCGATCAATTCATCAGAGTCCGTTCGAGACAAGACTGGCGGAGATGCTGAGCGACGACTGACGCCCAGTTCTGTTACAGCGTCTATTGGTAGTACGGCCGTACTTGGTGACTGTTGGCCAGCAGATGCTTGTCTGGTTTCATTCTCGAGTGCTTGTCTGAGCAGCGTAATCGCTTGGTCGTAGTAGTAGCGAGCCTTGTGAGACCACTCTGCGGGGGTTCTCTTGGAGCCGGAACCCTTGGGGTGCTGTGACGTGATTCTGGTTCTTCCTAGAGCTTTGGCCGACAATGCAATTGATGCGTACAACAGTAATGGACTAGAAGCTGCTTTTAGGGGTACGTCAACTGCAAAGAACGATCCTAGATCAAACAGATCCATCCATTCACCCGGTCCTTCTGAGAAGTGACGTAGTAAGAAGGGCACATCTTCGTCGCTTTTTGGGTCGAAGTCGCCTGGTCCAGAGTCTGACTGTGGCTCGAATAGATTCATGCAGGTTTCTGAAAGCTCAGTATCAAGTCTTGGATCTATGGGTGGCGAGAAAGAGCCCGATTCGCCCAATCGGTGAGCGGCGTTTTGGAGGTAATGGTCGCCCGAAGCTGCAGCAGACAGTGCCTCTAATCCATGTGTCGAACTTGGCATAAATGGATAAGGATACTCGGCCGTGGTATTCCAAGAGAGGTCGATCCGCTGTTCTGGTTCGGCAGCCTCTGAGACTGTATGGAAGTGTGATGTGTCCGGCTCGGTGTAAGGATTGGTGGTATGCACGAACGTNAACTACCTGATATTAGTAGGTACCTCGAGTTTCCCGAATTCAGGTTGCTCACGGTTACGCGGGATGGCCACCCAGATACTGTCTTTGCCGAATGTCTCCTTGTATCCATAGAAGCTCTTGAGCCCACCATCAACGTTACTGGTGCCCGATCCGTTCATTGATGCATTCTGCTGATGTCTGAAGACAACACCTGGACTAGGCACACATTGGCGACTAGCCTTTGTGCATTGTCCGCATACTGCAGTAGTACTTTGTCAGCTGTAGTTGACTTTTTGACATTATCGTCGAGGTTTTGCATAGCCCTCTACTCGTACATTCATTGCGGTGTGGGGCTGGCAGGAGGTGTGCACGTAGAGGTACAGGTACACGCTTCAATGAAAATGAGCTTTCGATCCATGGTACTTACTTGGCTTTTGTTCGTCGCATTTAAGCTATGAAATTGTCAACAATATTCCGAGATCGCTTGAGCGAAAGAAGCGTACCTTGCGATTGCGACATGTCAAACTAGCAGGACCACATTATTAGCCCTGCGAAACCTTCGCCTTCATGAAGGGGAAACAATGCACTCACCATCCAGTTCTTGACCGCATTGTGAGTTACTGGCTTCACCAACCATTGTTTTCCGTTAACAATGTACGCTTGGATGTAAAGAAGGTTGAGAGAACGATGAGTGGGTGGAGGGGCTGGATCTGGGGAGGTCAGGGTTATCCTGATAACATGAGTCAACGATTCATCATGATCCTCGTACCATTACCAGAGCTGGTGAAATTGATAGGTACGATGTTTGGAGAACTCGGAGTTCCTATGATGCACCAACGATGTATTCGACTGGGTTGTGCTTGTTGCAGCGTGGTGCGATATGTTTTCTCTTTTGGTCAACATGCCCATCGTGTACGGAGCAACGCCCACCGAGTCGAATGCAAGCAAGAGACATAACTTCCAACCACACATAGTGAACTACTACACACGGGCGGATAGTTCTACCCTTCTTCATCTTGTTCTGATGATAGTACATTGAAGATACTTTGTTTTCGTTATGTATGTAGCAGTAATTTCTGCCTCTCCTCGTGGATGCCTCATACGCCCCTTGTCTCCAAAACGCCTACGCCATGCCGAGCTTTAGAAAAAGATGACCGAAAAAGAGTGTCGTAGGGCCGCAGCAACTACTTTGCCGTCTTTGCCTTCTTTTGGGAGGCTCTACTTTGTTTTCCGCATCACTTCCTCCAGCGTCGGCCATCTCCTCATCACTGTCGCCACTGCTGTCGTGGGCACTGTCGTACTCCTCAGCAACATCGGACTCTGACTCAGTGTGGAAGTCTTCATCGACAGATTCGTCGTCTTCGTCGGCTGAACCACGAGCGGCAACGACTTCATCGTCTGAGGAATCCAGATCACCATCTTGCAGCACGGCTGCCATCAGGGCACCCTCTTCCTCCATCTCATTCTTAGTTTTGATGCCCTTCAGCTGGAAGAAGTTCTCCAATGATTTTTGCTCTTCACGATTGATGTTCGAGAACTGGTGCTCACCACCACCCTTGAGCGAAACAGAGATGTCAAAGGTACGGGAAGCACTCACGGCGCCACCGACTCTGGACATAGTGATGGCGGAGACGTTGTCAAAAGCGATGTAAGTAGCAGGCTTAGGCACGAAGAGGAAAGCGCGTTCCAGACAGAAGAGATGACCCTCGTTGGCCTTGACCGAGCACTTGACACCGGACTGCTGGTGGTGCGAGTTGTAGTCGCGACTGGGTTGCAATATCTTCTTGCCTGTCAAGCCCAGGAAGATTTTTGAGATGACAGTGGCGATGGGTGCCTCGTAACGAGGTTGCAGTTTGCCCTTGTACTTGTTCTCGAGATCTTCTTCTGTCATGTTAAGATCGAGGACAATGTCCTCCTCGCGCTTGAATTGCATGACCAAGAATGGGTAGCGAGTCTGACCCTGGCGTAGCGGAGGATCAAGGCCAATACAGATGAGCTGGTGGACGTCGTCCGGCTTGGGGAGAAGGAAGAACTTCTTGATGGAATCGTACTGAATCTTGTAGTCGTAGGTCTTGCCACGAAGACGGAGGGAGCTCTCGTAGAGGTCGATGTCGAAGCGTCCACGGGGAGTGAGGTGCAGAATATCGAGGAAGGTAGCGAAGGTAGCGCCGGCGACTTCGCCGATTTCTGCTTTGTCCATGAGCATTTCGTAGAAGAGGTTGGCTGCGTTTTGCTGGTCGTCCTCGCCGTCAGCCTCGCTGCCGTCTTCGTCGCCCTCTTCTTTCTTCTCTTTGCGGGTTGCTGTTCCGGGGATGTAGAAGCGCATCTCGACCATCTGGTCGACCGAGCCGCCAGCCTTCTTGCCCCTGCCTCTTGCACCTCCAAGAGCGCCGTTCGTACCCGTCTCGTCGCCATCGCCAGGAAGTGAGAACTCGACAGCGACCTCATTCTTGCCAGCGAGGTTGGTGTTTGAGATTTCGGTGTAGGGAATTTCAAAAGCGGGTTGGTTGCGCACGTTGAAGGCGAGTTCGGCCTTGCCAAAGTCGGCCTTTCCCCAGTTCCAACCGCGCAGGGCATGCTCTTTCTGTTCGAGGTTGATGCTGTACCACAGCTTGAAGCATCTGGACAAACGGTCGTAGTCCNNTGCGGCAGAGTTAGCTTCGTCGAAGCGCGATGATAGACGTGTCAGGCGGCGTACATCGAGCATGAAGCCATCCAACTGAATGACGCCAGAGTTCCTTGAGTAGATCTTGACTTCGAAACCTCTTGCGGCTCTGCTCCACTGTGATGAGATGATCTCGGCCTTGTCAAGAGTGAAAGTGTCGCCAGGGCCCGATGGCTTCCAACCTAGACCAGACTCGGCAAAGCGACATTTGCCAGTCTGCTTGGAGAGATCGAGGTAGATGTTGTCAAAAGTCTCCCTGCAACGCATGCGTCAGCTCCTGTATCGCTGTCCTGGAACGCCTCGCCGCAGACAGTGTTCAAAGTGCGGTAGTCTGACTCACATGACGGGCAATTAACTCGATGTGTAGTGATGAAGGCGCTGTTGTAAGCCTTCTCGGAAAGTGCGAGAGGACGGAGAAGAAGCGGCGGCGGCGAAGCGAGCTTCGAGAGGGTTGCGCGGCGTGTTGAGGCGCAGACAAAAGCAAGCCCGTCGTCGGTAGAGGCAGAGAAGAAGCCGTGAGAACAATGTACACAGACGGAAAGGTGTAGCCAAGGCAGTTGTTGATGGACGAATTCAACCAGCGCAAAGAGAATCCGTCGCGCTCTTGCGCGTGTCGTCGCGCGCCAAGGGTTCATGTGAAAGCTGTATCTAAATAGGCATCTACCATGATGTTTTGACATTTTCACCACCATCTCGTTGTGATAATCGAGTGTTTGCAGCTTTCACTCCGCTAAACATGTTCCTTCAGTTGCAGTGGCAGGGTACCAAAAACTCAAGTCATGGTTTATCCGCCCTCCAGAGCCAGCTCTGAGATCCTCTCTGTTAACAACAGATTTGTCCTTGACCCCATTGGCTGAATGTTGCAATATTGCTTCGATATTGGGCTCAGCTCTGACTGTACGAGGAGTAGAAGCGCAGCAGCTTCCGCAGCTCATACAAGGCCTGTTGAATCATCATCTTGGCCAAAAGCGTTGTGATATTCGTCGAGCTGCTTGCCCAGGCGAGCTTATATGTCAACAAGAGCTTCCGCAGATTACGAAGCAAGATCTCGACCAGATATCCTACCGTGATTGGTTACCGGACAAGCCTAGATCGACCGGACTTGATCCTTGTGCATACTGTCAAGCCAGTCGATCCCAGTCCACGAACTGTGCCCGCTCTCCAATCTGGACCAAAAACCATAACCGAGCACATCATTTCATGCTCGATCTAAGTTGGCACCTATCCGAGCATGGTACATGTACCTATCACAAGTCCTGCTGTTCTTGTATTTGACAAATCCTCCGAGCTCCCAATGCAGCCTGCCATGCCATCCTGGACTCAGGCACACCGTGTTCCCCACGTGTCGAACCCCAAGTGGTATCTGTCAAAGTTGCGATCCCTGAGCTGAATGGCCCGCTACGGCAGCCTTGTACATGTGCTTCCAAGGGGGTGCAGCGAGTCGCAAGGGAGGTCAAGATGCCCCCTCTAAATGCAGGAACATCAATATCTCCCGACTCCAGAGTTTATTTTTGCAAAGTCTCTTGTACACAGTGCTTTGACTTGCCCGTCGCAGCATCATTCCGTGTAGGATTGTCAGTCAATCTGTGAATCCTGATTCGGGCTGTCTAAAACCACAAGGATACTTCCAAGTACTTGGCCGGAGTGTCTCTGGAGTCTGAATCCTTCCGCTCATTCTATTGCCAACTCAACCTTATAACACGACCGTGAGAAGAGGATGTACTCGAGTACTTGCTTCCCCACATGCATGAGTCCTATGCAACTCACCCAAGCGAGCCATATGCCTGCTCTTCTGGAACTGTATTGGGAGTATTATTGGGAAATGATCGCAAGAATATGACCGAATTCATCGGTACTTCTCGTCGCATTCGCGTTCGTGGTCTGGACGGGTCATTACCAACAAGAAGTTGCTGCTTTGCCCATTATAAGACGAGCGCAAGATGCAAGCGAGTCTGCGAAAGTCCATGCGCTCTTGGAAGGTACCGGCCGTCTGATGACGCCTATCATCTTTGCGCGGGCATACCAATGCCGTACGCTCTGGCACGTCTATTAGCTTTCTCACAGCTAGTCATTCGCACCGGACTCAAGGTATTCTGGACAGCCACTATGGCTTCCATCTCGCGTGCGACTGCTCAACCTTGACGAATTCTGGGGTTGAAGTCTCTTCCCACGAGATTCACATGGCCTGTTCGAAAACGGTTGGCTTCCATGGCCCATCATTTGCCGAAATGGGAAAGATCGCCTCCCCGCGCACGGATCGTTGCTTGGGTGTTCTTCCTTAGAAAACGTGCCTAGCCTTCGAGCGCTCCGGAACGCCAGTCTTTAGTCGTTGCGCCATTCGGTATCATTGGTGTGCTCCTCGCAGAATGCCCTTCCAAAGTGGTATAGCTCGCTCGGTGACCNNTCCTGCCAATTGCTGCCACGGCACTAGGACATATCCGACACCAAACGGTCGGGGAGGCCATGCAGACTGCTGGCGCGACAAGCCTGCACCAGAAGGAAATTACTGTTGCATGTCAAGTGAAAGCATTCTTGTTATGTATCCCCTCGTGTTCTGCGGGTTGTGCCATCCCGACTCCTGGCAACGAGATCGTCTCCCGGCATTCTGGATGGGCTGGAGCCGGACAATAATTGAGCGGNNGAGCAAACGAACCCAAATCATCGCATCTGACGCCGTNATATCGTCACTCTACTTGCTGCCAGACCGACAGATCTGCAGCCAANNTGCCAGCCATGAAGTCCACGATCCAATAAACTTTGTGCAGCGACGCCACGGTGTAGGTTGATAAGCCTCATCAAACCGTAGGGCAGAAGCGACAGCGCCCATTCCTTCGTGTAGACCTTGACCAGGGTCCACTGACTGAGTCAAAAACAGCATGTGGTTCGTGTGCTGCGGTTCCGTTTCTCGAGGCGCAAAGACTTCCACATGCCATCTGGTGAGCCCAATGCGAAACAGATAAAAACTCATGCTCGCCCCCGAAGCGAGAAGATCACAGTCCAGTCTCCTTGATATTCTCCTTCTATATACGAGCTCAGCTGTGTCTTTACAGTCAAGGCAGGCCTCGAACAGGAACGAGCTCGAGCTTCAGACAACCGCTCCTACCAACTGCGTCCCGCCTTTCCCCAATCGGTAAGGTACCCAGCTGTCTCTTGGAGGATCTTCCGGTCTATCACTGCATTTGTCCTATCCTCGGATATCTGCACCTATCATTGCGAGCAGATCGTTCAGTGCGGTTGCTTGATACGGGAAGTTGATTCCATTTCTTTTTCTTCTTGCCTAGTAAGTCTCAAAGAGGATGATTAAAGCACACACTTAACAGATGCTTACCCCGTCTTCAGGAACCTCTTGATCTCTTGTGGAATTTTGCCTCTGATACCAGTCTGCTGGGACGATCAATCATCCACACAACACAGATCGACATGCTTGCTTTCAGTCCCTGCCCTATCAACATGGCGACTACACAAGAAGAGGAATATCCTCTGTACGCATTCTCTGGGATCCCAACACACACACCAACTTACCAATCCGGCCACTTTCCGATGCCCCAGGTTGACAGCAGCTTCAACTCATACAACATTGAGCAGAACAGCGTTTCTGAAGCACCCTCCAACTACATCCTAGAATCACACAGCTCGTCAAAGTACACAAAACACAGTGTGCAGCTTTCGACACCTCTTTATTCGCCCACCAACACCTCTGCTAACTATTTCGATCTCCGACCGAACCGCTCGGTCAAGTCCGAGTCGGCTGCTTCAATGCTTTCCTCGTCCAGGGGATCTCCCCTAATGGGTTTCGAGTCATCCTCGAACTGGACTCCGGTGCACGGAGTTGGATCCAACATCCTCCATCAAGGTCATCTCAATCACCAAATGCTTGTCAATGATACCTTCAACTATGCTGCCCTCTCACTGCCCGAGAAGCCGGGATGTGTTGGTAAGCTTTGCATACTCATTCGCACATCCACCAACGTTCTAACCTCTGCCTGACAGNACCCTACCCTCATCCAACCCCTCTCGCCCACCCCACCAACAACGCAGATGCAGTCTGACTCCAAGCGTCTGTTCCCCCACCCTCCATCTCCGACACCATCATCAGTACACTCAAACAGAAGTTCGGGTGTTCTCAGAACCAGCTCAATACGATCCAACCGACCAACCTCTCCTTACGTCCCATCACAGTCATGGAACCCCTATCCCGTATCATCATCATCAAGGCGCCAGTCTGTTTCTTCGGCGCACTCGCACAACTCCCGTCACAGCCAGTCATCGTTGGACTCTGAGGAGAACAAGGGTATCTGTCCTATTGCATCATGTGGTAGACACATCAAGGATCTGAAAGCACATCTGCTCACCCACAAGAATGAGCGACCCGAGAAGTGCCCTATCACCTCGTGCGAGTACCATGTCAAGGGCTTTGCTCGAAAGTACGACAAGAATAGGCACACTCTGACCCACTACAAGGGCACGATGGTCTGCGGCTTCTGTCCAGGAAGCGGCAGTTCCTCAGAGAAGAGTTTCAATCGTGCCGACGTCTTCAAGAGGCATCTTACCTCGGTACATGGCGTTGAACAGACCGCACCTAATGCTCGTAGGAGAAGTGGTGGAAGCTCAGGCTCCAAGACTGCTCACAACAAGATTGGCATCACCGGCATGTGCTCGACTTGTGGCGTCGCGTTTGCCAACGTTCAAGACTTCTATGAGCATCTCGACGACTGCGTCCTTCGAGTCATCCAACAAGGTGACCCTTGTGAAGCCATCAACGAGCGAATTCTGAGCTCGATGGTCGATGATCAACAAGTCAGAGACACCCTAGGTAGACACTCTTTGAGTAGCGCTTCAAGCCTTACAGGCCCCCCCGCCTTCACCGATGACGACGAAGATGACGAGGACGAGGAGCGACACATCAAGAACGAGATGGTGTCTCCTGTCCTATCCAACAGGAACGTCAACGATGCAACTCGCCAGGGAATGACCCACTCCAAAGGGGGCGTTTCTTTTCACTCTGTTACAAAGAATAACAAACGCCGCAAGGACTACCCTCCCTCTTGGAACGCACCCCCAGAGAAGATGAAGATGAAGAAGAGAGTCTTGTGTGTGTTTGATGGGCCGCGAAGACTTTGGAAGGATGACTTGATGCTCGGCCTCGACAACCAAGTGCGAGAGCCTCTCTCTGGTAGGAACTGGGTCACCAGCCTGGACGTCCAGACTCTTCGAAGGGCTGAGGGCATCCTCGAAGCGACAGACGAAGAGAAGGGCTCATGGTTGGACGAGCAAGGGAATCCCTTCCTTTTCGCAACAGCCTTTTGATCATCATGATTGATCCCGACTTGAATTTCCTTTTGTATTTTTGTGTACAGCGAGCGCATGGAGTTTCTGGCGTAATGTGGGATGCTCATAGATATACTGTCGCTGCCTCTTTCTTCATGCTTGATACCACTTTGCTATTATACTTCAGCAGCGGACTTTGTTCCAATCTCTATCTAGACAATTGAAACTATTTTTGATCCAACAATCTATTCCAAAATCTCTTACTATGCCCTTCCACCATACCACCAGAGCGAAGTTTGAGGTCTGCTGAGTGAGGGGAGCGAGTAAATTGATCCGACAGGAGCCCTATCTGGGTACGGATACCGATGTACAATAGGCCGTTATAGACTCCAACGTGGTCTCAGGGGCGAGGTACATTTAGCGACTTCCTAGAACAAGTATTCCTATAAGAGACAGTGGCTTGCTCAATGCCAGCTGACCTTCCAGCGACTTTTCCTCGATGTACAAGTTTATCGAACCTTTGTTTCGAAGGATTGTGCGCGACTGTTGATGGGTAGACGCAAAGGAAGAGAACGTTTCCGAGGAGAGAGGGCGCCGCAGGCTCGGTTCCTCCTGCATACTGACAGAAAGGGCACGCAACTACTGGAGGAACTGCCGCTCCACGCGAGAAAGTCGGTTTCCAGGCAGTGTGACATGCCTTTGTCGTTCTTATCAGTTGCTCTGTTCCGACTCCCGCGCCAAGTTCTTTTGACGCATGTCGGAGCGTTTGATCCTGATTGGGACAAGTTACAAAGTTTACTTGTACGTTTTACGGAGAGTGTGTTGCATGCCATAGGTCGTGCCGCTCTCTGAGTTTGGAAACGAAGGGGCATGTCTCTCCATGTACTTTCTGTCGAGTTACACAAACCCTTTCGAGACAAGTGTAATATGCCGCGGGAACCGAACAACATCCGTCGCTGTATTGAAGATTTCAGGGACCTTGCACTCGACTCGACAAACTTCGTGCGTGTCTATGATCACCTTTCACTCAGTATGGCAAGTGGGGGCTTGAAGGAAAGAGTCACACTTTCCTCAGAGTTACGCTTTTCTCGGATCGAAGGCTCACTTTGCTGCGTGACTGCGTCGCTCTATAGAATTTCACAAGAGCATGTCTTGCTTCACAACACAAGTGATGTTGATAGGCTCATACCGTCTCCAGTACCATGACCGTCAACATGCCTACGGCTGAATTGGCAAGACCCTCATCGATGGCCCGGGATTTGGCAGACGAGAACATTCAAATTGTCCGGCAAGAATAGTTCACGAAGAGACTCTCATAAGAGTGCCACTTTGAGGAGGAAAGTGACACGCTCAGAGCATCAAGGTAAGCTCTTGTTGCCTAGTGAAGCCACTCAAAACATTATACGACCTATTATCCACGACCCGCTCCTTAATCCTAAAGTCACATACGACACAAACGGAGATTCGACACAGAAATCCTCTCAATCTGTCTTCACAAGTATTCGACAACATGTCGCATGCTATTCCCCAGACCCCTCATCATCCGAGCTTTTGCCCGACGAGATCAGTCAAATGGTCTCAGATGAGTGGTTCGACGACCAACTCAGAATCCATCAGCATCATCCAGAAGAAATCAGAGCACTGAAGGCTTATCACGACAAACTCTCAACGGCCGAAGAGACAGCCTACCTAACCACTCGACCCATCACGAACAACTCGGTCCCGGATACGAGAACAAGGCTAGAAAGAGATGAGAGCCACGTCTTGATGTCTTTACTTGCTTCCGCCCTGAGCGAGTGGCCACTAGCGCGCACGCCCGATCTTATCGCCCTTCTTCAAGCGTTTGGAAGTTTGACCGATGGACCTCATGAAGATTTGATCTTCGGTAAGCAATCAAAATGAAACGAGCTTCACTACTTCACATCTATCTGGCAGAACGACGTCTGCTGGGAGCGCCCTGGTGGTGTTGCGGAGAGATTCTATCTGTTGCCCGCCAGTCGAACGCCCGAGATCGCAGCCTATGTGAGAAATCAGGATGTCCGGGCTCAACTCACTGCCGCCGGTTTCTTTCCGATAAGATACGCATACTTTCACAGCATTTGGGCACTTGAGCAGAAGATTGAACTGGACAACACGATGCATCTCTACGACAGGATACTTCCTGAGCTGCACATCCCGGCCGCTGTTCGCTGGATACGTGCTCTGGGCGAACGAATCTACGAAGACGTCATCAAGGAAAACATGCAGAATGGTTTCAAGGTCTTGGCTTCACCTAAGATGATTTTGAACTATGACCACATGTGCAAGGCCCGCCGGGATTTCTGGAAACAACGCTTCAGCGACTTTGCGAACGACGAAGGAGACGTCGACGAGTTGACCAAGAAGCAGGCGAAAGCTGCGATCGAGCACATGGAAGCTGTTGTCAAGGATTGGGAAATGAAGCATCGAGGAGAACCCGAAAAGGTCAGATCCTGACAGTTGCCTGTTCAACTTCCAGATTCGGAGATGTGGAAGGGTACAGTGGGAAGTTCGAAGCGGAGAGCAGGATTGCTGGCGAAGCGGATGATGATCAGTACTCTGGAGGCTTTGATCTCGAAGCCATCTAGGGCGTAGCTACCCAGAAGCCTGCATTCGAAGGCAAGACATTAGCATAACCACCGGAGACAGGAAGGCAGAGAGTAAGGTATGAAGCAAAATATTACCTGAACATGACATGAATACAAGCATACATTGCTACAATACGCGAGAGAGAGGAAAATTCTTGACAAGCCATCACAATCTTCAAATTGGCCATCAGCATTCATGACATATATAGCATCATATCCTTATCTGAAACAAGAGAACTACAGGATAACCAAAGGACAGCAAAATTATCTTCGTTCAGATATGCCCGAGCTCTCGAAACAAGTAAGAAAAACACAGCAAAAAGACAGATCCTTTTCTGCCAACGCCTGCATCAACGAAGCAACATAAACCAGATGAGAGCTGCAAGATATGCTCTCACCAGGCTTCTCAAGAGTAGGGTGCGAAGTCGATGATTTTCACCTCGCTGAAGGTCAGGGAAGCCACATGTGTGCTGCCGTCTGTGACTTCCATGTGTGGCTCATCGGTTGCCTGGGCTTGATCGTTACTGCCGGCTTCGAGTGCAGGCTCATCTGCGGCTTTACCATCAGGCAAGTGCTGCTCGATTCTAGCCTTGAGAACCGATTTTGTACGTTTGGCCTTTTCGGTAGGAGCAGCTGAGTCCCCTTCAATCTCATTGTCTTTGCTTGATGAAGCAGTGTCACGCTTTCGTTTCTTGGTGATGCGTGTTTGTGATTCGATGGTCGCGACATCAGCACCAATGGGCTTCTTGCCTCTGCTCAGCTTCAGTATGATCTTTGGAGGAGCCGAAGGGCTGCTTGGGCCGGAGGACTCGGTGTCGACGGTTACTTCCTTGGGGACGACAGAGACATCGGTCGAAACGTGGCCAGTGATTGACACACCAGCCTTGGATATCGAAGGAGAGATGGTGTTGATGGCCTTGAATCCACTAGAAGGGGGCAGGGTGTTTGTCGAAAGTGGGCTATGTGTGGGTGTCCTCTCTGGTTCATTGGCCCGATCTGAAGTAGAAGCAAGTTCAGTCGGCACTTCCATGAGCAGAGATTTCTTGAGTGCAGGACGACGTTTCTGCTGGGCTTCTAACTGCTCTTTGTCGTGACTGCGCATCTGGAGCAGGGACTCGAAGGCAGGAAGGTCCTCAATGTTGCCATCTGCCAATTCGGTCTCCAGCCAATCGAAGAGACTGCGAAGCTCGTCTGTGGTCTTGTTGTTGCCCCCGAATCGATTCTCAAATGTGATGGCGAAGAGTACTGGTGTGCTGCTGGCTCTCTTGACATCTGAACTCTTGTCATCCAGGTCTTCCGCGTCTACCTCTGCCGCTACATCCTGTCTCACAGCTCCTTCGATATTCATCTTCACCTCAAATCTCTTGATCTTTTGCTGCATGGCTTTCGTCAACTGAACTGTGAACAGGCAACCAGGACGCCATGTCTCGAGTCTGTCGATCAACTCTCGACAAAGAGGTAGCTGTATGGACGCCAAGTGTGGATGAAGCTTGTGTTCGTAGCGCTGGTAGCATTTCCTGCATAGAAATACTCGCACGCTCTTGATTATCTGGTTCCATTCACGCTTGTTGTGGCCAAAGAAAGGGGAAACAACAGGACGTGCTGCAGATCTTGATGGAAGGTACTCCTGGAGGGTGGTACATGGATTGCCGCTCAGGAGATGCTCGGAACACTCAAAGTGCTTTGGTTTGCCTGCTCTGAAGAGAGCGTTTGCACGCTCAGTCTCCCAGGTTCTTTTTGTCGAAGCGGGTAGTTTCGAATAACCTTGAGCTTTTCGGTAAGTATCCTCGACGAGATCACTGTCGCTCATGTACTCATGGTCAACTTTGGCTGAGAATGGTGACGAGGATCTGGTGATGAGCCCTCCATCACCGTCTGATGTGGCGATGACCTCAGCGGCGATGGGCGGAACTGCGAGTCGAACAACGCCTTGGCCGGCGTCGTTGACATCGTGTGTCGAGCATACGGGCATGAAGCCAGATTCAGGTTTGATTGATTGGACTGAGTTGGGAGGCTGGGCTTGAGCTGAGGGGACTTCATCGTCAGTCTCTTCGTGTCCGCTGTCAACGGCTCCAGAAGCACCTAGTCTTTTTGTCTTTGAGGACTCGGAAATGGTTGGTTCCTCAGGTAACAGATGGCTGAATGTGTTTGGAGCATGAGACTGGACGAAGCGCAAATCCCGCGCAGATGGAGACAAAGACATCTTTGTCCTGTACTGAAGTTTCCAAGTGATTGTGAACGTGTTAATCTAACAAGACTGAATGGAAGTCAGGTATGTCAGGTTGTTTCAACAAGACTGAAGTGGTAACGAGAGGGAGGGTGAAGGATGGGAAGGTTGTCCATATAGTCCAGGGGATAGAATCGTCATGTGGTGTCCGACGCATATGCTGTTGTTGCCAGCCAGTGCAGGATATAATCATGTAGCGTGATCTATGTTGGCGAGCGTGCCAGCAAAGCTGCTCACAAGCTTGATCAGATAATCAGCTAGGTTGTGAACGCACATGATTCTCAACAGATCCAGATCGCATGATCTGACCGTTAATTCCCATTTTCTGGCCCGCTCTCAGAGAATAGTCACTGAGAGTCGTCATGCCTGTCTATATCTCACCATTCAGAAATGGACTTTGCATGACGGACCTTAGCATTCCGATACGATAGTATAGACAAGATTATCAGCATAATATCCGAGATACTTGTGTTGAGACTATCCAGTTTTTCAGAAAACACGGTCAATCTAGATGTATGTTAGACGTAGCTGTCCAGCAATCGAACCGAAGTCGATTACCTACTTTTAAGCAAAGTTTCAAGCATGTATGTGTGCGAACACGATTACTTGCAGACCCGAGAGCGTGACCCAGAGGGAGTTGCAAGCGAAACTTCTCCATGACCGCTGTGATGTTCAAGTTTCTGAGAGCCCTTCCAAACCATGTTTGTTACTACTGGCATGGAAGCTTGCAATTCATCCGAGCCATGATATGAGTTCTGAAACCTTTCACCAAGCAGAAGGAGCAATGGCTTCCCATGTCCGAGAGGTCATTGAAAACATGGTGAGAGATCAAGAAAGAGCGAGTAGATAATTGATGAAAGGATAGTCTGTCGAGGAGCCGAGCGCAAGCCGTGGCGTCAAAGCATTGAACGATATCTGTAGCCCCATATTTCAAGACCTAGTGGCTAGTCTCTGCTACTTTCTCATACCTCACAGTGACTTGTTCTCAGACCTCTCGGAGAGCATAATGATGGCAGGATGTGAGGAGACGTCGTTGTCGGTTCGACTTGCCTTTCGAAAAGAGCGGAAGCAGTCCCGCGCAAGCTCTGGCGAACCGGGCAAGGCATCATTGGGCGTGTTGGCCGAAGAGAACTTATCAAATACATACCTAGGCGTCTGGATTGTGGTTGCACCTGCATCTAAGAAGACACAGGTTTCACTGCATATTGCAGGGTTGAACGTTGTCTCGAAATCTTCTCAACATGGCCGATTTCAGCACTTCTCCATATCAACTAGACCTAGGTGAATTGGGCTTTATCGAAGGTCTCAATGTGGCCAACAAGTCGTCGTCAAACGTACTTTGCCACTATTTCGGAGGCATCCCATATGCTTCCCCTGCAGAACGATTTCGAGCACCTCGACCTCTTCCTCTCTCACATCGCTATGGTACTAAAGACAAGCCTGCCAAATTCACTGGTCAGGTCGGGATATGTCCACAGCCAGGCTTTATCGGTTTGCCTAACCCTGATATCTGGAACGAAGACTGCCACCAACTCAATATCTGGATACCTTCTGGAGACCGACCTGCAGAAGGGTGGCCTGTATTCTTCTATCTATTCGGTGGATGGCTTCNNCAATTCGGAGTATGATTTCTTGATGATCTTTATATTCCGATAAAAACAGCTGTACTGATATCACTTGTGACTACAGNNGATCCGAACATGGCCCCAGAGGCATTAGCCGAACTACTGAGCGAGACAGCCTTCAAAGCCATTGTAGTCATGCCTGGTTACAGGGTTAACGCCTTCGGCTTTCTGGCAGGCAAAGAGCTAGAAGATGAGGCAAGAGCGAATGGCGAAACGTACTCAAACTTTGGCTTCTGGGACCAGCGCACGGCCTTGGAATGGGCTCATGATCGCATCGCTTCTTTCGGCGGTAACAAAAACAACATCACCGTCGCAGGATATTCGGCTGGTTCATATTCGACGTTCCAGCAGCTTGCCTACGATGTCTATCTTCCGCAAAGATCCTCGATCATCAAGAGAGGTATGTTATCTTGCTTTTTAATTGCATGTATCGTGCTGACAATATTGCAGNTCTGCATGCTTTCAAATGGTCCAGGTATTCAGCCTCGTTCTACCGAAAGTCGTCAGAAGCAATTTGATGAGCTCCTCGGTTGGCTCGATATTCCGCTTTCGCACAGCTCAGCAGAGAAGTTGTCTCGACTGCGTAAGACTCCAGCTCGTCAATTAGTCGCTGTCCAGAGCAGCATGAAGTTCCATGAATTTCGCCCGGTCGCAGACGGCTCTTTCATCAATGACAACCTAATAAGCAGCATAAACGACGGTTCGTTCGCGAAACAGTTGAAGGACAGAGGAATCAAGATAATGAATGGGGAAGTTTGCGATGAGCACTACCTCTACGGAGTGAGTTTATCACTCCAGATTCTCGCTGGAAGCTAACAGAACAAAGGCGTGGCGCACCCTGACTGGAGCTATGATGCTGTTTACGAACGTCTTGTCGCGGACTACCCAGAGTCCAAGGTCAAGAAGCTCATGGGACTTCGTGTACCAGGCAAGAGACTACCTGCATTTGCTGAAGACTGGCCTGACTTGTTCGGTCGTCTGTATGCCGATGTGCAAGTGCACGATCTTGAACGCGGATTTGCGGCTCGTCTTTCTCAAGGCGGATTGACTGTGGGCAAAGATCTTCTTCGCTACCGCATCGAGTGGCGTGCAAAGTGTGCCGACAACATTGCGCCTCCAGAGTGGAAAGTCACACATTCTACGGATCGTGCAATCTGGTTCTGGGGCGCTGGCTTGGGTCAGGGCTTGACTGCAGAGGAGAAGAAGATTCTCAAAGACCTGAATACAGTCTTCGCACGTTTTGTAAAGGGGGAAGATGTGCAATGGAGTCAACAAGGCCCGAAGATGGTGTATAGACTCAATTCTGCAGGTCAGATGGACATGTGGGATGATGACAGATGGGAAAGGGGTCTCGAAGGCTGGGAAGCTATGAACGGGTGAACATTACACGTATCGGGACGATTACCTTCCTGTGTGCTAGAGACTGTCACAATGTTATAGTTGACGACTCTCCCAAGACGATACGTGGTGCTATAGTTGGCTATAAAAATGCACAATTGCTTTCCAAACGGGAACGCGACCATCTCCTAGAATAGCATTCTCTCAATGGATGCCACTCCTTCCTGTAGAGTATCGTGCATTTTCATAGCTATAATGTGACACTCTTCGGTGCCCGGGGATGTCCCTGTTTGTCTCATGTTGTCTCGTCAAGCTTGAGACTTGCCTGTCTTACTCGACGGACCCTCGAAGACATATCTCATATCCACAAGGGTGCAAACACATACTCCGACTGCTGTGACCAACGACGATCGTCTTTTTGTCTCTGAATTGACCGTATCATCGCCCCTCTACCGGCCTTTCACTTGTCTCCTATAATCACCCCGTACCATTCCGTCGTCTCTCCGTCGAACGTCGACCTCACTTTCGTCTTTGCATCGGCCTCTCACTTGTCTTTTGCGATCGACAACATACCGTCCTGTCCGTCTTGTGTCGACCTTTCACTCATCCCAGTGCCGACCCCTAGTCGTCTCTACATCGACCCTCGACTCGTGTCCCATGATTCACCCCCGACGACCATTCTCTTGTCGTTCGAGTAACCTCACTTGCTTCTTGTGATCGGCCTCTTCTCTTCTTACTCTTTGTGCGTCAACCACTTACACTTACATTATGACCCATTCGACATAGGAAACTGACAGAGATACACAACCAGTAAAGATGGATGCTTACAAGAACATCGTCAGTATGCGAGTCACAAGACTCACCTACCAGAGCGAAAGCTCACCTTTTGGCCTCTGGACGTTGCCTAATTCGCTCGATGGTCCTTCTTTCGCCCCGTGTTATGCGCCATATGGCGAACAATCTCTTTCTACTGACTCTCACCCGGCAATCGAACACACAAAGATCGTTACGAGCATCGAAAGTGATGTTCTCAAGCCATGGGAAAAAGGCTCAAAGTCCGGAAAGAAGATCAAAAAGGGCAGGGGACCTAAGAGTCGCGTCGAGATGAGCCCGGGAAGCGATGCTACTAGCAAAGACATGAGCAACAGCAACAACAGTAGCAGGAATGAGATGTCGACGGCTGCGACACCGACCCAGCCATCTGCGCAAAGCTCGCCTGCCTCGCGCGCTAGACAGTACCCGGTGCTCGACGTCGCCGGTCCCCCTGTTCCTCGTCTGCTCCCTTATAACTTCTACCATCCCGACACTGCGCAGGCTGCAATCGCACAGTCAAGAAGTACGTCAGTTGACTATGGATTCTTAACTTGGACTAACCCGGGATGTATAGAGAGAAAGCACGACCGCATCGACAACGGGGCTCCTACCACGTCGCTAAAGATGCATAGGAGAGAATAAGCAAAGAAAAGAAAAGGTATACACTTAACAATACTTCCCGGACTCCCACATCCAATGCTGACCCAAGAATATAGCCATAGAAATGTACAGAAGTTTGTTAGATTCTGTAGATGTCCAGAGAGAGCCCTTCATATAGGGGTGAGCGACAAAGCAAGGGGTATGTAATCTTTGCAATCTCCCTTACTCCAAGATGCAACGCTAACTACTTTGGATAGCCATAAAAATGCACAAAAGTTTTGCAATTCTGCAGATGTCCACTGAGAGCCCTGCTGCTGATAGGCTCTCACTGGAACGTTGCATTTCTTGGTAACATTCTTGCATTTTGATAGAGTCATGAGATGGGATGGTTTGGGGCGGGAGCAGTGTGATAGTTTTCTCTCAGTATGCATTCAGCAAAATGCAAGTCATCCAATGTGTTGATTTTTCATGTTCTGCTTGTTCCACTCTTCAACCTTTGTCCAAGCCGGAATGCTGAGAATTGGTGGACGTCCGCCGGTAGACATTGTGCTGGCTGCGGTAGAGGTGATAGAGGTCTCACTGGCTATGCTGGGTCTGCGAAAATCCCGATCATTTGAAGGTGGTAGAGACGCGGTGGATGTGATTGGAGAAGAGGTGCTTGCTTCGCTTGCGCTGTATCTGTTGTCAGCGAATGACAACAACAGTACGAATAGCAGAGGACAGTACCGGCGGTCGCATGTCTGCTTGTGTAGCTTTACCAGCTGGTTGAACTTGCCAACATCAACAGGGCCGATTGTGGAAGTGTCGTGTTGGTGAATTTCTGCAGTCTTTGCGAAGCGCTCGCAATTGGTGCACATTGCTTCCAGAGACCTGATGCCAATATCTTGTGGCTCCCAACATGCTCCTGGCGTGCGCTCTGCGCGTGCACATCGGCCATTAGGTGCGACAACTGGGCGGCCATAATGGCCACACAAGTGGTAGTACGGGGTGTGTACCAAACACATTGCGCCGCTGCGCGCGAGTGCTCAAGTGACTTTGACTGCACAAAGACCGAAGAAGCTGAAAAGTTCAAGGAGCTGGGAAAGACTCAGACACGTCTCGAACGTGTTGGAACAGTCATTCTATCGCCAACCCACCACTGTCTCTTTCACGTGCGAGATGAGCTGCTCTTCGTCCCCGATACGCTGCCAGAGTTGCTGCTTCGAATTTACCATCTCAATAACTCGCAAAGACGGGTTGTCGTGCGCGCACGTGGAGTGAATGGGCAAGCACGTTGTGAACATGAGAACATAATCGTGCGCGTTGGCCATACCGAACAGTGTGCACCGACACGTGCACTTATGGTATCTTTTTTCCCCCTATGACAACGAGAATAGTGAAGGGGTAGGCAGTGAACATAAGGAAAATATCATTTTGTCGATGCTACGCATACTTACTGTAATATGTTGGAAACGTGTTCTAGCCGCGAGGACATAGCATTGAAACCAATTCTTGTCTCATCAAAACCGCCACTTCAGGACATGCTGTGTTGTATGGACATATTGGAGGCGTTCACTGACAATCCTACCCTCAGCTCGGATTGGATTGACATCCGGTATGTCGATCTTCGTGGAGTTAGGTCTTGTGTTGTGTTTGCTGCTTCCTAAGATAGTGTCCTTGCCGCACATCAACCTCATGTCGTGGTGTTGGTGAGTGGCAAATGTATTCTGCGAAGGGCCCTGTTGTAGACGGCGGTACCAGGCAAGGTCTCTAAGAGTGCTGAGCGCAGCCGAAGCGTCGAGGCAAATGTCTTTTGCGAGATCGATGAACAGATCGAGCTGCGCTTTCCGGGGACAATTTCATCTCGTAATACTGTGAACCGGGAGGCTTTGCTTCTTTGCGTAATCCAAGCTAGAAAGGACTTCTTGCCCAATAGGACATGACCGGTATACCTGAAGTGTGAAGTTCGAGATGAAGCCTTGCAACACAGTGTGCGATGTCGTAGTTCTGATAAATATCTCGTAATAGGACGTCAGCCCAGCAAAGTATGCATCCGCTTTCTTCCTGAACTCTGGAAAATCAAGATCGCGGACGGAAGGAAGACCGTCGTTGAATGAGCAATAATCAACCTCCTCGAATGTTTCTCGAACGTTGCGCTGAGTGTGCTGAAGTTGCTCTGTGAGAGACAAGCGCGGCAAACATGTTGAGAAATGCAGAATGGCTTGACGACTTCAGGATTTAGCTCCGCCGTCTTCGTGACCAGTCCAACACAACTCCGAGGATACACCCTCGGCGCTCTGTATAAAATCACGCTTTTACTTGAGAAGAACGTCGTGGCCGCGGCTCTTGTACGGTTTGCGTGAATTATGTTTGCTTTTATGTGCTCATGACTCAATGTTGTGGGCAAGCAGACAAAGAGGGATGCAGAAACCGAAGGTTGAGCAACATTTTTCTGTATTCCAGCCCATGCGCATACCACCGTTGAAGACCTGTTTCAAGAGGACAACAGAGAGTCGACGAACGAGTCGGACTTTCAAGAAGCCTGTCAATATCGCCCCGAGAGCGGCATTAGTGGAAGGGCAGACGGAAAACTTGACGGAAAACTTGGCGGCAAACTTGACAGACACTCCGTGCTCGGGCAACGGCGGGCGCACTGTTACACGGGGACCAGTGTCATTGTAATCAAATCGTGCGGGACCCCATTGGCTGCGATAAGCACAATTGATTAGGCCCGGCTTCAAGCCCACATAGGTTGTGCGGCGAAGTGGTCTAACAACCAAAGCAAAGAATAGGGCGCGATAGAGGCGTCGCGATTCTCTTTGACTCTACAGACAAAGGCGCACGCTTTTCTTTGTTGAACCTTGACAGAGATGTTCTTCGATACAGATCCAGGCCGGCGTTGTTCAACGAGACCCTGGAGACAGAGTTGGGGAATGGGCTTCCAGAATTCCTTGGGTTCAACAAGGCACGAACCTCAGCGCCGGGTTTCCGCTACAAAAAGGCGGAAGAAGCTTATTGGATGGATCAAGTCTGGGGATCGGTGACAAAGTGCAAGCCACTATCTCCAGCATTTGTCCCGGCAATCCTTCTGCAGCACGAAACACCATGCTGCGAGACGAACGAGGCTGCGAAGGAGCGAGGAACAAGGCGCAAGGAGGATGCGAACAAAGACAACAATGCTGCATTGGCATAGACTCAACAGACAAAGGATAGAATCGAAAACATGACGAAAATAGACACAGCATCGAATCAACGATAAGGGTCCCAGCGTTTTAGGCCGGTCATAAGCGAAAAGCCGAGGGATAGGTTTGGGGACATACGTAGTCGACGGGCTTTTAGGAGATCGAAACAGTCAAGAGGCTCAGAACGGCCGGTGGGTGTGGTACACATGTGAATGAAGATGGTATGGCAGCAGCACGGCAGAGATAGCACCAGAGTTGAGCAGCGATTGGGAAGTGGGAGTGTGTAGGAGTCGAGGGGTCAGAGGGGTGTCAATAAAGACTGATATGGCATTGTTAGTGGTTCGGCGAAGATGCAACGATGGCGTCGTCGGCGCGGCAGGTGCGAGCGGGCGGCTGAATGAAGTACCTGTTAGGCAGGGACTCTTATCGCAGGCCGAGCTCGCGTGGTCAACACCCAAAACTGCTCGCTCTTGTGTTTCCTGGTTCAAATAACTTCCCCAGCCTTTGTCCTTGCTCCGACCTTTGCTTTCATTCTCCAATCCCGTCCCATATCCTTCCTCGATCCATTCGCTTGCCCTCTATCCCCAGCAGCGTGCATCTATTCTTCTTGTCTCTATCTTAATCGACTTCCCAAGTCAACACACACATCCACAACCGTCATCATGGTGAGTCACTGCCAAACAAGCCCTTCTTCACACACCCAACAGCCACTGACCACTGCGCGCAGCCGGATTCAGCATATCTCTCCAACACTTTGACTGTGAGGACATCTCAGAAGAAGCACAGCAATGTGCTCTTCGAGAGCTTCGCTGACCACTACCACAGCTCAAAAGTACCTGAGCCTTGAGCAGTCGCCTAAGCGTATCATTGCTGAGTACATCTGGATCGATGGCTCCAATGGCCTGAGATCCAAGTGCAAGGTCAGTCACACAAGCAGAAAGTCGCGCGCTCGTGCGGATCAACACCCCACCTAAATGGCTAGCATCCAAAAACCGCGCACCGCGAGCGACTTTCGGTATATGCCTCATGCAAATTTTGTACTGACAAGGATTGCAGNNACCGTTGACCGCTCCGACGAGCAAGTCGCCAAGGGCCGTGTTGGTCTCGACGAGCTGCCAGAATGGAACTTTGACGGTTCGTCAACAGGCCAGGCCCCTGGCAACAACTCGGATGTCTACCTCCGCCCCGTTGCCGTCTTCGACGACCCCTTCCGCGGCAAGCCTAACGTCCTCGTCATGTGCGAGACTTGGATGTCTGATGGCAAGCCCAATGCCTTCAACTTCCGTCACGACGCTGCTCTCCTGATGGAGGCCAACGCCAAGGAAGGCTTCTGGTTCGGTCTCGAGCAGGAGTACACCCTCCTCGATGTTGACGGCTGGCCTTTTGGCTGGCCCAAGAACGGATTCCCCGCTCCCCAGGGCCCCTACTACTGTGGTGTCGGTACTGGCAAGGTCTTCTGCCGCGATCTCGTCGAGGCTCACTACATGGCCTGCTTCTACGCCGGTATCAACATTTCGGGTACCAACGCTGAGGTCATGCCCGCCCAGTGGGAGTACCAAGTCGGTCCTTGCACCGGTATCAACCGTGAGTCGTGTCTACTGCCAGGAAGCACCTAGATCCAAGACTGACATTGCTATCTAGTTGGTGACGAGCTCTGGATGTCCCGTTTCATCCTTCACCGTGTTGCCGAAGACTTTGGTGTTAAGGTTACGCTCGCCTCTAAGCCCATCCCTGGAGACTGGAACGGTGCTGGTCTTCACACCAACGTCTCAACAGAGGCCATGCGTCAAGACGGCGGCATGAAGGTGATTGAGGAGGCCATGGAGAAGCTGGCCAAGCGTCACAAGGAGCACATGGATGTGTACGGTGAGGACAACGCTCTCCGTATGACGGGCAAGCACGAGACAGCATCGATGGACAAGTTCACTTGGGGTGTCGCCGATCGCGGATCAAGTGTCCGTGTCAACCGTGCCGTGGCCGAGGAGGGTAAGGGCTACTTCGAGGACCGCAGACCGGCCTCGAGCGCCGACCCTTACCAGATCACTGGTATCATTGTCGAGACCCTCTGTGGCAAGGTCGAGGGTGCCAACGTTCACAAGACAGCCATGACGGCCGAGAACGTTGACCTCGAAATGGTTGTGCCCATTTCCAAGCCCTAAATGGGATATTTCACGCGACCACGGCAAGCAAAAGGTAAACGGACAGACGGAAGACAGAGAGCAGAGAATTGGATGGCGATAATTTTATACAGCAAGGGGAGAATGGAAGGCAGGTGTGCTTCTTGTACGCGGGATATGTTAGACCCGTGGTACCTTTTTAGTTTTTGTTGGTTGTAGCGAATTGCATATTTCATCCGAACATCAAGGTCATTGCCAAGTGAAGTGAGAGCTAGATAAAGATGGGAGGCTGCGGTGTGGGTACGTGTTGCTGGAGCAGATGGGGATGGCGCAAGCAGCGGGTAGATACGGAGGTCAAGGGCGGAGACGGGAATAATCGTGAGTTGGCTAAAGTGGGTGGTGGTTGCATGTGACGGACACGATATCCGCCGCGCCTGCAGCTGCGAGCTAGAGTACAGACGTCGCCGGCAGCTGGTAGAGTCGGTAGAAAGTTGGTCGGCGAGTAGAGGATGGTGCGTGTCAAGGCAGACACACGCCTACACAAGCACAAGGACGTCCCGACGACGCGAAGGAAAGCGCCATGACGACGCCGAATGCGAGCAGCGCGAGTCTGCTCAGCAAACATTCGCAGCCTCAACTCACTAACAGCAACCCTGCCCACGCCAACACAATCACCCCTCGCAGCGTACCTTCGACGGCGAACAAAGCCGCCCTCGTCACCACGGCCCAACCACAGCATGCCGCGACTTCCAAGCCCGCAACGGGTGGTATCGCCATGACCAGCAGCTTGAGCCAGACGTCCAATTCCAGCATCCATGCACTGTCAGCCATGTCTAACAATCTGCTGGCCGCCTCGCCGAATAACAATCTGCTCGCATTTGCCTCGCCCGCTGCCCTTGCTGGTCTCGACATGAGCACCCCGTCTGCTCTGCTCGATGCCGCTGCCACTTCACAACCCATGAACTTGAGTCTGTCCGATCTGGGCATCTCCTCCCACAAGCCCAACCAAGACGAGGAACGCAGGCTGAAGCTAGACACGCTTCTCACAAAACTCTTGGGTCCTCAGCATCATCGACGCTTTGGCAGAGTCAGCGAAGAGGGCGTGAGAAGAGTCGGACGATGGGCAGGACTGGATGTCGAGGTCGAGGCTAAGAGGGAGGCGCGCAAATTCGAGGGGAACAGGCCTGTCGCTGTAGCAGGCAAGAACAATGTCTTGATTGATTTCCAGTTCAAGGACAACCTTCCCACCCACATCGACCTCTCTTTCTCCAGTCAAGACCAGGCTGTCACCGCTCACCAACCTGCTGCCGCAAGCGTACTTATTAAAGATCTGACACCTCCACCTGGCGTTTCTGCCATCAACACCAAACTCGACCGCTTCGCTGCGAATCTAGAAACTCTGGCCAGATTGGACAAACTCAGTGTGTACGATCAGCTCAACTGCTTCGAAGCGATCACCGGCGTCTATGAAAGTCTGAGAAAGCTTTACGAACACGAGAAACAGGCAGCCCGCACCATCGTTCAAGCAAAGCGTGGAGATTCTGAATTGAGGGCAGAGCGACATGTCTTGTGCAAAAGAAGTGGTCGCCCTCAGATGCATGCGCGTAGGAAAATTGGCTTGAGTCTGGACTACTGGATGGAAAAGAGCAACGTATACCCATCATATTCTCCAGAAACTGCAAAAGACGCATCCGCCATGGACCTTGACCCCAAGCCATCAGAGACACCACGGAAAGAAAACGAGGATACCATTTTTGCACTTGACATCACAGCCGAAGCCGGAACTCCCGACCCGTACTCCTCTATCCGCGTCTCGTCTTCCTGGATCGCAGACCGTATTCTCAAATCGGCCGAAGAGACAACCGATCCCACTGACCTGCTCTCTGGTACGCAAAGTATCGACTGGCAGGACCCGGCCCCCACATACCTCTCCGACAGCAATCAAAACAACACCGATGCTATGGCTATAGACAACAATCCCAATACAGGTGCTCAAAAGCTGCCCGCCGTACGATTCGTAGCAAGACTCAATCCACCACTCGCTATGCCCTGGACAGCCGCTGCCGCCATCCTGCAATCTGTTGGTGCCGCCAGCGTCGTGTCCGATATCCCGGACATGCAGCGCACCTACGAAGGATCGCTCCTCCAGAAACCATCTGATGTGCCACTGCTCAACAAGCCCCTTCAATCTTCTGGGTCCGCCGCTTCGACCACCACGAATGTGCTCACTCCTGATGGTACGAGCGTGCAGCACAAGAATGCGCTTTATGTGCCCAAACAGGACTTTGGCTATGTGCTGACGTCCATCCCGTTTGCACATCCCCGTCAGGTGGTTGCGCTGTTGCCTGTGCTGCGGCAATGGGCTTATCTGGGAAGCCTACTCAAAGGCACCTTCCTTGAGGGAAGCAGCCCTGCACCTTCACAAGATGAACCTTCATTCTCACTAGCCGATCTGCTCAGCGGAACCAACATCAACACAGGAAATGCTGTGGCAGTTGATATTTCGTTGTCCACACAACCCTCACCGACTCTGGAATTCGTGTTCCCGGTCAGTGGAGTTGAAGGCGGGTTGGCGAGCCTTGGTGCCAGTGTCTCTGCGGATGGTCATGTGGTTGTATTGTCGCAAAACGTGGTTAAAGGCAGTCAAGAGGAGCAGGACAAGGCAGCTCAGAAGATGGCAAAGGCTCTGGAGCTCGTAGGCGATATTGGCGTCTGGGTCGAGTGGATCAGAAATGTTTACGGAGGAGCAGCATAGAAGAAGTGGTAAGAAGAATTTGATACACACCCCTTTCGATCAAATGAAAGGAACAACAAAACATTCTTTTGAATCGTTCATTGATAATAAAAGTCTATAATAGTCCCATTGATTGGTGGGAGGACATGAAGTATGTACAGAAAGAGTTTGCTTTTCCTCTAGTCGTACCCAAGTCTGAATTACTCAGCAAGCTAAGTACCTGCAACCTCAACGATCATGGCCACCTCAACAATCATTGATCCGATTGGTCAGATCATGGATTCCAGGTATGGGTAGGTGAACAACAAAATATGGCGGATTGATGAACATATCGAGCGCGATACTACCAGTAAAACTTTTGTTTGCGGACCTTCTGCCGTCGTGCTTTTTCTGCGACACGTTATAGAACTGTCTCTTTAGATTCTCTTATCGGACGACCGATCTATAAAGATCTTCTATCATGAATTGTTGAAGTGGCCGTGATCGTTGAGGTGGCAGGCCCTTTGCTTGCGAAGGGTCCAGACTTGGGGCCGACTACAGCAGAGAAGGCAGAAAGACGATATCGTCTACTCGTAGCGGTAGCAGTAACCCTCGGCAAAAGTATCCATCAACTCGCGGAAGATACGGTCTTCAGCAACAAAACCAAAAGGAATAACATCGTCCAGAGTCATCTCAGCACTAGGAGGATTGTTATCAAGTGTCGAAGTTCCCTTGATGATGAATTGACGGCGGTAGATGTCCAGATTCTGCCATGTAGTCCAGACATTATCAATCATACCATGGTGCAAGAAGAAAAGAGGGTCAGCAGGTGAAGAGTGGAAGTCAGCGGCCGCCCCTCCCATGCCCCAATGGCCTCCACCGTGCACGCCAAAGGCGTCTCCAGCGGCATAGCCTTGCATCCTATCCTGGAAGTCTTCGAGGTAGATGCTTTCGAGAACAAGTTCAGTGACGTTGGAGAAGGTGTTGTAGCGCTCGGTAAAGAAGGAGTTGAAGTCGCGCTCTAGACAGCGAGGGTTGTATTCATAATTGCTCTTGACGTTCTTGGAGTTGGGCAAGTCCAGGGGGCCAAGGTTGAGGGTAATGTCGGAGAAGGGGCCGCTCTCGACGCAGCCGCCGCCGGTGCCGGGAGGCATATTGACGCCTTGGGTGTAAAGGTAGGTGTCGCTGCGGTTGAAAATGTATTTACCGTTGGAGCCCATGCTGTACTCATCGCCGGTAAAGAGGGGCGAGTCTTGGGGAGCAGAGGCGTCCTTGGCCCAGTTCCAGTATGGGAGGGTACCGGTATAGCCGCAGAGGTTCTTCAAGTCTTGCTCGTAGTGCTTGATGTAGTGTCTGTGCCAACCTAGAAAAGACGCAGTCGCGTGGATGGAAAATGTCATATTGATATGTGTCGCGACATACTCGTCGTGGCGAGACTTGATTCCAGGATAGTTTGCAGCCTGATCCTTGGGCATGCGCTGGGGAGGTGTGTTCATGAGGCATGTAGCGGCATCGGTGAAGGACTTGCGATCCTCCTTGGACATGTCCCTGAACTCTCTCCTAACATCCATAGCCCCNCACTGGCAAGGAGAGTTCTGGCGGGTGCCCAGGTTGTACAATTGATTGTCCCTGGCGATCTGAGTGACCTCTTTCCAAGCAGTGCCGTTGTTGATCTCGGATTGCGTCCATTGGTCAATGCTGGGTGCCTGGGCAGATGCCAGAGCACTGACGGAGGCGAGAGCAGCGATAGAAGCTTTGAAATGCATGTTGGCTGTGTCTTCGTGGTGTATAATCGGTAAGTGCAAAAGCGAATGTGGTGAATCAGACTTCGAGCAAACGAATGCGACGAATGATCACAAGAGATAGCGAGTGTGGTAGATTCTGAGAACCTGAGAAGCGAGTTGAGCAGTCGAAGGGCTTACCTATATAGGTGAGGCTAGTCATCTGTTTCTCTTCTCTATTTGGCGCAGATGACGATCATTGAGGGCTGGTGGCCCACTTGCAGAGAGGTCTTTCCCTGCTGCTGCAGAAAAGCATGCATCGCAGAGTGCTCTCTCGTAATCCGAGCAACGAAAAAGGCCCGCCTTCTGGAAAGAGCGGCTCACGAAGCTGCAGCTCACGGGCCAAATGGTGGTTTATAAGAGATTCTTGCTGCAGTGCCAGCGATCGTGGTCGGCTCACGGATGATATGAAAGGCCCAATCCTCAACGGAGCAAGGTAATACTCTAGGCGTGTGCATCGAGTCGCTAAAGATGGCAATTGTTCTGGCGTAAGAACACGAAAATAGTGATTTCTATCTCTGACGGTGGCATGGTACCTGGCGATCAATCTACTAGCCGAGTAGTTGTCTATGCCCTGCTTTTTGGCCAAGCCATTAGTATCAAAGGGCACCCTGCTCCGGTCTCTCATTGTAATCGCCTCTCCTCCAGAATATCATCTGGCGCTTCTGAGATCGGCTTGAAGACGGTGAGAAGACAGGTTGTTTTGGTCGCTCAACATCGAAAGAAGTGACAGTGTCTTGTTTCATCTCTCTGTGTGGGGTCTCGACGGGGGCCCGGGTGCCGACCCGCGCCTTCGCTCTTGCGAATCTCTGCTGCAAATCCCGTGAACATCAGATCGGCTGCCTGTTTTGTCGAGCTTAGGCCTGAGCCGCCTGCTCCTGGTCCGCCCTCTTGTTGATGCTTGCCCTATCTGCGAGAAGAAGGTATCTGCCGCGAGCATTCGAGACCAGTCCTTTGGCCGAGGTCATTGTGTATCGTCCCGAAGACCCCCAAGATGGATTCGACGCCTCGTTCACGGCCTGCGAGCAGAACTGCAGTTGACCGTCAGGCCGTGGAAGTTGGAAGCCAGAGCTGAACAGTCAAGTCAAGTCATGCATGCCGTAGTGCAATATGCGGCACATCGTCCAGATCTTTGCTCTTGATTTGGGCAGTTCGATATGTTAATCTGCCCTTGCATAGATGAAGATGTTTTCTGGAAGGAGCACACGACTCATGCCCAGGCTCGACTTGTAGGTCATCACCTTCTTTTGTTCCACGCGCATCAAGGCTCTCATCACCACCGCAAGCCATGTGGTGGACCACATGCATGAGTCTTTCCCAAAAGATACACTTGCAGGACGCCAAAGCAGAGCGAATGCAACTCAATCTCCACGTTTCTGAATCCGGTTTCCCTTTGAGAGATATTCGCACGATACCAAAGCCAATCGAGCTTGAGACATGATTTCAAGCTTATGCATGAAGCTCTTTCCACTGGTATGGGAAAAGCACGTACTTGTCGCCGCCTATTAGTTGCGGATGGTGCCCTTGCCATGTGGTTCTGGGATCTCAGCATCCACAAAAGGGTCTCGTCGTTCCTGTCTCTCGATTTCTTGGATTTCCATTCTGGCTCCGCTGATTATCGAGTCTCTGGAACCAATCTTGAAAACGAGCTGCGCCTCACGAGATAGCACGAAATGTCTGTCGATCAGCCGCAGCAGCAGTTTGCTGGACACGACAACAACACGCAGGCTGCATTATTGGTCCCCGCAACAATAACTTTGGCATTGTCGCTGTTGCTGTATGGTATCCGCATACGAGCCCGTCACTCTTCGCCTCTTGTCTTGACCGATGGCACGATCACTGCAGCTCTGGTAGTATCAACATGATGCTTCTCGCTCTTTGGGCATCATGATCTGACTTATACAGNNATACTAGCAATAGTAGACTTCGTCCTCGCTGGCATCGGCTGTCACTACGGCCTGGGTAGACACACGGTGTTTGTGGACTCGGCAAGAGTAGTAAAGGCTCGGTATTTCGAATTTCTCGTACAACCAATCTGCATGTGGTCGGTCTGCCTGGCTAAATGTTCAATTGCTTGGACTGCTCTCAGATTAAGACAGGATCGAGAGTGGCGATGGGTGTTCTGCTGGATACTCTTTGTACAGGTCGTTTGTACGATCGCGGGCAATATCATTCAAATTGTACAGTGCCGGCCAACATCTGCATTATGGGACGATAGTGTGGAAGCGCAGTGCTGGCCACCGGAGAGGACACAACTTGGTGGTCATGTTACGTTGGGTAAGGAAGACATTAACCTCGTCGTAAGAAGTTTGACTGACATAAATCAGNGTTTCGGAGTCATCACGAGTATACTTCTCTCCCTCACACCTGTCACTTTGGTCAGAGGCGCGAATCGTCCGATACACGAGTTGGTCGCATTGGGTCTATTGGTCGGAGTAGGCCTGTTCGTCACCATGTCCTCAGTCGCCAACATGGTATATCTACGCAACTACCGCATGACCGAGGACACTCTCAGAGACTTGATAGCACCAACAACCTGGTGGCAGATCGAGCAAAACCTCAGCATTATAGCCGGCCTAGCTATCCATCTCCGGACACCTTACGAGGCGTTGTTGGCAAGATGCGGATTGATATGTTCGGTCAGAACGGAATCGTCACCTAGCCATCGACTGAATCGTCTTGAGAATGGGTCGCAGACTCTGAAGAGCTTGAAGACGACTATACCATGGGGACAAGTTTACGACTCGATGACTCACTTGCCGAGTATTGTGAAGACGACTGAGGTTGTGCATTCAACTGAGCTGCTGAAGGATGATAGCTTGCGATTCGGTACACCAGCGAGGAGACCTTCGTGGCTGTGATCTTGCTATATCGCAATTTCCCTCTTTTCCTCTTTTGTTCTCACCTAGATGTTCCGGGACAAGAAATGCAACTTTTGGTATCTCTATCGCTCCTTCCATTTCCATATTGTTCATCGGCTATCCTGCCAAAACAAGGTTTGGGAGCCCCGCAGTTGCATTCGCAAGCAGCATATCAATCCGTACGACCATTTGATCCTTTCTGTAACAATATTACATTTCTTTACGTTCCATACTTCGAATCAGACAGACATCTCTAGCAATAATGCCATTTGCAGTCAAAGCCCTAGACCACGTCGTCCTGACCTGCCGCAACATCAACGCGACAGTCAAGTTCTACAATCTGCTGGGCATGAAACATGAAGTCTTCCGCTCTTCCAAAGATGCACCAGGAGTAGAGAGGTGTGTTATCCACGGTGGCAAAAGCCATATATCCTGACGTTCTTCCTGCATTTTCATGTTCCAACTCTCCACAAAGCCATAAGTTTTATACCTTGTTTATGTCGTATATACAAAGCCTATACTAATACTTGACTTGAAAAATACANGACACGCCCTCTCCTTCGGCACCCATAAATTGAATCTACACCAGGCAGGCGCAGAATTTGAGCCCAAAGCCACTCTCGCAAAACCCGGTACCGCAGACCTGTGCTTTATAACCAGCACTCCAATCACAGACGTCTTGGCAGAACTACAAAAAGAAGGATTGGAGGTTTTGGAGGAGGGCGAAGTGGTGGATAGGATTGGTGCTGTGGGCAAGCTGAAGAGTGTGTATACCAGAGATCCGGATGGGAATTTGATCGAGGTGGCGAATTATGTTTAGATGTGGTGGTGGTATATAACATTTGTCTGGGTTGTTCGAGAAAGCCAAACTTTTGATACATGTCAGCGAACTATGGTTACTGTGATTTCAAAATGTAAATCTTTGGTTCCATCTTTATGATGGGCCATCGTCCGCCAGTCAGTTTCTGGCTTGCCGTACGCGCTACCTGGTTGTAGATCTGCAGCAACTTGTTCAGAGGCTGAGCAATGACACTACGTGTCGAGAGAAGAGGTGCACTATCCTGATCTGCAGCCAACTTGCCGAGACCAATGCCAGAATATCCGTAGATGGTGTCAACGACCTCCCAGCTACCAATGATGCGCTTTGGATCTTCTGCAAGCACATAGTCGAACTTTTGCCAGAAGCCTGGATCCAACAGTATTGTTTGGTTCTCGGTCTTGTCGTACATAAAATTTGATCCTGCATCCTTCTCCAGGAATCGAGTCACACCAGTCTGGCAGGCAAGATTGTCCATGTATACCCAAGTCTGGCCCGGTTTGACACTGGTCGCAACCTCGTGGAGACGCGTAAGAGCTTCACCNCCGGGATAGTTCAGACTGGAGATATAGAGCAAACTCAAGCTACCAGCAAAAGACAACAAGGTCGAGCAGACAAGACCCAAACTCAAGAGACGGTAGAGAAGAGTCTTGGATCGGCGGGTCCAGATCCATGACGCTCCTGCGGCTGCGACACCAGTAAGGCCAGGGATGATGTAGATGATAAAACGCCACTCCTTGTGAGGCAGAACACTGTAGATGGCCACGAAAGCGAGCAGCGGAATCATGGTATCCAAGCTCGTCTTGCGGGTAGCGCGATTGATCAGAGCTAGCGGTATACAAAGTGACCATGAGATTGGGTTCAGCAANAGACGAGGGATGGCATTGATGAAATAGTAGTGCCATGGACTCACACCCCAGTCGGAGGATTTGCCTTGGATGGTGTTGTACACGAATCCTATCCACTCCGGCCACAGTGGAAAGCGTTGCCAGAAGTAAGAGTCTACCGAGACTGTGACACCAAGTCCGATGACAAGGCCGAAGACTCCAGCGGGGATGACCTCTTCGACCAAAGAAGTTCGACCCTGTAGTAGCAAGTATAGGGTCTGCATAGCCAGCAGGATGGCGATCTCTGACCTGAATATGACTCCTGAAGCAGTGAGGAGATAGAGAGCCAGACGCCTGCGTTTCGAACCTTTTTGTGTGCGTGTTGCGACTGCCTGAGCAGAGATGAGGTTGGACAATGCCAAGGTCGCTGATACGGTCAGGGTGGGAAGATGCTCGATCAAGGGGCAAGACTTACTGATGCTAAACGCAAACATGTTGGGCAGGGTGCGAGATGCATAGAACATGACATGAAACTGCGAGGCTTGGAGTATGATGTACCATCTTCCTGCAACTTTGCCATATGCTGTGTCGATTGCACGCTTGAATTGAACGAGAGCTGCTGCATTCAGCAGCCCGAGCACTCCTCTTGCNTTTTGTAACACATCAGAAATAAGAGACACAAAAATGCCTTGAGTGGTCGTCTTACCGGCAAGCTGGAAGGTGAACTTGTCAACAACTTCTAATGACAGCATGTTCATGATGATCTGCAAAGGTCTAGTCAAGCCGGACATGACAACAGCACCAACGAAGGTGCGCGGCACAGGTCCAGGGAAGGTGAAGTGGTCATAGTGAGAATTGAAAAAGGCGGCAGCATTGCGTGTTGGGATACCGTGAATCAAAGTATCATGGATGGCCTGTATGTTGAACGATTCTTCGACCTTGGTGAATAGAGCCAACCATAGATGCACGAAAATGGTCGACGGCAGGAGGCCAAGCAGAACGACATCTGTGGGAACATGATTTTAGCAAGCCGAGAAGTAGATAGTTATGATGAATGTAAATCGAGACATACCTATGAGTTCGCAAGGCATGGTGCAGTTCTTGGCAATTACGAAGTGAGGACAGCTTCGGTCGACGACTTGTGCGGAGGACGGCTGCAACGCGTGGTGGGGACAAGGAGACATGTTGCTGCTTTGAGCGCAGCCATCTCCTGACCTTCACAGTCGCATACAAGAACATCATGTTTTTCTTTGGTCTTGGAGGCCTGTTCTATGGTAAGCATGAATGCGACTCGATGGGCGCGCACCAAAAGCTAACACATGTATCCTCTCAGNTCTCGGTATTGCTGGTTAACGCAATAGCCATCCTCTCCGAGGACCGCTTCCTCGCCAGAAGTACGCATTGCTCTGAGCATACGCCCCGACCCTCGAACAAACAAGGCTAACAAGATACGCGCANNGTTGGCTGGGGATCCGTACAACAAGAGCCCGCATTCGGTGGCCCGGCAGACAACACCAGCGTCAAGTCAAAAGTCATCAACCTGATTGCATCTGTCCGCACCCTGATGAGGAGTACGTTTCCCATCTCTTTTCGCATTATAGGCACGACGGAGCTGACATCAGGGCTCACAGTACCGCTAATCGTCATCAACACTCTAATCATCGTCTACGAACTTATACTGGGATGAGCACATGTACGAGAACTGCGCCTTAGAACGACCAATGAAACCTATACCACAACCTCAATCTCTCCTCAGAACCCCCACAATGAGAACGCGCTCGATACAGTAGCTGCGAAGACGGCATGTTATGCCTGCACCTGGAGGAGCCGATGCATTGTCAGCCGATGCAAGCTGCTTGTCCAACCTTTTGCTTTGAAAAGGACACGCTTCACGCCCGAACGAAGACAAAGCACCTTGTGTAGAGTGAAAGATTGAGTCAAAAGCCGGTCCTCAAATACATGCATGATAATCGAACAAAACATCAACATAGAATCAAGCTGCCAACAACCAAGAAGTGCAATGAGAACGCCACCACACTGTCCTTTTGTATATGTCCAAGATTGCCCCGTGCATTACACAACCTGCGCGAACAGGCCTAGTATGGTATATGTACACTGATCTTCACATGACCGTCGACTTCTTTCTGCCCAGACTAAAACGGTTCTTCTTGACGTCCTTCTCCCCACCTGTTGTATTGGTGGCTTCCTCGGCCTGTGTTGGCATTGGGCTTCCAGGTTCCTTCTCTTTGCCTGATGTCCAGAACTTTGGTTTCTGACGTAGACTCATCGAGCTGTGTCTGAATCTGCTGAGGCCTGGTCGATCTTTTCCATCTGTTGCCGGTGCTGCTGGGGTCGCTATCGGTGTTGACATGTCAGGAGCAGCATTTCCTGCGCGAGTGGCCTCTTCAGCAGCCGTTTGCTTGCTGAGCTCAATGGCAGCAAGGTAGTCCTCATTTTGCTTCTTCCAAGCGTTCCTCGTCGCCTCGGCTGCCTCTTTTCTCTTTGCGTCTGCGAGCTTGCGAGCTTCTTTCTCTTGCGCTTTGCGCTCTTTTTCCGCTTGTTTCGCCGCCTTCTTATCCATAGACCCGAAACCAGAGCCGAGGAAAGGTGATGTCGACATGGCACTGAAGGTTGAGCGTTGCTGTGATAGAGCTGGAGCGGTAGAAGCGTGAGCAAGATTTGCGAAGGCACTGGGCTCCTCCTCAATCGGTGACTGCATTGTATGTGTATTGCGGAGACCGTTGATCATCAAGCCGCCCTGTGTCTCTCTCGAGACCGAGTCTCTGTTTGGCATGCTAGCAGCAGCGGCAGCCTGTCTGGCCTCGGCCTCCTGTTCTCGTTGCACGGCTTCCACTGTTGTCTCTTGGTAAAACAGCACATAAGCACAAGCAAGTTGTCTGGCGTCTTGCACGCCAGGCTTCGGCTCACCACCAAAGAAGTTTCGCACGAAGCTCTTATCAACAGGCTCGACCAACTCGTCGTCAAACATGAGCCACCCACGGTCTTGAGTCTTAATTATAGAGACATAGTGTCCATGATAGGGTCCACCTCCTATGTGGACAACGACAGCGTAAAGTTCGTACAGTCGGTCCGGGTCTTCTGCGTCGTCGGTGGTATTAAATAATCGCAAGTGATAGGGGTATACAACTCGATGAAAAAGCTTNTGGAGTCTCTGGAGGTCCTCGGTGTATTTGAAACGTTTTAGGTGTAGTGCCAGAATGCGTGGTAGTCGTTTGATCTTCATCCTCTTTTCAGCTTCCTGCAAGCCGCCACAGTTGTCGCAATGGAACTTGTTCCGTTCGCACAACATCTCCTCTTCGGAAAACTTCCGCAGACATGCCGTTACTGAAGAGTGCGCTTCCAGATCGACAGATAGATCCATAAAAGCCTCATCTCTTTGTGATGTGTTTTCGCAGCTGAGGCAACGTGTTTCTGAAGTGAGGAGACCCTCGAACAAATCATGCACCCAGCCAGCGCCGCTCATGCCAGCTGCATTGTGCGCTTTTGCCATTGCAGACATTGCGCCTGCCATGCTTGGTTCTGCACTGCCGTTGCCGTTGAGTGTGCCGTTGATAGCCGGCAGCATCTTCGAGTATATCTCTACGTTGTCGACGACCTGGTTCAGCAGCAGATTCAAGAACTCATGAGCGTCTTGATGCATGGCAGAACGAAACATCTCATTCTCCTTTCTTAGAATCTCGAGAAACTTGAGAGGACTGATGATTCCAGTGCGCGACTGGTGGCCGATGATAGACTCGAAAATGTCCTTTAGCGAAGTGAAGAGCGATTCAGACATTCCGTATGCGTTGGAGTTGCTCATCTGCATTTCCAAGATAGGACCCGACCTCATGGCCACCTTTTTCTTATAGTCCGGAGAATCCTTATCATCGGGCTTGGTGGCTTGGGCTTCAGGCGTGTTTGGCAGAATGATGGGCCTCCTGGCAGGCGAGCTAGATGTGAGGTTGTTTGTGGCAGCAGTCAGAAGGTGGTTTCCAGGAGCCGGCAGACCGTTCTGGAGACTCATACTCCGGTCTGCATCCGAATCGGTTTGCTCGGGCGAGGGGGGCAACGGAGGGAAGTTGAGGACATTTTCGCGAAAGGTTGTCGAGTAGTATAGACACTGTATGATCGAGTTGGCATANGCTGTTGCGCAGAGATTAGCGACCATCACTTCGGGCTCTCTGAAGTAGACGCGTACCATGTGCTTCCGTACTGTTTGGGCAAGTCGCAATTAGTCTGTGTCGCTACTATGGCGGGGAGAGCAGGGTTTACGTACATTTTCGAAGCCAAAGAACTTGTCGCTACCATCCGGCCGTACAGGGCCACCCAGATCAGCAATGTGCTTCTCTAGTGGGGTTGGTTGAGGGATGGTGGCATCTCTCTTGGGNGGCAGACTGCCTACGTTCGGACTNCGCTGGTGTCTAAGATGGTCGTGATCGTCAGTCAAACGTGGCGCAAAATCGTGGGAGAAGCACACGACACTCACTGCGTTTCCCTTGAGTTTGCCGAAGAAAGACATTCTACAGTTCCACCAGGGATGCGTACATCAAAGTCGGGGCAGGCGCGACTGCGTTCCCGGTCCTCGGGCAAGCAATTGACCGATGTCTCGACGGCTGTCTTTGGAGAAGAGCAAGGGTCGACCGAGACTGCGTGTACGTGCGTGTCGTGTTGGGAGCGTAGCAGGAGGAGAGCGCAGGAGAAAGAGAGAGAGAGACAACTACGGAGGCCGAGAAAGAGAGGCTCGAGAGTTGCGCAGAGCGTGAGTGAAGGCAATGCAACGGCTAAGTGCTGGACTCGCCTACTCGACCTACCCGAGCGGTTTCTGGGGATTGGATGGCGGGGAAAAGGATTTGACCACTTCCCGACAGTCGATTCCGTGGCTTGCAATACCTCCTTGACACCTCCCGAGCCTCGCTTCTTCCGCACCAAATGCTCCGTCTAGTGTTGGTCTTTGGGTTGCATTCGCTTTTGTCAACTTCGCGCTGTTACACGAGCCTTATCAGCGGGTCCTACCAACCATTTTGCGGAGGGTTTCGCTGCTTGACATCACCGAGTCTTGCCCGTGCCCCGGGGCTCGCTGATAGATCCGACGCCGGTTCAATCGGTAACCGCGCCCAAGGGTACCCCCAGCATCCAAACCTTCCAAAGCCGCCATAGGGCGAGACGCTTCCATGCGCCATAGCTCAGAGGCCCGTGTCTTTGCGATCATACACTGTCCAGACACTGTGCGATGGTGAGCTGCCGGATATAACATTCGTAAATGATGTTTTCCATTACAGAGAGCGAATTATCGATGCTGAGCCTGTCCACGAGAGGTCGACATGATCGGCTCGTATGAATATCTAGCGTGGGCTTCCATACCCGCCAAACACACTATTTCGACTTTGGCGCTCCCACGCGGCCATCACGCGTGCAGCCAAGAGCGATCCTTGCGCAAGAATAGCCGCCCCTGCAAATCATAGCCTGCTCTGAAGCATCCGCCTACAGTAGAACGATGGTTGTACACTACTCGAGTACTATTCATACACGCTGACTAAAGACTTTCCACCACTCAAACACTTGCAACCACGCCAAAAACAAGCCCAATACCTCAGGGCTTACTCGCCGTCAGATTCAGTGTAGTTGATGGTCTGTTTGCGCCGAGGAGGTGCCAAGGGAGCCACCTCGATACTGGTACCTCCCGTCCACTCGTTGCCATTGGTAGGCGGATGCGCCTTTTGGTAGTCGAGTCTGATTCGTCGGGCATCTTGATCCCACTGGGCCGCCTCCTTCTCATATTGCGCTCGCGTCTCTTTTACCGCTTGCTGTGCCGCTTGCGTCTGCTCGATGTAGGGTCGCTTGACCTCATCACTTGACATCCGCCATTGACGACCTACCTCAGTGCGGATCTCTTCTCGCAAAGCCTTAGCTGTGCTGTCGCCGCTCGCTTTCTGTTTCGCCTGGCTCAGTTCCTCCTTGCAGCGTGCCCAAAAGTCGTTCGTGAACAAGAGGTACGGGTTTACGCTTGCACCAGGCCTGGAAGGCTTCAGAGGGCGAGGGCCGAGTTCGGAAAGGATGGCATCAATGATTGCGGCCTCGTATGCCTCGTCCTCAACAGACTTGCTGTTGGTTGACGATCTGTAGGGATTTAATTGTGCTGGCGGGTTCGGCATCACCGCAGGGAGATGTTGTACCGGCTCAACGATCTTCTTTGGCCTGCCTGGTGGTCTACCCGGAGGTCTACCTGAAGGTCTGCCAGGAGGTCTGCCTACACGCTTTTGAACCACACTAGGCGTCCCTGCGCAGATGTCTCTTAGTGGTGACTCTGTACTAGCCATCTCGGATGCACCTTCGAAGCCGGAGATCGCAAGGTTCTGTCGAGACAATACTAGAGGCTCTGGGACTGCCATTTGGCCGATCATCGTGTCAATGATATCGGCAGCTGCTCTGAGTCCCGATAGATATGCGCCGTGAACAGTCGCAGGATGAGTACCGCAAGTGGCTTCTCCAGCGAAGTGAAGATTCCCCACAGGCGCCGCCATAATATCATAGTCCAATGGGCTGGTAGCAGGTCCAACAAACGAGTATGTGCCTCTTGCAAATGGGTCCCTCTTCCATCGTGTAACGATGACTTCGACAGGGGCAGGAACATTCTCAGCCCCGAACGTGCGCCTCAGCTTCTTCAGAGCTTCTTGTAGTAATGTCTCATTGTCCGTGGTTTCCACCTCATGAGCTGCTCGACCAGACATGAGAGCGCTGAGTACTGGTCGGCCGCTGTTTTTCTCGCAGTTCCACATCATGTAGAAGCGGCCGCGGCGGGCGGCATAGTCGTCAGGGTTCAGACTGTCCTTGTTCTCGGCGTCGTTAAGAAATCCGAACATGTCGTACTGGCTATCCCAGAATGCGTGTTCGAAGACCATGACCACCTAGAAATCTTAGTTGTGATTACTTGAAGGGAGGAATCATGATGATACCTTGTTGAGGAGCCCGAAGCCCATTCGCTCAATGGCCCCCTTCTTCCAGTCTGGCAGACTTGGCTCGAAGGCTATGGTCTCGGCTTTGAGCACACCAAGTGGGGAGGTCAAAATGACTTGATCGGCCTCAAAAACTTCTCCATTGGTGCACAACACTGTTGCCGAGCTGTCTGCGTCATCATCGCTGGCATTGTAGGTAATCTTTTCCACGGCTGATTCGAAGCGTACGTCGAGAGGATATGGTAGCATCATGAGACCACGGGGCACCTGGATGTATCCACCTACCACTTCAGAATGTCGACCTTCGAACTCATTACCGCTATCTTGGTCGTGGCCACCCAAACTGAGATTGGAAACCGTAGCAGCGTTTGCATATTCGAGATCGGCGTAGTGCCAGTTGAGTAGGCGCATGTCTTGGGGAGTCAACTCGACCAGTTCTTGATACTGACGAATGGCTTCATCCATAGTTGCGCCTAATGTTGGCTTGTCGGACTCGGTGGCTATAGCGTCCAGAGCCAGGGAATGTCTCTTTGTTATGCCAGGTCGCAATTGCCAACCAGCCGACCGTACAGCCTGTGCCGCTGTTCGGCTCGAGCTGTTGCCAGCAACTACCTGGGTCCTTCCTTGAAGCTTGGCGAAGCCCGGGGGCACAGCTTGTTGTCTTTCTTTGTTCAAAGTAGGAGCATTGGTCCTGTCCGTTTTGATTTCCACGGGATCTTGACAGACTTCGACGTAGTCTGGGAGTCCCTCTAGTGTCTCTATGGGCGTTGGCTTCACGCGAAAGTCGCTCGCTCGCTCCAAAAGATCATTGTGAATCTTATTGACCATCATATCGCGCTCGTGGTTGACTGCGAGCCCATCAGAGTCGTACATTGTGATCTCATCCCACATAAGGTGATAACGGAGGGCAAGTTGGCCACGGACGATTGCGTTCAAGGGATTTCCATGGTTGAAGCCTGTAATGATCTGAGCGCCCATCTCAGCAGTGTTTCGCAAGCCGTTTGGCAAGCTGTCAGGCACTTGCTCTCGAAGCGGATGTGAATAGACGCGACCACCGACTCGTTTTCTACCCTCCAATACGATGACCTTTGGGGGCAATTCTCCAATGTCGGTCCAATGATCACCGAGCTGGGCGAATAGCCCTTCGAGTTGTCTCGCACAACCAAGGCCTGCCATACCAGCACCCACAACAACAATTGTCCTCTGATTAGGTATCGATTTTCGCTTAGCGCTGAGAATCCCTGCGTGAGGAACCTCGACACATCCAAAGTTGATGTAGCCATTTCTGACCAACCACCAATACGACGTATGTGCCAAGTCAAAGAAGCGTATGTCTTTTGCGCATCCAGCTGCTTCCTCCTTAGAGACGCTGACCAAGGGGTTTCGAACCCAAAGACGAAGGATACCGTTGCGGATGTTCAGATATGTAGTGACTTGGGCTTGTGTGATATGGTCTCGCAAGAGTCTGTACTCTCCTGGATGCAGGGCGTACGGGTTGAGGCGCGACGAATGAGCTGCTGAGATACATTGTCTTCCATATTCTTCCCAGGACATGTGGAAGGGGATGGATGACCTCGGACGAGCATGGGTTGTCAATCTGGTGACCTTGGAGAATTTCTTCGTCTTTGGTGTAGGGGCTTTAGGGGCTGATTGTATGCGATCGTCTCTCAGAGAAGAATTTATCTCTGGATTCGGGCGTGCTGTGACTTGGATGTTAGACAGTAGCGATGAGCGGCTGCTAGATGTGGCGTCATCTGAGGGACGAGCATTTTCAGGAGATAGAGCCTGCCTCTTTGTCACCCTGTCGTCATCAGAAACCTGACTCTCGGGATAGCTTTGGATCTCTTGAAAAGATCGTTTGTTAATCGAAGGCACGGAAGTGACGGATGATAGTCCAGTTTCGTCGGCGTCGAAAGAGCCATAGCGAAGAATACCGTTAACATCGACCTTGGTCAGACTTGTTCCTTGAGCATCAGGAACAGTACTCGGAGGCTCGCTTTCGACGGAAGACAGGCTGGAGCCTGAATCTTCATCCCTTTCGAGATTGGTATATTGACCCGATGGCCTTGATCGGACTTGATTTTGTGCAGTCGCTGAGGCTTCTGAAGCCTTCTCTTCGTTCAAAATCGTGGATACTATCTGTTTCACCTTATTCGGAAGGGTTTCCAGATCGTCCAGGGCGGTGTGGGTATTGCTGGATAGGTCCATGTTGGCAATATCAGGATATGGAGGCAAATGAAGGGCGGGCGATATGATGGTGCATCGCTTCTCGGTTCAAGTTTAGAGCATGCTCAATCTTATAGCTCTGAGGGAAAGAGAGAAGATGTCTTGCAAGTATTGATGGGTCGCGAAGACTGATAGGCGTGAGTGCTGTATCGAGTTGGCGATATGTCTCGAATTGGTGATGGGTCTTGCAGCCGGTGTGCCCTCGGCGTCGCTTTTTCCGCGTCAACTTTGCTTCAACCTCACCTCAACTCTTCGCCTCCCATACTTCTTGCACGACGCACCATACATTCGCTTTTGCTGGCCGTGCTGTCAGGTAGGCTCGCTGACCAGTGTCATGATTGTGATAGGCAGAATCATGCATGGCAATATCATCATATCGTCGCATCGGTGACGATCGACCCGACGCTCCGCAGAGGGCTTTTCCAACTCTGCTGCACGTCCTGCACTGTCTGCTCAGCCAGCATGCGCGAACTCGAAATTACCACAAGCACAGCGTTTCGCATACCTTGAAAACGATCCGAGCCCGTCGCTTGGTCTCGGATAATCGATATACGTATACGTATCTGGGAGTCGCACAACTTAGATGGATACTCGCGCAATACTTCAGAAATCCTTGGTCTCGGAATCACAAACTGATTCTCGTTGGTGGGATCCAACATCGCACCGATTTGGCAGACCAAACTTTCTTATGCTAGCTTCTCTTTCTGAATCGATCAATTTTGCTGATATCGCGTCTCAGAAGAATCATATACTCCAGGATACCGATCGACCATTCTTCAAAGAGACATACATGCATATCTTGACCGCTATCTACAACGAATATATGAATGGCTCCGATGCCGAGTCTCGTCGAGGAAGACACACTGAACAGCACCGTACTCGGTTCCCGAACACGGTTTCGAGGCTTGTGCCACATACTGAGACTTGGAGGTGGAGGAGGACATTGAGGAAACCAATGGAAAGAGGCGTCAATACAGCGCTGAGCGAGCTGCTCGTCTGAAATCCGCTGCGTCAGGGTGGAAGATACTCAAGCTCTGCAAAACAGACGTTTGCGAGTCCAGAGCTTCGAGCGATCACGGCGTACCATGGATTTTGCCTTAGACATGCATGCAGGTCGGCTTCCAAACACATAAGAGTGAAAAGAGGTCAACGACCAGCCATATACAGCTTAATTCTTGTCGGATAATATTCCGATCCTGCCCTAACTTGTGTATCCCCCTCCCTAATCAGAGGTCGATACCGATCTGCCAGAGAGATACCCAATGCATTGGATGTGAGGACCCCGATTCTTTGAGCTTCAGGCCCAACACGCCCATGAGAGTCGAGTGAAGTAGCAGAAGCCAATCAAACTCTTAGCATGAGTACCACAAAGGCACAAAGCTATCTGCCATATCAATCACAATCAGAATCACGTGCAGACTGGCGGTGTTGAAACACGATGTTTTGACCCAGTCGCAACGCACCACCGCCCTCCAAGCTGACCCTGAGATTTGATCGACGCTTGATTTGATTGTTATACACACACAGTCTCAATACCTCACTAGCCAACTATTGGATTCTACAACCACACGATAGCTCAGAATACAACATGGCGCAAGTGCGCAAGTATGCCGCGCTGCCCGACCTGGTAAACAAGACCCCACATAGCAGACCAAGAGCATTGAGGCTAACAATCAAAACAAGGNACGAATCGCCAGACACATACGAGACGCCAGACCTAACAGACGACGCATCCACGTTACCGACCTCAACAGCATGGTCAGAGACATCCGACACGGAAGCAAACCCCAGCATCAGCCGAACCAAGCTCCAACCCGACGAGGCGCGATCCCAGTTCCAATCTTCGCGCGTCGACGCACGCGAAACCGATTTCTCGGATCGAGTGAGCAGCAAGAGAAGGGCATATGTGGTGAGCAACAGGGAGCAAGACCAAGATGGTGAAGATTACGACAGCGAAGATGAGAATGAGAGCTTGCAGAGGAAGCTGGCGAGGCTGAACAGGGAGATGCAGGAGGTGCAGAATGAGTTGGACAAGAGGAAGAGCGAGTCAAGTAGGACTCAGGCGCTCTCGGAGGACGAGGACATGGCCGCTCAGTTAGCTCAACTGAGTACAGCGCTGGACGGCATGCGCCAATCGCAATCCGCACAAGCCCGTCTGAGCAAACAACTGGCAACCTCGACACCAGCAAAGGCAGGTGCTGTGACAGTGCCAGAATCAACCCGTCCCGAAGAGGCCACAAAAGATACTGCCGACACACAAGCACTGAACAAGGTCGCCGACTTCGATGCCCGCCTCGCACTCCTCGAACGCCAACTCGGCATCACATCCCTCGATACTCCCGAAGCCTCCTTGACCACAACTTCAACCTTTACACCCATCCTACCCACACTCTCGCTACTAGACCGCCAACTAGCCCTCCTCACCTCTTCCTCTTCCCAATCCCACATCGACACCCTAGCCCATAAACTCCAAGAGCAACAAACATCTCCCACAAAGCCAACCACGGACGCCAACCACGACTCCCAATCTCCAGAAGATATGGCAAAACTACGCGCTCTCTACGCTCTCCTACCGACCCTGACATCTCTGAGTCCCACACTACCTCCCCTCCTCACCCGTCTAAGGTCTCTACGAACTTTACACGCCAACGCCGTCACAGCGAGCCAAACGCTCGACGATGTGGAACAAAGACAGGACGAAGCAGACAAGGAAATCCGCGAATGGCGCGACGGCCTCAAANAAGTAGAGGAAGCTGTTGCTAGAGCAGAAAGCGGTATGCTTGAAAACAGTGCTGCTGTCGAAACTTGGGTCAAAGAGCTAGAGGAGAGAGTCAAGACGCTTGGGTAGAGACAAACATAGAACGGAATGTTTCCAGATTAACAAAATCTCAGCCATATGGAGCTCGAATTGGATGAAGTGATATGATTATATAGGGAGAATCTGATACAGTAAAAGAGTATGCCAACTCTGTTGAAGAGAGAGAAAAAACAAAACATGCTATTCTACTCGCCATGCCAGTCGATTTGGTATCAAGTATGCGCCATCAAAATGCAGAAAAGACAAAACCACAGCCAAACCTCATGCCTCGCCCTTCTCGGGATCATGCAGCTTTCTCTCCTTTGCAACCTTCTTGTCTGCGTCCTCTTGGGCCTGCGCCGCAGCGTTTGCTCGCTGAGCATCAAGTCCCGTCTTTGTCTCGGTATGCTTCTTGCTGAGCTCCTTCTTCTGGATGAACAGACTGACAATCAGACCAAGCGCGGCAAAACACACGTACATGATCCACATGGGATGCAAGCTCTGTGCGAATGCCGTTTGCGCAATCTGCTTTTGTCCATTGGGAAGGTTGTCAATGAGCTCGGTGTTAGCACCGGCGCCACCTCCTGTCAACTGCGAGGCGACCTGAGGACCGAGTGCCGCTACCAGGCGAGCTGTCTTGGTGTTCATCTGGTTCTGGTACACGGTTTGACCGATGACGACGGAGATGGAGGTGAAGATTTGGCGGACGAAACCAAAGGTTGCTGTTGCTGTGGCAATATCTCTGGGCTGGACACCGGTTTGGAGTGCGATCAATGGGGCTTGGAAGTTGGGACCTNNTGAATCATTGTTAGCTCTTGAAGCATAGAGAGAAACGAGGAAAGTTCGCTTACCAATGCCGATTCCTGCAATGATCTGGTAGATGATCAACTTCGCCCAGCTACTGTTGGCTGTGAAATCGACAAAGAGACCAAAGCCCAGGACTAGGAAGACCATTCCAAACCAGATTGCGGGCAAGTATAGGCCTGTCTTGCGGATGAAGATACCAGTGGCCATTGAAGCGAAGGACAGAGACAAAGCTTGAGGCAGAATGTAGACACCCGACAATAGAGGTGTTGCACCGCGAGCAGCCTGGAAGTACAAAGGCAAATAGTATGAAGCCGAGATGAAGACCATACCGTGAATAGCGCAGACACCAAGGACGGCAATGTTGCTCCGGGTCTGGAAGATGCGCAGAGGCATGACTGGCGATTTGGCAAACTTCCACTCATTGATGATGAACAAGACCATGGTGAAGACGCCCATAATGATGAGGCAAAGGACAGTTGCAGAGTCCCAGGGGTAGGTGACGCCTCCATACTCCAGGCCAAACAGGAACATTAGGACGCCACCGATGACGAGCAAGGCTCCAATCCAGTCGATTGCTTTTAGTCCTTCCCAGAGAGGAGTTCTTGGTGTCTTCAAGTCGAGGAAGAAGAAGATGATGACGAGGGCGGCACCGTCGAGGGGCAAGTTGATATAGAAACACCATCTCCAGGAAACCTTCTCGGTGAAGACACCACCGATGACAGGTCCGATAGCCGAAGCCAATGCCCAGACACCTCCGATGATACCAAAGTAGGCACCTCTTCTTCTCAGACTGAACAAGTCGCTAATGCAGATGTTGACAAGGGTGACCAGACCACCACCTCCCACACCTTGAATAGCACGAGCAGCAATAAGCATTCCGATGCTGTTGGCGAGAGCAGCGATGAGAGAACCGATGAGGAAGAGCAGATTTGCAACAATCAAGATAGGCTTTCGTCCAAAGATGTCTGAGATCTTGCCCCATAACGGCACACTCGAGGCATTTCCCAGCAGATAGGCTGAACCGATCCAAGTATAACCTGCGGCCGAGTGGAAGTATTCTGAAATGGTGGGCAGAGCGGTTGTGATAATGGTGACGTCGAGGGCTGCGAGGAAGACGGCCATGCCCAGAGCAGTCATAATCAAGGCAATCTTGCCCTTTGATCGCTCTTCCAATGGTGTCGAATCCTTGCGCTCCAGCTGTGGTCTTTCTTGTGGCGGTACATCATCGTTCTTCGTGGATGCTGAAGACGTGCTGTTGTTTTCGACGTCTTCTGAGAGTTGGTTGGCGGGTACGGCGTTCGTGGTCGCGGCTCCAGGACCAGCCTCTGCAGCGGCTTCTTCTCGTGCAACCTCGGTCGTTCGCCCTGTGTCGCTCATGGTGGCACAGATACGAGTTGTTATGTCGGAAAGAGAATAGGAATCCTAGGTGTCGAAAAGGAGACAGGGAAACAAAGCGGCATGACTCTTTGCTTTTGTTCTGCAGACGATGCGAAAATGTACGCCTCCTCTACCGGCATCTCGGCCAAACATTCTAAAAGCCGTCTCGCCCTTCGTCCACTTCGGCCGACATGTCCGAGCAATCTCTTTGCTCGCCATTAATCCTTCACCTGTTCAACCTCTCGAGCGGCCGACCTTCCAGACTTGTAGTAAAGCAATTAGATAAGTTTCGCATCCACTCATCTCGAGACATCGCCAATTTCTGAAAGTCGAGCATCGGTCACATTCCATCTGTCACTTTTCTTGGCGATAGATCTCTCTCCACACCTTGGCGAGGTTTGTTTGTCTTTTGGTGGAACGTGGGGTTTGTTCTAGAAGAATGACACCTACAACATAGCTCCACGATCGAAAAAGCCTTGTAGATCTGCCGGTCCTTGTGACTTCCACAGCCATCGTATTGCACGACTTACCTATTGAACAATCCAAGGCAATTCCCGATGACAGGAAATACTACAGAATGACCATCAGAGCGGCCACACTTGTAGTAGGCATCAAAATGACATGCCTATAGCCACAGACCATAGCTGGCATTGCTAGGCACAGCAATCTGAGAGGGAATCAGGATGAGGATTACAGTTGTGCAGGAGTTAGATGGCAAACATGTCGATATCTCACAGTTCTCATGACCCACAGTTCTATCCTCTCACATGGACATTGCATCCCATCTTGGGCATCAGGACGAAGTTCTTCATGATTTCAGCATACAGGCCTCCTCAACCATGACATGGACATGAAGATTGAATTTCTCGTCTGAATTGAGCAGGCTATGGGTGTGACCTTCCAGAGGCCAGTGTCAATGTAAGCTCTGCATGACTCTCCAGGAGCAGAACCCAGACTTTGATGCGTATGATGCACTTCAAGGAAGCGAACATCTGAATCTTCCGAGATCACTACACCTTCAGTTCGCACGACACAATGCACACAGACGCGTCGACGATTTGTGCAGCTTGGTTCGTGAAGGAGCAAGACATCCACGTCAAACTCGAGTTGCCAAAACAACTGTAGCCTTGTTTACCAGGCACTCACTCAACCCGCGCCTTCTTGGAATCCGCCTTTCCTCTACAGTAAGCGCATCGACGCTTTCTCTTCTTGTCACTTTGCACTTTCTTCATTTGGCTCTCACACTATCACCACTCGGCACGCACTTTCGCTTCATTCAGATCACACTTTCGCTTCAGTCAACTCGCACTTTCCCGTCACTCTCTCTCGTCACCAAGCGCCCATTCTCTCTTCAGTCAACACACACATTCTCTCCAGGAAACTGTCTATCGACGGATGTTTACACCATCTTCATCTCTCACAATTACTTGGACAGCATGTGTTTCCATCGATATACCGAACACCCCTGCGGCCACCCGAGCACGTCGATTGGCACATGCTCGATCGACATTCTAGCCACAGCAGTGCCGTTTTGTGATCAATACAATGTTGTAAAGAACAAGTCATTGGATCTCTGTGGCGGAGACTACTGCAAAGAGGACAAGGAGACTGCCCATTGGGTCGAGAACGGACCGGCTCTATTGACAGCGTGCGAGGACGACCTTGCGTACTTCAAGCACCGCCTTCAGACTCTTTACCGTCTGCTCCAAGCTTTTGAACAGTACAAACAGGCTTTCGGTGCCTTACAAGAGAACGACACCAACAGAGCCCGTACCATGCACGACGAGTATGTGGCATTCCGCCAGACTTACGTAGACACCAGAGGCAGACGTCAACTCATCTCCGATGGTATCCAAAAGGCCAAGGAAAAGCAACAAGCTGTTGTTGCAGAGAAGATGCGTAGGGTTCAGCAATACATTGATAGCCAGAGACCGAACTCTAGTCACCCTCCTTCACCACAAAGCATTCCGAGAGTCATCCAGTCACATGCAAGAGGATTGCTAAAGCGCACCAGCTCAGGTCTCTGGGAAACTGGAGACACTTCTGCAACTCCTTGTCGACCTACCACCAAACTTGTTTCTCCAGTCAAACTCAAGCCAAAGCCGTCAAATCTTTCGACCCCGACCANNTCTATAGCCCCCTCCCTGGCGTCTCCTTTTGCGGCCGGAACCCGCAAGAAAGCTATTGTTCCCAATCCCTCACCACCTAAGGAGAGACGCGGAAGACCTCCAAAGGCCAGTAGAGCGGAAGACGTTGTTTCTCAACCTCAAAACACCTCTGATACATCTTTCCATGACGCTCAAATCAACAACGATGACTCGGCCATGGCTGATGACCAGCATTCGGTGCCTAAACTACAATCGACCAAACGCGGCAACAAGAAGGAACTATCTGAACAGAAACCTTCATCATCAGGAGTTCGCCGAAGCGGACGTGCCAAGCAGCGAATCAGCTATGCCGAATCTCCTACTTCGTCTCCTGAACGACCTGCTCTAGATGGGCTTGGACCTGAAGCAGGAACGGTAGCCATCAACCAACCTAAGAAATCAACGAGACTCACCAGAATCACAAGCGGCAAGAGTAAACCGCAGAAGGAGGATGTGTATGCTAGCGACGAGGAGGATGAAGCCAACAGTGTGAATGACGACGATGAATGGCAGGCCGATGAAGATATTGGAGAGGACGACATGGATTTTGAGCCTACACCTGTTCAGAAAGTACGCTCGAACGCGAAGCGCGCCGCAGCATCTCCCCCCATGGATGATTCGCGTTCTCTCAAACGTCAGGCCACAGCTGTCCCTGATAACATCACACATCTTGGTTCCGGCCACTACCATGAATTGAGATCGCCAGACAACAACTTCCATCATGTAATCCCCGATCCGGGCAACAGATTGACGTACACCACAGCTCAGTCAACAGACTCAACAGACGTCTACAACGTGCCATCGACGCCATACAACAACAGCATGGCTACCGGAAACATGTCAAAGCTTCTGTATCATACTAACCCGATGGCTGATAGAGTGACTCTCAATGCCACGAACTACCAGGGCCAGGATCCCAACGAGCCTGACATGTCACCGCTGCGTCGATCAGACTGGCTGAACGGACTGGACACAGCAGATATGGTACTGTCACTCGACGACCTTGACGATCCTAACAACTACGACTTTGACGTCAATGCCATGAGCAGAGTCGTTGCTGATCTCGAAGCTCAGCAAGGCTAGACTGTTTGCGTGAGAAAGATGAAGCAATGGGATGAGAATGGCGACGAGGAAAGAAATGTGAATGGGAACGGGAACGGGAACGGGAATGGGTTAATATGAGTTCCAAAAGAGCGACACGATGGAATTGCTGAGAGAAAGCAATGGAGGACATCGAGGCAGGGCATAATAAGCAGTAGTGTAGAGGTAGCATTATCAGGTTTACTTTCAGTATTCAAATCAGTAGTTAGCCAGACCAGCTGCCCACATAGCCTATTGTCAATGCATCCTGTCAGCCACAGCTCTCTGGCCCTTGCATGTCCATGACAAGATGATTGGATGTCGGCGTGGATGACCGACTTTTGAAAGATTCTGGAGTTGGCAATGGATTTCGATGCAGATTCATGGAAGAGGATAATGAGCAGTAATACAAGCCATAAAGAGGCCTTTTCAGGATATTGATATCATTCAGCTTCGTGCTCTCGATAAACCCATACCAAGTTCAAAGTTCAGGTTCGAAAGCAGAAATTGTCGGAAGTGTCGCTGAAATTCTGGTAGAGACAATAAACGGATCCAGTCCACTAGTTTCTGCGCATGGCCCTCTTCTTCCTGCGCTCAAAGTCTCTGCCGATATCACCGGCAGCACCACCTCTACCACCGTCATCGTCAACCTTTCTCTTCCTACTCCTCTCCAAAGCACCGCCCACACCACCAGCACCAGTCCTCTCTCCCTTCTTCGTCAACCTATCAATACGGCCAATGCCCTGGCCCAACAGATCCCACTCTTCACCACCAAAGCCACCACGCTTATTCCCACCCTTCTTTGCTCTCTCCTTTTTGCTCTCCTTGGGCAGACGAACCAAATTTGATTCTTCGTAGGCGGTACGCTCTGCCTCTTCCTTGCGTTCACGGGCAGACTTGTCACGGCGGCCGCCAGCGGTGATGGTGCTGCCGATGGAGGGTTGAGCGGTGGGGGCGCCGCTGAGCTCGTCGGCAACGTATTCGTCGATTGTGTTGCTGCGCATGGGTTTGCGGTCGCCCTTTTCGCGGCGCGGGGAGGGGGGTGCGGGCATGGTTGTTGCGTTTATGCGGGGGGGTCTGTAGATGCCGTCTGAAGTCTCTGGCTTTGAGGAGGATGTGGATTCGGTTGCTTCTGAGGGGCGAGTGAGGGCGCTGGGGTTGGGGCGGAAAGCGAGACCGTCGTCCGAGTCTGCTTCTGAGGCGTCATCGTCGTCGTCGTCGGAGTTTTCGTCAGAGTCGGATGCTGCTGAGGCGGTAGCTGCGGCGGATTGTTTGGCGACTGCAGCTTTCTGGACGGCACCGCGGGCTTCGTCTTCGGCGGCGCGGACGACCTTGTCGATTTGGTACTTGAGTCTGTCTTCCAAGGGTCGCACGCCCTTTTCCAGGTATACGCGGTGCTTGACGAGGTCCCTCACGAGTTGATTGTCGAGGTCGCCAGCATTGATCTTTCCATCCTTGGCGCTGCGGATGACGGCCAAGTTGCGAAGAGCCAGCGTTTGCAGATATGAGAGGAAGAGCTCATTCTTTGCGTCCAGAAGAGTGATGCCATTTGCCGGAGGAAGAATCGAGTCGCTGGTGGGCAGCGCCGGGATGGCTGATTCCAGAGAGCTCGTCAGACCGGGAAGTATTGACGCTAAACTCGTATCCATGTTTGCTGCTGCCATTGCGATGCTATGCTGGAAAAATAATATGCATTCAACTTTTCGAGAATTTCCTAAAGATGCGGCGACTTTTTCGCCGAAAGCCCCGAAGTGTTTGACTTGTTTGACGCCGTCTTCAATCACATGAAAGCAGGGTCCACTTTGACACATTCACCTTCAACTTTCTTTCCTTCGAAGATTCTTGATTGGCAAAATATAGGGGTATCATAAGTACTACCTGATGAGAACAATAAACCCGTCTTATTGCGCTCCATCATCTTGACGTACGCCTTGTCCCTTATGGGATCATGTCTGAGCACGCAATTCAAAAAGGAAGCTCAGAGGCATTATCGCTGTCGTAGAATTTCTTCCAAAAGGTTCAGTACAGGCCATTATCGGTAACGGGGGATATGGAGTTGAAGAGGAAAAGGCTTTGCGCACCTGTGAGGAACTCTTCGCTGCGTGGCTGTTAGCATATTGTCATGGGCATTGAGACTCGGACGAAACTTACAAAGATAGAGTAATGTATCCGTCGCGGTCATCGTCATACTTCTTGAAGACGTCCGTCATACGTTTCAAGCTGATACACGCCTGGACGAACAGATCGAAGCTGAGCGTCTTCTCACGTCCACCGCCGTATGATTCATCGCCTCTACCGCGTGACGTTCTCGCAAACGTGTTGAACAGCAACTGAATAAATTGAGGACTCAGACGATAACCAAAGGCGACGAGAGCATCCGCAAACTCTTGGAAGCTGATGTTACCCGAGCGATCGACGTCAAAGCGGTCGAACAGGTTGCGCCAGGCGGCCAGGAAACCCCACAGGCCGCAGAACTCGTCAAAGTTGATGGTGCCGCTACGGTCTGTGTCGAACATGCGTATCATCATGCGCACAGTGTGTGCGTCGAATGCCGTGTAGTCGCCGTTCACCAGAGCGCTGCGCAATGAAGACTCGCTCAGCTGGCCGTTGCGCTCCTTGTCTACGGCCATGAACAGCGGCCATAATGCCTCACGGCTGTTAGGGTCGGGATTCTGAGGTGGTGCGACGGTAGGTGGACGTTGGGCTTGAGGGATCGGAGGACGATTGTGGTAGCCAGATGGTCGAGGACCTTGGCCATAGTTGGCTGGAGGTGGGGTGACGCGAATGCGTTGCGTGGAGGGGGAGGGGCGCCGCCAGCAGCGGGAGTTGCTGAGGGGCCGTATCCACTGTTACTGCTGTATCGCTGCTGGTGTTGTTGCGGCTGCTGGGGCGGCGGGTAGTTGTCGTAGCGCTGCGGGGCGGAGCCCATGGCGGGAGATTGGTGACTGGGTGGGCGCGAGTACGACTGCGACTGCTGAGGCGGCGGAGGCTGTGGTTTGTTGTGGTAGCTGGCTGTTGACGACTGCCTCTGGGGATGGTTTTGCGACAGCATGGCCGCTGCCTGGTCGGGTTCGGCGTGTCTAAGAGAGCCATCAGCCGTGCCCGATGCGCTCAGCGTGCGAATGCGCCCAAACATACGCTGGGAGGGCGTCCGGGTTGCCCGAATATCCTCGGTTGTATGCCATGTTTGTGTGTGTCGATGTCAATCGAGCGAAGAAGAGGAAGTAGGAAAGGCGGCCGGCACGCGCATCAAGTAATCGTCTGCCATGGCTGAGCTGCTAGGCCAAGGGAGCTCAAGTCCGCTTCCTTATTACCAGCCCCACCTGTCGCCCATGACTCGACCATATACCATCCTCCCGTATTACTACCGTATTGCGTATGCTCATTTGAATTTCTTGTCTTCTTGATCTGCTTTGACGCGCGTATTAATTGCATCCACTACAAGTACTATCTGGATGCTGCGTTATAGTTACTGTCACTAGTTAATAATCCACTCCGATGATTCGACATTTACTTCCTCCAACTTCTTTTTGATCTTGCTCAGACATCCTCGCAATATTTCGCTGTGTCCGTCAACGCCTTGTGCATCTGTAAATCACCATGCAATCATTACTCAACCGCCTCTCTAATCCTTTGTTCTCTTCCCACCTCCTCCTGCTTCCTCCTCCGCCTTTCGTTTCTTCTCGTCTTCGTCTTTGAACCCTGGTCCGCTGAATACCACCGGCGTCTGGAAATTGAGTGGACTCGGCATCATATTGTTGTCTCTCCCGAACCATGCATCTGGCCAGAATGATGACGGACTGGGCAGGAGGTGGTTTCCATCCATGACCCGACTGGGTAATGCAGAGAGCGGTGTTTCGATGTGATCTCGCTCACGGTTTACATGTGGATTCGTACTGATAGGCGGTGCCGGTCGCGCAAATGGATTGGGCGGTCCAGATGCACCCGCAGAGAGAACTGCATTCGTAGATGGCGACGGAGGTGGAAGAACTACCCCTTGGCCAACACGCATCGGCGTCGCCGCTGTACTGCCATCTTTGGGCGATGAATCTGCTGTCGCACTGCCTCCGTCTGATTGTTCACTGGGGATTTGCACTTTCAATCGTGGTCGTTTTGCTTCGGCAGCTGCACCTCCGGGACGTATGGGTCCGGGTATTGAGGACATAGAGCCCGTGCGTTGAGGGGGTCCTGGAGGAGGCGCTTGCATGGTAGGATTAGAGGTGGCTGGTGGTGGTTGTGCAGCAGTTGCTGCTGCTGTTGGCTCTGCAGGATTTGGACCCGTGTCGTCAGTCCTTTGGCGTGGTGCAGAAGAAACATCGACTGAATGCGAGCGGGGAACTTCGGTCTTTATGATCGGTTCCCTGTAGTTGGAGGTGCTTCCACCCCAATGCTGAGCGAGGAGCGAGCGGCTATCGTCAATCGGCGTGAATATGCTATGCGATCTCGCATGAGCTGGCAAAGGTCTTGGTTGGGGTAGCGGAGGACTTTGGAAAGTATTCTGGTCAGGTTGTGGAGAAGGTTGTGCGCTGTGTGACTGGTTCTGTTGATATTGCTGCTGTGGTGTCGGAATATGTTGCTGGGCGCCTGGATGAACCTGGCTCATGAAGTGTGGAGGGACCGAGGATTGCCTCCTCTGTTCTTGCAGATATACCTGCTGAGCAGCGACTTGCATTTGTTGTTGAGTGGGTGGGGGATAAGCGGCGTAATATTGAGGAGGTTGGACAGCGAAACCTTGCGGGGTAGGTCGCTGCATGACAGGATTCGGGGGAGGAGGATGGTAGGGAGCGTTCGGAGAATAGGCATAGGTAGGCTGAGGAGCGGGTGGTTGCGACGGAGTGCCCATGTGCTGAGGCACCAGGTTCGAGCTAGTACGGCGGAAGTGCGAAACGCGGGATGAAGGACGTGAGCCATTCGGCGGCTGAGGAGTGGCCATGCGCTGAGGGAAGGCGGGCATGGCGCCATTCGGGATGGGCGGCGATGCAGAAGGCGTGGAGTTTCTCATGTGCTGGAGGCCGGGCTGGTGCTGGAGAGGGTGTTGGATCATGGCGGGCTCCGGTGGTGAGTGTGATTCGTGCTGGTCGACGGGCTCCTCGTCGCCCTCCTCATCATCGTCACCACCACCTTTGCCCTGGAAATCAGCGGGTCCTTTGTGTTCGTGTGCGCCGCCATACNNTGTATAACGTCAGTGATGGTTCGCAAGCGTGTCTGTGGGCAGCAGATGATAGCATACATATTGGAAACGGGCGACAGTCTCGTGAATGTCGCCGGACGAGAACTCGTAGAGCTTCTTGTTATTACCAAAGATAATGACAGCGACATCGACAGAGCATAGCACGCTCAACTCGTAGGCCTTCTTAAATAGACCGCCTTTACGCTTCAAGAAGGTNGCTGTCACAGCCGTTAGCATTGACAGCTCAAAATAGAAGAGAGATGGTGGTCCGTACACGCTCCGATTCCTGTCGTCCTTGATGGGACGGATCTCAATCTTGCGGCGACCCATTGTCGAGGTGCACGCGTAGAAGGCGTGGACAGCGAGTGCAGAAACGGAAAAGGTACAAATTCAACTTCCATGCGACAATCAGGATGGTCGGACGCGCAATAAACGGATGGCTGTCAGAGGCTTGGCTTCCTCTGTTCTGGTCTGCTGGGAGCGCGTCTCGTTACCGCTTGCTGAACATGCAGCGTATGCACGTCGTGTCGTATTTGCTTGAGCTCCTCGTAAACCTGCGCAGAACAGCTGCGAGTTAACGCGTGATAAGAGTGTATCCTGCCTGCGTCAGATCGAATGCGAAAAGTCAGCTCGAGCCATGCGGGAAGTGATGCTCCTGAAATAGAACTTGAAAGCTCGGTCGCCTAAAGGTTCATCGCTCGCTGAAGCCTGAAACCTCCCCTCTGCTGGTTCCGACGTTCAGAATGCTGATGTTATCTAGATGCCAACTGATGTTGACATTCTTGCTAAAAATAGTCAGGTTCCTGATGAAACCACCATGACACCCCGTGGCTCTTGTCTACTTGCCATCTCCACCAAAATCTTGACCACGACCAAGAGCCCGTCCTCGGCGCTGCGAGCATGCAATACCCCTGGTCATCGAAGCCAGAGCAAAGTGCTCTGGCCACTGGAAGGGCGATGCTATCAGGCGGTCGACGTCTCTGTTCACTACGCTGTAGACAATAAAGAGGCTACGCAGCTTGTACGTACACAGGACGATCAAGACACCATGAACCTTCTCAGAGAATCCCTATCTCAGTATCACAGAAAAAGGTCCGCCGGGACTACCAGATTGTGTGTGTTTTACAACCACCTTGACGATAACAAGTACAGCTTTGCACTCTATGAGTAAGAGGACAAGGTCAAGTATCCGACCGATTGCGAACATGGCGCTATAAAGGTTCAGCACCTATCCCTGTATCACATGGCCAATTGCCTCATGATCGATCGATCATAGCTCGAAACTAGTGTCAGATTCGACTGCCTTCACCCTATCTGCTTTAACATCACGGGTCTCTTGTTACCCCCTTCGGAGTCCACTGGTACATACACCATGCGAATGACGAGTACCATTCGTAAACTCTTGCATGCCATACCTGCAAAAAAGGCGTTCGGAAACAGCATCCTCATGCTCGCTGTGCACTGAGGCCGCTTTACTGGTCTGGTATCTTGCTTAGACGCGGACCACTTTCGCACAATCGATCAGGATGGCATGTCATGGCAGCCGGTGGACATCCAGCTACAACAAGATCCAGAACCAATGCCTCCACTCGTCGTGCCGCCCTGACTTAGTCCACGAGCTCTCCAAGAACAAATGCTTCTGTACCCATACAGCCTTGCGTTGAATTTCGAGATTCTAACTCCAGAGCACATTGGCCAGCGTATTGCCCAACCAATGACACAAACCGCTGTAACCTCAAACATCATATCCTTGTCCACAAGTCAAGTCCGACTCTTTTGCTGGGTATCTCAGCCCACTGCCAATTCGTCTTCAGAGTACCATTCATTCCATCATCATTTTACTTGGTCATCTCAGGGGCCGAGCTGTATTGTGTTGGAGCCCACAATACCAGACCCCCTACGTCACTATTATATGACAGAGACCCATGTTAGTGACAAAGATGGTTTCTGTGTCTATGACATAGCAATGACTGCTATATACGACGACGAAGAGTCCAGTCAAGAGCCATCTTTACATGGAGCACCTGAGCATGTCTGGAAAATTTGGAGTCGCGCAATGCAGCGAGAGGCGAAATGCATGGCAGGGGCATATACTGGAGTCCTTTCTATGCCGCATACCGACAAGAGCACTGTTGTCCTGGAGGTCGACGTAAGCGAGTACTCTATGTCCTGGCAACCTTTTGCAAACACCAACATTGCTGACGATCTTAAAATTGATGAGCGGGAGTGTCACGTGTGGACATCTGGTTTTTCGGTTGACATGCTTACAATCGAGCAAAGGCTACGAACCGGCAATCTCGTAGTGTCAAGAATAGGCCCGGTGGATCCAAACACGATATTCAGATGCTCAGTTCCTTTGTGTCAGATTCTGTTCGGGCCTCAGACCTCACTGGACAAGTTCTACGACCACCTTGATCAAGAGTCACATGCACGATTCTTCTAAGATATTAGTATGCATCGGCGTCCTTTTGGGTGTAGCTGGGGTTTTGACTGAGTGCATCGACTTTGTCTTCACCTCGCAAGCCTTCCTGAGGATAGCCTGACACGCAACGACGCCCACCTACTACTATAAAAATGTGTCGCCGACGATTGCTCAATGGACGAAATGAGCCTAACCACATTTACAAAACACTGGACCCTTAAGCACCAAGAAAGCAACATCTCCAGACCTAAATCCTGCATAGCAGATTAGTGTAATCTCAGCTTTCCATTCAGTTTCATGTCAAACGTTCATGAGAATTGTCATATCACGAACCATGGAGCTGCACTACCTGGCCCTAATGTGTTGCACACAAGGGGTTCCTAGCTCCATGATCTGATATGGTCCGATCAGCCCCTGCTGGAAAAGGTCGAGACTATCCAGCATTTATATTCCGAGAGAGCTCGAAAAACGAGAGTGAAAAGAGTGACAAGCGCCATCCTGCAATGCAGGCAGTCATGAAGAGATTGACGCGTGCAGGTGTTATACAATTCACAGGTCCTGTGGCCATTATTCATAGCTCAAAGACCCGAAGCAAAGAGTTACCTACCTTCTGGCAGGAACCATCCGTCGAGGCGCTCAGCAGTCAGGATGACTATTTCTCTGCCAGTCCCGATCATATAGACTTCCTTGGTAATGCAGAACGGTTCAATCATGCCATCATAAGCCACGTCCTACGTGCGTTGACTGCTGGAAGAACACCGGTTCTGCTACTCGGAGGAATCAATGTCTAGTCTACAAACTGACTTCGACTGGCATTCTTCATGCGGGCATACGAGCTGCACTACGGCACACAGCACCCATTTCTCCTTGTCATCATCCACATTATGCCGATCAGTCATTCGTTGGACACGAAACCTTGACAATGCTGGAGGCCTCGGTGTCGATTGGGCTGCAATACAGTATTGCATGGTTCACGTCGGCGGAGTTCGTTGCACATGAGGATAAGCGGGAGTTTCATACGGTAGTTGAGGCATGGAAGAAAAGACTTCATGAGCTGTACAAAACAACTGAGTCGTATGCTGGAAAGACGGGCAGGCGTACGATGTAGATACATAATTACTTTACACGACATGCAATGACGGGTTAACATTGTTTAGACTACATAAAGAACAACTAAAAAGAAAACAGAAAAGCAGAAGAATACAAAGCCAGAAACCGGAATCCTTGGCCTTTATTTGCCATATCTTCTCTTCTTCATGGCTCTTTCGGCAGCATTATATTCCACCAGCTTAAGGTTAGGTCCCAAGAACTCGTTGATCGTAGGCTTGCCATTAGACATATCACCACCGTCGAAGCAGTCAGTAATCCATTCATAAACAGTCTTGTTGAATGAAGCAACGTCCATCTTTGGTCATGCAGTAGAAGACGTAAAGGCAAAGCTCTGTAGGGCGGAGAAGAAAATCCGCATCTGTGAGTAGAGCTCTGGCAGATCTTTGACGGTAGGAGGTATAACTGGTTTGCTAAAAATAAAACCAATCTTGGACAATCTGATGACTCTGTTGTCGTGGGTCTCGCCTGGGAAAGCAAGACGGCGAATCGACAGTGCACCATCGAAGAAGATTCTTGCAAATTGGAGAAGTGCGCTGGAGGAGACGCTAGAGTGATTTTCGACGTGAAGTTCGAGGCGGTGAGGCCCATTCTGTGCAGCAAACAGAATCCTACACATGCGTGAACCGAGGATGTTTAGTGATCTAAATAATGTTGACTGCTGTGTATATTTCAGGTCGACCTCAAGCGGAACATGAAAGGGTTGTTGGCATAGAACTTGTCGTGCAGCTCCATGCGAATCTCCTTACCGTATGCAAGCAAAGGGTGCCGAAGCTTTTGCATGTAGACAGGATCGTTGGAGGTAGTGCTGGAGTCGATTAGACGAAGTCTTGCGCCAGCAGAACGGCTGGTGGACCAGGACTCCTTCTTGATGTTCTCTTTCTTGTTGGCGCGAAGGGATGCTCACTGATCAACCCGGTAAAGCGCGGCGTTTGCCTTGTCGTCTTGCTGGTTGACTTTGAAGTAGATACGGATGCACTAGTTATGAATCTGGTCATTCTCTTTTCTAGTGGAGTCCCGTCCGGAGCGGCAGCGGTAGTCAATTGTAAAGCAAGAGCAGATGTAGCAGCATCAGATGTAGCCATGACCTGCTTTGAAGGAGTAGTCCGAGTGGCATCGATTTGTAGCAACAGACTGTCCTAGAAGGCGGAATCTTCGACTCTTCTTGTTGATCAAGATTCCTGCGATTATAGTGTCCAATTCGGCACTGGCTTTGTCGATCACGTCAGGTCGCCAGAAAGTTCATCGCTGAAACCCTCTCCTCTGGTGGTTCCGACGTTTAGTATGCTGATGTTATCATGATGCCAACTGATGTTGACAAGAAGCCATTTGTAACGGCACACCGATCGCTCCTTCCACCTCTCCCATGAAACCCGTGGCACCCAACCTTTCACCCTTTTGTCCCATCCATTCGGTCTGCGGCAACCCGGCTCTGTACTCCCTTGGCGCTTGCTGTGCTGTCAGAACTGATCGCGCTTTGCGGCATCGAGGCTGGAGCAGGTACCGACTACTGTGATGTGCAAGGGCAATTTTCTGTTCATGCGAGTCTATTGTCGTGCTGTTCTATCGACTTTCTTCTGCACACTCCGCACGCGAATTTCCTCGAGCTTCAAGCATCAGGCATCGAACACACCAAGTACTCCGTGATCAACTCCGAAACTCTATGCTCTTCTGCCCATCGACTACGAACAGGATCGCTGTCGAATACTGTTCTAAACACAAAACAGCTATGAAACATTGAAGTAGGTAAAGTAATCATTCAGTCATATAACAGCTCGCTCTTGTACAGTATGCATCTAAGATTGCTGGGGTCATGGCCCCAGTTCTTCAGAGACTTAGCACTCTTGCTTTCCGGATCCTGCTTCGCCTTTCCTTCTTGGGCCAAATGGCGCTTGTTGTAGGCCACTACTTTACGCATGTGGCTAATATCGTCCTCATCGTATTTACTGGGGTCTTTGTTCGGGTTCTTCTCCAAGATCTCAATGATCTTACGACCGCTNACAAAAGGTTGGATTAGATCTCGTTGCAACATGCCATAAATTGATCTCGAGTGCACTTACCTCTCGTGGCCGATGGTTTCACCCGAGCCATCATCCTTAGACCATCCGGCACCAGCAGAGTCCTCGCCGCCGAGCCATTCCTTCAGCTCGTCTGGGCCCATGTTGACCAGCTCATTGAACTCCCTAGTATTGCATCAATTCTGTGTCCTCACAGCCGACGCTAGTAAACCCAAGATGGTTACTCACTTGATGACTGTGTCGTTGTCTTTGACCTAGAAATACAGTCAGCATCATGTTTGAAAACATGGCACTACGTTACAACGAGTCCAACGCCGCCAATGTCAGCATCTTCAATCTAGCAATGCAGGAGGTCAATGAAGTATAGCTGGTACCCATTGGGGGCATGGCTAGTATGACTAGCAGCATATTCATTGACTGAGATACTTCTCTCCACCTGCACAATGCTGGACACATCTCCGTGACATAGCGTGTATGGAAACCAAGCGATATAGGTCGACAGAAGAGGCTTGGTGACGTACCATCTTGATAGCAGAGATTGAAAAGTTTCGGACTGGTTGGTGGTTATATCGCTGGAGACGCAACGAAGATCTTGTCAATCGAGCAAAGGTATACATGAGATAAACGGGGAGTAGTGTTCTTTGAGGAAGCAGTTTCAATCCATTCCAGTTACAGCTTGACATCATGAATGACATCATGGAAGTTCAAGGAGATCATGCTCTATCGTCTATCGTTCTCATGAGTGAATGCAAGAAGTGATGCTATCGATATCCAAACTTGCTGACCCTGAGGAGGTATGCATGCAGGTCCAATACTGATTTTATGCAACCAACTGCCGCGATAGAGCGTTTTCCGTCGCAATATACAGATAGCATGCTGCAATCTACAGGGTCGCATTTGGCATTTCACATGCTTGGCCTTTGCTCAGAACTAGGTTTGCGGGTATGAGCCGTTGGCGTTAGAGAGCCTTTGATTAGCGCACCCTTGGCCGCCAGAGTTAAATTGCTATAGAAAAAGTGTCTCAGAAACACTCGTCTTGCGGCGCGCGACTCGCGGTTGAGGGTACATTCAGGGACCAGGGTTTCCAACTGCGACGAGGGCTGCAGAAGCAGGCGGGCTGTCTTGATCGCCAATGATGTGCTGGCACCCTTATAGGGTCCGGTTACAGGTCAGAACTTACCGCTGGCGACGTAGCCGGAGGTCAAGAAACAGGGACATCAGTCAGTCGTTGATGCACGATGTTATCAGATAAAGAATGATGGAGGGAGTTCGACCAACAAGGTGGTTTCGGCTAGCACGCCGCGCGAATTTGCTACTGCAAGCTGTAAGTTGCTCAGTGCATTGCAGCACACCTGGGTGGCTAATAACTGCTGGGCTGCATACATTATGGCCATTCATTAGGCCAGCCAGCTGCTCCATGTCCATTTCTCCTACAACTCACTTACAGCTCTTCGACTCGAGTTTGACAGTTCGTACAGTTTCACCTCGGGTGGCTTGACGGAAAACAGGATCGACCGCGGGCAGGACGCACCTGGTAGATTTGCATACAAGGTTATTTTATTAACTTACTCAGTCCTCGAAGGTACCGCCAGTCCCCCGATTTAGCTATTACCCTTCTTGTCTCACCCCACCTCTCTCCTTCTCTCCCTCTCGCTCCTCTCTTCTTTGCGCAAGAGTCGAGTCGACCATTGGTTCTTTGCTTCCAGAACACATCAACTAACGCTCTCAACTGGTCTGCCAGCTACCTCGAACGCGCCGACACATGCTTCCAATTGTTTCTCGCATATTCATACAGTATCGCTGATAACCGACAAGCCCGCGACTTGTGGCCACCATCGCCATGGTGTTTCTCTCAAAGGTCTTCAAAAGCAAGGATGCAAAAGCGGGCGCAAAGCACAAAGTACAACAAGTGAACTCCAGCCAAGGGCACATGCCCCTAGCAAAGCCTAGATTTGTGTCGACATGGAACAGCAAAGAAATCGAGCTGGACGAGGTTGATGAGCTCATACAAGTGTGCACTTTGATTCTCAAATCAAGAGGTATGCAGCTTTCATGGCGCCACAGACCACGATTTGCTGACTGGACCTCCTAGNCCGAGGCACTGGACACGCCCTTCTTACTCCTGCCGTTCAGACCAGAAACCGACACCGTGCCAGCAAAGACGTTTATCAACGACTTCTTCAAAAGCAACCGGGATGGGAGCAGGAACTACACTGGCTCGAGCCTTCGCAGAGAGCTCGTTCTTACCGACCCGGCAGTACGTCTGATCGCTCTCAAAACCTCAGCTCTGGCTAACGTGAGTGCAGNNATTCTGTGCAGCATTCTCAAATGGTGCTGGAGTCGCATGCCTGGCGGTGTTGTAACCTGGCCAGTCTATCATGGTTTCTCTTTGGGCGAACGTGGTTTGTACTCTATATCTGCATGAACCTACACAGTCCGCTAATTCGAATCAGATTCAAACATGGCAAGAAACGCCTTCCATACCTTTATTCCCATGAGTGTCGATTCCAACGCCAGAAAAAACATCATTTACAACTTCTTCGATCTCTTGACCGCCATTGCCGCTCACGGCAAGACCAATGGATTTGGAGGCAGAAAACTATCGCGTATGGCTGGTTGGTGGGCATTCGAGCACTCGGACGATGGCAAAGGCTTTGAAGGCGGCTATAAATCATGGGTGACGTGAGTTTTTCGTCCTCCGTGCACGCTGGTTGATGCTAACTACCAAAGCTCTGCGGATGCTTCCAGTCATCTCTTTNTTGGCTACCTCAGATCTTTGAACCCCGAGGCTCTGGATGGTTTCACAGGCATCAACGGTCTACCAAGATCTATCCAGGCATTGTTAGCTCAGACCGAGTACCCTCCGGAAGCGCCTATGCTCATGCAAAAACAAACGCCCAAAGTCGTCATGCTTGTTGACGCCGTTTCTCCTGGTCCCTTTGCTTTGCTCCGCAGAGCCAACAACTTCGAATACCGGGACGAAGATCTGCAGATGCTGTCAGAATTCGCTGATCCTGCTCAAGCATTGACCGAAGAATGCAGACGTGTTCTTCACTGCATCACATCTGCAAACCAGTCTATCCCTGTGCGATCTCAAAGTAACATGAGTATTGGTTTGGAGAGTCTCAACAATAGGCCAGACGAATCTTGGTCACACTTCCAGGACTTTGGTTTCTCTTCGATCGGCGACGACTCTAATGATCTTACAAGTAGCTCATCTTCACCAAGCCTGGAGCCAAGATTGTCGGGACTCAGGTCTGCACCCCGATCCCGCGCCGATAATGGCGGTCGTCCAACGACACCCTCATGGGCCGATTTCCTGAATTCTGGATTCATCGATGAAGGCAACAACGTAAAATCAGCTCCTATAAGGATGTTGATGCCACCAGACAAGATGCTTCCTCCAATCAACAGTGGACTCCCAAGATCATCCAGTGGCTATCAAGAAGGGGATGTCAATCCAGGCGAACTAGCTAGTATCACAAAGTTCGATCTTGATGACTGCTTCTGGTGGGTCTGGATGACCAGTCTTGCTAGCGAAGAACCTCCCGCAAGAAAGGCGGTATTTGGTCGATGTGCCCTTATTGAGACTGGCATACTTCACGGCCGCTGGATCCTGCTGGAGGAACAGATCAAGAGCGCTGCTCCTGAACCGGGTGAAGGCGCATATATCGCTGAGAAGAAATCACGCTTTGGTTTCAGTCGTAGGGGAAAACAGAGCCGTAGAAAATCAGCCACTCTACCGCCAAACAGATATGACAGTCCTCAATCAGAGCAACAAGCTACGCCAACAACACCAAACATATCCAGTATCTCTCCGGACCAGCAAGCAAGAATCAGGGCTGCAGCAGCCACTCTTGCTCGACAGCATGTCAAAGCAGACGAAATGCCAAACGGACAGCGACGAGGACGACACGATGATGCTTCTTCAATGAAGACCAACAGCGTTTTGACATTGGGTTTAACGAGTGAAGCGGCACCAGCTATGAAGTGGGCCCATACATTCGACAAGGAAGTGGTGCGCAAGCAGTACCTGGGCGATAACTTCGCTGGCAAGGGAACGCCTGTAGACATGCATGTCCCTGATGATGCTTCTGTACTCGCCGAAATGCAAGGATCCAACAAGCCTTTGCCTTCTTCTGATGCTCGGAAACGATCAGTCTCTGTCTCAGAACACGAAGTATCTGCAGTTCCAGATCAACGAAACGCAAGCGTAGAAGATCTCCCCGTAGCTCATTCGCCATCTGCCAGCGCCGAACCCCTCTCACTCAGTGCTTCCATCATCTCTGAACGACCGGTCGTACACAACGCTACAGAGGTGCCGACTGTGTCCTCTGTACCCAAAGAGACCCAGGTAGGAAGGAAGCCAGTCCCGGAGCGTACCAACAATGTCCACAATCATCCCGCATTTAGGCCCTCTTTGGAAGGAAAGAGACCTAAAAACTCGGAGACTTCGGCAGTCAAGGCTGCAAGAGAAGCATGGGAAGCGAAGGCCGCTAACTTCAGTCCTGATAAGATGGCTCACGAGCACAACAAACGTCCCAATGGTTTCAAGCGGATGTTCAGCAAGAGTCAGAAGAGCGACGACGGCAAAGGTCAGCAGCAATCAGCTTCCATGACTAGCCTCGCTCCACCTTCTGAAACGAATCTTGGAAGGAAGTTGTCTCTGCTTCGCAAGAAATCTACTACCCCGACTCCCCCAACACAGCCTACGATGCCAACCAGCGAACCACTGTTTCCTCGCCGTGCAGTAGCAAACAACCTGGCAGCGCCTGTCTCGGAGCCAAGTCCTCCAGAAGTCAGCCCATTGGAGCCAGGATTTTCTCAGCAACATCTCGGAACTGATGACCACATGGTCTCCNCTATGTACCCCGAGCACAGAAGCAATGCCGACGAAGAATACAAGCGTTTTGACCAAGGACCTCTTTCGGACGCCCCTGCCTGGACACCTCGCGAGTCTATCGATTCACATCTGCAAGCACAAGCAGAGGCTGCTCACAAAGCAGACCTGGAGGCGGGACATCTAAATGCACCTGGTGGATTCCCTGAGACTCCCATGGAAACTCCGATGGAACAGGGCTCCGGTCGCCAACTCGAGACTGAGCCGGTCTACGATACTGCCCAGCCAGTTGCAAACAATCTCGATAGATGGGCACAGATCCGAAAGAACGCTGCTGAGCGCGCAAACAGAGTGAGTGAGGACCAGATCTCTCGCCGTCCATCTCACATCACCACTGGCACCGAAGATGAAGGCGATACCAGTGGCGAAGAGACTATCGAGGATCGAGTCGCTCGCATCAAAGCTCGTGTTGCTCATCTTACTGGTAACCTGGAGAGGGCACCTACAAGCACGCCACGCTACTAATTTCTGTCGCCATCTCGACATCTCTATCTCCTTTCTGGCTACCACCTTCTTACTGTCAAATGATGGCATATGTCTGACACGCAAAACTCTCTAACGCCTACGACGAAACCATAATACCCTTACACACGACCACATGCGGAATTTGCTTTTTCTTATAAGAGCACGTCACGTCTTTGTCGAAAGTCCCTTCTAATCGTTCCTCTCTGGTTTTGCTCTTTCTTGCGATACCAATCTGCACTGACTGGTCTTTCGAATTTATGTTTTCCTTTTTCTCTCTTTTCTCTTTCTTCTGATGGTCTGTACATGTTGCTACGTATCCTCTGGGTTCCAATGAAGCATTGCGAGGAAGGCGAAATGTAAATGTACACTATCAAATAAGATCAGCAATGAACTTAGCTCAACGTCCGATCAGGTCATAGTGATATTGTATACCAACCCCACTTTTATGGCAGGTGGGGAGAGCTTGAAGTGGGGGATGACCCTGGCTGATGATGCGGTCATTACAACAACACTTCTCTTCGTGATAGAACCAACATTGACAATAACGATTGCGCGTGTCGAACTTATACTAAATATCCCAACAATGATCGAAGGCGAAGATCTACTCCTCTGCCCGACCTGCGGCACTCAATTCGATACACCCGCATCCAATCCACCATCAGGCTACTGCAGAATCTGTGATGTAAGTAACTCTCGACCAGATTCATTTCTCAAACTCTAGACTCCAAGAAGCATGCTTGACAATTCATGCAACACAGGATCCTAGACAATACATTCCTGCCAGCGGACAAGCGTGGACAAGTCTGAAAGCCGAAGCAGGAAAGCACGAGACTAAGTGGAAGCAAGATGAGCAGAACGAGCGTATTTGGTCCGTCTGGGCGGAACCAAAGGTATGTGCATGAATTTCATTCGCTTTGGAACAGGAAGACAGCGAAGGAAAGTTCGATAAACGGTGAAGAAGAAAGGGCGTTTCGAAGCTCATGGCTCCCTCGACCATCAACTGATCAAGAAACCATGAAAACATATGTTGGGAAGGTGCGAGGTGCTCGTACACAAGCGTACAACTTTCTTGTTCATCTTTTGAGGCCTTCTTGATAAGTTTGGCCCATGACTGACTTCATCTACTAAATCAAACAGCTCGGCATCGGCCAACGAGCCCTCCTCCTCCAAACCTCTCACGGCAACATCCTCTGGGACTGCATAGCCTACCTCGACCAACCTCTCATTGAATTCGTAAGCACAGCCGTTGCCCGGCATCAGCAACACACCCTGCTAACTGAACAAGATCAACTCTCTAGGCGGCCTAACAGCGATAGTGATATCTCATCCCCACTTCTACACCACACACGTCTCTTGGGCATCCACTTTCAATTGTCCCGTCTACGTCCACTCCCTCGATAAACAATGGCTGTGCCGTACGCCTCTTCCATCCATAAAGAGAGTGTTGCTGCAAAAACAATACGAGAAGATTGTCGAGGGCGTCACTGCTATACAGGTAGGAGGACATTTTGAGGGCAGTATGGTCTTGCATTGGGATAACCATTTGTTCATTGCGGATACGTTTGTCAATGTACCTGTAAGCACATCTCCTCGTTCTCCTTTACCCAGAACTGGATCTGGAGGATAGAGAGCTGATGATGCTGGGCTTGACACAGTCGGGTTTCTATCGCAAAGACCGACCCAAAGGCACGACTTCATTCTCTTTCATGTGGTATGTAAACAAACTCCCTCTTCATATCCTCGCTTTCTACCTTGTTACCAAAACTAAATCGTGTGTTTACAGGAGCATCCCAAACATGATCCCTCTGCCTCCAGACACAATCCACAACATGTGGAAAGCAGTCAAACCATACGAATTTACAGCCACTCATGGTCTGTTCACTGGCTGGGATATCAGAGATGAGAATGTGAAGAAGAGCGTACTCGAGAGCATGAAGATCCAGGTCATAAATCAAGGGTTTGCCGAGCATACGCTGTTGGACGAGGAATGAGTGGACGAGGCCAGCATACTGCTGCAGATTATGCAATCCATTGCCTCCCCACGTGCAAAAGACAGTCATGACTTCACAGTCGATGCCTCTCTCACACTGAAAAGTTGTGTTAGTTTAAGCTATAAAGATGCACAGCTGCTTTCTACACAGAGGTGTGGCCATGGAGATGCCGACGCATGATGTTCTCTACGTGGATATCGCTCTGTTGTGGAAAGTACTGTGCATGTCTATAACTACATTGTGATGACTGCCTGTCGCACACGGGGAGCTGGGACGGTCGAGATGAAACTCGAGGTCTAAGAGATGATACATTTTGGTCCGTTCAAATAGCTACATAAATTGATGACGCCGAGATGTGCTTAAGTCAAATAATATTCGACGTATTATATACACAATGCCGCCTAGGATAGAAATGCTCCCCATATGAATATAGTCAGAAAAGGCTAGAAACCCGCTCGATTGAAAGAATAGTATCGACAAGAATGCAACAAGAAAAGGTATGGGTATCTTTTGGGATCCGCGCTGTGTGGATGCATAGGAAGAAAAAAGGTGGGTGAGCTTGAAATATGTATGCCAGTCGGTTGGATGTTCATTGCCGAGCCGTGATAGAAGAGAAATGCTTTGTTGGCGAAGAGATTGTCGTATGTTCGTGAAGTATTTCGTAGGTTTCAAAGAGTGTGTGTGTCTGGTTGACAGTTGTAGGTGTTCATATAGAGGTAATGCGTGCACCCATGGTATTGCGCTTTGGTCGCAGGTTCATGACGGATTGGAGTTCACGGATCATGTTGGTACTCGAGTCACGCTTGTCGCGCATTTCGGACAGACGTACTCGCTCCTCTTGCATCTTAGCGATGCGTTCCTCTCTGGTCAAGGAACTGCGTTGACGTGGTATGTGCAGAGATACACCCTCAAAGACTTCTTCATCAGAGCCGGATCCTGCAAGACTTGATCTGTTTGACTTTGATTCGCCGTTCAGAGCGCGCAAGGCATCGGCCGGTCCGCCCTCTTCAACAGCAGTCAATCCACCAAGGCTTGGGGCTGGCGAACGAAGACCACTTGATGCTTGCGAGATACGACGCTCCTGCTTGTCGAGATTGCTTGCGAGAGACGCCTTGCCGTTCTCCCAGGCTTGCATCAAGATCTTGAGATCGGCCCCGATAGATTCGTACTGCGACATCAAGTTGGGGCCAAGATCAGTCAGGTCATCTGAATCTTCGATTGCCTTGGTGGACTCTTCTCTCATCAGAGCCATTTTCGCTTGTAACGATCTGATGCCTTGAGAGAGGTCGGTGATCTTGCGGACCTGTGTGCGTAAACGCTCGCCGGCGGGTCTGGTAGAGAGCCTTGCCTCTCTGGGAATTGTGAACTCCTCAACTTCACGAAGGAGTTCACTCAACTTCTGTGCCCAGGTCGCAGTAGTAGTGCTTAGTGAGTTCATGATCTTGGTTGCGGCCGACCAGCGAGCGAAATCGGGATTACCTCCATCAGCCTCGAGGGACATGAGGGAGCAACAGACGACTCTTCTGAGAGTGCTGTACTGGTAGCTGACAACACGGAGGCTTCTGAGGGATTCCGGATCGTCTTCTTCCAGGGAGACGAATGCAGGACTTACAGCCTCCTGAACAGCGTGGTGAGGAATGTCGTAAACATCCAGGTATTTCTCCATATCATCTTGATTTAGCAAGACCTTGAGCGAGATGGTTGCATCTCTGAAGGCAGGCAGTGCTTCGGTGTAGGCTTTGTTGAGGGCACTACGCAGTTTGGCGCACTTTCGGTTGACCTTGACATCGTCGAAGCGGGAGATTGGAGGGAGTGGGGTGCTCCTGCGATGTGTTAGCAGATGTCATAGGGATCGCCAGAAGCCGTCATACAGTCTGTAGCCCTTGGATACAAGCTCGACCTCTTGGATCAGAGATAAGGCAGCGGAGGTAGTGATGTCAAAGCCACGAGCATTGGTGGTCAACGAGGAGACGCTATCCACAGCCTGGTGTCTGAGGTACTGCAGCCACTGTCGACGGATGTATGCGTAGAACAGAACGCCAGCTACGGCAGCGCACAGCAGTGCCAGTAGGATACGACTCTTGCTCAATCGAGAACCGCGAAGCCAGTTGAGTAGGAGAACGAGCACAAAGGCAACGCCGGCGGTAGCAGCGACACCAGAGACGTTCAGCGAAGCATTTGGAGTCAAGTCTGTGTGGCCGAAAGGAGCACCGTTGATCTGGGTAGTGTGCAGCGAGCCGAGATCCGGATATTCGTTGAGGAGCTGCGAGGCGACGATAAGATAGCGGAAGTGTTCGAGGAAGCGGTTGTTCTCAGCTCGGCCGATGCGAGAGTTGACGGCACGCTATGCTATGTCAGAAGGCGAGTTCGAGTGGAAGGACAGGCGGAGGGGTAGGCATACCGACCAAGCGTGGTGAAGCTTGGAAATGGTGCCCTGGGCAGGNAGTCGCAGGTTTAGGGGCTGGGTGAAGCGCTTGAGCGAGGGCTTCTGCGGTGCGACGGACGGAGTGAAGGGAGGAGTATGCGAGGGCTCATGGTTGAGATAGTTGAACGAGTCGTCGGCGGTGCCTTGGCCTNNGCAGCTTCGCTTTAGTGGGTTTGTCCGGTCAAAGAGGAAGGCGCGTCTGCGTGACCGACCTTCGAGCAGCGCAGCAAGCGGTCCATCGTCTTCAAAGTAGCTCTCCATTCACGCGGCCGATGACACTGTCCCTGGGTGAGCGTAGTCTACCTCGTCGCACAGGAGGGGTCGAGACAGAGCCAGCAGGTGTACGAGATGGAGATCAAGGTCACAACAGGCACAAGGCCATCATATCCGCGCATCCAGACGTTCTTGCCTTCTAAATGAGATGCGATCATGCAACGTGGAGTAATTAGCGCGAAGTCTAACCGCACGGCTCGAATGCAGGGACCTGCCAGACGCGTTCCCGCCATGCCGGCTGAGTGCCACGTTCAACTGACTCGTCTGCCCTCCGCACTGTTCATCTTGTTGTATACGCGAGCAGGAACACCCGTCGGCTCGTTGCTTGGGAAGACGAAATTGCACTTGGATGTATACGTCTATTCATCAAACAACTACATTATTGCCTCTCGCCTAATACACATTACACCCTCCGCCTGTTCTCCTATCCCATCATCAGCCCTGCATCTCGCAGCTCGGCCAAGTCACCCCCTGCTTTGACTATCGCCTTCAGCGCTGCCTGGCTGAACCTTCTCCCTTTCACCACTTGCTCCCTTTCACGTCGAGCTTTGGTCTTGCTGCTGCCCGAGGGTGCCACTCCGGTCAACAGCTTCTCGCTATCTGATGGTGTGTAGTTCACAAAACTGCCCGATGATCCTCGTGGGCTATGCACCTGTCCTGATGACTTGCGACTGTGCCCTTTCGATGAGGGTGTCCGCCGTTGACGCCGCCGAGGTGACGGCGTCTCCGATGATGGTGTCCGTCGCTGACGACGTGATGTTGATGGTGTGCGTGACTCTCTTCTTGATCTGCCTATGTGCATCTCGCTCACCGTCTCCTCGACTCGTAACGGCGCAAGTGTAGGATCATAACATATTCTCAGGCCTGACAATGATAGGTCATTGTGATAGCTGGGAATCCTTGCTATTGGCTGGGATCTCATAGGTTGATGTAGGTTGATCTCGCTCTCGTCGCCCATCCAGGGACTGAAAGTCGGCGAAGGTCGGTGAATGTCTTTTGCATCGAATGAGTTCGCACTCCACAGTCTGCTGCGCTGAGACGGTTCGGGGTACACGCTCGGAACCACGGGTGACGGATCGTTTAATGCTGCGATCGGATATGCAAGTGCAGCAGGGTTGCATGTTCCGATGTCCAGTCCTTCGGCATCAACGTACTGGTTGAACACGTTATCGTACACAGAAGTCCACTGGAGTTCCTTGCTTGATGATCGGGCACGATTGGGCCGTATGGACAGTGGTCGAATGGGGTAAGTGTATTGATGAGTAATGGATGCCATTGCACTCTGAGACGTAGTGTTACTGCGAGGGTGTGTAATGTTTTGGCTGGTGACTGCGATACACAAGCCAGCTCATGCAAGGTATTATATGCGGTATTGGGCAGACCAGTCGAGTGGCTGGGAATTTGTATGAAATGAGACCTTTACAATGACCAGTTTCCCTGATCTGGTGCGTATCCAGATGATCGGGCTTCTTTGTTCGTTCCTTGGAGCTACATTCCTCACTTCCAGCCACCTGATCTGATCTGATCTGATATGGAGTGGTGTTGCTTTTGCTACAGCTCGTCTCCAGATGTCATGAATTGGCGCTGGCCTCATAAATCACAAACCCTTTCGGTTGGTCTCAACTAACCTCCAGAATCAGCATGGAGACACTTTTTAGTCGTGTTATAACAGGAACAAGATCTAGAATGACATTTCTCGTCATGCGAGGAATGCTAGCCATCCACCATGGAATGTGTCGGCGATTTTGCCAAGTAGTCCCCAACCACCTGGTTCCTTTGTTCTGTAGTTGGTCTAATCATGTGGTGGCCGCATTAAGAAAGGCCGTAGAGACAGTGCGGAGCTCTTGCTCATACAAGAAAAGTGTAGGTTATGTATATACAGGGGTATTTACGTGGAAAATGACAGAAGTCTACTTGTCGAGGTTCTTGAGCTCGGGCATGAAAGCCATACCTTGACCACTTTTGCTGTCCGGTTCAGCCTCGCCAGATTTATCGCCTTCAAGAACGCCTCCAGCACTGCGATCCTTAACGTGCTGTCTAAGCATGGCCAAGACTTCTGAGTTCTTCCATCGCTGGGGAACAGGGCGGTAGGCGGGCTTGAAGAGACCAACAGTCTGGGCCCACTCGCCGGTGCCAGGTGGGCGAACGGGCTCATCTTTGGCGGGCTTGCCCTGAGCTACAGAAGTAGCCTGCTCGGGGCCACCTCCTTCGGCGTATTCCATGGAAGTAGGCGTGGGCTCCTGTGTGGCCCAGTAGTAAATGTCCCAGTCGTTCTCGTCAAGGAAAAGGTCGTATTGTTGGAGTTGCTTGGGGGTCATTGTTTCGAGGTAGCGATCAGCAAAGGTGGACATGAGAAGGTCACTCTCTAGTGTGCCTCTTTTCCTGCTTTGGTCTGTAGAAAGTGCGCTCGTCAGCATTGGCTCGACTTTGTCAAGAGGGCGTGAAAGTGATTGGCGACGAACANNTAAGAGTCTAGCCCGAGTGGTGTTGGTGTCTTCGCCTGTCCTCCTCAAAGGCTCGACACGGAAGGAGCCCCCNTCGAGTTCACCTACTTCAAGATCGGAGTTGACGCCAGACTCGGGGCTGCCCTGCTGAGTGCCTCCGGTCATTCTCTCGGTGTTCTCGGGCACAGAGTCCTTGGCAGTGAAGTTGGGGTCGATGCTGGTGATCATCTCTGGGGGNACGTTATCCTTGCCAATGCTGGGCATCTCGTTGGCGATGGTCGAGGTGGTGTTGGTCATGTGAGGGTTGAGAGGCTTCTCCATCTGGGCCTTGCGATATACATCGACGTTGTCATGGATGCGAGCTTCGTGTTCTGCGCCGAGACGGGCAGTGACCGAGCTGAAGGGACGCACAACGCGAGGGGCGGCGCGAAGAGATCTGAGGACGAGTCTTGCTGAAGACATGGTGTGTGTGTTTGGTGATGTAGGTGTACAAGATCAAAGTCGAAGTCGAGAGAACGAAGAGAGCTGCTCTTGTCTGGGGTTCGAGAGTCGAGATCTCGGGCGAGAAAGCTCGACGTCATTTTGGAATCATCATCGAACTTCGATACTGCTAGAGTTTGTCACACATACAATACTCGTACTGTCAAATCCATTTCACCTAGCCATCAATCACTTTACTGCTACAATGATTTCTTCCTCTAAAAGATGTTCTATGAACATCAGTCTTGTGATCCTGCCAACAAGACGATCAAGCGCACAGACATCTGCACCCGTGTCTGAAGCGTCTTTGACAGTGACGGACTGAAACTCAACATGGTTTGATATGCATGTCAGTCATGTTCATTTATGACAGAGACAAGTGTTAGTAGGTCAAGTATTCTTCCGGAGTGAATAAAGCCGTGTTTGTCGTATGCTGAGTCTGGAGTTTGCCAATTTCTGAATCATAGACAGGATGGTTGGCAAGCGATGGTCGCCTCATTCCCTGTGTTTGTCATGTATAGATAGACGGAGCCAGTACGTGAAACTAGGAAGGAGCAGGGTAGACGGCGCTGGGGGTAAGAGGGCAGGTGCAACAGGATCGCGACTTCCCTGCTAGCACTCACCCAACGCCTGGACCTTGGATCTTCTTCTACCATCTCAACTTTCGTTCCCAACATCCAATCCCCATTCCTTCGTTACATGATCAACATCCCTGACACCTATACCCATCGATACAAGGCCCTACCACCATTGTTCATCGCATCGTCAGCAGTATCACCATGTCTAGCGATCCCACCCTTGCAATTCCCGTGGACACAGGCCGTCCTGGAGCATCTCGCACAAGCTCATCCCAAAGCGTGCAGCGCCCTGTTGAACGCATCGACGACCGCCAGGATCTCGGTACTGTCGTCAAACGCGGAACCAATCCAGCACCAAACAGTCCAGCAGAAGTGGGTGCAGGCAGTACAGCAGACGAACGTCCTACGAGCATCGACATCCCGGCTACCAAGGCTTCGAGCACCGGAGACCTCAGATCTGGTTTGGCCAGTCCAGTAATCCCTGATGGTGCTGTTCAGTGAGTTGCTCGCTGTCTTGAGCTGATGGGTTGAGAACTGACCTGTTCGCTCAGGTCACTCGTCGCTAATATCCATGCCGACAACCCAGGCAGCAAGACACCTACGCCTGCAGACATTCCAATCACCATCCTTCGCGCTGGCGTCACCCACAAAGTCTTCAAGGTGCCCAACTACCTGCTCACCAACAAGGTCCCCTTCTTCAAAAAGTTGTTGGCGACCACGCCAGCTCCTACCGAGGCACAACTGACTTTCGATGATCTTAACGAGTTCGCCTTTGCACTCTTCATCCGATGGTTGTACGGCGGTCTACTCCAGGGTCCCCATGACTTTCATTCGGTCCAGCACTACCTCTGTCTGTATATGATCGGTCAGAGATGGGATGTCGAGTCGCTCTGCAACGACAGTAAGTACACCTCGAAGGAGAAGGATAGGCCTCAGCTCACAGTTGATAGCCNNATCGATCTGGTCCGCTTGTACTACCACAAGAACAACATGACGGCACCTACCTTCCGCCTCGAGTATATGTACACTTTCACCAAGACGCCCAACCACATGCGCAAGTTCTTGGCCGAGACAGCTGCGTTCCGCGCACTCTGTGGTGAACCTGCAGCCAAAGGTGTCTACTTGTCAGACTCAATGAGGACGCTGATCGGCAAAGGAGGCGACTTCTCGGTTGACTATGCTCACTCCCTCATCAAGCTCACCAAGGACGATTTCCCCGACCCCAGAAAGGGTTCCAGATGTGATTGGCACGAACACGCTAACGGCAAGCTTTGCGCAAAGGAGGACGTGGAGCCATACATGACATCGTGATCCGGGTCTCATGAGGATTCGAGGAGTGTGCCACGCCGAGTTTGCTGTTGCTTCCTGGCTGGCCAGAGAAGAGAATGGAGAAGAGAAGACACAGATAGGGAGAGAGGCTGCGATTGCTGATACAGTACCTATAAACTATTGCTGCACATAACACAGCGGCAGCTCTCCAACCTGAAATGACATGAAATGCATTATACCGTCCATCTCGTCTAGATGAGGTGCTTGGATCTGTGAGGTTGTGTAAGCTTGTAATGTTGATGCAATCAATTCCAGGCACATACCTGAAGTAAGCACGCAGGTAGACGATCTGCCATGCGCCCAGACCGACCAGCATACCCATGGTGCCAAAAGCGAACCACTTAACACGCTCGTTGGTGCTCTCATTGGTATCTCTCAACTTTTGCTCGCGAATACGGAGGTAGTCCAACTCGGAGACAACCTCGGCAACCATCTCTTCGATTCTGCGTAGCTCCGTCTCGACGGGCTGAAGCTTCTCGCCGGCTTGAATGGCAGACCAGTCCTTTGCATCGGCGCCAATGTCGATGTCGAGTTCAACGTGACGGCTGGGATTCGGGACTCCGGTGTCTGTTTTGTGAATGCGTCGTTAGTCTTGTATAAACGGGTGTAAGAAGCATCGAGCAAACGCACTTGAGGTCAAGATATTCTCGAAGCAGACGTCAAAGGCGGAATCGGCGTGAGAGGTGAAAGCGTAGCGACCTTCGCCGGCGACGTCGCGAGGTCTGTGGTAGTCGTTGCCGACAGCATCCTTGATCNNTAGACGAGAGATGTGGTGTCAGCATTCAAATCTCCTGCTTGTAATCGGCTTGAAGACACTCACGTGCAGGTTTAAGACCTGGCCATCTCCTCTGTGTCCGCTGATGGTTGCCGTCACGACGACAAGCTGGTCCTTTGCGACAAAGTTGCGAATGCAGCGTTCCTTGCTGGCCGACTCTGCTCCGGGATGCGCCTGGATGTCGAATTTGAGGGCGAAGCTGAGGGGCAGCAGTGCCAGTAGGAGCAGTCGCACCAAGAAACTCGTGCGGGATTCCATCTTTTGCTTGACGTCTCTTGGCCAGATCCTTGGGTCCCCTTTGGTTTGTCCGGGTGTTGGGCGTGAGAGAAGCAAAGCTCTCCTTTATTTTGGTAAACGTTGGCCTTTCGAGAAACGATGCCCCGGATCTCCCTGAGCTGTGCTTCCTATTCTTGATGCAAACACGCCAAGCAACAGGATTCCGCTCCGCTCGACTCTGATGCGATTAGTAGCACCCTGCTTGACCTGCTCCTTTCAAACTCACATCTCTTTCTCTCGGGTGTTCGCTCAGTGTTTACCGGAGCCTTGAGACACTGTCCTCATGCTCTGATTATAGCTGCTCTCAAGCGCTCCGTTGTCTAGACGGAGAGTCCGACTCGTTCGTCTCCAAATTTCTAAGTTGCTGCATGAGTGGGGCCATCCTTAGAGTATCGCATGAATTTGTCAAAGGTAGGGCGTGTCATATAGATAGATAGCACAACAACTCCAACTTGTTATCGTTGAACATAGCAACAACCATGTCTCAGCAAGAAGCCTTTTGGGTACAGACAGAAGATTGGCACACGGCTGGTGAGCCCTTCCGTATCGTCGCGGACCTGCCACCTCACTGCACCACTACCGGCAACACAGTATGGGACCGACGCCTCAACATTGTTGATCAGCCAAATCACCCTCTGGATCTCCTGCGCCAATCTCTTTGCCACGAACCAAGAGGCCATGCCGACATGTATGGAGGCTTCATCGTTCCACCAAACGATTCTGGTGCCCATTTTGGCGTCCTGTTCTGGCACAGAGATGGATTTTCCACGGCCTGTGGCCACGGCACAATCGCACTGGGTCGATATGCCGTAGCCAAAGGGCTCGTAGAATCTGTCCAAGAAGGCGCAGTCAAAGTCATCATCGACGTACCTTCCGGAAGAGTCACAGCAGAGGTCAACTTCAAAGACGGCAAAGTGGCATATGTGAACTTTGTCAACGTTCCCAGCTACCAATACGCCAAGAGTCTACCTGTCAGCATATCAGTACCTGGCTCAAACACTTTGCAATTCAAAGTCGATCTCTCCTGGGGCGGAGCCAGCACTGCGTCTGTTGATGTCCGTGATGTTGGTATAGAGATCAAGCCAGCCAATGCTCAACGCTTTATCGAACTTGCCCGTCAGATCAAGGCTCAAGTTGGATCACATGGAGAACACAAGGGCACGTCTCTGTATACTGTTTCCTTCTTCGAGACAATCAGCGACAGCGACCAAGCCATTGAACAGAAGAATGTCGTGGTCTATGCAGAAGGTGCCATTGACAGATCTCCTTGTGGCAGCGGCACTGGCGCTCGAGTAGCCGTCTTGCTAGCACAGGGGAAGTTGCATGGTAACAAANAGCTCATCCATCATTCCATTATCAACACGACATTTGAAGCCAGGATTATCTCTCAACAGCAGGATGAGGGATCAGAATATCCGAATTGCATACCAGAGGTCAGAGGAAACGCTTTCCTCACTGGCCGCCACAGCTTTNTCATCGATCCGAGCGATCCTACCTACCCTGGTTTCTTTTTCGAGTAGGAGGCATGTTGAACACGATGACAGAAACGCAAACTGATGAGAAAGAATTATAACATATCATGATACATAAAAACAACCGTCAAACTCATTGCTTCGACCCTTTTACATCGCCTCGTGACGAGCCAGGAACTTCTGTATAACTATCCTCTAGATGCAGCGCTTCCAATACGATCTCTTCAGACGGCTCAACTCGTAGATACGTCTTGCGGCCCTTGATGATCCAGAAGACAATGGAGACGACAAGCATGACACCAAACACGGCAATAGCGTAATTCATGTCTGCTCCCGATGGATTGGGTCCGCCTGGGAAAAAGAAAAAGATTGTTGTGACGACACAGTAGACCACACTGATCCAGTTGATCACAGCTCCATACTTACCGAGTCCAAATTGCCCGCCAGCAGGTAATTTGTTGCGGCCCACGAGCAGCAGAGTCAAGATGGGCATGGCGTAGGAGACAGTCAAAGCGATAGTGGCAACACTCAGGATGGCCTCAAGCACCGTGTTTGCAAACAGATAAAGAAGGCCAACCAGACCCATGAGCACTCCCTGAACCAGCAAGGCCTGTGGCGGAACTTTCCACTTCTTGTTGACCCTCTTGATGTATTTCGAAAAAGGCAAGCCGTTATCACGGGCAAAGCCCCAGGTCAAGCGGCTGCCGGTTGTGGTGATGGACATGCCCTGACCTAAGCTGTTCATTGTGAAGAGCACCATCAACACGACAGCGCCTTCGAGGCCAACGCAGTCTTGGACGAGCTGCATGAACGGCAAGCCGGTTGGTGTGTTGATCACTCTGTCGAGGTCTTGGATGCAAAAGAGACATACGACCATGAACAGGAATCCAGTGATGGCGCCGAGGACGACCGACAGCCAGATGGCGCGGGGNGCGTTGACGCGAGGGTTGGGTAGTTCTTCTATCATGNNTGGACGACCTTGAGAGGATACATGTCAGCGTGCGCCTCAATCATGGAAGGTAAATGTACATACCGAATCGAAAGCTGTTAACCCATAGGCCGCTTGAACGAGACCAGTGAACCAGACCACTCCCGATGGCCATCCTGTCTCGTTAATCCATGCACCAAATGCGAAAGACGGCGGTTGGAACTCAAGCCCTTGCTTGGTGCCGACAGAGATGAGCAAGGCAAGACTGAGGATGAAGAAGAGCGCAGCGAACTGGATGCCGACAATGTTGTTGAACCAAGGCAGAATCTTGTCGTTTCTACAAGCCACCAGATTGAAGACTGTGAACACGACCGTGATGCCCAGATACACCAGAAACTCGACCCATCCTGTTCCAGCACCCTTCCAGTCCGGATCGTACATGAGCTTGATGCCAAGCAGAAAGTTGGTTGCGAAGGCGACGAGCGAAGCATTGAGTGTCCACCAGCCAAAGGTGTTGATCCAGGCACACATGTATGATGCAAATCTTCCTGTTGGTGTGTGCCACAGCGAGTGCATCCAGTAAGCCTGACCAAGAGCAGTAGGCATAGCGCTGCATAGCTCACCCAAGCTAAGTGCAACACAGAGGTTACATACGAAGACAAGCACAAGACCCCATAGGATTGTGATGGGGCCGCCATTGTTCAATCCAGATGCCAGGTCTTGGGCAAAGGTGCCATAAGTGCCCAAAATCGAGAAAGCGAGGGCGAGCATGCTCCATGGCGAGAACTTCCTCGTAAGTTCTTCTGTATGGCCCAAGGCCACCATATCTCGGGCATCCTCATAGCTTTGCTTCCCGACATCGATGGGTTTCGAGTCCATGACTTCGTTTCTGTACAAAGATCCACTCATCAATTGATGATTGCGTGACGCGCCAATATAAGATGAGATGTCGGAAGTTCGACCACGAAGCAAAGAGCTGTTGAGCACCACACACAGAGCAGGGTGCGAAGCCTTCAAGTGTTATAGTACAGCCATGATGCAAAAGATAGGCGTTACTGCAGTACTTGCCGTCTATCCAGTGTCCACCACGACCTCAAAACCAAAAAGTGATAAGAAGGGGATGTTCAATCTCATGACCAATTCCGAGGCGTAATTTTGTCTTCCCCGCTTCTCCCTTGAACTTTAGTTGCGAAGACATCCTTAAGCAACCAATCTAGAGGGCGGAAAACACAGTCTAGATCCATAGCATCTTGGTGACAACGGCCACGGACCAGGGATGTGATGAGCACACAACTGCATTTGGAAGGTTCATGCGAATAGCGTGGAGTGCTCCGGCCGGTTATCTGTGTATTCGCGTGCGTCCTCTTCTGCAACGGTACATGCGGACGTCGAAGCAGTACCAAAAGGGAAACTTCAGACGATGGTATCTTGCCTGTCAGTTATCGTCCTGGCAGATGCTCATGTTATTGGGTAGACGGCTTGAACCATGGATAAGCTGAATGAGAGCCTCGTGTCAGAGTGTTGACGTCTAACGTTTGTTCCGAGCAGAACGACTCCTAGACATGCTCAAGCACCAACAAGGATCATAGGCCCTTGATCAACGCGTCTCATAGTCGGACGCGCAGTCGAGAGGGAATGGTTGTTGAGTTGGGTTGGGGAAGAGAGATGGCTGGTGAACATATCGTCTGTGCTCACGGGTGCCGTCATGCGCAGACTCCTCGCGCATTGATTATTTCCGTACTAACATCACCGAAGACATCGCATCAAACTGACAGTATCTCTTCGACCACAGTATGATCACCGTGCAGTATTCGGATTCGCCACACGAACATGTCCGCCTGGCAAGTCAAGGGGATGCACAGAACTCGGCTACACTTGAGTATCTCGCTGAGGGTAACGCGAATATCGTTTACTCCTTTCAACCAATCGCCAACAACGTGCTTCCTCATGGTCTCCGCCATAAGCTCTTGCGATTGAGGAAAGACAAGTCTTTTATCCAACCCACGAAGGCTCAGTCCTCGACTTTCCAACAAGAATTTCTTCCGTTGTTTCGACCCAACAACCTTGTAGAGCAAACATTGATCACGCTGGATGAAGTGCTCATCAGACGTCTCAATCAGGAGCTTGAAGAGCATGAGAATAGAAAGCTTCGAAAACATGTGCGCCACGGTGATCGATTAGCAATCGATGAGTATGGCTTGCTGATGACTGACATGACTGCTCGTCGTGGCGAGTATCTATTCGAAATCAAGCCCAAGTGGTTACTACAATCACCCGACGCACCTGAAGGCTCTCAGAGATGCAGAACTTGCGCGTTGAGATTGCAAAGGGCTCATGCAACGGCTCGAGGCGCCGTAATGCCGAAACCAGGCGGATTCTGTCCCCTTAGATTAGTTGACGACGACGTTGGAGAAAGACAAATGGCTTTTAGGAGCATCATTGAAGCACAGGCTGGTGATCTGCCCAATGGATTTGGTACGTTTTCACGGACGAGCGGTACAAAATCACTTTTACCCGTACCTCTTTCGTTACACAGCACAAGTTCCCTCACCACAAATCAATTGACTCAAATCTCAGTGAGCTCGGTCGTTGCCTTCCTAGCAGAAAAGGGGTACCAGGTTCTCGAAACTCTTCGCAAGCACCAATTGCAGTTCGACAAGTACGGTTTACTGAGCCTAAGCGCGTGAGTTGATCAATTGACAATATCCGACATTCCTAACANNACAAGCAGCGAGGGAACATCAAACGACTATTCAAAAGCAATGACCCTCCGTGATTGTGTGTTGTTCGTCAAAGGCTCCCTAGACGCATTCGAGAATACAGCAGACATCCGCCTAGCAGACCTGGATTTCAAGCATGCTCATCCGGACAAGGTAGAAAAGTGGATGGACACTGAAAGAACACTCATAGACGAAGGCTGGTACACGAACACTGAGATCGATGAAGCACCTGGCTCAACGTGTTTGCTTACTCGAAGATCACTTTGAACCATCTAAGCATTGCTCTCGAGATATGAAAGTTCTTTGTCCTCAATGCCAGAAGATCCTTCAAGTGATCGAGGTGAGGCGGTTCGTGAAATGTCTAGATGCATGTATCCGCTAGTGCGCTAGTAAGTTCTATTGCAGATGGATATTTTGGTTGAACGATTGTGGTGCGTTCAGTATCAATCGGACGTGGTGAAGCGTTCCTGCCTGAAAACCATCACACGATACTTTGGTACAGGAACGGCAGGGACGACTGCGGAGAAGAGTCCCACATGCACTTGAAGATCGCTGAGCCCTGCTTATTCTTGGGGGATGGCGGCTTGGGCGTCTTGGTGCGACTCGATCGTCGTTATGTTGTTCTCACTCAGCAGTTTGGGCATTATGATTTTACATGAAGCTCAGATGGTCGAATACACTATCGATATTTCATTGCTTGCCTTAGGACTGCAGGTGTAACCCACTCCTGACTTGACGACCACTCCTCTTATCTCGTGTTTCGACGAAGGTACACAGTTGTTGCCAAGCAGCCTTGCCATGGCATGGCGAAGCATTCCGTCCGCAGCCCGCAGATAGGATTCGATCATGATCACCTGCTCACATTGTCTTGATATATATTTCCAACTTTTGCCATTTTTCTTGAGTCTCGAAAGGCATCTTTTGAGTCCATCAACCGTGCCTAAATCCCTAGGATCATCATTCTGGCCTCGTCAAAATCTCCACCAGACATTGACCCAGACCCAACCTCGACACATTACACTTACACACCTATCATGACTACTTTCGCGCAACATCCGAATGACACGACCCCAAACGTAGCTCCTTATGCCATGCAGGAGCGACGTACACAACAATACATGCCGCCTAAGGCCAGCCAACAGCAAATGCTCAGTCGTCAGCGTCCAGCACCACGCATGCAGCCATACCCAGACCAAGATCAACTATATCAACAGTCAGGATATGTACAGCAACCAGACCAAGTGCAAGCGCATGATAAGCGTCCGACCTACCTAGCACCGATAACGAGCGAGTCCGACTACGATCAACAGCTCCGACCAGCTCTGGCCCAGCGGCGTAGCGAAGCAAGCTTACGATCTGCGCATTCCCACAAGTCGACACGCTCAACAGGCTCCCACCATTCACACCAACCAACAAAGTCAAGCCATTCGCATCGGTCCCACTATTCTCATCACGGCGCGAGTGGTGAGCGCAAGAGCCACAAGAGGGAGAGGGATATAGACGCCAGGCCAACCATGGGAGACAGTGTAATGCTTGTGGTTAATCACTTTCGGGATCTGCTGTCTGGCGATAGACGTTGATCGTGTTGGCAGGAACGAGGGAGTTGGCGGATTACGAGTTACAACACCACAGGCGTTCGGAGAGTACTAGATTGTTACCAAATCATACCTACCCACATTCTTTGTTTCATGCCAGCTTTGTGTCTCTGCTTTCTCTCATGTGATACGACGACCAGCTGAATTGTCATGTGCTTTAGTCCCTTTGAGAGGCGCGACATCGTATGTAGATTCTCATCAATTAGAAGTGAAGTACCTAGACGAGTCCTCAGGACTCACTGCCTTGGAAGAAAGAACAAAGCTCAGCCGAGGTTTACCCGGTCGCAAATACAAGCAGCGAGGGGTCACGGAAAAAGAGGGTTAGAAGTGTCGGAAAGCGGCGTGTTGATTCGAGCGGATTTTCAGATCAACGCGCGCGGCAGTCTCGCTTGCTCTTTCGTGATCTTTTGAGCGGCTGCCTAGCTACAAAAGCCCTTCGTCTCCCACCCTCTTCATTCTGCTCCACCTCAACGCGACTTTCTTCCCACTTATCTCAACCGCATCAACGACCTCGTGTCTATACAGCAACTTCAACTTTACCTTCAAACCTCCAAACCAAATCTACTCAACATGTCTGGACGTAAGTAACTATTCTACACACTCCCACTCACTCTTATTATTCACGTCGCCGCCGCCGCCGTCGCTTCTGACTGCGGAAGCGCGTCGTCGCGTCGGCCTTCATCGACGCCACTTCACATCATCACACAACATCTCCTCGACCCTTACTAACATTCTATCACAGGTGGCAAGGGTGGCAAGGGTCTCGGAAAGGGTGGTGCCAAGCGTCACCGCAAGATCTTGCGTGACAACATCCAGGGTATCACCAAGCCCGCTATTCGTCGTCTCGCTCGTCGTGGTGGTGTCAAGCGTATCTCTGCCAGTAAGCTTCACTGACTCTTCTCGTCCTCGAAACAAATAGCTAACCCATCCTTCANNGTGATCTACGAAGAGACTCGTGGTGTCCTCAAGACCTTCCTCGAGGGTGTTATCCGTGACGCTGTCACCTACACCGAGCACGCCAAGCGCAAGACCGTCACCTCCNTCGACGTTGTCTACGCCCTCAAGCGCCAGGGCAGAACCCTCTACGGTTTCGGTGGTTAAACGCTGCCGTGCAACCTGGACCTGGTTACTGCCTTTGGTTCTCTTCTCTTCACGAACTACTTTGATTACTACTACTTTGCTTTTCACACTCAACCGGCGCGGGGATACGTGAGCATGCCTCTGATGCAGCCACTGGGTTACGGTTTACGGAGTTATTATGGTACATGGGTCACGAGCGAAAGGAAACTGCTCTTCTTCAGAGGAAGGAATGTCTATCAAATCACACGAATCAAACATGAATGGCACATGGCCTTCATGAATTATCAACTTCAAAACATATCGTGCCAACTCGCGTGCCTTCTCATGTCTGCTTTTGGATGTTTTGCAATTTTGTACAATTCGTCGACTGCTGCAAAACAGTCTTGTCTAGTCTTCGTGCTGAGTAGAAGCTTTACCGCTCCATCTTGATTCTCCAAACAAATCCAGAACGCCTTTTGCCATGCAATCCCAGTGGATATCCTTTCTTTCTTCTCAATCGTACACGGTTGATGCAGAACACGAGTATCGAGCTCATGCAGCAGTACCCTCCTTCTTGATCTCCTGTCCTGGCCTGAATTTTGGCTCCATCAGACCGATCTGTGATGCAACTCTTGTTAGCAGATACTCTTCCCATACCATCTCTTTTCTGCTTCCTCTCCTTGTACATCCTGACCCTCTCTCTACGTTCCCTTCTCTCCCTAGCTCTTCTTCTCTGCTGCCGAAAAAGAGACTCACCATGCTAAGCAACCTCCAAGCAGGCTCGCTCGGTTGAGCACCCACACCCAACCAGTACTTTGCGCGGTGAATGTCGAGCTTGATGTCCTTGAACTTTTTCGCCGTCTCATTGCCATCGGTGGGCGTTTTTGGGATGGGGTCGTATGTACCGAGGACTTCGAGGGGTTTGCTGCCGCGTGCGGTTCTNGTTGGTTGGAGTTGGATGTTAGAACTTGTGATTTCCTCCTTTTGTTTCCTTGTGTCTTGTCCAAAAGCTGTATCGTTATGGGGGAGTAGGGTAGATGGTGCAAGTCGAGGAATATGAGCATTGGGCTTGCGCGCGGAGGGAGGATCGAAGGCGTACCGGGCGTGGGCGACGACGATGTTGTAGAAGGGCGCATGGCGCTTGCCGAAGCGCGCGAGACGGATCTTTAGAACCATGGCGAAATGGTCTTGGTGTGTTGTCCTTGATGTAAAGGGTGGATATGGACTCACTTTCGCGGAGACTATTCTGGTGCCCGCCGCTGCAAAAGACGGCTTTCGCGATGAGCGAACGAACGCCAAGAACAGCCACTCCCGGTGGTTTGCGGGCAAAGCATCAACTCATCAGCTTCACCTCACTTCCACTCTGACCTTCACATTCCTTTCACTTATCATTTATCACTGTCACTTTGCCTTGCACTTTCACATGTTCTTGATCACATGATTGGTTTCTTGGGTCAGCTGGTGTCTTTTATGACCAGTATATTACAGCATGTGACTTCTCGATAATCTAAGTACATCCTGAGCTACCTCGCTCGAGGTGGGTATAAAGCTTCGAATTACCCAAACTCCGTATTGGTGCTATGCACTCCAGTGGTCTTCCTGCTTGTCTTCTGCATGACACTTCAGCCCACAGCTCTCTTGACTACTAGGCGGTAAAGGTTAGTAATCCATCAAGTTTAGGTAAGAACCACACAGAAAAGAGATATCAACTTACGATTTTGGAACTGCGCTGCCAGCCCGTCGTATTTTCCATTGGTCTCTGCGACCTTCTTATTCACGTCTTGGTAGCTCTTTATGGTCATGGCTTCCAGTTGCTTGTAGCGGTCAACTAGCCCTCTCAGTTCTACAGGCAGGCCATAAGCGGAACGCCATTGATTCTCCATCATTTTTGCCAGCTCGTCTGTGGTGACTGAATTGAAGCGAACTTCATGCCTTTGAAGCAGATCAATATGATTCTCGATGGTCCTGCTAATGTAGTCTAGTTGAGGCTTTAGACCTTCTGACACTCCCTGTAGAGCTTTTTGCCTGACTTGGTTGATCGAAGCTTCCAGTTCACTTTTGATGCTTTGATTTAGTTCCTCGAGTCGTGTAATGTTTGCGCTTAGTTCGTTCTTCGAAGCGAGGTCAGTGATCCTAGTTCCCAAATCCTTCCATGCATCGAGGTTTGGCAGGTCTTCTTCTGTCAAGCCTCGTTTCCCAGGAAGTTCGTCTTCAATATTGGCTTGCAGTTTGTTCAAGTTGACTTGCAACTGGTCCAGCTCCGATTGCATCGAATCTAGTTGATCGGCGAAAGCCTCGTCCTTCTCAGTGGCATCGTTTTTCACCAATCCCACTGATCGCTCGGTTGCTTTGAGTCTAAGTTCGAGTTCTTCGAGAGCAGGAGTTGGGATCGTGCTCGAAACTGCAGGAGTGCTGGACAGAATGGTGAATTGCTGTTTGAGCTCCTGTAGATCTCTGCGAGTAGCAGCCAAAGTCTCCGAGGTGTCTTTTAGCTTAGAATCAACCTCGACATCGAGATTCTGCTGCATTGCTTCGACTTTGGATTTACAAAGATCAATCTTTTGAGTTTGCTCTTCGTGCATCGTTCTGCTTTTCTCGACGTTGTTGTCGAATAAAGATCGGACGGCGTCGATGGACCGAGTTACTTCTTTGTGTTTTGTCTTGTTCTTCTCCATCTCCACTTCCAAGGTAGAAAATCGAGTTCCATAACTCAACCTGTCTTTTCGATCGTCTTGCTCGAGTTTGACCAGACGTTCTTCAGATCTTTTGGCGGAATGAATTTCGCGGTTGAGAAGAGCTTCTTGTTTCCCCAATTTGCTCTTCATCTCATGGTTTTCTGCACGGAGCTCCTCTAGCTCCTGCATTCCTGCGCGGAACTGGTCTTTGAAACTGCGGAACTCTGAACGAGAAATGCAGTCTTGGTGCGACGCCGATCCTGCTTGTTCAGGAAAATACACCTTCAAGGCTTCCAGCAACAAATTAGTAGCCTCTGCGGTCTGCGCTGTGGTGGCTTCATGATCTCTCCGTGCTTGGTCCAACCGAGTCGTCTGTTGAGTCCCCATGGCGGGAAAGTCTTTGTACCTTGGAAGCATGTTCTCATACACCGCTTCGACATTTTTGAGATGCTGATCGGCCTGATTTTGCTTGGAGATGGTCACTATGAACCTCTCAAGTATTTTTGGAAGACCCTCCATCTCAGGACGAGGGGTGGTGTTCCCGTTCCTAACAGGTGATCGTGACCGGGGAGTGTTGTAGCCAGTCTGATCTGGCGGATGTGCCTGCGAGATCGATGATCTCCTGGAACTAGGATTTGACGTCTGTCCATTGCCTTGATATGCTGACCCATGATCGAGCCGAGCGATCTTTCTGGGCATAAATCTTGGTTCTGGTGGATTTCCAGGGTATGAGCGTTTCAAATTCTCTCCAACCATGTTGAGAATGTCGTGCTGGTCAAAGTCAGCAACTTAGTTTGGGCTAGAGAGGGGTTTCGAGGGCGTTGTGACGGCGAGTCATGTACTCGAGTGGAAGTGAAAGTGAGAGGGAAACAGAAAGAGGAAGAGAGAGAGGTGTGAATGTATATTTGAAGTAGGTAGTTCGGGATGCGAGGCAGGGTGTGTTTTGAGCCGAATGGCAGAAGCGAATACGGACATGAATGATGTGAATGGAGTCAAGTGAATATCTACCACAGCATGTGACAGTAGGAGCGTGGGTGTGGAAGTGACCGAAGATGTGAAGAAAAGTCAACAAAAAGTGAGAGCAGACTTACTCTGAGTTGAGGGATTTGGGGATGTTCGAGCCCAATTGGAGCTGTTTGTCAAGAAACATAAATGATAGCAGGTCGGGCGTGAACAAAAAGCGGGACCAAAGTGGAAATGTTCGTTCGACGTGGAGAGTCTGTACGAGGCCGATGTTGCACGACAGATGATGGATATTGATATTGGATGATGCGATGGATTAAGCAGAGGTATGTGTAGGCGAAGGTAGTTGATTCACGAATTGTTGATGGTTCGGAAACAAGATACTTATTTCGCAAAGGGTTCAATCGAGCTTGGAACTTTGGGCGGTGGGTGAAGATCAGAGGAAGGGGATGCCCGTGAGTTGGACTAGACGACGAGCAGGACAGTGACGACTCACTCACCGTTTGCCAACGTGAATGCGCAATCACTGGAGTGCCCTGTTCTTGAGGGCAAAAGGCAGCAAGATGGTTGTGGCGCGTAAATGCATCCAAGACCGTTCGGCTTGAGCCGCAGTTGAGATGCGAAAGCTGCGGAGCGTTGCAGCAAGAGCTCTTGTCGCATCCCTCTCAATCACAACTACGTCTCTCATCAACCACTTACACTCAATTGCATTTGTCCACCTCTAGTCCATTTCGCACTCCGATCACACGTCCAACTTTCACATCGCGACACGAACCAACAGTCTCAATTGCAATGGCGGCGCAAATCTCGACCATCGCCGAATCGAAAGAGGTGCGCGGCCTGAACCTCATCGCCGCCCACTCCCATGTCCGCGGTCTAGGTGTGCAGCCAGACACTCTGGCCCCCAAGCCTGCTGCCGAGGGCTTAGTTGGCCAGCAAAAGGCCCGCAAGGCAGCTGCTGTCATTCTTCAGATGGCCCGCGAGGGCAAGATTGCAGGCAGAGCTGTACTCATCGCAGGTCCGCCATCCACCGGAAAGACTGCCATCGCCATCGGAATGAGCAAGGGACTGGGCGAGGACGTTCCATTCACCATGTTGGCTAGTAGCGAGATCTTTTCGCTGGAGATGAGCAAGACTGAGGCCCTGGAGCAGGCTTTCCGCAAGAGCATAGGGGTTCGCATCAAGGAAGAGTCGGAAGTCATTGAGGGAGAGGTTGTCGAGATTCAGATCGACCGCAGTGTCACAGGCGGCAACAAGCAGGGAAAGCTCACCATCAAGACGACCGACATGGAGACGCTGTACGACATGGGCACCAAGATGATTGACAGCATGACCAAGGAGAAGGTCCAGGCTGGCGACATTATCTCTATTGACAAGGCTTCTGGTCGCATCACCAAGCTCGGCCGCTCGTACACCCGCTCGCGCGACTACGACGCCATGGGCCCCGACACCAAGTTTGTGCAATGTCCTGATGGCGAGCTCCAGGTGCGCCGCGAAGTCGTACACACCGTGTCCCTCCACGAGATCGATGTCATCAATTCACGAACCCAAGGCTTCCTGGCTCTATTCAGTGGTGACACTGGTGAGATCAGATCCGAGGTTCGCGAGCAAATCAACACAAAGGTCGCCGAGTGGAGAGAAGAGGGCAAGGCCGAGATTGTTCCTGGCGTCTTGTTCATCGACGAGGTTCACATGCTCGATGCTGAGTGCTTCTCTTTCATCAACCGTGCTCTGGAAGACGAGCTGGCACCCATCGTCATTATGGCCAGCAACCGTGGTCAAACACGCATCCGCGGAACCAGCCACATAAGCCCTCACGGTCTGCCGCTGGACTTCCTGGACCGTCTCGTCATCATCAGCACCCAGGCATACTCGCCCGAGGAAATCAGAGAAATCCTGAGCATCCGTGCACAAGAAGAAGAGGTGGATGTGTCAGCCGACGCTCTCGCTCTTCTCACCAAGATCGGCCAAGAAACTGGTCTGAGATATGCCAGCAACCTCATCACTACTTCACATCTACTGGCACAAAAGCGCAAGGCAAGAGAGATTGAAGTCGTAGATGTCCAGAGGAGTTTCGAACTGTTCTACGACCCCAACCGCAGCATGAAGTTTGTGTCCGAGTTTGAGAAGAGATTCATCGGCGACGAAGGTGGTGTCGAGCTGGGTGGCATGAACGGCAACCCCGATGCTATGGAGATTACTGCCTAGTTTCGTGTATAGAACACAGACCAGACGAATGCATGTAAGGGGCGTTAAGGGAGTCACAAAAAGAATCGGAATACCAAGGCTAGCAGGGAGTATGTAAGTGTAACGAACGTTTGTTATATAGATGGCAAAGAAGCATTGGCTTCGGCATATCTGACTATGAATTTGAGCGTGTGCAGATGTCATAAGGGTCGTGTCTATTACGTGCTGTATGTGCTGGTGCAGGGTCTCGTCTATTCAGACACTGAGAAGGAAACCACGGTCATTCATCATATGTACATGCCTGGGATGCCCCCGGCAGCTTGAATGACAGCGATACTGTACAGGCTGGACAAAGCAGAGCCGCACACCTGATTTGTTTTGCCTGTTGTAAGAGGCCGTCCTTGAACGCCAAGATCCCATGCCGAAACTCCAAGAAAAGAAAGAGAATAAGAAAGAAACATGCTGGACATGAAGAAAACAAAGGTTGGGAAAAACGCATGTATCAGAGGCTCAGCCTGTCAGCACTGAGGCGATCAGCGCTCGTGTCACGGCGCACCATGCTGAGCTTGTAGAATCTTTCTTCACCCGCAGCGGTCCTGCCGCCAATGTACCACTTTTCAGCTCCGAGGACATCTCTATACCCCATACCGCCTTCAGAGCTGCTATCAGACCCNCTGCGATTGCGTCGGGCTTCTGATGCTGTGGGATAGCTGGGTGGTGGGCGATTTGGAGGGCCATACACAGGCATGCCGGCCGAGTTTACACCCAAACCAGGCGAAGGGGGAGACCTTGGGCCATGGGTGAGCGGCGAAACATTGTGCTGTAGAGGAGACAAGGCCGGGTGCAGCGGTGTAGGTTGCACAGGTGCAGCGGTGGTTTGGTTGGAAGAGGCCGACTTGTGATTGATAGCACGAGGGGCCGAAGCAGCATTGGAAGAAGATTGAGAAGGATTTGTTGTAGAAGTTGACGACCAGACAGTCTGGGAATGTGAAGTACCGACCGCTGCTGCGGCTGAAGAAGTGGTGGAGATGGGCGGATTCGATTTTGGCAAGGCGGCAGAGTGGGCACGGAAAGCGGCCCAGAAGTTGGAGAAGAAGGGACGGTTACTGCTCATGGCTGGCATGTTCGGACCCTCAGGTCATGTCTGCTCTTGAGCTTGCTTTCCTGGAGGGCCAGTGGTGTTGTGTGCGGGACTGTGACTGTCAAATCTGGGGTGTGCAAGGCGACGAGGTGGATGTGCGATGTAGACAGGCACGACTGCGCGCCCGTTGTGTCCTGCGTCCGTGACAACGTCTCTTCTGCAGCAAGACGTAGAAGAAAACAAGTCTGAAGTCCCTCAGAGCACAAAGGCGATCATGTATGAGCGAAGGATCACCCAATTACAAGTGCGGGCAGAAACGGATCGATCCTAAACGCATCGAGATGTGCTGCGTCGATGAGGGGTGCCCCGGATTTTCTCGGGTTCCGCTTTCGTTCACTATGACAGCGTCTCGCCGGCTATGAACAAAACGATATGATAATTGGCAGAGAGGCTGTATAACAGGTGGTCGACGGGCAATTTCTTACGGCCGGCTTGTCGTGAGGGTTGGGAGATGGCAATTCGAGGAGAAGACATGCAGAAGAGCCACCCAAAGCCCATCTCTCCACACCAAGGTGGTTTCTTTTTCAAGCCTCTTTTGCTCGCTTGACCGAGCCGACCCGCCTAGTGGACGACTTCATCGTCCTCATGGATCTTCCTGCGTCTTGACGTGCATCACAGATGTCGAAGCACCGCGCAGCAAACAGGACATAAAAGGAGAAACAACTCCTTGAAGCTCCCTAGATCAAGCTTTCCTTGAGCCTGATACGCGTTTCACCGATCGAACATGTCGACTGCTCTTCAGAATGCCCCTTCAACTGTCGTGCAGCTGTTTCACGCGTCCTTTGCTCTCACCAGCGCCAATCCTTGAAACCATATCGTAAAATATGGGTGTGAGTGACTACTGGAAGACCATGTTGAATAGGAGTCATGCGCGCCGGTGCGGTGCACCGTCATGCCCATCGTCACCGGGCGCCTGAACCCTGTTTTACGTCGTTGGTTCGCGTCCGTCTCACATTCCTTGGTGGCGTGGCGCGTACTTCCTTCCCTGACTATATATTTCTTTGAACACCCTCTTTCGTCTGTTTCCCAACTTTCCGCTCGTTGCGCAAACAAACCTTCCCTCAGTGTATCCGTCCTTGATTGCGCCTTCACATCTCCATCTACGTATATCATCATGAACTTCATCCTTCCTATTCGCATCGTGCAGCTCATCCTCGCACTCCTCGTCCTTGGAACGAGTGCCTATGNNGTAAGTGCGCTTTCCGTCTGGCAGTCATGGCATCGCTTTACTGACAGATGTTTGCTTGTAGTCACCAGCGTCTATCGCAACGGCTCACCCTCTTCGATCAACTTCCTGGTCTTCTCATCGGTCTGGACGCTTCTCGCCTTGATCTACCTCAGCCTCACGTCGTGGAAGCTTGAGCGCTTCGCACACCCATGGATCATCTGTGGTGTTGAGAGCTTGACAATGCTCTTCTGGTTTGCCGGATTTATTGCCGCCGCAGTTTTCCTCAGCGACCTCATCACCTGTGCCGGACACGCTTGCAGTGCTGCTAAGGCCGCCACTGTTTTTGCTGCATTCGAGTGTAAGTCCGCCCCTATTNGGAAAATTCCAAACTCGCCGTGTTGACAATGTTATGCAGGGGTCTTGTTCGCCGTTACAACAGCCTTGGCTGTTATGGCTGTACTCGGAAGAGGTCGTGCCTCCAAGGCCGGACCCAACACAATGGGTGCTTGAGAGCGTCGCATCCATGACCTCGTACGACGATGATGCGTGTCACGATTGATGGGACTGGTTTCAGGGCGGCGGCGTTATTCTATGGCTGGGAAAAGACAAGATACCCTGGGAGCTCTGGTAACACTTCGGAAGTAATATGGTCAGATCGGCAAGGGATGTTTTCTTTCACATGCAATTTCACTCAAGCCACACCCTTGTGGCGGTGCCCGATGACGCGAATTAATCAGCATCGAAGCCGCGCGAAACACTCGAAGGCGACGTCCTTGTCGCAAAGGCAGTTGATAGCAAACCACAAATAAATATTCCTCTCACACTCTAGCACTTGTTTCTTGTGTTTATCGTGCATCATGACAGACGCAGTCGAGCGTGAGCCTACGCCTGAGATACTACCACAAGACGAACAAGACAGCCTCGCCCTAAGCGTACAATATCATGGACAACCTATAACTCTCACTCTCTCGACCGATGCCACCATCGAAGACCTTTCGACCCTGGTCGCCGAAGACCTCCAAATCCCGCCCTCGAACCAAAAGTTCCTCATCTCACCAAAACCAGGTCTCCTCCGCCCACCCTTCAAAGACCCGTCCCTACGCCTCGACTCCCTACCACAAAAATCAAAAATCACACTCCTAGGCAGCACAGCCCAAGAAGTCGCCGACGTCGACTCTGCAATCGCATCCCTAAAGCAAAAACAACAAGCCCGCAGAGCCGCCCTCAATGCCGGCCGCAAAGTCCAAGCCACACGCCATCGCGACTGGAAGACCGTAACCGAAGAAGCAACATACACCTTCGCCACCCTGCGACCACTACCACATCTCCACCAGCCCGAGAAGTCTCTGCGCTTCTTGGAGCGTCTACGCGATGACCCCGGCATCAAAGCTGCAATGCGCAAACACAAATTCAGTGTTGGTTTGCTAACGGAAATGGATCCTGCCGAGCACACGACCCACGAATCGCGAACTTTGGGACTAAACAGAAATAGAGGAGAAGTGATTGAGTTGCGTCTGAGGACAGATGCATATGATGGATACAGAGACTACAAGGTCATCAGAAAGACTTTGTGCCATGAACTTGCGCACAATGTGGTTGGTCCGCATAATGCAGAGTTCCATGCTCTGTGGAACCAGATCGAGAAGGAGGTTGAGAAGAACGATTGGTCAAGAGGAGGTCACTCGCTTGGGCAGGAGGAGTTTTACAACCCTGGCGATGACTATGTCGACGACGATGATCACTGTGATGCCGGTGGTTGGGAAGGAGGCTCCTACGTTCTAGGCGGAAGTACTTCGACTATCCAGAGCTCTGCCGAACCTCTAACTCGACGAGAGGCTATGGCTAGAGCAGCTGAAGAAAGAGCGAAGAAGCAGAAGAACTTGCAGAAGGCGGCTGAGCATGATTCTAGTCCACCATCGAGTTGATTTCAGCAGCACTTTACGACACTTTCCTTCGGTTTTGGACAATAGCGTAGCATAACATAACATAATGACCGACACGCATGATTAATGTCATTAAACGAAGAACTTTTGATTACTTGGTTCTACTGCTGTAAAGGCTTACCTTCCGGCTTGCATGCACTCGTGCCTGGTTCGCCATGTCTTACCGCCATTCCGAGATTGCAAGGAATGCTGCCGCCAACCTCGAACCCGCAACAACAGATTCGTGCTTTCATCTAGCAGCGTCTGTTGTCGAGCGTCTGAGATGGTGAAGGCGTGCAGAGCTCACCTGAGAGACTTTGGGAGTCGATTGATTGACAACGCCCAGCAGCATCTAATCATGGCCCGAATGCACCATATCCTGTCATCAGTCAGCTCTGACTTCGACGGTAACCAACCTAATCCCAGGAGTCGTGAAGCGATTCTGGTCGATCATCGCAAGTCCCTTGTTGAGAAGGTCAGGCGAACAAGGGGGCGCTCAGCATGGTGTTCACAAGAGAATCGAATTGGCGACTTAAGATGCAAGAGCCAAGGTCGAGCGACATGGCGATGGAGAGCGCCGCGAGCTGACAGGAGTTATGAAGTGTCGCACGTTACAATGTTGAATTGCTCATTTAGTTGAAGCAATTTGATGGAAACCGCACCACGGGATGTGTAACTGTATTGGAAAAAGGCGGACTGCCGAACTAGGAAATCCACCGGAAAAGATGCTCGAGAATCGTAAAGCTGTATAACGCGCGAGTGTCTCTGGGTTGTGTCGCCAAAATAGTTGCAGAAGCACGTCTCAAGATTTCTGATTCTGTCTTTTTGCCGTACGACGAGCTGAAGCCGAAAAGACTCGAGAGATTAATCTGCTGATGCGCCCCGAACGAACCGTGAATAGCGTGGAAGAGCGGCAAAGATGACGAGAAAGGTGAAGAGGTACATGATGATGGTTGGGCAAGATAACCGATGGGCCGTCATGTCAAAGTGTGCTTTTGAATTCCCCCTGGTCATTAGTAGCGCTTCAGCGGCGTTCGTATCTGTCAGCGCCGCGCTCCTCGCCGTAAGCACGACGGCCGCCAGAAGCAGCAGCGTCGGCGGCAGGAGCTGCGGGGTCAGCATAGCTAGAAGGAGCATCAGCGCGGGCACTGCCACGGTCGTAGCCATATCCGCCGCGTCTGTCGTCGTCACCTCCGGAAGCACCACCGCGTCCAGCGTAGCGGTCTTCGCGGCCACCTCCGTATCCACGGGAGCCACCGCTGTAATCGTCACGGTCGCGACGGCTGTACGAGCCGCGGTCCTCGTAGCGATCGTAGTCGCGGCCACCACCGTAGCGGTCATCGCCGTAGCGATCGCCACCACCGTAGCGCCCACCAGATCTGCCACCGTAGTCATCACGTCTGCCGAAGCCGCGGCGATCGTTGTAGCGGTCACCACCGAAGCGACCAGGAGGGCGGCGATCGTCAGCTAAAGACAGAGTTAGTCAAGAAGCATGCGTAATGAGGGTAGGGTTGCTTACTTCTCTTAGGAGGGCCAAAGTACTTGCCGGGGGTAGGGGTTCTGGGTCTGGAGCGACGGGCCTTCTCAATGCTCAGAGTACGGCCCTCGTAAACCTCACCCTGAAGACCGGACTTGGCAGCGTCTGCCTGCTCACCAGTGGCCATGTTGACGAAACCAAAGCCACGCGACTCGCGGGTGTGAGGGTCGCGCATGATGCTGCAAGTGTCGACATCACCGTACTTCTCGAACAGGCGGCGGACCTCCTCCTCGGTAAGACGGGGGTGGATACCAGTGACGAAAAGGTTGGAGCCAGGGTTGGCAGCTTCTTCCTCGTCTTCACGGATCTGCTGGGCGGTGCTGAATTGGTTGTCAATGACATGTTGTAGATGGATGGCTGGGGTGTTGTTTGGTGACGTACCGGTCATCACGGGCAGCGGCGGGGAAGCGCTGCGGAGTCTGCTGTCGCCATCACGGTCGGGGCGAGGTGAGCGCGAGCGCTCACGAGGGTACTGAGGCTCGTCTGGATAGAGTTAGTCGACTGATGCAATGGTGGACTGCGAGTCAGAAGTAGATACCGTCGTAGTCGCGGTTCTCGTATTCCATTTTTGCGGTGATTAGATGAAAGTGGGAGAAGGAGAAATGGAATAGACAAGGTCAATGGAAAGAAACAAGGAAGGGATGATGCGATGGAAGTCGCAAGGCGTGTGAGGAAAGGGATGGAGGATTGGTCGCGCCTGCCTCGTCTAGCTCACTCTGCTGTTTGCGCCTTCCTCGTCTGGGCGCGTAACTTCACTCTGCCAAGACTTTGAGCAAGCACGTGATTGTCTGGAGGATGATGCCCGCAGATTCGGAGGAGCCATGTTCAGTGGCTGTTTGACGTGTTTGCGCAGAAGACAAACTCGACGGATCGAGAATCAAATTATAGTGAGTCCATCTCTCTGCCTCGAGTCCCTCACACTATATCGCTTCACTACGCTTCAACGCCAACATGATGACGACGCTCGCCATGGGTCCTTTCATGACCGACGCGAGGCTGACTGTCAACAGCAGTCCTCAATTCCTGCCCCATCTTTGAGATATTCGACATGGCCTCGAATGGCCCCTACTATCAGCCCGTCCAGGCGCATGACCAACCAGTCTCGGATGAGATGCGCCTTGCCCAAGGAATCTTGGACTATACGGCTTCAGTCCCTCAAGCATCCATGTACCCTGAGCCCAACTCGGAATACCATCATGCCCAGCAGCTGGCCTCGGACCAGGACGTCGAAGATCATGCTCAGCTACAAGGACTCGTCGAGGCTGCCACCAGCGCTGCCGCCCAAGAACAGATTCGCCAACGCAATCAACAGCTTCAGTTCGCTCACTCAGACCAAGATCTGGCCTCTCTGCTGCGCGATCCCTCTGCTAGATTGTCGGCCTCGAAGCGGAAGCGCTCCAGCTCTCTCGACAACGATGATCCAGCTTCTGCGAGCGAATCTTCCAAGCGCCAAAGACACTCTGAAGACAATCGCCACCACTCCCCACACCTCGATGCTCGAGCTGCTGGCGTCCACTCTGCCGCCGCTTTGTTTCGACCTGCCTCGGACTCTTCCAAGAAATATACTCGTCCTCCCATGTCGAAACTGTTCACCTCGCTCGAGCTGTCTCCAGAGAATTTCCTATACCTGCAGGCTGCTGCGAAACAATACATGCTCAACACCGACTACCCCGATCGACAGGCGTGTGTAGGCAACAGAGGAAGAGGTGATAATGAGATGGTCAAGGCTAGAATGTACCAGTGCGTCCGCGAGTTCCTTGAGGCCGAGGGTTGGGGAGAAAAGTACTTTGGGGAAAATGCACCTCCGCCAAATGACGGAGAGGCCAATGCACCACCTCAACCACGACGCTACATCTGGCCGCGCGACAGGGACCGAATCATCGCACTTTGCACTCCACTCCTACGTCGCATGGTCACGAACGAGCGCCAGAGACAGTACGCTATAGAGACACGCAAGGGCGGCAAACCGGACAAGAATTCGCAAGATCCCACTGATCCTCAGATTCATCATTCTGCTCAGGATCAAGACGGGGTTTCCAATCCCGCTCATGATGGCCACTCAGAACCCTACGACTCGCGTTTGGACACTACACCGGCTTATCACCTCTATCTCATTGCTCCCGAGTCCGGTCAACTTGTGCGAGACCGCATCTGCTTCACATTGGAAGAGGAGTTTAGCTGGCAGTGGCTAGTTGACACACTAGTGAGCAATTGGTGCAGTGCGCTGCAGATTGTCCAACCTCCACCGGATATCGCGGCCAGCATACTTGAGCGCTTTACGATCAAAGTCCTTACTTCATCTGGTTTGACCACTGTTTCTGGCGAGGGTGAATGGCAGTTGGCTGTTCAAGACATCCATCAAACCATCTGGCTGGACAACATCGTCAAGGTTGTGGCTGAGGGCCCAGCTACACCATAGAACCGAAGAGGTGTTTATCTTGAATGACAGCAGTGTTGAGAAGCGCATGGGGCGGCTGACGATTGACCTGCCCAGAAGATTCGTATATTTCTTATGCTTGCCCACAGCTCTGCTTGTCTTCGCTTCCCTGTGTAGTGTAGATATAGCATTACAAGATACCACCAACAATTGGTAATGCAGAGCACCGTCAGAAAGCGCAAACTCTTGAACATTGTCAGGGCTGACCAGTAAGTAGCAGCCTACGAGCTCAGCGCTTGCTTTGTCACAGAGTGACGTTCTAACAAGCACAAGTCGGTGGACTTTGGAAGACACATAAGCACAAGAGTTACATCGGCATCACTCTGCAGATCAATATCGGTGTACTGTTTTGGGGATTTTCTTTAATTGAGGTATTTCTCCTAAAGCCATATTACAACAAGCATCTATTGGTATCCAAAAAGTTTTATAGGTCCATCTGTCGGACCCTGAGAAGAATAGAAAAAGAAGTGAAGCGAAAAGCAAAAGCAAGGAAATGTTTATGTCGTAAAGTTCGTTGCGTCAATCATCATCGGTATAGTTTCTTTTCCCGGGTAACTCCAGGCAAAGCAGACAGAAAGAGAGCAATGAAAAAAACACTGTCCTCCTGTGCCGAAACAATGACCCGAAAATGAGATTCGTAAAAGATTCGCTTTTTGTTCTCATCAATCATATCGTTGTGTTCTCCTCGTCTGGAGAAGAGGTTCGTAAAAAATGAAATGCGTAATTACAGCTCAAAGTGCAATGACTTAGAGCATTTGGCCGGCAATATCGCGGATTGCCCATCGCCAGGAGTCGCCGGACTGACGGCAGCCACCATCGATGGGGAACCAGGACTCGCATCTGCGGCGCCAGACGTGCTCCTCATCACGTTGACGACGGATGAACTCTGGACCTAGGTCGAACTCTTCGCCAACCAGCCACTCATCACCACCAGCGACTCGTGCGCCGTCGGGAGCAGAAGTGGGACCCTCTTTGAGATCCTCTATGGCGGCGAAAGGATCCTCCTCGTCCTCGGTGACACTAGGGCTGTTGTTCCTAGAATCTCCGGCACGCAACTTGAGCCAACACATGCGACGAGGATCAAAGACCATGCCACCGACAACCTTAATGTTCTGGTTAGAATAATCGGACGCGAGTGGGGTGATGAGAGCAGGTCTTGGAGGCGAGGGCGGCAGGGGACGTGCAGTCATGTAAGAAGTCTGTTGTGCATCATGGGATGTCGGAGTAGGGGTGGGCAGGAGAGGACCGAGCTCGAAAGGAGCCAGACTGTTCTCGTTGCCTTCCCAGCGGAGAGTCTGAGGGTTGAAGGTCATGCCCTTCTCAACAATTGGCTTGCCGACATTGGCAGTGCTAGGTGCGATGAGCTGAGGACGCTTGGCCTTAATCCTAGAGGCACTGGGGCTGGTATGAGGACTGCGGGCGGCGATTTGAGCCTTCCAATTGGTGCTGACAGGCATAAGCGGACCCTCACTCTTGGGACGGCCGGTTCCTGCAGCCCTGAGGCGTGATTCGCGTGCAATACGGCTTGCTGCAGTATCGCGAAGATAGCGCGGGGTGTTGCTCTGGTCCTGGAAACCCTTCATGGGCATGGGGCTGCGAGGTGTCACTGGAGCGGGAGTCTGCATACGCTCGGGTAAGGGAAGCTTAGTAGATCCTGCAACATCGATCCTGCTCGGAATGTTGCGAACAGACTTGGGTGCGCCCCTGGCGGAGGGCTGCTTGAGATACTTGGATTCCTTGGTTGACGAGGTGGGGAGATCATCAAAGAGGTCGAGCTCGGTTCCGTCTCCAAAGTTGCGCCTGCGAGAAGGCTTTGTCACGGTGCGCTTGGAGGCAGCCTCTCTTGCAAGCGCGGCTGGTGCAAGATCTGCACGACGACCAGAACGCGAGGGCGTATCGGGTACGTAGCCGGATGAAAGGCGTGAGTAAGAACGAAGCGGAGGTGATTGACTTCGTTGAGGTTCGGCCTCGCGACGAAGGTGGTACGCAGAGGTGCGCGATGGAGGCTTGGTAGTAGTGTGGTGCGACTGAGCTGAGGAGCCGGCTGGTAAGAATGAGACGGCCTTGACGCTTTGCTGAGGGCCACGCAGGACGGGCATAGAACGCTTGTTGCGCAAGAAATTAGAACCCGATGTAGAGGGTTGAGGACGTTGGCGTGTAACAAGGGTTGCTCCAGGCTCGAAGACAGGTTCGAGACGGGAGGCTGGCTTGGAAGAGGGGACAGGCCGCGGGATGCGTGTAGCAGAAGGCTTCTCGGAGAAGGTGAGGGTCGTGGTGGGCGCACGAGTCGACGACAAAGAAGACCTGGCCTGTCTTTGCTGGATGTTGCGATGAAGAGTGAGTTTGCTGGGATCGAAGACGTTGCCAGAGCCAATGTCGAGGCCACTCTCAAAGTCGTCCTCATCCTGGGGCTGCGAAGTAGGAGGGGCCTCGACTTGTTGTTGACGCTTCTTGAGCATCCTGCCCAAGTCAATAGGTCCTTCGGGAAGCTCGAGCCCACCAAAGTCGTCCTCGCTTTCGGTCATGACGCTGCCGAGACTAGGGCTCATTGCGGAGCCCAATTGTGAGCCGGAAAAGCTTCTGTTGCGCTGGTCGCGACGTGTGCCAGCGAAGCGTATACCTAGGCTGCCCTCTGTGAAATCATCAAAGTCGTCGTGTTCTTCGTCGTGCTCCTGGTGAGAAGGCTTGGGCAGTTTGAGCGAGAGTGGGGCGTTGTTGTCGATTTCCAGGTCGTCAGCCCAGTCGTCGTCTTGACGGGGTGGAAGTGTTCGGCGAGAAGGCGCGTTTCCTAGGCGCTGGATCTTACCGCTCATCAAGGCGGAAGGGGGNACATTGTTGGGGATAGGGATGCCGGCGTGGAGGCGGGCGGACTGGATTGCGTTGGTGGCCGACGAGTCGTCGTTGGGCGCCAGCATGACATGCCAGTCATCGTCAGCAGCAGCGGACTCGGAGCGCAGCGAAAGGCGCGAGGAAAAATGGGTTTGCACGGTCGAGACGGAGTTTGTGAAGAGATCGCCCTGGAAGTCAACGTCGTCGTCCCAGCTCTCAATGTCGGCCGCGGCCATGGCGGGCGGTCAGTCGGCAAGCGAGCGACGGCAGCGAGGGCGTAGAGTCGTCGTGAAGATCGAGATGGAGGAGCGAGAGACGATCGAGGCACTGGGAGCGACAGTAATGAAGGTGCTGGCAGGAACGTGGGTGCATTGAAGACGCAGCGAGCGTGCAGAATACAGGGTGGGCCAAAGACGACGCGGGATGGCTGGAAAGCTGTGCAACGCCTGTCGAGATATGCAAGTCAGGGCAGGAGCGCCCGAGCTGTCCTCACCCGCCGAAAGAGCCCAAGCACCACCTTTTTTGCTCTTTCCGCACTGCTTGCCAAGAAGGGTCTACCTTCCCGCCAGCGCCGCCGGTCTAGCGATTCAAGCGCACGTCGCAATCTCAGTAAACAATCAATCAATTCCACGCGACTTGACACCTGCTTCAGGCCTCTGTTGCATCAGAAGCTGCCTCACGTCGCTGCGCGGCTGTTGCCTGAAACGTCCAACTCGCACGCGTTTGCTTGCCGAAACGCTCGCCAGCAAACGGTTAGAGGCCCTGAGGGAGACGTTGTTGTCGTTGTTTGCATCCCGCCGCCTCTAAACAAACGTCCCCGCCCGGCATCCGCTGCCTACTGCTCCTCGCTACATCAGCCCTTGACCCAAACTAGCCACCATCAAATCTTACTCTGCCGTCATGCCATCACTGCCAGACCCTAAAGTCTTGCGGCTGCCGCGGACTGACGTCGACAATGACTTCGTTCTCGTAAATGTAGAACAGACCGGGTCTCATCCTCTCGACTTGAAACTCGTCGCTACTGATGGCCAGTCTCCTTTCGTCACCTCCGTGCGCCGGGATCAAATTCACAAGTTGCAGGCTCCTGGTTCGCAGACCGAATCGGACCATTGGCAATCTATTCTGTCTTCTGTCTTGTTTCAATCTATTCCAAATGATCCCACTTTGGCCGGAGTAGAAGCCGTGGCCAATGTCTCTTCATCTCAACTCACTATAACCATCCGCAACAAGATTAGTGGCATCACTGTACGTCCCCGCTGCAACACTTTTTACTCACCCTACATACTGATATCCGTAGNNCAACGACTTGGCGCAATTACTCTCGACAAGGATGAAGAAGAAGATATTCAGCTATACGACTGGACGGGCTTTGCTGTATCCCGAGCTGATGAACTGGCCCACCAACTAGCAACTTTTCAATTTACTGTGGCCGAGCACCAGAAGACAATTGATGACCTGACTACCCAGTTGGATGACCTGGTCAAGGCGAAGAAGTCTCACCAAGATGAGATGCTCAGGAAATTCGCAGCCCTATTGAACACCAAGAAACTTAAGATTCGTGATCAGCAGCGCCTTTTGGCTCATGCCAAGGTCGACCCCAGAGCCGCAGATCAAGTCCAACAAGCCAGATCTGGAACCACTGGCCGTAAACCTGATCTGTCTCGTTCAAGCAAGCGGAAGGCCGATGCCAACATCCAAGAGCCTGAAACAGATGACGACGATGTCGAGGAAACGGATCTGGGGAAGCGCATGGACGAAGAAGATGACATGCGTCAGGAACTTAGTGAACCCCTGAATTCTGACAAATCCGACCTCGATACTGAAGATGACGATAGCGATGGTGGCTTTGCTCCAGCTCCCATGCCGTCACAGTCGTCGCACTCTCAAGCACGCTCTCAAGTCTCTGTTGGAACCAAAGAAAAGGCATTGGAGACACTCACGCCAAACGAAGCCAGAACGAAGTCCCCTGAGACAGAGTTACCGCCTAGAAGGCAGTTGCCTTTCTCCAAGAGGAACGACCTGAGGCCTGCTCCGCAAGTTCCTCCAAAGTCGTCTTCGCAGACTCTTTTCCAATCGTCTGCCACCATACCCTCTTCGAAACCACCACCACCAATGGACGACGACGACGAAACAGACGACGAACTCTAAAGTACTATCAACACCACAATACCTTCCCTGCTTCTCCGCTACCGAGTTGCACAGTCGACTGATCATCAATGCACGACAACTTGATATGTAAGCCAGAACAAAAACTTGTTCATGAATAGAATCCCTTGGCTTCAAGCTCTATTTACAGGTTGCTAAGTATTAACGTATCATCTTCCATCGGGTCCTCCATACCGCTCTCTGAATGGTAACGTATTCGGAAGAGCTGAGGGACTGCTTCCTTCGAGTGTCTGGAAAGCCACTGTCCTCGGTGTCATAGGGTTCAGCATATTCGACGTTGCCGACGGCAGTGAGTGCTGCCATTCAGCCTGTGACCGTAGTTTCTCCCACTCTTGCTCGTCAAGTCGGGCTGTCTCTGGCGAGTATTCCGGTATTTCGGTCTCTTCGACGTCAGCTGCTCGGGCCAGCTTCTCTGCTTTGGTAGGCACGCAGGAGTAAAGTGAGACAGCTAGCGTTACGGCGAACAGTATTCTAGAGACTACGATCAGTCCTGCAGCACCTCAACGTGTATGGGAACTACTCACAAGNAGACACAGTGTCACAGCAAAGCTGGCTTTTGCTTGCCTACAGTATCCAATGTTCTTCGTGTCCGATGCGACGTTGCAACTCTTGGTGATGTACCAGGGCGCGCCTTTCTGTGGATGATGCTTGTCGGTCATGTCGGATGCTGACTGGCCATATGCACTGTAGGCATACAGGACAACCAGCAAGATGTGGATCAAGGCAGAGAGTATCGGGATGAGAGCACGCATGAAGAACAGGACAGGCTTGACAAGCATTATGAACATCGAGAGCACGGAGATCACGACATTGTAGTCGGTAATACTGGCCCGCGGTTAGAGCCTGGCAGATATGGGACGACAAAACCGAGCTCAACATACAATNTGACTCCAGATGATAGGAGGATTGATCGGTCTGTGGTTTGCATATGAGTACAGGATTTCGGTCGGTGAACTGTTGAAGCCATTGTTGTATCCATCTGTCCAGAGCCGCGTTCGATAGGTGTTTGGCTGTGCGATGGCGAACAGAGCAAGAGCGGCCACAGTGAAGGGGAACTCTGCAGCGAAGAGGTAAAGCATGGTTTTTCGCGACGTCCATTTTCGCGCGATGAGCAACATTGTGGTAGGAGTGTGGTGAGATATGTAAGAGCGGTGCTCAGGTGTTCAGCAGACTCGACAAACGCCCGTCGAGTATCAAGCCTCACACTTCGTCGGTGGTCGAGCGCCAGAGGGAAAGAGGGGAGTCAGGAAGAGACGTTGACCTCCCAGGATGCGGGCGCAGACATGATTTGTACCTACACACATGATCCACGTTTGTTCTCACTCTGTTATCACCATCAGCAGCGAACGAGGTAAGCTGTGTAGCCGCCCGTCGATGCAGGCGTGGCACGTCTTGCGCTTGTTGTGCGTGCATGTCATCCAATCATCAGGCTTCTTGAGGCGCTTGGCTGGGTTTCCTTGCATGTCTTTCTCACGTCCTGCTTACCATCCATCTCTCGATCTACGTTTATTGAGCCATGTACTGATGTCTTTTGATGAGGTCTAACCATGTTAGACACTTTTGTCTGACGAAACTTGGAAGGTGTTGCGAACCATTTGGGAACAGGGAGACATGTGGGAGCACGAATACGAAGCCTGCCACGAAATCGGTGTACAACAAGAGATTGGCACATTACCCAGAGATCGAGGCTTGGAACAAGAAGCTTACACTTGAGCATACTAGCATTCGCTTGTCATCAATTCATAGAGTGCTTCTTAAGGCAGGCAACCATTGTGTATGGAAACGGCAGTCGCGAGCCGGCCGAGCAGGGTGAACCCCTCAACAACACCTACCAGATGACGACGTCAACACCCGGACGATTGCTCATCGAACAACATTACAACAACATCATAAAAGAAGACCATGTCTAGGTCTGCAAACATGACACTAAAGATGCTCTATGGGACAGCCTGGAAANAAGAGCGAACAGCCAATCTGGTCAACCAAGCTCTCCAGGCAGGCTTCCTCGCCATCGACACCGCTGCGCAACCAAAACACTACCAAGAACATCTCGTCGGCAATGGTGTTCGCTCATTCCTATCAACAAGTAGCTTATCCCGTCAAGATCTATACCTGCAAACCAAATTCACCTCGATCAATGGTCAAGATCCTGATAATCTACCCTACGACCCATCAAACAGCATCACAGAGCAAGTCAAAGCTTCTGTTGCTTCGTCCCTGCACAACCTCCGACACACCGAAAACGCAGACGAAAGCTATATCGATTGTTTGGTTCTACACAGCCCTCTGCCAACAATAAACCAAACCATGGAAGCTTGGGATGCAATGTCCTCCTTCGTCCCCACAAAAGTACACTCCTTGGGCATCTCAAATACCTCGTTTTCAATCCTCAAGCACATCTGGAGCGAAAGTGCTATAAAACCAAAAGTGGTCCAAAACAGATTTTACGCAGCGACTGGATGGGATATCGCGCTCAGAGAGTTTTGCACGGAAAATGGCATCGAGTACCAGAGTTTCTGGACGCTGACGGGTAATCCTGAGTTACTTGATGGACAGCTTGTCAATATGGTTGTTGAGAAAGTGGGTGTTAGTACAGAGGTTGCGCTTTATTCTCTTGTTCAGGGACTTGGTATCACGCCGATCAATGGCACGACAACTCACATTGAAAGCGACGTGGCTGAACTGTTCAAGTTGAAGCACTGGAAAACCGAAGGTCACAACACCGGGACCTGGGGGAAATGTGTCAAGACTTTAGATGCAATGCTCAAGAAGTGGGCATCCAATCTGGAGCATCGAGCGAGATGATGATTCATATCATTCCCAGAGTACCTATGCCAATCTAAAAGTGCATGCTCCCATGCATAAAAGACAGCTCAGAAATCAACCTGCCAAAGAAAGAAAACAAACTTCAATTAAAACCTCGCTACCAAATATGTGTCGTGTGTATACCACATGCAAATATTTCCTTCATTCCATGTGTTCATTGTTCATTTCATATACGTCGTTGTTTCCGGTTAAAGATGTTGCTGCCTCAAACACTCGCTGTACGCCTCTTGACACAGACTGGCTTCTGCGCGTAGCAGAAGAGCAGTCTGAAACTCGTCCTCTGACGCTCGCACTCACGCAGCAATCCAGGTGTATCCCAGAGTCCTGTCGTGGTCGACTGACCTGGGTCCGGGTAGCAGGAAGAGTACCACCAACGTCCAATCTTTGCCACCGTCTTCGTGATATCTTCGTCATTGCGTCTTTCATGTCGTTCATCTTCTTCATTGTTCTTGTTGCCGTTGCTCTGCATCCATTCGGTAAATCGGAGGTATTCAGGCTCTGCTTGTTCCGAGGTTCTTTTCCGCTGGCTGCCGGAACTCGAGCTACTGCTATCATGGCTTCTTCGTATGCGTCCGGCTACGGGGATGCCAACGACACACTTGCGCAAGTTTNNTTCGAATTCGCGCTTGCCGAGAAGCGTGAGGAAGGCGTCGCCGTGGTTCCAGAGACTGATCTGGCTGTCTTGTTGGTGCATGCGTATCTTCAAATCGCGGATGGTCTTTCGGGCAATGTGGCCCATATTGACAAGATCCAGATCCAAGACAGACATCTCGAGGTACCCCGAAGGACGCATTGTGCGTTTGATTTCATTAAAGCATACCTGGTAAGCGTCATCTGCGGCGGCGATGGGAAAGCGGAAAACTACTGCCGAGAAGTAATTGCTAGGGAATGGAAAAGGTGTGAGTATTGATGGATGTGGGACGTGATGGTGGTTGGACAGCGTTTCCCAGGATGATGAGTTTGGTTCAGGACCAAGGTTATAGAACTGACACTTTGGGTAGGTCAAAGCGCAGTTGTAAGACCACTCTTTCCCAAGACCGTCGACGATAAGAATGCGAGTATGATCTCCGGTCATTGCTTCCTCGTGCGCGGGGCTGAACAAAAGTCGCCCAAAGGATAACCATTTGCTCGTCATGAGTGCTGCAAATCTCAACTCCGCCGAGGCAGAATTGTCCACTGTTCTTTCCACTTTGTGAGAGACTGGCTTTCGTGGGCTTCGTGGGCTAGAAAGAGCAGGTGCGATTCGAGGACTCTCGACTTGGCGAGGGGACACGGGATCTTCGGATTTGGTGTCTTCTTGATCGACAAGGTAATCAGATATCGAAAAAGTGGTGCTTGGGCGGCTCGTGTCAAAATTCGAGCCTGTTTTGCTGTCTTCGGGATTCGAAATACTTATCGGTGTGCTCTCTTCGTGACGACTTGTAGCTTTGTGATCGACCATGTCGCCGTACTGAAACGGTGCACCAAGAGAAGAAGTGGTTGATGCTCTTACCCTGGGAGGTAAGACCTCGTCCAGCAAGTTATCATATTCGTTCCAGACTTCGTCCTCCCCNACGAATGATGATCTTGTGATGCAGGGGCTTCCAATGCCAGAGCTGCTAGTGTACGACAGCTCCGAATCCTTTCTTGGGGGAAAAGCGATGAACTCTCGTGTTTCGTCGGCAATCGAAGCAATTTGGTCAACGTCTGAGCCATGACTCGAGTGATGTTTGGCAATAGCAGCACTTTGATGAGAAGGTTGAGATTGCGAGCTCTGACCTGCTCTTACAACTTGGGGAATCCTGCCAACAGACCGAAGTCTAGCTTGAGGCACATCTTCTTGATATGTTGACCCTGGCGCGTTGGATATCTCTACAAGCTGAGGAGCTTTGACTTGGGTTATTGTTTTTGCTTGGAGAAGAACAGGAGACCCAAAAGACGTCCTCTTTGAAGCTGCTGCTTCCATCGGACTAGGCAGAAGACCTTCGTGTCTTCGATCATAAGACACAAGCGAGTCGGTCTTTTTGAGNTCGACTTCAGAGCCTTTCGAACTTTGGGAAGAACGATTGTCGCCACCGAGAAGCTGCTCTATGGCGGTGAGATCAAGGTTCGTGGTCTGATCAATAGAGCCAAAGTGTAGCGAGTTAGGTGCTTGTTGATTCTCAGACTCATTGTTCGGGCTTTGGCTTGTGATTTTGGACTTGAATCGCTGTATTAATGTTGGGCTTTTGCTCGATGTGGGCGAGCTCAACCAATGGCCTTCTTTGCCCTCACGCCCGAGCTCAGAAAGTGAAGGCTTTGTAGCACTGACTGGAGGTGTAATCCTGTTTGAGGCCGATGAGTCGGCATCGCGCTTGGCTTCATCAGTGCGGTCAGATGTGGCACTGTTTATCGTGCCTTGTGTATCTGAGTTCGATCCTCTCCCACTTCCACGAAAAATTATGGGCTCTCTTCTTTCTTCCAGAAACTGATCCAGGTTATCCTCGCCCTCATCTGCCATACTCTTCTTTCTACTCAAGAACGAGAACCCTGAGTGGCTAGTCGAACTGTCTTTGCTGGAAGACCGTGTGGTACGGCCGAAGATGCTGCTCCCTCTTCCTCTGAAGCCAAACTTGCCGTAGCCCTCGTGACCAGTGCCCGCTGCAGGACCTTTCTTAGGCCTCTCGGATGCTATTGGTGGAGTGGGCGACTTTGTGTGGAGGTTTGACAGTATGCCCATCCTGGGAGATCTCAAAGTATTTGGACTCGGCCCGACCATCGGTGAGTCTTTGCGACTTAGAGGAGTGCCCGTTTCGGAGCGTTCGACAGGCGTTCTAGGTGTCATGGGGTATGTCTGAGATTTGTTGCTCTGACGAGAAGAGCTTCGATGGGAGAATCCGAATGTCCATCTTGGGCTTAGTGGTGGCGATTCTACTCCCGTTTCATACGATCCTCGAGATGATACTCTTGTGATGTGCGAAAGGTTGCTCTGAACTACAGGTATGTCCAAGGAGAGACCCAGGCTATCGATGCCGTCCCTGCTGGGTCGTCTAGGNGGTATCAGGTTATTGCTCGACTGGTTCTGTGGTGGGTCGACGTTGAGGTGTGCAAACTCTGGCGGGATACCCTCAACAAGTGCTCCTTTAGATGTGCTACGGCTTGTGGTATTTGCAGTAGCGAGGCTTTTCTTGTCATTGTTAGGTCTGATCTTGTTGGGGAAAGGATTCGAGAACAATGGTCCNTCCTTGTTGAGTTGGCTCTTGTTCGTCTTTGGTTTGGTCTTTAGAGCTGGAGGCGCTGGNGTCTTCCAGTATTTTGTCGTGATGAGGAGCTGTTGCTGGCTGCAGAAGTCTTTTTCTTTTTTTGCGTGCGTCTTCACAGCAGCACGAGCTAGATCCAAGCTATCTCTGTGACGTGCAGATCCCAGAGTAGATGTAGCCAAGGAAGAGTGTGAGGAAGCCGAAGTTGGCGTAGATTGGTGGCTGAATGGCGAGTCGGAATTTCTGCTCGATGCATCTGAGAATGGAGCCTGCATGTCGACCACAGGACGTATGACTTTGGTGTCGGTTCGGGAGCTGGATGTTCTGGATTCTGAATTCGGTCTACGGCTAGCGGTCTTCAAGGATGCAAGTCCAGAGGTAGGAGGAAGAGTCATGCCAAATATGGCCTCTGANAAGGGATCATCGTCGTGCTGCACTCCATGCGCCGTTTTGATCAAGTCCTGATGTTCTTGCATGCTCTCGGGATCAGTCTTGACGCGTAGAGCATATTGATCAATCGTAGAGGGCTTTCTACGTAATGCCGAATGAGGACTATCTGATGCTGATATAGTCGAGCCCGATACTAAAGATGGCGTCCTTGTGCTCAAAGCAGGAGGACGAACGGATCGGCGGCTCAGGGACTGTGCTTTGCCAGAGCTACTCTGGATGGATGGAGTGGCCGAGGAAGGTCGTGCCTGTACAACGCTTGGCGAAACATCTCTGGACAGTAGGCGAGAGTTTGTGACTGTACGACTTGAAGCTGTCTTGCTTTTGGGCATGTGGCGAAGGCTCGGATTTGAGGGAAGAGGCCGTCTTGGTTCGGCCACAGCATGCTCCTTAGGAGATCGAGTCGTGACCGGTAAACGAGTTATTGACCTCCTAAGGCTCCTTGTTTGAAGTTGGCTTTCCGAACCCGAGAGAGAGTCCGGTGCTGGTGAACGGGTCGCCATGCTGTCTTGTACCTCGTGAGGTATGTTTATAGAAGTATTGGGAGCAACCTATACCAGAGTTGGGGCCAAGTCTGCGAAATGGATGGATTCCTTGATGTTCTTCATAGTATGTGTCAGAGTTATCGTTGATGAAGATGTACTAAAGATCGGAGATTCCAAAAACACATTCGAGTATGATTTTTGAGATTTGACTCCACAAAGATCGAAAATAGAAGAAGCACGATGACCGTAACCTGTATTAAGGTATCCTTATGCAAGCACGTTTGGTGAACCCCCAGAAGAAGATTCTATGCCGAGCACCGCCACCGGCAGGACCGAGAACTCCGAGAGGGAAAGAGAGAAGAATGCCTGGAAATATGACGCGGTCTTGGTCGGTGTTCGCAGTGGCAAGGTCAGCTTTGATCAGATCTGCAACGTGTACGAGGGAGACTGGATAGGTTCGATTAGGGAAAAGGGCTTCTGAGCAGGCGAGATACTCAAACCTAAAGTGGGAATGGCGCAGGGCGGCAGTGGCTTCGCTCGCGTGTCTCAACCGCGGGTTTGCAACGGTGTGCTAGCCGCAGATCAGGCCGACGTTTTTTTTTTTGATATTCCCTTGGGCTGGGAAACGTCGATGACAATCCAAGAGGCAGGACATGAAGGCGGCGAGCAGCTGTCTATATCATTGTGCTATCGTCGCAGTGAAAAGTGACAGTCCGGCCGTCTTCTGCCGCAACGTGAAATGCCGCATGCCCCAGGCGCTCGTTCCTTTCGACACTGGATCCGCTAGCCGCGTAATTGTATGCAGGCTCAATATAGCATGACTCTCACTCGCCAGTCTCTCAATGCCTCAATCTCCAGAATGAGGGTTCCAGATTACAACACACGTGCTTCTATTCGGTGAGCGTTCGATCACAAAGCAAAAGAAAAGACACATCACCACTCGTTGACCGCACCCGGAGTGGCCGCGCGAAACATTGTTTGGCCAGCTCACAACCGTGGCTGTGTGCATACTCCTGCATGCACGTATGCACTCATCGCGCCAGCGATCCAATTCATGCTCCTTGCTGGTTCAAGAGCTTCTGGTTCGAAAACACACAAGACACTCAGCTTGGAGAGCGAATACCATGTTCTGATGTTGTTGACGGTTCAAGAAGTCCAGGACGGGTGTTCACAGTCGGAAGCCTTCCACGCGAAGATTCTGCAACATCGAACACCAATTGCAAACCTCTTCTGAAGCCACATCCCAAGCAGATTCAAGCACGATTTTCATTGGAAGATGGCACACATTGCCCGCATGGTAATTCAATCATGTGATCTGTAGTGGTGTATGGCGACTCGCCAACAGGCCCTGGAGAGACTGAAGTTGCTGGACTAGACATCGCTCTAGCTATCGGCAACATTCATCCATATGGCATACTGCATCTTGTACATTCAAGGACGAGCTTTGCTGCATGAACATGTAAATACAGTACTGTTCGTTGCTACATCGCTAAAGACTCTAGGCAAGAAACCCCTCAAGCAATTCTAACATGAAACGCCATGCTGCAAATACAATGTGATAACCATCATCATGAAAATCAGTCGATCTATGGTTGCGAATAGAACCTCGTTATCATTAGGAGAACTCGACGCGAGCGCCTTGGTTAGCGCTTCGTTGTGCAGCCCGTTCTGCTCTTCGTCTTTTTCTGTTAGTGTCAAAGGCACTGAGGTCCGTTCCAGTACCTGTGTCATAGGTTCCAGGACTGCCGATGCCGCTGGTCATGCCACTGGGAGCCATATTGACAGGACTCATACCTGTACTGTGGACAGGAACTGGTGGAGGACCCTGCATAGGCGGCAGGTTCAGCTCATCCGGATGTGATGAAGCTGGTGGTCTGGCTGCACTGTTTGCAGATGGCACAGCGCCTTGAGCACGTCTGTACCTGACACTCTCGTCTTCTACTCCAGAGCTCAGGCTTTCGGCTCTTCTCCTTCTCTGACGTCTCTCTCGTCTTCGCGCCTCTCGCTCTGCTGCAGCTTCATCTTCGTTCAACCGACGAAGTGTGACATGGCGCCCATCGTTGTGCATCTTGACCTTGACGCTGACTGGTGGAGAAGCAACGCTTGTTGGGCTGTTGGTGGCTTTCATTTGTGACATAGTGTTGTGATGATGTTCCGGTCTTTCATGGTAGTCAGGTCTCGAGGGTGAATGTGATGTACTGACAGCAGCAGGACCTGCCGCTATCGGCTCTAAAGGAAGATGGATCCTGGATGTGTTGTTGGACCTTGCAAGACGAGAAGCATCCGGTACGATGGCGCCTTCAGGCATTGATACAGGACCAGGCTGAGTCGGGTATGCAGGACCCATCATCGACGGCGCCAAAGTTGCAGGTCCATCGTTGTTTGACAGTCGAGTTGTGCTGTATTGGTTGCTTCCTGGTAAAGTTGCTGCGGAAGCGGGCAAAGGAGGCATGTTGCCAGCAGGTAGGTGATGTCTCGAGAGTTCTGGGTTGCTTCCTGCAAATCCGAGATCATGTGTAGCTTCGGTGTCAGCGATGCTCGGTCTCCTGTGTCTAGGTCGATCTATGTAGCGCCGACTGTTGGCGCGGTTGATACGCTCAGCATTATGTCGTTCTTGCTGACGCATGTCCACGACCCTAACATTGTCTTTTTTGATTTGGCTCTGTTTACGTTTCTCTCTGAAGTATCCGAGCAAGCCCATGGAGCCGATACCAGCTATGATACCAGGCTCAGCAACTTTGATCGGGCGGGAGGGTTGATCATCCTCGAACGAGCTCCGACTATCGTATGAAGAGAAGGAATCTCGACTCGTGCGTGAACGAAGAGGCTGTCCGAGGGGAGCGGCCGCTTGAACTACGCTGGTTCTGTCCGACCTGGTGATTCGTTGAGGCTCGGGCGACAGAGGTGCTTCCCCATCTTGGACTCTCATCACATCGACTCGGTTGACGGCCTGACTTCCACCGACTGTAGGAGCGTATGAAGAGCCGGCATAGCTTTCTTCGTCTTGTGGCTGTCTACGCGAGAAAGCCCTCTTCAATCCGTGATATGCACCCAGTCCAGCGCCGGCCCCTAGCACTCTGTTTCTCCAGGTGTTGCTCTTGGGACGGCTTTCGATTATCTTTTCTTCTTCGATATATGAGCCGGAAGGGTAAGATCTGTGTGAAGGAACCTTTGCTCTATCAGATGATTGCGCCCTTCTGCTTTGCGAACGTCGACGAAGAGCTGCCAATCCAGCCAAGCCTGCGCCAAAGAAAGCCGTGTTTCTCAAGCCGTGATGACTAGCGTTACTACCAGTACTAACAGTGCGTCGAGTGCGTCCAGTCCGGCGGTCATCGGTGATTTCAGTCCTTGTTGGGCCTGAGGTGTAACTTGAGTAGTCATCATAGTCGGCAACGGGTTGGTAAATGTAACAGAGGATGAAGTACAAGACGATGAGGGCGAAGACAGCCAGAGCGTAGAGGATGTACAAGTATTTGGGAGAGCCATACAGGGTCATGCCGAGGGGAATCTGTGCAAGGCCGAGTAAGGCGATTGCTCTACCGAGCCATTGGTGAAGCTGAAGATCATGTCAGAGTTGTGTGCAAAGACGAGGAGTTGGACCACTTACCATCAGTTTAAGAGGAATCTTCCATCGCGACTTGCCCTTCTCGATCCGGTGAATCAAAGCACCACCAAAGAACTGAATGAGCACGAGAGTGTACAGAGCGACGCCGATGCCGTGATGAGGGTTGGACAAGCTTCGCTCAGGGCCTACAGCAAACCAGCCGAGAATTAGGACAACAGTGACCAAGGCGACCGTCAGGATCTGGAGATAGATGTGGAGTCTGAGAGCGAGTCGAGGGTTTCGGTAGTAGAAGCGAGCGACAAAGATGGCCGAGGGGACAATGAGAAGAAAAACGAGAGCAGCAACAACTCCGTGGCCAATGACAAGACGGTGGTACTGAGGGAGGGCGGAGAAGCGACTGGACATGNNCCTACAAAGAACAAAAGGTCAGGTATAGAACGAGGCTAGCCAAGTCTGGGCAATCTCACTGTTCAACTGCATAGTCGCAAAGTTCAGTCCCTGGAGGTTGGGCAGGAGGAACGTGTTCTTGGTAGAGATCCAGGTTCCGTCTCCAACAAACATGGTGCTAGAGTCATAGACACTGCTACCTGGCGCGCTGATGCCATCGGTCGACATGTTGTCGACACTGTGCGAGCGCACTCTGGTGCTATGGGCGTGCTGTATGCTCGATCAATGCTGGTGTGGTTGTCGGTGCCGAGGAGAGAAATGCTGAGCTTTGCGCTGGACAAGTGCGTGTTTCGATTCGTGCAAGTCGTTGTTCAAATCATAAAGTCGTGATAGTCGTTTTCAGCCACAATCGATTACTGATATAATCGATAAGCACGTGTCGGCACAAGTCGTGGTATGGAAGCTTTGTGGACACAGGCTCAAGGTTCAAAGGTTGTATGTGTGCGCGTAATTACAAAACGAAGAAGACATGAACAGAGAAAGCAGGCGCAGAACAGGGAAGTTGGGCAGCTTCTGCATGGTGCCGCAGCTACTTGCAGGTTTAGAGACGACGTGGATAGTGATTGGCAGAGCGTTGGCCGAGCAACTCGCTTGTCTCGTCCCCGCGCTGCTCGGCCCGCTGCGACCTGCGTGCCCGGTGCACATTTTGATCATTACTGTGCACGTTTTGTGAACATCCCAGCCTCTCCAACCACCTCCACCACTATTTCCTGTTTTGCCATCAGAGACACAGCACTTGAATCTGGAAAATAACCAATCAGAAGAGTTAGCCTTGTAGATTCTCCACGAATAATATCAGCATGGTCAAATCAAAGGAATTCCTCAAGAAACCGAAACTTCCTAAACAACAGAAAAAAATCAAAGGTGCGTTTCTCAAACTTTTCCATGCCATCACCTCTTCGAAAGTGTATTGACTCTCTCAGATTCTCTTGACCGCAGATGATTTCCAAGAGGCCGCCGATGTTGAGGAAGAAACCGGAGGCAAATGGAGAGCTGGCGACCCTGCTAAATCAAGCCGTGCCTTTGTCAGAGCTATCGAGATCTACAACAATGGCTTGCAAAGACACCCCAAAGATGCTGATCTGGCCTACAACAAGTACGAGACCTATCCTTCACGGAGCTCAATCACAAAAATTTGGCTAATCCGCAACATCACAGAGNCTCGCCTCGAGTTTGAACTAACACAACAGCCAACTCTGGTAGCCAAGCTCACAATTCCACTACTCGACTTCTTGCAGCAGGCTTTGACTTCTCATCGGTATGCTCTGCAACTCAATGCCGAGTCGGCCGATGTTCTCTTCAATACTGCTCAGGTCATGATCACTATTGCAGAGCACGTCACAGAAGCAGGCATATTCAGCGCACAAGCCGATTCGGTAGCACTTCTTCGTGAAGCTCTTGAACTGCTATCGGCATGTTTCACTCGCCAGGAGATGCTCGTGGAAGAGCAAAACGCAATCGCTATGGAGGCAGAAGGCGGTGTTACAGTCGAGCAGCAAGCTCCACCAGCTGAGCCTGAGGCTTCTTCTTCTCGAACAGCAGAAGATGCAGGCTCCGAGGGCGAGGAGGAAGGTGAATATGTTTCTGTGCAAGCATACATCACACCCTCTGATCTTCTGGATACGGCACGTTCTAGTCTGACTGCCTTGACCCTGCTCATCACACTCGACGACCCTTCCAACGTGCCTCCCCTGGCAAAAACGGGCATCGCTCTGCTGGAAGACAAGATTCCCCAATACCTTTCCCAGATCGAAGCCGAAGAGCGTGTCCAAGAGGAGCCCGAAGTCACTCTCGAACGCGCCCAATTCCACGCAGCCCTTACCGTAGCAGACCTCAAGCTCGGCACCGCAACCGCAGACGACAGCCTCAGTCGCCTGCAACACGCCTTCGAACCCCTCGATACAATCACAAACGTAGCAGTCATGTGCACCTACGCCGACAGCCTCGTCGAACTCACAACCACAGCGCAAAACTTCAGCCCTTCGAGCGCAGTAACGACATGCTGGTCTACTCTGACCAAAGCACAAGAACTCTACGCCGCTGCAGTAAAGATCAACGATGCCGAAGCCAAAGCTCGTAAAGCACGTGTCTACGAGTCTCGCGGCGATGTGGAGTTGTTGCGTTTCAACCTCGCCACTACACCTGCTGCTGGTCTCTCAACTGCCATTCAGAAGAGTGCACCTACGTTAATCAAGAATGCACAAACGTACTACCGTGGTGCTATGAATCTCTTCCGTGCCGAGGGAGACGCCGAAGCAGCTGCCAAGGTGGAAGTCAGAGGGTTAATTGCCGCCATGCTCGAAGGCAAGCTCAATGGAAATGTCGAGCAGCAAGTCATCGCCGCACTAGGTCAAAAAGGAGAAGCCGGAAGAGCCGTGGCCATGGATATGCTGAGAGAAAGCCTGCTGCCTGAAGATTGGGATCAAGGAGTCATGTAAGATCTGAACGCATCCACGAAAATATGTCTATAACCTTGGATTGTATAGACTATTGATATACTGTTGGACAATATCAAACATTCTGTTTCTCGTACAGATGATCATATGTAGAATGCATAAAAACAGAGCTGAGCTCACACATCGAAAGGCGAAAATGTATCCATATTCTGAGACATGGCCTAAAAAGAGTCTACGATATGTCACCTCTCGATGGATACTACTATGTTCTTGGGGAGCCTTGTGCCTTTCCATATCCACACGCATTACATACTTTAGCACACGAGAGAGGCAGAGTGCCAATCCGAAGAGAGCGAGAAAGCAGTAGCGCATGTCGCAAAAGTGTTCATAATTAGGTACATGGGTGACTTTTTGCTGTATATATCTACCGTGACTTTTTGTGAACCTCCCGAATCATTCCAGCGTCTCACAGCAAATAAAAACAATCCTTATCATAAACAAGAGACACATCTAAAGGATAATGTCACCGACCTTCTCCTCGATACCCTCGGCACGATACTTGGCGAGTGCCTTCTCGACATCACCCTCGGGACCGCAGAACTTCTCGACCTGCTGGGGAGCACGGCCAGTGAAGGTGGAGGGGTCGAGCAGAGTGTCGAGCTCTCCGATGATGGGCTCGAAGAAAGGTGTTGCACGGATACGCTCGATGAGGTCGTTGTGCTTGCCCTCCAGCTTGACGGAAGCGGAGGCTTGGTGGGAGAGGACACGGATCTCCTCGTGAGCATCCTGGCGCGAGACACCCTTCTTGACAAGAGCCATGATGATGTTCTCANNCTGTTACGAGTTAGCAAAGAAACTGGATTGTACGCGAAAAAGAAATACTTACGTGGCCATGAAGGGAAGCTCCTCGAGGATACGGTTCTCGATGCGCTTGGGGTAGACGACAAGACCGCTGAAGATGTTGTTCATGAGAATGAGCAGGGCATCGGCGCACAGGTACATCTCGGGAATGTCAATACGACGGATGGCAGAGTCGTCGAGGGTACGCTCCATCCATTGCGAGGCGTAAGTGGAAATGAAGTCAGCGTGGAGGTTCGCAAGACGACGACCAAGAGAGGTCAAACGCTCGGATCTCATGGGGTTACGCTTGTAAGCCATGGCGGAAGAACCGATCTGGTCCTTCTCGAAGGGCTCCTCAATCTCCTTCCAGGAAGCAAGATGTCTGATATCGGTAGAGATACGCTGGCAAGTGGCACCAAAGTTGCAGACGGCGCTGCCAACTTCGAGGTCAACCTTGCGAGAGTAGGTCTGAGTGGCAATGGGGTAGCAACCAGCAAAACCAGCCTTCTCGGTGACAAGCTCGTCAAGCTTCTCGACCTTGGCGTGATCACCGTCGAAGATCTGGAGGAAAGATGCCTGAGTACCAGTGGTACCCTTGACACCGCGGAAGCAGAGCTCATTACGAACTCTCTGGATAGCTCTGAGATCCATCAACAAGTCCTGGATCCAGACACATGCTCTCTTTCCAACGGTGGTCAATTGAGCGGGTTGAAGGTGAGTGTAGCCAAGGCAGGGCTGGTCCTTCCATTGCATGGCGAAAGCGGAGAGCTTGTCAATAGCAGTGGCCATCTTCTTGAGAAGCAGGTCAAGACCGTCACGCATCAGGACGAGGTCGGCGTTGTCTGTAACGTAGCATGAAGTGGCACCCCAGTGGATGATGCCAGCAGCGGCAGGAGCGCAAAGACCGTATGTGTGGACCCATGCCATAACATCGTGTCTNAGAAGATAAAGTCAGGACTTCGGATTCCACGATGAATTGAACAGAGCAGATATCGCAAGACTGCCCGTGGCAAGGCGACTCGTGCTGAAAGTCCAGAAAACGTGGATCCCACGCACGCAGCACAAAATACGTCACGGATACCAAATTTCAAGAGTCACAGAAAATGAAAGTACTGACCTTCTTCTCTCCTCCTCCTTTGCGGCAATCTTAAACTCATCATCCTGGACAATCTGGTTGACCTTCATCTGGTTGATGGCCTCATCGGAAATGGAAAGACCGAGCTCTTTCTGTGACTCGGCCAGCCAGATCCATAGCTGTCTCCAGGTGCTGACGCGCATGCGGGGAGAGAAGAGGTGCTTCATCTCCTTGCCTGTAGAGCGGCCATTGAATCAGTATACCATTGACTCAAGGCATTGGCCGTGTGGAAAGGCATGATTGATGATTCAATCGAGCTTGGCGGGGTAAAGATTTTACGCACTTGCATAGCGCAGCTCCAGAGGATGTCTGAAGGTGTCATAGGGCGAGGAGTGATCTGAAGCCATCTTGTATTGTGATGCTAGAGTTGGGACGCTGAAGCTGGACATTTTGAAGAGAGGAAGAGTGAGGAAAATTGAATCTTCAACGACGTGATTGGTTCCGATGCACGGCGGCGAGTAAGTGGTGAGGAGGGTCCGATAACGATAAGGAAAGTTTACAAGTATTAGACTCCTTAATGGGAAGAGACGGGAGCAACGAGGGACGGAGAGCACAGCAACAAGACGAGGAACAGATGCAAGCTGGACAGACTGAGTGAGTCTTCTTTATACCCGGAGCATGTCGAGCACTCCGGCCGTGTGTGGCCGTAGGTCGCGTTGGAATTCCGAAAGAGCCACACGTGATGACCATCTCTCGAGGAAAATGCGGGCACTGTGGAGTTGTTGGCTCTTGCGTACAGGTGAACGGTCGACTAAAACGCGATGTCGGGCCCCATGGGCGCGGAGGAGGACATGTTATTTCTTGCTGATTGGTGGAATGCGCCAATCCTCTCCCAATATTCCACTCTGTCTGAACAGCAGATAGGCGCAGTTGGCCTGGAGGATGAGAAAATTCTTCTCTGAGCACATGTCCTCCTCGTGTGCTAACGATTGTCACTGTACAATAATTTTCGTGCATCTCCATGGCCACACCTTTGCTCAGGAAAGAGCTGTGTATCTTTACAGCTGATAATGACACTATGTGTATGCATATGTAAAGTTATCTAGATTTCTGCTCGCTTCTCTTGCTTCTACGCTGCTGCCACCTCTCCCAGCCAGCGTCAACCAGGTCCTCGGTGACGACCAGGTCTCGGAGTCGGAAGAACTTGGCGATTGAAGTGTCGAGCACCCAGTCCAGCCAGCCTGAGCGGCGCAAGTATGCTGTTACAAGATACCAGAAGACGGCAAAAACAGCGCCTATGATACAGCCGACCAGGATCTGTCTCTCGGTGTGGTAGTTGAGGTATATCCTGCTCTGGGCGACGGCAGCAGCACCGGCGATGACCAAGACGGACAAGGCGAGTCTCTCGAATGTAGAAGTTGGGATGTGGGTGGTCGAGGTATTGGGAGCGTGAGGGTTGTGTCGCAACAGGAGAAACAGGGTCAAGGAGACGGCGAAGTACGAGACGAACTGAGCGTGCGATGAGGGCATACCGTAGCCCTTGCCAGTCAGNACCTGAAGAAGAGTGAGTGAAAAGATTGGCTGCTGAAGAGGGTGAGAATGCGTACGACTCGGTCTCTCTTCTCGGATGGTGCGCTTGAGGAGCCAATTAAGAGCTTCACAGGCCAATTGACCTGCAAACATGAGGCCGACCTCTGCCTCGCGGGTGCTCCATATCAGAGTGGCATACGTGATACACAGAGCTTGAGGTACGAGGGCCAGAAAGGCGCAGGCGTGTGCGATTGGGTCATTGGGATTCTGAGACGGAGGATTAGCTGCTTTGTGTGGACCGGATAGGAGCATGCGGCATCTCACATAGTGGACATGGGTCAAAGAAAGCGACGCCAACGGAGGATCTTCCATGGTGACTTCTCTCTTTCAGAAATGTTGGTGACGAGTGACAGACACGAGACACGAGACACGAGCTGCTTCCATCTGGGAGCTCGCACCCTCTGACGAAACACGGCAGCGCGCAGGCTTTCGGCAGGCCGGCGATAAGGGGCTTCGGCCCGGGTGTTGACCAGGCGGTGAGTTTCTGCCAGCCGTCACCGAGGCGAAACCAAGACAAGACACCGTCAAAGCCATCACTCATCCACCGCGCCACTCAACACTTATTATTTCCTGTAACACCAGTCTTTCAGCTTCTGTCACCTGCCATCACTTGCGCCCGTATATATACCTGTGACCACACGGCTCACTTGCACTTATGACTTGCTCATAGCACCCAGCCACGAACGAGTCACTCCGATTCGGGCACCATGGACATTGAAGATGAAAGGGACGAGGAATTGTCGACCATCTCGGCCATTTACCCCGAACTAATCGTCGACGCAAATGACACCTTCGCCGCCTCGTTACATCTCCCTGTCAACCCCTCGAATCCTCTCGCTTTGTGTTTTCCCTCAGCGCCACCGCCCTCCCCACCCGACTCGGAGAACGGCCACTTCAAATCCTCCTCCCTCGTTCACCACCTTGATGAGGTGCATCGCCTCGAACACCTCCCACCTCTCCAGCTGAGGCTCTCCCTTCCTGAAGGCTACCCTGCCGAGAAACCGCCAAAGATCGCCCTGTCCACCACGCCACAATGGCTTCCCGATGACAAGCTGAAAGAGCTGGAGAGTGAATGCGAGAAGCTATGGGAAGAGTACGGTCGCTGTCAGATCCTCTTCTCCTACATCGACTTTTTACAACAACAAGCCGAGCAAGCCTTCGACCTACAAGCCACCGGTCTCGACTTGTCACCTTCATTGAAGCCTGCTTTGCTCGACTATGACGCTCACACCAAGAAGGCTGTGTTCGACACTGGTACCTTTGATTGCGGCATCTGCCTAGAGCCCAAAAAGGGCTCTTCTTGTTATCGCATGCGTTGCTGTGGTCACGTCTTCTGTCAAACCTGCTTGCAAGACTTCTACAACAACTGCATCACCGAGGGTGACGTCGGCAGAGTGCAATGCTTGGATCCCACATGTGGCAAGAATGCGCCTCGTGCGCCTGTTGCGCAGCAGAAAAGACGGAAGGAAAAGACATTACACCCCAGAGAGCTACTCGAAATGGGCCTTGAAGAGCCCATGGTACGTCGCTTTGTCGATATGAAGCGCAAGAAGAAGCAGGAAGCCGACAAGACAACCGTCTACTGCCCGCGCACCTGGTGCCAGGGTCCTGCTCGTAGCACAAAATACCCACCTCTACCACAGGATCTGACATTATACCCGGAGTCATCGAGTGAAGACGAAGACAATGACGACACAGTTACAGAGAAGAAGGGCCACTCTCCCTCTGACCGGTTGGCTATTTGCAGCAAGTGCACCTTTGCCTTTTGCAAAACTTGCTATGCAGGTTGGCATGGCGATTTCGCACGTTGCTGGCCTCGTAACCCATCAGAGTTGTCAGAGGAGGAGAAGGCCAGCTACGACTATATACGCACGCATACCTCGCCATGCCCCACCTGTAGCAGTCCTACGCAGAAGACTATGGGTTGTAATCACATGCGCTGCGTCCAATGCGCCACCCACTTTTGCTATCTGTGCGGCGCATGGCTGTGCCCCGACAACCCGTACCAACACTTCAACAAGTCAGGCACAGAGTGTTACCAGAAGTTGTGGGAGTTGGAAGAGGGCGACGAAGGTCAGGAGGCCGCTTTTGTTGGTGCGCGGCGTTGGGAGCAAGAGGCTCTAGCAGTGGCCCAGGCCGCAGACAGAGAAGAAGCAGAGGCCTTGCAACGGCAAGAAGATGAAGCTGCAGCAAGAGAGCTTGCACAACAGCTCGATGCTCAGGACAATGCCGCCGCCGTTGTCCAGCCCGCTCAAGACAACATTGTTCAACCTGTAGCAGAGGCTGCACCGCAACCGGCCCGTAGGGGTGGAGGGAGACGCGCACGAGGTGGAAGGGTAGCCGCTTTAGACGGCAGAAGAGCAGGTCCCGCAGCTCAACAGCAGCAAGTTCCCCCAAACCAACAACAGATGGACGCAGCAGCTGCTGCTGCATTCAGACGCTTCGTCGAGTTGGCTGTTCGTGACGAGGAAGATGGATGGGATTCTGATGAGTTGGAGGACGACCAAGATGAACGCTGGGTTATCCCAGTCAGGCAATGACAGGGGCAGGAAAAGGGGAGCATTTTGCATGGTCGGCGTTCTTTGTGATTCTGTATATATGGAGCGAGCGGCGTACATACCCATCAATCATCCAACCTTTTCTTTTCCTCTATGGTTATGTTGAACCTGCTGGCAAGAATCTACAACAACTGCATTATCAAGGGTGACGTTGGAAGAGTGCAATGCTTATATCCTACATGTGGCAAGGATATTCCTGCTGTTCAATGGAAAAGGCAAAAGATATTACACGAGCCCATGGCACACGTCGTATGTGGATCGACATGAAGCGCAAGAAAAACACAGGAAGCTGATAAAACAACTGTATACTGCCCGCGCAATTGGTGTACAGGTTCTGCCCGTAGCACAATATATCCTCCATCATTGGGAAAGAGCAAAAATTCATTGATTCATTCTTGAGTTCATGATCCAGTAATTCCAGAGAGCAGAACCATTTCGTCGTCGATCAACTTTTCAAGGGTCCTCCTCGATAGCCTCGGGCTTAGTGTCTTCGGCTTTTTCAGTTCTGCTAGGCTCAGAAGCAGCGCGAGGACGAGTCTGAACGGGCATGGAAAACACCAGCCTGTCGACAAGGTCGTGAGAGCTTGGGTCAGAAGTAATTAGCATCAAATTTGCATGGTAGAAACTTTATATATGTAGGAAGATGTCATGGTCTCTCTCCTATCCCGTTGTGCTATGGTATGCTATAAAAATGCACAGTTGCTTGCCGAATCAGATAAGTGACCATAGAGATGGCTATAAGATGGTGTCTCTCCTTGGACATTGCTTCGATTCAAAAGTTATTGTGCATTTATATACTGCACTATCAAAGTCGAGCGACGACAGGGAGACAGAACACAGGGCGGAGAAAGCATCAAATGTTCTCTAAAAGCTTCCTTCCCAAGATGTCGGGTGTTTCCTCAAAGTCATGGTTTGTAATTGCCCATTTGGGACAAGAGTGGAAGCGACGCGTCTCCATCACGTCACCCCGAAAACATTGATGATCAAAGTCAGCATTTCATGATAATACCAACGATGGACACTTGGAGCGGCAATTTACGACTTGATGATAGCAATGAGATACGAGGCAAGTCTTGAAGCTGTCGTGTTCACAAGAATGTATGCTTAAGCAGGTACANNGATATACGAATTAGCGCTTCTTCCGCAAAACGTGGACTACCAAACGATTGCACCTTACAATTTCTCTCTCATGTCGATACGACACGAATACCACTACGTTTACTTTGTGGAAGCCGACTAGATGTTTGGACTGCAGATACAGAGACTGAAATCTGGTTCAGCAATCTACTGCTCATCAACAACAACGATGAAGAAGGCCAAGGACAAGAATGGTGGCAGGGCGCTACCATCGAATCACCTTTGGGCATCTTGGCTGCAGTGAACCTCGCTGATGCGAGCAAAATACCACAACCGCGGGTAACAGAGATTCTCTTTTACGCTGCTAGAAAGCATGTCCAACAAGACCTCCCCTCGCCATCACACACTGAAGCTTCTTCTTCTTCTTCTTCTTCTTCAAGCCTCGAACTCGGACTCTATGCTCTTCCTTTATCATCTGATTTATTACTTTTCAACGACACGGATATTACGCCACCCACCTCTCCAGTCCTGGGGACTTCAGATCCAAACACAGCAAATGGCCGCTTCATCCCCCGCCCCTGGGACGAACCAACCCTCCGTCAAAAACGCAAGACCGCCCTCGACTCCACCTTCTCCGCCGCCTCTTCCCGCCAAAAACGACATTCGGGCGCCTCAGTAGCCGCAGCCGCAGCTTTAANNAAAAGTCCTTCCCTGTTACCCTCCCTGCCACGTCTAAAGTCAGAAGCAAGCAGAGGCTCCGTACCCCTCCACACACGCCCAAAAAGCCGAAGTCCCAGTATAGCAAGCCTGCGTCGCGATCCCACTATCCCAGAGACAAAGCGAGTAGCGTCAGGGTTATCGCGAGCAACGCCCGCACCTGCCACACCATCTTCAGAGCAAGAAGTCCTGCAACAAAAAAACAAAGATATGGTATCCAAAGTCGTGTTAGCCGGCTTACGTGTCTGGGGCTTCAGTGCTTCGAAAAGANAAAAACGTGTGTCTACTTCGACCTCTGCGGCGGAGCATGTGGATCCAGAGGAAGAGGCTAGAGATGAAGAGTACAAGTTGCTCTACCATCACGTTTACAAAGCCGCTTGTTTTGCTTTTAGAGCTTGGATTGGAAAGGAAGATTTGAGTGGCAAGGAGTTTGCGGATAGGGTGAGGGATACCGTGGATTCGCTGTTGGGGATCTTGTGTAAGGATCCTATGGAGCAGTCGGGAGGCGATGAGATGGATCTAGGCGAGGGGTTCAAGGGTGCCGTTGTGAGGACACCCAAGGGAGAATTAGGGNAGGATGAGAGGGGCCCGAGATGAATTAGGAAGTAATGATATGTTTGATATGCAAGTGCAAAAAGATGAGCATTTGCCTGTATTTTACAACAAGTATTCGTAACTTTTCTACGCAGGTTGATCCAAGATACCACTCTCCTTCAGACTCCTAAACAACTCAGGCTCGAGGAACTTGCTGATCGTAACATCCTCGGCCAGACCCTTCCTCCTACGTGTCTTGAGCACAAAGTCACGCGCAGTCGCTTGTGCAGAAGCAGGTTCCAGCGGTCTTAGCTTGATGCTCTTATCCAGAGGGTCACCAGGCACAACGCTCCAGCGGTCAAAGACAAGTGACAGTGTGGCTTGTCCTTGAGTGTGGATGCGGAGGTCGGTTTCGAAGCCGAACGAGTCGATTACAGGGATCAGACCTGAGACTTTGTATAGAGGTGTGCCAGCAATGGGGCCATCCGAGAGGACGTGACCTCTACGTCTGGCAAGGACTGTGTACAAACTGCTCACGCTGTCTGCATTGCCGATCATGGAGCAGCTGTATACCGGCTCCATCAGTCGCGGGCTGGCCATAAGGAAACTGCTGTAGCATGCGCGACGGGCTGTGGGGATTATTTGACCACCACCACGGTAGATTGCCTCTGGTGCGAGACTGACGTCGGTGATCTTGAATTTTGTGTTGCGGATGGGCTCTTCACAGAGTGGTCCTTCACGGGTACCCCATGAGAAACCTTGACGTATCGTGTCTCTAACGCTCTTGAGAAGCTTTTGGTCCACGTCGGAAGGTAATGTGTCGTTTTGTAGAATGTTAGGGCTCATATCGTCAGGCCCAAAGGCCCATATGTTGCGCGAGGCTAGCAAATCATAACTGTAGTTCTCTTCGAAGAACTTGCCGACCTTGCGTACTGGGTCTCTGATGTTGACCTTTCCACTCTCGATGTCTTGAGCAATGCCATCATCGAGGGGTTCTGCAACCATTGTGAGTTTGTTCTTCTTGTTCGGTGTCAATGCGTAACACTTTATGGCTGACGTTTCTTGAACCGTCTCGCAGAAGCGTGTCACAGGATCAGAGACCTTGATCTCCATTGATGCGTATAGTCGGCGCAGATCGTGCAAAACGCAGTCCATGTAGAGTTCACCAGTTCCAAGAACAACGTGCTCTCCCGACTCTTCCACCTTGGTAGTGATAAGAGGATATGACTTGTTGACTTTACGGAGACCATCAAGCATCTTCGGGAGCTCGGAAGGGTTGATAGGCTCAACAGCCACCTTGAATACAGACTCAAAGAAGTGTTGTACAGGGCGGAAGATGTAGGCATCTTCATCTCCTGGAAGCTTAGGTGAAACAATGGTAGCAGTTTTGACGATGGAGTTATCGACTCCTCCGAGGAGAACGAAGTTACCAGCAGGCACACCACTGGTAGGAATGTTGTATCGCGATTCACCGATCCAGACATCAGAAATAGTGGCTTCCACCATGTCTTCCTCGTCATCGATCGTGTATCCCTCACCTAGTACGCGAACCTTTTGGCCAGGACGTGCTGTACCACTCATGACACGACCGAATGAGTTGAATCCAGTTGCGTCTGTGGTGTTGAACAATTTCGTAACATGGACGATAAGAGGACCGTCCTGGTCGCAAGAGAGCATGCTTTCAGCTGTCTTGGTATCAGTAGGACCAGTGTAGTAGTTTTCAAGCTTCTGCTTGGCTCCCTCAACAGGTGATGGGACGTGGTCAACAACCATGTCCACAAATCCAGTTGCAGGACCAAAGAACTGCTCGCACGCCATCTTCAGTAGGTCCTTGGCGTTTGCACGAAGTTGTGTGGGCTTGAGATGGATTCCGAGACTTTCCAGTGTCTTTTTGAGATCTTCAGGACTTTCGCTGATGGTGTGTGAATAGAGCTTGTAGATGGGTTCGAGGACAAAGTTGACAAAGGAGCGTTTGCTGGCCGGCTCTGTGCCACGTCGGGTGAACTTGCGACTTCCAGGGTTGAAGTAGATGTCGCCCCATAGTCTCTTGCTGAATTCGGGCACGTCCAGACCGCTACCAGCATACGTCTCGGCGTACATATGGGCGAAGGATGGAAGAGTGAAGCACCAGCCCATTATACTACAAGCGAAAGCGACGTTGCCCTTCTCAGGACTGACACGATACTTCTCGCCCTGACCAGGGATTGTGTTTTCGATGACAGTGTTGACCTCTTCCACAACATGCTTGAGTTTGAAGTAAGCATCGGCAGGAGGCAGCTTGAGTTCCAGAATCAGACGATCCATCTTGTTGACAACCAGGACCAGCGGTAGGTGGTTCAAAACAGCGTGCTTGATGACCATCTCGGTTTGGACTTGAACACCCTCAACAACGTCGACAATGAGGACGACACCATCAACCAGACGTAGCGAAGCAGCAACCTCATCGGCGAAGTTGACGTGACCAGGAGTATCCAGCATGTTGATCAGATGTGACTTTCCCTTGGTGGCGGGTAGAACCAGACTCATAGGACCAGTCTTGATCGACACACCTCTTTCGCGCTCCAGAAGATGTGTGTCGGTATATCTCAGCTGCTCGTCCCTGTCGCGTCCCTTCCTCTTATCCAGCTTTTCCTGAATGTTGTGTGTTTGCATTACGAGCATGTCCATGAAAGCCGTTTTACCATGGTGAAGGTGGCCGGCAAGGGCGACGTTGCGAATCTGATCGGGAAAGTTCATCAGGTCGGTCATGAAGTCGCGGCTGAAGAAAACGGGAGGCAAGTCGGCCTCTTCGACAGTGAACTTCTTCTGTACGATGGGAGCAATGATAGGCTGTGACAGGGCCTGTGTATCCTCCTCTTGAACCATAGTTTCGACATCCTGGCCATAGACCTGTTGTGCAGTAGGGTAGTATTGCTTGTCCTCGTGGAGAACGACGGCATTCGAGGGACCTTCATCTGCGCCAATGTCAGTTTCTCCTTCGCACTTGTTGCCGAGGCGGCGCATACCATCAACTTCCATCAACTGCTGGTCGTGAGCAGCAGCAACCTCATCCGGCTCGTCCTGGTCGTAGAGATAGTCGTTGGCATCGACATCCTGTTCCTGTTCGATATCCGAGTCTTCGGGCTCGCCGATAAAGTTACCGAACCTGTCGCAAAGAGTCAATTTTGGGCATGTCTGAACAGACGGATGTTATACGCACTCATCGTAAAGGTCGTCCATGGCAGCAGATGTGGTGTATTTGGGCGACAGCGGACGCGACAAAAGTTGAAGCTCGAATGCGACACTCGCCGCGAGACTTCGTCTGCAACAAGATCGTCACCCAAAGGGCAGCCGCGAGTCAAGCTTCACGCCGAGATGCTTCACCGCTTTGTGTTGTTAACGATGTCCTTATCTCGATAATCAGCTATTGCCGGAATCAGCCTGACTCCTGCGGCGAAACGCGTTGCCAACAGCGTACTGGACCCCCATATTGTCCCTCGAAATTAAACATGGCATGATTTCCTGGCCCTCCTTGATCGCTCCTTCTACTTTCTCTACCTGCTTCTCCTGGATCTTCTCACTTTCTTCTTTTCACGTCTTTCTCTCTATCCACCCTTCAACATGGCTCCTTCTACCCCCGTCTACATTGTCTCGGCCACCAGAACCCCTGTTGGCCAGTTCTTGGGGTGAGTAGAGGGCCCCGCCATGCTTCAATGCTCAACAATTCTAACCAGCCCTTCTTTGTATAGCTCTCTTTCCAGCCTCAGCGCCACCCAGCTCGGTGCCCACGCCATCAAGCATGCCATCCAGAGAGCTGGTGTCCAGCCCGAGGCCGTCGAGGAGGTCATCTTCGGTAACGTCCTCTCTGCCGGCCTCGGCCAGAACCCTGCCCGCCAGTGTGCTCTCGGCGCCGGCATCCCCAACTCGGTCGTCTGCACCACCGTCAACAAGGTCTGCGCTTCCGCTACCAAGGCCATCATCCTCGGTGCTCAAACCATCATGACTGGTGGCGCCGACATCGTCGTTGCTGGTGGTACCGAGTCCATGTCCAACGCCCCTCACTACCTCCCCAACATGCGCACCGGCGCCAAGTTCGGCAACCAGTCTCTTGTTGACGCTGTCCTGAAGGATGGTCTCACCGACGCCTACGAGGACCAGCACATGGGTCTCGCCGCCGAGGCTTGCGCCGACGAGCACGGTTTCAACAGAGAGTCTCAGGACGACTACTGCATCAGATCCTACAAGAAGGCCCAATACGCCCAGGAGAGCGGCTGGTTCGGTGAGGAGATTGCTCCCATTGAGGTCAGCGGTGGCAGAGGCAAGCCCAACATCACCATTGACAAGGACGACGAGCCCAAGAACTTCAACGAGGCCAAGACCAAGACTCTCAGACCTTCTTTCAAGCCCAAGGATGGCACTGTCACTGCTGCCAACGCCTCTCCTCTTTCCGACGGTGCCGCTGCCGTCGTTCTCGTTTCCGAGGCCAAGCTTAAGGAGCTCGGCTTGAAGCCTATTGCTAAGATTCTGGGTTGGGGTGAGGCTGCTCACGAGCCCTCCAAGTTCACCACCGCCCCCGCTCTTGCCATGCCCAAGGCTTTCAAGCACGCTGGCATCAAGCAGGAGGATGTTGACGCTTTCGAGGTCAACGAGGCTTTCAGTGTTGTCGCTCTTGCCAACATGAAGCTTCTCGGTGTTAGCGAGGACAAGGTCAACCTTCACGGTGGTGCCGTCGCCCTTGGTCACCCTCTGGGCGCAAGTGGTGCCAGAATCGTTGTCACCCTTCTTGGTGTCCTCAGAGAGAAGAAGGGCAAGATCGGCGCTGTCGGTATCTGCAACGGTGGTGGTGGTGCCAGTGCTCTGGTTGTCGAATCATTGCAATAGATGCGTCATGTCTGTTTGTTTCTTGTTACGAAAAGTCAGAATACCCAATTAAGCGCTTTTAATCATGCCCAAAGAAGGCTCATTTTATGAACATTTCTCCCTAGACTGCCTTGTGTCCGAAATTGAAGTTGGAAAAGGGATGATAAACAATTAAATATATAGTTCTCGAATCGAGGCTGAAATGTTGAGCTTCGAGCTCAGCCGGTTGTTTCGGACTTCGGCTTTGTGCTTGCTCTGGGAGCTGCTGTCTTTCAACTACAACATCAATCAACCAACCTTTGTATCAATCAATCTCATCTACAAAGGACAATATCTACCACCAAATCAAGATGACTACTGAAAAGCCATGGCATGCAGAGTTCCCGGAGCCCAAGGCTGAAGCGGCCATCATGCCTCGAAACCGTGTGATGCAGATGTTGTCATTACGAGGTGTGGCAAGTCTACTCGTTATCGATCTCAGAAGGATGGACTTTGAGGGTGGATGTCTTCGTGGCAGTTTGAATATCCCTGCTCAAGGGTTTTGGTGGAACAGAGGCATGCTGTAAGTTTTACTCTTCTCCGTTTGCTAGAGCATTTAACGCGAATAGCTGTAGAAACGCATAGCAGTCTTGAGAAATAGGGCAGTATCCACTGAGAGATCTTTTCTTGACAGGCTCTTCCTGGACGGAAGCTCTGATCTGAAGATGATTGTGCATTTCTATGGCTTACGTGTTGCTTTATACTATGGTGGGAGAAGGATAGGGAGAAGGATAGAGTTTCGTACAACCTTACTGATACTTCCTGATAGATACGAACTGGCATACAAAGCTGATATCGAGTGGGTGGTGTTCACCTGTAAGTCAAACATTCAAAGTGTTGAGCTCTCAATTGACTGATCTTCCAATAGGCNNGGCTCTTCAAATGGCAGAGCACCTCGTTGCGCTGCATGGTAAGCAGTTTCTACATGGTTCGACATGATACCTTTGTACTGATTCGGATAGGNNTTCAAGGAGTTCATCGACGCAGCTGGAGACGAGCAAATGCAATCAATGGTACTCGAAGGGGGCGTCAAGGGTTGGGTAAAGAGTGGGCCACAGTTCACACGTCTAATGGATGGCTACAAAGAGTCATACTGGCAAGACCTCTTCGCCCAAGAAGAAGCCAAGAAGGCCGCAGCTCAAGGACAAGACGACAAGAACTTGGTTGGCCAGGGAGACGTGACAAAGTGATCAGGACCATGCATTGATGACGACGAGGTATACGCCATCCTGGTGAACCATGCGTTGCACATATCTGTATATCAGAACTATCAGAACCCTACGGATAGTCGCACAGTCAACCGCGACTCCCAGACCCTTCGGAGGCTCAAACCCGAGACATTCAGGCAGTGCATCCTCTGGGAAACCCGTCGTCGTTCGCTTCTTTTATCCCCGTTAGCGCAGCAACTGGCTGGCTGACATGGAGACCAATTCTCATGAGACCGTTGCGACTTGCGGCAAGCAATCACCAAACGGCTTTTTTTTCGCTTGCTCTCGGAGCATAACCCATGTCGAGAGGGCAACCTCCCTACCGGTTCATGATCTACGAGCATATGCGCGTGCAGTGCCGAAGATCCATGTCCACTGATAGCCTTTACGAATCGATTGTGACGAGTCAAATCCATGTTGCTGCCCACAGGAACGTGATAAAGTCAGATAGAAGATAAAGAGCTGTCCCATGACGTGCTACAGAGGGCCATATCACTAAGGCAATAATACCATGTGACGAGACTCATGATTGACTTGTCACTGTCGTAAGATCTTGAAATAGTAATGCCGTGCAGGCATGGTATACGAGGCAGGAGGTGGATTCGACCCCTGGTTGAGACATCAGCTTGGTCGATTTGCTGCATACGGAAATTGTGCCTGCCAAGGTGGTGGGGGTGTTCGGGGATTGCTCAACGACCATCCACACCACCTCACGCACTTTCTTCTTGGACTCCACCACGAGCATGCGACGACGACTTCATGTATCGAACTGCTGAACAACATGATGGCGATTATACCAACTGCATCTGGTCTGCAGAGAGATCTAAGAAAGGCGCTCCTGCCAGCTGCGGGATCGCCCAACACGCATCACGAATAGGTACATGCCTACAAGATGTTCACGAGTGCCTAGGACGACGAACACACATGCTAAAACCGTTTGAGCATTACGCTGTGTACTTCTTAACCAGACCGCCAGGTAGGTCACCACCATGGCAGTTATCAGGGCCACGCCCGGTCTGCGTTGAAGCCGTTCGAACGGTCGCAATAAACATTCTTACAACCCTCCCAAAGGGGCCAGCCTATCTTACTATGCCATCGATGAGGCGGCGTCTTCTCGTGGGTACTCAGCGCTATATATGCACTCTCGCAGCTCTGTTTTAGAGCCTTCTTTTTTTCGTGCGCAATCATTCGTTTACTATTGCACCATGCACTCATTCACAAACATGCCACTCATTCCTTTTTTGTTTTCTCTCTTTNCGTTCGTCAACTTGAGCATAGCTGGCTATGTTCTTCAAGATGACTACAACTCTGCAGCATTTTTCGACATGTTCGACTTCTTTACATATGCGGACCCGACTCACGGCTTCGTCCAGTATATTGATCAAGGCACAGCATGGGATACCGGTCTGATCGGCAACGCTAATGACAAGGTCTACATCGGAGTCGACCATACCAACGTCCAGCCCAATGGTCGTCCCAGTATTCGCTTGACCAGCAAGAACGCCTACAACTCCGGCAGTCTTGTCATCCTCGATCTTGAGCATATGCCCGGAAATTCTTGTGGCTCATGGCCTGCCTTCTGGATGGTTGGACCTAGCTGGCCCAATGGTGGTGAGATTGACATTATCGAGGGTGTGAACACACAGAACCACAACGCCATGACATTGCACACGGCAGATGGCTGTTCCATCTACGAAAATGGCAACTTCACAGGCAATCTCTACTCCGACGACTGTTACGTCAACGCAGCGGACCAGACCAACAATCTGGGTTGTCAGATTTCCACTAATCAGTACAACACCTATGGCGATGGCTTCAACAACGTGGGAGGTGGTGTTTACGCCATGGAATGGACCGACGAAGCGATCAGCATCTGGTTCTTCCAGCGTGGTGCCATTCCTGCAAACGTCCTAAGCGCCAATCCCTCTCCGGACTCCACTTGGGGAAAGCCACTCTCGCAATTCACAGGCTGCTGTGATATCCCCGAATTTTTCTCGGACAACCAGATTGTTTTCGATGTGACCTTCTGTGGCGACTGGGCTGGTAGCGTTTGGAGCAGCGATTCTACATGTTCTGCTCTGAGCGGCTCCTGCACCGACTACGTCGCCAACAACCCTGGGGCATTCTCGAATGCCTATTGGTCCATCAACTCTCTTAAAGTCTTCGAGCAGACTGCAAAATCTTCTGGAAAGGTTGCACTGCCCGCATTCTGCAATAATCCTAATAACCCAACACAAACTGAGACATTCATTAGTAGTGCTAGCACCATATCGACGGAGACGGTGCCTGCTGAGACTACCTCGACCGTGTCATCTACTGTCGACTCGACGACCACAGAGACATCGTCGACGCAAACCTCTTCGATCGAATCCACGTCATCGACCGCCGAAACCTCGTCCTCCGCCGTGAGCTCATCGACTGAGCAGACCTCGACGACCGCCGAATCCTCGTCGGCAATCTCAAGCTCGTCGATTTCTGCGTCTTCGCAATCGTCTACCGCTCAGACCTCGTCAAGCGAGAGCATCTCGTCCGCCGCCCAGACCTCGTCAAACAACCAGGCCTCCTCGGCTGCTTCAAGTTCATCGACCGCTCAAGCCTCGTCGACTGCCGCAAAGACGTCGAACGTTGAGACATCGGTCGCGCCTGCATCGACTGCAGAGACGGCTGCTGAGACAAGCTCTTCACAGCCATTGCCCTCAGTCACCGAGGTGTTGACAACGCTAGTTCTGGCCGTGGCTGCCGATGCAACATCGACCGAATGGAGCACAGTGACGACAAAACTTAGACAAGTGGTATCGGTCGCGCCGATACCAGAGTTAAGTCAGACCGAACAGCCATCGGCCACCGAGAACAGCGAGACGACACCTGCCGCAAACGTCGAGACGATACCCACAATGCCATCGTTCGCCGAGACCACGGTGCTCACGACCATCGTGCAGGCAATATCGGCCGACGCAACGACAACACAATGGGTGACCATCACGACGAGCATCGAGCGAGCCATCACAGCGCCCGCGGACACAACCATCACACAATGGACGACTCAGCAAGTATCACTGGCGCCAGACGTCTACACGACGCTCTGGACGACCATCACAAGTACCGCCATCTACCAAAAGGCGAGACGCACCGCTCTACCCGAAAGCTTGATGCTGGGAGGCACAGAGTCGGCGGCGACGACATCACAAACGACACAGATCGAAACAACACCCAGCCCTAGCAGGCGCTGGCTCCCGAGACATTGGGGCCGAGCACGCAACTGAAAGATTTTTATGAAGGATACCAGACTTAGATATAATGTTTTTCTTATTGTTCACTTCAAAGGAGGAGGCCTGGAGGAGAATATGGCCAGAGTATATAGACAACTTAGGTAGCAAGGCTGGCTGGACTGGCAGAGACTTAAAAATGCAATGCCACTTAACACAGAATGAATGCAGCCTCTCCCCATGTAGCCATAGACAGTGACATGTAGTCATGTTTGAAGCTATAGAAAAGCACAATGCTTTCTAGCATCTAGCAAGGGGCAATGTCCACTGAGAGGAGGGCTTCTTTCTCATGATAGATCCATAGCGTCGTCGTCCTCCTCCATGTCGTTCGTGTCTTCATCCAATCCATAATCCGGAGAGTCGTAGCCGTGAGCGGTCTCTATTTGCTCTTCTGGCGGTGTGCCGTCGGCAGGACTAGAAGACAACGAAGGCATGTTTGCTGTTTTCTCTTTCGCACGTTCACGAGCCTCGAGTATGGCTTTCCGCACATTGTCTTGCTCGATGGGCACAGATAACGACGGCGGCAGGTTGTAGAGAACAAGCTCTTGATGTGAATCTTTCTTTTCTCCGAGCAGGATGTGTCTGGGAATGGCATTGAGCTTCTTTTCGATGTCTGGGAGGAAGATGAGTTTCTCTTCATTGGACTCGATGTCGGCCAACTCGTCGTCGAGGTTGTGGATGTACACGCGGTCTTTTGTGTCATCTAGCTGCATGTGCTCTTCGGTAGGAGGAGGGCGAGTCGTAGCGGTTTGGAGTTGCGGCCTAGCCGAGACGGGAATGTAGAGCTTGTCATGGTTGTTTGCNTGTAGAGAAGTCAGTGAATGGGGACAAGTAGTGAGTAGGAGAGACATACCTAGATTGAGTAGATTGAAGCGCTTCGCAAAACGGTGATCATCATCGAACGAGTCGTCTGCTGTGCGCTTGAGCCCCTGAGGGCACTTGGTGCTGGAGCTGGAGCTGGAGCTGTAGCTGTGTCTCGGTGTCGGTCCATGACCTCCGCGCTGGTTGTGTTCATCCCGCATCACCGCCGTCCACTCCGGTAGTTGTTCTAGAGCTACAACAGGACAGTTCAAAGATCCCAGTCGTCTTGGAGTGCGCGCGCGACTTGTCGAGTAGAAAGCGTGGATGATCACGAGCTTGTTCAACTGTTGCCGACGTGGGTTGACTCACGTTCAAATTCCACCTCAGCTGTCCACGAGAACATTCTCGCAGCTCCCATACCCTTCTCTCACCACAACACGCGCTTTCAACATGGCTTCCCAACCCAACGAGCAGCAATGGAATGCTGTCAAGGTCCGAAGCACTTTTATTGACTATTTCGTCAAGAAGAGGGGCCACACCTTTGGTATGTCCCGCCTCGGGGGTCTCTGTTTCGCCGCAACACCCAGCTGAATGGCTGCACAGNTGCCCTCCTCGTCGGTTGTCCCTCACTCGGACCCGACTCTTCTTTTCGCCAATGCTGGCATGAACCAGTACAAGTCCATCTTCCTTGGAACCGTAGACNCCTCGTCCGATTTCGCCTCGCTCAAGCGTGCCACAAATTCGCAAAAGGCAAGCCAAGACTTTTTTCCATCGACGTCGACAACATGCTAACAACAGATGCAGTGTATCCGTGCTGGTGGAAAGCACAATGTAACCATTTCCCGCTCTCAATTCCATTGGCTCCTCTAACTCGATCTAGNNGATTTGGATGATGTCGGCAAGGACAGCTACCACCACGTGAGCTTTTCTAACCAAATCATCGAGCGACTGATAAACTGACAGGTCAATGCAGNNACATTCTTCGAGATGTTGGGTAACTGGAGTTTTGGCGACTACTTCAAGAAGGAAGCTATTGCTTGGTCATGGGAACTCCTCACCAAGGAGTTCGGTCTTGATCCTGCCAGAATGTACGTCACCTACTTCGAGGGTGACAAGGCTGGCGGTCTGGAGCCCGATCTCGAGGCCAAGGAGCTCTGGAAATCAGTCGGTGTCCCCGAGGACCACATCCTTCCTGGTAACATGAAGGACAACTTCTGGGAGATGGGTGACCAGGGCCCTTGTGGTCCTTGCAGTGAAATCCACTACGACAGAATTGGAGGCCGCAATGCCGCACATCTCGTCAACATGGACGACCCTAACGTTCTGGAGATCTGGAACAACGTTTTCATCCAATACAACCGCGAATCCGACAAGTCACTGCGATCCCTGCCTAACAAGCACGTCGACACTGGTATGGGCTTCGAGCGTTTGGTGAGTATCTTGCAAGATAAGCCTTCCAACTACGACACCGATGTTTTCACTCCTCTCTTCGACCGTATCCAAGAAATCACTGGTGTCCGCAACTACGAGGGCAAGTTTGGCAGCGAGGATGCCGACGGTGTTGACACTGCCTACCGTGTTGTCGCTGATCACGTAAGACTTCTTACCTTCGCCATCACTGACGGTGGTATCCCTAACAACATGGGACGTGGTTATGTCGTTCGCAGAGTTCTGCGCAGAGGTGCCCGTTATGCTCGCAAGTACCTGAACACAGATATTGGTGACTTCTTCTCAAAGATTGTCCCAACACTGGTCGCCCAGATGGGTGATATGTTCCCCGAGATCAAGAAGAAGGAGCAAGACGTCAAGGAGATCCTCAACGAGGAAGAGCTCTCATTCGCCAAGACTCTCGACCGTGGTGAGGCCATGTTCGAGAAGTACGCTCAGCAGTGCAAGGACAACAACACCAAGTCACTTTCTGGTTCTGATGTCTGGCGTCTGTACGATACTTACGGTTTCCCCGTCGATCTTACCCAGCTCATGGCAGAGGAGCGTGGCCTCACTATCAACGAGGAGGAAGTCAACGCTGCTCAGGCCAAGGCTAAGGAGGCTAGCAAGGGCGAGAAGAAGGCTGGCGCCGATTTGGTCAAGCTTGACGTCCACGACTTGGGCAAGCTCGACACCATGACCGAGGTTAGCAAGACCGACGATGAGCCCAAGTTCGGTCGTGGCAACATCAACGCTACTGTCAAGGCTATCTACTACAACAAGCAATTCCTGTCGAGCACCTCCGAGGTCCCCGAGGGCGAGCAGTTTGGTGTCATTCTTGACAAGACCAACTTCTACGCCGAGCAGGGTGGTCAAGAGAACGACACTGGTAAGATTCTGATTGACGGTGAAGCCGAGTTGGATGTTCAGAACGTTCAAAGCTATGCCGGCTACGTTCTTCATACCGGCTACATGACTTATGGTACTTTCAAGACTGGCGACTCCGTCATTTGCGAGTACGACGAACTCCGCAGACACCCCATCCGCAACAACCACACCGGTACTCACATTCTCAACTTCGCTCTCCGCGCAGTTCTCGGCGATGACATCAACCAAAAGGGTTCGCTCGTCGCTCCTGAGAAGCTTCGTTTCGATTTCAGCCACAAGGCTGCATTGTCAGACAAGGAGCTGCAGGAAGTCGAGACCAAGAGCACATCATACATTCGCCAGAACAGTCCTGTCTACTCATTGGAAGTGCCCCTCGCTACTGCCAGAAACATCAAGGGTGTTCGTGCCGTGTTCGGTGAGACCTACCCTGACCCCGTCCGTGTCGTCAGTGTTGGTGTGCCCGTTGAGCAGCTTCTTGAGGATGTCCACAACCCCCAATGGGAGAACGTCAGTGTCGAGTTCTGCGGTGGTACCCACGTTGACAAGACTGGTGAGATCAAGGAGTTGATCGTGCTTGAGGAGGGTGGTATTGCAAAGGGTATTCGCCGTATCATCGCCGTGACTGGACAGACTGCGCATGAAGTGCAGAGAGTCGCCCAGGAGTTCTCGGATGACCTCGCTCTGCTCGAGAAGATGGAGTACAGCCCTCAGAAGGAGCAGAAGGCCAAGCAATTGCAGGTTCAGCTCAATCAGCTGACCATTTCTGCTGTTACTAAGACTCAGCTCAAGGAGCGCTTCGCCAAGGTTGCCAAGGTACGTTTGCCAGGTTGGTGATGATTTGTGATTCGTTTACTGATCTTATGCTCTACAGNNGCAAATCTCGACCAGCAAAAGGCATTCCTCAAGGCCGAGAACAAGACCGTGACCGACACAATCGCCAAGCACTTCACCGACAACCCAGAGTCGAAGCGCTTGGTTGTCCGCGTCCCCATCTCCGCCAACTCCAAGGCCATCAGCGAGGCCATCAAGACCATCAGCTCCAAGCAAAAGGACAAGACAATCTACCTTATCGCCGCCGATGAGAAGGATGGCAAGGTCGTCCACGGCTGCCACGTTTCCGCAGAGGCAAAGGAGAAGGGTGCCGATGCACCTGCCTGGGCCAGCGAGATTGCTGGCGTGCTCGGTGGAAAGGCTGGTGGTAAGGGTGCTACTTCGCTTGGACAGGGCACTCAGCCTGAGAACGCCGACCAGGCTGTCGAGCTCGCTACCAAGTACCTTGAGAAGCTCGGCTTGTAAGAGCGAGGAGCCGATGGTATTGTACGAATGTACGAAAGTCTAGCATCAAGAACTAAATTCAGAAATTCCATGTAGCTGTACTCTACTTATATCTTTTCTTGGCTTCGTATAAATGGTGGCTTCTCATATGCAAGTTGTTATATCTTGTTCTCTTTATTCGGGTGTGTGTTTCAGGTAGAAGCAGGATAGATGATAGGGAGTTGGCCTCCGCCATCTGGAGTACTGGGCAATCTAGACCATTGTATCAATTTGCGAAGCAGCAGTTTCGTGCAGTCTTCTTGCCATGAATCTTCAAAGTAAAGGTGAATCATGTATTCATGATTGCGGTATGCAGAGCGACCCTGCCTGACTCACTCTTCACTTTGAGATTCTGTCATCGCATCCACCTTCCTTCCCTGCTCTGCGACTTCCTTTCCAAGACAACCAAGAGATCTATCGGCAACTCGGCCACATGCGGTACTCCAAACCCCACACCACCATCTCACCTTGAAGTGTCACCCAAGCACTAATTCGACTATTCTATAAATAATGGCTTGGAAGATGCGGATTGATTTTCGGAGTTGAGCGAAAGATAAAAACGGTTGCAAAGGGCGGGTTAGCAAGCGAGACACTTTTATCCGAACCAGGCACTTGCAAAGAAAATCGGTGACATCGTCATGTGAGATTTTTTTCCCTTCTTTTTTCTCTTCTTTTTTTCTTTTGAATCTCTCGACAATGTTCTGAGACAAGGCCGACAGACATCAGTTGTCTTGACTCTTTTGTTTGATGGTCGTGCGTGGTTTCTAAATGATGATAAACAAACAAACGCGCAAGTCATTGCAAGATCACAAGTTTCTGAATTCGTGTTGGACGGCAAGGGACGAAGATAAACGCAAAAGGCTTGTTGTTGAGATCTGTGGTACAACGATACATGCATGATGCGCAGCACAGGCACAATGCACACCATCCTGCCATGCAAGGCCGTTTGCCATCCTTTGGACTTGGCGTGGTCAAGGTCAAGGCTCTGGTGAACATCGTCGTTGTACTCTAGCTACTGCAGGTCAAGTTTGCTCGATCTTTTCCTTGCCTTGTACTTATTTCCCTGCCGTGAGAAAGGCGAAAGAAGAGAAGTATTCAGATGGGCACGCGATCGATGCCATCGGTTGCAGAAAAATGTGTTTTGGAAGATGATATGCTGAGATCTGGCTATCGCAATCATGTTGTTATCCACTCTGGAGCGAAAAAGAAAAACAACAGTGTGTACTCTGCGGCGATCCATGGCAGAGACATGACCCACCGGTGTCTGAGATGGACGTGTATGCGTCAGGACTTGGTAGGGATAATGATTGGCAAAGAAGTGTGCTTGGACATCAGAGGTTTCGACCGCACTCGAGCTTTGGTAACGTCGTAGATTTAGATAGAACTCGAGACATCACAAGACAATCACAATGGAAAGAAAATAAAGAATTGGTGGTAGAATAGTCATTACTGGTGGCAGTTCTAATTGCTCATTAAATTACAACTTCTAAATGAATCCTTCAAATATCGACAGGAAGTTCTCATCAACGTGAGAGGTAGAAAAAAGGTACAAATGAAACAGCTTAGTAGCCAAGAACGTACTTGACCCAGCCAGCGGCATCGTCAGAGTAGAGGTCGAAGTAGTTGAGGTGGTTGTTGACATCGAAGGGACCGGGGCCGGCAGCAGCGCAGACGGGGTCGGAGTGGTCGCAGTAAGATCTCATGATGCCAGAGAACTTGTTCAGGCGGTTGAGAGAGTCGGTGGTACGGGGGTCGTTGCAGCTGACATCGGCACCGCTGAGGACATTGTAGGGCTGGTTGGCAACGTGTCTGTTGTCACCGAAGAGGAGGACGGCACCGAGCTGGTTACCAGGGCTGGTAGAGGGGTCAAGACCGGGGTTGGGGCCACCGCAGATGTCGGAGCCACCGAGAATATCACCAGCAACATTGGCACCCTGAGAGTATCCAGAAAGGACGAGCTTGGAGCCAGGGCACTTCTGAGCGTAGGCGGTCATCTGGTTGATGCCGTTGGTGTCGCCCTCCTTGACAGCGGTGCAGTAGTCACTGCCCTCAGGGTTCTGGAACAAAATGTCCTCGTAGTCGCAAGAATCAAGACCGTAGCAGATGGCACCAGCGAGCTTGCCCTGGCGACCGGGGTAAGGCTCGTTCCAGCCCTTGGAAAGGAAGATGTGAACGTCTCTGCATGAAGGGTCGGTGTTCTTGTTTGTGGGTGAAGGAGCAGGTGCAGCGGCTGTGGGCTGTGCAGGCGATGAAGCGGGAGAAGAGGCCGGAGCAGCAGTGGGAGCGTTTGCCTGCCACGAGAAGGTAGCCCCTCCATAAGTTGCGGTTATCCATTCGCCGCCGTTGTTGTTCTGAGGAGCGCTTGTCTGTTGAGGAGGAATGACAGCGGGAGGAGTGGACTGAGCGGGAACGTTCCAGTTGTTCTCCCACGATACGGTCTTTCCATCAATCACTGCGGTAACCCAGTCGGCACGCTTCTCAAGAGGAGCGGGAGCACCAGGAGCAGCGTAGACTGCGGTGGCAGCCAGGAGGGCTGAGAGCAAAGTTGCTGAGCGAGGAGACATGTTGAAAGTTTCGAGTGTGTATATTTGTCTGATCCCGTTTGTAGTCGTTTATATCGTTGATAGAGATGTTGGAGTTGTTGATAGGAAGAGGCTGATGACAAAACAGTAATAGTGGGAGGGTGGGTGGTGGAATATATATATCGAGCCATGAGGCTTCAGCGGGCACGCCCCTAGACTCCGAGCGCGAGCGCGGGCCTCTTACGACACCTGCATCATGAACACTTACAATGCTGCCAAGGGTTATACGAGATGGATCCAGAGCAATTCCCAGCCATGGTGGTCGCCGTGAGATGATCATGCGGTGCTGCTACGCGGGACATGTTTCTATCCCAAGGCCATCCTCCGCTAACGCTTTGCTAAATTAAGGCCGGTCATAAGCTTAACTCAACCTTCACGACTCGCGCACGCTATACCGGCCACCGCTTCCGAATAATGTGCGCCACCATTAATCCTTCGTTTCCCAGTTACTGCACCTCAATACGAATGACCCCATTCATCACCCAGCACGATCGCATCACGTCCCAAATATAGAGCATGCATGTCTCCGCTCTGCTTGCCACGCTGCAGGCTCGTCACTCTTCTGCCCATTCTGCGGCTGTGAACGGACGAGTACACTTCGCATGAACTCAACGTTGGATCGAAGCCAGCACGGGTCAACAAGACTTATCGTCGTTGGATCTGGATCTGGATCTAACAGCCAAAACGCTTGAAATACTCGACATGCTGCGATCATGGAACTCTGATTTGCATCATAGATGAATGAGACATTCGCCACGGACGAGAATAGTTGATTACTGTGCACAAATGAAAAAGTATATTGTGCTGGTAAAGAAGCTCGGCTCTGCATACAGATGCCAGCCACTCGCATGGATGGGGAAGAAAGCACCCGAGTCAGTCACGCTCAGGTCACGTTGCTTTACGAGAAACACGTTCATGTCAACAGAGACCCGACGGAAATGAACACAATTTAGCAAAAACACCTCATGGTGATCTGCTGCAAATCAGTGACATGATCTCCTGTGTGTTGATCAAGACAGTCACAGTATAGCTACTGTGCAAACGCACAAATGCTTCGGATAAGGGACGAGGTCCAAAGGTAACCACGACTCTCAGTGGATGCTGCTGCTTCCTACAAAGTATTGTGCAATTCTATAGCTTACAATATCACTGTGCAACACAGTCAGAGAGGCTTCATTGTGAGAGAGTGTAACTGTTGTTGGAGAAGCAGCAACACGACAAAGGAGAGTCCTGCAATGATAATGAAGTAGACATATGAGACTGTTATACTGTAAAACGAGAAGAGATTACCTAGCTAGGGTACTAAATCAACAACAAACAGAGTTAGTGGTATAAATACAAACACACGTGTTGAACAGATTAAACAAAGGAAATTCGTCAAAAGAAAGCGAAAGGAGACCAGCGCCGGGGCTCGAAAAACAGAATCAAAACCAGAAAAAGGGAAGTTGCTCCAAAGATAATCAGTCAGTCGGATGCAAGAAGACCCCCGATCCCTTGCTCTTTCCTCCAGAAATGGTTGGTGTAGTTTCCTCCTCTTTGTTTGTCTTCTGTTCTTCAGCATCCCGTCAGGCTCAGGATTAGGATATCAAACTTCGTCATGTTTCTTTTTTACTTCTTGCCGAACAGACCGCCAACGATGGGCAAGCTGCTGGCGCCACCACCGCCCTCCTTCTTCTTGTCCTTCTTGCCCAGGCCGAGGGAGTTGGCAACGCTGCCGAGACCAAGACCACCGAGCAACTTGCCGATACCGAGGCCACCAAGCAGACCATTGACGAGTCCACCCAATCCAAGGCCGTTGAGCAGCTGGCCAACCAGACCCAAGACACCAGTCAGCAAAAGACCGACGGCAGCAAGAATCTGGAAGAGAGGCTGTGTCATCAGACCCCAGAGAGGGTTCAACTTCTTCTTGGCGTGAGGCATGTCGCTGATGCGCTTCTTTGCGTTGTCGATGGTGGTGACGACGGTAGTGGTCAACTCCTTGAGGGTGTCGGCCAGGCGGTACTCCTCGGGAGTGGCCTCCTTGGTGCCGGCACGGCCCTTGGCTTGAGCAGCAATGCGACCGTCGGGGTCGAGGCCGCGCAGAGAGCCGTTGCACTCTTGCAGGATACGACCAGCCTCCTCGATGAGAGGCTTGACCTTGTTGACCAAATCTTCCTCGTCCAACTCTTCACGTGGGGTACGGTCGGCGGCTTCGATGTGCTGTCGAGAAACGGTAAGTCAGTAATGGTTCGCGTGAAGACATGGAACAGGCAAGCACTTACGTCGGTGATCTGCTTGCAGATGGGTTGGACTCTCTCGAGGGTCTGGGTGCAGATGGTGCCCATCTTCTCAGCAATCTCGCGGTCTTGCTCCTTCTTGCGGCGCTCCTCCTTCTCTTCCTCGGTGAGCTCCTCCTCAGGGATCTCCTCGTCCTCGATGATGTTCGCAATGAGAGTGACCTCGCCGACCTTATTGCCGTCGTTATCAACAACGTAGCCATTGTCATCAACCTCAAGGCCAACACAGTGACCGAGGTCACCGGTGGTGAGTCTGCCCATGACATCGCCGTTCTCATCACGGACTTCACCCTCCTTGTTGACGCGGCGACCAGACATGGGGTTGATCTTTCTCTCCTTCTCCTCGGGCTCCCATCTCTCGGCCTTACCGATGAGGTTACCGTTCTTGTCTTGAATTTCACCATCCTCGTCGACCTTGTGAGCAACAAGCTTCTTGACATCACCCTCAATGACGCGGCCAACGATGCCACCGTCGGGAGTGACAACGTATCCCTCCTTGTTGACAGTGACGCTGTCGAAACCAGCGAAAGGTCCTTCAGCCTTGGTGTCGGCACCCTTGGCGAGTTCGGCCTTGCCAATGACATTTCCGGCGTTGTCCCAGATCTGACCCTGGCCATCAACCTTCTTGCCGACCATGGTAGACGGGTCGCCTTCAGAGACACGACCAATGATGGTGCCGGAAGAGTCGACGACGTTGCCAGCCTTGTTGACAGTGCAGCCAGCAAGGGCGGAGAGGTCTTCGGCGGTTTGCTCCTCTTCCTCCCAAGGCTCGGCGTGACCCTTGGTGTTTCCGTACTTGTCGCTAATGTCACCGTCCTCATCAACAGAGAGGCCTACGAGACGCTTGACGTTGCCTTCGGTGATGATACCGACACGGTCGCCCTCGGCGTTCTCGACGTAGCCCTCCTTGTTAACGTGGAGGCCTTCCAGTCCAGCGAAGGGACCTTCGGGTCTGGCAACACGTTCGTTCTCAGGAAGAACCTCGCAACGACCAACGACCTTGCCAGTATCGCCATGGATCTTGCCTTCTTCATCGCAGCGGCGACCAGCAAGCTCCTTGACGTTACCTTCGACAAGCTTACCAAGAGGGATGCCGTCTTCGTTGACGACGAACCCTTGCTTGTTTAGCTTCTTGCCGTTGAGGATCGAGTTGTCGATAGGGGCGGCTTCTTCTTCCTCGTAGGGCTCAGCGTGGCCCTTTGCGTTGCCGTACTTGTCGTTGATATCACCGTCCTCGTCAACAGAAAGGCCAACAAGCTTCTTTACATCGCCTTCAGTAACCTTTCCGACGATGTTGTCCTCGGAATCAGCAACGTAACCTTCCTTAGTGACACGAAGACCCTCATGGCCGGCAAAGGGTCCCTCGGCTCTAGAGACACGCTCGTTCTCGGGGAGAACCTCGCAGTGTCCAACAATCTTTCCGGTATCGTTGTGGATGTCACCGTTCTCGTCACATTGACGGCCAGCAAGCTCTTTGACGTTGCCATCGATGAGCTTACCGATGGGGATTCCNTTATCATCGACAACAAAGCCGCTCTTGTTGAGCTTCTTGCCGTCGAGCATAGAGTTATCGGCAGGGGCAGCTTCTTCTTCCTCGTAGGGCTCAGCGTGGCCCTTTGCGTTGCCGTACTTGTCGTTGATATCACCGTCCTCGTCAACAGAAAGGCCAACAAGCTTCTTTACATCGCCTTCAGTAACCTTTCCGACGATGTTGTCCTCGGAATCAGCAACGTAACCTTCCTTAGTGACACGAAGACCCTCATGGCCGGCAAAGGGTCCNTCGGCTCTAGAGACACGCTCGTTCTCGGGGAGAACCTCGCAGTGTCCAACAATCTTTCCGGTATCGTTGTGGATGTCACCGTTCTCGTCACATTGACGGCCAGCAAGCTCTTTGACGTTGCCATCGATGAGCTTACCGATGGGGATTCCCTTATCATCGACAACAAAGCCGCTCTTGTTGAGCTTCTTGCCGTCGAGCATAGAGTTGTCGACAGGGCCTTCCTCCTCCTCGTCTGCGAGAGGTTCAGCATGGCCCTTGACGTTGCCATATCTATCCATGACATCACCGTCCTCGTCGACAGCAAGACCGATCAGGCGCTTGGCGTTGCCCTCAACAATCTCACCAACGATGTTCTCGTCCTCGTCAGCGACCTTGCCGTCAGCAACAACGCGGAGACCCTGGAGACCAGCGAAGGGACCGTCGGGCTTGGCCTCGCGTTCGTCTTCGGGGATCAATTCAACACGNGCCAATGACCTTGCCTTGGTCGTTCCAGATCTGACCTTGGTCATCGAGCTTCTTGCCAGTGAGTTCCTTGGCCTTGCCTTCAACCAGGCGAGCGACAGGTACACCCTCATCGCCAATGACGAAGCCGGCCTTGTTCAGAACCTTGCCGTTGAGGCTGGAAAGATCGACGGGCTCCTCTTCAGGCTCAGGCTCCTGCTCAGGATCCTCGTAGCGTTCGGCATGACCGACGACGTTACCCTTCTTGTCNNGAGGATATCACCGTCTTCGTCAACAGCACGACCGACGAGCTTCTTGGCGTCGCCCTCGGTGAGTTGACCAACACGGTTGCCGTTCTCGTCCTCGACCCAACCGTCCTTGACGACGATCAGGCCCTCAAGACCAGCGAACTCTGACTCTTCGTCTTCCTCGACAGGGACAGTCTTGGCGCGGCCGATGACATGGCCCTTGTCGTCCCAGAACTGACCTTGGTCGTCTGACTGGACACCAGACTTGGAGAGCTTCTTGGCATCACCTTCGGTAAGCTCACCGACGACGGTACCGTTGGAGTCGACGATCTTGCCAGCCTTGTTGACCTTCAGACCATCAAGAACAGAGAGAGGAGGCAGGTTGGCGGCGGCGTCCTCGGCAGCATCCTCGGCACCCTCTTCGGCATCCTCAGCGCCCTCTTCAGCGTTCTCTGCGTCTTCGGCGGCATCTTCTGCGGCGTCTTGAGCATCTTCGGCCTTGTCGGCAGCCTCCTCAGCTTCTTCGATCTCCTCCTGGGGGATCTCTTGAGGAAGGGCCTTGACGCGGCCAATGGTGTTGCCTTCTTCGTCGAGAACCTCACCCTTGTCATTGACCTTCTTGCCAGCGCATTCGCTGAGGTCACCAGAGGTAAGTTCACCAATCTCTTCGCCGTCTTCGTTGAGGATCTTGCCCTTCTTGTTGACCTTGAGACCTTCGAGGACATCGAGGTCAGGGATCTTGAATTGAGGACCTTGAGGCTCCTCCTCCTCATCGGCTTGCTCCTCATCCTCACCCTGCTCTTCGTCAGGAACATTCTCGCCGAGCTCGGTCTGGAGCTCCTTGGTAGCGGTCTCGGCAGCCTCGCCAGGAGTGACGGAGACTTTGCCAATGACCTTGCCGTTCTGGTCAAGAACCTCACCCTTGTCGTTGACCTTCTTGCCGGCACACTCCTTGGGGTCGCCCTCAGCGAGCGAACCGATCTCGTCGCCTTCGTCGTCAAGAACCTTGCCCTTCTTGTTGACCTTTCTGCCATCAAGAATGCGGAGGTCGAGAGAAGGAAGAGAGCCACCGAGCTTCTCGGCAGCGCCTTCTGCGAGACCGACCTTGCCGAGGACGTTGTCGTCGGCGTCGACGACTTCGCCATCCTCGTTGATCTTGAGGTCTTCGGCCTTGAGTTCGCCAGACTCGAGCTTCTCCTTGAGAGACTCGTCGTCGATCTGGCCAAGAACCTCGCCTTGGTCATCAACAACCTCGCCAGCGTCGTTGAGTTCTCTGCCTTGAAGAGCCTCGATACCAGGGAGCTCGTCCTCAATGTCTTGAGCGGCATCCTTGACATCGTCAGCAGCGTCGTCAACCTTGTCGGCAGCGTCGTCGACTCTGTCAGCGGCCTTGGCGGTGTCGTCGGCGTTGTCCTGAGCGTCGTCGGCAGCATTTTGGGCATCATCGGCAGCCTGCTGGACTTGGTCGTAGATGTCCTCTGGTGCCTCAGGGTGGATGTCGGCATGGCCAATGACGTTGCCATCATCGTCGATGAACTCACCGTACTCGTTCAGAGTGGCGTTCATGAGCTCTTCAGGGTTGCCATCGGTAACCTGACCGATAGTGTCACCTTCGTCGTTGAAGATGTTACCAGTAGGATCGCAGGTAAGTCCCTTGAAGATGGCAAGGTTGGGCTTCTCGGCATCGTCGGTGTCGGGGAGGTCACCAACAAAGTTCTCGGCACCCTTGGGGAGTTGACCCTTGCTCTTGAGGTCGGCCATCTGCTTCTTGACCTGTTCGGGAAGAAGCTCGCAACGTCCGACAAGATCACCGTCGTCATCAAGGATCTCGCCGTCATCGCCAATTGGGTAGCCGGCAAGATCCTCAGCGTCACCCTCAGCAAGCTTGCCAATGGGGTTGCCGTCTTGATCGTTGACCATACCATCCTCGGAAACCTCGAGGCCCTTGAGCACAGAGAGGTCGACAGGGAGGTCGTTGATGTCGTTGACTTCGGGAACGTCCTCATCAGCGCCGTCCTCGGCGGTGTCTTTGGCGTCTTCAGCGGTGTCTTCGGCGTCCTCAGCAGTCTCGCCGGCCTTGTCGGTTGCGTCTTCTGCAGTGCCCTTGACTTGCTCGGTGGCGTCCTCAGCAGTGTCTTGAGCATCCTCAGTGGCGTCTTCGGCAGTGTCCTTGGCCTCGTCGGCGACGTCGCCAGCCTTGTCGGTGGCATCACCAGCAGCGTCCTCAGCAGTGTTCTGAGCATCCTCAGTGGCGTCTTCGGCAGTGTCCTTGGCCCCGTCGGCGACGTCGCCAGCCTTGTCGGTGGCATCACCAGCAGCGTCCTCAGCAGTGTCCTGAGCATCCTCGGCAGTGTCTTCAGCGGTGTCCTTGACGTCTTCGGCAGCATCGCCAGCCTCGTCGGTGGCATCACCTGCAACCTTCTTGGCGTCATCGGCGGTGTCTTGAACGCCCTCGGCGGCATCCTCAGCAGTGTCCTCGGCAGTGTCCTTGACATCTCCTGCGGTATCTTGAACGTCTTCGGAGGCATCCTGAGCTGCCTTCTTGGGGTCCTGAGCGGCCTTGCCAGCGAGACCAGAGGCCTTGCCAGCTAGTCCCTTGGCACCCTTGAGGAGGTTGCCGCCGGACTGCTTGCCAGTCTTTTGGGCGTCGTCAGCCACCTTGCCGGTGGTGTCTTGAACATCATCATCGTTGTCGTCTGCTTCATCACCAGCCTTGACGGTCTTGTCGTCGTCGGCGGTGTCCTCGGTGTCGTCATTGTCGTCATCATCAGCAGTGTCTAGTGCACCAGCGGCGGTATCGTTGTCGTCGTTAGAGTCGTCAATTGGTTGAGGAGCTTGCTCCTCGAGCTGGCCCTTGGCGTTGTCTCCGGCCTGGGAAACCTTGCTCAGAGGGCCTTCGTCATCATCCTCGTCCTCATCATCACCAGCCTGGGTGGATGCGGCTTCGGTGTCGTCCTTCATCTCGACCTTGCTGGGCTCTTCGGCAGCGCCCTCGGCCTTGCTCTTGGCATCTTCGGCAGTCTTGCCAGCCTTGTCCTGTGCACCTTGCGCGGCCTCGCCGGCTTTTTGTTGCACGTCACCGGCTTCGAGCTTCTCGGAAGTCTGAGGAACTTCTGGCTGCTTAGCACCCTCGGGGGCGGATGCTTTTCTTGCGCCTGAAGCGGCCTGCTGTCCGAGTTTGGGAGGCTGGCTAGTTTGGCTCTGGGGCTTTCTGCCCAACTTTGTAGGAGTCTTGGGGGCGCCACCAGTGGCCTTGCCTGCTGCTGGAGAAGGAGCCATGTTCTTCAAAGTTCTGGTAGTTTTGGGAGTGGGGGAATTAGATTTAGAGCTCGCTGAAGGAGAAGCTCTGTTTGGTGTTGGAGGAAAGGAGTAGTAGGCGTAGGAGGAGGAAGATGGATTGTTGGTCATACAACAATTTTGATTAGGTTATTTGGGGGAATGGGGAGAAAATTGATAGAGGAATTGAGACGAGGGAAGGGAGCTTGAAAACATATAAGCTACCTACCTCGAGCACGGAGCAAGCTAGCACTCCTGTTGGCTCGCATGGTGCTATCCAGCAAGCTTGTGACGTATAGAAATGCCAGGTAGGTAGCGCCTCACGGTGGCATTACAGGTTTTGCGGCTGGTGAGATGTCGGTTCGGCCTGCTCTCGAGCTGCGTTCCAACGTCACAGCCACCGAAATATGGAGTGACGGCTGGAGAGTGGCTGCATGGTAGTTGTATCGACGATGCGGAGAAGACGGGGCGGTCCACAAGCGGCTTTAGGCGAGGATCGAGGGCTTCGAGGGAGCTCTGCAGGCTGCAGCTCGAGGCCATCAGAGAATGCCGTCCCATCGGCTCGATACAGCCTTTGGTGCAACACGAGGCGCCGATACGGAGAAACACTTCAAGACGGGAGCAGTGCCGCAACCGCGACCTGTCAACAGCCTCAGGTAAGGACAGCAAGTGTAAGCGTGAATGTTAAGATGATTGGCGCGCGTCGTTGACGGGTGACGTCTGATACGCATCCTCACCCCTGCAAGAACGGCAGCATTGCATCCCGACCAGGGTCCTGGACTGGAGCTATGATGCATGGAGCTGGAGAGAGCTCGAGAAAGTTCCTTGAGTAACATTGCCAGCTACGAACCGTCGAGCCGCTTCGTTGCCTCCTTCGCGGAGTTTTTGCAGCGACTGTCGTCCAATTCGAAGCTCGGAAAGTAACATCTTGTAGAGTTTCGGTACAGACCCCGACAGATGGGCAAGACCGTTGGCACGCTGAACATCAGTTTGTCTCAGAGTGCTCTCTCGCGCAAGCACGCGAAGCATGACATCACAAGCTTTCGATCTCCGTCAGATTCAATAACTTTCCACTCCACACGGGTGATATGCGTAGGGCTGCCCTGAAAATTGTGACGAAGCAGAGCATAGGAGTCGACCGAGTGGATCGCGATGCCCTCATCTATTATGCAATTGTGTCGGCGGGAGGACCTGCAGTAGCATACAAGGGTGATGAAAGAAAATAGGGGTGATGGTTCACGCAGCACGGCACCAGCTTGTCAAAAAGTGTCGAGACTCGAGAAGCTCGAAAGCTGAAGTCGTGATCTTTCACTTTCCAATTTACGAAACGAGTTGCGGGTTCGACGGGCGGACTTGCAAGCGCTTAGCGATGTGGAAAGTCTGGCCTCAAACCGGGAAGTGCTGCGCCTCACGGCAGCCACACGCAACATCATGGTCGCTGATCTCAACAGGTGACGCGAGATTCAGAGATCGCCCGCGAGTCGCGTCCTCTTCTCGCATGGTCGTTGGTACGACCCTGTATCCGAATTTTTGAATCTCTTTCTTGAGTCCATCTCGTGAAACATTATTGTAGGTTGGTGTGTAGATTTTCTGAGAACGTGGCAAGGTATCGTTGTGCTGTTGCAGATTCAGTGAAGGGCATGTCAGTGTGCCGCTTCCATTGGAAGATGTTGGCAGTGGATACTCCGCAAAGTTGATTGAGTTTATTGGCAGCACCATAAGTAAGGAAAGATGTGTCGTGCAAAAGGCTCTGGATGGAGTTCGTACATTTCATTCAAGTCATGAGGTTTCAGTCAACCAACCACTTTTACTTCCTTAGCTACAGCATTGCACAACTCCACCGCAACACCCGCACCTGTGAGCACGTCTATCCACAAGCGTTGTGTGTCACTCAAACGATCATTTTCACTTTTCACTTCAGCGAACATGACCTCTCCTCCTCCCGTGTCGGGGTTCTCCTTCCAGAGAAAGAGATCGGGCACACCTCCTCCTCTTTGTCCGTACTCTTGTGCCATGACTTTACACACGGTACTAAGAGCCGCAGGAGGGAAACAATTGGCGATGGACAGAAGGTCTTCCAGCTCATAAGACCAACTCAACCCCACAACGCATGTGTTCTTCTCGTGGTGGTCATCCCACACCCGCTGAATCAGTTTCCGTGCCTCTCCATTGTTGATTTCGTTTAGGCGTTGGTTGATCTCGGATATGCGCGAAGGGTAAAATGCATCAGTATGTAGGTCCAAAGGGCATGTCTGATAGGGCGTCTGGAACACATCCGGAATGTAGACGAAGAGTACGTCGAAGAAGAGGTAAGCGAACAATGTCCGTACGATGCCGCCCTCAGCATGGTATCCTCTGTAGCCAAGCGAGCGATATTGCGAAAGACACATTGCTTCCACTGAGCATTCGCCTTCATTCTCATTCTCTCCAGGATCAATCCAGATGGTCTTGCCTCCCCTTCTTGTCTCATTGGCCTGTTCAACTCGCTGTATCCTGGTACCATAGAAAACACGTTCCACGGGTTTCGCCAGTCGAACGTGGCTGAAGTCGTGTTGCTCTCGCATCGGCACGCGAAGTGCTTTCTCCAGCTTCATGACTCGTTTCTGAAGATCATGATGATACATCAGGTGTACGAGACGGTCTTGTAGACCTTCCTCGCAAGTCTGAAGAGAGACACGTTTCCAGTGTTTCTTCTGAGCTTCTTCTCCACGGCCTTGAGCGGGCATCAGAGCATGCATGTAGTGTTCTTCTAGTAAAGCTTTTCGCTGATACCAGTCACCTCGCCTCGAAGTGTGGAAGAGTTTCTGTTTGAGTAACTCTTCCAGGGTCTCGTACTCACGCTTGTGGTCCTTGAACTTACCCATGACATATGCACCTTTGTGGATGATACGAGTGTAGACCCAGGCAGGAGAAAGGCGTCGCAAATAAGCACCCTCGCCAGTCATGTAGATGCTGTCTTCTTTNTGTTGCTCCTCTTGCAGTAGTTCTCTCCACCGCGGGAGGATATGGTCACAGAGGTCGAGGATCGTGTCCAGGTTCTCCTTGCTTGGTGTGCCACTAAACTCGAGAACGCTGTCGAGATAGAACTGTATTCTCAGCGAAGCCTCGAACTCGAGCAACATAGGTCTGGATGCAAATATGTTGGATGAGCGGCAGACGAGATATTCCGGGAAGTTCAAGCGTGAAATCTTAGCAAGTATGATGGTTGTCAAGGACTTTTCCGTCCACATAGTGGAGCGATAGAAGACAAGGTGAACACGTTCGAACAGTCTCCGTGCAGGATCCGAGAGTCGGACACAAGGCCCTGTCTCTGCCATGATTTTCTCGAGAAAGTGAGTATCTCGGTTCTGTAGGGGAGTGCCTTCCCGACTATCTTCATCATCGTCTGCCACGGATAGAGTTGAATCTTCCGTATCGGACCGCTTGAGTGAAGACCAACCTAGGCCAGCTTGTTTCCCGCTTGCCTTCCTCAGAGCTTTCAGCAAATCTCGCTTTGTCTTGCCTTGGACCTTTGCATCTTTCGCAAGTGACTTGAGCTCATCCAACAGAAGGAGCGATGAAGCTTCCTCCAATGTGGTAATGTGTTCTTCTGACCTGTCGGCGAAGGTGAAAGAGTGTCCCAGTCGAGTGTCGCCGGGCTGATCGAAATCGCGAGGAACGGGGAGCGATTCTACAGTAGGCGGCGGAAGGTCGCAGGAGGTCTGTAATGTCTCGACAGCTCTGGAGAGGTCGGAGATGTCGCTGTGGTAGCCAAGACGGCTGATGCGATGCCAGGCAGATGTCTTGCGGAGGAACAGACGGACGTAGAGGTACTGAGCCTCATAATTCAAGTCACGCCAGGTATCAAATGCCTTCTTTTCAGCATCGTCAAAGAGATGACTCTCGTCCTCGAGGACAGTATCAAGGGCCAGGTTGAAGGCGTCGACGTAGATCGAACGCTGGCCAGGGATCCATTTTGGTTGATCGGCTTGGGACTCGGAGTATTTGGCGGCGCGAGTGGCTTCGTAAGCCTTTATGGCGTCTTTGTCGGTATCAATAGGAGGAAGAGCAGTCTCGAGATCGGTGGCTTTATGCTGTTCAATGTCGGCTGGCGCGAGTTCGGTATCGTCGGGTAAGTCTGCGTCTGGAGCATGTTCCTGTTTCACCCGTTTGGCAGGCCGCTTGACCTCGTCGTTGGCGACGGTGGCCTTTCGATTGACCATAACATTGTGCGCAGACAAGCCGCTGTCCCGCAGCATTGTTGTCTGCTCAGACTGTGAGAGGCAAACGCGAGACGGCCGCGACCTTGATGTCCGTTAGGGCTAGTCGGCTCGGGCCGAAAGTCAATAAAGTGACGTAGCACCTTCCCCGTGGAATATGCTTCTCCCCAGTCGTGCCTTCCCAGTCCTCCCAAAGCATGCAACTGAGCCGAAGCGGCTTTGTCTCGTGACAGAAAGACGTCGAGTTGCATCTGCGGCATGGCCGACACGTCCAAACAGACAGACGGCCCCGACCCCTGGGATCCCTTGGCGTGGGACCCCACGACTATCCCCGACTTCGACAATGATTTTATAGGAGAGGACGATGTACAAGAGTTCGCCAAAGCCCTTGCCGCTCCCGATTTCACCTCTCCCTCAGAAGAAGATCTCCTGAATCCCCCGAGTCAACCTCCCCAGTTCTTCACTGCTCTCAACGACTGGGCCCCTGTACGCCAGAAGGTCAAGGGCCGCCAAAAACAACAGAAAGAGAAGAAGAAGCTGCCTCCCCGTCGAGGCAAGGACGAGACAAGAGAAGGATGGACATACAATCTGCTCAAATGGCCGCTGCTCTTTGTCGTTCTGGGCTGGATCATGGCGCTGGGCATCTCATACACCTTCACAAGGCTCTACATCTCCCTCTACGAACAGATCGTCACCTGGCGTGGAAAGCGTGAAATGTTGCGCGCCAGTTTACGCCACAAGTCAAACTATCAAGACTGGATCAAGGCCGCCGAGGAGCTGGATGGCCACCTGGGCAGCGACAAATGGAAGACTGCAGACGAGTATGCTTATTATGATAGCAAGACCATCCGTCGCGTCAAGCAACGTCTGCAATCCTTGAAAGCAAAGGTCCAAGCCGAAGTCAACGACAACCCTGCCATGTCTCCCATGTCTTCTGGTACACGTGCAGTCGACGAGCTCAGAGGTCTCGTCGAGGCTTGCGTCAAGAACAACTTTGCTGGCTTCGAAAATCCCCGTCTCTACTCTGAAACTTACTACGGAACCAAGAACCTCGTGCAGGATTTCATAGACGAGGCTTCTGATTGTATAAAGATGTTGCTAGACTCGGATAAACTCTCGCTGGAAGACAAGCGTGCTATGGTTAAGCACATCAGCACCAACTTCGGACGTACCGCTCTTTGTTTGTCTGGCGGTGCAACTNTTGCATACTATCACTTCGGTATCGCAAAAGCCCTTCTGGATGCTGACCTTCTACCACCAATCATTACTGGTACTTCTGGAGGCGCTCTTGTCGCTGCGTTACTCGGCACTCGTACGGACGAGGAGCTCAAGACCACGCTGGTTCCTGCATTGGCTGCCAGGATCACCGCTTGCAGAGAGTCTTTCTCGGTATGGTCCAAACGTTGGTACAAGACTGGTGCTCGCTTCGACTCAGTCGACTGGGCTAGACGATGTGCATGGTTTTGTCATGGTTCTCTCACTTTCCTCGAGGCTTTCCAACGCACGGGTCGCATCCTCAATGTATCCTGCGTGCCTTCAGATCCGCATTCACCGACTATTCTTGCAAACTACCTGACAGCTCCTGATTGTGTTGTCTGGTCTGCTGTCATTGCATCAGCCGCCGTTCCTGGCGTCCTCAACCCTGTCGTGCTCATGAGANAAAAGCGAGATGGCACTTTGGAGCCCTACGCTTTCGGCCACAAGTGGAAAGATGGGTCGCTACGTACTGACATTCCGCTCAAAGCTCTCAACCTGCATTTCAATGTCAACTTCAGCATCGTTTCTCAGGTCAACCCTCACATTAACCTCTTCTTCTTTTCCTCACGCGGTAGTGTCGGCAGACCAGTGACACACAGACGCGGTCGAGGCTGGAGGNGAGGCTTCCTCGGCTCTGCTCTCGAACAGTATCTCAAGCTGGACCTGACCAAGTGGCTTAAGGTTCTTAGACATCTAGAGTTGCTCCCACGACCGATGGGCCAAGACTGGAGTGAGGTGTGGCTGCAGCGCTTTTCCGGAACCATAACCATCTGGCCAAGATCCAAGCCCTCTGATTTCTGGCATATCTTAGCCGATCCTTCCAAGGATCGTCTGGCGNGAATGATTCAGAACGGCCAACAAGCCGCCTTCCCAAAGCTCAAATTCATCGCTAACCGCATGAAGATCGAGAAGATCGTGGAAGACGCACGACAGAGCCTGAGGCCCAATCCCAACGCTTTGCCCACCCCTTCGATCGAAAAGAGCCAGATGGGCAGTATGCTCAGCAATGATGATCTTGAGTCGATGCTTGAGCAAGAGCAAGGACAATCAGACGGAGATGAGCTCGAGCCCAGTTCACTGCTCTCTCCACTCGACAGACCACAAAGTGGTAGAAACTCAAAGAATCAGTCCCCGATGGGCTCACGATTCGAGGAGCGTAGAGCACCTTCTCCATCGTTTGCTAGACGCTTTAGTGGATGGCTTGGCAACATGTCACCACGCGCACCGCGCACTTCGAGTGAGGTGGTACGCCCTAGTGTAAGGCGACTGCAGCGTGAAGAATCACACGACTTTGCCAGAAGAGGCAGTGTCATTGATGAGATTACACGTCAAACGAGCATCTTCTTCGCCGAGCCAGACACGGAGAGCGAGAAGGAGGATGAAGCGGAAGATGTTGCGCCATATGGTGGCAACCCGCAGCGTGACTGGCGAGACTATGGCGATGGTGATACCACGGCAAGCGAGGATGAAGCAGATGCCTTTATCAATGGAGGTCGGAAGGCCAAAACCAGTTAGTCGTGTAGATGAGATACTATAGATACCTTTCACCACTGTCAAACATAGAGGAAAATGCCACCTACTCCCTAACGACCTCCTGAATCGGACACTGGATCCCGTCACTCAGGAACCCCTTTGGAGAGCATGGGGTCAACTCCAATCCTCTGGTGTACCCCTGTCTCTTCGTCCCCGTGTACTACAGATTGTTATACTGTAGCTATAGCAATGCATAACATATTTCAGAATAAAGTGTTGTCCAAGGAGAGCTATCATCTTGAGGCTACTTCGATGGCCACACGTCCAATCTTGTAAACAACTGTGCATTTTCATAGTATATTGTAGCACCATCTACTGACCGGAAAGAAAAGCTGCTTACCGAAGTTGATCATATGTTCCCTATAATTTAGCACATTTTCTTTAAAGGCCCCCATAAGGACGTAATTAATTCATTTTTCTTCATGAAGAATAATACTACGGTCGCGCTAGGACGCGTGACGAAAGCTTGGCGTGTGCTGAAGTTCAAGGCTCCAATGCGACACCTAACTTCGAACCACATCAACAACCCACCTTCGATCACATCATCATCTTGCTCACCTTCTGATACGGCACCGACGACTTGTACACCGCTCTCAGTGATCTTTAGCGTCTGCAAGCCAGAGTTGAAGGGTGCTACAGGCCGTTGGGCTGTCTTGCTTGTCGATTCTTCTCTCTACCGTCTGCACCGGCGACTCGCTCACCAGCTATACTTCAGCTTACGCTAGAAGGGTGAAGCAGGGAGCTGGGTGGTTACGGAGGGGTCTGAACCTTCGAGATTGGGACTGCGCGGATCAATCTACACGACATACATCGAGTCAGGGCTGCTCGAGACATCTCAACGAAGCCCGGGTGGGAGGGATCTCGCTTTGTCGAGGGCCTTGTTGGTATTGAACCCTTTTCATTGAACTGATTGCTACAGGAGAAGTCAAGCATGCCCAAAGGAAAACGATCCGCCCGAGCCTCGTGGCTGTTTCGCAACAAACCAGCTGTAGCCTCAGCCAACAATACCTTTGGCCGCTTCAATGTCTCGATCAATCACGATGAATCCAAAGCCGAAGGCTCCATTGCTATTCAACATGCCGTCCACCTCGAAGGCTTCCCTTCCGAACAGACCCTTGATCTTGTCTTGCGTCCCGAAAGCATAGTCGCTTGTGAATTGTTTCTTGACAACCAGAACCATAGACTGCCTCCAGAAGTGATCAACCTGATACCGACGAACCGTAATGATATATGGAGTCTATCGTTGACGATGCATACTCCTGGCACTGTCATATGCCCTACAGCGCCCCTCCCTTGTCATTCATATCGACCAGTTTCGGACAGCAATTCGCTGCCTTCTCTCAGCTGTGTCAGACAACAAAACTTCAAATATACCTGGGCAGAGACCAACTGCAGGCAGAGCATCGTATACGCCTCGAGCGCTTCGCTTCTGCCGTTGCCTTCCGCAAACTCCGAGCCAACCCCATCGACCTCCGAAGCCTTGGTGGCGGTGGTGGAAAGCAAGAGACAACATGGAACTATATACATCCGCCATTGGAGGAAGAACAACAGGCAGAAGTCGGTGTTTCGAGGAAAAGAAACCGTGTCGGTGAGTCTCCACGGATCTCTTTTCTCTCTCTCCTTCATATGCTGCAGCACATATGGTCTGTAGCTATAAAAATGCACAAAGTTTTCAAAGAACACATGTAACCAGAGAGGGCCGATGAAATGTTGCCTCTCAGTAGGTATTGTTTTGCTTGGCAAGACTATTGTGCATTTCTAGGCATCACTATATTGCTGTGGACTGAGCGTCGGGGTTACAGACTTCTGCATATAGGGAGCTCAGGTTTTGATAGACATTTCTGACGTGCTATGTAGATTCGAACAGTCAGCAGCAGTCAGGAGAGCCGTCTACAAAAATACAAAAGTTTCTCTGGGACATGCCACCAGGTTCACCCACCGAAGTAAACACACCAAGTTCGCGACATATTACCCCTACCTCCCCTCTCACTACCGTCAACACCTCTGACAACAAATCCTTGTATCACTCCGTTTCTCCAACGACCGAGAGGCCACTCGAAGATGAACCAAGTCCATCCATTGCAGGGCAAAGGACAGACTTCAGGCACAACGAAGAGAAGAGATCAGGCTCACGAACCTATACACCGCTCCCTGCTTACCCGGCAGGGCTTGAAGCTACCTGCACGCCGTCACCTGCTCTCGAGAAAACAAGTTCGCCAGCCTGGGGATCTAGTGTAGAGATGAAGCCCACGTTCCTTCCCCCCTCGATCAGCAAGCAATGGCTTCGCACCTTCCCCTGAACTTACACAAGCCCTGGGCGATATGCTCCAACAAATGCTGCCCAACATCATCGAGGAGCTTTCTCCTCCATCCTAGGCCCATTAATCGACGCTCGTCTCGAAGCACTCGTAAACCACAAAATGGAAGCACTCGTGCGAGAAAAACTACCCCTCCTCACCCATCAAGCTCTCGAACAAAACATGGAAAAATTCATCGACGAACTCGAAGACGGACACAAAAGAGCCGAAGTCGAGATGGCAGAGACCGTCGACGAAGCCAAGATTGAGCTCAATGAAGCTCGCGATCGTGGTGTTGATGATATAGAGACTTGGGCTCAGGAGCGATTGGGCGAGTTTGAAGGTGATGTGGATGAAGTTACCAAGTCTGCTGTTGAAGAGTTGGAGGATAAGACGATGACTTTGAAGGAGCGGCTACATCGCCAGTTTAGGGGTCAATGTAGGAAGATGAGGAGGGTTCATGAGCGCGTGAGAAGGAGGTCTATATAGCTTTTAGATAATGTTTCGTCTTCAACACTTTTGTTATTATCAACAATGGACTGACGCAATACAGATGGTTCGAAGTTCTAGTGTTGACGTCGAGAGATCGAATTTCCTTCGAGCCTTCATATCGAGTGGTCGACTTGCACATTCACTTTGGTCGAGTCTCAAGCCTTGGCTGTTTTGTTGTTGACTCCTTCTCACTTTGGTTTAGGTAGCACCAGTTCTCTCGCAATTGGCGACCACCTTTTACAAATTCCATTACTGCGCATCCTCTACCGACACTCTCCTCAGACGCAAGCAATGACTCGACAAATCTATTGTCATATATGTGGCGGTCCATTCTTGGAGGACGACGACACCTGGCTAGGACGAGCCGTCATGCTGAGCACAGAACATTGCACTCAAGATGGTATCGAGATCGACGAGTTTCATTGCACGNAAAATGGCTATCATATCGGTGAGCATCCGCCCAAAGAAGCTGACAGAGTCCTGCTTCGCTTCCACTCAATTTACAATTCCTATGCGCGCACATTTCTCTTGTCGGAATGTGACGAGAAAGTTGAACCAAGCGTTCTTAACACTTGGAACATCGATCTGGACATGGTCGTCAACCCTCGTGGTGGCTCGTTGTATGTCCCCGTTCACGATGTTTGCTTGACACTCGCCGATCGCTTCATACGCTCCGCCTCAACCTCAAATGATTTCGAGACTACTTCTGCTGCAATCACTTCGGAACTGAAGCTCTGGGAAGTTTCGTGCCGACGTCTGAACCAAATCGGGACTGCCGAAATCGCCGAGGAGCCTCACGACTTTTTCGTACCATCTGGCACTCGTTCGTCCTCGCCATGGGAGCTTGACCCATATGATTTAGATGAGGTCGCTTCGGTATGTGCCATTTCCTCTTCGACTCTTAATGGTTTGTGCTAACTATGATAGGCTCATGTTCTACTGGTGGCAAATCCTCTGGAAGTACCGAACATTACTCAATCAATACTCAATAACCTCAGGATGATACCTGACACCGAACTACAATCAAACCAAAAACGGGATGAATCGTGCGAGCTGCTCGTTGAAGACACAGCTTTCCCTTGGTGGTGGGATCTCGACACTGGCTCCATACGCGCGAAACAAAGATCAGGACACTGGGACTGGGAGTCTTTGATTCGCTCCCTCTCACAGCCCGACATCCACATTTCCAGTGACGATTCGTTGCAGCTTCCAATCTCTCTTCGCAATCGTTGAAGGATCTGGCGAATTCTTGAAGAAGCCAGGGTTGATGATGGTCCAGTTCGCAGGTTGAATTCACCTAGCTGGCCTGTGTGGAAGCCACATGTACCACTGGTCACCTTTGGGGGCCCTCAAACCTTCTATCCTCCAGGTCGTATACCTCCATCTCACCCCTCAAGTCATATACCTTCATCTCTTCTTCCCGGTTTTGAGTCACTAGGACCTCCCAGAGCAGTGATACGCAACGGTATACTGCTGCGATTTCCCCCTCGTCGTTCATCTCCTCCAGGTTTCTCGTCGCTCACAAAACCAGCTTCTCTCGAGACCATCTCTTACATGTTCGGAACAGCAGCAAACAGCTTCTCCGGGAAACAGCGAGGAAATTTAACGCAGACTGAAAGTTGTGGCCCGGCTCGGATTTCCCACTCAACATGGGCATTTCTGTACTACTATTGGTTCAGCAGCTATAAGCGATTGTATCATCACAAATCAGTCAACACGATGGTTTTGAACACTTCTTCAAATCAAAACTTTCACACCAAACCCTCAAACTGCTTAATGCGACTGGGAAAGACGGCGAAAATAACAATAATTTGAGGGAAGTATCACTTTGACCCTCTGTTGACGCATGAGGAATGCATAGTTATGTAAGTTGCGATCGTCGTTCTTGGCAAGTATTAATAATGCTATTCTCGTTTGCAGATCAAACACCCAACGTCTATCTCTACTATGCTGAGCAACGTGGTAACGACCCTCGTCTATGTGGACATAGTTTTTATCCGCAGATCCATATTTTCTTCCTCGACAACCGGTCTTGTTGCGTTGAACCCTACCTCTTCGTTGACGGAAAGGTTCGATCACCTCTTTACTGAGGTCTGATGACATGCGGTGGTCATGCATGAAGCGCCAGCAGCGTGCCTGGGGTTACTCAAACTAGCTGCTGGCTTCAGGTATATGAAGCGTCTGTATCCCTCGACGCTTTTGTAAAATGTTGTACTGAACTCCCAGCCTTTCTTGTACTCCTTGTTCCAGCTTCAGCAGATCACACCTCTGGTCGATCTTTGGTAGGGATAGTGACTGACCAGAATGGAGCGGTGGTATGCGATAGATTCAACATCCTTGACTGATCATCAAGGATGCCTGCTTGATGTTTCAGCACAACTCGTATCGCTGGTCACTGACATCAGTAAACGTGACGTTCGTATCACGCATCGCAATGTGGAGCAGGAACGAACGAGGCATATATATCTTGTGACTCTTGCCGTTCTCGAACCCTCATTTTCGACAAACAATCAGCCAAAAACCACCTCCTCTCAAAGAACATCTCACACAAACATCAACATGAAGGCCTCTACCATCTTCACCACACTTGCCGCAGTCCTTCCTGCATTTGCAGTACCCACAGCTCGCTCCACCAGTCACTCCTTCGGCGGTCTGGCCATTCACTCGGGCTCCCCTATCCACCTCTCTGCCGTAAATGCGAATGGCAACGCCTTCTGGCTTGGCAAGGAGACATACTCCTACTGCCCCAACACGACCGTCGCTTCCTGCCCCGAAGGAAAATACACTTACTTTACCAACGGCAACGACACCCTCTCTCTCAGCGTCGAGGTTCCTGGCGGTCAGCGCGTCTACGTCGCTGAAGATGGAAGTCTCGGCTACACCATTCCTCACGGCAGCGTCGGCGGCGGTCAANATGTCAGCTACACTGGCTTCAGCTTGAAGGACAGTGGTATTCATCTCCAGTACAATAACAGCGATTGGATTGCCGTGCCTGTCGACGGTGCGTACAAGGTTTATGCTGCTGCTGCTGAGAATGCTCCTAAGAACGGTACTGGCTTCTCCTTCAGAGTGCAGTCTGTCAACACCACTTTTGGTGCTTGGGAGTATTAAAGAATAATCCTGTTGTATGACGGAGAAAACTGTGTCTGGCACGGAAGCATCATCATGTAGCATAGATTTGTCCTCGAACGATATGCAGCTCAACACTGAATACAACGAAGATGCACATGCCGCGGAGTTCGTCCTTAGTTTCACATATGGGATGCCGATGGCGGGTCCTGAACCCGTAAGTTCACCAAACGAGGTTGAAGCCGCGTCTTCGGCTAGCCTCGAGTTATCTTGTGACACCACTTTGCAATAATGACATTATAGCATCGTCTCTGGCTTTTGTGCATACGTCCTTGCATTGCACAAAGCTTTGAAAGTTGAACCATTCAGAACAAGATAACAGACAAACAAAGAAGACGTGAATTTTGTGTGCGAATCCCATAAGTTCGAAGCTGACCCTGTCCGCCAGACCAAGCTTCACCAACAAAAAAATCTGCAAATCTGCACCTCTTCCACTCCTCCTCGTCTAGCACGACAACACGCTGCAAAAAGACAAAAAAGAAAGTCAACTCGATGTATAGGAATAGCCGAAGGCGGGGCTCGAACCCGCGACCTTGAGGTTTGGAATATCTAAGGAGATAAGAGCCACACGCTCTACCGATTGAGCTACCCCGGCAGGTCTGATTGNNATCAAGTTGTGTGACACAACTGGCTCGTTGACTTGTGGTGTGCTTGCAGCCTTTACTCAATATATTTTATCAAACTCCCACACAGCGTGTTGATGCGAGAAGCCATGTAACACGACAGAACATCGTGGATCATGGCGTTTAGAAGAGTGCTGTGATCATGAAAAGTACTGTATAATATACTGGGATTGAATACACATCCCAAGCAAGCATTCTTGGCTCTTGTGCTAGTGTGGCTCTTTCTGCGCCATTCATTCATGCTACCCTGTCTTGTCTTCCCATGGTATCGACTGGATTCACTTTAAGATAGCATAGCAACGGTATATATGGGCTTGGAGATACTATTGTACTACCGAAGAATTTAATCATACATAGATATCTATTTTGAGTATAGAGATAGGTCACACGTCGTCAGATTGCACACTAGTGCTGCTGCAGAATTGTTGCTCAGGGTCATACCGGTAACAAGTTTCCTCTAGAAAAGAAAGAGAACCCAAACGAACGTGGAAAATCGCCAACCTCAAACCGAGAATCCAATTGATTCAACCTACAAACGTATACCTCTATCAAATGTTAAGCGGTAGGTAGTAGTGGTAGACAGTAAAAGCATAATTAAACTCAAAGTTGATTACGACCCAAGAATCTTGGATTGACAGATTCGAACTAAGCAGATAACTACCATGGTCAAATGATATCAAAGCAGCATCAGTATGTGCGCCTCACGCTTGGTAGTAGCAGCAGACAGGCAAGACCATAGGCGAGTATGTAGGTGCCCATAAGTCATGCTCCCCATTCCAGTTTAATCCCAGACTTCATACAGAATATGCCACTTTTCTTCCACTCCATCTTTTCTCAATTGCAAGGACCGCAACATATATAGTTAGACGCATGACAATGCATGCTCTCAACACTATCAAATGTCTGCAAGCCAAAATTATCGTGTTGCAGGCTTCGTGAAGCCAAAAACACCAAATCTCCACCATTTTCCCGCCCCCTTCCTCCCAACTTCTCACCCACTTCCCCAACACCTTCAGCGATGCAAAAAGAGGCCATAAAGGCTCTTCGACGAGCAAAAGAACGACGCCTGCAGGACTCGAACCTGCGCTCCCGAAGGAAATAGATTTCTAGTCTATCGCTATAACCACTCAGCCAAAGCGCCAGTGTATCAGGGCCAGATCCGTAAGGACCAGAGCTCGATTGATAGACAAAGCATGACCGGGATACAATATATTCCTTCGTAAAGCGATCGAGAGCCAGGCATTCTCGATGAACAATATTCTTGAGTCGTGACTGAAGTATGGTTGAGGCCGGTTGGGCTTTGACGAAATGGCGGAGGCTTTGTGTGTTGCAACTCGCTAATCTTTGATAGCAGAGCAAGGTCGACTGCTGCTCCTGGATCCACAGCTCTCAAGCAACCCTGTTTCCGTGATCCGAGGCTGCACACAACGAGGGGCCGTTGCCCCGCATGCCCCACAACAAGGTTCCTCTCTGCCTCTCTGGGGAAGGATGGGCAGACACAAGTCCGCAACTAGCAGCAAGATGCGGCAAGTGAAAGGAGATTCGGAAGACATGGCCGCCGAGAACTGCGGGTCTTGTGGATTGAGATGTGGTGTGGGGCCTTGAGCTCCTCTCAAGAGAAGTGTTGATATGAAAGCTGTTGAGACCCTCGTTCGAAGTCTTCACGTCTTTCTTGATTCCATCGTATCTTAGAAGAGTACGACTGTGATTGAATAATTACCGCAAGCGAGATGAAACCAGCATTTAAGAAAGTGAGAGCGTCACAGACAGGCCAGAGTATTTAATCATGAGCTCATAACCATCATAGGTCATTGTCGTCGGAGCAGGACCGTCAGGACTGCTCTTGTCATTACTGCTCATCCGAGCTGGTATAAAGGTCCAACTTCTAGATGCTGCTCCTACATTAGACGATCAGCCTCGTGCAGCACACTATGGACCTCCAGCGATTCCAGATCTTCGACGAGCAGGGATCCTGGATAAGATCAAATCTCAAGGCTTGACACTCAACACCATGTGTTGGCGAAAGCTTGACCAGACATACATCGCAGGTATGGACTTCAGCGAGACTCTGTCGAACGATCCCGAATATGGTGATGTGAGAACCGTCAGCCTGGCTCTACAGACACTGGACGCCTTGATGTTGGAAGAGTTCGAGAAAGAGGGTGGCCAAGTCAGCTGGAAGCATAGTGTTTTGGATGTTCAGCAAGACGGATCGAAAGCCTGGGTAAAGGTCCAGACGCCAACTGAGAAGGAAAAGACCATCGAAGCGGATTATGTCGTGGGATGTGATGGCGCGAACAGTGTCGTCAGAAAGAGTCTGTTTGGAGAGGAAGGCTTTCCAGGATTCACATGGAATCAGAAGCAGATCGTTGCGACAAATGTGAGTGGTTCATCTATGGTCAGGGAACTCTTGTTGACCAAAGCTGTACAGACGTACTATGATTTCCGCAAATTCGGCTACCTTGATGCGAACTTCATTATAGATCGCGATCATCTATACATGGCAGCTATCATCGATGACAAAGGATTGTGGCGCGTAACATACGGTGAAGAGCCTGGTTTGACGCGCGAACAACTGCTCGAACGTCAGCCCAAAAAGTTCGAAACCATCCTACCAGGAAACCCAAAGCCTGGCGATTATGAGATGGTGAACTTCTCGCCGTATCGCATGCACCAGAGAGTAGCCGACAAGTTCAGAGTCGGAAGAGTCATGTTGGCAGCAGATGCGGCACATGTCTGCAATCCTNTTGTGAGTTTTGCTTGATCTGATAGAGGTTTGATTGATTGCTAACAGTTGCGCAGTGGTGGTCTTGGAATTACTGGCGGCTTCGTGGATGTTGGCTGTCTGTACGACTGTTTGTATGGCATTTGGACGCATCAAGCCGACGATTCAATCCTGGACTTGTATTCGGAAGTGCGACGACAAAAGTATAAGGAGATCATCGATCCAATCTCGACGGAAAACTTCAAACGTGTCTTCGATCAAGATCCGGAAGTCGCGGGTGAGAAAGACCACTTCCTAGTCTTGTGTAAGAAAGCAGCCGAGGACAAGGACTTTGCTCGCCAGATGCACNTTGGTAAGCGCAACACTTATCTTCGACACTTCAACAACAGATACTGACACATACAGGCATCCTTTGGTATCCGTCATGATTTCACTCAATACTACCGTAAGGACAAAGGCAAGGGTCCTATCATTGATGATGCGAAGTCGGATTTTAGCGTTGAACACATTGAGGAGATTGCGCCAACAGGAGTGGACTGACTGGCCCGCAGTCGCTCCTTCCACGAGCCTGATATTTTCTGACATCCAGCATCGCGTAGTCAAGTTTATAGTACTATCGTGGGGAGAGATCTTGGCTAGAAAGAAGAGAACGAGTGTATTAAATTTCGATGGTTACAAGCTTCGTCCACCTACTGGTACCTAGCATAATCATAACTTTGTAAACCAAGACAAAGGAGAATCTCAAGATACGTCTCAAAGATCAGCTGTCGTCCTGACTTGGTACGAGTGAGATACCACAATTCCGTTCGTGGTCCTGTCATCCACTATATGATCCTCAACAGTTGACGGTCGGTGAGCCAGAATCTCGTCCATACTATCCGTGTCAGACTCCACATTGGCTGTGACCTGTGCCTTGTTCTTGTGTCTGTGTAGTTCAATGTCTGTGCGGAATGGATCGAGGTTAGAGCCTTTCCGGCTGTGGTCGGTTAGTCTCTCGTCAGTCCTGAAGTAATGTCCAGGCTTTGAGTCGTGTGTGCTTCCCGAGAAAATACCACGGAAGTAGGTTTCGGCGAAAGGCTTTAGGGTAGGCACACAAGCGCACACGATTGACATCATCGTTTCGATCGCAGANCCTACAAGATAAGGGTACGATTAGCATGTTTTCTGTATGGATATTGGTACGCCATCACGAGTCATAGCAGGTACCAGTACCTATCTTGTGGCATTGCAAGATACCACTTACCAAACGACGAAATCGGTGATAGTATAGGTGAGGTCGGCGTCGCCTTCTTGAAGATAGGCAATGATACTTCTGAGACGGATGATGCTGACAACGCATCCGGCAGAGCCCATTGCGAATACCAGGGACAAGGTGATCTTCTTTCTGCGAGTGAGCTGGAGATCCCAGACAATTGGAATCGGGAGCGCGAGAATCAGGAGATCGCTGACAGAGTTGCACACAGCATTGGCGATATCTAGACGATCGTTAGTAAACGTGTCTGGAACCCAAGCCGTTGTTACGAACAGAAANGCAGGGCGATTGATGCATTTTCCTTCAGCAAATATGTCCNNCTGAATACAAGTTAGACAACGTTTCTCCTTGGCCAGTAGTTTCGCATGTTCTCACCATTGGAAGTGAACTGGAGTACAATCAAAGATCTCCGTGAGAATACCAGCCACGGAATAGCCAACGGCGAATAAGAAGACAGCCCACCAACGCCATATGAAGTTCTGGATGGGGAAAAGACGACGATAGAGTAACATAATGGCGATTTTGATGGAAAGCATCGACGAGCTGTAGAAGACCGAGGCGATGAGGTACGTCCTTAAGAAGTGTGGACTGAAGAGAGCGACAGGGACATCATACAAATGCCGGCCCATGCCCAGATGAACCAGAGCTTGGTATAGAGCTATGGATGTTATGCATATAAGGAGAGAAACAATCATTGCCCCTGCACTTAGAATTAATACATGCCGCATCACAGGTGCGATAGGCTCCTACGTACAGTCGTCATAACCCACAGATTTGACAATAAAGATTCGAGTGTAAAGCCGAAGCATGACAACAATAATCATGATCACCAGGACGGTTATGTTGGTCGCTGTCTGCTGATAGCCAATGCTGGGAGGGTTGACGAAGTTGGGTATTATGCCATTCGGAGGTTTGGCCGAAGGCACCTGCCAGTAGTCTACGTTGGGGTCCATGTCGCAACCTCGTTTTGATAGTTGATGTCTTGTCGGAGAGCGCGAGAAAGAATTCGCTCTGCCTTGAGAGGGTCGAGAATCCGGGTGAATGAAACGAGGGGCACACTCGCGTTTTGAACCTGATCATAGGGAGTATCTTGACTCGGTCGTCAGAAATCGAGAACCACCCTTGGGTCCGTACTCTTCTTACTTTTGGCTGATCTCTGGGGCAAGCATAAGGACAAGGGTGCTTGTCTCACTCCTTGAGTCAGGTTGTGATCTGGGCGTCACGGACACTAGAAGCAGGGTCTGACGCGACTTGAAGCACCGCGATGTCAATTAATGGCTTTACAAACCATCTTCTGTTTCGCAGACATGTAAGTGTTCAACAAGCGGTATCATCAGGATGCCATTCACTGTAAACATGTTCATCTCTGCAGTCGCGTCCAACTTCCAGTATCCAGGTATGTGGACGCGGGTAGATTGATAGATTAGGCAACCGACATCGCACATACAAATAACCACAGGGTCGATCTTACTACAACGGCGGGACAATGTGAGCAAGTGAAGCCTAATATTGACCTCTGTTAGCTCGACAACGGAAACAGATTGTTTCGAGGAGGAAAGCTCAATTTGGTCAGTGAGGGTGTGCAAGAGTGCTGTCTATCAAGCAAAGTTGTGGAGACATACAAGTTTGGCAGGGATGTCCCGCTTTCGACGCGTCGTGCTGAATTTGACCGCGCTCGTCGAATCTGTCTTCCTCTATCAAACATGTGCTTCATCAACATCAAACCAAATGGCTGAGATGGTACAAGGGGGTACACGAGCGGGTTGGCCCCTCCATTACAGGAATAGCTTGAATTTTTATGAATGATCCTGCCAAGTCTCGGTTTTCTCATACAGATCTAACCTATTTTGTAGTGGAGGGGCCAACCCGTTCTTGCACCCCCTTGTATCAAAGCTACCGATCCAAAATTTAGGGCCTGTTCAGTCGAAAATCGATTTGCTACAAATCCCCGGCTTCTGACGGGAACTCGCAAATCCAAGGATTTTCTGGTGTGCTGCCTCCTGGCTACACAGGAGATAATCGGGATTTGCGCCCAAATTGCTCCACTGAATGGCCTCTTAGGCAGGTCCGCTCATCTCAATCGATCCTGACTGTGAGGGCGGGCAAATTCGCATTGATCGCTTTCAGACCAAATTTAGCGGATAGGAGTAGATGGGAGCTAGCTTGCGAAATAGATGAAGGTGAGGTCAGTTGTTTCTGACTTGACAAGGCGGCAATTCTCGGCATTTGCAACCTTCTTTAGTTGTTCTACGCCACGAACAACTGGCGGTATGGAGTTGATTTGACAGGTGCTTGGGTCGCGGGTCAAGATCCAAGGCGTCCAAACTGGAGTTTGCTGATCTGGAGAGAAAACCTGTGCTCATCCGTGCTGGACCGTCTATACGAAATACTGCATGTTCAGGCGATACATACTCATGGCCTCAAATTTATATAGACTTTCTGTCTTCTGGAGAGCCGGAGTTGACAACTGTACATAACAATCTACATCGTGGTGTGACAATAGTATATCTATCCTTTCGAATCTACCAAAGAACAATACTACATCACCATGCGAGGATCCAAGCTCGATATCTTAGCTGACTTCGCAGCACCGTCAAAGACAAACTCAGAGATCAACTTGCCGGTTCCTGGACCGTTTTGGATGCCTAGGTAATTGTCAGTCGAGTCTAGGGAAAAGTCAGAATGGACGTCTAACGTACCCCAGCAAGTGTGTCCAGCTGCTATCAGTAGACCCTTTACTCCAGTGTGTCCGATCAAGGGTCCATTGCCTCCTTGGACGTTCGGCAGGTAGCATGCCTGTCGTGCAGTAACTTCTCCGTCTCGCAGTTCATCACTTATGCTGCTAACATAGTCGACAACGTCCTGGCATCTCTGTTCGTCTACCTCGACGAGATCGGAAGATTTTGGGAGTGGTACCATGTGGTCTCCTTCACCACAAGCATAAACTTCGTTCTTTGGTCTTGTGTAGATCTCCGGCGAAACATGCTGCTCGCCCCGGGATTTCTTGGCTTTATCTGTTGCACCTCCGAAACCAGCCGGTAGTTTAATCTCAGTAAATAGAGCGTATGCACTGATCTCGCGAGTTGGGCGAATGGTAACACTGTGGGCTCGAGTAGCCGAGATAGGGGCGTCAGGATATACCTCTCTTGTCCATGGACCAGCAGAGATGATCACGTCCGTTGCTGAAATGGTGATCTCCTTGTTGTTGTCGTTCTTGTCCTCGTAGGTGACGCTCTCCACACCCTTGCCATCCTTGGTATGGTTGATGCTCTTGACTGCGGCACCAACGCGGACGTCCGCACCCTTTTCAGCGGCCAAGTCGGCCATGGAAGTAGTGAATTGGTAGGGATGAACTTGGGCAGTGGTTGAAGGATCTCCCATCTCGTCATACATCCTCAAGCAGTCCGGGTGAATCCAGTCAAGATCTTTCGGGATGCCTCTGGCGGCTAACTTCGCCGACACCTTTGGCGGATTCTTCTCGAGACTGACACTGTTCTTCTCTCGGTCGGCAGGTCTATCATTCTTTCCATCCATCTCATTGTCTTTACCCTTCACGGTGTCTGTCGGCTTTTGCAATTGACGACCTTTGCAGTCAACCGAGCCACAATGAACCTGTCTGTAGCCCCAACGCTCATCACCGCCATACTTGTCGGCTAGTTGCTTGTGCAGCTTGTATGAGAGTGGTACGATGGACGAAGGATAGGCCCATAAGGCTAGGAGTCCTCCTGCTTTGCCACTTGCTCCTCCAGCAATTTTTGTCGCTTCCAGAAGGATAACCTTGTGCTTCTCCGGGTTATACGAAGGGTGGTGCGTCAGAAAATAGGCGGAAGTGGCACCGATAATACCACCTCCAATGATTACGATATTCTTTTGCTCGTCTCCGGCCATGATGGATTGTCGATGGAAGTGTGTGATCTGGTGTGAAAGGTGACGATTTTGACCTTGAAGGCTAGACGACAAAGTTCTTCTGAAAGAAGCCAGAGTGGCGATAGAAGGACCTTACTGATTTCCAGAATCCCAACAGAGAAGGTGGACGAAAACTTGCGAATCGCGTTTCGCCTTGCTGTCGCCCGAGCGAGTGTGACGTCAAGCGGGTCAATATTGGTCAGGGTCGCACCCCGCAACGAGCTGTCTCCGTTCCGACTTCCTCAACTTCTGTCGTCTGCGACAGTGACAATTTTTTCTGCATTGGAAGATGATCGTGTGATTTATTGTCATCTATATACAATCTGGTATTGGCTGAATAGGTATCTAAGCATCATGTGCCGTCTTTCGTAGCCAGGCTTTGGTCTTTCCCCAAACACCTGTTGCCATCCTGGCCTTCTGATAATCCTCTTCCTGAACATTGTGCTTTCCAACGATATTCAAGAAGACCTGGTCGAGAGTGGCTTGCGAAACAGCATAGAACTCCATGCCAAGCTCCTCTTTGCTTGCCTCCAGCTTCTCAAAGAGCGCACTGATACTTGTACCATTGCGTCCGTCAGTCGGTGCAATTGTCGTTCTAGCCCCTTTCTTGTCGTCAACGGCGCCACTCGAGTCGTCCATGTTGGAAGCCGGTCGATTCGGCACCTCGAAGCGAATTTGACCATGGAATGAGCGATCCTCGATGCTTGCTGTAGGGAAGTTGCTGCTGATCCAGTCTTTGATCTCGACGAGCTTGGCATCCGTCGTGTGCGGCGCGTCTTTATGGACGAGATGAACGTAGTAGGAATCACCATGCTTGCGGCGTAGGTAGTCGCTGGTACCTACAGCGAGCATACGTCTAGCCATGATGCCGACGCGATCACCCAGCGCATCAGCCTCCTCCAGACTGTGAGTGGTCAATACCAAGCTGCGACCAGAGCTTACTGCTGATAAAGTACGCCACATGATTCTCTTTGCACCGGCGTCCATACCAGAGCTACCTTCGTCAACGAGAAGCACCGAAGGGTTACCTATCAAGGCAATTCCAAGAGAGAGTTTTCGTTTGTTGCCACCAGAGAGCTTAGAAGCCATACGACTGCGGAAGGCGCTAAGACCGACGGCGTTCATGACCTGTAATGTGTTAGCACGTCCTTCTCCTTGTGCTATCTGTACTTAAGCACACATACCTGTTCCACATTGTGCTCAACATCAGCAACGCCACGAGCTCTGGCGTAGAAGTAGAGATGCTCAGACGCTGTCATAGAGTCCATAGCGTCGAATTGCGGACATACGCCCTGGTGCAAACGAGCTGCAGCGCGCTGTTTCACGATAGACTCATTTTCCAGAAGGACGTCACCACCACTAGGATGGACGTCACCACGAATCGTTGATATAGTCGTACTCTTTCCAGCGCCGTTAGGGCCGAGTAGTGCGAAAATCTCACCACGCGGCACACCAAAGGCCACTCGATCGACAGCAAGGTTGTTGCCGTACGATTTGCTGATGTTGCACACACGCAATTCGTCCTTGCAGTCATTGACTCGAACTGCTTCGCGATACACGTCTTCGTCGGCATATTCACTCTCTTCTGCGTCCTGGGAGCGGTTCTGTAGGACACGGTCAGTACAATTATAGTAGAGCATGAGATACCGCCGCAACTGCAGCATTGCATAGTGCTTCACGGTGTTTTTCGGTGGCCGATGTCGAATACGCACCTTTCTGCTAAGGAACGCGGGTCTATATCCGCTATCGTGATAGACGAGAAATCCAAGAAGAAGAAGAGACTGGACAGTTAGATAAAGGATCGGACCTCCATAGACCGTAATCCCGCCGGGGTAGCTAGCGCGCTCGTTCCCACGGCACAAAATCGAGAATTCATTGAAGGTTAGCAGGAGGGAGCGCAACAGATTCCCTGAAGGCGTGATGAGATTGAGCGTGAAGGAGATTATGTTCACGTAAGAGTCGATCTTTTCAGTCGGGGCAAATGTGATGGTGGCCATGTAAGCAAGGAAATAGATCAAGAAGAAACAACACTGCATGCCTGCAGCAAAGGCAAACGAGGCCAGCTGACTGGTGACGAACAGAGAGATGACATAGCTGCAGAGCAGAGCCGCTAGTCCATACAAGAAGAACACGACGAACAATGTTCCTGGGGCGTAAAGGGCACTACCAAAGTAAGTTAGCATGGTTTCTTTCGACTTTTGCAATGCAGGATGTGATGCAAGAGCTAGTAGATGTCCATTGAGAACCTCCGTCGTGGCAGGCTCTCGATGGACACATAAGATTTTCTGCACGAAATCTTGAATTTTGACAGCCGAATCCCGCCTCAAAGAGATCTTCGCATACGTACCTAGAGACACCAACAAAGATGACGATCGCAACAATGCTGACAATCGTCACGAACATGAAGTCGAAAATGGTGTATGCAAGCCAGAGAGGAAAGGCTCTGATACCATTCGAGTAATGCAGCGCTCGTACGTTGGCAACACGCTCACTGGTCGGATACAAAGCGAAGAAGCCAGGGTAAGCACTCATCGCCAGACCAAAGTAGAGAATGAACTGAAGTGTGTCTCCAGCTGAGGGAGCCCACGGTACTTGGAAGGCTTGATAGGTTGTGACAATCGGTGATCCAAGCAAGCTACTATCCAGAATGTTCTGAGTCAAGATTGCGTAGCCGAGCTCATAGTTGCCCCTCCAAGCAAACAGAGGAGCGCCACCCTGAGCGTCGAGGAAATAGCCTCCAGGAAATACACGGCTGTAGTTGGCTTGTACATAGTCGATAAATGCGTCAACACTCGCGACCGGCGCAACGGCGCTCCCGAGCCCAGGATACAAAGAGTTGAGAAGTGTTGTAGGAACCTGAGAAGCTGGACCAGCTGGAAAGTCTAGAACGTCGTCGAGACTTGCAAAAGAAAGTATATCCTCACTTGAGCTGGATTCCTCTGGCGAGCAGCTTAGTGGCCTGAATCCCTTCAAAAATAGAGTAACAAGTCCTCCAGCGATGATCGGGATCAGAACAGCAGCCATGTAGGGCAGGTAATTGCGGCGCAGGATAGTAACACGTTTCCGGAACAGAACCCAAGTCTGTGCGCCGAGCGAGATTCTCCTGCCTTTGGCCAATTCAAGACCTTTTTCCGACTGGAGAGAAGATACGTTGGTCAATGGTGTGGCATCGTCGTGAAGCGTGTGATCGTTGTTAAATTCTGCCGACAATTTGAGGAACACGTCTTCGATACTAGGTCCGCTGACACGGTAATCAGTAACACCAAGCTGTTCAAGACGGGTGACGAATATGGCGGCAGCGCTAGAGTCCGGTAGGTTGTACACAACGTGATCGGCGTGGTTGCGGCGAGGTATTGAAGACCAGTCCCGAGGCTCTTTGAACTGATGTTCAGTGTAGATCTTAACACGGTACCCACCACCAAGTTCATGTTTCAAAGCGACAGCTGTGCCAGTCGCAGCGAGGGTACCTTTAGACAAGATAGTGATGTGGTCCGAAAGCAAATCTCCCTCGTCGAGGAAATGTGTCGTGAAAAGCATGGCTCTGTGACCTCGCTCGGCGAGAAGGATATCCCAAACCTTGCGTCGTGAAAGAGGATCAATACCTGAACTCACTTCATCGACCAAACAAAGATTGCTACCACCTGTGAGCATCATTGCTAATTGCAGCTTTCTCTTCTGCCCACCTGACAAGGTCTCAGAGCGAGCGGAGATCTTGTGAGCAAGATCGCATTTGGAGAGCAGGTCTTTGTGGTCTTTGCTTTGTCCTTTCTGTCCTTGTGCCTTGAGCTGGTTGAGTAGTAGACGTGCTCTTCACAAGTAAGCTTGTCCCAGAGCACATTTTTCTGGGGGCAGATACCGACACCTCCAGATCCATTGATGTCAATAGTTCCGCTTGTGGGTGACTGGAGACCAGCGATCAGATCCATCATCGTACTTTTGCCTTGAAGAGAAGTCAGCTGTGTTCAGCCAAGGTGTAAAACATCCTCTGTATGGGCTCAAGATTGTCACACAATCTCAAAATCTCACGGTCTCTCACTCTCTCTCAAGGGCGAGATATGGTGATGTTGTAGGCTATCACAATGCACAATTATTTTCCAAAAAGATGTCTAGTCATGGAAGTATCCTCAGATAGCTTATTTCCATAGACATCACACCCTTCTAGAAAGTATTGTACATTTTTATAGCTACAACGTGGAAAGCTTGAGCGAAGGGGAAAGATGTTCTTTTATGCTTACCTGCACCATTTGCTCCCAGAAGAACATGAATCTCGCCAGCACGAATAGTGAAGCTGACGTCGTTGACGGCATGCACAGTCTCTCTTTTGCTTTTACTGAATCTTGACCAGATGTTCCGATAAAGCCAGCTAGGTTCATACTGCTTTGTAAGATTGGTAATGCGAGCAGTTTCTTTTTCCGCACTGTGATGCATGTTCCTGGCCTTTGACGCAGTACCGTACAAAGCTCTCTCGATGGAGGCTCCGATCAAGGGGTAGATGAGGATCTGTATAACACACAGCACGAAGAACACTGAACCTGACACTCTCCAGGGGGCTCCAGGAGGCGCTTCCGAGAGTACGGCAGCCAGATTGTCTCTTTGCCAGTAGGCCATGTAGATAATGAACAGCGTAAAGTTCATGGGTGGGAACAACAGAGCCAAGATGACAATCGCACCCGTCTGCTTGGGGGTCTGAACCTGCACAATGATAGCCAGCACTATGCTCACGATCGTGACAGTGATGCCAGAAAGTTGAGCCTTTCGGAACAAACTAGCAAAAGCGATGGACCAAGAGCTCAGAGCGAGTCCTGCCAGTATGAAGTATCCGATCAGAATTCCAGTCTCGGAAGAGGGATAGTTGAGTCGAGTGACAATTGCACCAGATATCACCCAGCCTGGGAGATAAAGAATGTCGAAAGCAAGATGACTAGAGAGTAGACGAGCGGCTTGTGGCTGCCATCTACGTTGGTTCGGCATCATTGCTTCAATCAGCTGAGACATGCCAATCTCGCGCTCTGTCGCCATTTGACCTGATGGATGTCAATACATATAACAGCATAGATACAGGCTTCCGGTGCGCCAAAGATGTGACGCGTATGACTATAAAATCGCGCAACAGTCTCGAGGAACAGGATTCACACTAAGAGACAAATTTTTGTCGGCTCTCTTTGGATGAATCTCTTTCCTCGAGAACAACTGTGTTTCTTTATAATGCACACAACGCTTTGCATCTTTGTGGAAGGGGGAGATAGAGACTCACCAGTGAGTTGATAACATATACCGACAAAGCCGATGAAGTATGCGAGACCAAGAATGCTGATCAGTGTACCCATATATAGTCGTGTGATGTTTCTCTCCCGCTCCTCAGGAGTAGAATCAGTATAAGGGTATTGCTGAGGTAGAGGGATCGAAGAGCCATCTGAGGAGGCGATAGCTGCATCGATTGCATGTTGAAGTGGCAGAGCATAGATTTCTGCATCATTGTTTCCGGTATTCACAAAGATTCTTCCACCAAGGGAGCCATCGGTCCGGATTGTGTAGTTCCACACACCACCATTACTAGGAGATCCATGGAAGCTCACTGCGGCAAAGCAACCAGAAACTCCGCGAACGGAACTTTTGCATGTTTGCAGGAGCTCAACCTCGCTAGATAGATTTACAGGAGTTTTGCCGCTCGCTCTGACGGTGTTTGACAACTGGTCGATTATGTTTGTGACTTCGGAGGCCTGGCCATTCGCAACGAAAGCTACGGTGCTGCGTCCAGTGGTTCCTGCATTGAGAGCTTCTTCGAATGTCCTGAGGGTAGATGGAGAACCAACGCCGAAATCTGAGGGTGGTACGAAGAAGTTTTTACAATATGAAATGATGAAGAAGAAGATGATCGGTGCCAGAAATGCGCGGATAGTCGTAGTAAACCAGTGTCGACCCAGTACAATTAAGAGATTCTTCTTCGTCAACGTCCATGTCTGAGCGAAGAACCCCATGGTTATGTGATTGCCTTTTTAGTGATCGAGATTAGGCAAACATGTGGCGCGAGAGAAAGGCACTCGACAAAGTAGACAATGTTCGAAGTCGCAGAATATGAAGCACGAATACGGCAGCCTGGTCATAGAAGACATACAAACACTGCCCTCGGGGAGGCGATCTCCAAGGTGTTGACAATGTTCGAATGTCAACTTCGGGCAATGACTAGGCTGTATTGGGTATAGCTTCCTCGGCATCTGAACGCCGAGGGGCTTGTCGCGTGTGTCGTTTCTCTTCACATCAATCTCATCTCGCTTGACGAACATCGCCTTGAAAAACCTTTGAGGACGAAGAACATGTTGAGCAAAGCGACAACCTCACACGGCGAAAACTGATATACTGCTCTTGCTGCTGATGAAAGCCTCATACTATACCTACAGCCTCTATGAGCCGTCAAAAACTGAAAAATCTGCCAAGTCGTCATGCCGCTCGGCGTACGTACGAGCCGCCCAATTGAAAGCCACAAACGTTTTGCGAGAAATGACAGGAGTTAAACTCGACGTGATGAACATGCAGGACAAGAAGCCTAAGAACGAAGGTGCCACCGCATATTTGGGCGTACTTAACGAGTCGATGCCTGCCTGTTCTAATACCAGGGCTGCCTCACTAACTGGCAATACCGTTTGCGTAGGCCCCAACTTTTCGGGATCAAAAGAGAAGCCACGGCCAGCAATTTCAGAAATCTCGACCTAGAATGGCAGATCAACATTTGACTGAACTCTGGTCGAGCTCGAATGACTGACTGACCCTAATCTGATTCGAGTATACCAAACTACAGAATTGCTACTGTTACATTGGCTTTCTTCCAGTCATGAGGTACATTGGAGTGAAGAGACGTTCCTTTCCACCAGCAACCAGAGCATCAGCACCAGCCGACAGCTCTCTGGCAGTCTCCACTGTACCGGGAGGTGCCATCCTGACTCGTTCGAGTGTTGAGAGCAGCGTCTCCATCGCAAATCGACCAGCCTTGGTCATACGCAATGCACTGATCACGTCCAAAACCCCGGTAGCATAGTTGATGTCGCCACTCAGCGGAGCATACCAAGGTCTTGCATCCCTGCGCCCCGCCAAGTCCTCGTCATGTAACAGGGTAAAGCCTGCCTTCAAAAAGGCTTGCTGTGCCTCCTTCCTGGTCACCATGTTGGAGATACCATTTCCGCGCTCGATACCATGACGAATTGCACGGTGAGCTGGGTCGCTCTCGTTGTAGCGGTCTGTCATTACCCACTCGTAGATGCCGACTACTGCTCCTGGTTTGGCGACACGGTACATTTGCGAGTAAACGCCTTCGAGGTCTGGAGCATGACAAGTAGCTTCGATGGCATAGATGGCGTCGAAAGTGCTGTCTGGGAAGCTCAAATGCNNTACAGTACTGACGTGAGTATGCGCTGCTCCGAGCCTGATAGCAGCTAAACTTACCATGAAGTTGTTCTGGACGAAAGAAACCTTCTCGGAAAGACCACGCTTGGCTGTAAGTGCAGTGGCTCTCTGGATTTGATAGCCATTGTTGTTCACTCCAACGACTTTGCAGCCGGTGAATGTGGAAATTTCTCTTGCTGGCCCACCGATACCACAACCCACGTCGAGTACGGTATGATTGTCTTTGATGCCAATCATGTGGGCCAGGTAATGCTCATGGCGAGCTAGTGCCTGCACCAAGGATTCCTTGGGAGCAAAACGACAGAGATGGAATGACTCTCCCCAGCCTTCGCAATACAGATCAGTCGCCAAGTCGTAGTAGCTGCAATGCGTCAGAATCGGTGTAGCTTGAACCAGGGTCTGGATAGCCTACTTGTTCACCAAGGACATGTAAGATTCTTGTCTGGACTTTCGTGCTTCGTCGCTGTCCTCGGTCCAGCGTTTGATGTATTCGTCTGTAACAAGACGGTGGGCCTGTCCATCTTTGCGTAGCATTGAAAGAAAAGCATTGCGTTCAGTCGCAGATCTACCGTGCATCGGCTTGGTGAGCTCTTGCTCGCCGGTTGGAACTGCTGCGATGGTCATTGTCGATTTTGTAGAAAAGGATGAATGAGAAGAAATGAGAGGTTGATGTTGTTGTGGTGCACAACTTCACACAGGCAAGACCCTCCTCTATATAAGCCTTCAAAGAATCAGACCATAGCGATCTATTGTGCAGCTCTCGCAAGCAATAGTCATCGTACGACATTGCAGTGCTGTCTATTGCCCAATGATGCTAAGGTCGTTATTGTAAGATGTTTGGAACAGACAATCATCTGACATTACGACTTCCTCGCGTAGATGTACACTAGTCCAAGCATTCGCAACTGCAGGTGCAAGTCAAGCGTGCCACCTGCAGTGGAAAGAAAGAAAGAAAGGAGGATATGCAACGTGGATGACTGTTGAGAACAATGACATGCAACCGCAGCCGGGGACCACGGATCCCTCGGTTTCCGCCAAACGCTGACCATGTGCCGTCCTTCTTTGATTGGTCGCTTCCCAGCATCTCAATCTTACAAGGCACTCTGACACGCAGTAGAGAAAGTCTACAGTTCAAGAGAAAACGTTTTTGTTCTCTTCAAGAACCTGACCTTGCAGTTCTCTGCTTGTAGCTTGTTCTAACATTCCTCTGTCGAGATGGAATTGAAACATCTCATCGTCGGCTTGGCGATCGCCTTCGTCAGCTACATTGTATTTGAGTGGCAGCGACCAAAGACTGGCGTTCAAGAGCCACCTGCTCTTCGCGCAAAGATCCCAATCATCGGGCATATCATTGGATTTGCTACTGATGGCCTTCGATACTTCGGAAAAGCTTGGTTTGTTGACAAGAAACATCTCACCCATGAGTTTTTACTAACGATTTCCTAGTGATGGATCTGATGAGGCCATTGTGACGATCGATTTTCTTGTTTCGAAAATCTACCTGGTCAACAAGTCTAGTGCGGTTGCTCAAGTCCAGAGAAACGCAAAGGTCGTTACTTTTGACCCTTTCCTCGACTCTGCGGCGGAGCGCATGGTCAATGTCTCGCCCACAGGCCTCAAGCTGCTTACAGGCAAAGAACATGGAGGTGGTGATCTGAATAGGAAGGTTTGTTGTGTCCACCCGCCGCTCTCCTGCCATGTCATAGACTGTCACGATCTCACGTTCATATCACTCTCCCAAGATGATGTGAAGCGATGATGTAAGCTATAGGAATGCACAATACTTTCTAAAGGAGTAACGCCCATAGAGAGAAACTACTTCAGGGTATCTCTGTGGCCCTACTCTTGACTTAAAAAGTCATTTCGCATCTCTATAGCATACTATGGCAGTTCTTAGCACATGGGGAGATCAATGAACATTCACACTAACACACCCAACATTATAGATTGTAAAAGCAATGCACCCTGCTCTTCTAGGTCCCGGTCTCGACATCGCCAACCGAAACATGATCAACAAGCTCGTCAAGTCAGTAAACGAGCTCGACTCACTAAACGGCAAGAGTTTCGACCTATACGCCTGGGCCAAACACGCCATCACCATCGCAAGTACCGACGCCGTCTGGGGCGAGCAAAACCCACTCAAAGATCCCGAGATCGAAGTAGCATTCTGGGATTTCGAATCACATCTGCGTCTGTTGATTGTTAACATTCTGCCTTCGGTTATCGCGCGCAAGGCATATCTTGGGCGAGAGAAGGTGGTGGCTGCGTTTGTAAAGTACTACAACAAGGGTGGCCACAAGGTATCTTCGGAACTGGCGCAAGCACGTTGGAATGTTCAACATGACAACGGCGCAAGCACTGAAGATATTGCTCGCCTGGAAACTGCAACTGTACTCGGCGTGGTATCGAACACTACACCCGCGTCTTTCTGGATGCTCTACGATGTATACTCGCGTCCAGCCTTATTGACCCTTCTCCGCGACGAGGTGCGCGAGCATGCACTCACAAAGAACGAGGCTGGAGAAATGATCATCGATCTCGCTGCCATGAGGGACAACTGTCCAAACCTCTTGGCCACTTTCCAGGAAGTCCTCCGTACCCACTCAAACGGTGCACCTACACGCTTTATTACAGACGATGTGATACTGAGCGAGAAGTACCTGCTAAAGAAGGGTCGTGTCCTCATGATGCCTGGTATGAACGTGAACTACGAACCCAGCATCTGGGGTGACGATTCCCTGAACTTCGACCCCACCCGCTTCAAGAAGGAGATCCTCAGACAGCGACCTACCAGCTTCATGTCCTTCGGCGCCTCCCCAAACCTTTGTCCAGGCCGTCATTTCGCCTCTGGAGAGATCCTCGGGATGGCGGCAATGATGCTCCTTCGCTACGATATCATCCCCGAAGGCGGAAAATGGACCATGCCCAAATTCTGGAAGGGTGCCATTGCTGCTTCCTTACCATCTCCCGCCGAGCCATTCAACGTTACAATTGCGCCTAGGGAAGAGTTTATCAACACGACGTGGGCGTACGAGTCTACTGATGGAAAAGGAAAGTTCCCCTTATCACCGGATAGCCAAAAATCTATGGATAAAAAACAAGAAATAGGTGTGATATAAGCAATCATCCACCCAGCCAGCTGGCCCCAGGATTCTCTCATCTAGTGTTATGCACTTGTAAAAGTGACAAGATGATTAAAGAGTGGAAAAATTATTTGGTCGTCTCTATGTATGAATCTATATTGGGGGTTCATCATCTGTGACATCTCAGTAATGCTTTGCTATGCTATTCATGACGCCATTGCAGTCGACTCTTCTCATCGCACTGCCCACTGTAACCTCTGATCAACTCTTCCATTCCTATCTTCTTCCTCAACTTTAGCCTCGAATCCAGAAGCAGGAGGCAATGCAGTCATGCCCCTAGGCACCTGTGAAGCTAGAATATCTCCCGCTTTGGCAACGAGCGGTCGAAGATATCTCGACTCTTTTCCTCTCATCATGGATAGTTTATTAAGCATTAGATGCAGATACTGTCGGCCTTGCATAAAAGCGTCGGATGTATCGCCGGAAGACACGTGCAGGACATCGGCAAGACAGCCAGCGATATCCGAAAGCTTCTGCTCCATGCCGATGCCGTGGGAGTCTAGCACAAGAGGGGTGGCTCGTTCAGTAATGTTGACAGTGCGGCGAGCGAGTTCGACGGGGTAGTCGAGGCGTCCAGTGCCTGTTTGTCCTTTATCGCAGACCAAGCCGTTGCTTACGCCCATCTGCCAAGCCAGTACATGTAGCCACTCCCGCGATACGCTGATGTCTATCCTAGCAGTTTCCGTAATGTCGGAAAGGGAAAGCGCAACCGTGTCGAGCGAACGTTGTGTTTCTGCTAGCCAGGGCTCTGAGCACAGGGCTTTGCGGCGGGCGCTACCTTTCCAGATGCTGACAAAGTTGTCGTCGATGGCGGAGAAGAGGTGAGCTAGGTTCACGAAGCCGTGGAGGAGGCGAGGGTCTTCTGATTCGAAGGCTAGGGGTAGCTGGATGGTGGGATGTAGTCGGCAGTTCTTGCGGCGTTGTATCGAATATGCTCTNGCGACAGTTGATGTTAGTGACCGCAAAGACAGACGTGGCCAAGCGATGAAGCACCTTTCGGTTATGAAGAGCAACCAGTACAATCGTCGCCTCCATTGCGCTTCAAGAGGGTCAAGTTTGAGCATTGAGTTCTCATCGTCCATTTCCAAAGTCTCAATGAATGATATGGATTCTTGCAAGTAGTGCCAGGCCTTTTCACTGCTCTCTTTGTTGCCATAGTAAGCAAAGATGAAGAAGCTAGTCATGACTGTGACAGTGGTCACGTTGCCGATGTAGTCGAATTCGCGCCTGACCTTGAGGCATTCTTCGACGAACATGTCAGCTGCTGATGCAGGTCTACCAGGCAGAGGCTCCATCTCAGGCACATGTATTGCCGCATCCAGTTGCACAATAGTAGCAGCGCACAGAGCACAGAGCAAGGCGTATGTCTCTGGGGGCATGTGATTCGTAGAGCTGTACATGTATGGGTCCAGATAAATTTGCTCATCCACTACAGGCATGATCAAGTAGAGATGCTCAAAGAAAAGCCGCACATATGGCAGGAACCGCTGATTCGGTATCCGTGGTACTGCAGGCTGCGGTTCCATAGAAGGCGCATAGTGATGCAGTGGTCGAGATGGTTGTGCTGGCCAGTGCTGGCTCATGTTTTGGTTGATGGGCAATGCTCGAAGAGTCATATGAGGAGGCGCTCCGTGGCTCTGCAGTTCCGGAGGTCCATAATAACCATAGCCCGTCGTGATGGGCTCCNNTGCAGGAGTACTTGTAGGAATCGCGCTGTCGATAGCGCTATGATTTGACATTGCAATTGGTGATGAAGATGAGCTTCCATACCATTGGCTCAAACCATCCTGCAGTACGACCGGACTCAAGGGGTTGTCGGGGGCAAGCGTCGCAGATTGATCAATCTTTCTCAGTGCATGCAACACTCTTGCACTCCTGAGACCTTTTGGACCCTTCTTCTTAGGCGCTTGAAGGTAGGCGCAGCGAATAGTAGCCTTTCGACAAGGACCACACGGACTCTCTCCATCGCAACGGACTTTACGCTTTCTGCAGCAATCACATGCTCGCTTCAGTGATTTTTGAGTGTTTCCAGAGGCAGATTCTCCCGAGTCATTTTCAGCTGTTGTGGCCATGCACATGATCGACTCTGACAAATGGCGTAATGAGATGGAGATCCGTGAACCGGATGTGTCGGGTTATTTTCCTGACGACTTTGATCTAACAGGTCTCCAGAAGCAAAATGCAAGCATGAGGGATCTGCAACAGATGACAGGCTCCAAGCGCAACAGCACCCGGATGTTTTTGTAAGAATAGTGGTGCAACAAGAGATGCGAGATGTCGGACAAGGGCTTGGAAGGATGACATGCAGTTGAAATGCGGGGAAGGAGTTTGCAAAAATGGCTGGCCAAGCCGCCGAGGGCAGGCCGAATCTACTTGCAGCCTGCCGCTGATCGGGAACCCCAGGCTCCTAAACAGGACCCCAACCAGGCATCCCCAACCGGAGAAGGGCTGTCGGCACGACTGCCGTGTGCTATGGATGAGTCCGTGCCGTATTGGATATTTACTCCTACCAGAAAGTCATGTTTCCAGGTAGAGAGTGTTGAGCTGGGTACATGAGACTGAGTTTCGTGGTGTAATGGGTGTCCTCTCTGATCGGACCGGAAGCTTGAGTGGTAGTGGTTGAGCAGTCGTCATATAAGGGTCTTTGTTTTTGTGATCAGATGCAATCTCACGACCACGATGGCGCGCGTTGTCAAGGACTGTGCTTTACGATGAGAGTGGACGTTCAACGCCCTGCATCGAAAAGCCACCAGTGTCGCCTACAGTGACTGGATATGGCAATGGACCCATGGGGTAGTTTCATCTGTAGGATCGAAATATGGAGAGAAGCACTCGCAGGCACGGCCCAAAATCAAAGTCAGGTGTGGTGGTTCTGCTGCAGGTTGGGATCTTCATGCTTGACAATGTCGACAGCGGCGCTGCTAGCAACAAAGTCTTCTAGCTCTTCGCTGACGGTCTTGAGCTTCTCCTTGACGGTAGCAGTGCCTTCGAGACCGACAATGTGCCGAGCAGGTGGGTTGTCATGGCCTCCGATTGCGGCAACCGCATGAACCGTTTCAGCTACCAGTGACTCCTTCATACCTTTGGTCAAGGGAGCGTATATGGTGTTGATAGTGTCAGACTGAAGCTGGTCGCCAGTGGTGGGCTCATCTGAACCTTCGAGGCGGTCGAGCATGCCTGCCAGGATATCGCGGAACAGTGGAGCAGGGTTGTGGTCAGCAGCATAGGCAGACATTGAAGGAGCAGCAGTTATACGATTGGTCAAGACAGCAATTTCCATGTTGGGTTGTATGATGGTCATCTTGATGTTGAAAGGCGCGACCTCGTAAGCAAGACTGTCGCAGTAGCCCTCGATAGCCCATTGACTGGCGCAGTAGACGGACATGCCCGGGGTACCCATGTGGCCAGAGAGGTTGGACAGCATAACGATGTGGCCGTTCCTCTTTGTGCGGAAGGTGGGCAGGATAGACTTGATGACATTGACGGGGCCAAAGAAGTTTGTCTCGAACTGGTCGCGGATGAGCGAGTGGGTGCGAGTTGTCTGGGACAGTTCCTCGACGGTGCCAACCAGCGTCTCGGAGGTGCAGCAGAACAGAATGTCGATGCGACCGAAGCTGTGGACGGCCTCTGCAATGGCGCTCTGGCACTGGCCCATGATGCGCACATCAACCCCCACGACCCTCAGGCGGCCTGACCATGTTTCCTGCTCTTTGACCTCGTCGAGAAAGTCGCGAAAGTGTGTTGACTGCTCGCCATTCTTCTCAAACTCTAGCGGAGGCACGCCGGCGACGATGTAGTCTCCATGGTCGAGGAGATGGCGCGCCAACGAGATGCCGACGGGGGAATTGGCGCTGGTCAGGAACCACACGCGTGGTGAATTGTGCGTCGGGAACTTTGGTTGTCGAGGCGGTTTGGGGTCCACCGCTGCACTTGCGCTCATCGCTCCATCGACTGCTTGTCAAGACTCAAGAGTGTCAAGCACTTGGACAATTGAAGCTTGGGGATCGCTCCGTGCCCACATCTCGACCATGGCCTTGGCAGCAACATCAACCTACACTCTCCCTCTCTTCTCACACTGCTAAAGTAACAGGTGGGCTATGAAATATACGAATGCCTCTAGATCAGAGCTCCGTCCAGAGAGAACTGATAGAATGACAATGTTCCGTGGACATGTCTCTGTTCCACCAAAATACTGTGCATTTCTACAGCTACGCCCGTGCCAGCGCTGTCTACGCTGCTCCTGGTGCTCCCGCTCCTCTTGAGAAGCGTGCCGATATAGATGGATAGGTCTTTTCGTAGGAGAACAACTGAAATGTCACCGCTCTGTACACTCCTCCCCCTGTCATGCCTCCCTAGCAAATAGGCGCTGCCCAGAAAAGGAACGGTAGCCAGTTTATCACCTCCTCATACAACGGACAGACCTTTTCGTGGCAAGCAAATGCTCTTATTGCCGCCCCTTACTCGAGTGAAAGGCTCGCTCTACTATGTCCACATAGTCGACTCCAGTCCTCAACTCCAACTCAGATTCCGGGCCACGCAGCTCCCAAGCCATCATGGCACTGAGCAACACCTTCAACCCAAGCTTGAGCATGACGTTGTTGATGCTCCCTTAGTCACTACCTCAAGCACCTCCAGACATGTCGCCTAACAGGTTACGAACGCCATTATCTGTACCCAATATTCGCCTCTCAGCGCACGAGTTGACACTTGATTATTATGCTGGCCTTCCGTGGAAAGGGTTCGGCACTGTTTGCCCGTCCATCTTGAGTGAGAGAACGTTCATTCCGTCATGCTTTAGTGGTAAAGGACAATGGAGAGAAGTATAAAGATTGTTCTGCGTGTCAGCCCATTCACAATGCTTCCTTCCACCTTCGTCTTTGTAATGCAGAGATATTTTGAAGACCCACGTAGTAACGATATTATGGTCAAGAGCTGTCGGGATACAGAACAATGCCAGAAGATTTGAGCCGGCCACAGAAACTCTGAGACGCCTACTTCATCACTCTACAGGCACACCCACCATCCCTCCTCGTACATCCCTCAGGACACTCCCCATCTCTAAACTGCCATCCAAACCACCCATCCATTTCCTCTCCCAGCACACCCCCAATAACCTCCGTTTTCCTACCCAATCTCCAAGCCCTCTCAAAGACCTCTTGACTTTCAATCTCAATCTGCGGCCATCCCAATTCAATCAATCGCTGGATACTAGTCCCATACACCACTTCCCTCAATCCAGCCCACGCAATCGCACCAGCACACATGGGACATGGCNNTATCACTAGTTCAGCTCTATGACCAAGAGGAAGTATTGAGCAAGCCCTTACCTCAGCAGTAGTGTACAGCGAAAACCCNCTCCAAGCCTCCCGTGCCTCTTGCGCAGAAAACTTATACTTTCCCTCCGGATCAGTAAGAATCCCACTACAATTCTCAAACGCCGCCATTTCTCCATGAAGAGTAGGGTTGCCAGAGTGATGATTATCATTTACTCCAGTACACATCAATTCTCCAAGATCAGAAGAGTTGGCAAAGGACCTTGTATGGTTTACTACGGCGGTTCCATAGGGTGCAAATGGGCAGGCAGAGATGGCGAGGTTGACTGAGCTTGCTACGCGCATCCAGTGGGCTCGTGTGGATGAGGGCAAGGCATCTGAGTTTGGGTTTGGTGTTTCTGGTTCTTGGAGGGGGAGTTGGTTGAAGAGTAGAGAGTGGTGAGCTGCATGTTGTCGAGAAGTCACTATTCCGAGCAATGCCAGACTGGAGAGGGTTGATGAGAGAATGTGCATTTGGTATAGCTGTAGTGGTTAGAAGAAGCACTTGTATGCATTCCTCTGCCAAATGGTGATACATAGAGCTTCGAGTAGTACATGCCGACGTCATACATACGGACGTGTTTCAAGGTCGTTTCAAGATGCTGGGCTCACCATGATTGATGAATAAAGGAACGTTCGAAAGACAGTGGCTGTTCAGTACTATCTTGTGTTTATCTGCCGTAAGGACATGAGGTTCTTCAAAGACAACAGCTCGAGTCATCACAAGTGTATAGAACCAAAGAAGAGTGAGGCGAGCAGAATGAACAAAAAAAGAAATAAGGGCAAGACATGAGCTACTTCTAAACTACAATCTGCATGCAAATGCCCTGCCAGTTCTGCTTTCTTGACACATATCATGCCCAAAACCCTTTGCTGGTTGCTGTTTTCGTTTCACTGTGCTACAAACGTGACCATCCGAGGATGGAAGCACAAGCGCCGATACATGTCGACCCAAGCGCGCCGAAGAAGTTGAAGAGTGCGCTGTAGAGCTGGATCAGTGCCTGATTCGAGCAGTTTGTCTTTCCGTCTTTTACACACCTTAGAAGCACTTGCGGTGGACGATCGANGGACCGCTCTCGTCGTACTCTTGCTTTGAGATCCACATCTGCTGGAAGGTGGAGAGAGAGGCGAGAATGGAACCACCGATCCAGACGGAGTACTTGCGCTCTGGGGGAGCGATGATCTTGACCTTCATGGATGAGGGAGCAAGGGCGGTGATTTCCTTCTGCATACGGTCGGAGATACCGGGGTACATGGTGGTACCACCAGANCTAGGAATTCGTTAGCTTTTGCCTCTGGTCATCGCATTTCTGACACGAAAACTCACCATGACAATATTGCCGTAAAGGTCCTTTCTGACATCGACATCGCACTTCATGATGGAGTTGAAGGTGGTGACGTGGATACCGCCAGATTCGAGACCGAGGACCGAAGGCTGGAAGAGAGCCTCGGGGGCACGGAAACGCTCGTTACCGATGGTGATGACCTGACCGTCGGGAAGCTCGTAGGACTTCTCGAGGGAAGAGCTCTGGCTGGCAGTCTGGATCTCCTGCTCGAAGTCGAGAGCGACGTAGCAGAGCTTCTCCTTGATGTCACGAACGATTTCGCGCTCGGCAGTGGTGGAGAAAGTGTAACCACGCTCGGCAAGAATCTTCATGAGGTAGTCGGTCAAGTCACGACCGGCCATGTCGACACGCGAGATGGCGTGGGGAAGGGCGAAACCTTCGTAGATGGGGACGACGTGAGTGACACCGTCACCGGAGTCGAGGACGATACCGGTGGTACGACCGGAAGCGTACAGCGACAGAACGGCCTGGATGGAGACGTAGAAGGCGGGGGCGTTGAAGGTCTCGAAGACGATCTGGGTCATCTTCTCACGGTTGGACTTGGGGTTGATGGGGGCCTCGGTGAGCAGGACGGGGTGCTCCTCGGGGGCAACACGGAGCTCGTTGTAGAAGGTGTGGTGCCAAATCTTCTCCATGTCGTCCCAGTTGGTAACGACACCGTGCTCAATGGGGTATCTCAGGGTGAGGATACCACGCTTGGACTGTGCCTCATCACCGACGTATGAATCCTTCTGGCCCATACCAATCATGATNACTGCGTCATTGTCAATTCGAGTTCGAAATCAGCTTGCAAAAAGGGCTGCGTACCCATGGTGGCGAGGTCTTCCGACAATTGAGGCTNNGCAGCGCGTTAGATGATGTGCGAGAGACGAGTTTTGGAAGCTCTGAGGGGACTTACGGAAAACGGCTCTGGGTGCGTCGTCACCGGCGAAACCGGCCTTGCACATACCCGAACTGTGGCCAATGTGTTAGCTGTGACGGTCCTGGAGCTTCGAGTTTGCGCGCCACTGAGCTGGACGCAGCTGTGAGATCGTGTCAATGGCGACGCAATGGCGCATGACTTGTAATCCCACAGGCAACGACGGCGGAAGGCGCGGACGGCGATGATTCTTACCCATTGTCGATGACGAGAGCTGCGACCTCCTCTGTAGACGCGAAAAGTGGTCAGCGGATGCTCGGTGGAGGTGAGACGGCGAGGGTGGCGATAGGGACAAGGAAGGGTTGGGAGGTGTGAGGGGTGCGCGGGCAGCACGCAGCAGCACCAGAGAGAGACTCACCTTCCATTGCGGCGGTGTTGTTAGTGGATGTGGGTTGAAAAGGTGTGGTAGAGAGCAAGCTGCAGCGAGGATTTGAGCTGCTTGAGATGGGACACGCGCGGTGGGGTTAATGGAGGTGATGAAGGGGAAAGTTGGAACACTTGTCGTCCAACCGGGCGGTGTGTGAGGTCCAATTCCTTGGCCTGTGCAGGATGCTAGCCAACCTTTCCCGATTGGTCCGCTGGGCTGGCAAGTCTAAGCCTCCGGTTATCAACAGCCAAAGCCCCGTTGCGTGTGCTGCACGAGCTGTCTCTGTTCACTTGGATAAGAAAATATGTCCGTAGAAGAATATGTGCATGTCACTCTGCTCACTCTCGCTGCTGCCCTATATACCTCTTGCCGAATGCAGCTGCCTGACTGCGTCGTGCAGGACGCGTAACACGCCCACGACTAAGCTCAGCAGCTCCCAACCCGACTACATCATGCCAAGTGCGATGCTGCATGGCGGCTAGACGTTGCGCCCTCTCCCGAGTCTCTATTCTTCAATCCTCATCGTCTTTCGTGTCTTCACGCGTCGACACGACGTCCCAGCCTTGATTGTCGAACGGCCGTCCCAGCAGCAATCATTTCGCCAGCCCTTTGGAACCATCTCGGCGCTTGAAGGATTGTTGAATGCGGAGTGGGGTTCTGCCACTTTCCCAGGACCCCTTTAGATACGACGCTCCGTATTTCATTCACGCCTACCAAAAGACCTGTCTGCTCTTGATGGAATGCTCGAATCCTTTTCACCAGCACGCTTGCGCTCTATTAGACGCCTCCTTGTCATCGACTACCATCTCTCAGACTGGCAGAGAAAAAGAAAGTCAATCGCTGCCCCCCACGATCAAGAGCTTCGCGGAGCCTCAGGCCGGTCCCGGCAACGTTCAGCACCGATGATTGCTGGGCTGGAGTCGCGAAACTGCCAACGGTTTCAAGCAACACCACGGCTAGATTGCCGATGCATGACCATTGATCAGCCATCAATTGAGCGCGCCATGTCTTGACCGTGTATTGTCTTCATGGGATATGAGAATCGGCCGAGTGTCTTCAAGGTAGGTTGCGCCAAAGAAGTATGTGAGCCAGTGCTGTTCCAAAACCCAGCATCCAGCTATGGGTGGCCATCTTGATGCAGTACAAGACAAGGTTGCGTTCGTCGGAAAGCCCGGCATGGTCGTGATCGACCTCTTGGTAGGCAAGTACTCATTCAGATGATGTTGTTGGGTGTGAAGCAATCGCCCAACACTTCTGGTCGTTCTACAAGAAGCGAACGAATAAGAATATCAACGAGAGAGGCTCCGTCACCGATGACAAACAGCATATTTATTGTTTCCGGAAGAAAGGCTCATTCCGAAGGCTCCTGGTCGTCTCAAAGTGTCTTGACTAGCAGTATCTTGAAAACAGTTTCTTGCTTCGTCGATCATGTCGAAGAGGGTCTGTACGTACAAGTGTTCAGCAGACCGTGATACCTCCGGCCACGAGCTCACGAAAGTGAGCATAGGGGCATCCGCTCGTCGAATGACGGACGCAAACCGGGTATACCAAAACAAGGAGATCTCGAGCCATCGCTGCTTCAATACCATGGAGATGCATCTGTCTCTGAGAGGCTTCCGTGAACAATGCTACTTATGACTAACGATCACACGAAGCCGAGGAGGGAAGAGGTACGTTGTCAACCCGGTCAATGACTGTGCCCTCGGTTGATGAGGCGGATATGCAAGTAGAGAAGGGAGGGGCAACGCATACATGAAGTAAAGGAGAACTCGGACCCAGGTATGACAAGGGCAGTAGGCTGCTTTGTAAGAAGAGTCTTTGCCGCGGAATTTGAGTTATGTAGCAGATAGGATTGTATGGAGCCTGGCTTCTCCACGTAGCTTGTCCCTGCTTTGTTGTTTGTTACCTTGGATGAGGTCGACTTTGACGTATAGAATTGTCGGGTATCCTTCCAAGATTTGTGAAAAGTGCTTGTCTTTGGTGTGCAACGAGAGGTAAAGAGCAAGATTGTTCGCTAGCATATGTACGTCTCAGAGCGGTGGGCTTCTTATCGTTTCATCAGGAGTCAACCCATTTATGAAAGCGTGAGGGTGTCTAGCAGTTACAATAATGCAAGAAACTCGAGAGACCCTGACCATGAGGAAGTCGAGAAGAAAAAATTAAAAAGAAAAAAAGAATCGAAGCGTCTCGAAGCAGCCACCACCTTCGTGGAGAGCGCCTCGGCCCTGGCGAAACAAAACTGCTGCGTCACCACAAAAATAATTCCTGCCCGCGCAACACAAAACACTCATACGCATCACCTTTGCAGTCGCAACAACTTCTTGCTACACGACTCGAATACAAATCTCTCAAACGCAATCTTACATCAATTGAACACGCTCGACGAAGAGACACACCCATACCAATCCACCTTCACAACTACATCACACACAATGAACGACCCAGGCCTCAACACCCTCCTAAAATGGTCTATCGAAAACTCGGCCGTCTCAGACACCGCCGAACCCACCCAACCACGCACACAACTCAACCCCGAGCTGCTCGCCCAACTAATGGGCGGCCCCTCTGATGCCGACCGTATGATTTCCTCCATGCAAGCCATCCACGACCCCTCCGTCGACCACGAAAACAAAGGCATCGCCTGGGACAATTTCGAGCAATTGGTCGAGAATCTCGATAACGCGAATAACATGGAGACATTGGGGTTGTGGATGCCGTTGGTGCAGATGTTGGAGTCAGAGGAAAAACAGGATAGGGAGATGGCTTGTTGGTGTTTGGGCACGGCGGTGCAGAACAACATCAAGTGTCAGGAGCGTGTAAGTTTTGTTCTCGTTTCTGCTCGTAAAAGGAGTAAAGGTGCTGACTTTGAAATCTAGGCACTAGCTGTTGGCGCAATTCCCAAGGTCGCAAAGCTTTGCTCAGACGTGGATGCTGGTGTGCGCAAGAAGGCTATCCGTGTCATCAGCTCCGAGATTAGAAACTACCAGCCTGCCTTGGATGAGGCAGTCAAGTTCNTGCCCGCAGAGGTTGTTGGCGAGGGCAAGTTTGATGCCGAGGACATGGCCAATGTGGATGTGCTTGTCAATGGACTGAGGGAGAGAAGTGCCAAGATGGCGTAGACGCGAAAAAGAGATGGGGTACAGACATGATTGCATGATGCTCAGGCGTTTTCTGGATGGACCAGGCTGATACAAAAGGTCTTGATAAAGGGCTTATGGGTATACGAGTGGAATCGGCCAAGAGGCTGTCTCTGAATGAACGATCATTTCCTTTCCAGCTTGTTGCTGCCCTGCTTCCTCGTGTGTGTTGTGTTCCTCTGTTCCCTGCAGCGCAGACTTGACAAGTCGGTTTCAAGGCGCAAACTGTCTGAAACCGCTTGGAGGGCGTCTTGCGCTTTGAAGAATGTGGTGTCCTTCGAGAGTGACGTGTGCTCTGCATGTGCAGTCGACCTCTCTGATTTGCAGCAGTGTGCCTCGCTCGTACAGCTGTACCAACGGTGTCCACGGCAAATTTCTGGACACGGGCATCACGGTGTATCCTTCCCAACCTCTTTCGTCCTTCACAAACACTCCAAGCAAGCGCCAACCAACTCGTCAAAAGCCTCTCTTCCTTGATCCGCCTTCTTCAAGCCCAGTCCCACGACCAGCATCCTTTGCTCCTCCGGATTCCTCATCAACAGCGCCGTTGCCAGCGTCGTCGCCAGCGTCTGACCCAGCACCTCAAATTCTCCCCTCGTACCTCCTAACACGGTGGTTGCTGTCAGATGCGCAAATGGCAGTAAACTCGCATCGACGTCTGTCTCGGAAGATGGATTCAGGAAACCGTTGTCGAGNGGACGGCCTCCAGCAAGAGGAACGTGGAGCCAGTGGTTCGAGCGGCCGGATTGCGAGATTGTGAGGACGAGCTTGTCGGCAAAGTTTAGGGCGGTTATTTGGGTGGGTATGCCGGCGATTGTGTTGCTGCTTGATTTGCTGGGTGCGGGAAAGGTCGAGAAGGTGAGATTCGGTGGTTGTGACATTGTGGCGGTGGACTGCGATTGGGTCTGCATGGCAACTGCGAAACAAGATGAAATGGTGTATTCGCAATGGAGCTGTTCGACATGCCAGCAGCAAACACAAGCACAACTTCACAAGCAACGCTAGACCCCGCAGCTTCAGCGGGCCGAGCCGCCGGCATGCATGAGCTTAAATCGGAAAAGTTGCAATCGCCAGTCCGACATTTTATGGACGAGTACATCTTCTCTCTCTTCTCATACACTCCTAGGCAGGCCTAATCACAACCATGCCGCCCAAGTTTGTACCCCGCGATCGTAAGAAGGGCAGGATTGCCAAAGCCAAAGCAAAGAACTCGCACTCGCACGACGAACCTGAAGATGCAAACGCCGCCGAAATCGTCCCTCCCACGCCCTCAGAAAAAGAAGCCCGTCGCACTGCACTCCAAGCCGAGATTCGCGCTCAGAATAGCACATCGGTCATCTCTGGCAAGAAAAAGAAGAGACTGGACAAGTACATCGACAACAAGCTCAAGAAGGAGGAAAACTTGGCTCTGATCAAGAAACTCGCCGCGCAAAAGGTCGATACGAGTTTGTTGCTGAGCTCGAAGAAGCTTGGAAGAGGTGGAGAGTCTGCGAGGGAGAGAATGGAGAGGGCCTTGAGGGAGAAAGAGCAAGGGATCAACATTGAAGCCAACGATGCTATTCTGTTCGAGCAACGAAAGAGGCCGGCGCTTGAGTTGGAGAGCGAGTCTGAGGACGACCAGACTTTGACACCGCAAGTCAACGGTTCAAAATTCGCTCCTGCCAAAGCTCTAGCACCAGCGCCCGCGCCAGCGTCAGGCAAAGGTGGACTCTTCGCCGCTGGCCAGGGCTTGTTTGGCAGTGGCTTGAAGAGACCGCTCGAGACAGACGAGGAAGGAAAGCCAGTCATCAAGAGCAGGAAACGCACAAAGGTCGTCACCAAGTCTGCCCCTGTAGTCGCCCAGGAGCCCGAATGGGAAGGCTTCTCTGGCGACGAGAATGCCGAAGACGACGAGGATGAGGATGAGAATTCAGAAGACGACATCGAAGACGGCGAGGAAGACTCGGAAGAGGACGAGGAGGACGATGACGATGAAGACGAGGAAGACTCAGATGAAGATTCGGAAGACGAGTCGGAGTCGGACGAGGACATGGAAGACGCAGAGGCCGTCAAGGAGGCGCAANAGGCTCGTTCGTCTGCCTTCAAGATGTGGGCTACCGAGCAACGAAACCAGGCCATAGGCTTCGTTCCCTCGACAAATCTCGATACCGTAAACTCGACGACGGTCAAACAACCAACAAACTTCGTCCCTCGCGCTCCTTCACCAGAAACCCTCCCTCCCGAACTCGCCGTATCCGCCACCACAGAGTCAGACAACCGCCCTGCCGTCAGTCTGGTCATTCCTCGCACCNCCGAGATCCAGGAAGCGAGATTGAAGTTGCCTGTTGTGCAAGAAGAGCAGAAGATTATGGAAGCCGTTCACAACAACAACGTCCTTGTCGTTTGGGGTGCCACTGGTTCCGGTAAAACAACTCAAGTTCCCCAGATGATGTTCGAAAGTGGCTACGGCAGCAAGATCGGACAAACAGATGGAGAGGGCAAGGCCAAGGGCATGATTGGTGTCACTCAACCTCGTCGTGTCGCTGCTGTCAGTGTGTCAGAGCGTGTGGGCACTGAATTGTGCGACATGAAAGATCGTGTCGGTTACCAGATTCGCTTCGACACCACCGTCTCGAAGGACACTGCTATCAAGTTCATGACTGATGGTATTCTGCTGAGAGAAATTGCCAACGACTTCATCCTGTCCAGATACTCTGCTATCGTTATCGATGAAGCCCACGAACGCTCCGTCAACACCGACATTCTGATTGGTATGATGAGCAGAATCGTGGACCTTCGTGCTCAGATGGCAAAGGAGGAGCCTGAAAAGTACTACCCACTGAAGCTGGTCATCATGAGTGCCACTCTCCGCATTACCGATTTCACCGAAAACACCCGCCTCTTCAGAAATGGCCCACCCCCGATCGTCAAGGCAGAGGGCAGACAATTCCCCGTTACTGATCATTTCGCCCGTAAGACAACACATGACTATGTTGATGACATGTTCCACAAGATCAGTAGAGGTCACAAGAAGCTGCCACCTGGTGGCATGCTCTGTTTCCTTACTGGCCAGCAAGAGATCATTCAGCTCGCAAAGAAACTGCGTCAAGCATTCCCTGCCGATACTGGAAGTCAGGTCAAGCAACCCAGAGTTCATGTATCTGCTGCAGATGCACCGCTCGAGATTGATGACATGGACGCCGAGGCTCAGCCTGTGTCGAGAAGGGACGATGATGATGACGACGACTCGGACATTGAGATCAGAGGTCTGGATGATGAAGAGGACGACAAGGAGTTCGAGATCGAAGGGGAAGAGCAACCCGTGGAAGCGCTCAGAGTCCATGTGCTACCTCTCTACTCGCAACTTCCCACAAAGCAACAACTCAAGGTTTTCGAGGAACCGCCGGCAGGCTCGAGACTGATCGTTCTTGCCACCAACGTTGCCGAAACATCTCTTACCATTCCTGGAGTTCGCTACGTCTTTGATTGTGGACGCTCAAAAGAAAAGAAATACGAAGCATCGACCGGTGTTCAAACCTTCGAGATTGACTTTATCAGCAAGGCCAGTGCTGCACAGAGAGCCGGTCGTGCTGGTCGTACAGGACCAGGTCACTGTTACCGCCTCTACTCGTCGGCTGTCTACGAGCGCGACTTCGAAGAGTACGCCATCCCCGAGATTCTGAGATCACCAATCGAGGGCGTTGTTCTATCGCTCAAGAACATGGACATTCAAACTGTAGTCAACTTCNCCTTCCCAACACCACCTGACCGCAAGGCACTCGCCAAAGCCGAAAAACTCCTTACCTACCTTGGTGCTATCGACGCACATGGCAAGATCACAGAGACTGGAAAAGAGTTGGCCGCATACCCCTTGTCACCGAGATTCGCAAGAATGCTGTTGTTGGGCAGACGTTACAACCTCTCAGCACACACGATAGCTCTCGTAGCCTCTCTTGCTGTACCCGAGCTCTTCATCCCTCAAACTCAATACAATCTCGAGAACGCTCCTGATGAGGAAGAGTCGGATGACGAGAACGACACTGCCAGAGAACGTTTTGCCAAGCGTCAAATCCGCACAGAAGCAGATAACATCGCCGCCTCGGCAGCAGAAGTCAAGCGAAGGGCATACGGAAAAGCTCACGCTACACTCTCACGCTGGGACGACCGTAGTGACGCATTGAAGTTGTTGACAGCAATGGCCGCATACTCTGCTTCATCCTCTCCTGCATCCTTCTGTTCCGACTACTTCTTGCGCGAAAAGGCCATGAAAGAAGCTGGACAACTAAAACAGCAATTAACAGCTATCGTACGCAGTCACTCCCGTACTGGTACCGATGACCCAACACTTTCACAAAAGACACTGCCGCCACCCACAGACAAGCAACGCGCCATCCTCAAACAATTCGTTGCAGCCGGATTCATCGACCAAGTCGCTGTCCGCGCCGACATCATCGGCGTAGCACTATCCCGTAACCCTCGCCGTGCGATCGAAGTACCCTATCGAACACTCTTCACCTCCAGCAGTGGAGACATCGTAGGCCAAGACCCTGAAGCCCGCGCCGCAGCCAAACTCTCTTACGTACATCCCTCGTCTGTGTTGGCGAGATTGACAGTCCCCGAGATGCCTGATTATATCATCTACTCGCATCTCTCGCGTCAAGCACCTTCGCCTCCTTTTGACACGATACCTAAGACTAGACTCCACCCTCTGACAACAGTGACAGCTAAGCAATTGGCAAATCTTGCAGAAGGCACGCCGTTATTGGAAGTCGGCAAGCCGGTTGGAAAGATTGAGCAATTGCCTAGAGGTGCTGATGGCAGAGAGCGTAGAGAAGTCTGGGTTGGTCTGAGTTTGAGAGGAGAAAAGGAAGGCACACCTTGGCCCGTGGGTGCAAGGAAGGTGGTGCAGAAACGCGTTGGTGGTGCCTGGGAAGTTGAGAAGGTCGTCGGATAATGTGTTTGCCGATTTGCCTTGTATGTCGCATGAGATAGAGTGTGTAGAAGTCAGGCTTGTGCTGTAGATATTATTTATCATTTGTCGGCATCACAACTAGAATAAAGATTACCCAGCTCGCTTGGATTTTATAGTATCATTACAAACTTTTTCAGAACAACTCATGCTCGTCACTTCTGCATCTCCCATGCTATCGAGCACGCTATAAAAACATGTCTTTGCATCATCCTGCTCTGTCCTTATGGAACGACGCTTGCACCAACAAGCACTGGTGGCAACTGTGTTGCTTGACCACAAACCTACGGCTAGTTCGCTTTGTACTGAGGACGCGACATTCGAACACGATGGTCCGGTCGATGCACAGTACTCAAATCTACATGTGTCCCGGGCCAGACAAAGGTGTAGAGATTGCGTGTATGCACGAGGGCAAACACTGATCAACAATGAGGAAAGAGCGGTAGCTATATGATGATTTTACTGTCGCTCTTTTCCGATTTTCAAAGTCGGTTTAGTTGCAGCTATAGAAATGCACGATATCTCTGAGAAACATGATGATGTCCATAGAGACATATTCTTTCAAGGAGGTTTCAATGGAACAAACCTTAAACGTCAAAGCAACTGTGCATTTTTATAGACAACAAGTCACTATATGCAGCCATAAGAGAGATGTCAGAGGCAAGAGCGAGAATGATAGCCTACCGGGGGCTTTTACGACATGTATATTATCTATTACTATTTTTATTATTCTAATTCTCCCTCCCGTCACGCCTTCCAAATCTTCTCAACCCACCTCTTAACAGCCCCCTTCCACAAGGTCGGTCCAGGAATAGTATAACTCTTCAACACAGGCCAATAAATACTAATCGCAATTCCCTTATCTTTAGCAGTATATAGCTTCGTAGCTTTCACTCCAGCAGGTTTGGCAGTGCCTTTGCCAGAGATCTGGAAATTGATGCAGTTGGGGTAGTTTTGGGCGCCGTTGTCATGGTCTGCACTGTGCAAGGCGATGATTTCGTGACGCAGAACGTAAGAACCTTGGACTAGGGTGGGCGGGATAGTGATGGTCCAGGAGTTGTTGTTGGCGATGAGGGTATCGGTGGCCCATGTNGCTGTGGGTTTTAGTCAGCGCTTTTGGTTTCCCTGGAAACACGGAAGAGAGAAAGATGCTTACCCAGGTGCAGGATTTCCGTTAATCAACCCCGCCTGATCAATCTTGAACCAGTCAAGAGTAGTCGGGTTCACAATACTGCAATCACCAGGGCACTTGGCAAGATACGTGATAACCGGCCCTTTATGGCTAGAAGGTCAGTCACTCCAGAGCAGCTTGACTTTATCGCCAGCCTTGACAGGAATACGTGTGTTCGTGGACTTGGCACTCTTGTGGCAAGCAATGGCTGCAGTGTTGTATTCGGAAGGAGAGATGAAACCAAGATCTTGGTTTAGGGAGGACCAGCCGGCGGTTTTGGCATGAGCGACGTTTGGGTTGACGCGCCACCAGGGTTGGGCGCCAGGGTACCAGTGGTTGTTGGTGACGATGCCTTGAACGAAACCGTGGGCAGTCACGGTGGTGGTGAAAGTGATCAAAGTCAAAAGACCAGAAAGGATGGCCACAGTCGAGTACATGGTGCCTGTATCCTCAACCAACTATTCTTTGCCTGTTGATATTATTGATAAATGGTGTTCGACTCCAGAGTCGAGACACGAAAAGAGAGTGATCAGCAGCCAAAAAAGACCGCAGTCATAAGAAAGAGTGTATAAGCACCACAAACGACAAAAGGAGGCTTGAAGAAAAGAGTTGAAGGTTCTGAGAGGCCACCGCCTACCTAGATATACCTTTCCACCTACCGCAACCAAGTTCACCTACCGCAAGGGACAACGAACAAAACGTACGCCCATGCCGCAACCTCCAACGTTCATCGAAAGCGACCGACGCCGGTACTCTCTGCCTCGAAATTTGAGGAGAGAAAACACACAAAGGAGAAGTCGCAGCGCCGTTAGGGAGGTTGCCAATGCCATGCAGAGACCTAGACCTTGCATGCCATGCCACGAGTGTCCAATAGTGGGTTGCTAGAATCGAATCACTGTTTCATGTAGAATAGATATTCATCTTGAAGATCTGTTCCAGGAACACAACGTTGGGCAAACGGTGATTTTCAGCTGTTGGTTGCTGTTGTTTCCTTGCCCGTCGTAAAGCGTTGCACAGTTGGATGGACGAAGCGAGCGGGAAGCGGCAAGAGCAGCCGAGATCGTCTAAAACTGCCGTTTGTTTCCTACATCTTCACCCCGCCAGCATCAACATCAGAAGCATGAACATAATTGACCACAGAACATCTAGTTCAACGAGCACAAGGCGAGAGAAAAAGGCATTCTTAGAATGGTCTGTACTGGCTTTGGGTCATCTAAACAGTATACATTTCCCCTCAACGTGGCCGAAAACGAGGATACCCCACAACCTAAGCATTCGCGACACTTGACATTTCGAAACTTCTGCTGAATCGAGAAACTTATGAAGAATGTTATATAAAACTGCTTATAGACCAGGAGCAGCAAGAATAGCTAAGCCAGATCTGTCTCAATGATGGCCAGTACTGTAAGTCGATCCGATATCTCCGATCTTGATGTTACTGAAGGTAACGCTCGTAGTTGGGTCGTCGGCCTCAATGNNCTGTGAAACGAAATGTCAGCCAATGCAAAACATACAGATGAACAGGGATACCTACAGGGCTGGATTACCCTCCGTAGCATTGCATGGACCAGCATTGCCGCTATCCAACCAGTTCATGAACTGGCCCGGGTCGTTCCAGACGGACATGGCGAGGACCATACCGCGTCCGATTGCTTTGCCCATCTGCGCGAGACCACCGCGCTGCTGGAAGGAAGAAGCCACGACCTCGCAGAAGGAGTCCTCGACCGAGTTGACGGCCATACCGGCAACTTGGACGACCGCGTTCTGGATGACCTTGTTGTTCTGGATGTAGAGGCGGGTGATGTTGCTGAGCGTGCCGGTGGCGGTGTTATCATTCGTGTGGAATTGCGTGACGACCGTGAAGGGCTGGNNAAAGGAGTCAGCAAGTGGCCTTGTATACGGTCTGTCACGATCACTTACCTGCTTCGTGTTGACGACGTCTCCGTACCCGTAGAAGGTCTTGTTGCCATAAGCGTACGAGTTATAGCCACATCCCGACTCATCGCAGACACCGTTGCCACCGCAAGCGGCACCAGAGCACTCGTACAAGCCGGTAATGTTGCAAGCGTGCGGTGTGAACTGAGTGGACACGGCATTGGCCTCCCAGATATCCATCTCGTTGCAGCAGGCACCGTTGTCGTTGATGTTGGCTACACCGTTGATCCAAGCGGACTTGGGGCACTGTGCATCACAGTATCCGGTACCGTATGCCGCGCCAGCGGGGTTCAGGGACGAGCGGCCACCGGTAGCAGACATCTCGGAGAGATAGAGGGCACCGTTCATGCCGCAAGGAAGGTTGCTGACATCCACAGTGAAGGTAAACTCCTGGTTGAGGAGTTTCAGGAGATCGTAGTTTTGACCTCCAGGAGCGAGTAGGTACACACGCGGAGAGACGCTTGTCTCGACACCATTGATGTTCAGATACTGGTGGAGCGTCATGGAGTTGCCGCTGACGGTGACGCCATGCTGTGCGTAGTTGTTGATACCCTGGATGGCGCAGTTGCGGGCACAAACCTGAGTGCTGGGGCAGATGGTCTGATCCGGGAAACCAGTCGAGTTCTCACAGGAGGCGCCGGTCTTGATGTCCTGGATCGCGTGGGTCAGGGCGTCGAGCACGACCGAGGTCTGCTGGGTCACACATCCATGGCGGGTGGTGCAGAGCTGGGTCGGCAGCATTGGGTGGACTTCAGGAGTCTTGCCAATCTGCTGTGCAGCGGCGACCGCAATCAGGCCTGTAAGAGCAAGGAGAGGAGACATTGCTGTGAGGAGGTGATGGTAATGTCGTTGCGTACGATTCACCACGGCGGCGAGCAGTATTTATATACTACCATGAGCCCATCATACAGTGTCTGTACTATACCCTACACATTGCCGGCTTGCCGCAAGGTGAGATACATAGGCGAAGTCCAGAATGGTCGGCTGCTGCATCTTTGATACACTCATCGGTCCAGCCATCCATGAAATGCAGCAGCGCCTGACTTTAGCGGGCATGAAGGACCCCGCTTCGTGGATATTCTCGCTGGCACGCAGTGTCTACGACATGGGCAAGCTCGAGCAGGTGGACCGGTTAAAGGCTATGAAACGGTGAACTTCTCCTCGGTGTAGATGTTGTAGCCCAGGGTGTAATACGGCCAGCCTGGAATGAGGTCTCCCATCATGTATTGGTCCATGCCTTCGATCATAATGCAAGCTCAGGTACCATCGCACCTGAACCAAAGCAGGCAGTTGACAGCGGTTAAAATGCGGAGATGGGTGGTCGGTTAGAGGTCACAACCCCACAGACACGGGATAAATGCTGCACCTGCAAAAGAGGAGGCTGAGACGAAGTCTGGACTTTGACTTTCTACCACACCATGGCCAAGAGACAGCCGAGGCTTGTTTTGACTGCAAGAGATGTTGCATTATGCAGCGTGATTAGCCGATCGGATCAACGCACCGCCTTTCCGTCGGTATAGTCAGTCGCAGTGGCTGCAGCCCATGCGGTCGATGCTTGTATATGTCGCTCTTGCGTTCCGACTGGCCAGTATCTCACAAGTCTTTTGGGCGGAGTAGCTTGAATAGTATACCTTGATATCAGCTGGGCCGTTGGTCTGGAGCAGGCACAGCACCGTTGAGATTGAGATGTCCTCGATGTACATGCAGGCGCTCATGTAAATCGATACGATACCGAAGCTGATGATCATGGAGGCCATGATGAGAACCAAATACCAACCAGTCCAGGCCATTCAGAACAGCGCTCCCCTCATTCGATATGAGGGAAGTAGAGCGAAAAGTTTGGCGTGGCCAAAACGGATTCCGGCAAGTACGCAAGGCTGTGAAAGCTCTCGACCACCAAGTAGACTCTGGCAAAGACGTAAAGTGGTGCAAACGTAATCATTCCAAGGTAAGCCAAGATAATCATAGGTTTCGAGAGGCAATCGAGAAACACAGAATTGGTAGAATGTAAGAAGATTCTGTGGAAAACGAGCGCGTTTAGCAGGGGTATGACACCAAGACTCGCGGTGGTAATGCCTGAGATCTTCCAGAGCAAACCATAGGTTGAAGTATGGAAAGGAGCGTTCCAGGCCAGCAAGTGTAGCCCACCGTACATGAAGGCCGCTGCAGACATAGCTAGCCACTCCGGGAGTCGTTGGATCATTCCCCATGCATTGAGAAGTTCGTGGAGATATATCATTAAGCTATGAGGGTTGAAGAACCACAAAGACGATTTCGACGACACTTGAGGCTTAGGGTTCAGTCTGAAAATCCAGTCATGGGTCCGATTGACAAAGGAACGAGGAGGTCTGTCTTCACTGGGCATGTCTTCCATGAATCTGGGAGTCCGACTTACTATATCGAGCCACGTTAGATACGATCGTTCCAGGCAGTAATAATACTCCGACATCTTGTCTGTCTCTTCCAAGGTCGGCTGCTCGTTCTCGAGCTGCCTAGACACTCTGGCTTCGAGACTCAGCTCTAGCTTTTTGCGAGATAGATAGTATGTCAACCCTATCTGCTCAGTGCCTACAGCTATTCTGACGGTCCCTTTGCGAGTATTCTCATACATGGAGGCTTTGCTACGGATCCAGTCAGCGCCTATACTGCGGTGTACATTATCGACTTACATATGTGGATGTGAGGCGTCAAGATTGAAGAGCTGTTTGAGTCGTTCGGTTCGTAGCCCTGCAAATTTATCTATTCGTTTCTCGTCAAGGTCGACATCGAGACCCGCTCCGAGCGGAGGTATGTTCTCGCTGCAGACCAAAGAGCGAAGAGAATGGAAACGGGTGCCCATGTCGCGTGAGTGTTTCCATTGCGAGAATTCTTGAACGCCTGGAAGGTGCGACATATCAGATGGGAATTGATAACGCCGATAATACCTATATCCTGTCTCAACACAGTCGGCGAGAGGATAAGGTAGTCTTGGCACCGTTCTTGAAGTCATAGAGCAGAGCAGGGCGACCAGCCCTCTTTCGACTTTCAAAAGAGTTGGTTCAGAGATGTCCATAGGCTTATTCCACCAGATTGCATAAATGATGAACGTGCAGATACAATGTCCAAAAACGTTGAGCTCAAGAAGACTGATTGAAGTGTTCATTGTCAGTCGCACAATGCACTGAACACAGAACCAGACTGCTTGTATACATGTCAGGGTCTTGGCAAGAGTACTGGCCTTGCTTTTGTCGAGTATTTCATTTCGAGTTAGGTTAGGAAAAACTCCAGGGGCACAAGTCAATAACCACTGTACGCCATACTCAGTCAAGATCAGCCTGCCATGACCGCTGATGGGATACTGTCGGTCCAGAAAATGAGATTGAATCACATAGCCGCCCATAGCTGCATAGAAACCATGGACTAGGGTTATTCTTGAAGTTGAACTGGACAGAGACAGCTGCTCAGAATCTAGACAAGGTCTCTGCCACAACGTAATGAGAAATAGGTCACAAATCTTGGGCTCCCTTCCATACCTTTGAACACAGGGAGTAAAGTTTGCCAGCATGCCATGCTCGTTGAAACCAGCCGGGACGAGTGGACTGTGCCGCCTGTCTGAACCAGCCAGGAGGCCGTCCTGGGGAACGAAAATTATCCATTAGCTCCCGAGCTACTCGTCGCTGTTCCCACGCATTCCAAGCGACGATCTCTGGAGCAAGCAAAGCCAGAAGAAGCCATCCAGGTTTACGCAAGAAATTCTGTTTCTTCCCTCCATTTTGTTCTGGTATATTGAGGTGTACTGCTGTCCATACGCACAAGATCATAGTCGTTAAGCAGGTGAAAAGAACGTTGAATGTGCCGCGTCCTCGAGGCTCCGGGTGCCAGGCCGCAGAGGTATTAGCGGTCTGGTTTCCAAATGGAGCGAACATGTTCAGAAGGTAGACGAGACGAAGAAGAGGTGGAACAAAGCTGATTTTCGACAAATCAACACCACGGAATTGGCGTGATGATAGTGCTTTTGACAAGTCTCTTTCAGATGGCTGTGTTCGATCGCTGAGCCTCCACCGTGAGCGCTCAGCAGTGAGGCTTAGCTCGCATCCAGGCATGCAGGTATCTGCAATTCAGAAGGCGGAACCGGCAGAAGTACTATCTTTTCAGACACTCGGGGTCGTGTACTTGTACATGTGGGTGACGGAGCATAGAGGCTCTCATTGGATTTGGGAGTTGCATCGCGCAAGAAGAGGTTGCGTTGGTGGCGCAAGTCACAAGTAGTCGTCGCGAAAGGTGGTGTGAGACATCAGCCTTTGCGAAGTCAACACGTCGGAGATCTTGAACTCTCAAATATGGGACGATGCTGACCGTATTGGACGTCTGGTCGAAGTAGGCGAAGCTTTGGAAATAGAAGGAGGTTGTGCAATTATGAGGACCTTCGTTTCTTCCAGCGTTTTTGCTTCCAGAGCTTAGTCAGCAACAGAAGCGACCCTGTCACATCCAGCTTCGCGACCGTGTTCCAGGACTAGCGACCTGAAAACCACGATTTCTGATAGAGGGTTCTTCTGCGAAAACGGTCAGGGAGAAAGGTACGCGACAGCCTAATATATTCTGGCGAGCGCTTTCCAGAAGAGTTAATCAAAGCTGCATCTATAATTGGTCATTTGAACACCCGACTAAAAGGTATAGAGGCCACAGTCCACAGAATCAGAACACCGATAGAACATCCAACTCCTGCCAAGACGAAGAAGTAGTTGTGACTTGTGATATAACCGATACTGTCAGCGTCAATCCAGAATACTATGGAGGAGATGACCGCAATACTGATCTGGATCCAGACAATGATCGTGGCAAACAGGATCGAGTTGTAAAATGGCATCTGATGGTCTAGCACCTCGACCGAGCGTTGAGATGGTCTGAGGACTTCCAGCGCAGCAAACTTTTCTGAGAAGCTAGGTTGAAACTCGTCCGAGGAATTTCGATGAGACAGCATAGTAGAATGTGCCCCGGAACCAAGCTCGTACGCTTCTTCGCTGGATAGCGAGTCACGATCGCTCCTGTTCCTGTGTTTGCGCGGCTTGTAGTTCTCAAGAATGGCGCCAAGTGGTTGGATAAGCAGCACAAGCGGTACAATCTGGCCAAATGTCCATGAGTTCTCTTTGTTGTTCCACCAAGCATTCTGCTGACGTGGTATGACGAGTTGAATGGTTCCATAGACAAGTCCAACATAGGATAGCCATAGTGATGCGGCGAAAGATGCGCTGAACTCGAACAATGCCAGGAGGATGATATAGACCATCATGGTAGCATGATATGTCCACGACAGAGACTTTCGCTTTTCGCGGCGATTGGAGGCTTTGAGCGCTTCGGTATGTAGGATGCGCTCTAGCAAGTATTCGTAAGGTCCTCTGATTCGACGATGAAACACGTTTCTGGAGCTTTTGAACAATGCACCAATCTTCCAGAGATAGGACAGGATCAAGATCAGATACGCCAGAGGTGCGTCGGGATTGACTCCCTCGCCCCAAGTCTTGAAGAAGAAACACCTGGCTGGAATAGCCCAGCTAGTTCTTCCATTATCTCTTCCACTTTCTGCTGTGTACCAGATAGCCCAGAGATTAGATGCAGTGGGCACCAAAGCCACCAGTAAGAGGATGAAGAGTATCAGCATACCAACGATCCGCCAACCTAGCACACCAGGTCGCTTGCGAAAGTATTCTCCTAGCATTGTTAGAGCCGAGAGGTGAACCGAACTTGACATCCAAGCTAGGGAGATGACTGTCTGGAAGTGGTAAACGGAGATGTGGCCATGTAGACCAATGAAACCAGCGATACAGATAGCGATACCGGTGACTATCTGTTGGTCGCTGAGCAGCAGAACGCATTGTTGCAGTGCTTTATGCCAGGAGGGGCTTGTTCGTCGCTGTGATGGGAGTCGGTGGACATAGAGATCCACTGGTCTTAGGAGACCTATGTCGATGGAGCCCAGTAGATATGAGACCAGTACAATCGCGAATGTGAAGTATGCGCTGAGAAGGAAGGCCAGTATCGCGCCTATGCCCGAAATTTCGGAATCGGCCTCAGGAATAGCTCCTTCGACCATCCAGTACCCACAGGTCTCGGTGGTGATCGTTGTGTTGGTGGCATTGGTCGACATCGTGGTATCGCTCATGGAGCCATATAGAAGGGCTTGCCATATTCAAGTCACCATCCGGAATGAGGGAACGAGGTTGTTATAGTCAGCCTGAGCGTCAGACGGGGTGGAAGGTTTCTCTTCGGCATTTAAACGGTGAGCCAAAATTATCTCATACGAAACCTTTTGGCGCTCTGCGGTGCCCGCGGCCAGCGGCTGGAAGCATGCAATGCTCGTATGGCATTAGTGGGTTTGGAGTTTTGCGACAAGATCATCACCGGATCTGAATTATGGAGTGAGAGTGTCGCGTACTTTGCAGCATCGTAAATCGTCGTCATGACCGCGCAAGTTCATACTATGCAACAAAAAGAAGAGAATCACCCAAATGCTTTCCTGCTCGTACCCGTCATCATTCCATATCCTTTCCCTTCATGCAAAACGTTTATCATCCTCGCTACTTGCTGCCTCTTCTGACCTTCTCGAGCAACTCCTCCATCTTGAATGGCTTAGCAATGACATCGTTCATTCCAGCCTCGGTCATCTCGCTCTGTTGTTCTTGTCTCACGTTAGCCGTCACACCGATGATGTTGACAGCCGGCAGATTATTGTCGCCTTCAAACTTTCTGATTTCTCGAGAAGCAGTCTTGCCATCCATGACAGGCATCTCCTGGTCCATGAGTACGCAGTCAAAGGGAGGTTTGTGTTCGGAGGAACGAGCCGTGATCATCTCCAAAGCCTCCTTTCCGTTGTCGGCGGTCGTAACTTGGAAGCCTTTGGATTCGATCTTCTTNTTCAGAAGTTTCTGGTTTATTAGATTATCNCTAAAGAGCCATGTGAGTGATTGATATGATGAAGGGGCGGAACAACGTACCTCCACGAAAAGTATAGTAGGCCTCGAGTCGCTGTGTGGGTTTGAAATCTGTTTAACAGATTTGCCAGTGTTCTCATACCTTTTTGCAGATTTCCTTTCGTGTTCAGGGTCTTCCGTAGCTTGCTTGTCATTATCTTCGAAATGACCCGATTTCCGCTTTTCAAATGTCGGATCAGGTCGTTGTGAACTTCGTCCTGCATTGGCCGGTCTCTTCTGTTGCCGTTGAGACTCATCATCTTGGGCCCTGGAATGTGATGTTTCGCCTTGGTCGCCTGTTGACTTGCTGTTGTTGTGCTTTTCGCCCATCCGGTCCGCCATATCAGCTGTGTGTTGCCATCGGTCTTTTGGGGGATTTTCGCTGTTCGTTCCAGTGTTTTCTCCGGGGATGTTCTTCAAGTCTTCCGACACCTTTTCCTCATCGACTTCTGTCATCTCCACGTGCCCAGATTTCTTGAGTCTTTCTGAGAGCTCCTTCGGCTCCAGCTTATCAGCGTCTTCTGGTTCACCACCTCGTCTCACTCTGAAGAAGAACCCAAAGATTGACCCTTCACCTTCAACCGAGCTGACTCCGATCTCTCCACCATGCAACTGGCACATTTTACGGGCAATATTGAGACCGAGTCCGGAACCGCCATACATCTGTCCGGTCTTGGGCGTGGCTTGTTGGAACCGTTCGAACAGCTTGGCCTGATTCTCCTCGCTTATGCCAATTCCAGTGTCCTTGACTGCAACCATGATGTAGAGCGGTTCACCATCGCCCCACTCAGGGTTGCCGGTTGCATCAGTTTTCAGGCCTATTTCGTCCGTCTTGAAGAAGACCACATTGGGTGGATATGATGCTGGTCTCTCTATTGAGGCAGCGACTTCGATGTCAATCTTCTTCTTGCGTTCGGACTTTGTCGTGAACTTGATGGCGTTTGTCATGAGATTGACGATCACCTGACTGACCCTTACAAGATCTGCCATGACCCAATCTACGTTGCAGTTGTCGTATTCAGGTTTGATGTTGTAGCTAAACTCGACCTTTCGCTTGCGTAGTTCTGGTTGGAAGATCTTGAGTGTGTCTGCCATCTGGATTTTTGGTTTTGTAGCTCTGTTGAAAGTCAGCAGGTGCTTGCAGTCTCGGATCAAAATTGCTTACCTCGGAGCAAGCGAGAGCATTGAGGCGTCGAGTTTTGAGAAGCTGAGCACATCATCTACGAGAGTTTTCTGNGAAGGCAAATCAGCCGACAATTGTGAGTGAAGTGAGAGCTCAAGACTTACTTGGTGATCTACGCAGAGTTGGATGGTGTGGACAGCATCAACAATTTCGTCGACAGCAATATTGTCAGACTTTGCTTCGCCGTCTTTTACAGCATCCATTATGTTCTCAGCGCAGTGTAAGACAGCAGACAGTGGGTTTCTAATCTCATGTGAGATCATATCGATGAAACGTTCTTGCTGCTGCTTTCTTTCGCGGGCTTCTTTGGCAACTCTGGTTTGAGCAAGCTCGGCATTCTTCATGTCGGATACGTCGATCAGAGCACATATATATCCACCAAATTGTCGCAGATCAAATTGTTGGAGATTGTTCTTTCCGAGTGGTCGCATCAAAAACAGTCGCCACTGGTTCTCGCCAAAAGCCCTGAACTCTGTTTCCAGATCCGTCTGTGAATCAAAGGCCTTGTGATATTCGTTCATGACTCGTTCATAGTCGTCTGGATGGATGGTCTCGGGCCACATTCTGAACGATTGGTTGGGACCACGGTGTGCGGTCAGGTCGTGGAATTGGTGGTTGACGAATAGTGGGTCTGCTTTGTGGTTGAGGATGGCAAGACCGGTTGGCAGCATCTCTGCAAACTTTTGAAAGAAAGGCTGACGGTCCAAGGCAGTCTCCTCATGATTCACAAGACCGTTCATGTCTTCCTTGGTTGAATTCTTCTGATGTGCCTCCTCCTTTGACGCCTTCTCCTTGGCGTCTTTGTTACTGAGGTGTGTTTTGCTGAAGATTTGTACCAGGACGCCTGCGACCTTGGTGTTGTTGTGTATAGGACTGCACACAACAGGAGACTTCCCAGTAGTGGTCGCATGGTCTTCGGACAGTTCGGAGGCGGCGATAGGTCGGGGTATGCGGCCTTGCATATATTCGCGAAGTGTATCTATCGTGTCTTTGTTGAAGGCGTCGTTCGGCGGTCTGCCTTGCTTCAAGGCGCTGTGTGAGGTTGCTTCCCAGGCTTCATTGTATACCATGGCAAGCTTGTCGCCCCAGAAGATGGCAGCCGGGTGTGAGAGGGTGAAGACGAAGGGCGCGAGCGACTGCAGCGTGGCCGGCCAGTCCTTTGCTGAACCTATGTCGCTTTGATCCNNCTGCTAGCGTCAGTCAAGCAAAGGGCAAGACGCGTGATGTCGAGTCATTGCATACCACACTTCGTCCATGAGGAGAAGCGAGTCGAGCGCTTCGGCCGCGTCCTCCTTGTTTGTCGCATCGCCGGCTTGTTTCATGCTTGCTGCGAGAGTCGTGTTGGCCTTGTACAAAACAGAATGGCCCAAAAACAATGTCTTCAAAACTCGGCATGCGAAGAAGCTTCAACTGGCATCTGTCGATCAACAGGCAATGACATCGCTGATTGATGACGTCGCTCTCTTTCGGAGTCTGTTCCGTGAATGCGAAGTCGCCCAGTTCGTGTTGGATTCATAGAGATATCCAACAAGGCGAACTCCGACCATCGACAAAGAAGCTTCTGGCTTACTCTAACTCATCTGCCGTAGTGCATTGTCTGGCGAATCGATCACCATGTGGAGAGATAACATGTACTCACATAATGACATAGAGCTTTTCGCAAGGGGGCAGGGTGACTCGCCTCAACGACCACGACATGCACATGATACTGATCTTGCTGGGTTTCGGAGAGTTCCAAGTCGTCCAACCCACATGGCGCCCACTTTGGCTTCCTCCATGCACACAACAACTTTGTGTCACGGGACGTCTTCTGCACCGCAACAGGCACATGCAAAAGCTTACCGCATTCCGCCTCGGTCAACAACACCGCCAACCCCGCAACTTGCAACCCCACACGTATCCATGTGCGGACGCCTTGCGCATCTCGGGCACCCTCCTTCCTGATGTCCACCGGTCAAGTGCCACGATTCGTGTACATGCAACAGGAAACAGTACACCCATCTTTCGGCCGCTGCAATGTAACACTCAGGCCCATGCCGTCGACTGTAACACACCGCTCGAGATGTAGCCCTCATGAGCACTCCGGCCGGAGAGAAAAATCTCTCACTATGTTCGTTGTTCGACAGTGTTTGGTCTAACCAATGGCCATGCTGCCCTGAACCTGAGGGACAAACGTCTACTAAGTATAGCATCACCGAATCACTTTTCCAGACATGCTTATAGGTCGGCGCATTGTTTTAACATCTTACTAAGTCGCCCTCTAGCTTAAGGCTAACCTCACATATCCAGGAAGCCATCATGCAGAAGAAAACATCCAACATCTCGGACTTGCACTCAAGCACTCAATGGGCTTAGACGGGACAGTATATCTCGCATGTGACTATTCTCAGCCTACCACGTCTTGTTGTCTTCACCCGACGTGCATGAGACTGCCAACGGTCTGACTCTTGAATCATGGTGGCATAATCCAATAACAAATTTTGAGGTATGACATCCGAGCCACCTCCAGGCACAGGAACGACACCACCACTTCCCATTGGCGTTTCAGACTGCTTCGGAGAATGAGCATACTGCAACTTTACTGGATATCCTTGAGCCGCAGCCATTAAAGATACCATCCACGTTGGTATATCTCCGAAACAACAGAGCCAAGCTCGCTGCATTCCAGCATCATAGTGCAATCTCTAACGGTCATGCGCTCCTTCAAAGACATGATCGGGGTGGTAGATAACCCTTGTCTTGAAGGTGAGGTGTGGACCGTCAAAGAAAACCAATCCATCAGTGGTAAGGATCGTCGTCGCAAGAGATGTGTCTTCGCAGATCCGATCAGGCTCGAGAGGCGCACTTTGTGTTGCATCCTGAGGAGCAGGCACGATGACGCTGACGGCACTGCATCGCCTCCAGCAAGAATAGAATAAGTATTTTGCTGCTGGCCGCTCATGAATAGCACTCTGAAGCTCACAACCCAAGACCTGTATCTTTCTCCAGAATGTTTTCACAAACACTATTCTACTCATTCGCAATCTGTTCTGTTGTTGAATGTCTTTCGCCATCAGAATGGCGAGCTCAATCTGTCTATCAAGTCATGACCGACAGGTTCGCTCGCACTGATGGCTCCATCTCAGCACCATGCGATCTGGGCAACTATTGTGGTGGCACATGGGAAGGACTGATCAAGCACTTGGACTATATACAAGACATGGGCTTCACGGCTGTTGGTACCAGAGTCTTTCGTTTCCACGAATACTGACTGGCGGACAGGNTGTGGATTTCACCCGTAGTGAAAAATCTGAATGCTTCTACAGCCGATGGGTCCAGCTACCACGGATACTGGGCACAGGACATCTACGCAGTAAACACCAACTTCGGTTCCGCGGCAGATCTAGTATCACTGTCAGACGCTCTACACAAAAGAGGGATGGTATGGATGGAGATGACACGCTTGGAGGAACTTGACTGACCATTGCTAGNNTACCTGATGGTCGACGTAGTCACAAACCATATGGGATACGCAGGCTGTGGGGATTGCGTAGACTATTCCATCTTCAATCCCTTCGACAAAGAGTCTTACTACCATCCTTTCTGCCTGATCGACTACAACAACCAGACCAGCATGGAGCTTGTGAGCGAGACCAAGGCAAAGTCACCGATTTGGGGATTCTGCTAACTCGCGTCTAGTNGCTGGGAAGGCGACAACACTGTATCATTGCCCGACCTTCGCGTAGAAGACTCGAATGTGCAAGACATGTGGGCAACATGGATCAAACAGCTAGTTGCAAATTACACAAGTAATAACCCACTCGCCCTTCCAAAACATCAAAAAGCTAACCCACTCCAGNTCGACGGCCTCCGCATCGACAGCGCAGCCGAAGTAAGCAAACCCTCCCTAAAAAACTTTGAAACAGCAGCCTCCATCTATGCCATTGGAGAAGTCTTCAACAACAACGCCGACTATGTCTGCGGCTATCAAGACTCCATCTCAGGCCTGATGAACTACCCAATGTACTACAACATAACCTCCGCCTTTGCATCCACTTCCGGCAGCATCAAAGCCTTGGAGCAAGGCATCAATATCATGAAATCCACCTGCAAAGATGTAACTCTACTAGGCTCTTTCCTGGAGAATCACGACAACCCACGCTTCCCCTCATTGACTTCAGACATGAGTTTGGCAAAAAACGCAATCGGGTTCGCAATGTTGGCAGATGGCATCCCTATCGTCTATCAAGGTCAAGAACAGCATTTCTCTGGCGCATCGACACCAGCACAACGCGAACAGTTGTGGAAATCTGGATACGATAAAAATGCCGTTTTGTACAAACATGTCAGCAATTTAAACGCTATACGCACACTGGCCATACAAAACGACGATGGGTACTTGAGCTATAACGCGTATCCGGTGTGGACGAATGACCATATTATTGTGATGAGGAAAGGGAATAATGATACGCAGGTTATTGGTGTGTTTAGCAATTTTGGTGCGCAAGGCAGTGCGAATTTTACGTTGTTGGCTACAAGTTCGGGGTTTGATGCTGGGATGGAGGTTACGGATGTGTTGGCTTGTGACAAGTTTACGACGGATGGGAAAGGTGATTTGGAGGTTAAGATTGAGGGTGGTGAGCCTTTGGTTTTGTATCCGACCAAGCAGCTCGAGGGGAGTGGGATGTGTTGATGCGTTCTTCCCCAGTAGGAAAGACGATAAAGATTGTTGCCTGCGTTTGGTGAAGTAGATATTTCCGGGTTCCATCGTCGGATCATTCGCACTGCGCGCTTCCTTATAATCATACAATGTCAAACGTGTATGGAGAAAACCTCGATACATTTGAGAGGCGGTGCTTTTGATCTTCAAATGGGTTCATCATGGGTATCATATTTCGCTAGTGGATCATCAATAATAGTCTCAAATCCCAGACTAAGCAGCCGGGGTAGCAGGACTGGCAGGTGTGCTCGGATTGGTAGCCAAGCCCTTGCTTCTCCTCTTCTTGATCTTATCCCTGACCTTCTTCTTGGTCTTTTCTTCTTCGTCCTTTTTCGCAGCTGCCGACGCAAATGGTGTAGCCTGAGCAGCCAATCTTGCCTCTTCCAGCTTCTTTGCCAACTCGGCCTCTTTGACTTTTGCAGCTTCGGCGGCCTCGGCTTTTGCGCGAACGTGGTGTTTTGTGGCCGAGAAGGTGAAGTTGCCGGGTTCGCCGCGCAGGGGNTTCTCATCCATGTATTCGTCTCCGTAGTGGAGCATCATCTGTAACGAGTCCTGGAGGGCCCTTTGCGCACGAGGGTCCGTGTCTTTCGTCGTCTTCAATTCGGTTGTCGAGGTGGTGGACTGTGCGGTTGGATCAAGACTGGCTGCGGAGGGCAGTTCGGCTGGTGTGGGTGCTGTGCTGGCCTCTCGACTGGTCGAGGTCAAAGCTTGCGATGCGGCGAGTGTCTTTGCAGTAGCGGGTGGGTAGTAGGTATAGCCTGTCGCAGGAGTGTAGAGCGGTAGAGGAGCGGCGGCTTGGGTAAATTTTGTGAGCGACGTCATGGCAGAGAGGAGGTGGTTGCCGACGATATCGTAAACGGAGGGCGCTTGGTACATGTTCTCGCCGACCAGGTAGTAAGTGGCCAGGACAGTGATCTCGTCGGGCTGTGGAGGTCTCTTGCGGCGGTCTTGCTTGCGAATGACCCAGATGCCAGTATCTGGACCCAATGCTGGATCCGCGTTCGGTTGTGGTTCACCAACGATTAAATACTCGACGCCGTTCATTTGCTTCAAGCGTGTCTCGAAGGCCTGTCGGTTGCGGCACAGGTCCCAGATGGGAAGGTGAATCTCAGCTTGCTTCCATAAGAGGCCATTCTTGGTGGTCGGATCGAAAAANGGCGTTTCACGGAGGATGGCATGGACTGANGAAGAAAGTCAGTCTTGGATGAAGGTATGGAAGAGGGTGCGCATACTGCTGTTCTCATGGATGCCCTGCCAGTAGCCTATCACGTCAGGTCGGCGGAATTGCACCTCGTCCAGCGGCGTGCCGTTCCATGTGTTCGCCATTGTCAGGGCAAATGTGAAGAGGAAGCTCTTGCTCAGCTTGTGCAAACCATTGGAGCGTCATGTCGCCAAGCTGTCGCGAAGTGATGGAGAAGACGTGACTCGTAGGGCTGAATTCACCTTCACCGGGAAAGCCTTGCCCGATCCGGCTCTAGTTTCTCCAGCTTTTCTTTCTAGAACACATCGATTCATCATGTCTGTTGCCATCTCTCCAACATTATCACTGCAAAACCCCAACTGGCTCGTATGTTCTTGACAGTCTGCATCGAAAGGCTCACCCTCTTCCCGACATTCCTTTCTCTTGAAGACCCGGCCCATTGAGGACTTTTCTCAATGCACCGCCCCCATCTACTTTTCCTGGACGCCTATGACTCCTTTAGCAACAATATCATCAATCTACTTCAACAAGACCTCAATGCCACTGTCCAAGTAATCAAGATCGATGACAAGAGATTCATCACACGCGATGATGCATGCTTCCATGCTTTCCTTGGCCGTTTCGACGCCGTAGTCGCTGGTCCTGGCCCTGGCGATCCTAGGAACCCACACGACTTGGGTCTTATCGGCAAGCTGTGGAATCTACCAGAAGCTGTCTGCTTGCCTGTCCTGGGTATATGTCTTGGATTTCAGAGTCTGGCCCTGGCCTTCGGAGGTACAGCTGGTAGACTGTATCAACCTCGTCATGGTCTAGTGACCGAGGTCTCTCACCAGGGACATTCTCTGTTTAAGGATATCGGCACTCTTATGGCCACCCAGTATCACTCGCTCCATGCAAAACTTGGTCACACCGTGGACATGGCGTTCTCAGAGCTGTGGAAACCCAGTCCAAGCTGCTCGGACATCGTACCCCTTGCGTGGGACCTATCAGATGATCAGAATGGTCCCATCTTGATGGGAATCAAACACTTGGACAAGCCCTTCTACGGTGTGCAATACCATCCAGAGTCTATCTGCACGAGCTCTGCTGGTGCGCAAATAATTCACAATTGGTGGTCCGAGGCATTGACTTGGACTATCGACCGTGCAGCCAAAACTCGGAAGATAGACAATCCACCTCCAATTATTGACGTGGATTCACACGATATCAATAGCGAAAGTGGCGATGACTCGGCAAGCACATCATCATCTCTGTTTGATGCTGTCAACCCTACAGTCAGGGACACCAAGGCCACAACTCCGGCTGTGACACGGAACTCATCAAGAGTGGGACGGTTAAGCCCTTCGAGATCAGTCAGCTGGAAGTGTATCGACATGTCCTCTAACACTATCGACGCGGCTTTGTTGCTTCAAAATCTGCAAGACAGCGACCAGCAAGCCGTCATGCTCGAGTCTGGCAGCAAGAGCGGTCAACCTGTGCGACCCGAGACTGGCCGCTTCAGCATCATCGGCTGTATCATTGATGCGAAATCAATTCGATACTCTACTGGAAACCGCATGATTACCAGCGACCTCTCAGGCTCAGCAACATCAGGCATAGGGTCTATGACAGATGTCTGGTCTGGAGTAGAGTCTTTCATGTCTGCAAACAAGGCGCTTGATGGAAGTGTTGACGTGCCTTTCTGGGGAGGACTTGTTGGTTTCGTATCTTACGAAGCTGGTTTGGAGACAATTGATGTTTCCCAACTGACAAACAATGATCGTCCGGATGTGTGGTTTGTCTTCGTGTCACGCAGCATTGTTGTTGATCATGTTGACAGAAAGGTCTATGTTCAAAGCTTGGAAGATAATGATGATTCCTGGTTCGGAAAGGCTGAAAGGGCCGTGAAGGAGCTTATCGGAAAGCCTAACATTTCCCAGTGTGGGAAAGACGACGGGTCAAAGTCGTCAATACCCGCCGTCGCTGCTCCAAAAGAAGCAGAATACGTGCGAAAGGTCGAGACTTGCCAGGATCATATTCGCGCTGGAGACTCTTACGAACTCTGCTTGACCGACCAGAGCATCGTGTCGTACAATGGTAGTTGTCAGCCAAGATCTTTCGAGCTCTATCAACGACTACGCACCTTCAATCCAGCACCCTTTGGTGCTTACCTACGATTGAAGGATGATAATGAACAAAAGAACGACGGGGTCACCATCTTATCTTCTAGCCCAGAACGGTTTTTGTCATGGTCGCGAGCTGGAAAGTGTCAGTTCAGGCCCATCAAAGGCACTGTCGAGAAGAAGAATGGCCTTACGAGAGAAGATGCAGAGGCATTGTTGAATGTGGACAAAGAAAAAGCCGAAAACTTGATGATTGTCGATTTGATCAGGCACGACTTGCATGGAGTTGTGGGCTCTGGAAACGTCAGGGTCGAGAAGCTGATGGCGGTCGAAGAATATCAGACCGTCTTTCAGCTTGTGTCGGTCATTGAGGGACAGTTGCCAGAAGAGTCGAGACATACCGGCATTGATGTGCTAGCGGCTTCTCTTCCTCCAGGGTCCATGACTGGCGCACCCAAGAAACGATCGTGCGAACTGTTGACAGAGATAGAAGAGAAAGCCAGAGGAATCTACAGCGGTGTGCTTGGATACTTTGATGTTGGAGGTGGTGGAGATTTCTCAGTTGTGATTCGAACGGCATTCCAATGGGACGACGAGGGCGTGTGGCGAGTCGGTGCTGGTGGGGCGGTTACTGTGCTGTCTTCGCCGACGGCTGAGTTTGAAGAGATGGACCTGAAGAGACAGAGTTGTTTGCCGCTGTTTGGACATCGTCGGGACTCTGTGAAATAATTGGTTGTTAGCCCTGAATCTTGACCGCCCAAAAACGCTTGACTCGCTCTCGTCGGACGTACTCCCAGTCCAGAAAAGTTTGTGTATTCTTGCAGCTCGTCCGCGACCGCGAGATGAGGACCGGAGTGCTAGGTTTTATGCTGCCTCGTTGAGAAAATACATTGATGGCTCTCTCCTTCCTTGGCTGTTACCTATGTCTTCGTTCTTGATGACTAAGCCGTCACTGCTTCAACAAACATCCCTCCATTCTCTTTGCACTTTCTGTCTGCTCTCGCTTGGAAATCTCCTTCCATTCGTCAGAAATGATAAGAGCGACCACACTTCCACACTGCATACAATCTCGACTACCAGGAAGCTAGCAGTAACAAACTCAGGATCATCACTCTAACCTATGAACAGCCGACATGGAAATCAGAATGCGCACTCCCAATACCAGTGCAGTGTCTCACTTGTCAAAAAACTGTACCAACTAGTCCATAAGTCAGACTAGGGGCCACGTCCTCAGCCTGCAACAAGTCGACATGAGCGATTTAACTTTCCAGTACTAAATTTCCTCCACGAGGAAGCAAGACACTCTTACACACCTTCCGAGAAATACGCCGACAATAGCCAGATGATGGCAGCAGTGCATATCTATAACCCGCCTCTTAGATACATGCATAGCTCACGCTACGTGATACATGGCTAGCCAACACCGGATCACTCGATAGCCCACAATGGGGTATAACCATCCACAACCACAAGCTCCGTGCCCGCTGTTTTCATTCTCACATTCTGTTAGATGCCGATCTCGCCGAACACTCTTTGCAAATCACTGAAGATATCCTCTGAGATTTAGTCATATCCACCGACATCCATTCTTCTCGCTTGCGATTCGGTCCAGATGGTAGCTTCCAAGCTAGGCTCGAGATAACAGGTTCTCTGTAAGCACCTTCTCCCCTCCATCCTCCATCTCGACTTGATGATCAAGTGGCTGGGGTCGGAACAAGAAGTGCATAATAACATAAGTAACGAGCGCGTAGATCGTTCTTGCTCCCGCTTTCTTGTGATTTGCCTTGACTGAAATTGACACAGATCATGTCCGCGACCGCCGCACTGATCGAATACATGTCGACAAGGCCCGTCGAATACTCTCAAAAGCATGCGCTACGCACAGGAGATCCAAACATTCACACATCAACACCAATACACGATACCAGGACACGACACACACAACTACGCGATCATGGAAACTCGCTTGCAGAGTTCTATACTTTATAGCAGGCAAAAACCGACAGCCACTCTCGCATTCTAGCCGACATACATGCAAGGTTTCAAGCTCAAATCCGCAACATCGTACGCAGACAAATATGCCCTCACACGTTCCAACGGGTTGCGCATGCGGTTGCCAACATACAAAGGGTCGATCATACTTTGCTGTTTGCTCGCCAGCACATCATCTCCCGGCCGTTCTCCGTCGTCATCTGATGGCCATGCCTTGTACCGACTAAGCTCAGGTTGCTCCACAGCGGTTGGTCGCTCCTGCGGTGCACGTATGCCGTGGTCACCCATGCCACCACGAGCGGATTTAAACCATTGAATTGGTGGCTCGGGGTTACTCAGCTCCTTCCAGGTTCTGCAAAGCATTGGTCCATGCCCGCCAAATTCTTCTTTTCGGAGCGCAATCGATTCCTTGAATGCGCTCATACGAGGGTCGATGAGGACTTTGAAAAGTAGCGGGGATCGATCAGCTCGATATGCAATCCAGATTCTGGCGACTTCGGAGGCGACGTAGTAACTGGCATAGGTACGCCAGTACAAATTCCAGCCCCAGAGATTGTGGAGAGACCACGCTTCCAGAGTCCGCGTACTCGAAATACGGTGAAAGTGATGACCAATCCAGTCAGGATGCCCGTTGCGGTTCCAAGTGTGTTTATTCGAGATTGATTGGCGATCAGTCGACCTTTGTACTCAAGCAAGACATTGCGTTCTGTATCTGACAACTCACGCCCAATTGCTTTGCTTGCATCTGGGTCTAGCCGTCTCAGTGTATCGAGCTCGTAATCGGTGTAGTTGCACTCCCAGAGCCTCACTTTCCCACTATAAAAGAAGTACCTCGGCGCTCTTCTGACCATACCGAACCTGGACCATGACCAACCCATGGTCGTGGTGAGCAGTGGAAACCCCAAGAGATCAAAGACCTCGAAGATGACATCAGAGCTTTCTACGCTGCTGTTGCACTAAGGCTCGACCACTCAACAGTCAGCGACCACCCACACACCACGAGCTCTAGGTTGCATCACGAGCGAATACCAGGTCATCGACAATACCGCTCCCGGGTACACTTAATCCGACATCCCAGGCGTTGAACCCGGAGTTCGCACATTTATATTCTGACGCATTTCCGTGAGGCTGGCTCCATTTTTTCTCCTTTTTCTTGCGTTGGTGATCGTTTAAGGGTTATGTCAGGGGTCAACTTAGGGGTCAATTCAGGGGTGGGATACAGGGCAGTGATGCTTCCAGAAGTTGGAACAAGACACTCGAAGTACAAAAAGCTGATCGTGACAACAAGATTTTTCGATGATGTAAAATTGAAATGCAGGCAGACGAGTCGTATGGAAATCTCGTAGTTCGAGAGAATGCTTCTGAAGTTTTGTAGTATCTCATGTCGATGCTCGAATTGTCAAGAATTATGCTTCTCGAAAATCTTCGTATGGCGGATGTATCGATCACAAGTGCCATTTCAAGAGCAACGGCATTGGCAGTGAAGGCAAAGGAAAAGTGATTGATAAAAACATACTCCCGAGATATCTTTTGGCAGATGGGCGGACCGATTACGAAGAGCATGATCGTAAAATGGAGGAGATCCGGCACGTCTTAAAACGCATCAAGCTCTCTTTCTTGGAAAAATGGAAGAAAATGCGACCACCTCCCTTTCTTTCAGACCCGAAAAGCTGGAGAACACACCTTCAACGCCGTGGGCATGTCTAAGACTGATCTCAAAATCGTCTGTTGAAGGCCATATAATATTGTTGCGTACAGAATCACACGGTTGTGTGTCGTCGATGATCTTGCGATCAGATAAGTTCCAATCAGCCAAGTCTGGCACTCACCACCAAGTATTTTCATTTAGCCCAGATACGACCATCACACAATAAGACAAGCTGATCACTCGGGAGTAGGACCTGAAAGATATTCGTCAACCGCGACAGGCGGCTTTCTGGTCTGGTATCGCAATAGGGGTATATCAAAAGATTGTCAGCATTACCAACGCCGTACATGCATTCTTTTCGCTGGATCGTCAAAGGCATCAACTCATCGAGACCGTGCTGTCGGAGACGTTTACCAAAATCGCCAGATAATGAAGAACAGGATGATCGCACCAAGAGCGGCAAAGGGGCCGTANCTACAGTATCCGGTCAGCGAAGAGCAACATGGCTCATGGTGCTGAGAACGTACCTGCTTCAAGAGCAATTCCCAGTTGATTCTCACTGCGGCACGCTTGTACTTNTTGCTAGATTCTCTCAAGTCGGAACTCATCTGGCCCATTCTGTCCAAGCTGTCACCACGGTAGAGCAGATCCTCCAGGTTCTTGGACATGATCTGAGTCGTCTCTTTCAGCTGAGCTTGCACCTTGTCCAGATTGTTCGAAGCCCTAGGGTTCTCGTATGACTTTTTCGTGCGTTGCATGAAGGTATCGAAGTCGTTGAAAGCATACGGGCGCAATGCTGGCGAACGGTATTCGGTGTCTCTGTGGGTGCTCAAGAATTCTGCTGAGACGTCGTCAAGGTACATGGCGGCAAGTTCCTTGGGGAAAGAACGTTCGGTGATGGCGAAGAAGATGAGGTCCTCGTGACGGTAGTANGCTGTGACACCTCAGTCAGATATTGGAGCAAATGGATGATCCCGGTCTGCGTACTGAAGCTTGTATTCGCCAGACTCAATAGCAGCTCGTGGTTCGGAAGTGTTGTTCATCTTGCGGACGAGCGTTCGCTGTTGGTTCTTCAGGTTGGAGATGGTGTCATCGTGCNNTGCAGGCCATGAGTATTCCTTCGTTGCTACAACTTGACTTGCACTCACTGGAGAGTTCTCGATTGATGCAGCGAGCATCAAGCCGTCCAGGCGGACGATCTGCGTCGAGTAGATGGGCATTGTGGAGTTTCTTCTTCTGGATGCTGGAATCAGCTTGTCTGATGAAGTGCTTGAGATCTTGTCACGATCTGATATCGATATGGTCGTGTCTTCGACTCGTGCTCTGATTGTGCAAGATTGCGAGACAAGATACCAGTTGCGCCTGGCTGACAACTGTTGACTAGCAACTTTGCGCAAGGCAGTCGCACACCGATGGCGTCATACCAACTTTCGCAGGACAAGGAAGGTGCACTTACATTATGGATTGATTCTACTGAGATTACAGTGTCCTGCTTACAAAATCCCTTGCAAGATAGAAGGTACAAGTGTTATGGTCGGAGATGTTATTAGTTAGCTCAGGACAAAGATCCAGCTTGCTAGTTCAAACATCCTCCGTACTGGCAAGGGGTCAAGAAAGTCCGACTCCCGAAGGCGGTGAGCATCTGCCAGGAAGCACATGTAAACGCAAAACATGGCTCTTTAGCATTACCTGTCTTGCAACCCATCCAACTCAACATTGGCCGGTTCATGGCACAGAGCATTGGTGTGAAATATCAGCTAACTACTCAAAGCAAGATACAATGTAATACGACGAGCCACTTAGGGTTTGAAAGGCCTCACAGTGGAAGCCATTGAGCCTATCTGATAACAGTGATATATCTACATTGCACAGGCGGCATTGCATAGCCTTCGAAATGCACAAAGTCCTTTGAACAGTTTGGATGACCACTGAGAGCCTTGATTTCTGTGTCTCTCAGCGGTCACTTGTAGTTCTGGCTCAATCTTCTGTCTCTCGATGGTAGACCAAGATGGCTGCTGCCGATACTGGGAGAGAACACCACTTGCTCGGACGAGATCTTCTCGTATAGTATTGTAGGTAAGTTTAGACATATCTGTCACTTCTTAACATATCACAAGGCAGTCACGACTGCTCTATCGAACGCGCACGGACCCTCATGTTCCTTCCTCATCATATTGCACGCTCAAACACTCTTTCCACCTTCAACTCACCATTATCATTTCACATCAAATCACTTCATGTTCTCTCAGCGTCACTCACACACGCTCACATCAAAGCAAAATCGATATATCACATCAGAAAATTCGTGCTATCGCTTTCGTTCTCGAAGCCATTACTTCCATCAACCACTTCCCTCTCCAGATTGAAGAAAAGAGCAAGACCGCGTCAAAAATCTTATTGCCATCAAACTTCTCTACAATACAAATTCGAAATCATGTCAGACCGTCTCATCACCCAAGCCAACTCAAGACTTACCAAGGCCAACCTTGTCNGTAAGCAGACCATCTACATGCGATAGATAGAAAACTGACTTGTGTTACAGATTCTGCTCACCAGGGAGGAGGCCTGGTCCTCGCTGGACTTAGACACAAGACGCGAGCTATATCGAATGCTCCCGGTGCCCCTGAACGGCAACAACTCCGATCCCGATCCTGACGCACACCCGCTGAAGACGAGCTTCGCGAAGTACATCAAGCACTTCATTTACGAGTGGGAGCAGGACCTTGCTGCTGGCCGCAACACCGCAAAGTGGCAGAGAGAGGCCAAGCAAGCCACCGGAGAGCGAATTTCAGGGGCATATGATGGCTGGAAGGAGAAGGAACGTGAGGAGCACTGGGGTCAGAAGTACGACCCAGACCATTTCAAGGGGGTCTAGACATTGAGACGACACTACTGTACAATGATTTAACGACACTAACGATCACGAAGGAGAAGGAGATTGCTCTGCATGACTATATCATATGAAAACCACTCTCCATCTCCCAATGTTCCGACTTGCCGAATGCTCCTGTAAAAATGCATAAACTAATGCTAGATAGTGCTTTGGCCATTGGAACAAGTCATTTCTCAAGTCTCTCAATGGTCAATAGTACTTGGCGAAACCCTTTTTGACTTTTTATAGCTATATAAATGCCAAAACTGAGAGTTGGAAGTAACTTCAGATGTCGAGGCGAGATGCGTGGTTGTTGGGAACGAATCGCCGTGTTTGGAACGCTCAGCGAACGTACCGAAGTAGCTACCAAAATCAAGCCTAGATTTCGGGTGCACATTTGCTCGACAATCAAAAGAAATTAATCTCTACTCGAGCTCTCACATATTCAGACCGCTCGATATTAGATACCATACAATATCTTGCCAGTTCTGGCTCAGAACTGGACCTCAAGCAATAATCTGGTATCATAAAAAAACTCTTCAATATGGCACCAACAACATTACAACACCGTCGCACGCACAACTTGCTCTTGATCTCTAAACTACTATCACAACGCGAAAATGTATCGCCGTTCACCTTGATCGTGGATAACTTGGAACAATCTGGAAAGCCTGTGCTCAGAGAACACATCCGACGAGCCACAGTAAGCCTCCACCGAGTATTTTCTTCTCATCGGATCTCAAGACTGATGAATTTGGCAGNNACAGCGAAGACTGAAGTCGTTTTTGTTTCATTCGAGACCTTGAATAAACCGAAGGATGTTGGCGTCTTTGTCAAGGCGTGGGAGAATGGTGTGCAGCAGGTTCAGAAAGAAGTCAGTGCATTGATTGCGAAGGCAACTCAGACACAACAGCGTAAGTTCTTGGAGATCATACTGGCGATAAACAGCTACTCATGGTGTTCGGACAGGCNNAAGTTACTGATCATCGATAACCTGAACACATTGGCCTCGGATCCATCGACGGCAGCAAATCTCCCAGCACTTCTATCTTCCTTTCTCTCACCTACAGTATCACTGGTTGCGGTCTACCATGCTGATATCCCTATTCCGCCGAGCATATCCTCAGCTTCACCCTACACGCCCCAACCATTGACAGTCCTCAAGTATTTGGCTACTACCATCCTAAATACTCACGCACTCAATCACATCCTCGCCGCAAAAGCAGCTCGCGAACGCAGTGTCGCCGAACCTGTCTTCGGTCTCGCCGAAGAAACTGAAGGTGTACTTCTCGGTCTCGGTGGCAATTCGCCATCTGGATTGGTGCTTGAGATGGAGTACCGCCGCAAGTCCGGACGCGGTGTGCGAGAGTGGTACTTCCTACCTCACCCTGCATTGCAGAAGCAGGAAGCTGTTGGAGTCAAAAACAGATTCAGCGAGACGGTCATGTTGTTGGAAGATCATGTACTATATCGTAGACCTGCTGAGGAAAAGGAGCAGGCTGGAGATGATATGGATGTTACGTTCGAATTGGGTCTCACGGATAGGCAGAGGCAGGCTAGAGAGGGTGTTGTGTTGCCATACTTCGATGCGCAGAAAGGCGGTGGCGAGGGTGGCAGGATTTTGTATGACATGGGCGAGGAAGATGACTTCGACGAGGAAGAAGATGAGATCTAGGATTTTTTGATATTAATCAAGATCTTAGTTCAATGAAACCGTCGGTTGGAGCTGTTGTAAATGACATGTTCGGGAGTGACCCTGTCCTTTGTGCTCTCGACTTCGAAAGCTCTTGTGACATCAACCTTGACTCTCTGCAACTCAAAGCACTTTGCGCAACAATCACTCTACCACCATCTCAGCAGTCCCAAACAGTCGCTCCGCCTATCAGACACTCTCGCCTATAATCCTTTCGCTCTTGTCGCATCACACACACCATGGCGCCTCGCGACCAAAGTCCTCGCGCAAGTGACCATCGCCGTCCATACTCAGACCGTCGCGACCACAACACAAGAGACACACGCGAACAACGACCACGCCGCGACCGCAGCAACTCTCGCGATCGCGCCCCTCACTCTGCTCGTGGCGGTGGCCGTGGCGGCAACATAAACCACAGAACCTCCGACCGCGACCACAGACAAGCCCGCTCTCGCTCTCCTAACCGCTCCTCACACACTAGCCACAACAACTCTGCGCGCCAACGCTCTCCTCCCCGTGCACCGCGCGGCGCACCCAACGCCCGCGATCACCGCAAGCCGAATGTCAAGGCTGAGGAAGCGCCTGCGCCGATAGATCCTGATGAGGATGAGGAGACGGCCATGAAGAGACTGATGGGCTTTGTTGGTTTCAGAAGCACCAAGAACACAAAAGTGCCAGGCAACGACAAGTTGTACGGTGTGAGGAAAGACAAGAAGACCGAATACAGACAGTACATGAATCGTGTTGGTGGATTCAACAGACCGCTCAGTCCCACGAGGATGTGAGCGCTTTTCATGGTATGGAAAGAAAAGAGAATTGCGATTTCAGCGATGGCGTTACTGGGGAAGTATTTTTGGTTGCATCAAGGTCAAGGGCCGACTTGGTTAAGGAATGGTATCGAGGATGGCTACGGGAGGAACAAGGTTGTTAATATCGAAGATGCAGTCTTTACTGTCAAACGAAATCGACAAATTCATTCTCGGATTACTGGCTACTTTTGCAACTTAGGTCCTCTCTGCAAGATATATACAACGCTACCCGAGAAAAAACAAGAAATACCATGGACCATAGCTACCAGGAAAGAGGCACGCCACCAGGAGAACACAAGGAAAGAGCTGGTCCAATACGAGAGGCGCTTGTTCAAAGCCCGAAGTTCAATGACGATCTCCAACAGCATGAGCAATGCTCCTCTTCAATCTCAATGTAGGATCTTGCAGCGCTGGTCGAACGAACGAGTAAATGCCAAAGCTGAGCGAGAAACCCATGACCACGACTATGGTCAGTCAGTAACAGTTCTGATGTATTATTCTGTCAAGAAGATCTAGCCAAGAAGACTTACACAATGGATAAGTTTCTATGGGTAGAGATTTGATCCAATATCTCACTCGCTGAGTTGCTGTGTGAGCGGCTTGTTCTTCTCTAGCTGCGGCTTGGAGAAGTCTAGGTGTGGAGTGTATGCATCTTCTCGATGCCGTTGCTCTCGCTGCTCGTGTGGCTTGGAAGAGTGTGTGTTGTGCGAGCATGTCGTCGAATTGGGTTGAACAGAATGGTTGGAACGAAGCGGAGTGAATCTGAGCAACGCTCTAAACCAAGAATCAAAGAATATGTAAGAGTGTAAAATTGAGTTGTTGGTGATGAGTGGAGTTTCGAGGTGTGATAATGATGCTGAACGAGCAAACTGGCATGGTACATTCAAACGAGAACCTATATACTCCTTCGATAAATCACATATTGCTCATCCTTTGACCAAACTATCCTATTCTGGTATACGACATAGGGTTCCCAAGACCACGAGGCCTTCAGTGTTTGCTCATCACGCCGTCGTAGGATCCGCCTTTGCCGTTCCATGCCGATGTCTTGTGGTCCCTATACCACACCCGATCAACCGAAAACTTGGCACTGGCAGCAGCAACCAGATTGACGAACCACCGTTCGCATGACCTAACACCTGTCATGAGACAACCGCGCGGTAAAGTCGGTGTTGATGCAAAATGGTGATCTGAGGTGAGCGGTGTTGCAAACAGCACGAGATGTCACACCACGGGCTTCTTCCGTCGCGTGCCGGCAGCTGGGTTCGGGAGCGACCAATTTCGTATCCAGTCATTCCAACACAAAGAGCTCTCTATTTCTCTGTGCTAACATCTTCACCTCGATAATCTGGGCCCGCGCAACTGCAGAAACGGAATGAAGGTATGTTTGTGAGGACGAGGTTGACGCGAGAATTTTAGGCAACCATAACGCTCACAGCGCGTCTTCGAAGAAAAGAAGAAGAAGAAAAGGTCATAACATTTCGTATCGCAATACTGACATACATAATCGGCTCTCTGACACCGCTCAACGCTGCTGGTACCCACTGACATCTTCAGTCGCTGCAAATAAAGATCCGTACTATCCTACACCACCTTTCTACATGGCCTTCGTCTTGATCAGATGCTGGTATTGTGAGGTAGTCCACTTTCGCATCTTCTTTCCGAACATGATGAAGAAGAGTGCGAATATGGTGGCGGCAAAGCTCAAACAGCCGATTACCACGAAAGCATTCTGCAGTCCCATGCCTTGGATCCATGACTGGATGCCGAAAGAGACGCCGAAACCGATGATGTTTCTGATGAGGATGATAGTGGTCACGACCTGCGTGTCAATCTCTTTGTACGAGTCGAGGATGTAACTTATGGTTACCGTGCCGCCGACACTGAGACCGAAACCGACGAGGCCCATGCCAAAGACTGGCGCAATCCAGTGCAGGCCGTGAGCAGCGGTAGCGCCGTATATGATCAATCCTCCTGGCATGATGAACGCGCTGGGAATGAAAGCCCACAAGCGGTACTCTGGCTCTCTCCAACCTCTGTTGCGGTTGCTGAGGTATACTGTAAGCCGATCGTTCAGCGGACCCGAAAAGTACGCGCCGATAAGAGAGCCGATAAGTGGTGCGAACCAGACCAGGCCTATGGCACTGTTTGAGAACAGGTAAGGGGGCGGCGCGAAGATCAAGGCGACGGTTGTGCCCATGACTGCTAGCCAGCTGACACAAGTACCGTAGTTGATGCCACANCTGATAGAGATTAGTGACATTCTTATAAGCATCGACGAGAGACTTACCCAGACGACTGCTGGAAGACCGAGACACTTCAGTGGCATCCACCACTCCGTGAAAACCGCAGTCCAAGTAGTGGGATATGTCTTCCATAGACTGTACTGGATCTTGAATCCTTCCGCATCGAAGACTTCCCCAACAATGGCTTCAGAGTGTTGGTGTGTGCTCTGGCTGTCCGGCTCTTTGTACATGGACTGGTTTGTCAACTTCTTGTCAAGCTCGGGCATGTCGGCAGTGCTGATCAGAGCTTCGTCGTGCGAGTCCAAAGGTCGGATGAAGTGTGTTTCTTCGAACGTGAAGAAGAATAGCACGAGCAAGACGCCCAAAAACAAAACGCCCCACCAGTACATCCATCTAACACTCTGACCAGTGACCATGTAGCCACCGCAAACTGGACCGACAAAGCTTCCGAAAGCCAGGCCAAAGACGTAGGCTCCGAGCTTGCCGCCGCGTTCGTGGGCAAAGTAAATGTCCGAGATGGAAATGGCTGGCAGTGCCTCAAAAGGTGAAGACCCCAGGCCTCGTACNTGATGAAGGTCAGTCTCATCCTTTGAGACACTGACGAGGGACTTACGTATGTTCACGCCCCAATATTCGCCGTACTCTTTCGAGACAGCCATCCAGATCTCGGACACCAAGACTAGAACGAGTGTCCAGACATATACAGATCGTCGACCAAACNNTCTTTTTGGAAGTCAGCGATGAGCTCTTGCCCAGTGGTATGGTATACACATACTGTTAGACATCGGAACTAGGAAGACGTTTCCGACTCCAAGCAGCAACAACATCACTGCTCCAGCATAGTTCAGACTGTTGATGTCGGTGCGATAGATCTGTACCAGATTGAGATACACGACAGAATCACAGTTGGTAACGGCTCCAAGAGTCGCGCTGTAGAATCTGACAACGTGTTAGTCGACTTGGTAGCAGCCCAGATCAACCGAGGCTACTCACACCAGGAGGAAGAGGTGATAAGCCTTTCGCCACTTCGACCAACGAAGAGGGTCTCGAGGGTCACTCGATGGTGTGGGCATCAAGATGATGTCTTTCGAGGAGAAGCCGTCTTGGTGTGCACCTTGCACCAGATAGACAGTGCCAGGGACGACATCATAGTCTGGGATGTCTTGTCGAACAGAGTCCATGGCAAGAAAGGAGGTTGAATTCTGGAAGCGTAGAACAGTAAGGTATAGGTATGAAGCTCAGACAGATCGATGATTCGTGACGACGATCCAGTGGCCTTTATGTACAGCCCAGGTTGTGACTTCAGCGATTGATGGAGTGTATCAAGCCTAAGGTCAACGGCACTTATCAAAGAGAATGATGGTTCCTGGACGCATGTCCTTCGTTGCAGCTGATCGACTCTGCATCCTATCAAGGTGTGGGAGTATCGCAAAGATGGATATGGTGGCTTGTCGGATCTGAGGCCGAGCCTGATAACAGTCTCAATGCCTAATCGAGATATACCGCTTTGTGGATCCAACTATGGAGGACTGCTCGGAGGGTTAAATCCTCAGTTTTTGTGGGAGAGCCTCTGATCGTTGTCACCAGTCGCTCCGGCTAGCCCTTCTCCTTAGCGACCACCGCTCATTAGCGTGCCTGTATCTGGCACCCCACATTTGACCACCACGCGTGGCACAACCCTCTCTGATAAACCTTCGTCCTCGAAGGCTGATCGACACGAGGGCGGAGGTTCTGATATCAAACAAGACCGCCTTTTAGCCCCGTTGTAGGACCGCGTTTTGGTCTTGGTCACACGATAAGTTAACCCCTCACTCGAGAGATACATGAACGTCCGGGGTCCAAACGATCAATTGCCGCAGGTCTTGAGCAAAATCGCCGTCAACTCATAATGCTTACAGTCGTGTCCGAACCCCTCCTGGTCTCAATATAAGGCTAGGCTTCGCCTTACCTCGCTTTCTGCGAACACTCCTTTGTATCACTCTCATTGTACCATACATACTTGTGGACTACAACATGGCAGGGGACAAGACCTATATCGACATCTCTCGGGCCAAGTGTGAGCAGAGAGATCGACTCATCAGAGACGAATGGAAGACCTCGAAGAAGCTAGCGGTTGGAAACAATGTCCTCGAGGTGCCAAAAACATGTGGCATTCTCACGGACCCAGAGGTTACAATCACCGAGGGAAATGACGCTGTCGACATTGTCGAAAAGATACGTCAGCAAGAGTACACCGCAGAGGAAGTTGCTGTAGCCTTTTGTAAGCGTGCTGCAATTGCACAACAACTGGTGAGTCTTCTTCAGCCTTATTAAGATTTCTAGCTGATCATCTTCTAGACAAACTGCCTCACAGAGATCTTCTTCGAGGAAGCTATCGAGAGAGCGCGCCAGCTTGACCAAGAGCGCGCCGCCAACCCTTCGGCACCATGGAAACCTCTACATGGACTTCCCATCTCGCTCAAAGACTCCTTCAACGTTCCGGGTTTTGACTCGACGATCGGCATGACATACTTCGCAAACAAGCCAGCCACAGGATATTCGGCTCTGCCCAAGCTGCTATTGGATCTTGGAGCTGTGCTCTACTGCAAAACCAACGTCCCACAGACTATGATGACAGCAGACTCCGACAACAATGTCTTTGGTCGAACACTCAATCCTTCCAACTTGAAGTTGACCGCAGGCGGCTCTTCAGGAGGTGAGGGCTCTCTCATCGCAATGCGAGGCAGTGTGCTGGGAATCGGTACCGACATTGCAGGCAGTATTCGAATTCCCTCGATCTGCAATGGCATTTACGGTGCCCGTCCGAGCTCTGGCATCGTTCCCTTCGATGGCCAGCAGTCGCCAGAAGACCCGGGTATGGTTGGTATCGAGGTTGTGGCAGGTCCTATGGCAACATCGTCGAGGGCTTGCTCATTCTTTATGAAAACAATCATGAGCGCTCAGGCATGGCGCTACGACTCGTCATGTCTGCATCTCCGTTGGCAGGGCCATCAGAGCAGTCGTACGCCCCGCATTGGCCTTGTCCTCGACGACGGAGTCTACACACCTTTCCCTCCCGTACGCCGTGCTATCAGAGAGGCAGCACAGAAGCTACGAGATGCAGGTATTGATGTAGTAGATATTAGACTGCCTCATGTCGCCGATGCTGTTGGTATAACTTACGGCATGTTTGCCCTCGATGGGTGTCAGGTAAGCAATACCAGCTTCTCTAAAACGTTTGTCTAATGTGTCGCTCTTTACNAGTTCGTTCAAGATCTCATCAAGGAGGGAAATGAGCCTCAAGTCGAGTCTGTGAAGAGAGTCAACCTCGCGGCTATTCCCAAGAGCAGTATGCAAGGCTACATGGACTTGACTGCTGGGAGACGTAAGCTACAGGCTGCCTATCACGAGTTCTGGTTCGAGAACGAATTAGATGCTATCATGCTGCCTGGAGCCCCGCAGACAGCGACACGCTTCGACGAATGGGGCCCCATAAATTACACGATGCTCTGGAACTTCCTAGATTATCCAGCAACTATCATCCCCACTGGTAGAGTCCGCGAATCCGATGTCGTCGATGGTGAAGACTCGGCCTTGTACGGGGAACAAGATAAGAAACACTACAACTTATNNGTGAGTGGTCAAGCGTACTTCATTCGAAGCCTACCACTAACGATTCTTCTTCCAGATGATTCTCCCGAAACATACAAAGACGCACCGCTGTCTGTGCAAGTTGTCGGGATGAGACAAGAAGATGAAGCATTGGCAGAAGTTGTTGGTCTTGTGGACCACATTCTCAACTCGTCATGAAGTATCAAGCTCTTTCCTTTTCCACTCTTTTATGCTACAGCTTTTCTTGCCTCTTTTCAGAAACAAGGAAACTTTTCTCGCCAACCGTCATTTGATTTGCTCTTCTTGAGATGTCTTGAATGGGTGACGATTGTGCCTTTCTACATCTACGTGTAAGCCAGACTGATACGCACAGGAAGGAGAGGTTCTCATTCACATAAAGTTCGTCAGCTCATAAGCATCTATCAAGATCTTGCTCTCGTCCATCGCCAACACCCCAATTCCGAAGACACTGTTCATCCAGTCGTATGGTTCAGAAGCCTCGAACTGCAATCGGGTAAACCATTCCACTTCATCTTGGGTCATGCGAGTACGCGTTTCAGGGTCGATATTCACACCGGGGCCAGGCTTAAAAATCCCCTTTGAGCGAATATAGATGTAGTGTCCATCGTCGGTCTTCAGTGTATATCGCGCGTCCAGACGCATCAGCTGCATCATGATTTGAGTAAGAGACAAGAGGTCATAGTTGCCATAACTTACGCCTGTTCCTCCAATAGCGAGACCCCAATCTGCTCCGCTCATCTGCTCTATGATTGCCGAGATTTGAGGTCCCTTCACCGTGCCACCAACGATGGGCATGATGACTCTTGCATTGCTTGTGCCAGACTGAGCTCCCACGACGTGATTACTTCTGGCCATCTCGCATTCGAGGCGGTATATAAACTTCAAGGACGGCGTTCGCATTTCGATTGAACTGTCTGAGTAGGCGCTGCCAGGGGAAGCCGCCGGTATTTTGGGTGTGGACATTTGGAGAAAGTGGAGGAATGCAGTGTTTTGAATCTGGAGGGGACATACGTTAGGTTTATATATCTGTCTAGAGCAGGGGACCACTGCCCGATGATTCGTCACGGGTATACCTTCTGAATCTGGGTAACCGAGGTGGTCCTTCGGTAGAATTCAATTGGTCAGGGTCCTTCCCACAACAAGTCAGTCCATCTTTAGGGCAAGATCGATCTTCGAGCTCCTCTTTCCTATGTTGTGCACATCCTTTCGAATTCTTTTTACAAGAGAACAACATGACAAGATAGTGATTACTTGCTTGATGGGTCTTTTCTGCCTCGAACATTACCATTTGTGCGCCCCGCGCTTATCTTGTTCAACTGGAACACTGACCGGACAAGGCCGATAACGCTCTTACCCTTTGAGTCTTCATTTTGACATACCGCATCATCTAAAATTTATGTTTACCAACTTCTCAAACACAAGCCAAGGCCTCGTGGAGTCAAAATCCCGGCCAAGGTCGAGTGGATTGAACATCAGTTGTCTACCGTGTAAGTCTCACGTACGACGCTCTATGCCATCATATCATTGACGCGTGGCGGTTTCAAGGCNNCGACGGAAGAAGAAGAAATGTGATTTGACAAAACCGACATGCGAAAGGTGTCGAAACAGTTACGGCCAGGATCAGTGCGTATGGTCAGATGGGCAGAGACGGCCGCGAGTTCGGAGAGAGATAAAGGCAAGTCAGGAACTCGAAACACAACCTTCACCAAGTTCACCAGCCAGTTCTACAAATGACTCCTGGACCTTATCTAGACCGGAAACGACAGCAGAGCCAATTGAAACTCCGGGCACGAACTATCTGATGGATCTTGGATTCGAAAACTTCTGCTCCTGGCACATACCAGATGTCGTGGCCAACATATCTCCGTAGGGACAAATTATAGCTTCTTGAGGAGCAAGCAAACACTGACGATTCGTAGTGNACTTGTCACCTCAAGCATTTTTGAACATATCTGCAGCCTTCCAAAACCAGATCCTCTGTCTTGACAGCGACTTCAAGGATTCAATCGTTGTACACAGTCTCCCTTTAGCCCTTGAGCATCCAACTCTCCTACACGCTTGGGTTGCGTGCAGCATCATAGCACTTTCACGTTCAATGCCATACTGGCATGAGAAGGCCATCAGACACTATGACAGCGCTGTCAGCGGGCTCAGTCAAGCTCTGCAAGATGAGTCACAAACCAACGACAAGTGGAAAAGAGAAACAGTTTTGCTATTGCATCTTTTTGAAGTGAGTTTCTCATGGAGATCAAAGATCAGTCGCTGACTATTGGTATAGGGCTTCCAATCTAAGGATGAAGAGTCTGCACTTGGAAAGGCTCATTTACGTGGAGCGCACGAGCTGTTCATCCCGACTGTCAATGACCAGTCCCCCATGGGCTACCACGACGTGCTGGTGCTGGAAGCTTACATCATGCATACTGCCAACAATCACCTCTTCCAACCGGATTCACAACTACCGATCACACATATCACCGAGGCACTGGGAACACTCACATCGGCTCTAAATCAGCTGAAGATGGATTGCAATTGGCGTAGCAGCCCTTGGATCGGAATCGGCGGCCCGGAGCTAGCAGATATGACCTACAGAGTTTCATGGCTCACCCATAAGCCATTCTTGGATGATACAGATCACCAAGAAGTGGAGGAGATCACTGCTCGCCTTTCATCGTGGACCGCTCCAGCCTGCCAGGAAGAATCGCTGTCGACACACCTTGACTTGCCACCAAAGCGCTTGGTCTTGCTTGCGCGGGCTTATTGGTGTGCATGTTCCTACCTCGCAACACATCTTGCACAAGAACAAAGCTGTGTCCTACCCTTCGGCGCTGACGCTTTCGTCACTGAGGTTCTACAACTTTTAGACCAGCTCATCGAGCACGAACACACGATCAACAATCACTTATGGCCGTTGGTTGTCATCGGCACAGCGGCAACAGATCCAGCAACACGAGAGCATATCAGATCGCTTCTGCCGCAATTTCATCAAGGCCTGGGTCCAGCGTCTCTGAGAAGAGCCGAAAGATTTTTGGCAGTCGCTTGGAAGACTGACTCACAAGGCATGATGTATGGCAGAAAAATCTTCAAGAACAGAGAAGCATTGTATCAGATGTTCTTCTGATGATACATGTCATGCTGATGAGAAGACGTCAAGCATGCGACGATTCATACATGATGCTTCAAGGAAAACAGCAAAAACCGGGGCCAGGCTCTATGCGAGCGATTGAGGTCATTGAGTCAAAGACCTCAGAAAAAGTCGGCTTGTGACCGACGAATGTCCTTCCCTTCTATGGCGAAGGATTTGCGAAGACAAAGCTTCACACGTGTATTTTGAGTCAGCCTTGGACATTGAGTCACTCTCGAGATATCGTCTCGTTATTCAAACCCTTTCTAGCTTGCAAGCCTTGATAACGAAGGTTTGCTTGAACATACCTTTCGTCGACCCAGACCCCGTCCAAGAATATTCCGAGGTATCCCACACACCCAACATCCCACATCAAAATCATCGAATATGCCTGCCGAGCGATATGCCGGCTGGAGCGATTTTGGGAACCTTCCACTGGAACTGGTACGAGAGATCTCGACATATCTTCCTGCATGCAATGTTGCAGCGCTCAGCTTGACATGCAAAGATTTATACTACGACGAGGTGTTATCTCAGTCATGGACTCGAGAGTTCTCACAAGCTGCAGAGAAACCAAGATCTCGCTTTGGTTCGTCCATAGCTTATATCAGAAGTCGCGAAGTTTTGTCTCTTATGAACTTGCTGCAGAGAGATTTGCCTCATATGTCACTCTGTGAGTATTGTAAGAGATTGCATGCGCGACGCGAAGTACCATTCCGGATGGGCAGAAACGACTGTGAATGTTGGTCTCCTTGCTCGAAAGCTCTAGACTCGGGAACATGGCTGCACTTTGGCGATTGGAATCTTTACCTCTCTTATGAGTATTTGCACGACGTCATGCGATACCACTCAATGGGGCCAGCTTTCGGTATCTCTCCAGAGAAGATCTCTCGGAAAATACTCTGAAATACGCATTGGTATTCTATCAGATACCGCGCTCAGTGGATGAGGAAGATGTATCTGTGTCCCGCTATTGTCAGAAACCGTCTCATCATATATACGAGTCAACGTATCATGATCAGCCACCGGTACTTGCAGTCTCTCATGGAAGATGGTGAAGATTGTACACGTATTGTTGCAAGTTTGGCAAGTTGTACGCTCAAGATATGCCGGTGCTACACAGCACTTAAAGCAACGCCACTCTTTCACGGCATCAAACAACAGCTGAGTGTGCTCTTGCATAGGGAATGCCAGCCTAGTTCGTCCTCAGATCTCCAGCCGCAAATGTACAAGTGTCCTACCTGCTTCACAGAGTACTTCATCCGGCTCGTGAAGTACGATGCCAAAGGACTCTACGAAGTTATTCTGCATACTTGGACGAACGTGGGACCATGCTCTTCTCCTTATAATCTGACCTGGGTACTGGCCGCCTCGTCTTCTATACACAAAGACCCAGCGAGAAGAACCAGGCAGATGAGGCTAGATGACAAGTATCCAAGCGAATACATAGATTTGTGGTCATACTCGAGCGCTGTCGATAGGGACTCTCTACAAAGCTTGCTAGAACGAGATGGGGCAATCTTTGAACCCTCAACCACCTCGAGCAGTGATGTTTCCCTGACCGATCTCTTGAGCAACCAACAAGATATTCTAGAAATGCAGAGAGATGCCCTTACTATGGAGCAGGATGCTCTAGCAAGACAACAAGAAATTCTAGCAAGACAGCGAGACATTCTAGCATAGCAGCCGGACCAAGCAGGACAGCAAATGAAGGAGCTAGTTCATCTGGGCAGGAAGGACGACTGACATTCTGGCCAGCGATTTTCAAGGCTTGCAACGATCGAAAGTAACGCAGTGAGGTAGGGAAGAGAAGTCAAACTAGCCACATATAAGGGCATACACAGAATCATGGTGGCCGGAAAGAGAAGGAGCAGGAGTGCGAGGAAGACTAGGGTCACGTTGCAATCATCCTGGACTCTCCAAGTGCTATCTTGTCTCGAATACAAGAAGATGTGACCAACATCATGGTTATACACTTTGACTGCCGAAGCGGTGCTTGCTATTCCCATCCCAGTAGATTCACAACAAAGCTGTCAGACCGTACAAACAACAGTAAAGTGCCAAACCGAGTAACGAACCCCAGTCATCAATCTTACGCCCAAGTCTTTCCCAATCACGCAAGAGTTACTTTACGTAGTGTCTCAATCCTTGCATCAGACTGACCAGCCGCAATACCAAACTCATCTTCAGATATCCCTCACAACGTCAACACAGATTCCGAAAGCGAGTAAGAGATTACAATCTCCAACCGTCAGCCCAGCCTGTCCCTACATAGCTGTGATAACGTGAATCTACTTCGTTACTTTTCGTTAAGAACAATTAGTGATGACAGACCACATGGACACAAAGCCTTCTTGACACCAACCCAGCTCCGGATCATGGGTCGTGCAAGCTTGAGCCAAAGCCTCTATTCATTGTAAATATTGTACTGCCCAGTGACTCTCTCCCCGTCAGGTGTCTGGAACGAGCAAATGCTACACTCACTATGTATAATTTGTTCATCGATTCCGCAGTGGAGTATCTAGCTAAAACTATAGTAAAGTCATCAGGATCAGCAAATCTGTCTTCTTACAACAGTTTCGTAAACGCCTGACACCGAGATGCTCTTTCCCTGTCCCTGTCCTCCAAGTCCAACAAACGCTTATGACAGCAAAAACAATCGTCAAAATAGAAAATATCAACCTTGCGAGGTCTGGGAAGGTCCGTCCACGCCCATATCTCCATTTTGAAACTTGTTCAAGTTTTTCAACATGAAACTGCGCTTAAAATAAGTGTTGGGATGCGTAATAGTGTCGAGTTCACTCTGCGGCCACAGCGAAGCATCCTTGACCTTCTTGATTTCGTTCTTGTGCTGGTACTCAAAGACTCGGTTGCAAGCAATGTGGTAACGCTGCTTGGCGTTATCCTCTTTGATGCTCTTGAGGACTTCACGGTCTGTGACTCCGGTGGACTGGAGGAGACCCATGAGGTTGTCTTGACTGAACCAGCGGTATGGACAGCCATGGCTTTGTCCACTGCTTGGAACGTCGGTGATGAGTTTTTGGCATGAGTAAGGAGTGTATCCTCTGCCACGTCTATTGGAGTCACCACCAACGTCACCGTACGCGTGACGGATGTTGTAGAGGTACTCTTTCTTGAACTTGTCGTCGGTCATGAGTTTGAAGCTCTTTCGCCAGAAGACGATGCACTCATTCATGTCGAGACCGATACCCTTGAGGAAGAGAGTGTATTGCAGACGTGCAAAATGCTTCAAGTGGCTGTTCTTGCGCAGTTCGCGGTGCAGACTTTGCATGCAGAGAGGGAAGTGAGAAGCCAGAGCGTCGATCATGTTGGCCGTGATGACAGTCGTGTCGGAGATGGAGGAAGCGTCGGCATTGTATTGGGAGTCAGGAGAGGCGAAGGACTTGGACAGATGAGTGAGGATGGGAGAAAGGCGGTTGTCTTCGTCCATGCGTGGCAGAGCGCGAGCAGCCAATTCAAGGCCAGCCTCGAGCTGTCTGCTGAACTCTCCAACAACCATACTCGTCTGCTCGCGCATGTGAACGAAAGCCTTGCCCATCTTGAGGAGGACTTTTCGTTGCTCGACAAGCTCGGGCACGTTCTCCCAGTCGACCTTGAACCATGATTCCTCCTCGTTTTTGTAGACTCCAGTGGCGCTCTTCAGCTCATCTAGCAAGCGAGCCTTTTCGTCGTCAGATACAGTCTCCCAGCTCATGTTGAGGCTTTGGATGAAATCCTTGCGTTCCCTTGCATCGTTCTGGTTGAGTCTGAGGCGGAAGAGTTGTGTTTCAAGTCTGGCGAAGCGCTTGCGAAGTTCGTCTGTTGCGGAAAAGGCTAGGCGGAGAGTCCAGTGTGAATAGTGATCGCGTTTACGTTGGATTTCGTGCTCGGTGGATCTTGAAGAATTCTGATCTAGGCGTAGGTACTTGTCTAGGATAGGCTTCATGTATGTTGATGTTTCTTCGGCACTGCGGTTGCGGAACTGGCATGATTCGAGCTCGGCGAGGACTNNGTTGTGTGTGTCAGCGAATGAGGATGTAGCAGTGGGTAGGGAGTAATGACCCTTCAGCCTGGCGATGCCCCACTCCTCAAACTGCTCGAGGGCAATGTCACCGGTCGGAGGGAGATTGTAGAAGTTCATGGCGTGCTCGTAAGTCTGCTCCTGCCATTGTGACTTTGCGAATTGCCTCTTGCGAGGATCGAGCACCGCCCTTCGCTTGTTGTCGAGTCGGGCAACAGGTCTGGCTGCCAACATTGTGAATGTCTGTGTGATTTGAGTATACCGTGGATGCCAAAAAGATGGTCGCTCTCGATGAGACGCGACTGCTTCGCATGTACCGCGACGCGCTGTGCCAAGAATTCAATCAATCGAGAAGGCGCGTCATGCACTTGTTGCATTACTTCGCATAATTTAATGCTCGACCTCTATACATTCTATCATCTATCATCCGTCTATCCTAGCAAATCACCAAGCTTGTTGACATACGCTGATGGAACCACGGGAGCGTCCTCGGCCAAAAACTCCTCCTTCTTGCTGACACCAGTCAAGACGGCCAATGTGCCTCCAAGCTTGCCTTCAATGCCAAACTGGATGTCTGTGTTGAGACGGTCTCCAATCATGCACACACGACTGCGGTCGAATTTGAACTTGCCCTCGACTGCATCCATCATGGCCTGACTGGGCTTGCCCAACGCCAAAGGCTCCTTGCCCCACGCCTTGACCAAAGGAGCACCAACCGATCCAGCACCAGGGAAGAGACTGTGTGAGTTGGGCAGAGTCGAGTCGGTGTTGGTTGCCAGGAAGACGGCTCCTCTGCGGAGGTAGTGGTATGCCATGCTCAACTTCAGGTAGTTGACGTTGAAGTCAAGACCAGCAAGCACAACACCGACATCAGGATCGAGAGCACTGCCGTTGGCAATGTTGGTGAAGTCCTCTGGCTTCATCTCGCGGCGAAGGTTGGGGTCCGTACCTCCGCAGAATGGCACATTCTCAGATGCCAGCTCGNNAGCTTCAATGCCCGACTCACCAAGCACAAAGACCTTGTTCTTGGGGGCGTCGAGCTTGAGGATGCGGGCTATGTAGATGGCTGCACTGTAGGCAGAGCCAAAGACCTCCTCCACTTTGCAAGGGATGCCCATGCTGTCGAATTTCTTCTTGTAGTCTGCACGCGACTTTGTGCTGTTGTTGGTCACGAAGACCAGTTGCTTTCCNTGTACCTCTTGTTCAGCATGGCTGCCTTTGGCTCTGATCATGATTTTATACCGACCTTTGCTTCTGAGCATCTCGATGGTCTCCTTGGTGCCTTCGAAGAGATGATCGCCCGACCACAGGACGCCTATCCTTCTCGTATCGTCAGTCTCGATGGTTCCTATGATCGTGTTTCTTCGCGAGCCGTCATATCGTATTGATGGATGATCGAGGTTTAGGACAATTGCGTACCATCGCAGTCAAACAAGAAGACCTGCAACCAGTCAGTATACCTTCATCAATGGACAAGCTTTTAAACGTACATCGAACTTGTTGAGGAACTCCTCAATGCCGGCCTTGTCGCCAGTCAAGAATTTAGGAGCCATGATAGTCGTGTGTATGTGACAAGATCAGATCAACAATCGTTGAAAGCGGCTGCCCCTCCAAGCATCATCATCGCCGGCTTCCAACTCCGCTCTCCGAACCCGGCCCGCGTTTCGGCTGCCGACAGCTCCCGGACAAATTGTCCATCTTTCTCACTGCACTTGCCTCCTCAGCTCTGGTCATCAAGTTTATTGTCGTGATGTGCAAGAAAGATAGCTCTTTCTGGCAGACCTCTCTGCTCCAGAATTATATGCCAAAAGCTGAAACCTTGTATCTCTCTGCAGTTAATCCTTCATCTGACAAACCTTGCTTCCTCTTGCAGTCCAGTATCATGGCATTCTCAACATCGGTAAAACTAGAATTGCATCTTGCCTCAGCCTAGTCATACCAGTAGGTGTAAGCGTGGCTTCCAATCAGATCTCAAGTACAATTACTCAGGCTTGTTTTTACGAGTTGACAAAATCAAGCATTTGCTACCACCTCCTCATTCTTAATTTAACTATCTAGTACCACATTCAGAAAGAAGGAATAGCAGGCTTTGCCCTCACTTTGCTGGTGTTCTACCTGTCATGAGAATGTCCACGGTGCCATAAAAGACGTAGGCTTCAGTAGCTTGTTACCTTCACTACCATTACAAAAACTGACAAACTCCCTATCTACCCACACCACCACGATCTCTCTCGCACCAGTCACAATCCCATCACAAAAAGTCCAACATGGTCGTAATCAAGGCGATTGGACATAGAAACACTGCCGAGCTAGCCCAACATCTCAACGGCAAAAGACCGCATCCACCACGAAACTTCGTTCCCGAACTGATCGAAGGAGCCCAAGTCAAGCCATGCACCGGCTGGATGAACTTCACAAAGCCACCTACAAACGGCTGGTGGGCAGACAGACAAATCTGCCAATGCCCACCCTGCTACTTCTACAACCTTACCGATCAGATCAACAGCGGTATCTTGCCCTTTTCTGTTGCTGTTCCACTGGCTCAACTCATCAATGTCGGATTGATCAGACTCAACTTCCACCATGCTGAACACAATGATGTGTTTACTGCTGAGGACAGAGATTATGCTCTGTCTCTACACCGCGATATCTGCTATGGCATCAACTCGGGCCAGCTGCCCCTTCAGCTGCTCGAGATTCTGTTGGTTGCTTCTCGCAAAGCTGTGCTCAAGCCATTGGATCCTCAAGACCTAGAGTACCACCACAAAGAGTTTGAGATGTGTCTCAAGCGCGCCATTAGAAGATGCAGAGAAGATAGCAGTAATGGCCATAGCTATGCAGACGACGAAGAGCAAACTCAGGAGGGTGCTCATCAAGAAGACGACGACGACCAAGACTCAGGCGCTTTGGCGTCAGAAGAAGCTGCTTGTGAGATCGTCGAAGATGACGATTCTGACAAAGAGACGTATGTCAATCGCTTTCCAAACTCAAACGATCACAACTGCTGACTTGCTTACAGCGCTATCCTGTGGACCGCCCCCTTCCAAATGATCTCACCCCTAAAGTAGTGGTTACAACGCTTTATGGAAAATCAAAATAACTCGTACGAATGTACAAAACAATCCATGCTTCATAATCCCATTGCAAAAGAGTCAAACAACACCTCAGAGGCAGGAAAACAAAGTCTGAAACATTGGACAGAAGAAGATCTTGGGAATGAGCAAACAGAGAATTTTAATGATCAGCTTTTATAATTATTCAAACATGCAAATTTCTGCACTCTCACGTAGCACTACTCAGTGATACATAGCTATAGGAGTTCACAATGTTTCCACAAACCAAGTCATGTCCAGGGAGAGCATAATGTTGAGCATGCTTTCTCTGGACATGCCTTTGTTTCTTGAATACTTGATGCATTTCTATGATATCTTTTCGTCATAATCATCTTTAGTGAGATAGACCTACCTTGATGTCATGGTTAAGGACCTTGTTCATCCACGCCCAAGCTCTCACGAGAGCATCGCAATGTATAAGTATCTGTAAAAAGTCAGAATATTGTTCAAAACAGAACCATGTCCAGAGAGAGCCTGGTCGGGAGTATGCTCTCTATGGGCAGACTGCTGTTTCTGGATTACTTTCTGCAATTGGATAGTCCCCTTTGCAGTAGTCGTCCCTCTAGGAGATACCGCCTGGTCGACAACGAGATCTGTATTGGGTCTAGACCGCTGCCTATACCAGGTAGTTGACATGGTTCGCTCCCATGTAGTCGTCGACATGAGTGAGCAAGAACTCTGTAGTCGAATCTACGGAAAACAGTGGTCGACGAGACAATCTAGGCAACGATGGTATCGTCGAACAGCCCCGTACTGTAGTGAACGTGTCTCATCATGTCTTCACCCGTGACTTGTCTCTTACACAAACACCCTTCATTTTAAGACCCGGGTACCTTACCATACAACCTGCCTTTGATAATCCCGACGCGACACCCCACCATGGAAGAAGACCCCTCGCCTATCACAAAGCTGTCTTGAAGGAGGAGATGCTAGCCCGAAGACTCCGACAAGCAGGAGATCTCCGCAGAATCTCCCAGTCTCGCGAGCAACTCGTGAAAAAGTTCACCAATGTAAGCAAAAGACGGAGCTACGCTCTACAATCGGCTCGATGCTGACCCGTGTTTCGTAGCGACCTCTGCCCTCTTGTCCTGTCGCAAGACAGATTGCTCGTCCTGTGCCCGGGGACTTTTACAGGCCTTGCTACCTCCCCCTCGCGCAGCTCAAGAAGATCTTTCTGAAAGATCTCAACTTCGAGACGCACCATTGTGGCAGCTTTTTGCTGCTGCGTGTGTTCTGCTAGCCATTTAGCAGGTCGGGCGTCATGGCCGCAGTCGAGGACGAGACCAGGGGTGTCGACAGAATGGCACTCTGCCACACCAAGGAGGCCCTTCGCGCCTTCGAGGTTGTGCCGGAAGGCACTGTGGTTACCGTCAAGGAGCCATTTTATCATATGGAGGACGACGGCCGCTACGTTCTTCGGGTCGATCACCCGTCCGACATGGTGGTCCTGGGCCAAGACCACAAGCTGTATCCCGAGCAATGGAGGGATCGTGAGGAGACTCAGATGACGGCTCTGGATTGGAAGCTTGAAGGAGACAAAGCCTTCAACCGGGAAGAGTACCCGGAAGCATACCGATGGCAAGTACAACTCAACCACTCCGAACTCCACGATACACTTTCGCATAGCTATGAAAATGCACGATTGTTTTGAGAAACAAAGTCGAGTCCAGAGAGAGCGACTTGTTGATGCACTCTCTTTGGACCACAGGGCGGATCTCGATCACACTGTGCCTTTTTATAGCTGCTTGTCGTACATCAATGCCCTGAGCAAGATTGCTGATTTGAGTTTCCAGCTACANCCCGTGGCCTTGCTCGCCTGGACCCGGGTGTCGACGGTGGTATGCGGGACCTGATGCGCGACCTTTATTGCAGCCGCTCGCTGACTGATGTCCGTCTGAACCGCTATGATGCCACGATCCTAGATGCTTTCTTGTCGACGACAGACGGCAGGGACGAAACATCTAAAGCCAAAGACGTAGAAGCCTGGTTCCGTCGCGGTCGTGCTAACTATCAGCTTGGCCACTACGCTGACGCCCTCAAGGCTTTTGAGCGTATGCTCATTCTTGCACCACTGGACCTGGATAGCCAAGAGGAGCTCAAAAAGACGAGAATGCGTCTCTTTGAGCAGCAGAAAGGAGCATACGACTTCAGGGAACTGATCGACGAAGTCACAAAGAATGGCTTCTATGCCGACCGCGCCAGCTTCATTTCGAGAACCGAAGTGCGCCAGACGCAAGATCGCGGCTGTGGACTATTCGCTACCAAGGACATCCGCATGAGCGACTTGATTCTGTGCGAAAAGGCTTTCATGGCCGCACATCCCGATGATCGCACACCGAAGTCGACTTTGCCAGTATGGCTTGACAGCGTCCAAAAGGTGATCGATAACCCATCACAGAGCAAAAACCTTCTCGGTCTATACGCAGGGCAACCAACTACCTCGCCCGTCTCTACTCCGATCATCGATGGCAATCCTGTGGTCGACACTTTCAAGGTCTCCAAGATTCTCGACCTGAACGGTTTCAGTTACACTGTCGGTCGTGAATCGCAGGCGTGCGGCACCTCGGCAATGATGACCAAGACAAGTCTTAAATCAACTGGCTTGTGGATACACATCGCCAACGCCAATCACGCTTGCTTGGCAGATGCTGTGAGAAGTTTCGTTGGTGGTATGATCATTCTCAGAGCCGCCAAAGACATCAACAAAGGCGAAGAGATCACCATCTCCTATCAAAGACCAGCACCTCTTCTGGGAGACCGACAGAAGGTTCTCTTCGGTTCTTGGGGCTTTCATTGCAATTGTCTTCTCTGCACATCAGAGGCGAGCTTCGGGGTCAGAATGCAGACTCTCGCTGAGCATATCGAGACTTCCATGGCATTCATGGGAGACAGGGCGTTGACCGATATCCTTGCTGGCGATGCAGAACTGGTTGCAATGGCCGAGATTGTGGCGGAGGACCTCGAAGAAGTCTATGCTGATAACTTGATGCGCCGCCTGCCATGCTTGGGAATGGCTGATGTCTGGCAGTGGCTTTCTCAGACATACTGCCAGAAACGCAACAGAAGCCAGCTCAAGCGCAGTGCCACTAACACCCTTCAGAGCTACGGCTACTGGATCACTGTGCAAAGCTCCCACGTGAGCATGGACGTTACTCATGGTATTCCCACGGTTGGAGTTGTGGACGCCTTGATGTATCTGTCTGGTGTGACCGAAGGAGAGCAGAAGATTGAACTCAGCCAAGAGTTCAAGGCCTGGGCTAGGAAGGTGTACGAGATCGTAAACGGAAACATGATGGGCTTCGAATTGAAGTACTGAGGAGCAGCAAGATGGGTGACTGTATAGATCCAGCTAGCCCGTGCCTAGACAGATTTTCTCGCTCAATCGATCAATCACATGCGAAAGGATTGTTGCAAGGCCATCCACGTGTGATGAATTAGTGCATACTCGCCCTTGTGTATTATGATGGTTGTTGGCATAGAATAATGTCAAGCACAAGACAAGAGACTCTAACAGACGCGAGCTCTTTGGTACGTACACATGGTGACTTGAAGGCAGCGAGGACGAAGATGTCCTGCCGACACCGGCAATCGTCCATGGGCTGGCATCTCCAATGAGCGAGCCGTTAACGACAATGGGTTGCAAAATCTCCGCATTGATTTCTAGTCAAACGAGGGGAAGTTGACGTTGCGGATCGAGTCGGGTGTGTTTATGCGAGCCATGATGTGGACTAGATAGAGTCCAGATCGTTGAAACAGGATTGGTATCAGTAGACAGCAGGTGATTCGTGAGCCGGAGTGGCAGGCGTGTCAGATGCTCCGTGGCGGTATCACGCTTGATCGAGCTTCATAATATGGTCGCGGCTAGATAGATGAAAAAGGAAGGCGCCCACTCGAAACAGGAGACAGGACAGAGCGGGGTTGGCGTGTTGGACGAGTCCAGCGATTGGGTATATTGAAACCCTTTATCCATGAAGATTGTATAGACCCACTGTGCGTCTGCATGCTGCAAGCAACAGCATCCAAGCTTGTGTCCGAGGTACTGGGTACATGTATTCAAGTTGAGGTTGGGGAGTGGCATTTTACTGGAGAGCCGCCAATATTGGAATTGCGAAGAGAACTCGGAGAATTACCTACTCGTACAAACAGTAGCTGACATCGTGTGTTGCCCTCTATTGAATGAGATTGCAGCCATGATCTGCTGTAACACGCGCAAAAGGAGGGCCTGTAGAGCGGTGAAGAGTCTAGTCGCATGTTGCAACGAACTGTACGAGGGACCTCCGGGCGACGTTTACGTGGATGCATGGCGTTGCTACACCTGCAGCAAAAGACGCCTGGCGCATCGCAAAAATGCCGCAGGGCTCATGCTCGCAACTCGTCGTCGTTGCATCCTGCGAAGCATTTGCCGGTGTCAGTCACGGATTCGTTTTGCGATCGGCAGAGAGTAACCCAAGCGAGAGAGACAGATCACAAACGCAGTGACATGCCCGCAAAAGACAGAATTGTCACGAGTTTTGAGTTTGACAAAGAGACTGTCAAAATCGCGAATAGCCGGGAGAGTTGGGGAGAAAAAATCACAGCAGTGGCAGACCAACGCGGGACACCCGCTTTTCCTGGCGGGAATGAAAAGGTATTCACTACGTCAACGTGAGGCATTTGTGGCCTGTCGCAACGCCGACAATTTCACAGCATCAACATGGCAACAAGAGGTGGGCTGCATTCTTAGAAGAGCAACACGTGCCAGACGTACAGCTGGCGGACGAGCGAGCGACGAAACGGCGGCTCTTGGAAGAGTTGCAAAGCGGTGTGCAGCATAGATCGCATCGAAAAGGAAGAGGGGGTGGAAGGAGCACGAGCGGTTTTTAGGCTCGGCCGCTCGATTGTTGTTGGTTGGGTTGGTGGACGGACTGTGGGCGGGCCTCGGAGCCCACACAAGTGGCAGTGACCTCCTCTGGGGGCCTTTTAGTTTCTGGCTGCGAGCAGCAATTTGCGCCTGTTCTCTTCCTGCACTTTATCAACTCGCCCTCTCGTCCTCTCGTCCCTCCCTGGGTCGCGTGCGGTGCGTTTGTGAGTTGCAGCTGACCTAAACACGCTCTCCTGCTCCTTCCTGCCGTCTTCACCTCTTGCTCCCGACAGTCCGAGCGATCTGCAAGTGAGCGTCATCCTTGGATCCTTGGCCACCACCCAAGCAAGCAGTATGGCTATGCTGTGCCTGCGCATTGCCGAACGCTGTCAAGACTAACACTCGCGTAGGCGCTTGTCTTATTATCGCATCGGCCTCGTCGTTGTATTCTTGTATCCAGATATCATGTTCGTTCTGGAATTATAACAACAGCTTCGGCTACTCAGCGCGTCGTCCTACCAAAGGAGTCTCTGTCCTGCGGTTTGCGCCACACTCTATACATAAATCGAGTCCACCCTCATACAGCCTTCTGCGCCCTCGACTGAGCCACCATACGACTACCACCGCTTACATCACTCATGCCTACTTCAAATAGGCCCCCTACCTTGGACATGGCACATATGGCTCCCTTCCAACGAAGCACATCAGCCATGGGACACATCGACTCTGAACTCCTCGCCGAAGGAGACGAACCACCGGAAAGAAAAGACCAACTGCTTGTCGACTCTCCCCGCCTTGACGCTGCTTTTATCAAATCACTCNCTCCGGCTTTCACCCGCAGAGAATCTCTGCTTACCCGCCAACTGCACTCACCAGAGCCCGAACACCCTAACGAGGACGAACACCAACGTGCCAGGGCCATCGTGCGTGGTATGTCAGCATGGAGTAACCATAGCGTCGCCTCCACAGCTGAGCTCACCAGCGACAATGACCTGACCAGCCCCGGAACTCGTGAAAGCACCCCAAGCCCTCCATTACCTCCAACCTTGATCAGAGAGTCTATCCCGGCACTGGAAAAGTCTCCTTACAAGGAGCCGGTCATCCTTGAGGACAGCAAATCCCAGCCCGAGAAGTCTGTAGAGGCCGAGTTGGGTCGTCCAAGGTGCATCACTTTTGCTTGTGGTGGTAAGAAGCCTGCTTCAAACCATGTTGCTTCCGAGAGTGAGCAGGNNAAAAGAAGGAGGCACCAACTCCGGCCCCTACGGAACCCTTGAAGCGTAAGACATGCATTACTTTTGCTTGTCCATCTAAGCCCACTGTTCAACCATCGCCTGTCAAGGAAAAGACTAAGGCTATTACTCTGGCTCCAACTCAAGGACCCAAAANCGAGAATCGTCAGTCCAGGACCAAAGACCTCAAGAACTCAAGCATCACCGAAACATTTCCCCAGAAACCATCGCGGATCTGATTCGACCGTCAAAAACGATTCACCAAAAAGTCTCCGCAAAACACCAATGCTGCCCGTCCGAAGACGCAAATACAGCATGGATAACGATGACGTGCCCGGTGAGGAAAGACGATTCCACGAATTTGGACCTTCGGAGGAAGAGAACGAACAGTGGCTAGAAGAATCTGGCTGCTACCGCCAGCGCTTAACTGTCAATGACACTCTGTACAAGGAAAACATCATCAGAAAAATCGGTGAAGAGGTCGAGGAAGAGGCTATTGAAGAAGATGAAGAAGATGAAGACGATGAAGATGAAGAAATTGAAGAAGATGAGGACGAGGATGACGAAGACCTCGAAGACCTCGACACCCAACAAGTCGTCTCAGACGATGAAGTATCCGATGCTGGTTTCCAAACAGACGATGAAGACGGCTTTGCGGTATCCGACAGTGAAGGCGATGACAGCGACAATGAATGGTGGGCGCCTGGAGGCCGCTCAACCGCGGCCACTTCTATCGAACACCTGGAAACTGTCCGCCCCACCCGTAGAAGAACCAACTCGGACTCGTCTTTGGGCTCGGCGCATGGTGAAAATAAAACTGCATCGGCACCTTATGGCATGGTCAAGCGCAGAAGCCGCGCAGTCAAGATCAACCGTCCTCAGACACCCGATCTTCCTGACAGCACTGACTTCGTCTGCGGCACACTCGACGAAGACCGTCCTCTCGAGCAAGCATACATACAGAGTCTCGAGAGAAGAAAGGCTGCCAAGCACAAGGCCAAGCCGCAAGATATTGATCCTACCTTCCCTACTTCTGATCCGGATTTGGACGAGGAAGACGACGATGAGGACGACGAAGACGTTGAGGAGAGTGATCAGCCTCTCTTCATGCACGGCAAAATCGAGATGAACGAAGACATGGGCCACCGTGGTCGTCACAAGTCCAAACCCGCGTCCAAGAAGAAGTCCATCTCGCCTCCCCATCAACGACTTCGTTCTCCCCCTCCTCCCAAGCACCGCTCGCACCGCTCTCCTCCACCGTCAACCAAGCGTCTACGATCGCCTGCTCCGATCAAGCGCACTGCCCACAAATCACCACCGCCTCGCAAGCTCTTTGGTCAGTCACCCAGACGTCTGAGGTCACCTCCACCTCCACCTCGCCGTCCCACATCCCCACCACCGTCTCTGCGCAGTTCTGTTGAAGGCATTGCCCCCATCAGTTTCACCCCAAGAGCCACTCTTGCCCGTCGTCCTCAACCTACTCACACGGCTTCATTGCCCCGAGTCCAGAGTCAGGTCAAGATTGGCAAGAACGCCATGACGCCTTCGCTTGACGAACATGATGATCCCTTGTCGGGTATGAGGACAGCACGTGGCGCTATTGACATTGTCAAGGGTCTGGAGAAGAAACGCCAACGTCGCAAAGAAAAGCTTTACCAGAAGCACTGCCAAAAGGGCAAAAAGGACCACGAACGCAAACCAAAACCGGGCAAGGGCGCGGAAAGAATGAGAGAAGTCGGGCTTGAGCTGGCTGCTTACAAAGGCAAGAAGCAGCACGTCCTCTCCTACTAGAAAGACGTCGTCTTGATCGCGGACTTGCGACGCCGTCCACACAGTTAGCACATTCCAGACTCGTTGCACGAGTCTGCTGGTCGTTGCAGGTACCCGGATGATCGACGAACAGAGCATTCTTACTGACGCGAGTCTTTTCCAGCTGCGCACGTTTCGCCCACTGGAAGCTCGTAGTCATGTTATTTCCTTGAGTCAAAGACCGAATCGCGCAGCTCCAGTCACAGAAGACCCTCGGCTGGCCGATGCGCTACATCAATACATAAGTTAATGATCCTTTTCTCTGTATATACATATACCCCTTGTCTCTCAATTCCTTATGGGTTGAGGAGTTCTTCTTTTTCTAGACAGCGATTATTTGGAGGCCCACGATACCACTTTTGCTTGCATGGACGGGCATCAGAATTGGCGTTTGTCTTTTCCAATGAGGTTTTGGGGATGAAAGCAGATTGATCCGTGATCAGGATGAAGTGTCTTCTCTCGTTTTGGACCTAGCCAGGATTGCAGATAGAAGAAACCACAGTCGCTATCGGCTCCTTATAAGACCCTAATTCTTCTAGTAAATCTGAATGTTCAAATGTTGTTGGTGATGATGATGATATTTCGACAGTGATGGATGCTAAATGCTGGTTGCTGGAAGCTGGATGTTGATGGTCGATGGGGCTCTTGGCACAAGTGGCAGCTTCCCAGATGACGGCGGCGACGCCTCCAACGTGGACATTAGTTGGCGGTGATAGTTGTCAACACTTGCAATTTCCAATCACCTCAGCCCCGGGCTATCGCGACGTCCTCTTCTACACATCAACTCACAATCACAAGCAACCCGACAACATGTGGCTCGTTGACTGGTGTAAGTGACGGCTTTCGCGACAGGGTCTGGCTGCGAGAGGGAGACAAGCGCTGACTAGGAGCCATTGCAGTCTGGGATGTTCTCGCCAACCTTGGCCTGATGAACAAGCACGCCGTATGCAACATGGAAGAGCTCGACTTTCTCCGGCAACAGTACTGATGCCGACGACTACAGAAACTGCTGTTCCTTGGTCTTGACAATGCCGGAAAGACCACGGTGCGTTCGACATCCGGTTCCTAACCCCTGCCTAGACTCCACAGCTAATCTGAACACACGAACAGCTTCTTCACATGCTCAAGGTACGTGTTCTCTCTGTCCTTGCGCCTCGCGTGCTCACTGATCGCTGACTCCTTCCAGAACGACAGAGTGTATGCCTACCCTGCCCACGAGACCCGGAAACAGTCGAGCTTACAACCAACAGCGCCGTCTTGAACCCCACCCTTCACCCTAGTACGCCTTCAATACACCGAACACGCCACAACATATATGACTGACATGGCACGCAGCCTCCGAGGAGCTGAGCATCGGCAACGTCCGCTTCACCACTTTCGACTTGGGCGGTATGAATAATCGAATCATGAATCAAAGAGTCACGGGAACACACAGCTGAGAATGGGGATAGGTCACCAGCAGGCAAGACGTTTGTGGAAGGACGTGAGTTGCTATCCGAACATACTTGTCGGCACCAGAGACTGACCCGCGCTTCACAGTACTTCCCCGAGGTTTCCGGTACATGACAGCAACTCCAGTCTATTTGCAAGTATAATAGCTGATATCCTTTAGGCATTGTCTTCCTTGTCGACGCCAAGGACCCCGAGCGTTTCATTGAGAGCAAGGCTGAGCTCGATGCTCGTACGTTACACAGATATAGAACATAAGGATTATGTGCTGACAAGATGTCTTACAGTCCTTTCAATGGAGGACCTCTCCAAGACCCCCTTCTTGATTCTCGGCAACAAGATTGACCGTAAGCTCTACCGACATCTCAAGAGTGTAGGACATGCGTACTAATTTGGTGCAGACCCTAGCGCCGTCAGCGAGGACCAACTCGTACGTTTTATCTGGCCGCTAACCTACAGAATCATCAAGCTAACAGAGTTGATAGCGACACGAGCTGGGTCTTTACCAGACCACCGGCAAGGGCAAGATCCCTCTCGAGGGCATCCGTCCCATCGAGGTCTTCATGTGCAGTGTTGTCATGAGACAGGGCTACGGCGAGGGTATCCGCTGGTTGTCGCAATACGTCTAAGCAAACACGTCGATGCCTTCTTGGTACTACTAACCCAGCTTTTTGGCATACAAAGCCACCGAGCACATTCCTCGACTCTACAGAACCCCAACGTGAGCATTTTCAAAATCTCGTTACGTCGGCACGGTTAGGCTGGAGCAAAAGGGAGAAGGACGTCAAAAGATTATCAGTGCACGTCCGAAACCACACGATCCTGGCGGTGTTTCTTTTTCGATTTTGATTTCATGGAGGCGTCAACAGTGGTCTTTCATAAGTCTGCTTTTTCTTTTACAACCCCTTACTTATTTCGACCATGACCCGATGCAGCGTATCTTCTCCAAGCCAGATCCGTTCTTTGGAGTCGTCTCCTTTGAGCAACCTTGAAGCTATGTGTTCTCTCTTCATCTTGTGCCTTTGGCCTCGTCCACTATTAGCCTGCACATCCATCCGCTTGTGGGTCCTCGTCGACCACCTCTATGCCACTGCTGATGCCAAACTCGTTCGGTCAATCTCTTGTTTATTTCTGGAGCGCCTGCTCTGCCTCTCTCGAACCAGAAGACTGAGCTGTGGAACTTGCGACTTTTGAAGAACCTTTCTCTCACTAGTCACTTTACACCATCTTGCTGGTCCTTGTCCTCCAGGCCATACCCTGGAGCAACTCTTCGAATCAAGTTGTTCTTGCTCAATCTGTCGCAGAAATCACTGAGTCCCTTCATCTGACGACCCACGAACAAGTGGAAAGTACTTGTGGTGTCCATTTTAGGCATCGCATCCAGGGGCTTCTCGCTCACATTTATCAGGCGCAATTTCCAGATCTTCTTGCGTGGCTGTATAGCCATATGCCACTCTTCGTCACAAGGAATTGCTGTCCAGAAATAGCCTGAGTTAAGACGCAATAAGATGGGCATGACTTCTTCGCTAACTTGTTCCGACACATAGGTGAGTGAGTGCAAGAGAGATGCTGCGTCCGGGTCGTGGAAAACGTAGTCGTAGATGATGAGGCGAAGTTCAACAGGCAGGCGAAGGAAGTGGGAAGCTTGGGTGGACATGATCGGTAAGGCGTGAAACGAGGAGACCAGGTGTAAAAGTGGTGTCGAGTCTCAATCTTGGGTCGTTCTCCTGACAGCAGGAGCAATGCAGAGGGACCGAGACAACTGGCTGCTGCACTGTGGACTGCGGTGGAGGATTAGCATGAAGGTGTTCGTGAGAGCTGGTGGGCGGGGTTGGATCATGCATTGGTACAGACGGAAACTCGAATTATGCCATGATCAGGACCACAGGTCGAGGTGTGAGATGGTCTGAATGTGTTGGTGTGATATTCAGGTTGAAGGTGAGGATTGGAAATGAGGACGATGAGGTTTCAAATAGTCTATCTACGCAGCGGAGGAAGCCGCTACTTCCATCCTTGTTCTAAAATCACATGCCGACAGCTCTTTTTGGATGGAAGCCGTGACCGCTTCAAGCCTTCTCCAGGAAGCCACGGACTGCTTTTGCAGTTTCGGCAGGCATGCTCAAGAACGGACTATGACCAGAAATCAAATACGTAGTCTCCACTTCCACGCCCTCGGCCTTGACAGCATTGATCATCTGCTCTTGACCGTCTTTTGTAAGGGCTCTGTCGTCTTCGCAGACAATATAAGCCGTTGGAATCTCGCGCCAAGCGACCTTTGAAGGCGAGTTCATCACATGAGAGAGCGGGCATCCACCTAGATTGTCGATTGCACGCTGGCTCATTTGTTCTGGCACGTCGTGGTAGAAGAAGTGCATCGGCTCTAGGGGTATGAGAGCCTTGGGGTTCTGCNNCATGAGGCGCATTGGTTCAGCTCGTAATGGTGGTAGACAAGATTTACATACCTGTTCATCGTCGACGCGAGCAATGTTTGGCCAATCCGGAAAGTCTGAGCGGAGTTGCCCTTCTTTGAGCATAAAAGAAGTCATGTAAACAAGTTTGATGACAGAGCCAGATGTCTCGGTCTCCTTCTTTCCCAAGCCGCAAGCTGCTTCCGAACCCATCATGCCGCCAAACGAGTGCATCACAACTGCTACATCTCTGCCAGCGTCGGTGTGTGAAGTAATGGCATTGCGGATGATCGAGATGTCTTCTTTCCATGTATCTTCAGGCAAGTCCTTCTCATCGTTGGTCGAAGACATCTCGAGGCAGTCTACAGTGTAGCCGCTGGAGTTGAGCTTTAGTGCGAGGTGTGCATAGTGGGCTGGCACATGCCAAGCACCAGGTATGATAACGATGACGGGCTTTGCGTCAGTCGAAGGCATGTTCGTGGTTATCTTTGATCCAGGGTGTTCGTTGTGTTGTAGACACAGAAGTTGAAGTCAGCAACTTCCATCTCCGGCTTCTCCTCATTATTCCGGCGATCCTGATCCTTCTTGTCTGTGACGCCGAGCCGGGGCCAGGGTGCCTCCACAGCTACACTTGCCACCTCAGTCAAATCATCAGTTGAACTCCCAATAATTTCTACACCGACTTGTGCTTTCGAAGTTGTTGCACTCCAAACCTGCATTTTGAAGCAACGGCACAGGGATAAGCACAAGTAAGGTCAATCGCGTAATTCCCATCGAGTTGTTGCTGCCTGGTCGGCCGCTTCCTATTGCAATTATCATTTACGAAACCAACCTTGGAAACTCTTGATCCAATCCTCCTTCAACACCTGCTAGTCCGTCTGGCGTAATGGCTCCACCGTCTTCAGTAGGTAGCAAGGAAGAGTCCATTTGCATTGCCTCAACTGACCACACGTCAGACACCTTCACCACGTCGGTTCTTGCTGAACAAAAGACCTCAGAACCATGCCACGCCGACACCGTCAAAATTATCGAAACAGGTGCTGCAAGATGGCCCCGACTCTAGTACTTCTCGACCGACATCTGGCCCAACACCCTCACAGTTTGCGAAGGTGCCTCGATTTGCCATGTCCACTGCACGGCGGGCATCTTTTCCTCCACGTTCACCATCACCTGCAAAACCTCAGTTCTCGACCACAGGTCCTAGTATCACCTTTGGCAATCAACGTGACAAGGCGAGAGAGATTATCACCGTATCTGACGATGATGAAGAAATGCTCGACAACGATAATAGTCATCTCACCTTCACACCTTGGACACAGCCTGAGTCTCAGGATTCGGTGCCAGAGCCTGAGAAGGGAGCATATCTCGCACCCCACTTACCACCATCGCCAAAACGACGAAGGGTCGATGATGGCGATTCAACGTCGACCCCACAGCCGACCCCAGCCCGTTTCATCTTGCCGTCCACAGGCATGAGCCGGTCACCACTCACTCAGGCAGACAGAAGTACACCCGCAAGTAGTAGACCAGCCTTCTTGGTGGCATCGCTTCCACCGCCAGAGACTGTTGCGCCGCTACCTGATGCCTTCTCACCTCGAAGAAGAGGACAGAAGTTCTTGCCTGGTGGTCTAGCATCGGAGCTACAATCATGGGTTATCGAGGCAGCGCAGACTGCATCTCAAGGTAGACCCCGTAATCTTTTACAAGTCGACGATTTGGTGCACATTATCGACATCAATGAAGTCAAAGGAGATGGCCCAGTATTCGCACATGGCACAATGCCTGGAAAGGAAATTGCTAATGTGCTGCTTGTTGATGGTCAAGCGAACCGAAAAGCAGACAGGGTACACGTAGGGGACAGGGTGAGCATCCGGTTGCCAACATGGGAGGTTCAGGTGTCAGGTGAAGCATGGACAGTCGGCGTTGACTGGAGAACTCTGAAGCTGTGAGAAGCTCATTTCGGTATTTTGTTGGCTGTAGTATGTCATAAGCAATGGCAGAGCCATGTTGTGGTATGGGCGGCGGTAGCGAGTCACGGCGGGAAGGGCACGACCAGAGATGGGCCTTGTGCTCAGGCAGAGTGGACATCACACAGCAAGAATAGTGCAACCAAGACGAGGTGCCCTCACGGATAGTCCCTAGTCATATAACGAACCACAGAAGGACAAAGATACAGGTGATGGATTGAGAGTCATGAGTGGAAGTCGAAGAACCAACGCAACACGGGCGATACGACGCGTGTTTACCAGCCACCTCATAGTCCGACCCGCCTTGAATTTTTTAAGTTGACGGGCTGCAACAGCTCAACAGGGTTTTGGCTTGCTTGTTCAAGGTGCTGCAGCTGTCATTTCAACTCTCTACCTTTTGAAGATTTCTGCAGGCTCTCTTGTTCAGGTACACCGCTCGTTTGTCCTGTTCATTGGGAGACGCCAACGCCAAAGCAAAACGGTTATTTTGACATAACAATAGCAACGGCTACGTCACAATAATCACACCACGCTACCGAGACAAGACACTGCAGAAAAGTCGAGCACAGCAGGGACAAAGGCAGTCCTGCTGCAACACGCACGCCAGTAACTTCTGATTATCACTCCGGATCCTTCGCCGTCACTCCTCGATCATCGCAACGGCACGCAGTAGTCCACGACAGCTTCCAAGCAACTGTTCCCCGGCTTTCATCCCAAACTGCCAAACACAGCCCCTCGACCTCACCCAGCCAGGCGCCGGCTTTCCACTCGTTTAACTGTTGCCTGGATATTGGCCTTGGCCATCTTCGGCCGCCTTTTCTCCCCCAAACAAGACGCTGCCTCAGCACACTCGAAAGCATGGCAACAGCATTGATGAATGGCATGCATACAGCAGGCATCTACTCGGACATGACGGTCGATGGTCCCGAAATTGGCACCCTGGTGGCAATTGTCGACCGCGCAAAGAATCTGCCCAATGTTAAGCGCATGGGCAAGCAAAACCCATACTGCGCCGCCAGGCTGGGCAAGGAAGCANAAAAGACCGAGACGGATAAACGTGGAGGCCAGACACCCAGATGGTGAGCACCAGGAAAGAAACATGGAATCACCAGGCACCCTTCTGACACAAGACAACAGGNNGACCAAGAGCTTCGGTTCACCGTTCATGACTCGCCCGACTACCACAATCTCAAAGTCTCCATCTTCAACGACGACAAGAAGACGGATCTGATCGGAGAGGCCTACATCGGTCTGCAAGATGTCTGCATTCCAGGAGGAGGCAAGCATGATGGATGGCACGCTCTCAACTTCAAAGGCAAATATGCAGGTGAGATCAACCTGGAATTGACCTACTACGATACGCGACCACCGTCCGAGACCAAGAGGAGGGTGAGCGGTATGAGTGCTGCCGACAATGGACAACGAAAGGCTGCCATCAAGCGGCGTCCACTGCCTGCCGAGTTGAACGGACCCCCAGCACCCGGCTCAATCGTGCCGGACCACGCCAGAGGTCCGCGACAACTACCAGGACGACCAACAGAAGATTGGACTCCTCATGGCCTTAGACCACGGCCCCTACATCATGCCCAATCTGCGCCTGCCGTTCCTGAAGCACACGACTATGATCATGATGAACTTGATCTAGACTACCATCCTGGCTACCATCAACCCGTCATGCCCGAACTGCCGCAACTTCCTCCTACCCGCAAGCATCGTGGCTCTGTGCCTGCTCAGCCTACTGCGTCTCACGACTACCAGAACCACGAACACTACGGCCATAGCCGCTCTCAGAGTATTCCAACTCTCCCTCATTCTTTCTCGTCTCCCAGTGTTGTGAATTCTGACCAAGGATGGCAAGAGCCTTTGCCACGCTGCTTACAACCTACCGTCGAGGACATTGACGAGTATGACTACGGCAGGGAAATGCCTCCGGTGCCTCNNCCCTCACACACTAGAAGCCCTTCCCACACCAGAAGTCCATCACACACCAGAAACGCTCGTTCCACATCACGAGGTCCACCTCCAAGGAGCATGTCCGTAGACGACTATGCACCTCCACCAGCCCCTGGCTCATACTACGGCTCATCCCCTAATTTCAGGGCTTCATATTCTGGGTTTCCTCCTCCGGCCCCCTCTTCAGTGGCAGCCTCATCGCATTATCGCAGTCACTCGCGTGTGACTAGTCGCCAGAGCGTACCTGATGCATATGCCATGACCCCACCTCGAGCACATCCTCTTGCGAACCAGATTCGTCGGTCCATGAGCCCTGCGCCTTCGGCATATACAGAGGATTATGGCCAGTACCGACGATACAGCAACGAGCCAAGCCCCATCATGGCACGCCCTCCTTCTCGTAACGTCTCTCCTCTTCCTCCGCGCAACGTCTCTCCGCTGCCACCACGTAACAACATTGACGCCATCCGCCATCCTGTCCGTACTTTCGCCAACGGCAGCGCTTCTCCCTCACCTACTCGCAAAGACGTTCCACGTCCTTCTACTTCTAATGGCAACTTCTTTTCGCCCGATGACTTCGACTCCCTCAACCCCAATGCTTCCTCCAACTCGCCCTTCGCCTCGGGATCAAATCCGCACTCACCTTACCACATTCAAAACTCGCCCGGCGGCGACGATGAAGAAGGTGCTCGTCCTCTGCCAGACCCCAACGCCAAAATCGTCGGCTTCGATGGCAGAGTGATCGATCCTAGCGACCATCTGCCTGTACACAGCTGGGCACCCGAGCCCGAGAAGAAGACCCCGACCAAGATCTATGGCTCAAACGGACAAATCTATGCAAATGGTCTGGCAGGCCCCCGTGGCGCAGTCGCAAACAGAACACCTTCTCGTGTGAGTATGGGCCGAGATGTAGTCGTCAACGTGCGCACAAGGGGTTCACCACCCAAGCGCCCGATGTCGTCCGCGTCACACCATAGCCATATGACGGGCTCACCTGGTCCACTTTCTGAGATTGACGTGCCTAACCCTTATGCTGGACACGCAGGTTACAGTTCCAATTTCTCAGACGGACGACCTGGTATTTACGAAGGCCATCACTCTGCATACTCGACTCCTCCGCCCGCGAGCCAACCGCCTCACTATGGCGACATGTTTGGCAAGTACACTGCACCCAGTGGTGGGGACCAACATGGATATGAGAACCAGATGGTCCAGCACCAAGGTCCGGCGTATGGGCAACATGGCTACGGGGCTTCGGCGTTGAGTAAGGAAATGGCAAAGATTGACATTAGAGGCTCAAGGAGGCCACTCAGCCGGGGCACTGTGAGAAGAGGTGCTTGGCCTTGATTGTTGTTTTTGCACATACACGCTGGGCTGTTCTGTGATGTCTTCCTCGTAGCGTTTGTTTCGTTCTGCTTTTTTGTGCAGATGCATATCAGGGCGTTTTTTCGATTCTCACACGGCACATAGGGTACTGTCGATTTTAATGCTGAAGAACCCATACTGGTCTATAGAGATGGATGGAATATGGTATAGAAGAATACAAAGAGTGGCTACAGGCAGACGTGGTCATAAGGTTGTAGTAAGAATGATTGTTTCAGTATGAGATCGCAAAGTATGTGAAAGAGACGTTCGTACTCGAGCAGCTTTGTCTCAATCTTCTGTGGATGCCTGACGATAAGAAGATAAAAAGGCAGATGGAGACTTGTCGGCCAGGGCTCGAGTAAGCAGTGCGGTGAGAGCTGACGGTTGAGAAGCGACTACTAGAGGGCACGGCAAGGCTGGCGCTTACGGCAAAACAAGTGGGGTGTTTTGCAGCAACCAATCAGGGCACGACGAGGGTAGTTGGGCAAGCTCCAGGGACCATTTGCCAGTTCCGTGCAGTCAGGATATAAGTCTTGCTCTATCATCTGTACGAGAGAGCGTTGGACTTTTTGTTGCAAGCTGTCATACAGAACTGTCGGGCTTGCAGAAATTCTTCAACAAGACGCTCAAAGCAGAACCGGGAAAGCACGAACAAACCGCGCCTGCCTGATTACATCCTCCCGCGCTATTTGCATCAACAAGAGCAGCGCCGCGTCTCAAGACGGATCCTCGACACTATTCCTACCAATCCCTAACGCTGCAAACATGACCGAAGTCGGCGGACGCAGAAGCTTCAAGGTGTTCGGCCAAGAGTTCATTGTCGATGCGCGGTACAATGTCACCAAGGAGTTGGGCCAGGGCGCCTACGGTATCGTGTGGTAGGTGTCTCTTCGCAGCAGCGTGCCAAACGCCGGACTGACCAAGACGACTGCAGCGNCAGCACAAGCAGGCCACGACCCGAAAGAGCAGGTAGCCGTCAAGAAGATCACCAATGTCTTCAGCAAGCAGATCCTGGCCAAGCGCGCCCTTCGTGAGATCAAGCTACTGCAACACTTCAGAGGCCACCGCAACGTCAGTCCCGCCCTCTCGGGATGCCTCTGTTCAGCACGAGCTGACACGTAACCAGNNATCACATGTCTCTTCGACATGGACATCCCCGGCGGCCCGGCCAGCTACAACGAGGTCTACCTGTACGAAGAACTGATGGAGTGTGATCTGGCCGCCATCATTCGCAGCGGCCAGCCATTGACCGACGCCCACTTCCAATCCTTCATCTACCAGATTCTCTGCGGTCTCAAGTACATCCACTCGGCCAACGTCTTGCATCGCGATCTCAAGCCCGGCAACCTGCTCGTCAATGCCGACTGCGAGTTGAAGATTTGTGACTTTGGTCTTGCCCGTGGCTTCAGCAACGAGCCCGACAACGTTGCTGCTGGCTTCCAGACCGAGTACGTCGCTACAAGATGGTACAGAGCGCCTGAGATTATGCTCAGTTTCGCAGAGTACACAAAAGCCAGTATGTCGCACCAGTCGCACAACCATTGTCTGACCAGTCATGCTGACCACCCCTCCTAGNTCGACGTATGGTCTGTTGGATGTATCCTTGCCGAACTTCTGGGAGGTAAGCCCTTCCTCAAGGGCAAGGACTACGTCGACCAGCTCAACCAGATTCTCCACGTCCTCGGCACTCCAGACGAGAGCACTCTCCAGCTCATTGGCTCCCCTCGCGCTCGCGAGTATGTCCGCGGGCTGCCTTATATGCCTCGCATTCCCTACCAGCAATTCTTCNCCCGTGCCAACCCCGACGCCCTAGACTTGTTGGAGAAGATGCTCGCTTTCGTCCCCGCAAAGCGCATCACCACCGAAGAAGCCCTCGAGCACCCATACCTTGCCATCTGGCACGATCCCAGCGATGAACCCGCCTGTCCTACCAAGTTCGATTTCCGCTTTGAGGTTGTCAAGGAGATCCCCGAGCTTAGAACAATCATCTTTGACGAGGTCAGACGCTTCAGAGGTGAAGTGCGCGCTCCTCTCCAGCAGCAGCAACAACAGCAGCAGCAGCACTATGGCGACTACCAACAACAGGCTGGCCAAGTGCCTATGCCCGATCAATGGAATCCTCGCCAAGCCGAGGACCCGCGTCCGCAGGCCCTGGGTGAGAGCACGACTGAAGGTCTCGAGAGGGAATTGGAGTACGGCCTGGACGCTCAATACGGCCAGCAGCAAATGCGATAAGCGCTTGCAGACATTCCTCCTGCCAAAGTCATTCTTGCATCCATCATCTTTTTTTTTTCTTGCGCGCTGGCAGCGCAGTCTTCTCTAATCCACAGCCATTATCATCTCTGAGCACATCATGTTTCGTCCACCTCTTTTTACCATCTAGCGCGAGGACATGAACCAGATCAAACGCAGCTATGGGATTGCACATCTGCTCTTTTTCTGATTGCGTGGCCTGGAAAATATCAAGGCTTAATGAAGATCATTTTACACTTAGCGTCTTCGATTGTTGTAACATCTCGTATGAAGTGCATTGAAAGGCATCGTGGAATTATGTGGGGCTAGGTAGCTCATGGAGCAATATAATAAGAGTGCGAGAAGTAGAAGACCAATATGCCTGACCCTGTAAATCCCTAGGCACTCTCGTCCAATCCAACACCATCATCAAAGACTCGAGCTTGAACTCAAATCGCTGTCGGAAGCTTTATCCAGTAAAACAACCTCACGGCCACCATTCATATTCCTAGCCCTCAAGACATCCTTCTTGCTCAAAACCACCCTCGCGCACCAAGAACACCAACTCCTATCCACGCCTTCCTGCTCCCTCTCCAGATACTTTCCACCCTCCCTCTCATCCTCGAACTCCTGCACGACATCACCCACCAACAACCTCCTCTTGACTTTCTTCTTGACCACACCNCCTATCCCCTCAATCTCTTGCAGAAAGTAGCCACCGGTTCTCGTGTCTGCTGCATCACATTCTATCTCTTTGAAGATTGTGCGGGCGCAGAGGCAGAGTGATTCGCGGCCGCATTGGACGCCTTCGATGCCGGTGCCGAGACCCGTGCCGATGCCGTGAAGGTGGGTGCTGTAGCGGGATCGCCAGGTCCAGGCACGCATGTATGAGGTATCAAGGGTGCGGAGGGTGGTGGAACAAGGATTGCAAATCCAGACTTGGGAGGGGCAGGTGCAGGGGCTGCGGTAAATTGATGGGTGGGATGAGAAGAAATAAGAGTTGTCGTTGCGGTCTCCAGTGTCGGTTTCTGGGTGTGCCACTCTGGTGTGTAGAGGTAACGGTGCTCTGATGCATGTACGGCATAACCGTCGATGGCGAGACTTGAGTGCGGAGGTTGATGGAGCCTTCATGGTGCAATTCTGGTCATTCTGTCAGCATCTGCCTCGTTGTATACTCTTACCCTCGTGCAGCACTTACCCGGCAAACGATAGTCCCACACCGTCGACACTCTCCAACNNCATATCTCTAGCACACGCACCAACCCTTCCGCTGGTCAACCTAGGAATCCTGATTCCGTCTGGTCCATGTGTAGTCCACAGCTCATTCGCCTCTTCCCTCCGTACAGCTCCTGGCTTCTCTTTATCAGACACACATCGCAATGTCTGTGGGATCAATTGTCTGCGGTGCTGAAGCAGGTTGGCACGAAACTGGCGGCAAGTACGCGATAGATCGTGCAAAGAGTTGAGGTCAAGATGTTTCGCAATCTCCGAGATGACACTATCACAAAGCATCAGCCGGATCTTTGTTCATTGTCTCTGAGGTAGGGGAGGGGGACGAACGGATAATTTCCCAATACAGCAGATAATGCGTTCAGGTTCGGATGTTCTCTGCCATCTTCTTCTTCATCGTCGATGATATCCTTTTCGGTAGGACGTTGCAATGACCTCGTAGCATGTGCATTGATCAACTCGCGCAAGTCGAATGGTGTGTTGTGTCCATGTTGATGCTGATGCTCGACCTCATCCGGGTCGTCCAAGTCGACAAAGACAACCATCAATCATGTGAGGATTGAGCGTCTCATAAGAACGCTCTCTGAGATCTTCCTTCTGGTGCCGGCTAAGGATGTACAAAGGCTTGTTCTGTGATAACAATATCAGTGTGTTGTTGTCATCAGAAGGTCGCACCGCTCTCTTTGCCCCTCTCTCGTCATCCTTCGGGAAGGTGGGGTACGAGTCTCGGATCTGATAACGACGGTTCGGATCTATGCGATCCTTTCCCATTCGGCAACCAAACAAGTAGCAGGCATCGTGGTTATGGTCGATAAATTATGCTGTTAAGTATGAATTATGGGCTCTATTTGAGTACCGTGAGACTTCTGCTGTCGTTGGGTTTTCTATTTCAGCCTGATGATCCATTGAGTGATCGCATACGTGGGACTAAAATACTGGTATTGTGAGATCACAAAATAAGTTTCCAAATCAGCGTAAACACAAACTCGAAATTGTGAGAATCGTACATGGCAACGAAGGAGGGACTAAGAAAGTAGCCGACATTGACATCTACTTGGTCCCCGATGGATGATAGTATAAGATCGGACGGGGCACAAACTAATGCCAGGGTTATCCTCTCGGCAAGTGCGACTCAAGAAGTCGACAAGTTGCGAATCATTATCCTTCATCTGACCATCTGGCCAACTGCTACAAACCCGAATTGGCAGTTGACTGACTTCAAGAAGAACTGAGGTTCTCTGTTTGATGCGTCTGACGTAAAGGTTCGTCTTGGAGCACATGTGAATGCTCTGCCTGAGAGCTCTGCCCCTGATAGATATCCTCGTACATCGTTGAATGTTTCGTGCCTTCGAATATGGGACAGAAGTTCTCCGGATGGCTTCTCAGCAGTGTGAGTGAACACGGATTGTAGTGTTCATGTATGTCACCGGTCGGCCATGAGATGTGGAAGTTTGCGTCTCCTGAAGATGCGTCCTGTTGAGTGGAAAGGGGACTGTAACGAGGCTCTTCATGCTGGCCAGGAACCAGATCACCCAGATCGGCTGGACAGAAATCCGACTCCACCATGTCATTGCCGTGTATCATTGTATGCTGCAACACGGGTTGACACAATTGGCCCGCATAATAGTTCTCAGCTCGTGGTTCCAGAACTGATGCAGGTCCCGTACCGGAAACATGGTCGTAGAGATTGTAATGTGTCGGGTGCTCAAGGAGTGGATGTTCAAAGTCGGATACCCAGCTTGGTGTTCGATCGTCATGGTTACTCTGCATTACGGCTGGAGAGCTATTTCCTAATACTGCCATTGGTCGACGTGAAATATTTCTACCATTTCTGTTGTTGAAAGCAAACCCATTCGGTACTTCGAGGTATTGGGGTCTTGGTGAGAGGTTCGCAAGGCTCAAAACGGGCTCGGAACTTGTAGGTAACTGTGTGTACGATGGTGTTGGACTGTATGAGACATACCCTTCATTGTCTGTCACTATTCCATTGTCAGAAGGGGTAACTGGCGTAGCTGATGTTGAGCGACGATCAAGAACATGAGACCCATGGGCAGGCTCAGGGGTGGATGGACAGCGGAAGAGGTATGTCTCCGGAAGCTGGAAGGGAAAACACCANACTGCAAATTCCAGTAAGCATAACTCAGAGAACATTGATCAGAAGGCGACATACTCGTGGCGTTCATGTCGTTCAAGCAGAACAGGATTGTGGAAAGTACATGTACAGCCAGGAGAAATACATGGGTAGGCACCTTTTTTGTGCTTGCTTTGATGTCGTCTANNGTCGAATCATCAGCATGCTTAAGGAGCCGCAATGGTAAATCCGAACTACCTCAAGTGTTCTCGACGAGAGTAAACCTGATGCAAGTAAGCAGTGATGCTTGATCGAACGAAGCATTATTGAAATCACCTTTCCACAGAAGACGCATCCATGTTCCGGTCTCCCTTTTGTTCCCTTTCTAATTCTTCCCGTCGACGTTAAATCAGGCAGTGTGATTGCGTGTCTGTAACGAGGACGACCTCTACGCTCGGTATGGGGTTCGAAGGACATCGCTCAGGAAGGAGTCGCAAGCACTAGGTTGTGTCTTCAGATCATGCAAGGTCCAGCGGTGGAGAGAAACGCAACAGACGGTGTAAGTCTGTTTAAACGCAATGTCAACGTGAGTGATGGAGAGAAGTGACAATCACGACTTGAATCCAGGCTCGTTTATGACAAGCCAACGATGCATAGCTCATCATAACAGGACAGACACTGCCGGCTGCTTCTGGCAAGAGGGAACAGTGTGCGGTAGCAGCAGAACGAAGGATCGACAAGGCAACCTTTTCCTTGTTCTCGAAGATCCAGTGTCAATCAAAACATTTTCTTCGAGATTTCGGTGACTCCGAGTGAGCACCATAGCCTCGGTTGGTCCATTCTTGAACAGAGTAGTTCTCTGCATGCCTGAGGACCATCGAACGAAGCCGACAAAGCGATGCACGCTTCCACCTCCACATATCCTATGGTTTATCGTTGAGATAGCTGCAGGAATGGATAGTATCTTCCAAACACGGTTGAGAAGGGCATCGACCAGCTCCTTCGGCCTGGAAGCGGCTTGTAACTGGCAGACATATGCCTCGATGGATCCAATTACTGCAACATGGCCAAAGTGATCGGCATGAGCAAAGAGAAAGGCAAGTATGAGTGGTAGTCTCGGATCGAATTCCTATCGAGACAAACGGGATAGAACATATCCGAAAACTCCAGGCGCTCCTACAGAACCAGGGCAGACCTTCGACCTTGTTTGATTGTCATTTGACAAGTAACCTGCACTTTGTTGAAGTACTCCGCATGTACTTGTGTCGCCCTTAAGAGACAGGTTCAGGAAGTAGGGTTGGGATCATGACCATTATCCACTTCTGGAAAGCTGTTCTCCTCGCAACTGTGGTTGCCAAAGTCGACTGTCGGGTTTTGTCAACCTGGAGGTCCACTATTCTCAAGTAGCTTGATATTAGTCAGATAATACATACCTTTGTACACTAGATCTAGAACTAGAACAACAAACCCCCTCTCAGCATGAGGTAATTGAAAATGACCAGATTGATGGCGTTTAGCAAGCCAGAAGGGAATCCGAGTTCCGGTTCTCGGCAAATGAATCGTCATGCAGTAGTTACGCAGGAAGGAGCCAGGCGGTTCCAACAACCAAACCCCAAACGCGGAAAGTGCAGCATGTCTCGGTTGATGATCTGCAGTCCCATGATGCTTGACTTCAAGGGCCATGCATGTCAACGTGACTTCTTGTTCGTCTGCTGTCCCGAGACAATCTGCACACTCGGCATCCAGACGTTCTAGCTCCGAGTTAGATAGATTGAAAAGGACCGTTTGTCTCTTTCGTTCAATAGGTAACATACTTGCCGCTAGCCTCGTGCACCAGGCTCACCAATTAACGCACCACGAAGGAAACGTCGATAGGACATAAAGACAGAGGATTTGGGTAGCAACATGCAGTTGCGTGGCTTTGTATTATGAAGCTATGAAAGGAGGAAGGCAAAAAGCTCTTCTGATGTCGGAAAGTAAGAGACAAACCGAGCCAACCCTTCCATGTCCCATAGCCATAACCCCTAGTTGAACCGATGTATATCAATCTTGATCCATATTTTCTTTGTGCCGTCATGAATTCCTGTTCGTCATTATGGAACGCCCGCTCGTGATTGAACCAACAAAAATGGACCAGGCGATGCAAAGGGTGTTGTTGCATGCCCATGAAACGCTCTCTTCCCCAAATGCGAAGCTTCGAGCTCGTGATGCAGTTGTCCTGGCGTAGGACGGCGAAGAAGGATGAAAAAGCAAGCAGAATCATTCTGTGTCTGGATGCGTTTACTTCTTCTTGGGGCCGAACATGGGAGCACCAATATTGGAGCCGGTAAGACGGACGTTGGCGGCCTTCTGGATCTTCTGGACAAAGTCCATGCCTGGCCAGTCGGCACCAGGACGCTCGAGAGCGGCGACGTAGGCGACATCGACCGAGGCCTTGGAGGCAAGATCCTTCTGGGTCATGGTGGCGCCCTTGGGGTTCTTGAGAAGCTGGCGGGCCTGCTGGAGTGCCTTGGCGACATCATCCGGCACCTTCTTGGTTGCGACAATGTCCTCGCTGCGGTCGACCTTGGTCAAGTGCTGGCCTTCGATACCCTTGCTGGCTGCNCTGTGTCGCATGTTAGCTGGTTCAAACGACTGGGAGCTGAGTGAAGGTGCTCGACGTACGTTGGCGGTAGCGAACTTCTTCTCAGTGGCAACGACGCCGCCGCTGCGCTGAGCGGCGTTGAGAGCGCTCTTTCCCTTGATGACAGTCTCGCGAGGGCCGGCAGCACCGCCGCGGGCCTTGCTGCCAATCTTGGTGACTTGGTCCCAGTCAGACATGGTGGATGTGAGATGTGTGTTGTATGTGATAGGAGGTTGTGTGGAGAGGTGTGTGGTGGTGGGAGTGTGAGGGCGATTGATGAAGATGGATTGGATTGTATGAGGCAAAGAAGAGACGTCTGAGCAGTTGTGCGAGGTTAACTCTCTGATGTTTCTCGGCGGCGATATGACATCGATTCTGGTCCCTCAAAGGTGCACGGTCCAACTTTCCTTTCTATCGCCTTCTATATCCTTCGCCGCGCGACACCGATATTGCCATCAACGACACCGTTGATAATCGCACTGACTCTCACAAGGCACGGCATTGTTTCCTCCCCATGTGCTAAAGCATGTAACGCGCATAGCTATAGAGACACACAATAGTGTCGAGAAGCAGGACAGCACCCACTGAGACGCAAAATTTCATCAGCTCTCTGTGGCTATACCTTCGATGTTGGGAAATACTGTGTCTCCCTATAGTCCAAAAAGTGCCTTTATGTTGCTGTGAAAGCAGGCAAGGTTACAGACTTTTGTACACGGGGAGGTTGTACAACTCGCTTCTCGTCATCATATGAACTAAGTTTGGTCCTCTCTTGTAGACTGCTTGCACGTACTTGAGGTGTTGAAGTTGAGGCATGTCATTAAGAGTCTCGTCTATACAATAAGTTCTGCAATCCAGCAATGCGACAATCAAGCGACAAAGCGTCGTTCATTCTTCGCACCCATGCCATTCAAAATGTCAGAGCCGAGACCTGATGTTTTGACTGTAGCCACGACAGTGTGGTTCAGGACTTCTCCTACACCCCCAAGAACACTGCCAGTCGCGTTTTGTAGCACATGACCTGTCTGGTTCACAACACCATCGACAGTGCGTATGAGACCTTCTAGAGGATCAACAACAAGGCCACTGATAAGACAGTCTGCCCATTCCAGTGCAGCTCCGACAGGAAGACCAATGGAAGCCGGACGATCAGACGCTAGAATGTCGAAGCCCTTGGTACCTGAAGGATTGTAATTGGGGTAACCAACAGCAGGGAACCCTCCGACCATACCGACGGGTCCGTCACCTGAAATTTCCGAATGTCCAGATAGATCGGGCACACTTGACGAGCTGTCGTACGATCCGGCGCTATTGCTTGAATTGGAGGCGGAGCTGGAGTACGACGACGATGATGATGCAGAATACGAAGCCGTGACAGAACTATACGCCTCGGGCTGATCAATGTGCACTGCACGTTTAGTGTTGCCTTTGGATGCTGTGGTACACTGAGTCTGATCGAGAGGCAGATAAGGAACGTTGCCCTTTTCGTCAGACTTCTTGATCAAGTCTGCAGCCTTTTCGGCAACAGCGTAGATGACAGACTCGAGGTGAGCAGCAGGAACGATCGGGAAAATGCTGGCGTCTACCACACGGATGTTTTGTGTTCCGTATACCAGCAAATTAGAGTCGACGACACCACCATCTTCCCTAGGCATCATGGCTGCCGTACACGATGGGTGGAACTCAGTGCCCAGAGCGCGATTCAAGAACTCCTGGAGTTGAGCATCACTGGCGGCGTGGGGAGGGTCTTTCTGAACTGGCTGGAGAATCTGAAGCTCTGGCTGTTGAAACAACTCGTCGTTGAAACGCAATGCGTCCATCATGACAGCCATATCAACAGGGTTGCTGCCATAACGGAAATCAAGAGTAGGATAATTGAAGGGGTCCGTTCCGTTGATGTGAACATTACCACGAGTGAAAGGGCGCTGGTTGGAAATTTGGGTGTTGCCTGCGTTATCCTGCAGGAACTCGATGACAGCACGCCTGCTGTTGTTAAGAGCAAGAACAAGAAGAGCTCGTTGACGAGCGTAGCCACGGATCACACTCTCATCCAGCCCATTAGCCAGGTAATCTTCATCGGCGAATGATGAGGCGTTCTGAGCAATCTCCTGTGCGCGGTCCGAGATTTGAGGGAGCGAAAAGAAGCCGTTGCCATCTGGAGGTCCAAAGGTATAAGGTCCAGTGCGGTTCTTGTAGTACACTGATCTTGCCCAGTCGTTGATGGTTGAATTCTGCATGATGTTTGGGTACACGTAGCTCTGGTTGTTGAAGCCTTGTGTCATATGCATAAGCATGTGGTCCTGCAAGTTATTGCCTACTCCGGGTAGATTAATGCGGCTTTGTACACCAGCCTTAGCGAGAACACTCTTGTCTCCAATACCAGAGAGTTCCAAGAGCTGAGGAGTACGGAGAGCGCCAGCGGCGAGGATCACTTCTCGAGCGGCCACCGCAGTCCACACCCTGCCGTTGTGTCCAGCTGAGACCTCGACTCCCACAGCTCGGGCGTCCTGGTTTCCAGCAGCACCGCAGCCACCATCAAACAGAACACGGCGGACGTGTTGGCCAGTGGAGACATAAAAGTTCTCACGCCCAGCGACTGGATCCCATCGGGCGCGACGTGCGTCTGCACGAGACTGATTTACTTGAGAAATGCCTTGAGGGAGGAACATGGCTCCCTTCTCGGTCGGTGCCGCAGGATCAGGCTGTGTCGGTACTCCTATGCGGTTCAGAGCAGCAAAGAAATGCTGGCTCGCGGGGTATTGAAATGCCGGGAACGAAACATTCTGCGGACCAGATTCGCCATGCTGAGAAGCATCGTACCCTTGGCCATAGGTCGTTGCGATCTCATCTGAGGACTGTTGATTGAAAGTCTCACTCNNTGTATGTTGTTAGCAGATGGATTCCGTTAAACGCAACATCGCACTTGCCCTCTGAAAGAACTCAAGAAGTGAATCGTAGTCCCACCCGTCGTTTCCAAGTTTCGACCAGGTATCGTAGTCTTCTTGATCGCCACGATTCCATAGCATAGCATTGATGAGCGTACCACCGCCCAAGCCTTTGCCCTGTGGTATTGTTCTACTGCCACCATCAAGGTAGGTTTGTGCAACAGTTTGGTCACACNNCTGCTCTTTCGTCAGTGATGTGTCTAGCCGTGTCCATGTGCATCATGCTTCGTACCAATTGAATCCACCACATTTCCCATTGACGGATCCAGCTGCACCTTGATAGTATGGGATCATGATGCTCTCGGGATAGTTATCGGCATCCCCAGACTCGAGTAGTAGGACTTGGACGTTGGCATTTTCGCTAAGACGGTTCGCAACTGTGAGGCCTGCCGGACCGCCACCAACCACGATGTAGTCGAAAAAATTGTTGTCCGGTAGAGGAACATTGAGACCCCCAGCGATGGCTTGGGCTGCGAGGAGTCCAGTGATGGCTGTCAAGTGGTATTTGGCCATCTTGGTTTTCTAGATTGTTGCCAGTACTCGATAGGATCTGAAAATGAAAGACGAATGATACAATGATCAGGTTCAAGAAACAGTGATTTGAACAGTAGCAAAAAGATTGAAAGAAAGACAGAACGAGAGGCACAAAAGCTCCTGGCTTCTAGAAGGTCATGAGAACCTACCTTTTAAATCTCGAGTTTCGGCTGGAAGAATCATCAGGATACGATTGCTGATCACCAAACACGAGCGGTCCTACCAGATGGAGGCCGCCAATGCTTGTATCAAGACGGCTGACGAAGACACTTCGGGACGCGGCTGTGTGTGCCTCTGCACGACCCCAGTTTCCAATGGGCAAAGATCGCCAGGAACACAGCACCCATTGTGGTATGCCCAAGACCGGCAAGATGCGTGGAAAGATGCCACACAAAACATGCATATCTAAAGTTGTATCATAGAGCTATTGGTTGCTCAATTGAGCGCTATACCGATTGTTGAGAGATCCTTGCAACAGACTGGTGACGAGTAATGAAGGATTGATTCCTTTGACCAAGGCCATGTATCCGGGACACCCAATTGTTTGCTACGCAGAGGCTTCGAAACTTGCGGCCAAGTCAAGGTTCGTAAACGAGCCCACGCGTGATCGTCACCGGGGAAAGCACGCGGCCCTTGTTTCAGTATGAAACTGAGACAGCTAACTGCTCGGTCAGCCTTAAGATCTGCCATATTTGACGGGTCAGTGTCGATACCTATTTTGTTCAAATTGATTGCGTCTGTTTTCAAGCAAAAATTCAGAAAGATCTTGCCGTGATGACGCGATTCAAGTGACGCAGCGTCATTCACGGCCAGAGATCCAACCTGTGATCTTCAGTGCTCGTTCAAGGCAAGCCCAGTTCGAGGCAAGCCCATAAGAATATTGATGTTGGTCTTCCAATACGATGTGATAACGACAACTTGCCTTGGTTAGATCCTTGCTAGCAGAGTGTTATTGCATTCTTCTAGAATTTGTGTCCAAGTTTTACCGACGCGTAAGGCTCCGCGGTTCCGAGTCGTGTGCGAACGGCTGTTTTGTCGTATGCATCAAGAGTCAGGTTGCAGAGCTCGAGCACGAACTCTCCCCAGCCAGAAGAGTAGTGATATATTTGCGTCTGTTGCGGGCTGCTGCAACTCCTGAGCGGAGTGTCGCAAGCAGCGCGAGGTATTTCCGGCGCCATTGTACACGAGACAAGTGGCGATTTGGTGCTCTTATCGTGGTAACATCATCTTACGTGCTCGAGTCTGTGGCTCGCAGAAACATGGACACTCAAGCACTAGAGGATGTTCATCTCCATCGCGGCGTGTCAAGCCGGGTTGTATATTGTGTTGTTGGACACAGCTGAGGACCAAGGTGTTTGGTGTTGTGAGAAGAAAGAGAAGTCTGACAAAGAACGTGGACATCGTAGGACATCGTGCGACTGCCCAGTGGTTTTGTTGTCCGACTGCAGGCGTGCCTAGCAAAGTTCAACCACCTCAACGTCTTTACCTCACCGATGCCGACCACATCGATGCCGTTGGTCGCTGGAGCGTACATATTCGATGCAGAAATGCCGTTTTCCAAGTAGCTCTCCATGACCTTGATTCCGCGGACCCAACCGGTCCTGCATATGGATTAGTAGCTTGACCAGCTACCTACGCTTGAACAAAAACCGAGACCTCTATACACATGCAACCATTCCTCGAGTTCCTTTGATGAGTACCTCCGATTCATGTCTGATCTGACTGTTTGCACATGATTCTCATAGAGGCCATGGCTCTCGAGGTGTCAGAAACGAAGGTGCATGAATGGAACTCGCAACGAACCTCGGCATCTTTCGGCTTCATCAAGCTCCTCCTTTGCGGCCGTACGCAGCAATCATTGATTCCAACACCAAGGCACGCAGAGGGTTAATCGAAACGAAAGTCTTGGTAGAGCCTCATAAAGGAAGGAAGGGTGTATGATACTTAAGCCAAGTGTGGGACTGCTTCTGCGAGAAGGTGACATATCTTTCTCTTTCGCTCTTTCTGGTTTACTCCATCGCAACCTCTGAATACAACATCTTGACAACTCTGCAATCATGGCACCAACATACGACTACGAGTATTTCAACGTCACGTTCCCTGGAGAGTATGTCGCACAGGTCGAGATCAACAGGCCGGAGAAGATGAATGCCTTCAACGAAACGTACGTAAGGACCTCTTCTTGACCATCACCTCCTTGCACGAGTCATTTATCGGGCTGTCCAACGATCTTCCACTGCACATGTTTACGGCCGGTATGACCTAGAAACTAATGGTAGACCAGTATGTGGAAGGGTATTGGCCACATCTTTGAACGCCTATCCCACGACCAAGATGTACGCTGCGTGATCTTGACCAGCGCAGGCGACAAAGCCTTCTCGGCAGGTCTCGATGTGCAATCAGCATCGGAAAGCGGAGTCTTGTCAGGGAACAGTGGACTCGATGCTGCAAGAGTAGCACAGCGCCTTCGTCACCACATCGACGAGTTCCAAGCAAGCATCAGCCAGATTGAGAAATGCGAGAAGCGTGAGTCACAATATACTGTCGAAGGTACCAAGACTAGAAACTGATGATTGTTGGAATAGCCGNTGATCGCTGTACTACATGGAGTCTCCTTTGGCCTGGCACTAGACATGACCCTCTGCGCCGACATTCGTATCTGCGTCTCTACCACCCGATTTGCAGTCAAGGAAGTCGACATCGGACTTGCAGCAGACATTGGCACTCTGTCTCGTCTGCCCAAAGCCAACGTTCCCATGTCATTCATCAAAGACGTTGCTCTGACAGCAAGAATATTTACTGCAAAGGAGGCTCTTACTGTTGGAATTGTGTCTGCTGTCTATGACACGAAGGCCGAGGCTCTGGCCGAGGCAGTCGAGAAAGCGAAGCTGATTTCCAGCAAAAGCCCTGTGGCTGTCATGGGCACGAAAGAAGTCTTGAATTTCTCGAGGGACCACTCGGTGCAGGATGGTATGTCTGATGTCTTCACACTTACTCCTTCTTTATGTGCTGACGATGCGTGCTCCTAGNGCTTGAGATATGTGTCAGTCTGGAACGCAGCATATTGCAATACTTCAGACGTGACCGACTCGTTGACAGCAGGCATAAAGAAGACGAAGCCTGTGTATGCGAAGCTCTAAGCGTTACACGACAAAGGAAGACGTAATGGAAGAAGTGGACAGGATTTGCTGTTCAGATATGTATGACCCAAGGTCTTAATTCGACATGAGTATATGTATAATAGTCCTTTTCCCAAGATCTCGCAGCACAGGGTATCAAAGAAGAGTGGAAAGCGCAAAGGAACAGTAGTCTATGGTAGTCGCCTAAGCGCAGCCGAGCTATTCTCAAGACCATCCTCGAAGCCAATGGCTCTGGCAAGGCTGATGGCTTCCTTGTAGTGCTTCTTGGCTTCGATAATGTCCTTGTTCATTTCAGCAAACTCACCTNNAGAAAGGGTCAGCAATTCGTATACGGCAAGCAATGTCTAGATAGAGGACGTACCAAGGTTGTGTAGTGCAACAGCACAGCCTACATCGCACTCCTCATCGCGAGCCGGCGGCTGAATATCAGCAGCAAGGTCGAGGGCCTTTTGAGCCCACTGCTTAGCATTTTCAACTAGGACAGCTTGTGGCGGAGACTTTGTCCCATCGGTTCGAGGAGGGTTCTGCTGGGCTATGGAGATGGCAAGATTGTTCATCAGAATTACACAATGGCAATCTTTGTCGGACTTGAAGTTCAGAGCTTGCAGAAAGAGTGGAGTGGCCAAATAGTGCTTGTCTTGTTCTTCGTAGTTGTGAGCAAGGGCCTCCATAGAGGCGCCCATCTCGTTGTCGGACATCCACTCGCCCTCTTTCTCCAAAACACCTGGCTCTTGTCTCCGTTGCTTCTCCCGTAGCGACGTTTCCAAAGCCCAAACCAGTCTCTCCTCGGCTGACTTGGCATCCTGGACGTATTGGTTCGAGTACAAATCGCCGAGCTTGACGGACATAGCAACAAGCTGCTTCATGATACGTGTGCGCTTTTCCTTATGGTCGTCGAGCTGACCAAACTTCTCTTCCCAAGCCAGACAGTCGTTTCTAAGAATCTCAAGGACTTGGATGGCCTTGGGGTAGTTCTGGATCTTTTCCATCAAGGCCGAGACCTGAATCTTGACGCCGATGATTTCGTTGGAGAAGGGGTCCATGCCGAGGTCATTGGCAATCTCGAGACCTTGCTTGTAGTACTTGAGAGCATTCTTGGCGTCTAGATCGATGTTTGTGTAGTAGATGGCTCGACGGAGCTTCTGGGCGACAGGCTCGGGGTAGTTGTGGAACGAGGCGATGATGTAGGACGAGTAGAGGTAGTTGGCGTAGGCGATGCCAGCAGAGCCGGCGAGAATGGCAGCGGCTGCCAACGAGACCAGGTAGGGGTGGGCAGCCCAGAGTTCTTTGGCGCCGCGGGAGAAGGAGGCTTTGGCACGAGACTGTTGCCATCCATGTGATGTTTTGCTGTGGAGGTTGATCTGAGGTCGTGTCTTGGGCTGGCCGAACAACGAGAGACAGCGTCTGCTACCAGTCCGGAGGCTCAGGCCGCCCCGTAAGGCGTTTGTTGCTGGTCGTGAGAACATGGCGTCGATGGGTGTTGTAACAATTCAAAAGCTTCGAGCTGCCATTGAAGAAAGTGCTTCGCTTTCCGACGTCATCGATTCCATATCCATTTCCACCGCCACCGCCCCTCGACTTCTAACATCCAATCCACCATCTGAACAAGACATCTCTAACATGTGTGGCCGATACGCGCTGTCGCTGCGCCCGTCAGCAGTGCGCCGTAGACTGCAAGACGAGAACATGCCCGCCGACGACGCTCCTGACGACGACGACAACGACACTCGCCAAACATACAACTTTGCTCCTGGAAACCACGGCTTGGTCTATCGCGCTGATGTCCCCGACTCGGGAGCTGGAACCCAGCCACAAGACAAAGACAAGTCCGAAACTGTCGACGGAGCTGCCACCAAAGAGACTCGTTACAAGCTCCAGTCCATGAAGTGGGGCCTCATACCATTCTGGACAAAGAGAGCACCCGATTATCCCAACATGATGCGGACCATCAACTGCAGAGACGATTCGCTCGCCACTCAAGGTGGTCTCTGGAACACCATGAAGCAACGCAAGAGGTGTATCGTTGTATGTGAAGGTTTCTACGAATGGCTTAAGAAGAACAACGGAAAGGATCGAGTTCCCCATTTTGTCAAGAGAAAGGACGGCCAGCTCATGTGCTTTGCTGGCCTTTGGGACTGCGTTCAGTACGAGGGCCAGTCCGACAGGCTCTACACCTACACCATCATCACAACTGACTCGAACAAACAACTCAAATTCCTTCATGACCGCATGCCTGTTATCTTCAACAATGGCTCAGACGCCCTCAAGATCTGGCTCGATCCTGCGAGATCAGAATGGTCAACCGAGCTGCAATTTCTCCTCAAGCCCTACGATGGTGAACTCGAGTGCTATCAAGTCGACAAGGCTGTCGGCAAAGTCGGTAACAACTCTCCATCCTTCATCATTCCTATTGACAGCAAAGAGAACAAGAACAACATTGCCAACTTCTTCGGCAATCAGAAGAAGCAGCCTACAACTGCCAACAAAGAGAGCGTAACAAAGAAAGAGGAAGTCGATCTCCAGTCGACCGACAGCAGAGTCAAACAAGAACCTGACGAAGACCGCGCTACCGTAATTGATCCTCAGAACACCGAGGACAATGCTCCGCGTCCTCAGGCTGGTCACTCTGTGCAAAACAGCGAGTCGATCGCAGTTAAACGTGAGCATTCGCCCGACATTGTCGATGATCAAGAACCATCCCCGAAAGCTCAGAGGGCGGCCGATGGCCAAAGATTCACTAGTCGCTCTGTTCACGGCCGTACCATGAGGAGCTCTATCACCAACAACACTCAAGCTAAGTCACCACCTAAAGCCAAGGACGGCTCTCAAAAAATCACAAACTTCTTTGCCAAGTGAATTGATATTGGATTGCTTGCCACATCAATATTCAGCATTCGTCTATCCTGACATATGCTCTATTGCCTTACATGTCAGCATCAACATTTGTACTACAAAATGCAAGTGGCTGTCGCGTTGTCTACGCAAGGGCCAGACCATGTCGTACAGTAGCAGCGTGAACAGATTTCCGATTGCGATGACATGAGGGGCATGTTGTCAACAGAGAAAATGGAAGGGGCTTAGGGCTGAATGGTTCATGACATGCTGCCCTATGCGTTCGAGGACGTCAGGCATGTTGTTGGTCAGAGGCTCAAGCAGCGCAAGCCCCTTGCCTCCGGACCAGGGGTCGTCAAGAATTAGATCGCCCGTTCGGCGAAAAGGATAGATTGACATTACTCAAATCCCACGTGTCTGCCACAAGTGGGCCAGACACTAGATCGAATCTAGCCGAATTCGGTCCATGCACGAATTGGCATGCTGAGAAGCGATCCTGCAGCTCTAGTTTTGCGTCTGAGGGTCTCCTTGCCTCGGTCGTCTGGCACAGAGCTCGTGTATTCGCTCAATACTCCCTGTTTTATATGTCACAGCGGGACCCAAAACCTAACAAGAGTTTTAAAGGCGGTCTTTGATGTGTACTTGGCGACAGGCATGAGAGATTCCTTGACATGGTGGCATCTTTCGGACCGCAAGCGACTGCCGAGCGACTGGCGGCTTTCTCGAATGCTTCTCCCGCAGCCCGCTCTTCTCCAGAAAGCGCTTCTGCCTGCTTCGATTGGCCCTGAAACAAACGACGAACAACACGCGACCAGCTCAGGCGCGGCCGTTACATGCATGATGGTGGGAGCGCTGATGAGCCTCCATCTTCAAAAGTTGATTGGCGCAAAGGTTACGTCCATGGTGCTGTGGCTGCTGCAGTGTTTCGGCAAGTCCGGTTTCCAAATCTCCTGCATTGTACTGTACATGGCATGCAACTCATCCTGTAGTGATTTCAGCAGCATAGCTATCCTTGACAAAGCCGAGTCTAGACAGTCACTTCAGATAGAGGCTTGATGAGACATTCACGGCTCTCTTCAGTATGCATGTAATTATAGCATTGAGCAAGGACAAAGAACATTGACACACTCCAAGACCCTCGTTGAGAGATCTATTGCTTCGACAAGCGATCGTGTACAACGGTACCGCGTTGTGGAATGGACTGTCTTGAGCATCCATCACAACAATATCGACGACAAGTTCGCTGGGTGTGGTGCGGTCTTGTCCGATGATTTGATATGTCTTTCATACCTGGCTCGGCCCGTGCACGGACGGAGCTCGCGTTCGGTTTGTCCCTGCGCCTCTACACATGGCCCCGTTTCTTCCATGTCCTCTTAGAATCAAAACCCATGAATACCAACTTTCTTCCAGCCTCATCGCCTGTGTATGCAGTCATCGCCTGCTACTTGCGCCTTGTCGTATACTCCGTGGGGCTCTCGCCGTGCCCAGACCTTGCTCAAATCAAATCGCGGCGTACACAGATATTGTGACTAGGATGAACTGATTAGAGGTTCCGTTCCTTTGGGTCGCTCGTTCGGAGGTGCTGTGTTTTATTATGTGCCCTACCGGTCGTTGAATTACTCTTTTTCCAGACTACCATCTGCTCGTCCTTTTACTCTGCTTCTATACTTCTACGTTCCCCACCACAGCACAGACAAGCAAACGAACCTTCTCTCGTCACACCATCCGTTTCCATGTCCACGTTGTCTTGACCAGCTTCACCTTTCCTGCCATCTCTCCAAAATAACACCCTCTTCGATCATGTCCTTCCTGTCGGCCCTCCTCTCGGGGAGCCAGAACCAGATATCGACTCGACAAGCGCTGTTGGTCGTTGGCCTGCAAAACGATTTCACATCCCCCGATGGCAAACTGCCTGTCAACACGGCTACAGGATATCTCGAGAGGATCAAAGAGCTCGTCCCTGCCTTTCGCGAATATGGAGAGATCTTCTGGATCACAACCGAGTATCGTGGCAAGCGCGCCGTCAACCACCCCTCAGGTTCTGGCTGTATGGTGATCGCAGATGATGGTTTTGTGCTACCAATGGTCAGCAGCGACGATGAGATGAACGACTACCCTTCCCGTCCATCGGCAAGATCGAATCGTCGTATCAACCAGCTTGTCCAACGAACCATGAACAGAGCAGCAGAACTCGAAGCAGACTCTGCATCCTCCTCGACTGTCGACCAAGATCTCTTCCTCTCGCAGGACAACCCAGAAGACAACTGCTGTCTGCCAGGAAGTTGGGGCGCTGAACTATCATCAGAAGTCAATGACTTGGTGTCGCCTAGAGACGTCAAAGTCGTCAAGTCGTACTACTCGGCCTTCACATCCTCGTCTCTACTACTCATGCTGCGCGCAAAGCTCATCACCGAAGTCTACGTTGTTGGATGTACCACAAATCTTTCCGTGTACGCTACGGCTCTGGATGCTGCGCAGCACGGTCTGTCGATCAATCTCGTCGAAGACTGCCTCAACTACAGACTCAAAGACAGACACGACCGGGCTGTGCAGAAACTTGTGGAGATCATGGGAGCATCCGTAACAACCTCGGCGTCTGTCTTGTCCAGACTCAGAGGTGAGACACATACAGATGAGTCTGGCAACGAGAATGGAACAGGGCAATCTGATGTTGACATGGAAGACCAGCCAGGAACCGTACGTGAACCCTCCTTATCCAGCGGCCTTGAGCGCTATCTCGAGAGCCTGAACTTGCGCGATAACCAATCCCGTGTAACAGACGGCGCAAAACACACTTCCCTTGAGCATGCAGAACCTACAGGCTCTCAACTTCCAGACACGGCAAATTATCGACGCCAGCCAAACACAAGGCTTGCTGGAGCCCGACAACACCATGATGACACACAGAACGGAAGGAGCCAGCCAAAGTCGCGCATGATACAGGATGAACATGCTGACACGATACCGTATGGAACATCTCGAGGCGCTTCTGAAGATGTATTGTCGAACGATCGAGGATATTTGCACAAGGGCTTGAGTTCGCTAAAGTCTCATGTGGTGCATGACTCACACTCAAAGGCACCCTCGAACGATCCGATGGAGGCAGAACTCACTCCTGGACACATTGATACATGCAAAAGAACTACAATGGACACTGCCCCCGCACCACCGAGGCGTGTGTCGCGCAAGTTGCAAATGAGACAGAAGAGCACCACTCTACTTGGTGCTGACGACAAGATCGGAAGCGGCGATTCGAAGATACTCTACAACCTGCTCGAGCCCGAAGCTACCAAGGTAGCGTTTCAGGACTTATTCACCGAGGTCCACTGGCAGCGTATGTACCATGCCGCTGGCGAGGTGCCACGACTAGTATGCTGCCAAGGCGACATCGATGATACGGATGGTAGCATGCCTGTATACCGACATCCCTCAGATCAATCGCTTCCTCTCTTCCGCTGGAGTCCGACCGTCAGCAAGATCAGAGAGAGAGCTGAAGAAAGAGTTGGACACAAGTTGAATCATGCTTTGATACAGCTGTACAGAAGCGGGCAAGACCACATCTCTGAGCACTCGGACAAGACACTGGACATCCTGCATGGCAGCAAGATCGCCAATGTCTCGCTCGGTGCTCAACGCGCTATGAGGCTCCGCACGAAGCGTCCCACAACCTTGCAGGATTCAGGAACGATTTCCGACAAACAGCGAGCTGGCCATGCAGCTCTCACAGCCGATGTGCAGATGAAACAGGAAGACGACCGCTCTCGCGTCACACAACGCATCCCTATGCCCCACAACAGCATGTTCGTCATGGGTCTGGAGACAAATGGGTCTTGGCTGCATGGAATTATGCCGGACAAGCGTCCAGCTGCAGAGCACATCGCTGCCGAGTCCGCCTATGGCAACATGCGCATCTCGATTACTTTTCGGCTTATCGGCACCTTTCTATCGGCCGACTCGAAACTTATCTGGGGCCAGGGCGCTGTTGCGAAAGAAAAGTCACAAGCGAGACCAACCATCAATGGACACCCTGAAGAGAGTCAGAAACTTATCAACGCGTTCGGGATCGAGAATCAAGTTACAGCTCCTGAATGGAACTGCGTGTATGGATCAGGATTTGATGTGCTGCACCTCAAGTCCGAGCTGCCCGAACACGAAAAGCCCATGCTGTTTCTGTCTGGCGACGAAACCACAGATGCTGCTGTTACAGCTCATCTCTCAGAACTCAATATTGATGTCGAGACGATCACATCTCCCGCGAAGCAGTTGACCGATGGCCTTACGGATGCAAATGGGGATCTTCTGGCCGTGACAGCAGCGCACCAACGTACCATCTGCTTTAGGCAAGCAGGAGGTATGCACATTGAGGTGCAAGGCAAGAATGCCATCTTTAAGTTCTTAGAGGAAACTTATGGAAAGAACACAAGATCACTTGTCTAAGAAGAGGACCGGAGTGACGAAGGAAGGTGAATAGATGCTCCTGTAGACCTTTTGAACGTTCTTTTTCTTACATAGTAACCTTTGGTATCAGTTCACAAGCTGTTAGACCGGCGCTCAGCATGTCTCATCACCCTAGCCACCAGCGCTCGGGGAGAGATACTCTCACTTCTCTCCAGCGACCATGCAAATACTCACGGTATGCACTGCCATCCGAGTGTATCTGCCCCCTCCCATTCCCAAACCATCTCAACAGCCAAAACAGAAAGTCGTAATCAAGTCTGAACCAGGCATACCGTACTCTGCACCGGTGGCGTCCACTTCTTTCCCTGCAGACGAGTCTCAGGAGCCTGCCATTCAAACTCCAATAAAATCTGCTCCTCTCCTACATCCAACGTTCAAGCCCTGGACTCCGTCTTTGTCTGTCGCTACTCCTGCAATGGTTCCCGTCCAGCCATCCACCGAGCTGCCCCAAGAAGATGCAACTGTGCAACAGCCTCAGCTTCCGGACCAGGATTTTGGCGTCCCAACAGCACTCAACCTTCCAGACATCGAATATCTTCTAACGCCCCTCACAAACGCCCACTTGTCTGTTAACGGCGAAGACAATCTGGACTTTGTACACTTCATCACTCGCTACATCAACCCAAACAAGCGAGACGATGGTCATGTCAACATCCTCCTCGACCAAATAGTGGTGTGGGACGCAGTCAGCGACGACGACAAGTACGACATCATCGCTGGAACGTACATGTACACCAGACGTTACGACCTCGTCACCCGTGTCAAAGTTGGTGGCAGTGGTGAGGCCCTCCACCTTACCCAGCATCCCTTGCTGCTAGCATCCAAAGGTGCAAGAAAGGAATGGCTCTTCGACTTCTACGCATGCAGCAAGTTTGATGTCACCTCCGACATGGCCATCGACGACTTTGAGCAGACCGAGCTTACATGCGCGCTTCGCATGCTCGGCCAGAACCTGACAACAGCCCTATTTGCGAGACCTGTTGTCCACAACTTCAAGTCTCTCACCATTCCCTTTGTCAACTTCGAGTGAGCTTCCCTCGATGCACTTCTTGATTGGGTAAAGCTCTCGATTGGTGGCCGCATGAACTCAAACAATCTTATGGAGCCTGGCATCGCCGCCAACTGGAACTTCAACATGAGGCCGATACCTGCCGATCTGGCCGTGTCTGAAGAACTCGGAGCCCTAATACGTGGTCTCCAGCAATTTGCCGTCCAGATTGCCAATCGTCCTCGCGAGGAAAGGGGCAATGTTCGCTCCCAAGTGTCGAAGCGGCTCGCGGACTATGAGGAGGTTGAGACAGCTCCTGTCCAGCGTGGAAAGCTCAGGCTGGGAAAGTTGACAGGACATTACTTCAAACTTGTAGCTGATTAGGTCTGCTGATGTAGGTTTCTTTCCTTTGTTAGGCAGCATACAGCTTCCAAGAATGGCACCAAAGTTTCTACGCTCTCATCGATATTAGAGTGCCCCAGGTCGGCGGTGAGGTTTGGTGAGAATTATCAAGAAGGAAGGCGCGCCTGCCTACCTCTACGACTTTCCACCTTGACCACTTTCCACCCCTGTGCTTTCCCTGTCTTTCTTTGCGATCGACGCTATGACCATACAGCAGCACCATTCGCCGCACCGCTCACACAAGCTGCGCCTTCCTTTCCACCTACATCTCCAGTTCGATCTAGGCGCAAACTTTCACACCGGAAGACTTTGAAGCCATGCAGGCCCCGGAGCTGATGTTGGCACAGGCACTGTTGGTCTCTCCCAATCACTACACCTCGGTTAAGGCTGACTTCCAACCGGGACGCGCCTTGATGCACCGACGAAGGAACGGCTACGGGCAGGCATACCAAGAACACTTGACGAAACCATCTATATCAACTACTCTCCGACTCGCCCCGCCACCACAAGCCCAGACATCCCAGCACTTGGCTTCTCGCCAGAATCGAAATCGATCTTTCCATGCCAAGCCAATGAGCTTTCCAATATCTACTTTCTCCAAGCCCTAAGCTACGCCAACCAACATATAACTACCAAGCACGACAAACGTCTTGACGGTCTTCATGTGTCAAACTCGACCACTCCGACACTCAGCTTCTCAACAGAATCCAAATCTATCTTCCAGCCCAAGTATAATGACACACTCTCCACCGCCGGCACCTCTGAACTCAACCTTGAGGCAGACAACACACCTACACCCGGCGACCTTGACATTGATGACAAAGCACCTCCTGGAACATATTCTATCGCCAGCGTTCGCAAGTTGGCCTTTGGTAGTACTACATCAGCTGCCGAAATACCTGGCAAGGCACAAAACGGACCACAGTGAAACAGAAAGTGGACAAGATGCGTATATGTTCCTGTAGACATTCCCAACATTGGTCTTCTCCCACAGCAACCCTGACTTTATCTTCGAATCCACAGCAAAGGTGCCATCTTACTCTGAGTGAGAACGAGTAAGCGCGTATCGTTCGGTCTTCGACCCAAGATGTTAAGAGAGCGCCTTGACTGTTGTGATCGACATACCTCTTTCGAGCCACCTCTTGTTCCAAACTGGCACCCTCAGTTGTATACCAATACAGGCCATCCTTGTACATAGTTGATGTAATTCCATCCCAGCAATTTGAGCTCGTCGAGGTACAAAGGGTTCTGGATGGTGTTGACATAGTGGTAGTACAAGACATCACGTCCGTGGTAGTTCGTCAGAACAGCCTGACCACCTGGACCGTAGACGTAATCATGGCTGCCATAAACAATGTATCCGCCACCATTCTTAAGATCTACACCGTTGCGATCGACGAAAGGTCCAGTGGCTGATCTGGAGCGACCAACACGGATGGAATATCTAATACAAATCAGAACGAAGTAAGAATGGCATGGAATGTGGAAAGAGACTTACTCCTGACCAGGTGCAGGTAGGGCAGAGACATTGTAGCCACAGCATGAGCCGTGACTGTACCAGAGATAGTACCAACTATCATGCTGGCTCAAGTACGCGCCCTCTTCTGCCTGCGGGCTTACGGGATCTAAGCTCAGCTGTGTAGGTGAGGGGGACCATACCACGCTAAGCAAGTCTCGGGCCAGCTGGAACTGCCATATGTCGCTCCAGAAGCTGCCGTAGGTGAGATAAGGGATCTTGGTCTTCGGATCGATAAANAGGTTCGCATCGATTGCGTTGGTGATGTTCAATGGCGAAGGTGCAGTGGTGTTCGAAGTGAGGACGGCGCCGTGATCAGTCCAACTACCAGGTCTCAGTGTCTTTGAAGTAGCAAGTCCAATGCTAGAAAATTGGCTGCCGAATTGCGAGACGGCGTAGTAGCAGTAGTATGTATCGCCGACCTTGTGTACATCAGGAGCCCAAGGGTCGGTGCTTCCGGTGTTGTTGATAATACTGGAACTCTTGAGAACCGAGCCAATAGGTTCCCAGTAGCCATCCAGAGAGTTAGGCTGTGAAGCTCGGCTGATGACAACCAATCCATGGGTTGAGAACGAGTAATAATGGCCATCAGGGCCCATCACGATCTAGTAACGATTAGTCTGATGTCGAAAGGACGACCACCGATCTATGTAACACACCGATGGGTCGTGTAGATGAACACCACCCCAACCATCGTAGCTCTGATTAGCTCCAGGATTGGACACGCCAGTTATGTTATGAGGCAGAGGCCAGGAAGCATTCGAGAAAGGATCAGGCTTGTTGTTTGAGGGTATGGCTACTGCTTGGGTTGCCAGCGAGGCCACAGCAAGGGCGCCGATCTTGGTGATCAGAGAATACATTTGGAAGATCTGTCGCGTGGTTAATATTGCTGAGTGACAGGCACCTGGTCTCTTTATATGTCGTCGACAGCCTTATGCCAGGCATATGGGAATGGTCCAGGTACCATTCCCCACCGGAGGGCCCAGACATGCCGCATAGATACGTGATTCCTTTCGACTTGCCCTCAACTACTCGGACAAGTATAGCCTTTCCATGCAGTTGCTGGATGAATGTGTAGGTGTGTGGGGCCCCAGAGGCGGGGTAGTTGCATGGGGATGTCTTGATTTCTCCGTGTTTGGCAGGGCAAGAACACAAGAAGGCGTCAATCCTGGTCATATTATACCGATGACGGACCATTCGAGGCTCAAAGGCGGCTTTCGACGGCAGGATCGATGCATAGAGTTAGGCGCGGTGCAGTTGTCAAGCAAGCTGTTCCTACTTCAGGAGGCGGAGAAGGTCCGTTCGGTTGAATCGATCGCTACTTCCATTATCAACATCGGTTGAATCTGGTCTTGTATCCGTACAGGAAATTCTGTGGTTTTACACATGGCGCATAGAAAGCGTGGTCTAGGTGAAATTCAAGGCTGTTGAAACGGAAGCCAACACACTCCATACCTACATCTTTCCAAGAGGGTGCGATCTCGCCTCGCGTCTCAACAATTTGACGGACCGAGCTATTGACATCTATGAAAATTCGATTCTCGAAGATCGATATAGACAGCATGCCTCCTTCTTCTGGTACATGGATGCGGCCATCGATGCTGTCGCTCATGCCACGGTACATGACACACCAGCATCAACAACACATTATCAAGAATGCGTAATCTTCACTGCTCTGGTCCCGACAACAGAACATATAGATGAGATGAGCCAGCAGGAGATCATTATGGCCGCTCAATGGGTCACGTCAGAGCTTGCCGCCACCGTCGACCATCTACTCACGAAAGGCTCTATCCCAGCTGGTCGCTATTTTCCATGAGCTCACGTGAATAAGACAGATACGTCTGTGGCCTTTGCCTGCAATCCGCTTGGGTGTCATTGGATCGCCGTTCATATCACCAAAGGAGGTGAGATGTTTGTCTCTAACTCCTTGGTCAAGAATCAAGGAACACGTCTCGCAATGGCGACACTCGACAAAGCTCTACCGTTGTTCGTCGCTCTGCTCTGCATGCGCCCTGGTTGCAATTAGGACCAGGCCGCCTTCACAACTCTTACGTGGTTCAACTGGACGTCCCGCAACAGAAGAATGGGTCGGACTGTGGCCCCGCTACACTCGCCAATATCGTCCATACGATCAAAGACGAACCACAGGAGAAGGCTGTCGATGAATACGCTCTTCATCTCTCGTATCTTCGCGTGCTGTTACTGTCAGTTCACCAGACAAAGACACCATCGCAGTCTGTGTCCTCGACAGACGTCCCGACAACAGTCTCTGTCGAATCCCGACCACTCTCCATTCCCTCCATAGTACATAATGATGTCAAGAGCACAACTTCTCAACCAGGACAAAACTTGCAGCTCCCGATTTCGGGTCGGAAGCATTTCCAGCTTGGACTCCAATTGTTATTTGGAACGCCCTGGATACAAAAGACGACCCAGTAAGAACTATGGCATATGTAACATCAACCCTTGTCCCACAATATCTTCCTTCCGAGGACTGTCTTAAGCGTGGCCGAACCCTGGAGGGTCTTTTCATGAACTCTCCACACTTTTTCTCCCACCCTGATCAGACGGTTGTGTTGTTGCATGGAATCAGATCCCTGGACAGTTCGGCCCTTCTTGATGCACTCAACCTACACATTTCAGTAGACTACACTACTAGAGTGTTGGATATGGCGAAGTCTGTAGACTACACGTTCGTCGTTCTTGTCGAAAGGTTCAGTCCCTTCAACGCGGTCGCTCCAGATGACCCAGACAACATCATAGGCCGCCGATTGATGTCGCTATGGGAGGCAGCTTCTCGACCTGGAAAGGAGCCCTTAACGATGTCGGCCAGACCCGATGCACCGCTTGAGATGCCAAGTTATCTCTGAGGCGATCAAACCTGGAGAGCCTCGCGCTGAGGTTACCCTCGTTACAAGCGGTTTAGACAGGGCAAAGCCAAACACATTATCATGGCCTGCTCTCTACGTCAAATTTCCCAAACTCCATTTCAGCCTGCATACATTCGTTCCATCAGACATCAACCATGCGTCCGTCCCAGTCCCTGCTAGTGGTGCTACTCGACGCCGATCCCCTTGCACAACTGTATCGTCCTCTTCCACATGAGTGGAACAACATCGTCAAGCCTGTTGCTGCCAATCTAGATATGTGTGACGAAGAGAGCATTGCCGTCCACCGACAGTTCTGAGATCTTCAGATGACAAGTCTTCGCTGGCGTCTAGCGGGCACAGCAGTGAATATTTGGTAGATTAAACGATGAGACATGCGGCTATCTCGACAACTTTTGAGGATTGTTTTTAGCAAGTATACCTCTCGATTTGCTTGGTGGGTTAAGGCGGGTTTGCTTTGAGAAGCTTTGCATCATTGAACCTTGATAATCATGCTTGTCATTTTCCGTATCCTTCTATGTAGGGGTTCGCTTCCATGAAAGCACTGAGCAAATCGAATCTGTCTCGTTCCCATCGTATGATCTCACTGTGCCTGTATGTTCCCGTGTCTCGTATAGCTTTACCACTCTGTCCATCCTCCCATGCCTCCACGACCTTTATACGCGTTCTTGCCCAGATTTACACTCCTTCGTCCATAAGAAGCGCCTCTGTGGCATTGCTGGCTCTACGAAAGCCTGGCGTCATGAACCGCTTGAACATCTTGATTGCGGTGCAAGGGCAGAGACAATCGCGCTCGGCACGTTGCTTAAAGGTAACGCGTGTCGGAGCTGCAACATGTTGGAGGATGCTGTGGTCAAGGTGCTCAAAGATCCTGTGATCGAACATTGAACGAGCGTGGAGGTGACCAGAGATTTGGTCTGGGAGCTTCTAGATCGGTAAGTAGTGGTAGTTGAAGCCGAAGTCGAGTATTCTTTCGAAGTCGCGGGTCACTGCGAACTGGTGGTGAGACCTCTGGCGGTCTCACCAAACGCAAAACAGCTCACCACATTCTTCTTCCGACACTCCTTCATGAAGCGCCCGTACCAGTATGAGAGCTGGAAGAGTGCATGAAAAGATGGCTTGTGCCATCCAACGATCTTGCAATTATTGTACGGCGAGTTCTTGACAGACTCGAGAACAAAGGCGTGGCGGCGTATGTACATGACCGCATCGAAGAGGTTGGCAGATGGGGCTGAGACGTCAATCTCTACTTTTGTGTGCATAGTTGGTCCGAACCAGAGAAACACGTTGGTCATGTTGGTTTCGCTGGTGAGGGCGAGATAAAGGCTGTCCACGATGATGAGCTCGTCGTCTTTGATGCGAACGGTGGACATCTGCTGCTCATCTGGCATGCCAGCCGGGACTTCTTGTACGATTTTCGGCTGTTCAACATCTCAAAGCTGATCATGTCAAGCTTCTAGCACTTACTGGGACATAGGAAAGCTCGATCTGTTCTCTAGGATGGTGTTATCTTTGTCAACCACTTGGCTGAGGGGCATCGCATTTAGCAGTAATCGAGTGACTACCCACGGAGAGACACATGATCATCAGCAATGCTCCTAACGTGGCCTATGAGCTCAGCCTGGTGCTTAGGTTCTTCCTTCGTAATGGCAATCTGAAAGCGATCGAGCTGTGGGGGTACGCAATCCGTTCGACGTGAAGGTCACGCCCGGGAGAAGCTATCATATGACTGGCCGTCATGAACAACTTTCCTCTTCTTGAGGAAACCCGAATTTTCCATCGGTTTCACGCTTGACTGACCTCAAAGGTGAAGAAACAGCTGACGTTCATAGTGGTCGGCTATCATTGCCGATCCTCTGTTCATGGCATGGTGGAGCATGACGCTGCACTTCCAGTATCAAAGCTTGGCCGAACTTCTTTCTCCGACTACTCTACAACAACCGCATCTCATGAATATCTTTCTTCGCTCGAGAGCCACCTCCATCAAGACATTGTCACACAGCAGCGTCAGAATAATGGCGATGGCAAGTTCGACATCGACAAGACGCTTTGCGCCTTTGAACAAAGGCAAAGGTCATGACGCCATTGACGGCAGCATGGTGCTCAAGGGCATTGTTTTCGATGTCGATGGAACTCTTTGCGAGCCACAAAACTACATGTTCACAGAGATGAGAAGCAAGCTCGGGATAACCAAGGGAGAAGACATTCTGGACCATGTGTACAGCCTTTCGGGAGACGAGCAGAAAGAAGCCCACAATATTATTGAGGATGTCGAGCGCGAGGCTATGGCAAAACAAATACCACAAGCTGGGCTTGTTACTCTTATGGAACATCTCGATTCCCGGGATATACTAAAGGGCATTTGTACGAGAAACTTCGACGCCCCAGTCGCGCACCTGTTGAGCAATCACCTGCCAGGCCATATCGATGCTTTTGCGCCTATTATCACGAGGGACTTCCGTCCTCCAAAGCCATCACCCGCCGGTATATTGCATATCGCAAAGCAATGGGGCGTTGTCAGCGAAGCGGATGTATCAGACGACGGTCGACCCATATCGAAACGACCCCTTCCTTTGATTATGGTTGGCGATTCGATTGACGATATCATCGCGGGCCACGACGCTGGGGCCGCCACCGTGTTACTTAGGAGTGAAGGTAAAGAAGAGCTTGAGAAGGACCCCAGAACCGATCTGGTCATCAGCCGGTAGGTGTCTAAAAATGCCACATTCAATTGTCTATTCACTGACCTGGCTTTTTCCAACAGATTGGACGAACTAATTGATATCCTGGAAGAAGGCTTCCAGAGCAGGCAGCGATGAATAATGCCACTATGCAATCAACATGCTCACAACTGGACAGCGCTGGGAATGAAGTAAACTGGCGTCAATCATAAATGGTCACCAGAACCTATTTTACACGTAGACAGATGGAACTACACTATACACAGACTCGAAATGACACCCATCAGTTCACGGAACTTCTACAAGAATCCTGACATCGACCATCCTGTTCCAAACCCTGGATATCGCCGAAACAGAGGTCGCAACAAATAAACAAGAAAGCAATGCTGGNTCCTGCCATGCTTGGGGTATCTGAAAAACAATCGGATCGAAAAACAAACAAAAAAAACTCCGGTGGAACCATGTCCTGCATATGCAAAAGNNAACGAGATTCGTGTCGGTCGTGATAGTCATCAGAGGAAATTGTCAAGGTCGAGATGACGCTCTCAAACGGTGTTGTCTAGCCGCAACGTCGAGCGCAAGGCCATTCTGCGCGATTGCAAAGTTGATGTTTGAATAGGGGCAACTAATATGGNNAAGAATTAGCACAGATTCGAATTGTTTCATTGCGATTAGTNNCTCACGTTTGAAAGATGGCTTGCGGTCTGACTTGGGACGAGTCGGCAAGGCAGTAAATGTGATGGTGGACTTCTGAAACTCGGCCGAAGGAGCGACCATGACCGAGCCTGANGAGGAATGACTTCAGACTGGCAAATGTTTTTGTGCTTTGCTTGATGGTGCTCTTGTGCTCTAGTTGCTCGTCGTCTTCATCGGAAATGTCGTCTTCGTCCAAAATCTCTCTCTCTTCGATGGTGACGTTGGGAGGCAGTGCGATTTCTTCNNATATGCCGGAAGCTCATCGTCGGAGAATACAGAGTGTATCGAGGATGTTGAAGACATGTTTGTCGGTGTCCAAGGATTGGGTGGGATGGTAGAGAGACAAGATAGTCGGATCTCGAAGTGTTGTAGAGTAGGAATTGGCTTTGTATGTTTGCTGGTGGAGATAGGATGTCTGCGGAAAAGTTGCTGACCGCAGCAGATGGTTACGCAGGTCACGCATATATATGTATTGATGTACACGGCAATGCGGGGAGTCAAGCACCTTGAAAAAGACTAGTGTCTCGGTCAAAACATTGCAGATCCAAGAGTCAAGACGGACGTCACAGGCGTAGTCGTAAGCGCAGAAAGCTAAGGGCTTTGCCTCAGCCACCACGCCGCCTGGCACAGGTTGGCAGCCTTTACGAAACGTAAGCGTCGGGCAGAAATTAGCGAATCAACGAGCTAGTGTGAGCCCAAAACAACGACGAGAAGGAGTTCTGACAGAGGCACGGTGAGCAATGCCGCCTGGCGATCGGAACTCGGTGACACACTGACAGGTCCTAGCAAGAGATGGCGGGGGTTTGCAAGGACATGATTACACCGGATATCTTTGGTGGTGACGCATTCTCGGCATCCGGCATGACAGTTTTGTTGGCCGTTAGAGTTGACCAAGCAACTTGGAGACAAGCAACTTGGAGACTTTGGCGGAGAGACAAGCCGGGGAACAGGAAGAGGAAGAAGAGCTTACGAATGATCAACCTGATTCAGCCACACACGAGCATCATCAACGGTCTTTCATGGTGGTTCTTCAGGCGACCAGATTTTAGGGCACTTGCGGAGGTGAGTCAGGCACTAAGGCGTATCTGCAATTTGGAGGGGCATACACATCTCAGCGGTCAGAAATAAAGTTGGTGGTTGGATCAAGCATAAATTCCTAGCGGCTAAGGGTCTCTGGACATGATTAAGGAGTGTTATGTTCGTGCTCTGCGCTCTGTTTGTAGGGAATTAAGGCCTTGCCTAGTGTACAATGCGGCTTCTAGAAAGGACTGAAACAGAGTCAAGGCGTCCATAGGCCTAGCAGCTCTGGCAGGGCGGTATGAGGATTGTACGAGCTCACGTGTACGCGATATACTGTAGACAGGTTGTGTAAGTTATCGCTTCTTTCATAGCGACGCGTACAAACCTTTAAGCTATAACCAGTCCACACCCCGATCGGCTAACATTAGCTGCGGGCATAAGGTGGAAAGTAGAGAATATCGGAACATTGGTGTCTGTTATGGAGTCCTCGTTCCGCGCGAGTTGAACACAGATTAAGTCCTCCGCAATGTCAAGTATTGTGGTGCGTGGACCTACCTACCTGCACTCAAAACCACTTTAAAAAGTCACGTTTTCCTCCTTCCTCGCGCGTCGTTCGTGTCCGTAACAGCTCTCATTCCTTCTCTTATCAATTCCATAGCAAAAATGGAAACTCCAGCTGTCGAACACGATCCTCCATCTGTGCCCGCCTCGCCTTCACCAAAGCGCTTTAAATCAGTCGTCGCATGTAAGTCCATAGCTGTGGAGCTTGATAGATGCTCTGGCACTAACTTGTTGACAGCGCCAGCGCCAGCGCCAGCACCAGAATCCATGTCCACCGCCGCTACTCATCTCCCTCCAATGAACCTCGAACCTCCGCCGCCAGCCCTCCAGATCAAGCTCCTCTCGGCGACAGCACGCGCTCCCACTCGCGGCAGTGAATTTGCTGCCGGCTACGATCTCTATGCATCAAAGAGCACCACTGTGCCAGCCAGAGGAAGAGTACTTGCCGACACTGACATCTCAATTGCTGTACCTGCCGACACCTGTATGTTTCACCCACCTGCTGCGTACTCTACAGTCTTTCTAACACTACACGCAGATGGCAGAGTAGCCCCTCGCTCTGGACTTGCCGCAAAACACTCGATCGATGTCGGTGCTGGTGTCATTGATGCTGACTACCGCGGTCCGCTCAAGGTCCTGCTGTTCAACCTTGGCGAGACCGACTTTGCCATCAATGAAGGCGACAGAATTGCACAGCTGATCATCGAGAGGGTAAGTAATACTGTCTGTTATTCGATGGGTATCGCTAACACTAGCCAGATCTACACACCCGAGGTCCTTGTGGTCGAGCAGCTCCCCAAAAGCGTACGTGGTGCTGGCGGCTTTGGCTCGACTGGCGGCTTTGCCAACATGATCCCTCCTGTCAACNCCCCTGCCAATGGAGGCGCACCAATCGACGGCCACTAGATTGGAGTTATGGGAACCGGCGTATGGGAAAAAGCAGGAGTTGCAGAAGTGTGATATTCGAAACGATCAGGGGTATGTGACGCGAGATGGTCATAATGCAGAAAAAGCACAAGGCAAATCTTCATACTCAAGTTTGGTGCACCGCACCTTGTCCAACCTCGTGTCCAGTGCCCATGTTTACAACTCCAAGCTCGTCTGGCTCGATGGACACGTTCGGGTCAAGCTCAACGTGGACAGCATGCGCCTTGAAGGCTTCTATGTCTGGAGGATAGACCAAGTCTTTCCAGTTCCTGACAACCCTGACCTCGGCCGCTTTGGTCAAGCGTAGATACTTGTCACGCTCATTGTCCTTATCGGCCTCGTTGCCAATGCCAGTGTTGAATTCTGGAGCACCTTCCATCTTTTTCAGTTCTTCCTGCCGTGACTTTATAGTCTTCTTGAGCACCAAGTGCATGCTTGCAAGCACCTTTTCAGCAGCTTTTGCCAAGGGAAGTTCGATTGCTGCAACTTTGTCGGGCGATTGCCAATGTGCTGTGGTCAAGAGATTGGCAGCAAGACATGCTTCACGTAGCCTTGCCACCATCAAGGCGGCAAACATGTCGCCGGTGCCAGAGAAGAAGACGGGGAAAGCGGGCACTTTGAGGCGGAACAAGCGAGGGTTGAAGTCTGAATCGGCAGTGGATCCTACAATTGAAAGCTCTGGTTCTTGTCCTTGCTCGTTGTCGTGAGGAAGACGGACTGAGGTGATGATGATATGCGGTACGCGGTGCGAGCGGTGGAGTACGCGGATGGCCTCGGCAAGAGACTTGAAGTCTGTGATGGTGACGCCCGAGAGAAGTCTAGAGCATGTTAGTGATTCAACAAGTAGGTCAAAGGCAGCTTGCTGGGGAACATACTCTGCTTCAAACTGGTTGGGCAAAATGAGATCGGCATCTCGCAGCAGGCTCTTGTATGCTGGCACTACTTCCTCGCTTACGTAGATCTTGCCCTCGTCGCCCATGACAGGGTCGAGCACNTGCGGTCCTTAGCTTTCACTCTTTCTCTATAGCTTTTTCTTTCACGTACCCCAAAAGAAGGCACCCGGCTTGGTAGTCGATGCAAATCTGGTCTCACGTGCTATCTTGCCAACCTGTTGCACAACACCGGCACTGGGACAGTAGCCAGACAACAGCACATCAAAGTCATTGAGGCGCGACTGCTTCAGACCCTCGTACAGGTCGGCGATTTCTTCGGCAGGAGTTTTGCGTCCTTTGAATTGCTTGTATCCAGTATGGTTNGCCTGATCATGTGTCAGAGATGCGCGCTGTGGTGTGGTAGATTCTGGCGCAAACGCACTGAATTGGACCGTGTTGATGGCCGACACCTCACAGCCAAGGGCTTGCATGACAAAGGTGGCCATAGTGTTGCCTACATAGCTGTCGATGCATGAGATGTCTTATCGCATGTATCCTTGTTGAGAGGCCTCTTACCCGTATGCTACNCTTCACTTGCCGTCAGTCATCGTGTGTGGCCTTTTGCCATGGTGCCTCTCTCGGTCTCTTACATGGCTGGCGACGGCCAGTACGTGCGTCTCTGGGACTTCGGCCATGATTGATTCTCGACAGGAAAACGAGCTGCCTCTTATCTATCTATCTTCATGCTGGCAAGGCACAAAAACAGATGAGCGAAAGGACCTCGGGAGATAAGCGATAACGCCGACTGACGTTGGTGGGGCTCGGCCAGGGTCATCAAAATCAACTGGTTCAATTGGACAGGGCAACTAGTGTGGTGTCATCTTGTTCGATTTGGTATAATAACATTCATCATCCTCAAGTCACGGTGCATGCTCTGTGAAAGTGCCGTCCTTCTCTTCAAGCAAATCATTACAACGCCAGAAACGCCTTTTCATGCCAGAATCATGCTCTCTATTCCTTTGCAGCCCGAGTTTACTCCTCGTCACCAATCTGTCATGTATTAGCTTGTGGTTATTGTAAAAGTCGGTTAGCCGACTTACTTTGGGGGCGAGGTAGAATCTGAGGTAGCTGTTGTTTGCAAGCGAGTACTCGACCATGAGCGGCACGTCGGTAGACAGGCACAACTTGACTCTGCTTGAAAGACCGCTAGCCTTGCAGAAGTTGACGAGGTACTTGAGCGAGAAGGTGAGCGAAACGGGCTCTGACAGCTGGATGTCCACGTTCAGGTCTTCCTTGTCGACGTTGGTGTGCTGGCGGAGAGTGACGGATCCCGAACCGATGTCGCCGGTGCAGCCGAACTTGACTCCTTCTTTTGTGCACTCGATGTTGACNTGGTTGCACCTTGTTAGTTGTCTGCAGTCATGTTGCGACGATTCGAGAAACTTACCGGACTCTGAGAGGGCAGACAGATCTCTGCAGATGCGCTGGAGCTCGGCCGAGGGCAGAGTGATGGAAGCGGCGTAGTCGGTGTCAGGGATACCAAGGTGCTCTTGGTCAATGTCCATCAACTTGATGTCGTACTCGCTGATTCTGTCGCTCTCGGAGCTCTCGAAGACGAGGTTGACGACATCGGGCGAGTCCTCGGCCTTGAGGGTCAGGATGTCCTTGTCCTGAGCGGCGCGAAGAACCTTCTGCAGAGAGACGAGGTTGATGCCGAGGGCAATGTTGCGATCACATCTGAAGGGCGAGAAGGAGTCGGCCTTGAGCAGCATGGAAACGAGGGCGACGTGTGAGTTGTCCATGGCCTGGAGGCCGACACCGGAGTCGTTGCATTCGAAGTTGCAGTCCTGGACAAGGTCCTTGATGGCTTCGACGACCTTCTTGAGAAGGTTGGCCTGTTCGAGACGTGCCTCAAGCACTGCGCAAAGGTGAGTTTGTGACAGCCATGATGCGTGACTAGAAACGTTCTTACTGGTGATGAGTGATAAGTAGGAAGAGGTTTGGGGTGAGGCGAGAGCAAGAGTGACAGACGATGGATCTGTTCAAGTGAATTGGATAGACGGAATTACGGGATTGTTTGCGAGAGGAAGATGGTAGAGAGGAAGAGCCAGTGGCTTTGTTTGATGAAGAACGCCGCCGCGTTCGTTCCACGCGTGAGACGCGTCTGAATCTTGGCCCGATTCGGCAGTCATGACTCTCGTGACATGATATCTAGCCATATCGACCTCACCACAATTATTCTTGCACATCACGGTCACTATCGCAGTCACATTTGTTCAGAAGGCAGTATGTCATTCATATTGTAATTGTGGAAAGAACAGGTTGTACTTGATATACATGATAGCATCTGAAATCTTAGGCCCCATTCGCCTCAACGTCGAATGTAGATGTGCTCGTTTTGTTCGCTTTCTACAGGTCCTCTCTTTTCCACAGATAGACTGCAGATATGAAGCGCTATTGCTTGCGACGTCTTCTGTCAATACGTCTTCAACGAGTGTCTCCTCCCTGCCAGCAGTTTCGGTTTGTAGAATTTGAACGGCCAAGACGTCTCTGCTGAGGCTTTGTGGCGATGACGATCGCTTGGATTGACGTAGAACTTGTCATGAAATGTGATGTGAGGCCTGATCCAGATTATTGCTCTAGCTGGAACGAGTCTGTCGCAGGAAGACAGTCGGTGCTCCATAGCAGAGGATGTATGGCGAGCGAGGCCGGACACTTGGGTCGTGTTTTCTGGTAGAGGGCCGACTCCAGTGAGAATATAGACTGTCGCTCATGGCCTTAGAGGAGTCGTGGAGAATTGGGCGATGGAGGAGGACGGGGAGATCATGCGCGAACGAGACCATAGAAGAGAGTCCAGGTAAGGACAAAGCTCATGAGACCTCCGAACAGGTCGCCGATCCACAAGTCAGCGATGGGCGAGTGGAAGTAGGATTTGGCTTGGACGTTGGCGCGAAGGGAGAAGATGAGCAGAGAGACGACGAGGGAGCCCAGGGCGTAGAAGAGGAAACCGGGGAAGGATTCGAGGCCAAGAGTACCGGCAGCAACACCAAAGAGGGAGGCAGTCAGGGAGCGGATGTTGGAGACAGTNCTGGCGTGGGTTAGCTAAAGCGGTCGGAGGTTGGGAGGTGCGAGCTGGATTACTCTGGCATTATGCATCATGCTCTCCTGTACGACAGGGTTGATGGCCAGCTCGCGTTCGTCCAGCATGTTGAGGCGGAGGTGATGTGGAACTATTGATTAGTGTCAAATGGGTTGGAGTAGCGCAATCAGGTGTTAGAGAGAGCTCGGATTGGTGGCCGTGGAGTGCTGGATGGACCTCCCGTCCTTCTCCGCATTCTTACACACAGGGCATCGCTTTCCGTGTCCTTTTAATCACCGAAGCCTCTGCGGATAGCACGAGACCTTCGGAGCAGCAGGCCTAAGTCATGAGACAATCCATATCGTGGAATGCTATGGCACGCCTTTCACATGCATGCATTATTGCGCGATTGCCGACGTGAGCGCCAGCTGGTTCTACAGTAACTTTCTCTTTGCCTGCTGGCTCGCAGGTACAGTACGGAGTGCAGGGGACAAAGCAGTCATGCAGATATATGTACGATGTTTGTCACCAGTGGCTAGATCCACAGACAAAGGCATGTTTACTTTATCATATAGAAAGTGCTTGGATAGAGGGAAACAACAAGATGGTTTCAAGGAACTATGACGAAAGCTTTTGAGCAACAAGCGTGAGCGGCAGAATTCGGACATGGATGGTTCCCTGGGTTCCTGGGGTTGGAACTCTCGGAGCAAATCTTGAAACCGCCCGTTGACCTGCCTGCACTTTTCATCATCATCACTCGACGTGCAAGGGTAAACAAGCCTGTGCCGTGATCACTCTCTGCGTCCGTCCCCTCTGCGATCTGCCATATACCATATCTCCTCACCCCCGGCGCCCACGACACACCCGCAGCCTCCCTACAGCATTTGCATCCCTGCCCTGCCCTTCGATGTGCCGGCACGCGACCACGACCCTCTACTAGGTAGCCCGTACTCGTCAACATGGCCTTCAACTTCAACTGGTCTCCGCTCATCGGCGACACGTCGCGCGCCCGCGACATGCTCACCGCCGCCCTGAACAAGTCTCCGAAGCCGCCCATCATCGTTGACGACATCATCGTCAATGAGCTGAACCTGGGCTCCGTCCCGCCCGAGCTCGAAATCCTCGAGATTGGCGACCTGGCCGAAGACCGCTTCCGCGGCATCTTCAAAATGTCCTACGCCGGCGATGCCTATCTCACTCTCAAGACCCGCGTCCAGGCAAATCCTCTCAACACCTCGCTGTCTACCAAACCCGCCTTTGCCTCTCCCCAGCCCTTGGCCGCTGCCTCGGGCCTTACCATCCCTATCCAGATCACCCTCTCCGACATCCGCCTGTCAGGTTTTGTTATCCTGGTCTTCTCGCGCCAAAAGGGCATCACCCTCGTCTTCCGCAACGATCCTCTCGAGTCTCTCAAGGTCTCGTCCACTTTCGACTCCATCCCCTTCGTCCGCAACTACCTACAGAAAGAGATTGAGGCTCAACTGCGTGTCTTGTTCATGGACGACCTCCCTGCCATCATCCACCGTCTCTCCCTGCGGGCCTTCGTCCCCGAGTACCGACAAGCTCAAGATGACGAAGCCAAGGAGCCTGTGCATGCTTCAGAGCGTCCCATCGACCCCCTAGCAAGCCCTCCACAGGATCCTGTCGATGACGGCTTCGATCCCTCCCCCTTCTCTCTCGACTCATCTTCCGAGACATACGCCTCCTTCTCTCAGAAGAATCTCCTCCGCCTAGCCGCACTGAGCGAGTCACAGCAAACCCTCTCCCTCTTTACTCCTGCCATCCGTGACACCGTTTTTCGTGCTTGGGCAAGCTCCAAGGAATCTCAAGACTCGTCCACAGTTGCGACGCCACTTGCCCGTCCAAACCCCTTGTCTCGAATACACTCGTCCATCGGCACACCCAAGTCATGGTCTTCGGCGTCGTCTGATGTATCGGATGCTCCGACACACTCTAGCAGGCCTTCACTGGCTAGTCACTCTACATCTTCAACCGTCTACTCCATGGGCACTAGCAGATCAAGAGCGCATGCAGCCAAGAAGAGGAAGAACAGGGTTGTCAATTTGCGCAAAACTGCCCCCGAGGAGAACACCACCGATGCTGACAGTGTCACGACCAATGTCAGCGAAGAGGCTCCTGCCCCTAGCATCACGCTTACTGAACCTCCCCAATCGCCCCGACGGATTCCAAAAGTTGAACCTGAGGCTGCGCAAAAAGCGCCGGCGTCGCATGTCCGATTCTCCGCCTCACAGGAGCATTCGAGGCCGACTTCCGGAAATCAGACTCCGACAACGACACCTAAACCCCAACGTCCTGCCTTGTCCACCGTCCAGACCCAACCTGTATTCAGAGACAAGAAGGTGGACTCCGCAACCCGCTCCTCGTCCGCCTCACGTCTACGCTTCAACTCCGAGGGCTCTACTGGTGGCATCCTAGAGCAAGCTTGGATGATGAAGATGGCTGCCGAGGTGACTCGACGCGTCCAAGAAGAGAAGGCTACAGGCGGTGGCTTTTGGCACCAATCCGAGGAGCCTGAACACCCACCTCCAGCTTACGCTGCATGATCGTTTCCATTTTCTCGCTCTCTGAACATTCATCAGAAGCCAACTGTATTTTTAGTATGACGAAGCGTGGAGTACCGGAGTGTTATCGGTCATGGTTTTACGGCATTTTGTTTTGCGAAGTTGGTTGGTTCACACGATTCACAGCTAGTGTGTATTAAAAGCTTTTCGTTCGAGTTCTTGGTAGCAAGTCCTATGATATTTTTCTTCCAACATTCACAAACATCATATGACCCTGTAGTGATTCAGTTATGTCGTGAGGTTTATGCCTGTTCATCCTGGTCCAAGATAGCCCTGACAGCAGCAACCTTGTCCTCGGCTGTCTGCTTCTTGTCTATTCTCGATCCAACTCTGATATCGCTCTGAATCCTGACAACACCGTTCTCGTGTAGCAACGAGTGGGCCTGACCAATCACACGCATAACGTCATCCCAGGGGCCCTCTNNGCGTTTTACACATGTCAGCTCTCAAATGTACATGTTTTGAGAATAAGACGAACACGGCTTACCAACTGTTGTTCCAGCAGAGTGCATATGGTACACGAGACCACTCTTNTTGAGCAGGCGCTGCACCTGCGAGACCTCTTTGGACACGGATGCGGTAGGTGTGCCTAGCGGTATCAAGCAGAAGTCNTCCGGCCTACTCAGTTCTCTGCTCATTTGCATCATCGGTATCATCACCCACTCACCTGCGATACATGCCGAGGGAGTAGCAAGGTCTAGTAATTGATTGTCTGTCATGTCTCTGGTTTGTTGTTGAGGTGTAGCAGAAGTAGAAGCTTCGGCTGAATGACGAGGTTTGAGTCGCGCGCAGCACGTCGGAGCCACCCTGTCCTGTAACTTCTCCAATTTATCTCCAACTCCATCTCCAACATATTCTTCTACTGCCATGGACAAGTTGGTGCCGACCTTACAATAGTCTTTCATATGCTCTGATATCTTTGTTTCTCACACACGGAGTGTTCCTAATCTTTTTCGGCCGCTCGTACTATTGTGACAAGTCAGGCATCAAGACATCAAAATTACGCACTAACCATAAGTCACTAATTTATTCCTCGACTCTGAGTTTCAATTATCTCGGCCAGTTGTTTTAGAGCAGACCCGATCTGACTTATAATAGCCCACATGGTATTCCCGCCAAACACCCGAGCCCATATTCTCAATACTATTGTGCATAATTGAGAAGGGTCCAAGGCAGACACCTCCACTTGGGATGTAACTCCCAGCTCTTCTGGGTCGATTGACTCACGTGTCTCCTTGACGAGCATACGCACCCAGTCCAAAATGGTGTTTTCGTGAGCNTATGTACATGGGTGTGGATTAGCTTGCATACTCGTGTCAATATTGACGGATACAGGATTCGTACCTGTAAGTGGTTCGTCCTCCAAAGTCGTGGAGACGGCCTGTAACCATTTGCACAGGAAGGCCGCACATTCCAGACCACAGAGAGAATGCTGACAACTCCAGAAGAACATTTGACTGCGTGAAACGTACTCGACACCCATGTTGACGGGTAGGCTGAGCGCATGTGTAACATGCAACAATGTTGAGGTCAGACGAGGGCTGCGAATCAGGGGTGGAGTGTTAAACAGCGCTGCAGCGATTTGAGCTGGGTCGCGTGCATCAAGTCGCCGATGTTTACCAAGGTCCAGGTGCATGCGGACAGAGGCGAGTGAGAAGAATGCCACAGAAGTAAAGGGAAGCGGGCCATCGGGATTCTGAGGGTCGAGAGTCGAGCCTGGTGCTCGTTGCCAGACGTTTTTCCACCTTTGCAGCGCACCTNNCTGGGAAAACCATGTCAGCCATCATGCTATCCACCTCGACACAAGAAGAGATAAGCGTAACACATTGTAGTAAACAGATGCACATAGACGGACTTACTCCATCTCTTCCAGATCAGCCTCACGAAGAGTGGCGTCTTTGGTAATACTCAGTTGACGTATGAGACATATTCTTTGTATCAGTGCCTGTAATAGAATGAAATTTGCCAGAGGCGACAAGTGTGAAAGCAAATGCTGGTTTCCCGGAGTGTGGGTCTTGTCTAAAAGCATGTTGATAGCATCTTGGAACCCGATACTGGGATGCTGTAGACGATCTCGAATGAACTGCCACTCTTTAGGATCGGGCGCATCCCATTCCGCAGTCGAGCAGGGCAGTCCAAGCTCAACTTCACTGTTGAGCATGACCGGTGGAAAGTTGTAGGCCATTGTCTGTACATTGAAGTAAGTGAAAGCGATCATCTTGACACGTCGGGACCCCTCGATTATGATCCAGTCGTGCCAATCTTCGTCTCTCGCTGCGAACTTTTCTTGCATACCGTCCTCACGCAAACAGCGCGCAAGGATACTTTGTAATCCAAATGCATCACGCAAAAGATCAGATTCCCAATCCCATGACGAGAAGGCAATCAACATGACCAACGTTCGAATCATGTCAGTACGTTGTGATTGTTGGGTCATCTCTGGTCCATGGGAAGAAGAATCATTTGAGACATGCTCTTGTTCGAATGACCTCAACCGCTCCAACGTGATCGCCTTAGAGGCCTTGTAAAGTGCCAGTCCGTTCCTGAATTCAAAACGATACTGTGCTCCAATAGCAGCAATGATAAGCCCTAGTTCTGGAGGAGCTTGCTCGATACGTAGGGTCGGTATATGCACAAGAGGGTAGTGCTTGTGGAACTGGTCCACAAAACTTTTGTAATATCGTGAGAGAGTATAGTCGGATGGTAGAGTAAACCCGTATAGGACATCGTCGAAAGGCTCTAGCGTGTGTGCAAAGACCTTCCTTTGAGCCGGAGTTATAGTCCAGAATGGTTGTGGTGAGCAGGGGTTGCTGATGACCTCTGAATTCGTTAGAGACAATAATCTATATGGGGATGCTATGCTCGAACCTCGGTGGTTAGCTGCTGCTATTGATGAAGCAAGAGCATCAGGCATCACAATCTCAACTGGTGGAGGGGTGACTGTGGTGGTTGCGGCTATATTGTCTGCAGCTATACCTCCATTGCCAGAGTTGAGTAGATGTGTGTTGTGACTCATCAGATCTGAGCCGAAAGGGAGATTGAATATGTTGGACTCTAGACTCNNCAATGGTTCCATGAAGTTTGTAAAGTCCTGCAGAGGATCATACAAATCATGCTGAAAGTACTGCGGCATGGACATGGGATCTAGCAGACTTAAGTGGTTTGCGGCCAACGGCTGAGACTGGAAAGGTTCGATATCAGGCTTTGCGAAGTAAACTGGATCCTGATTGCTATCGTGTCTGTGGCCGGATTCCGCTGTAACATCATACGCAGAAGTATCTTGTCCAACGACTTGAGCTGTCTTTGAGCGTGCTTCGCGGTGAATGGGGCGTATCGATCGTCGGGAATTTTCATAGTTTTCTGGGTCGCTCTCATTGTCCTGCTGCGTAGATGTGAGCGTAGGTGTAGTCGGCAACGGATGTCGTCCAGCATGCGAGAGTCGGTTGTGTCGTCTCAGAAGATCGAACCGCGTGAAAGAGCGACCACAAGAGCATGCGAACGGTTTCTCCTTGGTGTCTTCCAGTTTACAACCAGAAATGACTATAGTGGATTCCAAGTTCTGATAGCATGCTTACGAATTNCGAATATGGCGTTGGAGATGTTCGAGTCGAGCGAACTTTCTGTCGCAGAACGTGCATCCGAAGTTCTTACCAGGATCTTTATTACCTGCACGCATCGCAGCTCATCTTGATCTCTCCAAGTCTTTTACTGATGAGCGGGTCACAAATACCAACAATTGCAAAGGGTAACACGTTTGGAGTAAGATTTGGAGAAACTGGAGACTTGGAGATTTACAACATCGTCATCATCTGATCATTGTAGAAGACCCGAAACACCATTCACTGCTTGCCTCGGTATGCTTCAACCTCTATTTCAACCAACATGGTAGAGAATGCAAGCTTGGGAACGCTGAGAGCAGTCCAGATGGGACGGTGTCCAGGAATGCGACTCTTGAGCTTCTGCACGAAGTAGTCGTAGTGCATGGCGATGTCCGTCATGTAGCTTCGGATGAGGTAGACGTCTTCTCAGCCACGAAGTCCAGCTGCTTGGAGAATGCGATCAACGTTGGCAAAAGCATATTCGATTTGTCCTTGCCAATCGTCGCCGTCCAGATTCCCCTCCTCGTCCCAACCACCTTGTCCCGAGCATTTAACCACATCTCCGACTACAACAGCCTGGGAATAGTGACACTCATCGCTGAACTTTTGGCCAGCACCTTTTTCGTTGAAGTACTGGAGAGATGACATTATGTCACTTCGTCTGTCCTACGTGTATAGACTACGTTAGTGGAAATACGACATGAACAGGAATGAGACTGACGGTAATGTAGCGACTCTCGGAGGCTCGAGTGATCGATCTTGCGATTGTCTAAACGAGCTGTAACTACTAGTTGACTGGATTGATATCCAAAACTTACAGATGATGGATCAATGATTATATACATGCTTGACTAGAGTCTTTTTGGTTCTCCAATTCTCCAATTCTCCAATTCTCCAATTCTCCAAAAGAACCTCCGATACTCTCCAAATCTTAGGGCTTTCTAAAACATCATCGAAGGTTGATAACGTGTGCAAGGACAAGATGCTTATACGGGACACAAACAAGCCCACAAAGACCACTCGCTGCTTCGACACATTCGGGGAAGCTCTATCTCCCGTTCGGGCGATGCGCTACCTGCAAGCAATCATCTATCAAGTGATCCCACGTACTCATGTTCTTCGCGATCTCAGCAGCACCGAGAATAAACATATTGCATGTTTCTCGCAATTCCGATTCTCATGCAGCGAGCTTTCGCGAGCGCGATATACGAGAAGCTGATATAGGAATCTCGATTCAGCTAGCGTCCCTGGAGATCACGGGACTTTCTGAGAATCAACAGTACGTCCGCTCAATGATTTGTGGTCAGGCGCGACAGCGCTCTCCTAGCAGTCTACACAGAATGTTGTAGGACGACGGTGAGAAAAGCTGCTCTCGAAAGACTGGCAGTGGATTGAAGGTTGTCGAAGCGAGTGCAAAGCAAAGTCTGGTTTGAGATAGGGTAAATGTCGACATGCATGACAGTAATAAGGCAGTCTTACTATGTTTTGGGCATCTCGACTGACATCCTACCAGAGACTGGCAGAAAGCATATTCATCTACGAAGCATACATCATGTCATCAGATGAAGCGCCATTGCGCGCTGTGATCCTAGGGTCAGAAGTGAACAGGGACAGGGATAAAGAAATGTTCCAATTGTTGCTTTCGTGTACATTGCTGTATTGGATAACTACCATTCGGAGCTCATAAGGATAGCAATTCGGGGGGAGTGCTTTTTGAGCCGGATCAATACGGTCGGAGGAGCAGCACACACACTGCTAGCAGAAGAAAACAAAGCAACCGAAGCCATCGCTGCTTGACTTGTTAAACGCCGTGCTCCATATGCGCTCCCCCTCTCGGGTGAGCGATAGAAGGAATCTGATACAAGATACCTGAGTGAGAAAGTGATGTGGAGAACCGACTACATGCCGAGGTGTGCCGACACCATCGATGTAGGAGGGAGACGTGTAAGAAGGTTTGGTAAGAAGTGGTGGTTGAGAAGGTGCTCAAGAGAACTTCCATCTGTTGCCGCAGACGGTACACTCGCAGAAGGTCGTCATAGGTTCATCGGCAGATCTGGTCTGGGCTTGGCTGTAACTGACCTTCTTCTGACCACACTTGCCGCAGGTCAGACTGGCACTGATACTCCTCTCTGCCTGGGCGACCATGGCCTTGTCCATGTTTTCCTTTTGCAGTCTCTCGTCCTCGGCGCGCTGTTCGTCGCTCTTCAATTCCTGATGGGTCATGCGCACAAAGCGATCGGGCTTGATGAAACCGGACAGCACCTGACTACGGAGCTTTGGGTTGCCCTTGTTTTTGAGATTTTGATAGAGTGATCGTATGCGCTGGCGGTATTCGGGGCTGCCCTCGGGTTGGTATGCGTTGTAAGCAGCAAGCTCGACGGAACGAGCAACAGTTAGGATGTCCTGTGAAGCNTGCGGGAGCATAAGAGTTAGTCACAGGATCAAGACAATCGATGGGCGGCAGTGGATACCATCAGACGACATGAAGGCCAAGCCATCGTACATCAGCTTGATGCAGGCATCGCGAGTTTGGTTTCCAGTAACTCCACAATCGACCTTGTCCGACACACTGTTGCGCTTCTCGGGATCGCCATGAGGTTCGGACTTGGGCTTGTTGGCAGCAGGAGCGGGCGAGGACTTTGAAGGGGCAGGTGAATTTGTGCCGCTCGAGGCGGCTGTCGCAGGAGATCTCTTGACATCCGTCTTCCACTTGTTGACCAGAGTGGCGGCGGTGCGGGCCACTTGGGCATCGCTGTTCTGGCGCAGTTTGTTGACGTGCACACCGATCTTTGTCTGGCGCAGCAGCTTCTCCGTCGCCGTCCATCCCTTGAGGCCGTCCAGAAGGGCTAGCAGGGTTGCCGGAGGGTCGCCGCCTGATGCTGCCTTGGCCAGCTGTTTACCGCGCTCTTCAATGTCTTTTGCTTCCATGGTTGCCATGATGCGGTTGCGCGAACGCTCGCGGTGCTTTCTATTGGTCCAGTCGCTGTCGCAAGTCGTTCAAGATTCAGATGCGCGTCTTTCTGGTCGATGAATGCAAGCTGAGGTTGTGGGTGGAGAAACGAGAAGGTGACAAAACACCAGGACAACTGAAAGCAGCTTCGAGGCACGCGAATCCGACGACCAGACCGAGGCGTGTTGGCGGGGCACTTTCCACCACACTCTGCACTCACTCTATTGTGATGCATGCCACATTGACCACTGCCTTCACCTAGCTTCCACTTTGCTTGTCAATCAAGTGCCGTCATTCTTGTAATGCTTGTGATGACAAATGTCCAGCCCCACCTGCCTCCATCTATTCACTCCCTGAAGAACCCATCCCACTCCCATCTCAATTCCAGCTGATCCACTGAACCACTCTCCTCAACCACTCAACTTGCAACCATGTTAGCCATCATCGGGGCTTCTGGCAAGCTCGGCGGCGCTACACTGAAAGCCCTCCTTACTCATAACCTGCTCCCAAAAGATCAGATAGTATGCTGCACCTCATCTGAACCTGGCAGCGATACATGGTCCTCCCTGGAGCAGAAGGGTGTGCAGGTCCGTCACGCCTCATTTGATGACAAGGCTTCTCTCGAAAAGGCCCTTTCCGGATGCGACAAGTTCTTCCTCGTCTCTACTCCAAAGATCGATATGGACTACAATGACGCTCCTCATGGCGAGGGTCGCGAGAAGCATCACTTTACTGCCATTGATGCTGCTCAAGCTGCGGGTGTGAAGCACATCTATTACAGCTCTCTGGCTTTCCAGAGCCCTTCCAAGTCTCGCGTCATGCAGGCCCATATCCGTACCGAGGCCTATCTTGCAAAGCTACAAAACATCTACTACACTGTCCTGCGTGAAGGTCTATACAATGAGAGTTGGCCGCTGTATGCAAGCTACTACGACCTCAAGAACGATCAAAGATCCGAAGTGCCTGTCGCCGGCGATTCTCTTATCAGCTGGACTGCCATTTCTGATCTTGGCCTCGCTAGTGCTCTGGTCATTGCTGCACCCTCATCCGAATATGCTGCCAAAACATTTTACCTTTCGGCTACTCAAGGCGCAAGAACCATCAACCAAGTCCTCGAAAAGGTCTCTGCAGTAAGATCGAAGAAAGTTTCACCAAAGATCGTCTCGCGGAAAGAGCTTGAGAGCTATTACGTTCGAGACATAAAACTCTCCGAGCCTGCTGCTAAATGGTGGGCCGCAACCTATGACGCTCTCAAAGACCAAGAATGCCTGATCAATGACCCGACCTTGGAGGAGCTATTGGCTACCAAGGGTCAGAAGCCGAAGCCTGTCGAAGAGACGATAGAGGAGATGCTTTGCGCTTGATTTTGAGAAGATGAAGTATCAGCTTAATAAGCCAGATCCGCGTCTTCGTCCTTTTCTGCAACCCAGTCGTAAACCAATCGAATTTTATGCTCTTCCTTGCCCTTTTTGACGACGATACGTCTCGTGTGATGTTTCTGACCGTCCACGACTTCGAACCCCCAAACTTGTTCTGCTGACCAGTTTGGTTTCTTGCCTACACTATCCACAAAGACTTGAACAACTTCGCGATCCCCTTGGGCTAGAAAGTGTTCGTCCCACCCTTGCTTGAGGTACTCAGTCTCGACTTCATCCAGCTTGACGTAGCGCGAGCGGCCGTTGACTTTGCCAAAGATCCTGTCGTCCTTTTCACGCCACTGGTAGTCCACTATACGTTCCTCGAGGTTGCGAATGTTTCCGGTGGTGATTTGTTCGTTGTCTATGTGCGTGAGGCCGTTCTCATCAACAAACTGTCATTCTATTAGTTACTGCATGTGTCAGACCATTCCTGCTTGTTGTACCTGTTTGACGTGAAGTGTAACATTCGAGAATTTGACAGCTTGACGGACGAGCCAGCCTATGCCTTGNCTACACAGAAGATGTTGATGAGAGACTGAGCATGCAGTATACATGAGAGGCGCTGTTACCATCTGTAAAGCAGCATCGGTTGCATCTGACAGACTCTTGTTNCTGATAGGCGTTAGCGTATACTCACTGTGATGTTCGTCTGGTATATGCTTATCGTGGAAGTCATAAACAATACTTACAAGGTTATATGTCCCCGCGAGGTCCCGCAGGTTCACGGAGTCAGGCACAGCCATTTTTTATGGTCTCTATCACAAGATACCACCAAGCGTGACAAAATATAATGGTCAAGTTGGAGGGCACATTCGGGTCCTATTTACCTACAAGTAGGCGTGCGGGGTGGAAATTGAGCGCCGACCAATTTGGAGTCGTGCTGCTGGAATTATGTGTTGTTTATTAACGATCAGTAACTAAAAGAGTATCAGCAAGCCCCTTTAGCTCAGTTGGTAGAGCGCGGCACTAGTATCACTCTAGAACATGCCGAGGTCGCCGGTTCGACTCCGTCAGGGGCATTCATTTTACTGATCATCTATAGATATCGAGTCTCTTTTGTTCGTGGTTGTTCTGGTGAGATACGATTTTTGGTGTAGAATTTTTGCCGCTGGTGAAACTTAGGGATCTGTGCGGCTTTGTGTTGTAGCATGGATGCTCTTTCCTTCCATGTGCTATGTATGTATGCATGGGGTCTTCTACAATAGCTCTCTTCAGGATGCGTCTATCCGAACAAATGGTTATGTATATATATCTACAACGACAGACTTCTGCACGTGAATACAGAAACAAGAAAGAAAGCAACATGAAATCAATATTTCGATTGTATACCAAGCTGAACAAAACCAAAAACCCATGCTATGCTTTCTCCTTTTTCTTCTTCCTCCACTCATCCTCTAACCCACAACTCTCCATCTCACGCACTACTCCTCCCTAGGAAACTCATCCGTCAACTTGAGCGCAGCCTTCACGTTCATACTCAACAACTCCTGAATCAATAGCTTGGCCGCATACGGCAGCGTCATCCTCACAACACCCCTCGAGCTCTCGCAACTCTGACACCAGTTCTGGTATCCCATCATACCGCAAGTCTCGCAGACATCCACTTCATGGGCATCAGAACTCAACATAAGACGTTCCAGCAACAACTGGGAAGCACCGTAGGCGATCAGGCAGTCACGTTCCATTTCTCCCAAACGGAGACCTCCTTGGCGGGAACGACCTTCAGTAGGTTGGCGTGTGAGAATTGCGCGGGGACCCGTGGCACGAGAGTGCATCTTGTCTTGCACCATATGCTTGAGTTTCTGGTAGTAGATGGGGCCCATAAAGACGTATGCAGGTAGAGACTCGCCAGTGATACCAGAAGTAAGGTGATCTTTACCCGAGTAGCTGAAGCCGTGGGAGATCAAGACATCGCCCATATCTTCGACTTTGGAACCACCGAACGCAGTGCCGTATTCGTGACCGCCGCGCAGAATGCCTGCTTTTCCGGACAGCAATTCCAACATTTTGCCCACGGTCATACGACTAGGAAAACCGTGGGGNTTCATGATGATGTCTGGGCAGATACCCATGTCGTTGAAGGGCATGTCTGTCTGTTCAGCTAGCAGGCCAGTGACACCTTTCTGTCCGTGACGAGACGAGAACTTGTCTCCGATTTCAGGACGGCGGGTTTGGCGTGTTTGGATTTTGATGATGGGAGTGTTTGATTCGTTTGCGCTGATCATGACTTTGTCGGCGTAGGCTGGATCGGGCAGTTTGTACGACATGTGCTGGGGTGCCCAGCCGGCGTTTTGCGTGTTCATGCCTTGATTGACGGGTGTCTCCTTGAGCATGTAGCATTCGCCCGCTTCCATCTCGGCGCCGACTTCGACGAGACCGTCGTTACCGATCTTCTTGTGGCGAGGGTTGGAGGGGTCGCGGTCGCCGATACGATCGGTTTGACCATTCTGGTATTGCTTCAATGGCATGCTGACCTTCTTGAAGACCTGACAGCGTCCGAACCCACGATCGCAAGAAGCCTTGTTCAAGACTAGAGCATCCTCAATATCGTAACCAGAGTACGACATGACAGCAACCATGGCATTCTGGCCTGCAGGAAGCTTGTCGTATTTGATAAGCTCGATTGTCCTACTCTTGACCATGGGCTTTTGCGGGTAGACCATGAGGTAGAGTAGAGTGTCGATACGAGTGAGCTGGTTGTACGCAATAGCACCGATAGCTTGTTTACCCATAGCGCATTGATAAGTGTTACGAGGAGATTGGTTGTGGTGAGGGTATGGAATGAGACCGGCGACAGCACCTAGAATGGTGAAAGGCTCGATTTCAAGATGTGTAGTGTGTTGGTTGATGTCGTGTTCGTAGACTGCAATGTTACAGTCGTTTTCTTCATTGACATCGAGATACTCCACCAGTCCACGAGAGAGGAAGTCGTCGAACTCTAGCGTGCCCTTGCGGAGGGACTCAAGGTAGCGTGTTGTCACCTTTGACTTGCCCTTCTCGACAATGATGAGCGGTCTGACAATGCGGCCTTCATCGGTTGCGATATGCACACCATTGTGGTGGTGATTGATATAGATGCTGACAAATTCAGAGATTCTTCCCATGCGACGGAATCTGCGGAAAGCAATGAGGAATCGCTTGGGTTCGCGAGTCAAGGCCACAGGTGTACCGTTGAGGAAGATGATGTAGGCTCCGTCGGCGTAAAGTTCGGTACCGCTTGCAGATGTTACATCCTCAGCACCAAGCACGAAAATCATCTTGCGCACGGGATCTTCTTCATCCATGGTAGTGATGTGTGTCATCAATGCCAAGTTCTTGACCAAACCACAAGCCTCACCTTCAGGAGTATCTGAAGTGCAAAGCATGCCGAATTGAGATGGTTGAAGCGCACGAGGACCAGAGACCTTTCTAGTCTTCTCGAATTGAGATGAGATTCTGGTCATCATACCAAGAGCGGCGATGAAACTCAAGCGACTCAGAACGTGGGTGACACCAGCTCTGTCCATACGGAAACGCTTCAGAGTCCAGTTACCAGTCGAGATGGCACGTTCTAAGCCTTGTGTAATGCGAGACTCGTGCATGGTAATGTAGTCTGCCGGGTTGAAGGCACGGGTCCTGTTTGGTTTCCTCAGAACCTTGTCCCAGCTTTGCTTGATGAGCTTGTTGAAGTCCTTGAACAGGTCTTCGAACAGCAGGGCCATCATCGATCCCGACAATTCCAAACGCTTGTTACCGAGGTAGTCTCGGTCGTCAATCAACTTCGGATCGTGCATACACATCAGCACTCTGCGGACCATGAATGCAATGTAGAGAGCCTTTGGTCGGAAGTTCATAGCGGTGACACCGACGTGAGGAATGATCGTGTTAGACAACTTCTCAACGGCGTTTTGCTTGTTGGTCTTCTTAGGCACGCCGTACTGACCGAATCTCTCGGGTCGCAGACGAGCTCCAACGTATTCCAGAGCTTGTTCTTGTGTGGACACTCCTGAACGTGCGGCCTCTTCAAGGTTGACAGAAAACTCATCCTGATATACAGCATCATCGCCAGCAACCAGAAGCATGATCTCGTGGTCTGACTGAACACCCATAGCTCTGAGAGCAATCGCGACAGGGATATCCTCAGTAAGAGAGTTGTGCTTGAGAACGATCAGTCCTTTNTTGAGCAAAACATAAGTCTTTGTCTTGACATTGGCAGTGTGACTGGTGACTGAGGCCTGGATGATTCCCTTGAACATTTCCACAATGACACGGTTCTTGCTCAACTGTTCCTGGACCAGAATGACCTTTTCCTGACCACGGACCACGAAGTAGCCGCCGGGATCGACTGCGCACTCGTTGAGGAGACCCATTTCCTTCTCTGAACGGCCAGACAAGACACACTTATTACTCCGAAGCATGACAGGCATTCTGCCAATGTAGACGTTACGTTCCATTTTTAGACCACCCTGCGATCTAGATTCGAAGTTGACGTAGATCGGAGCCGAGTATGTCAAATCACGAAGACGACATTCGTTAGGGGTAATTCCAGGACCAGAAAGACCAGGCACAGTGCTATGGCGATCCTCGACACGTTCTGGCTTGCCAATTCGGATGTCTGTGTATCTGATGAACATGTTAGGGTCCACATCACTGTGGACTGTAGCGTTGGCGCGGAGAATGGTCTTGAGCTCAGTGTCGACAAAGAAGTTGTACGAGTCGATATGTTGTTTCACCAGACCCTTGACTTTGAGAAAAGCTGGTAGGAGATTCCATTTGTCCTGCTTGCGTTAGTTTCTCTATCGAGGCTCTAAGTTGACAGAACAACTTACCCTTGCGGTGTTGATGGGATCGGTCAAGCCTTTGCCATAGTAGAAAGGTTCGAGGAGCGTATCAGACNNTGCAGAGTGTCAGTATCTTCCAACCAGGTTGATAGAAAACATCCTTACAGGGTCAGTTGAGTGGGAATGCCGCCTCTTTCTGGCTGCTGGTGGCATAGTTGTGACATCCTGAGTTTCTCCGTCGACAGGCGCCTGTTGTTGTTGCGAGTTTACATCAGGAGTCGCTGGTGTTGTGTTCGCCGCAGCCGATGCCTTCCTCGTCTGAGCCTGCAGATCGTCAGCCATGCATCGACCTGATAGCTATGTCTTGGTATGATGTTACCTTGGGCGCAGCAACGCGAGCCTTGGGAGGCATTCTCGGCGTTACAGTCAAGACCTAATGCACCAACCGCAAAGAAATGATCACAGAGCCTAGTATGCTCTCGCCAAAGCACGACGTGCTCACGTGGCGGATGCAAAGCTTTCGATGCGATAGACCAGTCACGGAAAAAAAGTGGCGGGGTCAAAAGTTGTATGCGCCACTGTCAGGAACGCGGTGACTGCGCTACTGCGGCGCTATGTATGGTTCTGTTACTCGCAGCGCCTCGAATAACGGTATTCTTCTTTTTCAGAAGATACGAGGATTATTTCACAGCAGTACACGCGTTTGAGAGGAATATTTTGGAGGGTTGTCTTCTCTAGATTCTTCTTGGGTCAAAGCTGCCAGGACGGAAGACGGGAGCCAGCCCTCTCGGCAAAGCATCCGAAAGACTCCCGGACAGGGTCTCACCAATCACCTGGAGGCAAGTCCACCTACTTCTCAAGTAGGTCTCACAAGCCTTTCTTGGCTTGTATAAGGAGAACGAAAATATTCGGTGTACAATTTATGGTTCTGCTACATAGCTATAGAAATGCTCACCGCCCAGCGATGTCAAGAAGGATTGGAGTTGACTATTGACCTGTATATCGCGCTTGTCGATCAGAGCCCAACCCAGCCAAATAAATCTCTAGTTCTGACGGACAGCTTAGCTCTTTGATGTCTACATTCTGACCTGCCAAATCCAGTAAGAGTTTTCAATGGACACAGGGCCTAGACGATCAATGTATTGCATCACTCGAGAGGAAATCGTGTCAAGAGGAAGCTCCAGGAAGCAGATCGAGTCTAGACGGCTCGCGATGCAGCACGTGTACAGACAGCAAACACTTGTCCGTGATAACGAGATGAGCACGCACGGTCTCGTTCCTGATAGACAGCGGAGTATGGCGAAAAGTAGGTCAGCAAGATGGTGGGTGGTTGCCCTGCATGAAGGGGCAGAAAAGGCAAAGAGCAGATCGTGATGGTTCGGAGGAGCCCCTCATGTGGCATGGTCGTGGCATCGCAGGAGATGTTGCTGCTGGTGCTGCACAGGTACGCTTGGGCCTTAACCGCGGCGTGAAACTCAACCGGCGGCGAGGCTTGATGCTTTCTCCACAGTTGGCTGGCAGCGTGCAGTGGACCTGAGCCTTCGGAGTCTTTGAGCTTCTTCTTTCTCTCCGTGTCGCTCATTCTTACTGCGCGTGTTGTGTGATTGGAAGTGCGGGTTTTGTATTCTACTGCTGAGCGCGAGGCTTGCCTTGGATGTACGCTTCGAGACAGCACCACTCTCTCTGTTCTCGCTGCTCTTCTGCCTGGACCCCTTGATCCAAAGCGCCTACTGCGTACCCCCACATTCAAGTCACCGCCTGTTCGAGTAGCAGCAATAGGTGCGTGCTCTGCCCTGTCGTCTGCCTGCGAGTCGCATCGTTAACCAGCGCTGTAGGAGTCCTCGTATTTGTATCAGCATGGCCTTCTCCAAAGGTCTGTCAGACCGACCCGACAGCGGTCTCTTGTACCGTCCGCAACTGTCCCCACGAGAAGATGCGCCCTACCCGACATCTACCACGACATTTCCCTCGCCACTGTCGCCCTTGAGGAACCTCAGCCTGGCTGCTACCACTGCCGAGGGTCGCGGGAGTCTACAACGTCGCTTTACCACGAATGCGCTGCCCACGCTATCACCCATCGCTCAGCAGAGACGCCAGGCTGCCGATCCCGCCATGACGGTGAGCCTATCTCTCATAATTTCCATGTTGAAAGAGAAGGAACCATATATACTTGGGTGTAGAGCCGTGTCAACATATACTATGCCGTAGTAGCCGTGTTGGTTGACCTGCTGCTATGCATAACGTTTGCGATAGCATGGTCGCGAAGATACCCTTGGTCAAAGAACGTATGCTGACATACTACTTTTGCTGCAGGCGTTCAACAAGATTACTCCCGTAAGTGTACTCCGCTTATTCGTTCTGGTCCACCCTACTGTCGTGATTTACGGCTTGTCCTTGGCCAGTCTCGTGTCTTGGTCGAGCAATTCGTCCTGGGCTTTAATCGTGAACTTTCGTTGTTTTTCTTTTGTCGTTCTGAGACACGTAGCACTCCTTCTGTGTTTTGGACAGTTTTTATTCTGCATTTTTTGCTGTTTCTGTTGCTTTCTCTTCTCTTGCCTTCTAAACACAGTGCCTCGCTGTTGTGCTTGCACATTCTAAATCCTACAGTACTCCCACGACGGGTGCTAACATATCTCAGTCCGAGAGAAAAGCTCGTCAGTACGAGGAGCTTCTTGCCCAGCAGCGTCGTATACAGGCTCAGATGGCCATGATTGACCCGGAGACTCGTCGCGAAGTCGACGAACATCAAAGATTGGAACAGGATATCACCATGTTCACTGCAGGACACTTGAGCGAGCCCACCACGCCGCCCGAGTACTACAGCTCTGTCAACCGCGTCCACAGCGCTCGTCTGTCCACTGCCAGTCTGGCTTCTCCTCCTGGATTCCCGGCCCGTCCCAGTCATCCGGGCTCTCAACTTGCATCTCCTCAGACAGCATTCTCAAGACCCGTCACTTCACACGTCCACTCAATCTCTATCCCATCTAGATCGGTTCCTGCTTCACGCCGTGGCTCTGACGAAGATGAGGAGGACACTTCGTTCTCATTTGCAGACATTAACCATCGCGCCGCAGCCAAGTATGTTCAATGTTCCTATTCATCTGCCTAGCATTGTCGTTTTCCGTTTTCCATCGCCCTTTCACATCTCACTACCCACTTGACGACCGGGTAAGCCGATATCAATAACTGGCTTCAATACGAGTGGTCAATTATCTCATTAGAAGCTTGACAATACGCTGTGTCCTATTCACTCCCTCCCCTTTCCGGCAACTACATAACCACTCATCCACTGGTCCTCCTCTCCCTCCTCCCTTCTTCAGATTCCACTTCACCCTTCATACAGACCTTGAACTACTTGTTCATCATCTGTTTCTCACCTTCGTCTGTGCTAGGCATAGACCACTTACCCTCCTATCTTGCTTCATACACTCCCACGATCTCATACCCCATACACTTCCACGATCTCTTACATAGCTTCGTGTCCGCGATCTCACCTTCCCAGTTCTAACACCAGTCACCTTCAGCCTCAATCGCAACTCTATGCCTGTCAAGATGGCCGAACTGTCTACCATTCTCGGATCTGTCAACACCACCGGCTTCCTGTTTGGTGATGAGGACGATCACAAGTCTACTCGTGTCCAGAACCCCGCCGCATCCCCTGATGCTAAGCAGTTCCTCCAGTACCAAGCCAGCGACGACAAGTTCCCCATCCTCGTTCGTCGTGAGGGTGAAGGCATGCAGCTTTCCGCTTCTGCTGCAGCCGTGGAGATGGCCAAGTCCCAGCAGAATGGTACTGACAATCAAGATCGTGCCACCACTACCCGCACTAACAGACAGTCGCTTCCTCCCAGTGCAATGCGCCAGCCTGGTTACGGCGATGCTCCCATGTCTCCTCTCAATGGTATTTTGACCGAGATCAACACCGCAAAGAACACTGCCGCCAACAGAAGATCTATGGAAGTCAAGTTCAGCGGTCTTGCCACGCCTAAGCGCCCTGGCTTGTTGGCCTCACCCAAGAGCGTCGGCTCGAACGGTGTGCCCAAGCTGCAGGGCTCTTACTCGACCAACGACATCCCCACCCTGAAGAGTACAAACGCTGCCAACTTCTCTGAGAACTCGGGTGCTGTTCAGAACCCTCGTCCTGAATTTATCTCGCCTGCTCGCCAGTCCAACATCCTCAGCAACGGTCATCAGAACGGCTTTCACACTCCTGCTCGTCAGATCCAGGAACAGCCCAAAACCGAGGAGCTTAACAGCGGAGCTTCTTCTCAGAGATCTGCTCTTCAAGCCAGCGCTGCACCCTTTGGACCTTCTGTCACTTCTCCCTCGTTCGAACCTGCTCGTGTCATCAACAACAACAACTCGAACGGCATCAGCCACGGTCATATCAGTCCTCCTTCGATGCAGACTTACGGCAATGGAGCCTACTACGGTGGCTACGGCATGCACATGCTGGGCAATGGCTTCAACCAGATGTATCTTGGCAACCAGGGCGGTGGCCAGTGGGGTCATGTGGCCGGCTTCCAACACGGATTTGGTGGTGGTTACCCTCAGCAGCTCTCCCAGCAGCAGAGCCCCGCGCGCTACAATGACAGCCAGCCCCGCGTTATGCAGCAGCCACGCCGCAACACTACCGGAGATGGTAATCTTTCAACCACTCTTCCCATGACACCCGTTGCTAACATGGATTCAGACAACTCGCGTTACTCCAATGTCAAGTTGCAGGAGCTCATCGGCGAGATCTACAGTCTTTGCAAGGATCAGCACGGCTGTCGCTACTTGCAGAAGAAGCTGGAAGAAAGTGATGATGAGAACATCAGACTCATCTTTGAGGAGACCAACCCTCACATGATTGAGTTGATGACTGGTAAGCTGCTTGTTTCAACTCTGTGTTTCGTGAGATCTTGCTAACTAATGTCTTCTGCAGATCCCTTTGGCAACTACCTCTGCCAGAAGCTGCTCGAGTACACCAACGATGACCAGCGCACCATTCTCATTCGCGCTGCTGCCCCTCGATGGTCAAGATTGCTCTCAACCAGCACGGTACCCGCGCTCTGCAGAAGATGATTGAGTTCATCTCAACCCCTGAGCAGATCCAGATCATCACCGAGGCCCTGAGATATGAAGTTGTCCCTCTCATCCAGGATCTCAACGGCAACCACGTTATCCAGAAGTGTCTCAACCACTTGTCTCCCGAGGACGCCCAGTTCATCTTCGACGCTGTTGGCACTAGCTGTGTCATCGTTGGCACCCATCGTCATGGCTGTTGCGTCCTGCAGCGTTGTATTGACCACGCCTCTGGCCACCAGAAGGGTCAGCTCGTCCACCACATCACCATGAACGCCTTCACTCTCGTTCAGGACCCCTTCGGCAACTACGTTGTTCAGTACATCCTTGACCTTGGCGAACCTGCCTTCTCTCAGCCTCTGGCCGAGAGCTTCCTCGGCAATGTTGCCGCTCTCTCCAGACAGAAATTCAGCTCCAACGTCATTGAGAAGTCGATTCGCACTGGCGACGAGACCACCAGACGCGCTCTCATCGATGAGATTATGAACCCTGTCGACCTTGAGAAGCTGCTTCGCGACTCGTACGCCAACTATGTCGTTCAGACCGCCATGGACTATGCCGACCCTGAGACCAAGGCTCGTCTCATTGACAACATCCGTCCCATCCTTCAGTCGATCCGCCACACTCCTTACGGCCGTCGTATCTCTAGCAAGATCCAGGACTACGACAATCAGCTCAATGGCATGCCTGGTTCCATCTCTCCTCCTGGTGTCATGTCTCCTGGTCAGCTCAATTCCACCCCTTTCCGCACCAGCAGATCCAACACCATGACATCCTACACCAGTGCCAACAGCCCTGTTGGTCACCAAGTTGGTAACTACGGTGCTGCCAGCATGGGCTCTCCCAACGGTCACAACCGCCACCACGGATCTCTTAACACCATGCTCGCCCAGCCCCTCAGCAGCAGACCAATGGCAATGGCTTTGGCCAGGGCTACCAGCAGTTCGGCCATGCTTCTCACGGCTCTCGCTCTTCCAACATGGGACACTACTGATCGCATTCTGCTTTCTCGAGCCAACAACACTGTACTTTATCATGGGATCAGTACTCCAGCATTTGATTGCATAGCGCTCATGCACACAAGGCAAGGTGCGCAAGAAGAAGGGTTGAACATATGGACTCGCACTTTTTTTCCACGAAGATAACGACACAAGATTACGGCCAACGCGCACAATAGAAGGCGAAAGCGAAGGGCACATGAAATTTTCTGTTTCTCTAGTTTCTTTTGGTTCTTTTCACTATTTCCGATTCTGCTACCACCACCAGCATCAGCGAAGGAAGGAAGCGAGCGAAAGAAGGAGCAGGGTCAGCCTTGCCTTTGCCTGCATTTCGGGGCGATGTGTAACTAGTTCTTTCCTCTTATACAATTTGAAGCTCGATGTCCAATATTTTCGTGCCTTGTCTATCTTGATACTCTCCTGGTGTGTTTGAGCTGCCTTTATAAGAATAGGACGTCGCCCCGAGGGTAAGCATTCGTTCTCAAGACGGTAGATGGAGTCACATGGGCCAAAGGAAACGATCACAGGCTATCCTTGGACGATGGCAAGTTATGCAGTATAACGAAAGAGATGGAACAGGGGCAGGTCGAAGCAAGGGGTGCCTTTTTCATACAGAACAAGGCACGCATGAGGACGACGAATGCAGACAAAGAACAAGATGGATAAATGAGCAAATCTCAGTAGATACTCGGCGCAGATTCCTTTTCCAGCAACCAGGAAGATCCACTAGCAATGTGCAACAGAAGCATCGTCAGGAACGAGGGCTGCGATCACGAGTACGAATACAAGACAGAAGCGTGTGCAGCACGCAAACTAGGACTGTGCAAGAAGACGCAAGACAAGGTTCGCATTGACTCGAAGTGGATCTGCAACAGGTGTGTTACGGCCTTGAGGAGAGCAGTGGAGAGCATGAGCAACAAGACTGGCATGTTGAATACGTATTAGTATTGACATGCCCTGTTGACGATTTGGCGAGAGTTGGCTCAGAGGCCTTGGAAAGCGTGAAAGCCGAAGAGATTCCGGAGCGCGCAGCTGCATCTTGACGCTTCCTCGCCGAACTCTTGCAGTTATCTATCTCCACCAACCACTCGACAACTTGGACCTTGCTGCTTCTGGCTCGAGTCACGCCTTGGAACTCAGCCATCATACAACGAATCCGCGCCTTTCACTTCCGAAACACACCAATAACAGAAAGTAATCTGCCAAGATGGCAGCCGTAGCTGTCAATGGCGGCGCTGGCGCAAAGAAGCTCAGCAAGAACGCCTTCCGCAGACAACAGAAGAAGGCGCAAAAGGACCGTTCGGTAGGCCTTCTCTTCGGTCGCCTTGCTTTAAACTCAACTAACAATGACATGGTACAGGCTTCCGTCACTCCCTCCGTCGCCGAGTCTACCGACCTGTCCGAAGCAGAAACCCCCAAGCCAGAGACTGGCCGCCAACCTGACGCTCAGATCAACACTCGCGATGACCCTATGCAAAACAACGACCTCCCCAACGACGACTTTACCATTCCCGAAGACGACCCTCTATATGCCGAATTCCAGAATGTCCTATTAAAGTTCAACAACAGCGACAAATCGCAAACAAAAGAAGAGGAAAAGCCCGAGATTTACTACGACGACGACAATGACGATATTCCTGATGAGGAGGATGAGAACCAGCCGAAACTGTCCAAGAAGGCGCGAAAGGCTGCTAGCAAACTGACCATTGCTGAGCTTAAGCGTTTGGTGCGTAAGCCTGAGCTGGTCGAGTGGACAGACATCGACGCCTCAGACCCGCTCTTGCTTGTGCGCATCAAGTCGCAGCGCAATGTTGTTCCCGTGCCATCACACTGGGCCCTCAAGCGTGAATATCTTTCTTCCAAGCGTGGTATTGAGAAGACGCACTTCAACTTGCCCAAGTTCATCGCCGATACTGGTATCGCTGAGATGCGCGACGCCGTGCTCGAGAAGCAGGCCGAGGCAACCCTGAAACAGAAGCAGCGCGAGAGAGTACAAGGAAAGCTCGGAAAACTCGACATCGACTACCAGAAGCTTTACGAAGCCTTCTTCCGCCACCAAACAAAGCCCCCGCTTACTCGCTATGGTGAGGTCTACTATGAGGGTAAGGAATACGAGACTAACCTCCGTCATTTACGACCTGGCGAGTTGAGCGATGAGCTGAGAGAAGCTCTCAACATGCCACCTGGTGCTCCTCCGCCATGGCTCATTAACCAGCAACGTTTTGGTCCCCCTCCTTCATACCCTGGCCTCAAGGTTCCTGGTTTGAACGCTCCTCCGCCACCAGGCGCATCATGGGGTTTCCATCCTGGTGGTTACGGCAAGCCTCCCGTCGACGAATACACGAACCGACCCTTGTTTGGTGGCGATATCTTCGGTGTTAACAACGCAGAGGATGAAGAAGCACCAACCGGAGCACCCGTGGAGAAGACACTGTGGGGTGAACTTCAAGAGCGCGAGGAGGAAGAGGAAGAAGAGGAGGAGGATGAGGACGAGGAAGAGGAAGATGGCGACGAAGCTATGGACGAGGAGGACATTGGTGCAGGACTCGAAACACCGAGCGGATTAGCTTCTGCTGTTCCTACCGAAATCGGTATCGAGAGCGTTGGAGGCGATTTCGAACTACGCAAGAACGCAAGAGCTCCCGAACCCGAAGACAATGGCGCTCCCCGATCAGCGTACCAGGTCCTTCCGGAACAGAATATCCGCGCCCAAGGTTTCTTTGGAGGCGAGAGAGCATACGACTTGCGGGCGGCGCAGCAAAATCTTCCTGTGCTCGGACAAGAAAACAGAGGCAGCAAACGCAAGGTCGGCGACATCGATGTCAGCGTAGACGTCGACGCGCTTGAAAGAGATGATCGCTTGAGCAAGGACGAGATCGCCAGACAGTTCGAGGCTCAAAGACAGGCACAGGCTGAGGGACAGTGGAAGGGAAGAGTGGATCAGGAAGATTTGAGCCAGATGATTGCCGAGGAGAGCAACAAGAGGTTGAAACAAGACAAGGAGAGGAACGAGCGCAGAAGAGGAGGCGGCGACAGCAGGAGCAGCAGGAGATGAGACATGGTTACTGGAGCCACCTTCACGTCATCACCTTGCATCTGGACCGAGTCTCATGGATGGAGCGCCGCATTACCCAGCTAAAAGAAAGCAAGACCAAAATGAAGCACACGCATTAATAAGTCAGTCTGAATTGCCAGCAACAGATGTGCACCTGGATGAGAAACGCACTGCTTGGGCGAATATGCCTGGCTTTTAGGAACCAGGGCAGTTTTGGGAACAGCTAACACCAACATCATAGAAGACGGCCGCCGAGTGAGAGAAGTATTGTATGGCTCTGCCTTGCATCTAGTTGATGAAGAAGGACTGAGGACGTCGATATTTAGCAGGGTTGGGCCCGCGAGACCATATCACGTGGCCAAGGTCAAGTCTGGGGAAGCAAGCTTGGCTTTGCCGTGCATGCTCATTTGTTTGTTCCTTTGACAAGCGCAGACACTACACAGCAGTCTCCATCAGAGCTTCGTCACAAACCTCGACGAAGACGCAGCAAACATGGACAGGGATCGCGATCGGGACAGAAGGTAACACACATTATGGCCTTGTTGCTAGGTGCCAGGTTCACTGACTTGACCAGACCCTTTCCTCGCGAAGACCAATACGGTGATGGCCGCGGTCAATCCTACCGCCCTCCTCGTTCCCCTGTACCCCGATCAGACACATACCGCGCTCCTCGCTCTCCGCCAAGAGGAAACGCATACGTCGATTCTTACCGCGCCCCACCAAGAAATCGCAGCCGCTCACCATTGCCATTCCGTCGTCGATCACGAAGCCCTCCGCCCTTCCGGCCAAGAGATGGAGGCGATTCTTATAGAGGAAGAGCTCGTTCACCACCACCTAGAAGGGGTGGCTTCATGAGGNATGAAAGCTACCGTCCACCTCCTGCTTCTCGCTTCCACAGAGACACACTACCATACAACACCCGCTCGCCAGTACGTGTGCCTCGCGATCGTTCTCCTCTCCCTCTGAAGCGCGGTCGTGACGTTTCACCTGCTGGTAGCNCGCGGCAGAAGATCACCTCCCCGGCCAAGCGGGAGAGACTAGATTCGCCGCCTCGCTCAAGATACAATGCATACCCTCCTTCAAGAGACGTTAGCCCCGGGCCTGGACGTGACAGACGAGAGATGCGCTTGACGCCTCCTCGTGGTGTCACCCGTGGATATCGTCTCCTGTCTCGCTCGCCAATGCAACACAATGAAAACATCAACCCTCGCAAGGTTGATTGGAGACGTCGTTCGCCATCACCACCAAGACCCCGCCCTGATCTCATTTCGAATGAACACTCCGGCGCTGCTAGTGTTACCAGCTCGAGACGCTCATCTCCGCCAATTCATCCCAGTAGACTCGCTGCCATCGATCCCTTGCCCAAAGAAGATTTGTTCGCCAACCGCGCTCCTCGCCCTATCTCGCCAGCTCCTGCCCCGCAGAGATCACCTATTGTTTCTCGACCCCGTTCGCCCATTCCCGCACGACCTAGATCGCCCATACCCTCCAGACCAAGATCACCAGTCGCACCTCTAGCAGATGTCCGCTCACCTGTTCTTAAGCGCGAACCCACACCTCCTCGTGAGCGTGAGATCCCTACTGGTCCAGCTATTCGTGCTCCTCCAACAGGTCCTGCAAGACAAGACGAAGCACCGCAAGTAAGAGCGCCGCCAACAGGACCTTGCGCTTCCAGATCATACTCTCAAGCTGCTGGTGACGTCCCTATTCCTACTGGGCCCCGAATGAGAGCCAACTCACCTCCCACACACCCAAGAGGAGGCATAATGTCAAGAGGAGGGTTCTCTCGAGAGTTCCGAGACTTTGGCTCACGTGGAGACTATCATGGACCGCGTGGAAGAGGAGGACTTTATGGAGGACCATCATACCGTGGAGGCCGTGGCGGCGGCTATGCTACACAACATAATAGAGAGCCGGAGTTTGCCTCGGCACCGCCATCAGGTCCTCGTGGCTCAATCAGTACACACGCTCCCNCACCTCCTTTCAGAGGTGGCGCGCACACTTCAGGCACATACCCACGCACCACACGCTTTGCGTCAAACGGAGCACCACTGCCTTCCGGACCCAAAGCAGACATAGTCATGGGCGGCATGGGCGAATTTGACAGAGGACCCAAACCTGGCAATGCCTACCTGGCAGACCTGCCTCGGGTCGTTGACGGCGGAGTCAAAGCACCCGAACTCTACGACAGAGGACGTCTGAACAAGCTAGAGGATGAGGCAGAGAAGCTGCGACAAGTCATAGAAGACAAGCAAGCACGTAAGCGCAAAGGATTAAAAGAGTGGGCCAAGCTCAGCCGCGAGAGCGAGACTGCGAGTTTTAGAGCGCAACTAGCCGATGAGAACGTGAGAGCGCTTGCTGGAGAGGCTGATGGCGGCGCTGCATTTTAGCAAGACGACGACACACCAACCTTTTTGCTTTAGAGAGACATGAGAAAGCATCAAGAAACAACTTTGGAGAAGAATGCATGAGGATGAGGAAAATGGCTTGTTATGAGAACGAAGAGTGATTTTGTTGAGACGATATACCACCCAGAACGAGGAAAAATATTTGCCGATGTTGTGAATGAGGAATATGCTTGACGGTTCCTGATGTTGTTGCAAGAACGATGATGTCTAACAGACAGCTTCTCATTGCGCTATATCATCGAACAATACTGCGGCGAGACAGAAGCCTGCTAAAGCTGCTAAAGCAGCTGGTAAAAAGTGAAGAGAATGGCCTGAAGCCTCACAACAGCACAACCGACAGCGCTGAAGCTACAAGAGGATGGTATGACTCTCGACGAACACTCGACAAAGGCCTCGACGAAGGCCTCGACAAACTCTTGAAGTGACCCCACCTGCTCGTTCTGGATGGCCGAGGCGCGTTTGAGCGGTTCAAAAGCGAAAGGCGGGCCAAGCTTTGATCCCACACTTGCGAGCCGTCGGAGTTGAGATTTGCTGGAGGAGCGCGGATTCTCGCTCTTGCCTCGCCTCTTCCACTTTCCACCAACCTTCAACCACAACCAAAACTTGCCAGCTCTTTGCAACCACTACAACCTCTCAATCAATCACCGAGACCTTCTCACAACACAAACCTTCAACATGCAGAACTTCGGTGCCCCCGCTCCTCCCATGACTGGCCGCGCTTGCTACAACTGTACGTTTTCTTCACTCGACCCTCTGGCGCGCAGTCCTGCGCGATTGCCGTTTGTCCGCTCGACGACCGCAATACACGATGCGCGCCTTTGCTGCTAGAGGCTTCAATCTGTCACTACAAGATCCCGGACTGACATGCTTCACTACAGGCGGCGACGTTACCCACCAGGCCCGCGACTGCCCCACCAAGGGCAACCCCACCTGCTACAACTGCGGTGGCCAGGGCCATCTCTCTCGCGAGTGCACCAACCCCCAGAAGGAGAAGTCCTGCTACGGATGCGGTGAGACTGGCCACATCTCTCGCGAGTGCCCCAAGGGCGGCGCTCCCCGCGGTGGTGCCGGTATGGGCGGTGGCCAGGAGTGCTACAAGTGCGGCCAGGTCGGCCACATCGCCCGCAACTGCTCCCAGGGCGGCGGCTTCCAGCAGCAGGGTGGTTACCAGAGCCAGGGCTACGGCGCTCCCCGCGGCCAGACCTGCTACTCCTGCGGCGGTTTCGGCCACATGTCTCGCGACTGCACCCAGGGCCAGAAGTGCTACAACTGTTTGTCTATCTAAGCCATTTTCTCTTTTGAAGCATAAGCTAACTCAACCATCACAGGTGGTGAGGTCGGTCACCTTTCTCGCGACTGCTCTGCTGAGATCAGCCACGACCGTGTCTGCTACAAGTGCAAGCAGCCCGGCCACGTCCAGGCCGCTTGCCCCAACTAAGGGCTTGCTCGTCTGCTCTTGACGACAATCTCTTTTTCTTGACCAGCATTGCGCATTTACATCCATTCTGCTACTTTTTTCACGACCGTCATGACCTTTGATCGCAACGGCCAGTCTCCAACAACAAAAGCTTTCTTGTATTCACCTTTTTATCATCTAGGGGTTGTTTACTAGAGATGGTGGGGACAAGCTGAGCTTTCCTTACTGCTGAGGACGAGGAAAAGGACACGACGAACGGACACGAAGGGCACTTGATGTGATGAGGGAGAGAGACCGAGCATGCATTTTCTTTTTTTCTATCTTATTTTCCTTTGTTGTTTGATGCCAACCATCTTGGACAACAAGACAAGCCCTTAGTTGTTTTTTCTCATTTGGTACGTTACTGAGGGCTTGTCTTTGTTGAAAAGCCATGCCACCGACTGAGAGTTGAGAGTTGAGAGAGGAGACGAGAACGAAGAGGAGAGCTTTACGGATTTTTCTTCACGACAACCTATACCCAATCCACTGCAATATCAAAGGACGACGTTTTCTGGCGGTTTTCAACTTTACATTCTTCTGCTCAGATTTTCTAACTTGTGAATATGTTTTTCTATGTTGCTCTTTCTGATATAGAGTGGCTGGGGTGAGCTCTCCACCTGGCTCTCTATTTCGCCGTGTGCTGTTCTCGGTGGGGCGCCCGCAATCAGCCGAAAAGGCTGTCCCGCTTAAAGAGCGTCTATACCAGCCTCTGACGTCAGCGAGAGTACATTGATACAATCGCGGCTGTGGATGATTAGAGTTTCGAGATGACCTGTTGCAGAATGCTAGGGGCAAGGCAATCAAGCATGAGATCTTGCATTGAGGATGTCGGGAGAAGCACAACAGTTGCATTTCAGAGCTTTGCGCGTGGCAGCAGTGTATGTATGGGTGCCAAGCTGTCAGGCACGGGAGACAGCAGAACACCAGCTTGGAGTTTGCAGCGACGTTGTTCATGTGGTACAGACACGTTGTCGACTGCTTCTCCCTCTGCCACGTCCTTTGCAAGTAATGTTTGTCATGCGTCTGCATGCCGGCTCAAGCGGTCCACGAGATGAATATGCCGCGTAGTCCATGACGAAGTGCCTTGTCGCAGAAGAACTCCGATGGCTCATGATCGACGTATCATAATATGCAGCTCCAAGATCAAGGCATTCTAGATATGGGTCAGCTGGGAAAAACAGGAACAATGTGCTTGTCTCATGCCTTGGTGATGTCTTGCGAGGAAAGAAGAAGAGGGTTGTTCTCCTAGCTCCCCTCTGCCTACACTGTTAACTCTAACTCTTTTTCTTTTCCACCTTGACTCTTGGTTCTGTCTCGAGACAACAAACTCTCTTCTGTTTGTTGACTTGCACCTATAATTCTTAATCAACTCCTACGACTCTTTCTCTCTGGACCACTGTTCTCAACATGCGCCTCACTCCATTCAATTGCGCGACATTGGCCTTTGTGTCTAGTGTTTTTGCACAGAGCAGTGCTGAAGACAACACAACACAGCCTGTCTCTTTCTTCTACACTCGACCTCTGTCTCAAGCTCCTGCTCTGAACGTCACCCTCCAAGCAGACTTTTCCCCTGGCTATGTCTTCATGTCGCCCTACAAATCCATCAAACCCGCTCCGTACATCTACGACAAATTCGGAAACCTCGTCTGGGATGGCTACGGCGTGACTGGATCTGCGAATGCGCATAACTTTAGGCCTTGCCAGTATCAGGGTGCTCCTCACCTCTGCTTCAATCAGGTCAATCAGCAGAACGGATATGGAATTGGGCAGGGTGTTATCGTAGATCAGAACTACAGGGTTGTGGCTACGGCGCGGACGGGAGGAAATGCTGAGCCTGTGGATATGCATGAGTTCCAGTTGCTCAATGATGGAGAGACGGCTGTTCTCAGCGCTTATCAGATCGTTCCGTTCGATCTGTCGTACTTCAACATCACGACTGGTTTGGGATGGCTGTCGGAAGGCGTGTTCCAAGAGGTCAACGTGACCACTGGAGAGGTTCTATTCGAATGGTTCTCGACCAACCATGTTGACCCTAGTGAGAGTCAGATTACGCCAAACAGCACGGACACGGGAGGTGATGGCTTTGGGCCGCAGACTGCATTCGACTACTTCCACATCAATGCCGTTGACAAATCTACAGTTTCAGGCAACTACCTTGTTTCCGCCAGACACACCAGCACGCTATACTACGTCAATGCCACCGACCGCGATATCATCTGGAAATTGAGCTACCAAGGACATTCGGACTTCTCGTGTTCAAACTTCAACTTCAGCTTCCAACACGATGCACGTCTGCTATCAGAGAACGACACCACCACTGTTCTCTCGATCTTCGATAACGCAAGCAATGGCTACACAACCACCACTTCTCAGTCTTCGGGCAAAGTCATCGCTATCGACCACAACTCTGGCGTCGCAACCATGCTCTCCAACACAACATTTCCCTCTGCTGAAGGCCTTCTCAGCACCTCTCAAGGAAACACGCAATCCCTCTCCAACGGCGGTTTCTTCCACAGCTGGGGTAACAACCCCTATCTCTCCGAACACTCTGCCAACGGCACTGCTGTACTCGCCGCTTCCTTCGCCGCCGACGACTCTGCACAAAACTACCGTGCTTTTTCTGCTGATTGGACAAGCACACCTGCAACTACTGTCCCTGACGTTTATGCCTATGCTGTCAATTCTTCCGCTCCTACACGTATTTACGTGTCTTGGAACAGCTGCACTACAGTTTCCTCATGGCAGTTCTATGGTGGTAGCTCCGTAGGAGAGGACTTCCTGGTCATTGGACAAGCGGACAAAGAGGGCTTTGAGACCTTCTGGGAGGCGGACAAGTTTTATCAGTGGGTGAGGGTGGAAGCCATCGATGCGGATGGCAATGCGCTGCGCAACTCGAGTTACACGGGTTCTTTTGTGCCGTCTGCTATGTTGGCAGGTGCTTGTGATGAAAGCGGATGCGGTGTTGCGACTTCCTACTCCTCTTAGCGGAGAAGGTTGACGAAGGACGATGATGGGAGCAGGGGTTGCTTTTGCTTTTGCGCTGTTACGATTGTCATGAAGAATGGGATATGCCTTGTGTTTGTTTGAGTTGCTTCGTTTTTTCCTTTGTAAGTGGTGGTGAAATACTCTGATGCATTTTCGGTGATGATTGTCGGAAGCCTGCTTTTCCGTCGTCGCTTCTTCTTCTTGGACGTTGTTGCTGAATCAGCTGATATTTCTCTTCAACAACAATACATAGTAGTCGCGAAAAGCTCTCGACACGAATACTCAAAGCACATCTTCATGCTCTCCCATATCGGCATCCACAACTCTAACATCGATTTCGGTTGGAGTACTAATGAGACGGGGTACCCACAGATAGGAACCAAGTATATCTTGACCGCCATTCCTCCCGACGCAACGAAGAGCAACAAATCCAGCCATCGAAATGTAGGTTGCTTCTCATTTCCCTCTACTCGGAGCTTCTTTCGTTTTCCTATCGATGTTGGTCTCCTTCCACCTAGTCGTATCTCTCCTGGCCACGCATACTTATCCCTGAGCTATCGAAAGACTGAAGCAATATTCACAAGAAGCCTGGTTGCCGCCTCCTTTGGAGTATGGACTCATGTTCCAATTACATCTCTTTCACCGACATTTGGTCTCAGCCGAATTCAACAGGCAAGGGACCCGAGATCAAGATTAGATGCCATTCTGCGATAGTCCTGATGAGCTTCAGCGTGCGCCATGTTGTGGTCTTCCTCAAGAAGCAGCTCTGGAGACGTCGGACCATGCAACCAAGACACTCTAGAGAAGATTCGAGACGATCTTTGTAAGAGGTCATAGTAGAGAGCTATTGCGACTCCGAATAACTCTAGTCCATCATTTGAACAGGATATCTCTCAGCACAGAAGGTGTGAAGATCAATTAACACAATACCTAAGGTGTTGAGTGTGACGCCAGTAACAAACGGAATCCCGTCTCCTAGAGCCGGATAGGTGCATGAAGCAACTTCGTCGTCGCATTTCGAGCTGTTTCTTGGTTTCTTCACCTGGAAGATTTAGTCAATACTTCCTGTATTTATCTCGAGCCGGAAATCTGATCAACATCAAAGTTTTTGTTCTGCAACATACCACAGCTGTATGATCTCGACAAGATTTCGATAAAACTACCATCTCTCCTCACGTTAAGTTGAGAAAGGAGGCCTTCACAACAGCAACTCTACTCCCCCTCGGAGTTATCTCTTGACATTCAAGCCATTCGAAGGGTAATTCGCTCACTACTGTCCTTCCTCTCGCTTCGTTTATTGGTGTGAGTGTGGCTGCCTTGAGCTTGCTCTCTCAACTTCATCTTCTTCAATAACAACACTTCCAATTGTCACTCTCGCCCGGATCGGAGGCCCTTCGCTGCTGCCTCGAGGTCCTACTTAAGCAGCTCCTACCTCCGACAACCGACTCAACCTTTCTCTACTTACTCCCTCCACCACCTCTACCACCTGCGACCTCCTTGGTCGTCCTTCCTCTTCCACCTTTGCTCTACTTCTTCTCTTATACCTCTACACTACACCAAGTCATTTCAACCTCACACGGCTACATCAGACGTTCAACGCCTCAACATCTGCGCTGGCAGCAGTGTGTCGGCTCCTTCATCAACACTCTAGAGATCTTTGCTCTAGATCCATTTCCTCATAGATCTTTGCAAAGATCTTTGCACCTTGTACTCCAGCACTCCACATCACTTTCGGATCTTCTGCTTCTCTTAAAATCTTCCCTCCTGGTATGTTTTCTTTAAGATCGTCTCTTGGGACCCTCTGCTGACATCCCTCGGTAGACCAGCAAGATGTCTGAGCCGTTCTCAGATAAGGAAAAGTCCAGGATGGATCTGGTCGTGCACTCTTCCCGTCCCGCAATGCCGTTCAATGAGGAAGATCCTGAGATCAAGTCTGAAATCAAGACCGAGAACAACGGACGTCTTTCACCACTGTTCGAGCCACAGGATGTGGCAAAGAGAAGTATCGACGATGAAGCTTTTGGAGTCAAGAGACCGAAGCTGTCTACTGAGTCTGGTCCTCTCGCATATGGTGGAGGTCTAGTACGGTCGTACGTTCCTGGAACGGAATACAAGTACTCAAAACACGAGGCTGTTCCACAACTTGAAATGCACAGCAAGCACCATCAAGAAGCCATCGAGCACTTTCTCTTCAATATGAAAGAGATCGCGCTGCCCGCTATCACTCCTTACAGCAACGAGGACAAATCAGTCAACGACACTGTTGAGTGGTTGGAGAAGCACGCCAATATTCCCGCGATACCACCAACCCTTNTTGCTCTGAGTGGTAACAGTGGTTCGGGTAAAACGAGCACTCTCAATAATGTTCTTGGCATGTCTGGTCTTGCCAACGCTGACGCTTCGATGGAGAGTGTTACTCAGAACCCACAGATCTTCAACCATGGAATCCCTCAGGATATAATGTTCTCGGTTGAGGTCTTGTTTCTCAATGGGCGAGCCATTGAAAACTTGATCAAGAGATGCGTCACTGATCTGGTTGCCTATGTCAAATCAATGTCAGGCGATGAAGCTGAAGAGAGTGACTACATCCGCGATTCGGCCGAGTCGAGCAAGCAAGTATTCGACGACCGGTTCTCTCACCAAGATGGACTGAAGAGTCTGGATGATGTCGAGGAGTTCTTGGAGACCAGAACCCTTCTTCTTCAGGATGATGAACAGATTTCTGAGTCAGCTATTGATTCTCTGTACCAGCAGATCAGAGAACGTGCTTCTTCCGAAGATATCGACTTGGACTCCCGCAAAACTAAGCTCACCGCTGGAAATGTTGGAGAGCTTCGCGCAAAGACTGCCAGGTNNTTTTCTGAACGCGGTGCCTTCGCACCTCTTGTCAGCAGCATTCGCGCCAAGNTTCTGATGAGTATTGGAATCGCCGACTTGCCAGGATACACGGACACGAACATACATCTGCGCAAAACATCAATGGCATACTCAATCAATTGCCCAAAGGCCATCTTCGTGGCTGATCTGTCGAGATGTCTGACTACCNCCGAGCTGAAGAAAAGCTTAAAAGAAACCATCAAACTTAAGGGTGCAGAGAATGTTTGCTTGGTTCTTCGCGGAAGAGAAGTATGGATTGCACATCGAGAGGTACACGGGAGATATACTAATGACGTTTACAGATCGTTGAGAAAACCAAGAGCAGCAAATGGAACAAAGNTCGAATCTGCTCATCTCGAGACTTTGGAAAAATCGTTAAAGACCGCAACACTTCAGCTGAACAGCGACGACCAGATTATCACAGCTCAAGCCACAGCAGACATTCAAGCCATTCGACGCCAGATTCTTGAGCATAGGGTCACCGTCCGCGATCGTGTCCTTACTGATCACTTCTCTCAGAAAGAGTATCAGAACAAGCATGACGCTAGCAAGATACGTGTCATCACAGTTGTCAATAAGTGCCATGAGTACTACATGGCTGGCTCCCTATATCACAAGGCCGTGCTTCCGTTTGACAAGACCGGCATTCAAGATTTGCGGGCTTATATGCGTGAGACTCCTAGCAGGGATCGTGTTCGAGCTTTTGCGCGTCACTCTGCAAACTACATCACCAAGATGCGCCACATTTCTATCTGGGCCGACGGACCTAAGATGCCTCCTCGCGATGCTGCAATGGCCCTGTTTGAGGAGTATACACGTTGGGGTGTTCAGGGCTACAGAGTCTCGCTGATGAAATCCTCGACGCAGTACAAGAAGCTCCTGAACACGCGCTTCTCCAGCACATGGGCGGACGCGGCTCAGACGACAATGGACGGCTGGACTGTTGCATATGCAGCCCGTACCCAAGGCGTCCTCATTCGTCAAGGTGGCAGACACAGCCCTGCTCTCAAGCGTATGAAGACCAAGAAGCCACAGCTTGTCTCTTGGATTGAAGACCTTCTGCTCGTTGTTGAGGACGATGTCATGTGTCTTCTCAAGTCAAGTTGGGATGTTATCAACGAGGTTGACGGAAGTATCTGCGAGAACATCTCTGACGTTGTCGAAAAGATTCGCCATGGCCTCGAAATGCTGGACACTATCGGAGGCGCCAACCCGGAAGGCGTTTTTGAGCTTTTCGAAGAAGAGAGAAAGTTTTGCATCGGTGATATCAAGGAGTGCATCATTGAGCTCAAGACGAACCTGAGGTAAGTTCTATGTATCCTCATCACGCTGAGCTACTAGAATACTGACATAAACAGGTCAACCGCAATGAAGTCTATCGCCGACGAGCCGTGTGACGAAGACTCGCCAGTTTTTGTCAGGGAGATGTTCAAGATCTTCACAACCACTTTCACGAAGTTCCCACCCAAGACCAAGAACGTCACAAATGAGCGCATGAAGTGTATCAAAGAACAAGTCCTTAACGGCAAAGGACCTTACAACATGATGTCCAACGAGATCTCTGCTCAGATGGTTCCGGTCATCAATTCATGGGCTGACAAGACCACTACGCGAATCGAAAAGATGCACGCAGATCTTCGCGATGCTCTCTTCAAGTCCTTTAAGGGAAAGAAGATGTCAGACGCCAGACGCGAGCAGATTGGTCCTTTTATCAAGGCCGCCATGACGAAGGCTAGAGCTGTTCTTCAAGCCGATCTCGATGGCTATCCGGCCGACATCATTTAAGGAAGCGACACATTTCGAAAGCTGCGATTTAATAAGATCAGTAAAGAGAAGGACGACCATGATATGGATACATCAGAAAAGGAGAAAAACAACACAAAAGCGGAGGAGAAATGGCTGAAAAACAGTAACGACTTTGACGACTTACAATAACGACACAGCACTCTCGAGGAGCATTTAAGAATTTTTGCGGTAGTGAACCTAGAGGAGAAAGAGGTTTACGCTCCATACAGCGGCTACATCATACATCAGCCGGTCAGAAGGTCTTTTCACGGAAGATCATGTTCTCACAAAAGGAGGAAACGGAGAGTTGGCAGTTTCAGTATTCTAGCCACCAGTACAATCAGTTCTTGCCTTTTCTTTTCAACTTGCCATATCTAGTATCTTCTCTGTGATTCGTGATTTGCTGAATTATTGCTGACGGTAGAAGTGTTTTTGTAGAACTGCATGCAAGCCGACGGAGCATTACTACACTTCCGAAAGGCAAACTATTACAACGAGGGAAAGACTCCACTGTCTGCAATCCACAGAGCCGGTAACAGAAGTCTCAGATCTCCTCTACTGAGGACCATAAGGATTCCATCCACTCTGCACCATTTCGACAGTCCTTCTTGTCGCTTCGTCCAAGTCTTCTTGCTGCAACCCTAGGACCTCGTTGTCTAATCCTCTGCTGGATTCGTAGTCGCCACTGCCATCTGGGAAGAAGACTCTTGCGTACATTGCTATAATTTAGGTCGTTAGTCGCCTGGAAGGAAAGGGAAGAAGAAAACGACTTACCTTGNNGGCATATCCCATAGGGTTTCCATTCGCCGCATCCTGGTTTCCTTTCTCATATCTGTGCTTGGTGGTTTCGTAGCTGATCTTCCAGTCCTTGTCGCTTGTGCCCAAGACTCTATGCACAGAGTCCAGCATCTCNCTCTGCGAGACACGGAAACTGCTCACATAAAAACTGCTATTCGCATACTTTTGCAGCTCCTCCAGCGGCAAAGAAAGTATCTTTGCAACAGCTTTACCGCATTGCAACCAAGTACTGGTGTTGATGACAGTCTTTCCATCATCAAANAACGTTGCTGTTTTTTCTTCAATGTCGATGCCGTACAACTGACCAAGACCCAAACTCCACTCGTACCAAAAACTGCAGACCAGAGAAAAGTGCTGCATTCCCAATGCCTCAATTTGGGAGAAGTGGTTTTGGGCCATGCTTGCGACGGGGATGTCTTGTTGCAAAGCGGCGGAGTTGAAGTTGAAGCCGTAGGCATTGGGCATAATGTACTTGATACCGGCAGCAGCGGCGGCGGAAACGAGATTGGAGTGGATGTAGGGAGGTGTGGTGACGGAGAGGGTGATCATGAGGAAATCTTGGCCTCGGAGGGCGATTGTTAAGGCTTCGATGGATGTGTAGTCTACTTCGATGACAGTGACGGTAGAAGGGAGAGATAGATCGCGGCCTTTGCGGGTAAGGGCAGTGATGGAGTGGTTGTTTGACTCGAGGAGTTCGTCGATTGTGTGTTTGCCCATGTTTCCGGTGGCCTGTTGGATGTGTCAGCCATAGCGCAGAAACGATTGTGAAGCAAGTAAAACATACACCCACAATAGCGACTTTCTTGTTAGGGTAAGACATGATGATTTGGATTTCGAGATTGACTTGGTAAGATGAGTGATGTTATCTGATTTCTATGCAGGTGTGGTGGAATCGCTGCTTCCCTTTATGTCTCTCGATAGTTCGGATGCACATCGCGTGGTCGGACTTATAACTTCCCAATCTGGTAACTCCCGGAGATACGGCAATCCCGACACAGCGGACACAATTCCACCGACTCGCATGAGGCTACAAGATTACCTCTGTTGTTTGACGGAACATGACAAAGCATCATCGGAGAGCGAAAGAGCGACAGTGACGGAGGAACAAGTCTCGAGCATTAGGTGACGATAATCCTACATGGCTCTTCACCCCGCCAAACCCTCCGTTCCTTCCTCGCAAGCCCTTCTTTGCCGGCTTCGAAGTCTTCAGTCTCGACTTCGCCAATCCCTTTTACCTCGGACACCGAAAGTGCGACTTCCTCGACCATTGCGCTAACCTCAAATTCACCGTGAACAAGGGGACATATCCCAAGTTCAACAGTGACGGAGCTGTGTGGAGAGAGCACGGGTAAGCATTGCTGCAAAACACCGCTAACAAGCAATCGGCGAGAGATATCCAGACTACTTTCTGCAGAACTCTGGTCTGCGAGTGTGGGTTGGAGGCGCAAGAGTGCTTTTATGGTGGCATTGCTCTTGTTGTATACAGTCGTGCGTAACGTCAACAGACTCTCTGCTTGGACGGTAAACCTGCTGCGGCCAGTGTGTTGAACATCTTCATTTTCAGTGGACGCAACTGACATTGTGATGGCAACATCTTGGAGACGTATTGTTTCAATCATCTTTGAACTCATTCTCAGACCGCGGAGATCAATGTTGCCGTTTCTAGAGGAGCCCTTCTCTTCCCACGTGCCGCGAAGGTACTTGAGCACTTCCTCTCTGAACCAGAATTGCTCTCGTGTTGCGCGCTCAAGGTCGGCAGAAACAGGTCCATCAGCAGAAACGACAAATTGTCTTTGATTTTGCTGTGACAAGATTGGAATGGGCGCATAAGGGTTAGCAATGTGAAGGCGAGGAAGAAGTAACACAAGACGTGCTATATGGCCTGGATGAATCACTTCGTGAACCGTATAGGCACGATCCCAGCTTTCGTCAGAAGACGAGGAGCGCACCTGGACAGACACGGTTAGAGGATTTGGCCATGAATTGCGCAGATCGAGAAGGAGCAGACAATGGTCTTCATTGCTCGACTCCAAGCCCACACGATCCAACAATGTTCGGAAACGATTGTTACCCTTTTCTACTGGATGTGACGGTGATCGAGGTGATTTTGGCCGTTGGCCTTGTTCCTGCAATCCTCGATTCGTCCAGGCAAAGTCGGCAGGAAACTCGCTAAAGTCGATGCGGTGGAGCTGGATGCTTGCGTTGACGGTGATGTCAATTGGTACTGCGACTTGACGAGTGAACGCCCGACCTTCGACTTCTGAGAAAGGTTTTCCCAAATACGCATAATCAAACATGATCTTCGCTGCTGCCAGACCTGGCTTTCCAAGAACGGTAATCTCGAACGTTGCCTTCTGTCCTGGCAGAATTGTCATATCTTGGCCACCACCTGATCGAGCCCATGTAAATGTAGGGTTGTGAGATAACTCAAGTTCAAGTCCGTACATGTCTGGCTTGGTCAATTCTTTGGCTGCCAAAGCTGTGTGAATGGACGATGTAAGAGAGTCGTCGAATGAGATGTGAAGGAAGTCAACAGTGACGTGTGATGATGTGTTTCGTAGAGTGATTTGTAATGTTTTNTTCTGTCCTTCCAGAACCATCAAGGCAGATTCGAAGAGGTCAAGGCTGTCGACCATGACATATGGTTGAGTTTGGATGGCAACAGCTGAAACAGTCGTGAGTTGAGGAAGGATAGGTCTCAATGACCGACCCTTAGAATTTCTGGATTGTGTTGTGGCAGACGCAGAATCACGAGCTGAGAGGCCAAATTCCTTCAACTTGATAGGAAGGTCTGGTTTCCAAGCTGACTGATGGATTGGGAAGACCTGGTCCTTGCAGCCGAACATTCGAATAGAACAGCCGACGATATGGATCTGACCCTCTTCCTTGGCGCGTGCAGTAATCACAGCATCTTGAAGTCTGGCGGGTCCCAAGATGATCGAATGATCCTCGACCTCGATCGCTGGACCATCAGTGACAAGCGACATATGTTCGATCCTGATCTCAAAGTCATAGGGGTTTTGTAGAGTGATAACAAGCTCGACTGGTTCGCCAACGACAACAATCTTATCTTCGGTCTTGTATGTCTCCTTGACGAAAGGGTTGTATAGAAATGGCGACTTTCCAGGCTTGTTGTCCGAATCAAACAAGAGATCGGACTTGTGACGTTCTCGCAGCTTCTCATTATTTGAATCATCGACCCATTGAACATCGCGAACTAGGAAGTCATCCCAGTACAAAGCTCGGACATTTGGCAGGCCGATCTTAGCTGCAGCATTGATCGTTCTTGCCATGTTAGATATTAACCTGAGTTGTTCCTCTGTAACCATCGTGACACGGCGATTATGGTCATGTACAGTCATGGTTCCTTGCGGACCAACGACTCGCAGCAACAGAGCAGAAAAATGCACAACGCCTGTTAGGTCTGGCAATGCCTCACAGAAGTCGATACACGCCCTAAGTATATCGATCTTGAGGTTGATGCTGCCGAAGGACTTTGTTCCAGCTGATTGTGTAGCCAGTGCAATTGTAGCATTGATCATAACATCCAGAACATTTTCCTCTTCGCTTTCTGGTGTTTCTTTCCTCGAGTCGAGATGACTTCGATCACGAGCACCATAAGCAGAGTGTAGATCTCTAAGGATGTTCCCCAGATCTACTTGTTCATCGTTATTTTCTACAGATGCATCAAAAGCAGCAGACAAGCTTGCAGCAGGATGTATACCCATTTCAGCGGCACCTACTTTTCTGGCTTGTACTAGGGCTGGCACGAGAAGTGTGATCATTTCTTTCACGATGACAGCTTTCTTTCGCTCGAGACCGAGCATGGACAGGACCGAGACTATGCCTGACTGAATGGCTATTGTATCGGCAAGAGGGACGCCAGCACTTGGCGGTGGGTATGCACGAAGAGCAATATCAGCAATAGTATGCTTTGAGATGCCACCAGAGAAGCCTGCATTAACTTTTGGTTGATACAAGGAGCGACTTGATGTGGATGCAATCTTTGATAGAATGGTAGAGTCCAGCTCACCACCTGCATTCTGTAGGAAGGCGAGTAGCTTTGAAAGCCTCAAGACGCTTTCCGAATAGGCAACAGGAGATATGGGCTCACCAGCCAATGTACTCGTTCTTTCATACACAGAAATGATCATGGGTATGAGGTCTGGAAGAAGTCTGGAAGCTCTTATGGCGGCTTGCTTTGCAGCAGCAGGGTCCTGCTGACCTATGGGTGGCACACCGTCTCTGGTAATGGCAGATGAGATGAGGGATGAAGATCTGTCAGGACCAGAGTTGCAGATGGCAGGGATGGGAAAGTCAAAGCCAGACCAGATGAGCAGAAGCATGCAGACTACTATGCTCTCCAGACCCTTTGCGTACCACAGATAGTCGGAAGCAGAGCGAGCCTTGTTTGTGTTTTCTACGAGTTCTCGCCAAGCATCGTTCCAGCGTCCAGCTAGCATGTAGAGATTACCGACAACGATGCCAACTCTTGCTTTGCCTTTGTTCTTTGCTCTTTCTTGTGCACTGGTAGAAGCAAAAGTCTGGACCGATATGCGATCTCTATTCGCAATCTTGCCGCTATCGGATCTTGTGTGTGCTCCCATGTCATCAAAGTTTGTGGATGGGCCTTTGGGAGGAGGGGTTTCGGAGGGAGAAAGGACGGCGGAAGAATCGGCGGGCGACGCGGGACGTGGAGAATCCATGCGTAGCGACAAGGAGCGGTCTAGCTGGGGACGAGAGGTGGGGGCGCCTGGCGACTGGACACTTGGGAGGGCTTGTACAGCAGTGGCATATGTACCCATTTCGGACAGAAGTTTGGCTGAGATATCGCACATGATAGTATTCATGGTGGTCGTCTTGGTGGCATGCGAGGGNGGNACGCAGATTGCCTTGTCCAAGTTCCAACTGTCTTGCTGCTCTTGGGTACAATCCATGACCAGGAGTTGCGAAAGCAGTATCTTGGGATGCTGTTCGGCCAAGCTGTCCGAGACTCTTTGTAGTTCCTCCTTGGGCGAGGCTTCGTACTCTTTCGCATCTGCAATGCCCAGGACCATCATGTGCTCTCTAAACAGGTCGAAAGGGGCCAGTTGGGTATGCGACGGCGGCGGCATTGACGTCGAGAAGTTGTACAGAAGAGAGCCATTCGGAAAGGCTTGAGCGGAGAAGAGGTTGTTGTTGGTTTTGGCATCAGGACTAATGTCTCCTAGGCGTACGCTGTCGTGCTGGTCTAGTCGTTGCAAGAAGGTGGTGAAGCGGTGCTTCCTGATGCGCCCGGCGGGTAGGACAAGCACCCGCACGCGCGCCGGCGCGATGGGCGAGAGGTAGTCGTTTGCCATCTCCTCATGACATTGTTGTCTGGCTGTGTAAACATGTAATTACTACGAAGGTGTCTGTTGTCGCTCCTGGCCAATCAGAGCCCCGTGTGTCCGCGTCTCCTCCGCACCTTCTCCGCATTGTCGAGGCTATCTCACACAAATCCCTATGACACTCTGTCTGAGCAGAGATATCAACCATCACACACTTCTAGCTTCGTATCAGCATGGGGCTTATTCCATCTAGACAATTGATACACTGCACGTTGGAGCCACTCTCTACATTCCCTACATCACACGCCGGTTGCCCAACTCTTTTGCCGTCATTCACGTTATCTCATGAAGGAGCCGTGACGTGAACAACCTAACAAACATGGCTCTTCTGAGAGGCCTGAGAGACCCTTACGAGCGGAACTTCCTGGCCGCTCCGAGACCCAGGTTCAACAGGAGGTAGGTAGCCAAATACCTCCCCATATCCTACCGTCCGCACCCGTACCACTTGAAGGCGGGGCCATGTCGCGTCAAAGCGGCTAACCGCGGGGCATCAATTCATGCCCGACACTCATCGTCTCTGACATCAAATGCTCCGTCATCCATACTAAACATGCCCATGCTAAGCAAGATATACAGCGCCTCATCAAAACTTTCCATTCCAATTTCCCTGGCCTCGTCAAAATCAGAGAAGCCGCAATACCACCTCAAAAACTTGCTACGAGACATAGATGCCGATGATCCGGAAAAAGATCTCGTCCAGCTTCAACGAAGGATATGCGATTCGATAGACGACTTTCCAGTTCCCGATGTTGAAAAAGTCTTTCGTTCTGCTGAGAAACTTCTCCGTGAACAGGATCTTGTCAAAACAGACCTTGGCTTGGGAATAATCGCGAGACTCGCCTTCAAACCAGAGTGCACGCCCGCAAACCGCCTACATTTCTTTTACACCTTATATCAAGATGGGACCACGAATCGCTATACCGATTTCCCATCCTATCTCCTCACCATACTCACAGACAATGGCCGTCAACTTGAAGGTTTTGAGCCTTTACTGACAGGCTTGATACCCGCCCTTCTGCACGAAGTCGATTTTGAATTCGCCGACAAAGACATCAAGAGACTAGAAGCACGCGAAACCGGTTCGCCTATGTTGACCTCACTTGACCTCATTAACAACCTTGTCAAGTATAATGCGAGGTTCTTCAGCGATTCTGACATAATGTTGTTGGTCCAGGGAATGTTTGATCTGCGGCATCGACTGGCCTTTGAAGATCCTGAGAGAGTCTGTGATATCCTAGGCACCTTGATCATCTATACCCACATCCCAAAGGAGGCAGTCTTAATTGCTACAAGGACTCTTTGTTTTCTGAGAGAACGAACCGGCCTTGAAGAGAATACCAGCAAGACCTTCTCGTATTTCATGAACACCCATTTAAAGGATGAGACTATCGAGAGTCTTCTTCGCAGGTTCGAAGATGATGATACCTGCCCCATGGAAACTGCTGGCGCCGCTGCTTTACTCGAGTTGTCGCTTGTGAATGCAACAACACGACATTCGATAGACTTGGACATCATGCGTCTGATGGATGCACTGGCAAGACCTGTACCCGACGAAACTGCCTCTGCGTATGCCAGGCTACGCTTGGAACTGCTCAAAGTCCTTGTTCAAGATGGCGAAATGCAACAGAAGCTACTCGCGGCTCCAGATTGGATACATATACAGGAAGCCATTATACGAAACGCGAAAGCTCCGCTCGAATCTCTATCTGTTGGGTTGAACAAAGAGGATGGCACTCTCGAACGTTTCATGAATGACCGCGAAAACAGGAGAGAAACCGTTCGTGCTATCATTTCATGTCTTGAACATCTTGATGGCATCAGTCTTCAGCAGTCGAGGACACTACGGAGAACTGCCCTCTATGTGGCGCCATGGTTGACAGAACAACAGTCAATGAAGCTGATCTCTGCCTATCAACCATCTTCTTTCCGTATCTCAATTGGCAATTGGCTTGGTGAGATCAAGGAGCTTGCCACTCACTTCATCTTTAACACTGCTTGTCACCTTACACTTCGTCAAAAAGCTTTGAGAGTCATCAAATCCGCGTGGCGCACGGCCCAACAGCTCGGTGAAGACGAGGCCACCAACACATGTCGCAACTTGATTGTGGATGCTCTTGACAACGAAACGAATTATGCATTCAGAGGCAACCTGGTGCATGTTTTGCTCCATTTCACCGTCGGCGTGAGCGATCCAGTCTTCTACCGGACCTTGGAGGTGTTTGTCAAGTCTGCACGTACTGGCTGTTATCATGAGCTCATTGAAGTACCATTCTTTGCTGAGCCCAAAGTGTCAAAGGAAGCAAGACCCGAGGATGATTCTCGAAACCAGCCACAAGACGAAGAACTACCATCCATCCTACCTGACGCCGGTTTGGTGGTGTTACTGATGAGAAGCAGTGTTGATCAACTTGAACGATCGCGAAAAGTGTATCATGAGATGCTTCAACTCATTGCGATACCCGAACGGCCCGCTGAAGCCACCGTCATGCTACTCAGAGGCCTATTCCGAATTCGAAGTGATTTAGACCACCGTATCTTCTTCCTTGCGAACTCAGAAGGCGAGAGTCTTGCAAAGGTGCTTCACAGAAACTCTGACTCTCCGTTCTTGCAATCTCGCAGATCTTCACTGCAGTCGGGAGTATCAATCATGCCACCTGTCTGGAAGTATGGTGACATCCACGGGTTACCCGAGTCTCCTCCAACGACAGTAAGCGCTGTGCTCCGGTCAGAGTCAAAACCTGTTGATGGTGTTGACTGCAGTCTTGACATGCGATCCTGGCTCGAGACAATCATCCAACTGTTGGAGTCTGCGAGCTGTGACTGGGAGGTATACAGCTACATTATCGTTCACGTTGGTCCACAAGTTTCCAACCAGTCATTGTTTGCCGAGAACATCTACGAGATCAGGTTACTGAGGAATCTGGTTTGCAACAATATACAGTCTCAAGCGATATTCAGACCACCAGAAACATCGAATATACGACAAGGCGACGTGGCTTTGTGCCTGTACCACATTCTTACCACCTGTATCGGATACCATTGGCGCTTCCCCCGAAAGGAGAACGTCGACACTGTCACCACTCTTGTCAAAGGTCTGACATTATGGGATCGCACAACTATAGCTTGCGTCAACGCGCTAACCTTGAGTTGTTATGAGCTGCCGATATCTTTGAGTCGAGATCTTGTACGTATTGTGGCGCAGATGTCCACTATCGTCACCAAATCAGACTCGGCAATCCACGTACTTGAGTTCTTGGCAGGATTGTCTCGTATCAATGAGCTGGTTAACCAATTCCATGGTGATGAAATCAAGACAGTGTTCGGTGTGTGCTTCAGTTACATTGATTACGCCAGAGGCAAGAAGTTCGATGAACAGAACCGCTCAAGACCAACAGGGCCACCTACTAGAAACTCGTCAGTCGTGGATAGCAATTATCGCCCATCTACCGAAGACATACCACAATATGTCTTTGCGCTTAGTTACCATGTCATCACTTTCTGGTTCCTTGCGCTGAGCAAAGAGGATCAGAAGCGGCACTTCCCATGGATGGAGCAAAGACTGCTATCCCCCGACCAATTTGGACAAGTGCTCGATGAAGCCATCGTCACTGTTGACCATATCTGGCGAGTTACAGAAGGCAAAGATGTCGTGAAACCACTCGCTCTGGAAGTCAGTACTACAAGCGAATCATCAGCAGATCCAATCACGCAAACATGGGTTTCGGAGTTTTGTATCCTAACAATAAAGTGCTACCTCGACAACGGACTGGTCAAAATCACCGAACGAAGGAGCTCAGGTACCGATGAGAGCTGGTTTGTCTATGCCGGCGACGAACCCCTAACTCCAGACATGATCTACCAAGAGCGATTTGCTTCATCCATCAACGGTAACTTCAAGAGCGACTTGGAGGTTGTCATTCTCCCCACCAATGATGCCACTCGTCGCGCACTAGGTATCTTTGACCGCATCTCGCCCATTGACTTTTTCAAAGCTGGTGTCATCTACATTGGCGAAAACCAAACCCACGAGCACGAGATCCTGGCCAATGTCTCTGGCTCCCCAGACTACAACCTCTTCATCTCCGGACTGGGCGAACGTGTTTCCCTCGCCAACAACCGCGAAAACATGGCCGGACTGGACACCAGTGAAGGCATGTTTGACGGCCGGAGCACATTGAGGCACAGCGACACCATCACCACTCTCAACTACCACGTCACGACCATGATGCCCACAAACCGCGACACTGATCCGCAATGCACGCGCAAGAAATCGCATATCGGCAATGATTACGTCAACATAATTTTCAACAACTCGGGCCTCGAGTTTGAGTTTGACACATTTCCCTCTGCGTTCAACTACGTGTATATCCTGGTGGTGCCCGAGGCGCGTCAAACATTCATCCAAACCCGCACGAGGCTGCACAATCCTGGCTGGTACGAAGACAGTTGGTTCAAAGTGCGCGTGTTGACGAGGCAAGACTTTCCGGACATTTCTTCGGCGGCGGAGACAGTGGTCGTGAGTGGAGCTGCATTGAGTGCGTATGTGAGGAATCTGGCGCTGAATGCCGAGGAGTTCTGTAGAGTTTGGAGTAACAGAGGGATGGGAGAGCTGCCGAGTACGTGGAGGAGTAGGTTGCAGCAGATTAGGATGTTGAGGGAGAGGAACGTAGCTAAGAAGGAGTAAACAAGTGAGGACGAATGAGGTGGATGCGTAGGATGTTTGTATGCTAGTAACGTTTGTGTTTGTGGTGCGCCATTAGTTCATCAAATCCACATGATTCCACGTTGCAAGACAGAATGCGAAGAGAGAGCTCAAGCAAAAGCACAAATGCTTTCTCTGAGCCCCTGACAGCTATGAGACAAAGGGAAAGACACCTTGACATGATGGCTGCAACGTTCTTTCCGTCGTCGACTGTTGTCATGGTGAGAGACCACCAAGGCTTTCTGAACTGTGCAGCTGCAACATGGAAAGAGCGAACACCGATGCGTCGATGCATGACACGCATTTCTATCATACAGCTGCTGACAATAGCAACAGCACTATACGGGGTTGAGTCTTGGTCTCACTCTCTACTAGGTACTTCTTCGGATCGTAGCCAAAAGCAACTCGAAAACATAGGCCGCGGAGCCTCGTCGTCGACATGGTGTTGGTGATGACATGTCTCAGATATTCCAAAACTTGTTGCGCGACAATCGCACGAAGCTCACGTTTGCAATCCAGCCACCATCATGGCATGATAGATTCCTCAGATCTAAGACTCGCCCTTACCTCGCGTTAGACTGTACTTCTCTCGACAGTCTTCATCTCTGAGATCGAGAGGGCGCTCGTGGTCAATGTCTCTGCTCGCATGCTTTTCTTGTGACTTCTGGGGATGAACAATGTTCCTTGTCATACCCAGAGGCACCTGCACGATTTTCCGCAATCTGCAAGGTTCGCCTTCTGGAAGTCGTGCAGTTTTATTCACATCGCGATCGCCTACGCTAACAATGGAGCCAATGCAGCACGACAAGCAGCCATATCTTCGCTTTTTACTCTGTCAGGGTAATGCAGAAAATGCGCCATTGTGATTGTAATCAGTCACTGATAGCGCCCAATCTCCGTACCATACGAGTAGAGTGAAAACACCAAGACATGGGCGGTTGTGCGGACGAGGGCGGTACATAATCGCGCAATCGAGTCGCACCAGAAATGCAGGCTCCCGAAACGTAATACCAGATCTTCAGAGCTTTACCTGGTTATGAGGAGCGGTGTTCTGCGGGAGGCTCTGTAGACATCCGTTCCCACATGTAATAGAGCGACGCGATGAGTCGTGTTGATACGCAAATACTGGACCAGGTGGGTGGATCTGGGTCGTACTCGGTGCCCGGGCCGTCGACGTTCAGCAGTCGATGGGTTATATTTTGTTTGCGAAGTTTCCTGATCCTCTCAAATTGTGCTTCTGTAACCTGAGAAGCTTTANNCTCTTGGTCAAAAATGACGGGTTCAAATGTTGTTGGGTGANNGGTGACAGGGTCGACTTGCGATGATGGAGGTGGCAGTTCGAAGCCGNNAAGTTGGAATACAAGCGCCCGACCAACTTCACGGGACCGTGCCTTTGACACGACATGCAATTCCCTACTCCGCAAGCATGTATACAGATTTTCCAGACGACTTGCATCGGCACTAGAGCACGGTAGACATGAAACTGTGGTGTCGTACGAACTGCGCGCCATAAGTTCAACATTGGCTTTTCGTNNGCACCACCAATGNTGATGTGACTGCGAGAACCCGTAAAACTGTCCTTCTTGGGGTTTCCTGCGCAGGGACGCTGTATCTCATCCTGCTTGGCACTTNGAAATGCTCCTAAGACTATGAGCNACTTGGTACGCGGATACAGCGGCTNNCTGGAGGTGAGGGATCATCTTCGAGCGACCGAAAGCTCGATGGACTGGCGGAACGATGGCGTTCTTGCCTGGCATGGTGTGTGCGTGCGTGGGAAATGGCAGGAACGGGATTGTGAGGTGTCGCATGGCATGGCCACGGTCATATATATCTCCAATGAACCTCATAACCCTGTTACCCTTCTTCTGGTGTCACCACTCGTCGGCCTTCTGTTATTTGCCGTCTTTCAAGGGATTCCCGCATCTCCTCTTTGTTCGCTACATTCTCGTACTGATACATCAGAGCGCCATGGCTGAGGCTCTGACAGTACCTCTTTCTGTCGAAGACGAGAAAGTTCGCAAGTCGTCCTTGGAGAACTCCCAGAATGATTCACTGGAATCGATAGAGAGGATCAGGNAGATTGATCCTGACATTGAAAGGAGAGTCGTGCGCAAGTGTGACTGGTGGGTTGTACCTGCTCCGACAATCATCTTCGTGCTTTCTTTCATTGACCGGTAAGTTCGATCATCTCGACGAAAGATGAGTACCTAACGACGGCACCAGCNNGTCAACATCGCAAACGCCAGGATCGAAGGTATGCTGACAGACCTCCATATGGTCAAGCACGACTACAACATCGCCTTGTTTATCGTCTTTATTCCATTCATCCTTTGTGAGACTCCAAGCAACATGATCCTTAAGCGCATCACCCCACGCGTCTGGTTGAGCTTCTTGCTGTTCGGCTGCGGACTCATGGCCATCTGCCAGGGCTTGACGAAATCCTTCGCGGGCCTGGTAGTCTGCCGCTTCATCCTGGGAATCTTCGAAGCTGGTATCTCTCCTGGAAGCATCCTCCTCATCACCATGTACTACCGCCGTGAAGAGCTGCCTCGCAGGATCAGCTGGTGGTATATGTCAGGTACCATAGCAGGCGCTTTTGGTGGTCTGCTTGCGTACGCTCTGGCAAACATGTAAGTGTCCATGAGCACGTTATGTGTGTGCACTAATGCCAGTCAGGNNAGCGGGGTCAGAGGATATGGCGGATGGAGATGGTGAGTCAACTCGTCCTCTGATATTTGACGGGGATTCTAAGAGGTTGCATAGGNNATCTCCATTATCGAAGGATGTGTCACTGTGGTCGTGAGTATCGTCATGTACTGGTGGCTTGCAGACTGGCCAGCAGACTGTCGCTTTTTGACTCCAGATGAGCACAAAGTACTGATGTGGCGCCTGACGGATGACAGTGAGGGCGAAGCCAAGATGGATCGAGTCAACTGGTCCAGATGTGCAAGAGACTGGAAGGTCTGGGTTGCGTAGGCCTTCCTTGTCATTTCTGGTGTGCCAATCGCTGACGATCACGAACAGANNACTGCAATGTACTTTGGTGTTGTAGCACTCAACTACTCGACCAATAACTTCAACCCAACTCTCCTGAAGGAGCTTGGCTATACATCTGCAGCAGCACAGGTCAGTGGTCCTGAATCTCCACAATGCAAACCTAACACAGGCNAGATTCACTCGATTCCTTTGTATGTCGTTGCCAGTGCCTTCTGTCTTGGGTCTTGCTACCTGTCGACATACATCAACAACAAATTCTGGCCCCTGCAATTCGGCGTGCTCCTCGGCAGCGTTGGCTTCATCATTCTTCTGGTTCAGAAGTCACCTATGGTTGGACCCAGGGCCGCATACATGGCGCTCTTCTTCATCACCAGTGCTGGTTACATTGTACAGCCCATGGTCGTGTCGTGGGTCATGAACAATGCATCTGGGCATTACAAGAGGGCGTTCACCTCGGGTACCATGATCGGCTTGGGCAATGCTGGCGGATTGGTATCAAGCAATGTCTTCTTCCAGGAAGAGGCGCCATACTATGCGACCGGATACGGGACATCGTTGGCATTGCTGATCCTGACAAGCATCGCGGCAGTAGTGTTCTACCTTGGGCTCAACAGAGAGAATGCCAAACGAGACGCTGGCAAGCGTGACAACCGGCTTCAGCTGTCGGATGCTGACAATCTTGGAGACGACCATCCCTCTTTTCGCTTCAGTTTTTGAGCATGATGAATGACGACGTGAACTTTGGAGGTATGAACTTTGTGACTTCTTTTAGAGAAAAGTCTCTGTCGCAAGGCGTTGATTACGAGACACGATCGGCATTTTTGGATGAGGTTTCCTGGGCGCCAGAGGATAGGTATAGATATTTGTTTCAATTCACCGCATGCTTTTCAATGGCAGTTTTGACACTGGGACAGAATGGCACAATGGAAGAAGAGGCTGGGAGATTGACATCACCGCTGGCAGGGTCCGTGCAGGAGCTCACTCTCTTCACGTTCCACGCGCTCCCAAGTCCCCTTCTTTCACTCTCAACATGCAACCGCTGATCCCAGACGTGACGAAATCTGAGTTGACGTCTTCGTGATTTTGAAGGAGCGTCAACTGATAGCAGACTCATGACGGTGTTGAACGAAGCAGAAGCCTCGAGATTGACCATGTACCGCTTGTTACTTCGGCTGCTTCAAGACTTTGCCTGGCAAGCATGATTGATCTAAAACATCAATCGCAGGCTTCGACCTTGTGTGTCGGTTCTCGAGGGAATGCGCTCCGATCTGTCGCTCCTGCCTGCCTCCGAAGGTCATGCCCCTCATTCTGATTGCCGACAGACGCAGCTTCCCGACTGCCATCAATTCTGTAACACTCAGTTGTTGATTCCGACGGGATAAGCGTTTGCGAAAGTGAGTCCTTCGTGGGAGCTGCTGGTTGTCCCCGAGTGCTTGCTTGGTCGAGGACTCACTTTGGTTTGAAGTCTTCATTGTCGTTTGTGAAAATCTATCATGTCAATCGCTGCAGCGCATTGTTGTTTGCAGTGTCTTCTCGACTCGACATGACCCTGCTGTTCCATTAGAAGCTCTCAAATAACTCGACATTTTCCCACTTGCGCTTTCATCCCTCGACATTTCGCAGTAAGTGGTTTGCATCCGCCGCCATGGCCCCGACTCAACGTCCAGCTGTGTGGTCAAATCTTGCCATCCGCGCTGCCGATGAACCTCACACCAGAATCCCTCTAATCCAGGGCGTCGCCGTTGGCCTCGTCGTCCTGGGATTCATCATCTGTACATTGCGCCTCGCCATTCGCCTGAAGAGACGCACTACGAGTTATGAAGATGGCTTCATTGCAGTCGCCATGGTGAGTCTTTATGTGCGCTTGGTTCCGAGTCCTCCACTGACGTTCTTCTTCGAAGNNTTGTTCGCGATTCTGGAGAGCGCTGTCGCCTGCTTAGGTACACCAACGTTCAATCTGATGTCAAAGTCTCCTCACTAACTCTAGAAAGCGGCCGCCAATGGCTACGGCGCTCTTATGTCCACCCTTACTGATGAACAGCTCGCTAGAGCTCTTATGGTACCGACCTCTATCTGACTGGTTCGATCATCATACTGACATTAGCAGTGGTTCTGGTGGGCTCAAGTGTTGTACAAGCTCACAATCTGGCCTACTAAGCTGTCGATCCTCTTTCTCTACCTCCGCGTCTTCGGCGACACACCCAACGTCACGGCTTTCGGAGTCAACTTTCGCAAGTCTGTATACGCACTGATGGTCTTCTCTGCGGTCTTTTGTGTTGTCACGCTCATCGTGAATGTCCTCTCTTGCATTCCCGTCAGCCACTACTGGGACAAGAACTCTCCTGGTCACTGTGGTGTGGATCCCTTCAGCTGGTGGTTGGCACAGTCGCTGCTCAACACCATCTCCGACCTGTTAATCCTTGTCTTGCCGATGCCTTTGGTCAAGAACTTGCTTCAAATTCCTGCACGTCAGAAGATGGGTCTTTGCTTGGTCTTCTCACTTGGTGGCTTGTAAGACCCTTTCAAATATCGATACTTGGCTCTGCTGACATGCTCTTCAAGTGTGGTCATTGTGACTATCATGCGCATTACAACCTTCAAGACAGGAGGTCTTGGTGATGATACCACTTNNGTAAGTGACACGGATCTGAGATGCGCAAGCATGACTTGCACTATTTGCATTAGAGCTAATCACAAAACAGATGATGGTGCCGTTACGCTCTGTTGGACCATAGTCGAAACTAATGTTGCAATCATTTGTGCCTGTCTGCCATTGCTCCGACCATTTATCGCCCGTATGATCCCTGGGTTCTGCGGCCGCTCTGGCTTGCGCAGCAGCAACAGCTATCCGATGGTTCAGCCTACCACCTCAGATGAATCGCCCAGGAGCAAGCCTCTCAGCAGCCATGTGCCTGAAAGGATGCGCCCTCGTTCTTGGGTCGGCATCGAGACTGTCATAGGTCAAGGTGACGGACAGACCGCATCAGCTGGCATTCACAAGCAGATGGAAGTCGATATTACGACGGAGGCTGTGAGCATCTGTGGTACAGAATCTCTGCTTCGTCTCACGTGTCAAGATGATGAAATTACATCCGAGGAAGCCAGAGACTCGGAGTCGTCGAATGAACGCAAGTAGACCATGTCAAGCATGGAAGATATCGGGTGGTGGAGAGTTTGCTTCGATTTTAGCAGTGACTGACGACATCAACCAAATGAACATTTTCGCTTCTAGTTTCCTTGTGCTCTCATCACCGTCTACGATTTCGTGCTTGCAGATCGCCCCGACGATATCAATACACTTCTAAAGCAATACCAAGGTCATATGCTCGACAATTGCTGTCGAGGTCGCTGGCGCTGTATCTTCTCAGCCACAGATCGTCTGGTTTCTGTTGGTCTAACAAGTATTTTGCAAGACCGAATGTGTCCTTCGGATGGTCTAAGTGATATCTCACTGCTTCATTATTCTGTTTTGGTTCCAAATTGTTCATCGCGTGTGTGTTTGGAAAGTTGGGTGACTCAACATCAGTTTGGAGGCAAGCTTTTGGGAAAGCATATACAGAAAAACATTTTCCACAATGATTCAGCAACAACGATTGATACCACTCTGAGGCATATACTACCGGCACCTACATATATAAGGGGCATATCACAAGTACAAAACGAGAAAAACATTACGTTGTTGAAGAGTTATGCCATCAAAGACTGTTGGAAGCGTTGTAAAGCGGGTGACCCTGATATCATGATTATGACTATGATATGTGGAGAGCAGAGCGACGTGTCTCAAGGGTGTTGGTGACTTAAGGTGTATGGTATGCAGCACGAAAAGGAAGACTGTACAGACATGCAGCGATACAAGTGGTATAGATGATCTGATAGAGGAAAAGGATGGATCAAAATAGCTGCCAGTTGGCCTCGAAGGTCAGTGGTTGAGGTTGTGCGGGAGCGGAACCCAGGGGGCTTGGCAGCGGGAACGCGTACATTTCCGAAGCTGGGACCTGCGAGCTGTCTCTGGAGGGCAAGGAGAGGGAAAGTAGTGGCCGTTCCATCAGCTCCACGCTGGCATCTTGAAAGGGGTGCATTCTCGCTCTATCTCATCCTTCAGAGACGTTCCTCCTTCTTCTCTTCTTTCTCCCACTCGTTGTAATTCCTTCTTTCTTTTCGTCCATTCGACGACTTTGATTTTTTCCTAGTTGTTGTTGCTTCGTTCTCGTTGCTTGTGCCGACTGGAGCTCAGCTAGCTTGAGTAGACGCTTCTGAAAAAGCAGGGTCAAGCACAACTGTCCAAACAGTCTGACTTTCACCAAACCGTAACAGCCACGTTTCTTCATCCAACATGGCTGCGACAAACCAAGGATTCGCAACAGGTGCAGACCGCGATGCCGCAGAGTTGAGGAGAAGAGCTGGTGCTCCGGCACAGGATGGCGCTGTCCAACAGCAGCCCATCATTGATGACAAGAAGAAGCAGCAGGTGAATAAAGCTCTTTGCAACCCAGTGCGCATCCAGACTGACCTGTAACGCCAGGCTAAGAGTATCATTAATGTCATCGACGACTTGGAGCCCATCTTCGCACCCATCCTCTTCACCGCACTCGCCTTCTTCACCCGTCTATGGAAGATCGGTCTTTCGCCCATTGTCACCTGGGACGAGGCGCATTTCGGCAAGTTCGGATCGCACTACCTGCAACGCGAGTTCTACTTTGATGTCCACCCTCCGCTGGGAAAGATGCTGGTTGGCCTTTCGGGTTATCTGGCTGGATACAACGGTACCTTCGAGTTCAAGTCTGGTGAGACCTACCCCGAGGAAATCAACTACGTCTTCATGCGCCAGTTCAACGCAGCCTTCGGCGCCTTGTGTATTCCCCTGGCCTACTACACGGCAAAGGAGCTCAACTTCCGCAAGACCACGACCTGGTTCGTCACCCTGATGGTTCTGTTCGAGAACTCGTACGCCACCATCAGTCGCTTCATCCTGCTCGACTCCATGCTTCTATTCTTCACCTTTACCACTGTTCTCTGCTGGGCTCGTTTCCACAGACTGCAAAACCAGTCTTTCTCTGCTCAGTGGCTTCTGTGGCTCTTGCTGAGCGGTCTCTCCATCGGCTGCGTCTGCAGTGTCAAGTGGGTCGGTATGTTCGGAACTGCTTTGGTTGGTCTGTACACTATTGAGGATCTTTGGAACAAGTTCGGCGACCTCAAGATGCCTAAGGTATGCTATAACCATGTGGTTGAAACAAGACAATCCTGCTGACATGACTTTTCTAGANCTGAGCTCGCAGCTCACCTCGGCTTCCGTGTCGTCGGCCTGATCGTCATCCCGATGATCGTCTACATGTTCTCGTTCTACCTGCACTTCCTGATTCTCGAAAACAGCGGTCCCGGCGATGCCCAGATGAGCTCTCTTTTCCAGGCCAACCTCAAGGGCACCGAAGTCGGAGTCGACAGCCCTCTTGAAATCGCTCTCGGCTCTCGCGCCACCCTCAAGAACATGGGCTACGGTGGTGGTCTCCTGCACTCGCACGTTCAGACCTTCCCTGAAGGCTCGCAGCAACAACAGATTACTTGCTACCACCACAAGGATGCCAACAACGACTGGTTCTTCTACCCCAACCGTCACGAGCCCGAGTTTGATGCCGAGGCTCCTCTCAAGTATGTCGGAAATGGCGATGTCATTCGTTTGATTCACGCTCAGACTGGTCGCAACCTGCACTCTCACTCAATCGCCGCTCCTGTCACCAAGGCCGACTACGAAGTTTCGTGCTACGGCAACACTACCGTTGGTGACACCAAGGATCACTGGGTTGTTGAGGTTGTCAACGACGCTTCTTCGCGCGATTTCTCCAAGGTCCGCACCCTGACCACCGCTTTCCGTCTCAGACACGTGGATCTTAACTGCTACCTCCGTGCTGGCAACGTCAACCTGCCTCAGTGGGGTTTCAAGCAGATTGAGACAACTTGTGTCAAGGAAAACCACCCTCGCGATGTCTACACTCACTGGAACGTCGAGTCCCACTGGAACGACAAGCTTCCTGCCGCTGACACCGGAGCCTACAAATCTCCTTTCCTTCGTGACTTCATTCACCTGAACGTTGCTATGATGACTTCGAACAACGCCCTTGTCCCTGACCCCGACAAGCAGGACGATTTGGCCTCCTCTCCCTGGCAGTGGCCCCTTCTCAATGTTGGTCTCCGCATGTGCGGCTGGGACGACCACATTGTCAAGTACTTCCTCCTCGGTAACCCTTTCGTGTACTGGGCCAGTACTGCTTCTCTCCCCGCTTTCGGTCTTCTCGTCGCCTACTACCTGATTCGCTGGCAGCGCGGCTACAACGAGCTGTCGCAAAAGGACATCGACCAGATTCACTACGCCGGTATCTACCCCGTCATTGGTTGGGTTCTGCACTACGGACCTTTCATGGCCATGGGACGTGTTACTTATGTCCATCACTACTACCCTGCTCTCTACTTCGCAATTCTGTGCCTCGCTTTCTGCACCGACTGGGTCACAAGCCGTCTCCCTCGCGCTGTGCAATATGGCGTCTACGCTGTTCTCTACACCGTTGTCATTGCGCTGTTCTGGATGTTTAGAGCCATCACGTTCGGTATGGAGGGAAGCCACACCCAATGGGCCCACCTCAAGTGGCTCGACTCATGGCGCATGACCGATTAGAGGACGGTTGGATGAGAAAGGTGGCTCAAGAATGAAGCCTGTGTACCAGGGGAAAAAGAAAAGGAGTACGGAAAACATATCAGTCTTGATGTGTCCCAAGTGTGGAGTTCTCGAGGCCGTGTGCTACGAAATGGGCAAGACGAAACATTTTCCTTGGTATAATTTTCCTTTTACAAGTCAAACAGAATATCTTTTTCTTTTTCCTCCTTAACAACCCCTCCTCGTCGAAACCAAAGTGTAAAGCGTGACGTGAGATATCTCTCGTGGTGTCTGAATAGCTCAACTGTCCAGCATCTTGCCCTCGACATACAGAATACTGACTATCCGAGGGTCTCGTCCGTGTAGCATTGAAAGCCTATTTGCTGCATTGCCCGGATGTGGATGATCTGACCTGCTTGCAACTTTATATTATTATCGTATTTCCAATCTGGTGGTCCTATAGCTTTACAAGAGTGTCGCGTGATGAAGAGAAACATTGTACAAGCTTCTACATCAATTCTCGAGGGACGTGATTGTCTGAGACAAAGACGGCGAGCAGATGGCGCAGGATACTCGTTGAAACACAAGCGGAAAGCACGGACGAAACGGTTGCGGCCAAAAATGTGGGGAAGGGAGGTCGGCAAGTTTGATGAATGTCGACCCCGTCGCCCTCGACCCTTGTGAGCTGGATGCTGTAGAGAGAGCCTGTGACAGTAGCAAAGAAAGCGAGCGATAGGTATCAGGACAGGCTGACCGACTTGACGTGGCAAGAGCGTGGGAGAACAAGAAACAGGAGACCGTCTCGTTCTCAGTGACAATCCGGGCAGTCGCAGTCAGCCGCCTTTGTGCTTCTTTCCCTTTCGACCCGAGATTGGATTGAGAGGCATACGACGCCGCCAATCTTTTTGTTCCTTCCTCAAAAGATTCCATACCTCATTGATACCGCCTCACTCACCTACCCGGCCCCTTTGCTCGCTACGGCATCCGTTTGTTGGAGAAGCTTGTCGAGGACGAAGCTCTTTTGGACAGCCACACGACACGGACGGTGCACCTGACATGAACATCTCATACTAGAGCGGCCATGTTTTCTTCGGGCTCGGGCGATGCCAAAGGGCGGCAGACGTCCGGCGGCAAGTCGTCGTTCTTCTCGCGCCGTCACCACAAGGACAAGCACAACGNNAACACGTGCCCGACAGTCCCTCGCTGCCTTCGGAATGGTCGCAAAACCCCCNTACCACCTGTGCCTCCTCCGCACCAACAACACCAGTACCACCAGCAGCCTCCTTCATCGTCACATTCACACTCCTCGCGCCGTTCCATCGACCATGGCGGCGGCCTTATGACAGCTATCCCCTACGACAGCGTACCGCGAGATACAAGGTCGCCAGTACGTGTCGATTATCTACCAGAGAACAGTTCACAGCTGCCTGCTCCACCGCGGCCGCCGCAGCATGCATCGCAATATTCACTGGCCAGCACTGGCCGAACAAGCTCCTATGAGAACTCAATACACTCGCAATATGACCAATATCCTGCCTCGGATAGGGCCAGCATACGCTCTAGTCACAGCCATCGCACGTCGATATCCATGCACCCGCAACATTCGCCGTCTTCGTTCCCCAATATGTCGCTTGATTCGACCACCCTCCTCCCCCAACTAGCTCCCTCGTCCACTCGTGGATCTCAACAGAATGGCTTCCTTAGCGCCAACCAGCCTTCAGCCTTCAGCTCTACAGCATCTTTTACTCCTGACGGATTCAATCTACAACGACCGTCCGACGACCGCATTATCGAGAAGGAATTTTTGGAACTCATGCACAAGCGTGGGTGGAAGAGTTTGCCTGAACAGGCCCGGAGGCAGATGGAAGCATACCCTATAAACAAGAAATGGACTCTGGTACATCAGGACAGATTGGCTGAATGGCAGGGCGAACAAAAGAGACGTGCGCACGCGAGGACAACAATCAATGCGGACACGGGTTTGGGCTTACTGGGCCGTGCTGACGAAGAAGGGAGTCCCGAATGGTACGTTCGCAAAGTCCTCGACAATTCGATCAGCGCAAAGCAGTTGCAAAGTTTGGCCGTTAGTCTGCGTACTCAGCCTATCGGATGGGTAAAGGCATTCGTGGAAGCACAAGGTCAGGTCGCTTTGGCAAATGTGCTCGGCAAGTATAATCGCAAGCAGACCACAGGTCCGCAAAACCCCTCTGTTAACGAAAGAGACTTGGACCGCGAGTACGATATCGTCAAATGTCTAAAGGCGTTGATGAACAACAAGTACGGTGCGGATGATGCTCTCGAACACGCCCCTATTGTTAATGCTCTCGGGGCATCTCTTATTTCACCTCGTCTCAACACCAGGAAACTCGTCAGCGAAGTACTCACCTTTTTGTGTCACTGGGCAGAAGGACGAGGCCATCAAAAGGTTCTTCAAGCCCTGGACTCTCTCAAATCTTCGCAAGGAGAAAATGGCCGCTTCGATGCTTGGATGCGCATTGTCGAGGTCACTGTTGACGGCAGAGGCAAGATGGGCAGCTTGGTTGGAGCTAGTGATGAGGTCCGCAGTGGTGGCATTGGTATGGAGAACCTGCTCATGGAATATGCTGTTGCTTCTCTTTTCCTCGTCAACATGATTGTTGATGCGCCGGAACGAGACCTGCACTTACGATGCCATATCCGTGCCCAATTCACAGCATGCGGTATCAAGCGTATTCTCAACAAGATGGAGCAATTCCAGTACGATATTATCGACAAGCAAGTTGAGAGGTATCGAGCGAACGAGATTATCGACTACGAAGATCTGCTCGAGAAAGAGAACCAGGTCGATGGTCAAGAGCCAGAGCCCCAGGATCTTAGCGACCCTGTGCAGATTGTTCAAGCAATCATGTCCAAGGTGAACGGAAGTCATTCGGCAGATTACTTCGTATCTTCTCTGCAGCATCTGCTGCTCATTAGAGACAATGAGGCCGAGGACAGGCTTCGCATGTTCCAGCTTGTGGACGCCATGTTGAGTTATGTGGCCATGGACAGACGATTGCCCGACATGGACCTCAAGCAGAGTCTCAACTTTACTGTCCAGAGTTTGATGGACAAGCTTTATACAGACTCCGAAGCTCGACAAGCAAGAGACGAAGCCTTGGAAGCTCGCCAAATTGCCGAATCAGCACTGGCAGAGCGTGATGAATTAAGAGCTCAACTCGAGCTTGGTGCCGATGGACTAGTCAAGAAGCTTACACGTCAGCTTGAGGAGCGCGATTCGGTTGTCCAGATCCAACAACGCCAAATCGAGGGCCTCAAAGCAGAACTTGCAGAAGTTCAACGTGTGAGAGCTTTGGAGCTGCAACGGAATGAACTCGAAACCAGAGAGCTATATCTTATGCTGCGTGATGCTCAGGATATTGCAGCTTCTTCGGCAAAGAATGGTAACAAGAATGGCGCTGCTGTTGATCCGACTCAGATGCAAGGTATCCTGGATCGTGAAAAGCTCATGGACCGTCTGGAGATGCAGCTTGAAAGAGCAAAGACGCAGGCGAAACTCGAAGGTAGAGTTTGGCAGCAAGTCGACCCCTCGGATAAGCTTCGTGAGTTGCGTGAGAAAATGGATGGCCCTGGTGGAACGACTGGTGCAATTCCTGATAGCTTGCCCGACGGCTATATCGGAACTGTTTCCAGGACACAAAGAGGCGGCATCACTCGCAAACCACTTCCTAGTCAATCTCAGAAAGACAGTGATGAGTCTCAGGATGAGGACGACGAAGAGGCTACTGTTTATGAGAAGCCTCGTATTGTCGAGATGAAGCGACCCAAGATCAGCTCTGCTCATGCTCAGGCTGGTTATCTTAATGACATTGTCAACAAGGTCCGCCGTATCGACGCGAGTGACGACGAAGAGAACGGCACCGTTACTGGCTCTACACACTCTAGGAATGTCTCCTCCCAGTCTAGACATGTGTCGTCGCACTCCAGACATGTTTCCTCACATCCGAGGAACGGTTCCGCTCAGCATGCCAGAAATCCTTCTGCTCAACACGTCAGGAATCCTTCTGCTCAGCTCAAGGCAGATGGCGAGCCCAAATTCGATGGCGCGATGCCTCCCCTCCTCCACCCATGCCTGGCTTTAATGGAGCTTCTGCTCCGCCACCACCGCCTATGCCTGGTTTCAATGGTGCTGCTCCTCCTCCTCCGCCTCCGATGCTGCCAGGCTTCAACGGAGCCGCGCCTCCTCCGCCGCCCCCGCCACCAGGTATGGCTGGTTTCTCTTCCGGTGGCCCGCCACCACCACCACCACCACCTATGCCTGGGTTTTCCGGCCCACCACCCCCACCCCCGCCAGGAATGCCCGGTTTCTCTACTGGGGCTCCTCCTCCGCCTCCACCTATGCCCGGCTCTCCTATGCCTGGATTTGGTGGTCCACCACCTCCCCCTCCGCCAGGCATGCCAGGTATGAAGGCAGGAGGACCACCCTCCGCCTCCCCCACCAGGAGCGCCTCCTATGCCTGGAGCCAGAAGGGGTGGATTCTTGCCCCAAGCTCAGTATGCAGCTACTTCCACCGGTGCAATGGGTGTCGCAAGGCCCAAGAAGAAGCTCAAGGCTTTGCATTGGGAGAAGGTCGATTCCTCCGAATTCACCATGTGGGCTTCGCATGCACCTACACATGAAGCGAAGGAGGAGAAGTATGCCGAACTTAGCAAGAAGGGTATTCTTGATGAAATCGAGCGTCTCTTCATGGCCAAGGAGATCAAGGCAATTGGCAAGAAAGAGAAGAAGAGCGACAAGAAACAGATCATGCCTAGCAACTTGATGCAGACCTTCCAAATTTCTTTGGCAGTATTCTCACAACGGCCGTTGGAGGATGTTGTCCGCATGATCATACACTGCGACAAGGAAGTGTTAGAGAGTCCTGTCGTCATGGATTTCTTGCAAAGAGAGGACATGTGTACCATCCCAGACAACACCTCCAAGCTCATGGCACCTTACAGCAGAGACTGGACTGGTCCGGATGCACTGAAATCAGCTAGAGAGCAGGATCCTTCTGAATTAACTCGCGAGGACCAGATCTACCTTTACACAGCTTTCGAACTGCACCACTACTGGAAGGCCAGAATGAGGGCATTGGCTTTGACCAAGAGCTTCGAGCAAGAATACGACGAGGTCTCGGACAAGCTGAAGATGGTTTGCAACGTTTCAGAATCACTTCGCGACTCTGTCCGCTTGATGCCAGTCTTTGGTCTCATCCTCGACATTGGTAACTACATGAACGACTCCAACAAACAAGCCATTGGTTTCAAGCTTAGTTCGCTCGCCCGTCTTGGTATGGTCAAGGATGATAAGAACGAATCTACCCTGATGGATTATGTTGAGCGTGTCGTACGCAGACAGTATCCCCAATGGGAAGGCTTCACTGAAGACATTGGTGGCGTTGTTGTGGCTGCCAAGTTGAATGTTGATCAGCTGATGGTCGATGCTAAGAAGTATATTGACAACATCAAGAATGTGCAAATGTCCTTGGATGCTGGTAATCTCAGCGACCCACGCAGGTTCCATCCTGAGGACAGGGTCAGTCAAGTGGTCCAGAGATCAATGAAGGAGGCAAGAAGAAAGGCAGAACAGATGGAGCTGTACCTCGAGGAGATGAAGAGAACGTACAACGACATTATGACCTTCTTCGGCGATGACAACCAAGATGAATCGGCGAGGAGAGAATTCTTCTCCAAGCTGGCCAATTTCGTCAACGAGTATAAGGTGAGTTCGATCGAACATGTCATGACTGCTGAAGCTTTTACTAATGTCTACGCCAGANAATCGCACGAGAAGAACACATCTCAAGAGGAAACACAACGTCGCAATGAAGTTTCGATGCGTCGCAAGGCACAAGCGAGTCAATCTGCCCTTGAGAAGGCCACTTCAGATCCTGCCGGGCCTCCTTCACCCGCTTCACAGGGCGCCATGGACACATTGTTAGAGAAGCTTCGCGCCGCCGCTCCTGCTACTAGAGACACAAGAGATCGCCGACGACGAGCCCGCCTTAATGAACGTCATCAACGCCGCGTGGCTTCTGGTCAGCAGATGCCTGAGATTGCTGGTGTAACATCACCTACAGACGACTCAGCTCTCCTCTCTCCAACTTCGGATATTGCACCTGAGCGCCCATCAACATCCGACAGTACAACACTATCTCCTCATGTCGAAGAGCATGACAAGGGTGCCATCAGCGAAGGAGAAGATGTGGCAGATCGAGCAGCTAGTCTTCTACTCGGCCTGCGTGGTAGTACTGGCGACAACGACGAACCGCCTCTTGCCCGCGATAGTGAGAACCTCCGCGTTCGTCGACGTCGTGATCACGCAGATAGCGAACGCGAGCGCCGCCGCCGGAGACGCGCACCGGGCACCAGCACCGCCTCCACTGATGGGCGCCCTCAAACAGGCGTCAGCGACGCCAGTGCCGACCACCATGACGACGATACCAAGTCTGAGATTGGCGACACCCGGTCAGATGCCGGGAACGGCGATGTTGGGGATGGTTTGAAGATTGACCTTCAACTCATGACACCGTTGATGAGTCCGGTGTTGGCATCTCCACCCATCACTATTGTTAGCCCGCCTTCACCCACCGCCACAGCAGAGAGACGAGATTTCAGCACGCCGAATGGTAGTCCCAGGTTATCATGATCGCAATTAGGAAAGCTAGGAAGGGGTTGTGTTTGGGTCTCTAGGTGTTTGGATGTGTCTCTTTTGCATACAGCAAAGCCCCTATTGTAATTTGTGTTTTTCGTTCTTGTTTTTCATCGCACCAATACCTAAGCGCTTTTTGTTTTTGCCCTGCCCTTTGACTTTTCAGCATAGTAGGCGTTCTTGGAGGCATGTTGCATCTAGAAAGCAGAGGAAGGAATAGGATAGTAGACGGTGTCCCGTCTTGAGAAGTATCGATTCTCAAGTCTCTCCTTTGCGCCTTCCCTCCACCAGAACTCGCCGTATTGCGTCAATGCTTGACTGCTCTTTCTCTATCGCAGATGTGTATTCCATGGCTCCTGAGTGCAAGAAATATGGTATTGTGCTGCATCAACTACTCGATGGTTCTTGCATTGCTGTTGGAAGAAGGCCATGGCGTATTGTTAGGACATAACAATTACCTTACCGCATTACAAGGCTTCAGCAGATGCTGTCTCGAAGTTGATCCCGTCTGGTCACTCGAGCCCTTGATGTGAGGTCTTTCTTTGGTACAGTATCACGACAAAGTGCTGCATGGCCTTCAACGTGATTTCGACATTTCCCCGTTCAATACGTAAATGCCGTCACTAATCGACTCCCAAATCCTTATCAGCACGGGAGAACCATCATGATGCCCTGTGCGATAAGCACCGAACCTTGATTCTCGCACCACAGTACCTTCCTCCCGAGCAAGACTGTGAATTGAATGACTCCGATATCGTGACCAATTTCACTCCGTCTTCCTACAGGGGTTGCAAAGTGAAGCCATCACGGTAGTCAATCGCGATAGATCTTGGCGCTTCCGTCCCTCACGTCATCGCTTTCACATGAGCAGAGGTCAACAAATAGTCGCTCATTCCTCTCTTTTGATATCAAACCTCTCATCTCGAGCCGAGAGTTGCGATTTTACGTTCTTGATCCTGAAAACATCACTTTTGACACCTTTGTGAACATCAAGAATAACATGGCAGACGGAATCCATTCTACTGGCCGTGGAGGTATGCTTGTCAACTGCACCTTGGTCAAGTGTCGGCGTAGCTAATCACATGTTCAAANNGGCGCCGGCAACATCGGTCGTGATGACACGATGTGAGCAAAGACCTCGACACTACAGGCGAACCCGAATCTGACCAAGTCATCACAGCNNTACACCGACGGCAACATCGTACGTGAAGGCTACGTTGGCGAGTCCTCAAAGCCCGAGTACTCCTCCGGTCGTGGAGGCATGTGAATTCTACATCAAAAACCACAACAAAGCGCAAACACTAACCGTAGAACAANNGGTGCCGGCAACATCGTCGATTCGCCCAAGGTCAGACCAGTCAGCGACAAGAGTTCTGCTTCCGAAGACGTGATCCCCGAGCCCGCCATGCGCAACGCTGCCGGCTACGACAATTTCCACACTGGCGTAAGTGGTTCCAGCCATCATCTATGGTACCCCTGTCTAACCTCACAACCCAGCNGTGGTGGTGAAGGAAACATCTACAAGGAAAAATACGGAGGCCACAGCAGCGCACCCGTCCAGGAGAAGGAAGAGAAGCAGCATGAAAAGGAAAGCTTGGGCGACAAGGTCAAGCATCTGTTCGGCAAGAAGGACTAGGATGCACATTCAGTCGTGGTAATGAGTGATGAGTTGCGCAGGAGCGACAAGGCATGAAATAATTAGAGATACCCCATGTCCAGGTCGTACAATGCCAGCAATCAGAATGATCACCTGTCAACCAGCGCACATTCCCTTCTTTCAGATGTGATCAGGATGACATGGATGAGTGAGCCGTAGCACGCTCAAATTGTTACGACACACTTTCTCTCTCCCGCTCAAAGTCATCCAGAACGCTCTTGGCCACAGCGATTGCCGTGTCCGGCAGACCTAACAACATCAGCATCACGAAAGAAGTTGCAATCATCACTCAAGACTCACCAGCAAGCTTTGCAACTTTAAGCGCATGCGAGCTTCTGTTAACACCTTCTCGAAGTTTATGTACGTAGACCCATGAGCCATCCTCTTCTTCTGCAACATCTGTACAGTAACAAGCCAGGCGATCGAAACTCTTTGTCATGTCGACTAGAGAGTGGAAGTGCGTTGCGAACAATGTGCGGCATTGGGTTGTTTTGTGCAGATGATGTAGACAGGCGTATCCGACAGCAACACCATCTTCTGGAGTGGTTCCTCTACCGACTTCATCCATGATGATCTGGTTTATGTGTCAGTCAGTGCTATGTTGATTGGATCTGATCTGATTTCTACTTACGAATGAGTGCGAAGTGGCTTGATTGAGAATGTCAGCCACCTCGAGCATCTCCACCATGAAGGTCGACTGATGGTTATACAGGTTGTCCGCAGAGCCCACCNNTGAGAACTTGTCAGCATCATTTCTGATAATACATATATACACTTTCTGCAGGCTCACCCTGCTGAATATCTTATCCACAAGTCCTATCTTTGCAAAGTCTGCAGGAACAAAGCAACCAGTCTGTGCCAGAATGGTGATCAAGGCGTTCTGCCTGAGGTAAGTACTTTTTCCTGCCATGTTAGGNCCTGTGATACGAGTTAGTATGCTGGTCAATGCTAGTACGAACGAAACATACCCTGTGATTAGCAAGATGCTCTCTTCTCCGCCCACGTTGCAGTCGTTGGCAGTAAACAGGCGACCTTGCTCTTGCAAACCTATATCTACCATAGGATGGCGACCACCGACGATCTTGTGTGTTNNGTGCTACGCCCAATTCAGCTGAGAGACATATTATGAAGCAGAGTGAACTTACCCAGAGTGCAGCACAGGCCTGACTAGGTTTCTTTCTCTTGCCAGAACCGCAGATGAGCACCCAACGTCCAACTCGTCAAGGATATTAGCATTACGCCTCAGTTTGACCAGGTTCTCGATCACNCTGGCTTCTTATCAGTATCATGAAGTCAACGTGTTTCTCTCGGGACTTACCCGCTTGCGAAGATTGTTGAGAACTCTTTGCTCCTCGGTGCGGATACGTAACTTTGCGTCTTCCAATCGTGATCCCAAGTGTGACCAATCTGGAAGGTAAAATGCTCTAGTATTCTTGGTGGAGCTGACGTTTCTTGCATCCGGAATCTCTGCTCGAACATCTTTGCCTTTGACGTGACAGAAATGTCCTAGCTGGGGAGTCCACTTCAGGGTTAATGTGTTGCCTGGCTGTGTCAATCTACACATGAAACATTTCAGATATCAGGTCATACCTATTTCTGCTCGCAAACGTTCGATAAGCTGTGCCTTTTCTTGCATGATGTCGTCGAGATCTTGATGCCCTTGTTTCAAGGTTGTACTGGCACTGATAATTGTCAAAGAGAGATTCACCCATCAGAGACCGGCGACATGGACTTACCTCCTTCGCATAATCCAAAACTCTCCGGCATTGAGATCTACGATCACTGCAGCCTTCTTAGCACTGGCCTTGCCGCGTTTTGTTGATTTGGTCTGAGGTTCATCTGCTTCAACAATCTGTTCTGCGAGTTCTGCGACACCCACAGCTTCTGCCTCTTCGGCCAAGTGCTGTTGGGATAAACCTTCCTCATCGATTGCCTCCAAGATGCGAGTTGCAAGTTTCGAGGGACCATTCAGATCGAGGCGATCTACCAATGCTCTCAATGGCAAAGACGACGGAGGCATGTCTATAGCGCTCTTCTGTGAAGGTAGATGTGTGTTCATCATGTTGACAATCTGGTTGACGATTCGTATTGTTTTGGCAAGAGCAAGGAGATCATCGGCATCCCCTTTACCGATGGAGAACCTTTGCAACAGCCGCAGAACATCCGTTGTTCTTTGTAGCGCAGACATGGTCTCTTCACGCAACTGATCGTGCTCAAGCAGCTCTGAAACCAAGTCCAAGCGACTATTGATCTCTGAAAGCGACATGGATGGTGATACTGTTTAAGGGAAATATGGTTAGTATTGGCAGAACACATGCAATAAGAATCATGTTGTACCTAGTCTCTGACTTAACAACCTAGCACCGCTTTTGGTCGTCGTTCTTCGAATTGCATGTAGCAGACTGCCTTGGAAGAGTCCGTCCCGGAGAGTGGATCTGATCTCCAGAGCTTTCAAGGTCTGTTTGTCGATGCTCATGTAATCGCCCTGGTTACGACGGATAGGAGATCTCAAAGAAACATTCAGCTCGAGTAACCTGCCTTTGACATAATCTAGTAGCAATGAGCCCGCAAGAACCTCTTGGGTGGAGAATGAACGCGATTCTTCTTTTGAAACAGGCTTTTCTAACATAGGAGCCCAATGTTCAATGGAGACAAAATTAGGGTCTGCACTGTGAAATGTCACAGCATGTCCACCATCACCCAATAGTCGATCTAGCTGAGTTCGGTCAACTCGTTCAAAGCTAGAATCGAGGACAATCTCACGGGCTCCTATGCGAGCAATGACGGAGCCAAGAGAGGCTATCTCGGTGCGCTGTGTGAAGAAATCACCACTTGAGAGGTCTACCCATGTGAGGCCCACGTCTGTATCTTGCGATATAGATACAATGTCTGTTGTGTCGAGATTGGCATGGATGCTTAGCAGAAAATTGTTTTCGAAAGGGTCCATGAAGGTTTCATCAACCAAGGTGCCGGCGGTAACAATACGGGACACTTTTCGATTGTAGAGGAGACCGCCGTTTTTGATCTGGTCAGCGGCAGAATTTCGAACCTCCTCGCTGATGGCAACATGCTTGTTCAACCCTTGAACAAGAGATTTTAGGAAGCGATCCAATTGAGTGTATTGGAAGCCTGCCATAGCTATTGGACCAAGGGCAGTTTTCCTCTGTGCTACCTTGAGATTGAGGAGAGGGCCATATTGATCGGCCTGCTCGCCATACAGCTCGTAAAAGTTGCCTATACGAGTAAGTACAACACAATCGCTGAATTTGCTAACATTGTTCAGATGTTGTTGTATAACACGCGGATAGGCTTGAACTTGATCGTCCGGGTGTTCTTCGATGGCAGGCAGCGGAGCAGGAGCGAGAGGACCCTGGGGTAGTTCCTGAAATTTGATAGTACTCTTGATTTTGGCTCCACGAGTAGCATAGTAAGGAGCGTTCGGCCTCCGGGCTGCAAGAGAGTATGCCAGGCGAGCCAGGGGCAGACGAGCCCTGCAGAACATTCTCAGAGTCGAAGGTCAGATCATGTGCAATGTTTGTTCGAGCGAGTCAGAAAAAGGCTCTCGCTCGTGCATGATGTCGATGGAGAGGCCGAGGCGTTGATGTATCTCTGCCAAGAGCTGCTGCATCACCATCGAGACTCTTGACTCTGTCCTGACACCAACACACACATATTCCAACGTCGACATGGCTCAATTCCCACCCATGAAGAACGACCTTCTCCTGCGCGCTGCGCGTGGTGAGAAGGTCGAGCGCCCGCCCATGTGGGTCATGCGCCAGGCCGGTCGCTACCTGCCCGAGTACCACGAGGCCAAAGGCTCGCACGACTTCTTCGAGTGCTGTCGTTCGCCCGAGATCGCCTCGACCCTGACTTTGCAACCCATTGATCGCTACGCCGGCCTCATCGATGGCTCCATCATCTTCTCCGACATCCTCGTCATTCCTCAGGCCATGGGCATGGAGGTCATTATGGTCGACAAGAAGGGCCCTCATTTCCCTGATCCGCTCATGTCGCCCGACGACAAGCAGTACCAGGAGATTATGGAAAGAGAAGTCGACGTCAAGGAGAGTCTGGACTATGTCTACAAGGCCATTACTTTGACCAGACAGAAGCTCGATGGCCGCGTGCCTCTGTACGGCTTCTGTGGCGCTCCTTGGACACTGCTCAGCTACATGGTCGAGGGAGGTGGTACCAAGATGTTCAAGCAAGTCAAGACCTGGATCTTCAAGTACCCCGAAGAGAGCAAGAAGTTGCTGCAAAAGATTGCCGAGCTTTGTGTTGAATACCTCGCCCTACAAGTCGTCGCCGGTGCTCAGGTACACCTTACCCATTCATTCCATCTTGCCCTGAGCTAATTGGTCTCGCAGATCGTCCAAGTCTTTGATTCGTGGGCCGGCGAGCTGTCTCCTACCTCCTTCAAGGAGTTCTCTTTGCCTTACTTGACCTACATTGCAGACCATTTGCCCAACCGTCTCAGAGAGCTCGACCAAGAAGTTGTACCCATGACAGTCTTTGCCAAGGGTGCATGGTATGCTCTCGACGACCTCTGTGATACTGCCTACAATGTTATCGGTTTGGACTGGCTGCATTCGCCCAAGGAGGCTTATGCTATTGCCCAAAAGAAGGGCAAGGTTCTCCAAGGAAACGCCGACCCTGGTGTTCTTTACGGTGGTAGAGAAGCCATCACCACAGTCGTCAAAGAGATGGTCGAGGGCTTCGGTGGCGGCAAGCAAGGATGGATTGCCAACCTTGGTCATGGTATGTACAATGTTTATTTGTTCCAGATTTACATGCTAACACCTCCCANNGGAATCACACCATTCGTCAACCCCGATGACCTCAAATTCTTCTTTGAGGAAATCCACAGGCTTTCAGGTAGATGAAGATTCGGCCATTCCAATTCTTTACCGTTGCGAATGATGCTTTAGNGAATCCAAGATACAACAAAATCTTCTGCCCTTGAGGCCGCCGAACAAAAGATGCACGACAGGAATATGATGACAAGTGATTGGTGAATCAGGGCTTTGAAGCCTACTGCTCACCAATGTCCTCGTTCCTGCATCGACGCGTGTCAGCTTGGGGATGGATATTGGCTGGTTGAGACACTTACCACTCCTCAGGGTGCTCTTTGATAAACTTCTTCATCAAATCTTCACATTCGGCAGAACTGACGTTGACAACCTCAATGCCTCTCTGCTTGAGGTAATTTTCGCCACCAACAAAAGTCTTGTTCTCGCCAAGCACAACACGCTTGACCTTGTACAGGATACAAGCACCGGTGCACATGTCGCAGGGTGAGAGAGTAGTGTACATAGTGGCGCCTTGGTAGGCAGAAGCTGGAAGGCGACCAGCGTTCTCAAGAGCACCAATTTCTGCCTATTGTGTTTCTCAGCATCACGTAATGTCTACTGTGAGACTCGAGTACCTACGTGAATTGTGGGAGACCCCTTTTGCATTCTCAAGTTGTGTCCACGGCCCTAGGGAGTAAACGTCAATTGAGCCGCTGTAATGCGGCATATAGAAGACCCACCAAAATTTTGCCATCTGCCTACAGAGAAGGTACAATCAGCACAGCTCTAGAGGTGTTAAGATCAGGTACAGCTCGAGTTGTCAGAGACTGGGTTGCGACTGCCATATTGCTAAGTAAGACAGCAGACTGCAAGGCTGGATGACTCTTGAGCTGTACCTTCGATTTGGACATACTGAAACGAGACAAGCACCAATGGGCACACCGCCCTCAGAGGCGCCCTTTCTGGCTTCCTCAAGAGCAGCCTGGAATCCAATGTCGCTCTCCATGTTGATATTGCGTGCAAATACTTTAGTATGAGTAGTTGTTGGAGATGTTACAGGAAAGAGCAGAACCCCAGATGAAACAGATTTTTGGTTTGACTAGTCGCGGCTCACAAGCCGTCTCCCCAAGCCGATTAGAGATTCATGGATGGACGGGGCTTTCGATGGCCAGTCAACTCTCCCAGGCTGGAGATAAATCCACTGCTCGATGACTCTACTGATTTGTTCGCATATAGAAGTGTCATGGCTACATGTTATTGCAGTATCATAGTCATGTCTAGCGATACGACATAGTCAAGGCAGATGGTGAAAGCAGAATTGTCCCATGTCAGAAGACAGTCAATGCATGCCAGTGATGTATTCCATGATTGTTTGTCTTGTGATTGCTGTCCGAGGCCGAGTGAGAGAGTTGCTGTGAACGAGCGAGAGGGTTGAGATGGCTTGGCACTCCGGCGGCGTTCGGCAGAAAATCATCGAAGGCTCTAGAAAGGCTATCGGAGCCAAATCAATCGCCTTCCCAAGCCTTCCTGTCCCTCTCAGAGCCTGCGCTTACTACGCTTCAACTATAGTCCTTGGCTTTTTATCTGTTGATTTGATACCCCTTTCAGTTTTTTCCTACACTCGCTTCTGTCCTCGCGCCTTTCAGACTATCACAGCGACCTCACCTCATCGCCAACATGGTCAAGGACACGAAATTCTACGAGACTCTGGGCGTCGCTCCTGACGCGTCCGAGGCTCAACTCAAGTCGGCATACCGCAAGGGCGCTCTCAAGTTCCACCCTGGTATGTAGCTGTCTTGTCCACGCTGGACAACACCCGGCTGACCCGCTCGCNCAGACAAGAACCCTTCGCCAGAAGCTGCCGAAAAGTTTAAGGAACTGTCACACGCATACGAAGTCCTATCCGACTCAGAAAAGCGCCAACTTTACGATCAATATGGTGAAGAGGGTCTCGAGCAAGGCGGTATGGGCGGTGGTATGAACGCTGAGGATCTCTTCTCGCAGTTCTTCGGCGGCGGCGGCGGCGGTGGCTTCGGCGGCATGTTCGGCGGCGGCATGGGTCGTGAGACCGGCCCCAAGAAGGCCCGCACCATTCACCACGTCCACAAGGTTTCGCTCGAGGACATGTACAAGGGCAAGATCTCCAAGCTCGCTCTGCAAAAGTCCGTCTTGTGCCCCAAGTGCGACGGTCGCGGCGGTAAGGAGGGTGCTGTCAAGCAGTGCACAGGCTGCAACGGTCAGGGTATGAAGATGATGATGCGCCAGATGGGTCCCATGATCCAGCGCTTCCAGACTGTCTGCCCTGACTGCAACGGAGAGGGCGAGATTGTCCGCGAGAAGGACCGCTGCAAGCAGTGCCACGGAAAGAAGACCACAGTTGAGCGCAAGGTCCTGCACGTTCACGTCGACAAGGGTGTCCAGAGCGGTACCAAGATCGACTTCCGCGGCGAGGGTGACCAGATGCCTGGCGTTGAGCCCGGTGATGTTCAGTTCGAGATTGAGCAGAAGCCTCACCCTCGCTTCCAGCGCAAGGGTGACGACCTCTTCTTCCAGGCCGAGATTGATCTTTTGACCGCTCTTGCTGGTGGTGCCATCTACGTTGAGCACCTCGACGAGAGATGGCTCACTGTTGAGATCAAGCCCGGCGAGGTTATCTCTCCAGGTATGTTGTCATGATTACGATTTGCTTATCAGCATGCTAACCATTCGAACANNGGAGAGATCAAGGTCATCAGAGGCCAGGGCATGCCTTCTTACAGACACCATGACTTCGGCAACCTGTACATCCAGTTCGACGTCAAGTTCCCCGACGTCCTGCCCGGCCCTGACGGAGGTGCCATGACCGACGAGCAAAAGGCCGCTCTCGAGAGTGTCCTGCCTCCTCGCTCGCCCCAGAACGTTCCTCCTCCGGATGCCATGACCGAAGACTTCTCGCTCGACAAGGTCGACTCGAACCGCGAGGGCGCCCGCGCACAACGCGCCGCCATGGGCGAAGACGACGACGATGAGATGCACGGTGCAGGTGGTGAGAGAGTCCAGTGTGCCTCTCAGTAAACGACGGTTATGACATGAAAACAAGGAAGGCCCCAGGCAAAAGGTGTCTATACCACGGCTCCTGGGGAGCTCCGCCCTTGCGATTTTTCCTTTTCTCTTTGTGCTTGTGGGTAGCGTTTGCGGCATTCTATAGAACTGCACGAGGTTTTCTCGTCTTTCAAGTCCACGATTTCGAATTTTCCTGTATGCTACGGCGGGCTCTTGTTCCAATTCAAAAAGGAGGCGTTGGGCGCTGAAGAAAGCGGAAGACACGGCAGGCTGGTTTTTAATTGATCGAAGCACGAGATCGATAATTTATTGCTTCCTCCACTTCTCTTGCTTTCTTCTGCACCGTGATTGATGTCAACACCTACAGCCAAACTCACGTGAAACATGGCAACTGACATCGAGATATTCGAGGTGTCCAGTGACTCACGGAAGGACCTGATTCGATGGCTGGCTCCATATATGCCTACATGTATCGCCCTTTATCGGCGCGTACAATTTGGACACTTCAAATCAGGCTCTCGCTTGTTCAGCTCTATCGACTTTGACAGCCCTGCTCATGGAACAAACGCCAGCCGTCCCTGGATAGCCGCATTTGTCGATCGCACATGTAGACCAGAGACTGAGGTCTGGCTGGCCGCCAGTTGGGAACACGACACGCCGGCGGACGACTCATGGCTCCCGCATGCCAACGAGCTCGTCAAATCTACGATCAAAAAGATCAAAAAGGTCGGAATCGATCCCTCGGAGGCTGGTACTATCATCAATTCGGACGAAGCCACAGGCACCTCATCAACTATCAATGACAGTGCAGGTGTTAACAGAGATCATTATCTACGGCACATGCAGAACGAACAAGTTGTCCTGTTTGGGTCTGTACACAGCTCCACGCTCAAGATACTGAACAGACTCGGCTTCGTTGACCCAAGTTCTGCCGAGGTGTCGAATATACCATATAGGAAGTACCTCTTCGATCTCAGAGACAAGTAAGTGCTTTCGACTCCGACTTTAGAGATGACTTTGCTTACAAGAATACAGTGTGAACTCTNNTCTCGAGGTCTGCCTCCTGGCTTTACGTATGGCAAGGTCGACCCTAAAGACTATCCGCTGGTCAAGTCACGCACGCAGATACCTCGACAGGACAGAACCCTAGTCAAGCTCCCCAGTGTTGCGATATATCCTACGAACACTTCGTGTACCGCACCACAGCCAATCGCCTGGGCTTTTCTTGGACTGGATGCTTCACTCACAACCTTACATGTTGAACCAGCGTACAGAGGATTTGGACTGGCCAAAAGCCTCAGCCTCAAATTATTCTCCGAAGAAATGGATACCTACTGCCAACACAACCCGGCTTCGACAGACGATGACTGCGTTCAAGAAAGATATGCTCACGCGGATGTCGCAACAGATAACAAAGCAAGTCAAGGAGTGTGCGAAAGTTTGGGAGGAAAATGGTATTTTGAAGTGTTTTGGATACGAGTTGTTTTGGTATAGACTGTGTCACGATAGACTGGCACATCGGTAGAAAGCTTTTCACGTCACATCTTGTATCTTTCATCTCAGTCAGCCTTGTTCAACAAAATATTGTGGTAAAGAAGTGTGAGATGTGAATGTGCGTCATGAAAAAATTAGAGTGTTGTTGTTGCGTTTTAATCTTCATTGAAGATCTCGGGGTTAAAAATGTATAATCATCCGCGAAGGTGCATGAAAGAGTGGAAAGAAATGGTACTAACCTTTCGACAGAAAATGTTGACAGTGAACGAGTTTCACTAACAGTCTGAAGATACCACGACGATTTGGGGACGGGATAAGATTTCTGTTTCTAGAAAATCTATGGCAAGCGACACGCTTAGTCGAAGAGACCGAAGCCCATGTCGTCGTCCTCCTCGGACTCTGTAACAGATGTATTAGCATACTGAATCTTGGATATGACCTGAGCAGATTATTCTTACCCNTCCTTCTCAGCCTCCTTCTCGGCGGCAGGAGCGTCACCAGCAGCGGGAGCAGAGCCGGCAGCGGGGGCGGCAGCGGCGTAAGCGTCGGGGTTGGCGATGCGGTCCTTGAGCTCGTGGATGGCCTCCCACTCGTAGTCGATCTCGATGGCGACCGAGATGGCGTTCTTGTAGGAGTTGACCAGCGAGTGCATGACCGAAGGAAGGGTGGGGTAGTTGACAGCCAGGGAGATGGTGGCAATGGTGGTGATGGCGCTGGTGAAGGCCTTGAGGAGCTGGCTCTCCTCAATGTCGAGGACGCTGGCATCGAAGGTCTGGCCCTGGTCGTAGATCTGAGCAATGCCCATACCATAGGTGAAGGGCGAGATGTTCAGCATGTTGAGCAGGGTGGCCTCGGAGGCACCGACCTTGGAGCCGGCCTCGACGAGCTTCAAGTCAGTGGTAATTTCAATGGTACCACGGGCAATCTTGGTGGGGACACCGAGAGCCTGGAAGAACGAGGTCTTTCCGGGCTCCATACCAGTGTTACCAGCGGGGACGAAAACGTCGGCGGGGGCAACGGCACCGGCACGGGCAGGGGCGGCGACGCGGTTGGAGAGAATCTTCTCACGGGTATCCTTGAGGTCGGAGTTGGTGAAGATGAAACCAACGTTGCCTGTGAGCGCAGCGTGTTAGTCGGGCGCATGTTTGGGAGTGCGCAATTGCGCCAGGCGCGCAAACTCACCCTTGACGTGAGGAAGGAGACGCTCGTACTCGGGGGCCTCGGAGATGAAGCCCTTGAGAGCGCGGCGGACCATAGTGTTCTTGCCCATCAGGACGACCGAGTCGCCACGGAGAGCGTGACGGATCTCGTGCATCTGCTGGGACGAGACATTGTCGACGGTGACGATGAAGATGGACTTGTAAGTCTCAAGAAGAGACTTCAGCTTGTCGAAGTAAGCGGCCTTGGTTGCTGACTTGCCCCCCATTTCTGCTATCTTGCGATGAGTTAGGGATGTTTCAGGCGAAGTCTGGAAAATGTCCCGTAGATGGTTGTTGTAGAGGTTCAAAGGCTCTTCGAATATTGAGCTTTTGCCAGACCGCGAGCGAATTTGCGCTTGTGGGTGTCGGCCTTGGCGCCGCCAACTCCCGCCCTGTTCGACTAGGAAGCATCGACCATGGCTTTTTCTGGGCCAGCATTCTGCATGCTCGAGTGAATATTCCCTGCTCCCATTCACTTTCGTGTGGTCGCCGATCTAAGCCATGAATCACCCTTACCAGATCACAGCTCTGTGTGATTCTCAGGCTTTTGCGCCTGAGGGTCTGTTATTGGCCGCCTGTGGTGCTAAAATCGTCTCTGTAAAACTTTCAGATGGCTCAATCGTCTCTCAATGGCCAGCGCAAAGGACAACAGCTCAGTGAGTATCTCAACATGGGCGCCTCCTGCAGTGGCATGACTGATCGGAGACCCTAGTCAGCTCCAGCCTGTTGAATGCCTGCTGAACGAACTTTTAGGTCGAAGCCGCTTCAGATAGTGGTCCTCCAGGCAAGAAACGCAAACTTGAATCCGAGACAGCAGCTACTCCGAATGTTATCAAGCTAGCAGTCGCTTCTGATAACAAACACATCGTTGCCGTGACTGATGACAAGTCTGTCAGAGTCCTCGAGGTGACTGAGAGTGGTAAGCTGAATGAATTGAGCGAAAGGTAGGAAAAAACGGTTCCTTTTCCTCGAGTCTCCAATTAACTTTGAAGAAGAAACATGCCCAAACGTCCTTGTGCGGTTTTGGTAACTCCAGACAACCAAACCATCCTGTGCGGTGACAAGTTTGGAGATGTGTACTCCNTACCTCTGTTCCCATCTGCCATCGTAGACAAGGTCGAAGAGAGCTCCAAGGTAGAAACCAAGGATGATGCAGGTCCCAAAAAGTACGTCCCTGCAGCTACTACTTTGACTGTTCATTCTGGCCGCAACCGAAGGGCCCTAGAGAATCAGATGAAGCAGAAGGATCTGCAGGCCAAAGCCAGAGAAGGACCTAAATTCGAGTATCAACTCCTTCTCGGACATGTCTCCATGCTGACCGATGTCCAATTTGCGACTGAGGAGGTCAATGGCAAAACTCGTGGCTACATCATCACAGCCGATAGAGACGAACATATTCGAATCTCTCGGGGTCCTCCTCAAGCACACATAATTGAGGGTTTCTGCCTCGGGCACAAAGACTTTATCAGTAAGATCTGCCTAGTGCCTGGTACGGATCTCCTGGTAAGTGGCGGTGGAGATGACTGGCTGGGAACGTGGGACTGGCGGACCGGCAACCTCAGAGAAAAGTGCGACGTGAGATCTGCCCTTTCTGCTCTCTTCTCTTCTCAACCCTCCACCACCACATTCGGCCCTGAAAGCTCGATCGCAGTGTCCGGACTTTGGACTGTACCTGCTGGTACGGACAACAAGGAAACTGCAATCTTGGTCGCTTGTGAGAAGCTGCCATGTCTTTTGGTGTCACAACAGGGCTCAGCCTCCCGTATGGTTGGTATTTCTCTACCAGGAGTGCCCTTGGATGTTACCGTGGTTGGCAACACTGTCCTTGTCTCTTTGGATGTCACAGAGGTACGTCAATTTTCTAGTAGTCGGTTGACTTCGCGATCTAATCAGGCAAAGGCATCAACTCCACGACTCCAGGCTTACCGAGTATGCAACACCGGATCTGAGACAAACTTGGAGCTCGACGAGGGCTTCAGTGCAAAACTGTATGCTGCTAACAACCTCATGCTTCCTGCGCCAGAGCGGAAGCAACTTGACAACTTGCTGTATGGAATTGAGAACCTGAGAAAGAGGGGCGCTCCAGAGGAAGCACAAGAGGTTGCAGCAGAACAGGCGACTGATGGCGCCACTAGCGAGTTACCGGAGGATGCTCCAATGGAGGAATAGACGATATGTGGGAGTAGCTGTTGTTCACATCAGATAAGATTCATGGTGGCACATCAAGCCCGCCGAGGCACGTGGGAAGCGGGCCGACCGAGTGTCTGCCGAAGAACGATTTTCTGAGATTACGAATGTCCAAAGCGCCCGGCCTCTAGAAGATAAAATCATATCCACGGAACCAGCCGTACCCGGATGGTCTGAGTAGAGCATTGCTAAGCAAGTTTGGCCATTTTATATACAATCGAACCTCTTCCGCAAAGCAATCACAAATCACCGGCAAAGTGTTCGCCTCGACTCTCCGCCGTGTAGGCATCACTCCTTTCCGCGCCTCTCTCGCTCTCCCCTTCGCATCTCTCCCCTTCATAGCACGCGAAGCCAGCGCCCTCGCTCCCCCTCCAGCCCGCAACATGCACTCCAAGGTTGTCATTATCGGCTCAGGCCCCGCCGGCCACACCGCCGCCATCTATGCCGCTCGTGCAGACCTGCAGCCTGTCTTGTACGAGGGTTTCCTCGCTCTTGGAATCGCAGCTGGTGGCCAGTTGACCACCACTGACGAGGTCGAGAACTTCCCTGGTTTCATGAACATCCAGGGTGCCACCTTGATGGTGAGTTATGCTTGAATTTATGCTCGTCGTGAACAGCCTTCTGACCAGCGCTTAGNNGACAACATGCGCGCACAATCCGAGGCTTGCGGTACTCAAATCGTTACCCAGACTGTTGGAAAGGTCGACTTCTCCCAGAGACCCTTCAAGTTCTGGCTCCACCCCTTGGGCGACGACGAGAATCTCGAGGAAGAGACACACACAGCCGACAGTATCATCATTGCAACCGGTGCTAAGGCAAGAAGATTGGATCTGCCCGGAGAGGAGCAATACTGGGGCAACGGTGTCAGTGCATGCGCTGTGTGCGACGGTTCGCTTCCCATCTTCAGACAAAAGCCTTTGGTCGTCATTGGCGGTGGTGACTCGGCAGTTGAGGAGGCCATCTACCTCACCAAGAAGGCTTCCAAGGTCACCGTGCTCGTTCGCAAGGACCAGCTCCGTGCCAGCAAGGCCAACGCCCGTAGACTGAGCACCAACCCCAAGGTCGAGATCAAGTACAACACCGTTGCTACCCAGATCACTGGTGAGGACAAGCCTCGTGGTCTCATGACTGGCCTTACCATCAAGAACATTAAATCCGGAGAGGAAGAGAGCATTGAGGCCAATGGTCTTTTCTACGCTGTTGGTCACGAGCCCGCCACTACCCTCTTCAAGGGACAATTGAAGATGGACGAGGACGGTTACTTGATCACTGAGCCCGGGACCACACACACCAACGTCGAGGGTATCTTTGCTGCAGGAGATGTTCAGGACAAGAAGTACCGCCAAGCCATCACCAGTGCTGGTATGTATCGTAGAATGACTAGATGCAACGCCCTCGCTAACGATTGCATTANNGGTTCTGGCTGCATCGCAGCTCTCGAGGCCGAGAAGTTCCTCGCCGAGAACGATGCCGACGTCGAGAAGTCGATCGAGAACCAGGAGGTCAAGAAGAGTCAGACCGACAGCGATGTTCCCGAATACAAACAAAACCCTCTGCTTTAAGCTGGACACACCTCAAGGGTGATGTGGCATTTGTAAAAGATAGATTTCAACTTTTCGAAGACCTAGTACGATTTGTATAGAACCTAGGCTTAGGAGCTCACCATCTGAACTCCGTAACATTCCACGATTTGCATACTCGGGCGAATGGGTATAGAGCGATTGAACAAAGCAAGAAAGCAATAACGCAAGAACAGGCTCATGCTCTTCCTTCAACATGACGCAAAAACGCAGATTCGTGCCAGAGGATTCGTTATCACACGCAGCACAAACTCCGAAACGAAGAAGGGTATGTGAACACTTCCTGAGTTGACACTGGCGTGTCGAAGGTATTTAACCATCGAGCATAGAAAGGGCCCTCCGAAATGCCTTGATGACTTGCACATCTGTATTTCGACTCGTTAGGAAGACTCCACAGAAACAATTTCCTGCCTGAATCTTACAGTGTGTTCTGCGCTCTTCAAGCTCGGCTTCCTTCTTTATGACAAATGTGCTTTGTGTTCTCAGACTAAAGGTGAAGGATTAGATAGTGTCATATTCTGGTTGTAGCTAGACATGCCGTTGGTGGCTTCTTTCCTGTTCGCGACCCGAGATGGTTTCTGCCCAGACGGCGAAGAATTGCGACAATGAAGCGAAATCTTGAAGATGGGCGTCTTCTTCTGCCTTGCATTCGGCCATCGCGGCGAGATACTCTGTCTCTAGTGCTTGCCAATCGAATGGATCCATTGGACTCTGGGGATCAATGACATCCTCCTCATCGTGCTCGTCTGGTGGAGGACTGTTCTGGTCGTGTGATGTGGCGTTACCAGATTCCATATTGTGATGTGTTTACACATGAGCTGTGTGTTCACAAGCATATATCAAGGTGTTGGAGACTTTGGTGATAGGCAAGCACGGATGACGCGACGCGTGACTGCTGTAAATGGGTTAGTAGTCAGGCCCCTCGGCAAGGGTTGGTCTCCTTCAAAACACAACTCGGAGAACAAATTTCAGAGCTCTTAAGATTCCTTCTGAAATCGAGGTCTAGGGCTACATCAGATTTGCAAACTTGTACGTTTTCGAAATGTCGGCTGAGTGCTCTGCTAAATTGTTAGGGGGCTTCATTACCAGACTCTGACGTGCGCGTGGAGCCGTGACTGCCATCTGTGAACCACTCCGATATTTCCACCTGTACTTGTGACTTGGAATCTAGGTGCTATGCGAACGAGCACGTTTCAGAACATTCCATGTCTGTGTGAAGCCACAAAGTGTTGATATAGTTGCCGCCCGAAACTCTCACAACCTTATCTACAATACCACTCGAGAAAACATAGGGAGCAACCGATGCACGAGTGGTAACTACACAGCCATCGGCCAAATGATGGAATGTACTGTATGCTCTACAGTGTTCCCTTCTCGTGGACAACCGACATGTGTCTCGTGTGCCCGAGCGCTCGTGTATCAGGCTCGCCTGGACAGATTGGCAGACCTGCTCAATATCGAGACCTTTCGCAAACAGGTCAACTCTGTCATTTCGCCACGCTCAGATCTCACGTTGTCTCTATTATCTTCCAGTCCGGAAGTAGTTGACATCACGGAGAGTGCGAGAAAGCATGCTCATGTCCAGGTTCTGCGAGAAATCCAGGCTATCCGCTCGCGCTGCACCATTATCAATGAGCAGGCCAACCTACTCAGGCAGCAGGTAGAACAAGCTCGTAGAGAAAAGATCTCACGCCACTTCGACATCAAACAGCGACATGCCGAGATAGTACGCGAGAAGGCCGAGATGACGAGCCGTGTACCTCAGTTGCTCGAACCACTGCATGCAACTATCCGCCGGAGTCAGCGAAGACTCGACAAGGTACAAGCACGCACGCTCGAGGGTAGAACCAAACTATGTCAAGAGACGGCAAGGCTGGCGGGATTGCAGCAGAAACGACGACGCATGCCAGATGGTAGCATCATGCACGACTATGCCGTCGGTGGCATCTCCATCGTCGACCTGCGCCAACTCAATTCTGCACAACCTCAACTCATCAATGCCTCGCTCGCCAACATATGCCGCCTGTTGATCACATGTTGTCACTATCTTTCTGTCCGCCTTCCGGCTGAGATCACTCCTCCTCATGCAAGCTATCCTCATCCTACTATCTTTTCCTTGCAGTCTTCGTATCAGGGTTTTCAGCTTCCTTTTCCAGGCTCTTCATCGACTCCATCATCATCGCGTACCTTGGACCAACGCTCATTGCCCAAACCGCGTCTCCTCCATCTGGATCGTCCGTTAGTCGTTCTCGCCAAGGAGGATCCCGCTAGATACAACCTTTTCATTGAAGGTGTCTCGTTACTGGCCTGGAACGTCGCATGGCTTTGCACTTCTCAGGGTCTCAATCTCTCTAGTGCGTACCAAGCCGTTTGTCCCATGGGCCTGAATCTCTTCACACTATTCCGCGAACATACCAGTAAAGGTTCGACGCCTCTATCAACCAACCCAGACCAACCTACACGTAACAATCAGCCATTTGGTCAATTCTCTCATGCTAGCGCGCGTCAAGTTCCTGCTTCGGCCGAAGGTCTGGATGCAATGCGAAGTTGGCGAGCTGCGTCTNTTACTCGGTTTCTCGACAAGATAAAACAGATTCTTCTACAAGACATGTCGGGCGCAGAGTGGGAGGTTATATCTGGAGATGACTTCGAACAAGAAGAGGCGGTGCTTGTGGGCGGCTCCAGAGGCTCTCGTACAGCTGCTTCGATTGGCTCATCTTCGATGAAGCGAGTCGTTGAGTCTGAAGATGTGTTTGGAGAAGATGGCATTAAAGGGTATCTGAAGTTGAAGAGTCGTACAGGAGAGGCTGGCCGATTATAAGATGGCCACTCAGACGGTCATGAAAGCGAATTTCGCTGGATCGTATGGTTTTGCCATGAACCGATCCCAATGATGAAGCAGATTGCGAAGACTCGAGATCCACTATCTATCTGCAGCATGTATCTTGCTCGATCCAATCCGGACATATCTACAGCAGATTGATATTGAGAGTGCATTCAGCAGGATCAGGAATGGGTTTGTATGAACGAATATAGCAACTTCTTTTTATTGTCGTAGCTATCTTAAACTGTGGTTCATTTCGTCGTGTTTCATCTGTGTTTACATGAACTTGCTCATGAGGCCCATGAGGCCGCCACCGCTGCTGTTACCGCCACCGCCCTGGCTCTTCATGTACATCTTGAGGGCCATCTGAGCAGCAGAGGAGACGGCGTCCTGCTTTGAAGCTTGCTGGTGCACGTTGCCCTGGGAGCTTTGCTGGTCTNNGAAGGAGAGTTAGCAGGATGTATTACATGCCACGATCGTGTACATACCAAAGAGCTTAGCAGCTTGGGACATGGCAAGACCGATAAAGTCGTTCTGGCTCTTGGATCCGCTTCCGGACGAGCTGCCTCCCTGGTTGAACATCTTGAGGGCCTGCATAGCGGCGGCCGAACCCATGCTGCCAGAACTGGCTGGATGAGGCTGGCCAGCTCCGCCGTAGAACTGCTGGTGCTGTCTGATAGCATCGTCTTCATCAACATCTTCCTGCTGTGCCTTGTGGCCCGAGAGCATGCCAAGGGCAGTGCTAAACAGGTTCGAGTCGCCAGAATTGCCAGCATGCTGGGCTGCGGTGTGAGCTGCGGACGAGTAGTCATCGGAGCCACCAGGGACGCCGCCATAGGAGGTGCCACTCGAGTGTCCCTGGCCACCATTGCCGCCGCCGTAACCTCCATCGTTGCGGCCGTTGTAGCGATCGCCGTCGTCGTAACCAGAGCCATATCTGCTTTCAGGGTTGTTGGAGTCAACTCTGTCGCCAGGGCCGCCATATCCTTCCTGTCCTCTTCCGTAGCCTCCAGGGCCGGCGACCGAACTAAGGTATACAGTCAGTCGTGGTCTGATCAATCGAGGAAGTGGTGAATGCGAACCCGTAACCTGATTGTGCGTGGTTTCTCAGCTCATCTCTACGCTGGTCATAGCCAGAGTCATCGTCGCGGCGGTTCTGGCCGCCATATTCGGAGTTTCCTTGACCGTAGCCATCGTTCTGACCGCCGTGTCTTTGTCCACCGAATTCTCCTTGAGAGTTGCCATACTCCTGGCGACCGCCGCCGCCGTATCCACCTCTGTTGCTGTTGCCGCCGTACTCATCACGGCCACCGTACTCATCACGGCCACCGTAGTTGCCTTCGTTACGGCCGGAGTAGTTGCCGTCGTCACCACCGTAGCGATCGTTTCCGTATGACATGGTTGAGGTGCTGCAAGACGTGTGGTCAGCTCGACTCTGTTCAATCTCGAGCTCAGTGTATATACATACCTTGTAGATGTACTAGTTTTGTCTTACTGCAGGTTCGATTGAAGTTTTGAGTTTGTAGGGATGAAAAGAGGAAACCTTGGAGTGCTTAGATCCTGCGAGCTCGCTCACGATGATGTCAAGAGCGGGGTCTCAGCTCAGGCCAACACCGTCATGCTAGCAGTACGACCCTGTCTCTAAATATACTGTCACCTCGACATTGTCTCCTCACATCACTCGTGGTTGTTCACTTATGCGTAATATGTCGCTTGAATTCGTGGATTAGTCGAGAGTTGTTTGCCAAACCCGGTTCTCTATGCCTTCGTGAGATTTAATATTACTTAGCACGGGCATTTGATGTTCCTAGAAACTGAAACTTCTACACCACATCAACATATCAACATATCACTCTTGGACACAAAACTCATACAACACGTTACAAAACAGCTCGCTCATCACCGTTTGGTTTCTAGCTCCACGACCATCGACTCAACCACAAATCATCTGCCCAAACAAGATGGCAACACCGGCATCGCCCAACCCTGTAGTATTCTTCGACATCACCCTGGGCGGCGAGCCCTTGGGTCGAGTCAAGATGGAGCTCTTCCAAGATGTCGTGCCAAAGACCGCCGAAAACTTCCGTCAATACTGTACTGGCGAGACGAAGAACCACCTAGGACATCCCCAAGGCTACAAGGGATGCAAATTCCACCGTGTGGTGAGTAATGCGATATTCCGACGTGAGCATGCAAAAGGCTGACAGGAGAAAAGANTTCCGAATTTCATGATCCAAGGAGGCGACTTCCTCAATGGCGATGGCACTGGCTCTGCTTCGATTTATGGCACCAAGGCCTTTGCTGACGAGAATTTCAACCTGAGACACGATGTTGCTGGCTTGCTCTCCATGGCAGTGAGTCTTGCGTGTTGCCAATACATACATCAAAAAGACTAACGTAAATCGCTGCTAGNNAACTCTGGTCCAAACACAAATGGCTGCCAATTCTTCATCACCACTGTGCCGCTACCCCATCTCAACGGCAAGCATGTGGTTTTTGGAAAGATTATTGACGGCATGGATGTCGTACAAAAGATCGAGAATGTCAGGACCAACGTGACAGACAAGCCCATTCAGGACGTCGCTATCGCTCAATGCGGAGAGATGTAGGTCGGAGAGTTGTCACAAGTCCATAACTTTGATGGGCGCAGGGGTCACAATATGTCTGCAAGACGAAGACGAAGTCGAGATCAGAGATGCAAATAACTTTGATAATGCAACCATAAAATTTCAAGGCAAATGAGAAAACACCCAACCAAGGCGCCTGAAAACCCCATAAGTCCTAACCGACCATCGCCGTGACCTTATCACTTATCCGGATCTCTGCTAAGAAAAACACCAACCCCTAGACCCGAACCGTCGCTGTTATACCGGAGGGACCCAGATATATCCCGCTCCAAAAAGACAAAGACCAATAGGATGTTTCACCTTTCCGCAAAACTATCTTGAATTTCCAGCTTCAAGATCGCTTGGTGTAGTAGTTGTAGTGTTGCCCTGCGTCGAATCATTTCCGCGTCGAAGAGGGTTCGAAAAACGGGGCAGTCTGCTAAGCCAGCCACCTTGAGTCTCATGTGCGTTGCCCTGGTCCGGACCTCTTTGCACGACTTGTGGGAAGCCATGTTGGTCGGTGTGAGATTCGGCTACCAGGAATCTCGGACCACCTAGCATCATGCGCCTCCTGCCCGTGGTACCTGATCTACGAGCACCGATCCAAGCAGCGGCAGGGCTTGAGGGTAAACGCATACCGCGCTCCCTACGACCAGTTTCGTCGGCATCCTCTGCAGCACGAGGCTTTGGAACATAGTAGTCGGCCTTGCACAGGGGNCAGCATGCACGACGAGAGGTGAGCCATGGGTCGAGACAGGCTGCATGGAAAGCGTGACCACAAGTGAGACCGCGAACGTCGTCATCATCTTCGAGGTTATCCAGACAGATGGCGCAAGTGTCTCCAGGNGGCGCAGCCATTTCAGGTGGCGCGGCAGTACGGATGGGGTCGTCTTCGTCGTCAGACTCGTGGTCGTGTTCGTGTATAGAGGACGCAACGGTCTCTGTCTTTTCCAATGGCACTTTGTCATAAGTAGTGATAGGGGCAGTCGACGAGGCCGCGGTAATGGTGGTGGCATGGTGTTGCTGGGCAATTTCTAGAGTAGTACGAGGAGATTGAGGTGGGTCTTGCAGGGTTGGCGGATCGGACTGTCGAATGCTTGGAGCGCGACTCGGGGCAGCGCTGACACCGCCAGCGGCAGGCAGTCCATGGGCCTCGCGTGAGGCTCTCCAGACCTTGTACTTTGTGAGAGGGAAGCGCTCGTTCACATCGTCCATGGTCATGAGCTTCTTTTCCTTGCGACGCCTGTGAGGGCGAGGCATGGCCATTAGGTCAATGGGGTTACCATCTTCGCCGAGTGCGCGCTGGCGGTTGCGCTGGTTGTAGCGGAAGCAGTACTTCACACCGACAATAATCCTGNNGAGGCAGGGGTCAGGGACGGATGCTAGGCACGAAAGANNCGAGAGTACATATATACCATAAGTTGGTGAAGACGACACCGAAACCAAGGGCGACAAAGAACAGAAGAGGTGAGCTGGTTGGACCGCTGCCTCCGTTCGAAGAACCGGTGCTGGTCGCCGAAGGAGAGGCCGCGCTCGGCGCAATAGACGTCGTGGCAGACATTTGGATATTGTCGCTAAATCGGCATACCACTGCCCACTGACGAGCCTGACCAGGTGACAAGCGTGGTTAGTTAGCAGGAGGACGGGTGGCGCAGAGAGAGATAAGAGGGCAGTGCGGTAATAAACGGCTCAGCGCCGCGTGTTCCAGAGCGATGACTTCGTCGCGGATACGAATGACGACCATACAACACGCAGGCGCGAGCGACTGCTTGTGAGACGAGAAGTTGGCACGCCTGGCGGGTGAAGGGCAATATCTTATTCTGGTCTACCCCGACCACCTTGCGACAAGGCCCCGACCACGACTTCATCGACCATACCCGACGTCGGCATCATGGATCCTTCCTCCGAGCCCCGATTCTTGCTCTTGCATGCCTTGCCGTCACTTCTTTCTATTCAAAGTTCCAAGTTCTTCACGCGAATCTTACCTGCCTATTCCCTTGTATGATGTGGACCAAGAGGAATCGTCTTCCGATCTGATATTTCTACAGACGTACTTTGTACATGTTTCTCGGTCTGAGACATGTTTAAAACCGTGTTTCTCTCATGCTTTTGAATTCTAAGCCCATGCACCAACCAACGCCATTAGTAAACCTCCAGCAACCACAGCACCACAAGCCTCAAGTCGTTTTCGCCCTTTGAGAACCACGTAACTCTCATCGCTCAANAAGTCCTCTGCCAACAATTCGACCAATCCAGCGAACAACAACAGCCCACTGCTGATGGCATTCATGATTCCTACCATGAGTAGACCGGTTTGGCTGAATGGGTCGTAGAGATTGTGTACCATGAGTCCGATGGCCTGTCCTATGGGTGTAGTCGCTCCATACGCCAGTGCCATCAGCCACGGCCGTGGTGACCGCTTCGGAAATATTGTGATAGCGGCAATGCGGGAACCCAGAGCCAGCCCTTCAAAGGTTTGATGAAATGAGATGGCTACGAGCAAGACGATGAACGACGTGCCTGTCGCCACGGACACAGCCATGCCTATGAAGACACTGTGAAAGAGAATGCCAGCTTCTAGGAGTAAGCATTGTAGCAGCATTTTTGTTGCNTGCTGTTGTTCGGAGGGCGAGTCAGCCCGCTCCAGACCCGGCTCGGCGACGTGCCCGTGGCTATGTCCATTACCATTGCCATTTATGTAAGGATCCAGTTCATCCAAATCAAGATCCGAGTTGCTGCCTGTGTCATCTAGACTGGCACGACCCTTGTGAGCTAGGGGTTCCGTATCGTCGTAATGCCCGTTCTCTTGCCACGGCGAAGTGTTTTGTAAGGCCATGTCCTCAGTACTGTCTTCCTCGGCTCCTATTTTCCCCTGACTGAATGGTCGGTAACTATCACTCCGTCGGTGTAGTGGTCTTAAGAAGCCCTCGCGATTACTGCTTCTCAAAGGGGCCATGTCTTCGTGTTGCTCTCCGGGTGTTACATAGTCGCTCGAGTGAGAATGCCCAGCTCCTTTGGTAGCAAAGAACATCTCTACGCCCACAACCACCATGACTGAAATCATGGCGATGAGGCCAGCCATAGCGGGGTATCCTTGATTCCAGAAAGGTGGGAGACACGGATCGGTGAGCGAGTTGAATGCGGTGGGCAGGAGATGTACAAATGCGGTCGCAATCAATACACCAGTGCCAAAGTGCCTCGACAAGAACAGGAATTGACGGGGTACGGGCATTCGAGGAAGACGTCGAACAAGAATCGGGAACGAGCATGCTGCGGCATGATTAGCGAGAAGAAGCAGTGTGTGATGGCAAGACCAACCCAGTGTGCTGAGGACGAGAATCAGGACCAGAGCAAAGACATGCAGAGGCAAGTTGTAGTCCTTGGTGGTACGGGCGATGCCACAGGCAGGGCGGTCGTCATGGTTGGTTGTTTGACGGCGTAGCAGTTCAGCTCGCAGCACAGAAGTCGGGATGTCGCTCCATGAGGCCGCCTTCTCTTGTCGCATGTCGACAGATGCGCGCGTCTAGACAATCAGGACGTCGACATTGGATGGAAGAGAGGGCTTCCCCTTATTCCTGCACTCAAACAGTTACAAGAATCGTCTCGTCCACCTCCGCACCGTTGCACTGTACACGAAGCTCCGGTTCGTCCCGCAGCCACCTGTGCCGATCTACGAACCTTCCACGCAGCTGGCACTGGTTCCTGCATCCCTGTCTAAATTCTGACACCTTCGTTTTGACACTGGGGCACTTGCTGACCGTGCATTCACCTACACACTATCTACTCTCTATATCTACTACGACCTTATCGCTCACATGTCTCACTTCTCAATCTCCTCTTGTTCAGCCGTGCTTCCCACTCTCTTCAGCTCGGATCCGACGACGCTGCTGTCTGCTTGCTTGCTAACATCCTTTGACGCCCTGCACTCAATCTCCCGGCAGCGCCTGGCCAAGTCGTGGACATGCTCGTCTTCGCTGCCCTCTCCAAGTTCCATCAGAGCTTGGTCAAGCCCGTAGAGATAGTCTTTGTTTTCTCCACTAGGCCCNCTGCTCTTGACAATGTGTTCTGCAAGCGATCCAAGATCCTGTGGACCCATGAATTGCGGATTGTCTGGAAGTCCTACGTAGACCAAGCAATTGATAGGTGCTGGTAGATTGTGTGAAGCCGCAAAAGCCTCTGAAACGTGAAATGGTGTATACTGGATACTGTATCCATTAATCTCACGAATATCGAGATATTCTCGCACTTCTGCCACATGCGGTCCAGGTATNCTAAACCAACGTGAGTTGTGGTTAGCATTGACCTCGCAGCGTTGGAACGGGCCCATCGTGATGGCCATTGATTTAAGCCAACGTCCTGCTTGATGCATGACCACTGCTCAGTGAAGCACTTAGTCCTGAAGCACTCATCCCAAGGACCATCGACGGCACTGTTCATTCAGACGACGTACCCTATAAGCGGCACCCCATGTCGTTGGAGGAGCATCCGAATGTTGATCGGTCAAAGTATCCCAATGCGATCTGTCAATCAGGGTGACAACCCGGCCAGGTGCCTCGGGAGTTCCACGATGATCTTCACTNGTTGTCCTCCCATTATTGGAAGGTCCCGGCTTAGGTCAATCGACTCACCTTGCCTGCCAGAAGCGTCGTACGTATCCTTCGACATAGCCTGGTACTCTTAGGTCTAATGGTGGTCAATATGTATATCAAGCGTACAGAGGTCATCAAGATACTTACCGAAANTGTGGTGGTGGTTTCCAAATCAGACTGCCATAACCGAAGAGCCACAAGTCTTCTGTTGCTTCCGAAGTCATAGCTATGCGACGGGTAAAGAACTACTATCAAAAATACAACTTAGTGGTACAAGATGGAGACTGAGCTTGGTTCGAAGATGGATCGCCATCCAGATGAGCAAACACAAGCAAACACTGGGCCCCATACACATGAAGGCAACTCTTATAATTATAAAGCACGTTCACAAGCATTCAAGATAAAGTATCCCAGGATATGCTCTCTCGAAAAGGCACGAGAGTTCTGTACTGTATCTCTGCGATACCTTTAATCGTGGTCCCATGTGCGTATTCTTGCTGAACTTCCCCAGAACGACCTCAGTCCGAACGCCTGATCTTGACCCTTGACCGATGCACGACCCATGCCCCAACTCCCGCTTGAACGCAGCAAATCATGATGTTCAGGATGTTATTCGCGGCCGTAAGTAATCTTCAGTCTTTTAGACGGCTTGCTATCTTCGTCATCCTCCTTGTCGGCGGCTTTCTTTTTCTTGCTGTTGGCCTTTGAGACGGTACTGCTAGGAGTTGCATGGTTGCTGTCCCTCGAGGTCAATTGAGGAGGCACCGACGAGGCTGGTGTGGGTGCATGGGAGGGAGTATTGGTGGCCGAGGTGGGCATGTCCGAGTCTTGGGCCTGCAAACTATGTGTCAGTGGTTTGGACAGCAATAAAGACACGTAGAGAGGGGCCGGACATACCCTGATCCAGGACATGGAGCTCCGCGAAAAGACGCGGTCTTCGTCGCGAATTCTGACTCTGGCCTTGCGGTCGTCGACGGACTTTTTGTCTCCTCCAACCACGACGCCCTTGACCCATCCGTCAAAACCGCGCACAATATTGCCAGCACCGTTGGTTTCCTCGAGATAGCTGCTCTCCATTTTGTAAATGTTGTCCTCAAGCGCTTGCATTTGCTCGTCGAGTTGTCGCTTCTTGATTAATGTGTTTTTGAGCGTGTTTCGCAGACTTTCGTAGTAGGGACGACCTGGCTGGTCCGTGTTGGCTGCGCTCGCCGGCGCATTATCAACCATACTGGGGTACAGGTGAGAAGAGTTGCAAGATGATGCAGTCGATTGTAGAATGAATGAACGCTCCAAGGAAATCTATTATTCGTGTTCGCGTCACGCATTCAGCACTTCCCCACGCGATCGAGAGCTGATGATCTTCTCCACACTTCCTCTCCAAAACGAACATAACATGATGGCTTCATCCGAGCACGAGAAATTAAACCCCTCCACCTGCCCTACGCATAGCCATGATCTTGCTTTTGAGTAGTTTTTCTCTCAATTCACTTGCGGTGGGCCTCTTATCGCTATGCTTTGCGAGGGCTACCGAGGGGCTTTCTAACCTATGATGGATCTACCGTCATTAGCATCCACCTTGATGTCGAAACGTGCAGAGAGCCTTTTTGAAGGCAGGTCGAAGCTCATAAATGAATAGTATACCGACTACTGCTAAATCCATTTTGCTTATACTCTGTGAGTAGTAGTATCGACGCAAGAGAAAGATGTGCTCGAGTAAAGTGTCTGGGACATTAAGAATCGATACCCACCTCCTCTGCTGCGCCAGCGCTACTCTCTCCTTGTTGTTCATGATTCTTGTTGTGCACGACCTCGTGAGTCTCAGATGCGTATCGTTTGCTCTCGCGAGCTTTGCCCGGAGATGTCGAACGCTTCCAATCATCCCGAGAGCGGCTTCGAGAACGTTGTCCACTGCGACTGCGATGGGATCCGTGTGTGTCAGCGATGTGACGATCCTTGACAATATTAGCACGCTTTGTCTGCCTATCTTCAGAGAATGAACGGGAACGTCGACGGCGTGGCGGAGACACGCTACCCTTGCCGTCTCGGTCGTTCTGTCTCAGTCGAGTTCTAGAAGGTGTACGTGAGCGATAGCGTCTTGGTTTGGGAGAAAAGCTTGAGTTTCTTCTGCGCTTTGGAGGTGGTGAGCGTCTTCGCGCATAGGGTGATAAATCTCGGTGCCGGCGTTCTCCTCGTGTTAGATCAGCGGATCGCTTGGAATACCGATGCTCTGCAGATCGGCTGCGGCTGCGCTCACTCGAGGTGTTGCGCCGTGCAGTCCTTCGCGATCGGACTGGAGATGTGTGGCGAGGGGATGCCGAGACAGGACTACCGCGAGTGATAGAGGGGGAGCGCTGGCGTCTCCCACCTCTTCGGCCACCNNGTTCTCCCCTATAGGAACGTACGAATCTGTCTCCCTAGGCAAAGCTCTGTTTCGATGGAAATCACCTGAGCCATAGCCCTGTCTGGATGGTGGTGATTGCGACCTGGAATGGTCTCTGAGAACTCGACTGTCGAAATCGCGACCTCCACCACGGCCGCGTCCGCGTCCACCTCGATCTCTGCGATCACGGTCTCGGTTGCGAATGTTCTCTAAATCTCTGTCTCGGATCCTTTCTTCGTCCCTGCGCTGACGGGCTGCTTCAATGGCTCTTTCCTGCTCGACCTGACAAATGGTTAGAACCAACATTATAGTGTTGGAGCATGATGGGTCTACCTTTTCTTGAATGAGCTCCAACTTCTTTGCCTCAACAAGCTGCTGCGGGATTCCGGTGTCGCTCTTTTGTGCGCTCAAACAAAGATTCCAGAGTTCCTTGCAGAAGAGAGCCGCATCTTTCTCGAGAAAGCCAGTAAGTTGGATCTGCAGTGATTTGACATCGGGCNNTGGGTGTATCAGTGCATTGTTTGACGGTGCAGATAAATCTCAGCTTACATTCTTGGAGCCCTCTAGAAGATCGAAGAGAAGATTAATAACAACATCATCTTCGTATCCCAAAATTCTTGACAGCTCGCTAGCAGCCCAGCTNTCAACACCATCAGTCTGTGATGACAACAAGACAGGCATATGCTCAAAGCATTTGAGATGACTGGGTATGACCTACTTTTTGATGACCGGGATATTGATCTTGGTTGTGTCGACTTTCTGATTGAATTCGGGCGGAAACTTCGTGGTACGTAATAGTTTCTGGTCCACGTTTGTGGTGATACGATTCATGATGTTGTGGCCAGTGTCGTATCGGGCTCTGTTCAGGCGGAAGTGATTTGTGGAGTTGACAACGGATGGTACAGAGATGTTTTGGATGATAGTGACAACCGCAAGTTTGTTTGATTCGCGCTGGACGCACGGACACTTCTTGGGTTTGGTCTGCCTCACTCACATTCTCTTTGCACACTACATTTGTTGCGTGCGAAAGAACCAGATTGTTGGTTGATAGAGACTGCATGATTACTACCCTCACATGTGCTTATCAGGCCACATGCACTTGATATATGTGATCTTAATGTGATGCGAAACTCTTCGTGGTCAACGCCGGTATCATTCCCTAGGCTCGAGCCTCCGTTGTTTTGTCCATGATTAATCGTATTATGTGTAAGAAATCAAGGGTAGACGATGCAAATAGCACCAGTCGGTTCAGATAGGACCTCAGCCATCCTGGTCAAATACCTGACGATACAGCTCTTCTCACATCGAGCGAGTTCCAAGATTTGGGCAAGAACAAAAGCCTCGTCATGCTAAGCAACTTCCCTTTCCAATGCCAGCATTCTGCGAGCGAGGGAGACTCACGAGAAAGGAAAGCGCCGATAGGCAGTAACTGCTAACACTTCCTGGGTCAATTCAATCCTCCATCTCATTCTCATTCTCTTCTTCACAACCACACTTCATCATCATCAGTCCAGTTTCTTTACGCAGCCATCTTGCTGTTCTTCTTCCAGTCTTTTGTTTGTTCTCTGCTGTTACGACGTTATTGGTATCGTCATCATCGCAATGGACAACCCTCCTGAGCCTATGCCCAAGGTCTCGGTCGACCCTCTTCCTCCAGCGGCATCCCCATCGCCGTCTTCGCCTCCATCTCCACCTCTTTCTCCACCACCGCAAGAGCGTAAGTGTCTATTGTTGATATCCCGTGTTCCATATCGCTGACCTTCCGAACAGNATATCGTCGTAACCAGTCATGAAGGCTCGGTCGTTGCGGTTCCAGCAGCAGACCCAACACTTCAAAAGGCTGTAGCACCACCAGCATCTGATCCCAGTCCCCCATCGCCACCTCCAGCACCTCCAGTTGTCGTCGCTATCCCTGAACCTGTTCCGCCACCAGCTTCTCCTGTCATCACACCAGCGCCAGTCATCGTTGAGAAGGTCAAGGAGAGCCCATCAGCTGCTCCTGTTCCAACTCCAGTACCAGCTCGGGCTCCATCGCCAGCTCCATCGCCCGCTCCTGCTCCAGCACCTGCTCCAGCACCTGCTTCATCTACCACGGTTGTCGTTGAAAAGGTCAAGACGCCACCACCCCCTCTACCTACTGCACCCGCAGTAATGGTTGTGGAGTCAGCAGCTGCTCCATCGCCCGTCGTCGTCACTGCAGATGCGGCCATTGGGAGAAGCGACACAGCCACTCATGAGCCACAGAAGAAGTCCGACAAGGTTCCTGTTCTCATTGCAACAAGATCAGCCCCTGAACTACAACAAGATTCACACCAACTACAGGCCAGACCATCGGTATTGAGCTTCCGTTCGGCGCCTCCTGACACCTTTGTCAGACGTGACACACACGTTGTGGTCATCGATCCCGCGGTCAACGAACACCCAAAGAGACACTGGAGAGACAAGGTCAGAAAGTTTTGGGTCTCCAAGCTCGGTGGCCGATTCTTTNTGCGTTTGCTACTGGGCGAACAGGGAAGCAACGTTGCAACTGCTGTGGTTTCGAGATATTGATATACCGCCTATCATAACCGTCCCTAATCCTAACTGATGCAATTTCCTATGCTTGAACAGAACTGTCGTGACTGTGTGCACAAACTTCTCGTTCGAAGTCTTTTGATAGATCTTGTATTGCATGTTTGAGTAGTGGAAGCAGCATAACAGCAAGCGCACTTGATCACGAGAGCTCTAAGCAATCAGTTCGTAGGCCTGGCTAGGTAATATCATGATCTTCCGCCAGTGAGACTTGTCGTAGGCGAGAAAGAAGAGAGGTTAGACGGTTTTCAGAACCATGTCGACTTGTTGACGAGCTTTCAACAAAGCGTGGTCGAGACCGTCGCGATGAGCCAGCTTGACGTTGGCATGGAGGTCAAGCAAGTCCTGAGCGCGTGCGAGATCAACGTCTGAGTCGGTGGCGTTTTGCGCTCTCTGCAGTTGAGTTGATAGGGATGTAACACTGCTGGGTGGGCGAGCCAGGACGAGATCCAAAGCAGCAGTTGGATCCNNTTGCTCAAGGTCAGTCTTGTTTAGTCTCAGCTAGACTTGTCCTTTACAACATACACCGACGCGAAGAGAAGTCAGGTCGGACAGGATGTCGGCGATTTTGAGCATGATTCGTTTGTCCGGTGTGCGGAGTGTGTATGGAGGTGGAGAGGTTTAGGTTGTGCGTAGTTTCTAATCAAGGGTCCTGTCTCTGGAAGTGTTCTGGAAGATATGAGGATTACATTGTGATACAATGAAACATTTCGAAGGAAGGATTTTATGATTTCCATTGTTACTACTAAATACCCGATGCTTGAATACTTCAAGGACGGACATCGCTCTAACTTGCTCGTGCAGTCCTTCCAAGGGCATTGTCGCTGCATTGCGAACTCTCACTCTCCGTTGCGCTTCTATGCACAGATTGTGGGGTTAGAGGTCCAATGAGGAGCATGCGATGCCAAATTGGCAGGCTATTGCTCCTGTATGGGAACACTCTGTCTCAAGACTCGATCTGTAAGCGCCATACGTCGGCATGCAGATCTGTACGACTTGATCTTCCATTGCTTGTGGGACGTAGTTCCTTGCAGCCAGAGACCAAGAACTCTGCTTGAGGGTTCAGGCAAGCACGATGGCCAGTGATTTGTGGTGCGTGTGTTTTTAGAGGTTCGATCAGCCTCCTCGTCCTCTCCAGCCACCTCTTCCTCTGCCTCTACGTTTGCCCCAGCCACGACCACCACCGCTTTCACCTCGTTCGAATCTTTCGCGACGCTTCTCCTCTTCGGCAAAGAATTCTTCTTCGCGCTCCTCTTGCTCCCTGCGAAGCTCCTCTTCAGGCTTGACACGACGAGGCTCCGGCTTCTTCAGATCTTTGCCGTCAATCCACTTGGGGTGAGCGCCGTGTTCGCAAGAGACAACATTGTCCCTGTCGGGAGGACCAGAACGACCGTTCGGACAGAAGCCAGCGAGGTAGAAGGGACAGATGGTGGTGTGTTTGATGTGGCGTAGACTGCAGTATGGACCAAGGGGACAGAAGCCTCGGGCGAAATGAGGACAGGGAGCAATGCGTAACGATGAGGTGGGAGCGATATGGAGATAGGTGCCTTGTGGATGATCAGCAAAGTGGAAGATANNTGGTGAGAAGATAACATACGCACACTCGTCGCCCTGAGGGCAGAGTCCAAAGCGACTGAACTCCTTGCACTCTCTTTCACCACGCAAGTCGAAGGTGTGGGCAAACTCGCATTGGTCGCCTTTNTTGCAGAGACCGCGCTGGTAATGCTTGCAAATGAGATGGCCGATTCCTGAACGTTCGTTTGGTGGAGTATAGTGTCGGTCAGGACAGGCAGGACCGAGAGGACAGTGACCGTTCTTGTAGGCGGCGCACGTCGGGCGGTTGTGCTTGTTGGGGAAGCCGAAGGGAGGGAACGCGGTCTTGAGATAGGGCAGGAAGGAGAGGTCGGGGACCGGGGCGCTGGCCGGGTTGAGGATGCGGTCAGCAATGGCGGCGGCCATGTTGGGCGAGGAGGGATGGAACAGAGATGGCTCTTGTTTGCACATGGAAGATGGGCGTCAACGAAGCTTTATTATTAGCCGGTCATGGAGCTAGCTCGACGTCAAATGTGGAGAGCGCCCAAGCTTGTCGCAATAGACGTTGTGCCAACCGCAACTTGCACCCTGCATCTCGTCCGTCTACTCGCTCTCGTCTCCGTCCCTGACTCTCCTCGCCTGCGCTTGTCTTCACTCTTCGTAGTGACCCTCCTCTAGTTCTTGCACCACCCCGATGCAACAGACATAACACGACGATGGTGTCGGACACGGTCTACGAGATATGCCTGCCCGTACTGCAGGACCCCGCCCTGCCCGAAGATGAAAAGGCCGATCGCGTCGAGGACGTCCTCCGCCAAGAGGCTCGTCTGACGGGCAAGGCTCTCGAGGATGCTGTCCTGGGTGTGCTGTGGCGCCATCGCGACACAACCCAGGGCCCGACCTCACCACCGCCCTTACGCGCCACTGTAATCCGTCGTCCATCGCCCGCCCCGTGGCAGCCGCGCTCCGTCTCAGCCANNCAAACTCGCCGCGTTCTCAGAGCGCAACCATCCACCCTCCTCCTGGCTTTGGTCCTACTCCGCCTCACTTCACCCGCGCAAAGTCGTCGACCGCCTCTCCCTTTTCCTCGCCGCGCCCNNTTCACCGCGCCTTGCCTTTGCGACTCCTCAGATCCCTCACAGCCCCAGCCTGAGCGCCTATCAATTCAGCGAANNCCCGCCTCCTCGAGCGAGCAATATGGCGACTATGGAAGCGACAATGTCGACTGGATAGTCAACGACGATGCCAGTAGTAATGCTTCTTTCGGTGATTCGGCCTTTGGTCCCTACCCGTCAGACTGGATCCAGCCTTCCATGGTAGAGATGTCGACCTATGACATGCTGCGTTCTGTTTTGCGTGACGAGAAATCTGACGAAGAGCTCGAGCAAGTCCTCCAGCTGAATGGCTACGACTTCAGCCAGACCATCATGGCCTTGGCCGATCCCCAGGCCTTGAGCGCTACAGAGGCCCAGAACAGGACATACCTCGTTGGAAAGTCCATGAGTCCTACGTCCAGACCTCTTACTCCCTCTGTTCAGTCGAAAAGCGGCATCGTGTGCAAATATTGGCTCTCTTCGGGCCACTGCGCCAGGGCCGATTGTCGCTTCAGCCATGATCTAANNGTAACCATCTGTGCAAGTATGTTAATTACGCCTTGTGTATGCTGTTTGCTTGATTAATCCTAACACGCCCGCTTTAGATACTGGCTGGCCGGAACCTGCCTTGCTGGCGAGTCTTGCATCTTCTCTCACGATCCTTCTGCTCTCATGACCAGATTGACCATGGATGAGAATGCTACACCACCTACTCAATCTCTCCAGCCAAACTTCCAGCTGCAAGACTACGACTCTTTCCCTGCTCTGCAACCCACTAATTCCAACCCGTATGACCAATCTTATGACCCTTCTCTTCTTAACTCCTTCCAATCACAGCCACCTACTGTGTCCACCCTGAATCCCTTTGCCATGTTTGTCCCCTCAAGCAATGCAAGCGTTCAGTCTTCGTCGCGGCCCAACAGTCGTCATCAGTCTCGTACCGCCACTCCATCAACATTGGCCGTCAACGATGATGAGGCTTTCCCCACCCTGGGTTCTGCTGCGGCTTCACGATCCTCTCGTCGCCATGGAAAGAGAGGCCACGGCAACGCCGCTAACAAGGAAAGCCCGGTGCCTACACCCTCGTCACTAGCTGATGTTGTTCGCATGACGCCTTCACCTTCTCCTCAAATCCAGTCTCGAAGAGGACTGAGACCTACCAAGTCGAACACTGGGTCTCGTGAGAACAGTACAGCTGCCATGGCGATAGCCGCGCCTGAACACATCCCCTGGTTGGAGACTGGAGACTCTGCCAACAAAGCATACCTCAAGGCTAGAGCTGAAGCCTTCAGACACGGCGGATTGAGGAACAAATTTCTACAAGCGGCAGCAACTAGCTGGAACAGGAATGATGCTCGTGGCGCAAAAGCTCTCAGTCTCAGAGGTCATAACGAAAATCTGGCGATGAAAGAGGCCCACCGTGAGGCCGCTCGATGTTTGTACGAGGAACGCAACAAGGGCAATGGAGCCGGAGAGCTCTTCGTCGACTTGCATGGTGAGTTTGCGAGTGTTTCAATATCGTTGATCTTANTGTTAATCGCATTGGCAGGTCTACATCCCGAAGAGGCAGTTCAGTACTTGACATCGTGCCTGCTCGATCACAGCTCGTCCAGCAAACCTGTCTACGCCATCTGCGGCACTGGACACCACTCGAAGAACGGCAAAGACAAGGTCGGTAAGGCCGTCCGCCAGTTTNTGAATGAGTGGCGTTATGCGTTCCGCGAGTTCAGCGTACCCGGCGACCGCAATAACGTTGGCGGTATCCTCGGTATCGACCCCAGCAGCTACGACAAGGAGTGTGCAAAGAAGATGCAAGAAGGAGGGCCCATATCCGAGGCCGACAGTGGAGTCGGATTCCTAAGTAGCAGTGCCGAAGACACCAAAGTCCGTATCCTAAGAAGGGAGGAATAATAATGGTAGTATGATTCTCCGAACGAAACGAATTGATGAATTATGCTCTTTCGCAGTGGTCTTACCGTGTACATCGAAACTTGCAAACAAAAACCCCAAGCTGCTATCTACCTGCCGGCGAGTTCATCTTGAGCACCTTCCTGCTGAAAGAATCATATCCTCATCCCTTGCTAAAATCCCATGTCGACCAGTCTTCATGGGCAGCTCCTTCCTATCTTGCGTCCTTGACGCACAAGGGTTACTCTTTCCTGACTTGAAGCGCTGACGCTTGCAAACTAAAGTTTAAGTTGACTTCGCCCCGATAGAACAGAATCTTTGTATACCCGAAATCAATTCAAGACGCTTTGGGAATACTCTCTCATGTTCCAGCAAGACCCCTGGTTCCCCCATCGAATCCATAAGAGGGGTGCCGCCCGATGGTGGATGGTTCAATCTGAACTTATCATTCTCAGCAGATTTCGTGGTTGAGAGCCCAAATCTAGGCCACCTAAAGCATCTGTATGCAGTTTTGTTCGAGCGTGTAGGAAAGACACGAACATTCTCCTCCTAAAAGGGTTATGTATGCCACGACTTCTGTATGCAAAAGATAGTTATGATGTAGCTATGAGAATGCACAATGCTTTCCAGATAGAAGCAACGTCCATGAAGAGACAGATTTTTGGGGTATCCCTATTGCCATACCTCTTATCTCACTGAAACTGTGCATTTTTAAAATCTATCGTCATACTAGTCATCCTAGAGAGGATTCAAGGCAGCGCTATGCAGCATGAGCGGCCTACGCTCAGGGGACAGTCTTTGCTAGACCTTCTCTAATCTTACACGGTGCGAATCTTGGTTATAGCGCTCAAGGTTTATTTGTTTGGGGTCGACGGGAAGTTGGCGTTGCTGATTGAGGTAAATGACTGGAAGCGTCTACCATCTTATGACCCGCTTCTTCGACAGCACAACAACTCGTAAGCGTCTTTCCTACCTCGCAGTCTGCTTCCTCTATGCCCCTCTGCTATCTGTCGCTAACTGATCATTGTTACTCGCATGATCTCGGGCATGCGTATGCAGAATCGTGTTACAGAAAGAGTAACCGTACGGAACTTCGGGGTTTGTACATTGTTTCTGCTTCTCCTTCCACTCTCACTTCCATTCTCACTTCCATGTTTGTGTTTGCTCTGCACTTCTCTGTCTTCTCACCACTGATCTGATCGATCAACTTTGCAACCTTTCCCTCCTAGTGTATTCGCGGCATGAACTTCCATCTCGTTGCTAGCGTCGCTAAGTTATCTGAATACTGTGTTCTCGATTCCGACTTGCAGATAAACAACTCCCCAAGTCCCTTCCGTTTTCATGGTCTTATTGCGAGATCAGAATCAGCATCCACACTATGATACGAGCGAGGCTATTCTCGCTGCCGCATGATATATACTTGCTCTCTCAACTGCTTCTACATACATATGACTTCATTGACCTCACCATATAAATACACGATACTTTCTGCAGGCAGGTGGCATCCATCATGCACTCGCTTCTCTTATCACAATTATATAGCAATGGTCTGATGCTTGTATGCTACCTAACCACACGTTTCCTTCAACCTATTGAACGTCCTCTTGAGGACTCCCCATACAAACATTTATGCGTATCAAGACCCAATCTTCCGCCCACGCCTTCACTCAAATCTCAGCTCGAGCCACGCCCCCTATGTATCCCTCAAACCCAAAACTGTCACCTTCAGGCTTTCCTGTCGCCGTAGCGCTGTTGAAGCCATGCAGGTTATCGCTTGCACACGTAGATACCTGAACAATCCCAAGGACTCGGCGAGGTTCTTACTGGTCTAATCACGTATTCGTATGGTGTCACAACAATCAAGAGAGCCAGTGAAATCATTCGTTGCCGTATCGACTGCCTTCTTGAGCTCCTCGTTCGTCTTGCTTCTCGCTCTTGAGCCTTCCAGACCGATTAGGCTAGCCCCTCGACGTCATGTGATGTGGGTGCATCTGTTGCGGCATTCTCTGCTTGAGTTGAAACTCACTTCAATCTGTCGATATGATTCGTGGTATGCGGAGGGGCCGCCTAATGGACGGGACGCTGCTGGTAGTGATAAATCTTTGATATAGACTGTGCTTTAGTTGCTCAAGACGTTTGGGTTCGCTCGCGGGGACAATGCTAGCGACCCTCGCCGTACGTGCACACCTTGCATGGTTCAAGGCATCTGCTTCGCATGATGCGATACTCGAAAAAGAGTGTGATACTCATTCGATCTAGAAAAGGATGGGGCGTAAACCAAAGTGTTGGCTGCGCTTGAAGAAACATTATGCCCACCTCAAAATCGCCGTAGAACGCCAAACTTTGAGTAGTGATAGCCCTGAACTTCTGGGTATCTGAAGCGGGTGTATCAACCAAGGTGTTGAATGCGCGTGAAGGACCGTTCCTAATATTCTCCCGTTGCTCCCTGACCGACGCCATAAGCGTACTCATTGCTGGAACTCTCGGTTGGTTCCATCGCATTGCTCAGAACGGCACCACCATTGTTGCTTCCTTCGAAAGGTGACGTCTCTTGGGCGCCGCCAGCAGAGTTGAGAGTGGTACCTCCGCCAGTCATCGGTCTCTGGTGTTCGCCTCGAGCGACGAGTGTCTACGAATATCAGTCAGCGCGATGTCCATCTTGCTGTAGACGCAAGCACTCACCTCGCGATATCTGGCAAGATAGATCTTGAGTGCCTCGGCATAATTCTCAAAACCTAGCGAGGTCATGGCGAAGAGAATGTCTTCACCGTTGACGGTCTTGCGCTTCTCCTGTTGGCATTTCTCCGAAGCTACATACCGTCAGCTCGTAGTCTAGAAGGACGGCGAGGTACTCCGGTAGCAGTAGACGTACCCTCACTGGTGATGAAGGAGATGAATTCGCTGACGCATTCCTGCATGCATTCCTTGGCTTCTTTGGCGATTTTGGCATTGTCTGGAAGTGCTCCTTTCATGATTCGGGCGACTGGTGCAAAATTGCGTATGTTAGCATCGGAAGCGACATCGTTCTTAGTGTTCCGGGGACGCAGTGGCTGTGATCGAGATGGCACTCGGGATGCAGAAGACATGACTGTTCGGCAATCCGCGCGCTGTCAAAAGTCAAAGCTGCAGATCTGGGCTGGCAGAAGCAGCTCTGATTCGACGGTCAGGATGTCGAGACGCGCGATTGGGCTGTATATGGGGGATGTGAAGGGCAGGGCCATCGATGGCATTGGTCGATAGGCAGGTGGTGGTGCAAAGGTGGTACAGACTCAGCAAGCTCCCTTGTCGGTCGCACTGTGTCCGACCCAGAGGTGAAAGCAAAACCGAAAGAACATACCGTTAGCGATGGGTAACCATCGATCTTGCTCCTTGACCTCGAAGTCATAAACACCCATACCATGATCACCGGGATCGTCAGGGCCTCTGCTCATTTCTTGCTGCTCATGCTCGTCAGGTGACGGCTGGTTTGCGTCTGCTTGCAATACTGCTGAGCTTGACACCTGCTGTCCCTCGACATCCGTTGTTCGTGGGCTTTGTGACATATTGTATTCGGCGACTTGCAGAAAAGGCCCCACACCCTTTCACTCTGACGTTTGTTGCGCTGGCAGATTGATTCGCTGTCGCGATACGTCACGGTCTGTTGGATCCAGAGAGTCTGCGGCCCAAGACACTATGCTTTGCGTTGTGTTACGATGACCGGAAGCTGGGGATTGATGCAAGGCACTGAACAATAACAACGGTGTAACAAATCAAAAGGAGACCTTCAGAAGAATCTTCCGTAGCCAGTCAAGTTTCAACACAACAGAGCCTGAACGAGCGTTAGTGTACGGTCCTGATGACAGGGGCTCCCAGTTCGGCGTGTTCTTGATCCAGATTACGGGCAACAGTCGCGGGACCTGATGGGTAACCTCACCACTATCAAAGCAGCCGCTGTGATTATCCCGCGGGTATTACGTGGATGTAGATGCTGTCAGGAGTCAACGGACTGCCTTGGAGCCCAATGAACCGAGGAAAGTCTGAAGATGTCGGTTGGATGCACACGGGATCGCAACGTAGCGCCGTCGCTTTGAAGATGAAGTTGGACGATGAAGCGGGACCAGCAATAAGGTGAAAACACCGAATTTGACTACAGCGCTCAGAGTTCGGCGCGTATATTTGATGCTTATTTCAGAAGCGGAGTGTGATACGATACAGAAGAGGAACGAACCTGGTGCGCGCGTTCTGTGACGGTCAGTGGGTGGGGGACTGGACTTGCTGGAGAAAGTGCCAAGCATTGGTTCACTTTCCCTTTGGGGCTTTCTCAGGCCGTGAGTTCACCAGCCATAGAACCAATCTGTAGAATACATAGCATTACTTACAAGCCCCAGACGGCGACATGGTGACGAGTCGCTCTACAGCCGAGATTGACATGAGAAGACTTGTATTGACGATTTATCCACACCCAGGGTCGCTACCCTGCTTAGCAATATAAATCTCGTCCACCGCGCAACATATCGATTGTTGGTTTCCTGCTGGATACAAGCACAGACCACTCTATCAAACCGACGAGACGGCGTCTTGATTCAGAGCAACGGCTTCGAGCCAGGCAGTAGCGAGTTCGTGGTACCTGGTTCTGCAGCCTTCGCGCCAAGTCTTACTGCTGGTGGGCGAGTCTGAGAGATCAGATCCCGTGCCAGCGCTTTGGTGTCTGACATGTCCATGCTCACATTGACCCGAACAATTTTGTTGTCAAGATCATTTACTGCTTTGGAGAGAACAAGAGCGGCGCGGCAAGACAACCATAACGTGCTGTGTGAGCAGCCGTAAAGGTGATTATGACGGCGAGCTCACTGCGTGACAACCTGAATCTTGTTTTGGCGCTGTAAATGTGTTAGCGGACAGGCTAATATACATGCTGTACATGCAGATTCGCATACCTTCCACTTCTCGAGTTCCTCTTGCTTGGTAGTGTATTGTTTCAGCAGATCTTCAAGCACCTTNTTAAGGCCATCCGCGTTGGTTTTTAACTGTGGCAAGACATCTTGTACAGTTCGTTCCACAAGGACACCGTTGATCATACGGAAACACTTGCGATCACCTGGCAGTGGTTCGAGAGTTTCTAACACAAGNCCTTTTTCTGTGTTAGTGATGCTAGCCAGGCTGTGGATGCTCCAATATTCGTTGAAATCTTTTTCCAAGTAAAGAAATAACAGAACGAGAAGAGAATGTCAGACTTACTTGTGCTCCTCAGCTTCAGTCTCAACATCACCAATCTTTTGTGCGATGGCTTGAAGGGTTTCTTTGTAATTCGAATATTGCGCCTGCAGCTCTGATCTCCTGGATTAGCAGAGAAGAGAGAAGACCGACAACCAACACATACCCTGCTGCTTCTTCGCAGAAACCTGTTGCGACATTTGAGATTATGTGATTCGAGAAGTTGATGTTGACCGGAACACAACACACGCATCTGCTTGATGGAGCGGCGTTTCGGGAAAGCCAAGACACGCTAGCGCTGTTCGACTGATGATTTGCCTCTTGTCTCGAGACCATCAAGATCAGAACTCAAGAATTGAGGTCGGCCATCTCGAAGAAACACACAGACCTATCTCAAGACACCAGTGGGTGCACCAGTAGCGATCATGCATCCCCACCTCCACACCAAAGACAACAAGAGTATGTCGCTCGGCTACTTCTGTTACCTGGTCTCAACCTACTAACCACGATTAGACTGCGAGGAGGTTATGAATGCGCTCGAAGAGTGTCATGCGCGCGGCTTTCTCTGGAAGTCGATGGGCATGTGTACCAAGGCAAAGCATCAGGTCAACATGTGTCTGCGCGCCGAGCGCCTCGAACGCACTCGTCAGAACCGCGAAGTGGCCAAGGAGAAGCGAGCAAAGGTCGAATCTGTATGGGCTGAAATCGACGCCAACTCTTGAGACACAACACAACCATTTCGACTTTCTTGTTCAACTGAGCAGTTATACAGCGAGGCGCTAGGCGTTACGGATGGGTCACCACAACAAACGGACATCTCAACTCTTCGGAATCTACCATCTTCGAATTGTCGCATGCAGGGAGCACCAATGATACCACTACATACCCCATTCTGACATGTCTCGACGCATTCCGCTGCCTAGACCGGATGTTCCGAGGCCTGGTCTTCCATCCTCTTCATCCTCGTCGCTGTCCTCACTGTCTTCGGTTCGGTCGATTGTAGGCCTCTGTTCTGTTGCATCTTCCGTGGTCATTTGTTTGTCATCATCCTTGGCCTGCAAGCCCATGTCCTCTCTCAATTTGCGATACTTCTCGCCCGTCTCTTTCAGAGCTGCTTGAACTCTCACTTCTTCTTCGCCGATTCTTGACTTTTCGTCCACTAGGCTTTGCATTTCGTTCGCCTTGTTGGCGCGAACTACTTCCATTTCCTCCAATCGCTTGCGAAGTCTTTCAACCGCATTATCCATTGTTGGTAGAGGTACAACCCTAGGCGGTGTTTGGGGTCTTGTCGAGTCGGCGTCCTGTTCGCGTGCAGCATAGGTGCCGTGGCGTGTTTGCGCAACTTCAAAAGCAGCATTTCGTTCGGCCTCACTCTCATCGTCTTCGTTGTCGTCATCTGCACTTTGACCCTCGGCATCAGCGATCATAGAGGCCATTTCGGCTCTGCGCTTTTGTTCCTCCTCTCTCTGTGCCTTACGGCCAAACGTAATCTTGCCATCAGTCGTGAAATCGTCGAAACCTTCGAGCATGTCCTCATCGTCATGTACCAGGCGAGTCTCGGGGTACTTTTCCTTGGGCTTGAGGATCAAGCGACCCTGGTCATCCCGTGTGACTGCGTCGTCTTCTTCCTCGTCGTCACCATCGTCTTCTAGCGATATGAAATCGTTCTCCTTGGCTAATCGTGCGCGACGTGCCTTCTTTTCCTGAATCTCGGCGGCGGTGGGTATAGCTGTGGGAGGTTGATATCTGGAAAGGTCTGATCCGAACTTTGATTTGATGTCGATAGCAGCACTAGAGGCAGAAGCAGCATCCTCGTTGTCAGTTGTCGAAGTGGATGCGATGTCCTTGGGTGTGGCTGGTGTGCTCTGTTTCAGCTCGTCAAGGTAGTTTTTATTGTAAGTTGGACGGTCCGAGGTAGAGTCGAGACCTGGTCGGAAGGCGACGTCTGAACGCTTTTCGACATTCCGTTGTATGGCAAGGCGCGAGAGGTTTGCGCGTTTGGGCGTGACAATAGTGGAAGAGTCGTCGTTGTCGTCATCGGACGCGAACGAGGGACGGAGGGCGGAAGATTTACGATGCTTTGCAGCGGGTCGCTTGACTATGGAAGAGGTGGTGGTGGTGGTGGAGTCTGTGGAAGGGCGTNNCAACCAACTACCACGACGAGCTTTATTAGAGCTGGTAATTACACATTGAAGGAGCGTAGACTGACCATTGTTGCTGAAGGCATCCGACATCGCATCTTGATCATCGTGGCCAATTTTCCGTGGTACGCGACGAGCGGCGAATGATTTCTTCATGGTGCGTGTGGATGTATGAAGGTAGTGGTGAAGGCTGAGGGTGTGTTTTCAAAAATGACGCGGGGATTGCTGCTCAGTCGCAAGCCAGCCGCGCTCTTTCCTTCAGGTTGCACCACCACCATCTCGACTCACAAACCCAAGCGCAAACATGCCTCAAGCACAGCCAGAGTTGAAGAAGGCAAGCACTTCTGTGCCGTTCCCCTTGCGCCCGAGCTAACCAGTCTGCAGTNACCTCGACCGTCGCCTGTTCGTCCAGCTTAACGGCAGTCGCAAGGTCATTGGTGTCCTTCGTGGCTACGATGTGCGTTCCCTGTTGCTTGCGTACATTGCGCTTGTATATTGACAAATCTCAGNNGTCTTCTTGAACATCGTCCTGGATGATGCCGTCGAGGAGAAAGCTGGCGGCGAGAAGGTCAGAATCGGCCAGGTCGTACGTTCATCCACACCATTTGCGCAACTAGGCACCTTACTGACCCTGTCCAGGNTCATCCGCGGCAACTCGGTCGTCATGTTGGAAGCGCTGGAACGCATGGACGAACACGACCGACGATGAGCACATGCTCCCACAAACCCACTTGCAGCCACCGACAGTGATCCGACTACCACCACCGTCCGCCATCACGTCGCAGCCTTCCGTCGCGCTAGCCGACATCAAACCCACTCGAACTTACAGGTCCATCATCTCGAGTCCTTGTCTTGTCCGAGAAGGCACGTCATATCCGTGTCACAGAACTATCATGGCCTTCCTCAAGAGCGTACCAACCAGCGACGCCTTGATTCAATGAATCAAAATACTCTTTCTCTTCCTCTCTTCAGCATTGTATGTGCAGTGAACTTCTGCCGCTTGTGAGATGCTCGTGACGGCCAATGTGCCTTTGCGCAGAGTCTACTAGTCTCTGGAGAACTTCTGCACCGCGTAGCATATGTTTCAAAGACACTCGCCCTCGCCTTATGAGTAGTCGACCGATCTGACCTATCCATACAGTCGTTTGGCCTTGCCAAATTTTACCGCTGACGTTCGACAGATTACCCGTCGAATATGATCAAGTAAAGTGGAACTCCAGCCATGACATATTTCTTGACTATTTGTTACAGCTTAGCCTTGTTACCCTGTTTGACTCGTTCCCTCTGGCATTGCTGAACCAAATCCCAACCGACCGTGGCAAAGGGCCTCATCTGTACTGCATACTCCTGTGCTCGAGCACTACTTGCCTGTCGGAGCGCATATCTCGCTGCAATGCCTTGCATGATGATACTACCACGATAGATTCCAAATGCTTCACCCCATGTCATATCTGGTCGCGGATCCCACCCAGCTACTTGTCTGTACCATTCAATACACTGCTGCTTCGTCGGCAGGCCAGGTGTATTACCAGGAAGGAATGTTTCACTCCCCCTTCCGATCGATCGAGCAACCGGTGAATCGGCAGTAGTAAATGGAGTGAGCAAATTGCTCAGATCGGAAAGTGGATGTCCTATCGTTGACATCTCCCAGCTAAAATCGTCAGTCGCTATCCATAATCATGTTGCCTCATCGACTTACTCCAAGATTCCTATGACCTTTGGCTCTGTTTTGTGGAAGACTACATTATCAATCTTGTAGTCACCATGGACGAAAGTACTGCGATCCTGAGGCTGGCTGTCTTTGTTGCCAAAGAAAGCAACCATATCATCGAAATGTGGGATCTTGCCCACTGGCTCGTTCGATTCAACATCAACAGCTTTGGCTTGGGCATCCTGAATAGTGTTGAAAGTCGCAAGTTGTCGATCGTAGAAGCCGTTCGCTTTTCCATAAGATGCGAGATTTACTGAAGCTGGAGCTACGCGATGAAACTTGGCCAGAGTTGTTACTGCAGACCGCCACATCTCCTTCCTGTCCTCAGGACTGACATCCGGCAGACATGGATCTTCAATGATCCTGCCGTCCAGAAACTCCATAATGTAGAAAGCTGTGCCGATTACCGCATCATCCTCGCACAGGCAATATGTCTTGGGTACTGGGACGTCTGTTGTCTCGAGGGCATGCAGAATCCTGTATTCTCGTTCGACTTTATGTGCGGTTTTTGATAGCAACTTTCCTGGAGGCTTCTTGCGTAGGACATATTGCTGTTTGTCCGAGGACGTCAAGAGATAGGTAGGGTTGGATTGACCATAACCAAACNNTATTCGTTGAGCTTAACAACATGAAAGGGCACATAATGGGGTGTATTGAGTTACCTGTTTGACATCAAGTGGTGTCTTGATTTCTGGGACCTGTTTCTCCAGGTAACTTTCGAGTGACTTGATGTCTATTGGTTGTCGAATCGGGCCTGCCATTGCGAGACTCGATAGATCGGATTGAGAGACACGAGACACTGGCACAGTAAGAGGCTCGTAAGAAGGTAATGTGATAGCTAGATGAATGTAGAGTATCCCCAGAAGAGCCCTCCATGCGGCGTGGGGTATCCTGCGATGGGGGCCGAACAACCTCGGCACGATTCAAAGTAGCAATTCATGCCATCATGTTGCCGAGTCATGTCAGACTGCGGTTGACTGTTTGGAAGTAAACAGTAAAGATGAGAGGCGGACAGCAACAGTTTCTTTTTATGGTTGTGATTTACTACAAGGTCCTGTCGAGCGTATAGGCAAGAGACTCCAGCTCGGTGGTTGATTGCCCCTTTCGCGCCTGATGAAATGAGAGGAGATGAAATGATTGGGCAGCTTCTTAGGTCGCGACTCGCAAGTGCCATGTGGTTGCATGGGTAATCGAGCACTGTTGGAGCCTGACGTGTCTTTGTTTTTGTCTTGCATCTTGTCTTGGAGCTGGAGTTGCGGCGGGAAAAAGGTTGTCTATATTTCCTCGCCTTGTCCGTGAGATTATCGAAAGCATGTCAACACCACGACAGCGAGTGCGGCCATCCAATTCGCCCATGCACACCAACGAAGCTCATCGCAAAGCTTCTCTTGCCGCCTTGACTGGAAACACTCCTCGATCCCCTGCACACACATCAACAATGGCCGACTCGTCCATCGCCTTGGGCGACATGGTCAATGTACCCGGCGACATGTACGGCACTGTCAAGTTTGTCGGGCCCGTCAGGGGCAAGCAGGGCAAATTTATCGGTGTCGAACTGGCCAGTGAATTTGCTGCCAGAGGAAAGAACGACGGCGACGTTGACGGTATTCGCTACTTCGATACCGATATTCCTGGCGCAGGCATCTTCCTGCCTGTCCACCGTGCAGAGAAGCGCCAATCGCCTGCGCGCCCTCGCCCAGCACATCCTGGCACGCCCACTACGCCCTTACACTACCGCCTGGACTCGTACACTCCTCCGGCAGCCGCCATGCCCAAGTTCTCTCAATCCATGGGCCCTGGTGCCCGTCCTCCCAGTCCCCTCTCGAAGCTCAAATCCCGCCGGCCATCACTGCCACGCCCCGAATCTCCTTTCCGCAAACAACCCAATCTGGTTCCTACTCCGGCACGCAACTTTTCCATGAGTCAGAGATCTGCCGTTCCTCCACGCTTCACCTCAAGTCCTGCACCGCCCCTGTCTACAACTCCTCGCGCTGCTAGTCGATCTGCCGCTCCTTCGCGTCCGTATTCACGCACTGGCTCTCGTGTAGGACATCGCTCAGAAACACAGCGTCCATCCACCAGCTCTGCCGCTTCGATTGCTAGACGTTCTCCGTCCCGGCAGGTCACCGTGGATCAGGATGGCGAGGTTCAGAGATTGTTGGCCCAGCTGGAANGCAAAGACAGACAATTGCAAGAACAAGCTGGATCACTTGCGGAGATGGAGACCAGTCTGAAGGAAATTCAAGAGCTCATACCTGCCGATGGCAACGACCAAGACAGTGCTGACGTTTTTGAGCTGCGTCAAGCTGTACACGACAGAGAAGACAAGATTCAATCCCTCATCGACGAGTTCGATGCTCACCGTGCAGATTTCCGCAGTACGATTGACACTCTGGAGCTTGCATCAGCCGAAACCGAACGTGTCTACGAGGCAAAGATTGCCGACTTGCTTGCTGAGATACAAGAATTGCGCGAGCTCGGTCACAGTCGTGAAGATGTCGAGAATGTCGCTCGCCAGCTTAAGGGGTTGGAAGAGCTTGTTGCTGAGCTCGAAGAAGGTCTAGAAGACGCCCGTCGTGGTGAAGCAGAAGCTCGAGGAGAGGTCGAGTTCTTGAGAGGAGAAGTCGAAAGAGGACGTAGCGAGCTGAGACGTGAAAGAGAGAAGGCTGCCAAAGCATTGCAGGGGGCCAAGGAGGCAGAAGGTCAAACTTCCAGAGACAAGGATGTCGAGTTGAAGGACGATGAGATTAGGGGTCTCAAAGCCATCATACACTCTCTCGGTTCTGGACCCGAAGCGAGTCCCATGGCACGACAAAGCCCTGCATCTGGACGTTTCGCCGACCCAGAGGAGTTGAAGAGGACTCAGGCAACTGTACAACAACTCGAGCGTGAGAAGTCGGAGCTCCAAGGATTGATCGACCGAAAGGCGTTCAGAGAAGAGGAACTGGAGCGCGCAGTCGAGCAACTGAGACGAGCAGCAGAGCAGGAGAGGGACAGTATCATGAATACTGAAGCAGCTGCAGAGGAGATGCCACGTCAACATCTGTCGAGATCGCCCGAGGCCGTCAGATCTCCTACACAATACAGATCACCACGAACGGACGAACAGAGAACGTGGTGCGAAGTATGCGATACACCTGGACATGACATCTTGACCTGCCCCAACGTTGAAGGTGCTAATGGTCACGAATTGAACAATGGTCATGAACATCAAGCGGAGCATAACGAACCGGAAGACGAACTATTCAGCCATATGCGGAACTTGAACGTCTCTGCATCTACGAAGGACAGATATAACGACAAGCTCGATGCTCCTGCGCCGCTCTCATTGAGGAAAACTTTGAGCAACAACAGTAACAATGCAGAAAAGAGCAAGGAAACTCATGATGCACCTGCAGCTGAAACGGACGCTGACAAATGGTGCGCACTTTGCGAAAAGGATGGTCATCTAGCATTCGACTGTCCTGATGAGCAGTATTAGAGAGTTGAGTTCAAAGAATAACGATATCCTGTATTAATAAGAATATAATGGATATGAACCTCATGACTATGTGTCGTTCTGCCTTTCATATCACTTGTTTGTGCGTTCATGATGCCGCTTTGCTAGGGATCCCACTTGATATGGTGCCGAGAAATAAATCTTTTGAGTCTGGCTAGGCCAACGTGGATGTCTTCGGAAGTTCAATTCTACGGACAGCTGATTGAAGTGGCTGATATACGAATTAATTCTCGGGGTCTTACGTTTTATAAAAACGCGTGGCGAGCGTATCTACGGCACTTCTTCATCGTCGTCTCCGCCAAACCCGAACGAGAAGCCACCTTCGACGCTGGCGTCCTCAGCGGTCTTCGTTAGCTCTGCCCACTTGCCTTTGGGACCCTTGATCATCTTCTCTAGTTTGGGCAATGCCTCTTCTAGAGCTTCTGGTTCCTGCTCTTCGAGCTTTGCAACAAAAAGTTTGTATGGATCAAGCACGTCTTTGGCGAATCCACTGACTTGATCAGGCTTGTCTCTGAGGAAGTGCAGTACTGAAGCAAGTCTTTGACGTGGAACAAAGTTTTGTGTCAAAGCGATCGAGTCTTCGAGGTTGACGACCAAGTGATACCAGCCAGCGGGAACATATAGAAGTTCGCCAGCCTCGCAGATACCTTCAACGCATCCTTCTGTGCGACGTGCTTCGGCGTGGAAGCCAAGGAACCATTCAGCAATACTCAGAGGAGACGTCACCTCGCTTTGATCAGCTGATACGAAAACACCAGGTGGTGGTGGGAGGGATGAAGAGGAAGGAAACATGATCCAGTACTTGCGCCCAGTCAAAACAGCGTTCCATGCGCAGGTCGCATTCGGGTCTTTGTGGAAAGTCGAGCCACTGCGAGATGGGCCGATGATCAACCAGCGGTGATCGGGTCGTTGAGTCCCGAGGACGCTGAACAGATCGGGACCGAAGAAGGAAGGTGCCCAGTATGCAACTTTACGCCCGTCCTCGATGCCTGGCGTGTCGGGGGAAGTGCCATCATACAAGTGAGCAGCAGAGCTGTCAGCTACTTGAATGTTCATCTTCTCTGCGAAGGAACGGTCGAAGAGATATAAAGGGCTCTCGTCATGGTTGTCCTTCATATAGTCAACATAGACATCGAAAGGCCAATCCACGGCTTCTGCTCTGAACTTGACCTTGGAATACTGCTTGAGCAACGATTTAGCAGACCAGGATCCAAATACGGGCCAGCGTCGAGTAGGCTCAGAGATGATGAAGGGCCTATTGGTAAAAGACTCAGTAAACTCATCAAATGTCAATGACGTGAGACGATGGATCTGATTGCGGGCAGGAGTGTTGGTTACAAAAGGCTCCAGGGGCACGTGAGCACAGAAATATGGTCGATGGAGGGCATCAGAAAAGAGGTTACTGCAATCCACATCAGGCTCTTGAGAACGCGGCTGGGATAAGACAGTCGATCTCCATGTGCCGCGCCAGTTGAAATTCTCCGGTTGCGANTCTTGTAGGTGTTAGACTGGCATATACTGTAGCAAAGAGTAAATATTAGAAACCTACTCTATGAAAAGAGCTTTCCAGAGCTCCTCGGATCTAGTAAAGGCATGTAGAGCACGGCAAGTAGCACCCACTCGGAGCAAGTCCTGTGCGTCAAGGTATTCCAGAAATTGAGTCAGAAGTTCGTCAGGCAGCAAAGCAAACGTTCCAATTGCTGCCTTCAAATTGGTGGTAGCGGTAAATGCATTTCCAGAAGGCCGAATGCCAAGGGGNTGTCGCCAGATGGTAGCAGACTCGTCGGGATTGGCTGCTTTGTCGGCCTCAGGGTCGAGTCTCTGCTTNTTAAGTGGTCTATGTTCGAAACTCTGGTCTACCAGAGCCGCTGGAGGAGTCATATCGAGAGATGGAAAAATGTGGTATCCAATAAGATTCACCACCCGAGGAAACAAGTGAGATCCTTCAGGCGACTGTTGAGAGCCGAGAAGCTGTCAGTGGCCAGAGGCAGACAGTCATAGAAAAAATGACTGACTTTCAGTGAACACAACGGATGATGTTGGTGGTTGGTCGCAGGCGAGAGGCGGGTGCGGGTGCGCACGGACGATTTGTGCAGCACGACGAAAAAATCTGGTGTTCATTATATTCGTCCGCGCCCCTCTTTTCCTCCAGCCATTTTCATCACTCCCAACAAACTAGATATCCTTGCACACTCTCACCTTTGAGAGTACGGTTTCTAGTCTTCCTTGAGATACCCAGCGGCGCCCTTTCGCCCACCGATCCAGCTTTCACCCACAACCCACCCACAAACCAGTCCAAACCGCAATCATGGCTTCCGGTCTTGAAGAGGTCCCCGAGGGTAGGTCCATCTCGTCCGCCGTCGCGCGCACTTTCGCCCTGCGAATCTGCACCTCGTGCGACGACAAACTCTGCCGCCACCTGCTGTACCTCCCTGGAATGAGCTGCGCTGACCAGATTTCGCGCTGCAGGACAGATCGAGTCCAACTACGATGAGACCACCGACTCCTTCGACGCCATGAACCTCAAGGCCGAGCTCCTCCGTGGTGTCTACGCCTACGGTTTCGAGCGCCCCTCTGCTATCCAGCAGCGCGCCATCATGCCCGTCATCAAGGGTAAGCTTGTCCGAGCATGCCGTTTGCTCCTTCCCCCAGCTCACTCTTTGTTCTCCANNGGTCACGATGTCATTGCCCAGGCCCAGTCCGGTACTGGCAAGACCGCTACTTTCTCCATCTCGGTCCTCCAGAAGCTTGACCCCAACGTCAAGGCTTGCCAGGCCCTGATCCTCGCCCCCACTCGCGAGCTCGCCCAGCAGATCCAGAAGGTCGTTGTCGCCATCGGTGACTTCATGAACGTCGAGTGCCACGCCTGTATCGGTGGTACCAGCGTCCGTGACGACATGAAGGCCCTTCAGGACGGCCCCCAGGTCGTCGTCGGTACCCCCGGCCGTGTCCACGACATGATCCAGCGTCGCGTCCTCAAGACCGACTCCATGAAGATGTTCGTCCTCGACGAGGCCGATGAGATGCTGTCTCGCGGTTTCACCGAGCAGATCTACGACATCTTCCAGCTCCTTCCCCAGTCCACCCAGGTTGTCCTCCTCTCCGCCACCATGCCCCAGGACGTCCTCGAGGTCACCACCAAGTTCATGCGCGACCCCGTCCGTATTCTCGTCAAGAAGGATGAGCTTACCCTCGAAGGTATCAAGCAGTTCTACATTGCCGTCGAGAAGGAAGAGTGGAAGCTCGACACTCTCTCCGACTTGTACGAGACCGTTACCATCACCCAAGCTGTCATCTTCTGCAACACCCGCAGAAAGGTCGACTGGCTCACCGACAAGCTGACTGCCCGTGACTTCACCGTTTCTGCCATGCACGGTGACATGGACCAGGCCCAGCGTGACGTTATCATGAAGGAGTTCCGTTCCGGTTCTTCTCGTGTCCTGATCGCCACTGACCTTTTGGCCCGTGGTATCGATGTCCAGCAGGTCTCGCTGGTCATCAACTACGACCTCCCCGCCAACCGCGAGAACTACATCCACCGTATCGGTCGTGGTGGTCGTTTCGGTCGTAAGGGTGTTGCCATCAACTTCGTCACCGCTGATGATGTGCGCATGATGAGAGAGATTGAGCAGTTCTACTCGACTCAAATCGAGGAGATGCCCATGAACGTTGCTGGTATGTGGATTGCGACTGACCCTACTTGACAAGCGACGAGCTAACACGTGCGCAGACCTTATCTAAACGAATTTCAAGCCAAAAACAAGAAAGGGACTGCAGCAGTGCATGTCTGCGGCAGGCCAATGTTTAACGAGGGATCTACGGCTGGTCTTACCTAGAATGTGATACCATGGCTGGGACGGATCCCACTTCTCATGCATTTGGGCGTTTGTCTTTATGGTTGAAGTTTTTCAAAATGCGAATACATGCCCTATTCTAGATGCTAGGTTGGGGCGAGTTTCTTGTCTCTTTTTTTCAAAAGAATGTTATCCTTTTCAACTCAACCCGTCTTGGCTTCTTTTACATGTGATGGAGCTCGCTGTCGCGGCTACCTCGATGAACAATCTGGGCAAGGAAGGTGCGTTCTCATCAACCTCCCTCCCGAATCGCGAATGTCATGTCTCCACGTCTTGCAACCTATCTGGCCTGCGATCTTCTGAACTTCGCAATCACCATACCCATCAGTCAATAGTCGCGACACACAAAGACGCCGACTGCGTATACTTTACCATCCATTGAAGGTTCACTACCTCACACCTGCCTTCCAAATACACGACATGCCGCCTGCTTCTGGATCGCCACGCGAGCTGCTCTGGTACCATCAGATCCAGAGAGAAAACCGCCATCTTCTCGAGCAAATCAACAGACAACAGGTCGAGCTGGAAAAGATCAAAAGCCAGTCATCTGCCGACCAAAAACAAAGAGAACAGGTCCAGCAACTTCTCTCAGAACTCGAGACAAAGCAAGCCACAGCCACCGAGCGCAGAAGGGAAGACTTCGAGAGGGAGAAGGAGATATTAAAACGGATTGGGAAGCTCGAGGAATCTGTCGAGATGCTTCGCAGAGCCCACGATAGTCAGCCTATGGTTACAGGAACTGGCAGCCAGTGGCAGATGCTTGAGCAGAGACTTGACATGCTTGAACAACGCCAGACCACGGCCTCCGAGCAGGACATGCAACAGATCAACCTGAGAATCGATACTTTGTCAAGAGCGATAAACAAACCATTCAAGGTTCCCATCACCCTCGCCGACCAGCACGTCAATTACGTCAACAACGAGAATCGAGCAGCAGAAGGCAGCACAGACACTTGTCAAATGTCGGCAGGAGAGCAGGTAAGGGGAGGAAAGGGTGAAGAGAAGATGCAACCTGAAAGAGAGACGTCAAGAGAGAGACGGTCAGACTTCGTTCAGAAGAAGAGGCGTCCTGGAGACAGACGCATCCCGTTCAGACCAACTCCTGCAGATTTGGGTTGGTAGATGATGAATCAAGGGGCAAGAAGATATGTTGCACGTACGATGATGTGGCTTTCGAGGGACTATGGACAGGAGGAATATATACAACGTTCTAGCTCTATGTCTCGCTGAACTCGTAGGGACCCTCGCGATCCTTGACTTCAACCTCAATGCTAGCTTCTTCAACCTCCTTGCCGTCAATACGCATGCCAGCTCTGATAACATCGCCCGTCTTTACAGAACCCACACCCTTGGGGGTACCAGTCAAGATGATGTCGCCCTTCTCGAGAGTCATGACTCTGCTGATGTCGGCCAGTTGTCTGGGGATTTGGAAGAGCATGAGGTTGGTGTTGTCGTTCTGCTTCATCTCGCCATTGACGCTCAAGAACAACTCAATGTTGTGAGGGTCAGGGATCTTGGACTTGGTAATAGGACCGGCGATTGGGAGAAAGGTGTCAAAGCCCTTTGCAATGCTCCAAGGCAGACCCTTCTTCTTGGCCTCTTCTTGGACGTTGCGTCCAGTCATGTCAATGGTGAGAAGATAACTCTCAATGGAGTCGTAAGCAGCCTGGGTGTCGTTAGGGTCGAGGTCTCTGACCTTGCGGCCCATGACAAGGCCTAGCTCGACCTCGTAATGAACGTTGACACCTCTGGGACGCAGAATAGGACCATCGCCCTTGAGAAGAATGGATGATGGCGGCTTCAGAAAGAAGAAAGGGTTTGCTGGCTTCTTGTTACCCAACTCGGTAACGTGGTCNCTTTGGATAATCAGCGAAGTTCTGAAGTCGACTTTGCCAGTCTAGGTCGACAAGGACGATGTTTTAAGATTTCATACCATGTAGTTTCGGCCAATGCACATGATCTTTTGTATATTGTCAGCATGTTTGGTTATGTTTGTTGCGGTGGTATGACAAGGACTATATGGAGTGCAGTTGATTGACCATGTGAGACTTACTTTGCGGCATTGCGAGGCAACATTACGAAGAGCAGGAGAAGCCATGATGGAAGAGTGTGCAGAGTGACAGCAAGGGAAGGAGAGAAGCTGAGCGGCTGTGGTGGTATAGATAGCCGTTCAGGGCGCGACATCGGACAAGGCGTGGCCGACCATGGGGCTCCTGGCTATCGGACTCTAAGAACAGCAATCCATCGACATGGACGCCAGTACGTTCCTGCTGCTGCCCATTGCCGTGGCAAACACTGACGAGACATGCAGTCGAGTACGATCCGATCACACATCTGAACGCCCTCTTTGGCCATCCGTCGACATTGGNNGACCAAGCTGCTGCCGTGTCACAGCAGCTACACAAACAGCAGAATGACCTTCATCAACACATGCGCCGCATGGTTGCGCGACAAGCAGAGAGCGATGCCGACAGCGTGCGACGTATAACACAAGCANAAGAGGAGCTGGGCGACGTCTTTGGTCGCATTGAACGAGTGCGCGCAAGGGCGCTGGACACTGAGAGAGCCATCACCGACATGACGGCCGACATCAAGCGCCTCGACCAGACAAAGAGGAACCTGACTCTGTCCATGACCGCTCTCAAGCGCTTGCAGATGTTGACGACTGCATACGAGCAGCTGCGTCTGCTTGCCTCCACCCGTCAATACCGCGACTGTGCCCACCTGGTCTCGGCTGTCGTCCAGCTCATGGCCCACTTCAAGACATACCGCAGCATCCACCAAATTGCTCAACTCAGTCAAAACGTCGCCGACTTGCAGCGTCAGCTGCTGGACCAGATCTCAGAAGACTTTGAGCTCGCCTTTGCTAGAGAATCCGTTGCTTCCAGTCGTAACATGCTAGCCGATGCCTGTCATGTCATGGATGCTCTGGGTGACCATGCCCGCGCTCGTCTGACCACTTGGTACTGTAACACCATGTTGCGTGAGTATCGTCAAGTCTTTCGTTCATCCGACGAGGCTGCCTCGCTCGATAACATATCCCGTCGTTATTCGTGGTTCAACCGTATGATCAAAACACATGACTCCGACCATGCTTCCTTGTTCCCTTCCTCCTGGCGTGTTGATGAGATGCTGGCAAACGCCTTCTGCGAAACCACTCGTGAGGATTACAAGCAAATCTTACAACGATCCATGCGCCGTGCAGACGGCCAGCCACCAGATGTCAACCTACTACTCTCATGCTTGCAAGAAACACTCGACTTTGAGCACTCTCTCGAGCGTCGTTTCTCTACTGCCGAGTCGCGTTCTTCGCTAGACACACTTGATGACAAGCCTCGTGCTTTCAGTCAGGCCATCTCTGAAGCTTTCGAACCATATCTCAGTATATGGGTCGAGTCTCAAGACAAGCAGTTGGCTCTGCTCATTCCAAAATACCGCCAGCAACCTATCCGAAACGAGGAAGACGAGTTCCATGCCCATACTGTTATGCCCTCTTCCACCGAGCTTTTCCACTCTTATCGCATCACCTTTGCCCAATGCGCAAAACTATCAACCGGCTCCCGACTCCTGGATCTATCAAGAACCTTTGCCAAATATCTCGACGTCTACTGCCAGCAAGTCTTGTTTCACGCTCTGTCCGAACGATCGGCATCTATCGAAGATATAGTCACTGTTTTGAACACCGCAGACTATTGCTATCAGACCACCAATCAACTAGAGGAGCGCATAAAGTCGCGTGTAGACTCTGAGCTGCGTGCTCAAGTCGATTTGCAGTCTCAAGCAGACTCCTTTATGGGTATCGCATCGGCCTCCGTAAAAGCCTTGGTGAGAAGAGTTGAACTAGACTGCGATGCGCCGTGGAGAGAGATGCGCAATGTCCCCTGGAGCAAGATGGACAATGTCGGTGATCAGAGTCCATATGTCGCTCCGTTGGTGCAGCGTGTCAAGGAGAAGACATCCGAAGTACTCAATTACTTGCAAAAGCAACACTACGCGCGCGCGTTCTGTGACAATCTTGTCGATACTCTTGCCAGTTCCATCCTGACCAATTTGGTGGTCTGTCGACCCATATCGGAAACAGGTGCCGAACAGATGTTGCTCGACTCTTATGTCTTGAAANAGGCATTCACCGAGCTGTCTACAGTCAACGCCGAAGCAGGCACTACACCAAATCCCAACTTCGTCAAGCGAGTCAACCAAAGCATGGCCAAGCTGGATCCATTGTTGAAGACATTACAAGTGCGCGCCTCGCCGCCCGAAGGATTGGTCCAGGCATACCTGATACACATGCAAGATCGCTCCGAGCCAAACTTCCGCAAAACACTCGAACTCAAGGGCATCACGCGTAAACAAGAACAAGCTCATTTGACAGAGCTGTTCAATGCACACAAGGCGTCACCGGCGAATGAAACCTTGCAGCTGTCCAATCCCTTGATCGCCAACATTTCACTGCAAGCGGCAGGTGCGACCGTGCCAGGTATCGCCGCTCTCAAGGATAGCGCCGCGTCGCACTCAGCACCGGCTTTGGCAGGAACGACCGCCCGTTTTGACCCCTCCACGTTCGGCTCTGCCCTCATGAACGCCGCTCGTGATGGCGTTGACCGGTTTGGTTCACCAGCCCTAGGTGGTACAGCGTCGGCCACGAACGCCAGTAGAGCAACCAGCCCGCCACCGATGGGCGCTCTGGGACTAAATGCCGAGAGTGCCCATGCTAGTATCAACGAGAATCTCAAGAACATTGGCAAGTTCTTCCGTCGTGATGTTAGCAGCTTTGGAGGATTTGGCAAANAAGAGGAAGGGAGGAGGAGTATGGAGAAGAGATAGACATCGGTATGGTGTCTTTGAATTCCCAAATAGATCGTTCTGCATAATACATTTCTTCGTAACTGTCATTCCCCATGTCTTATACCTTACAACATCAAATCGTCATAGCTCAGTACCGGTCCACTTGGATGTTGAACTCTTGGAGGACGGTCGTCGTCATCGTCAGACTCGTCAGACTCATCCGGCTCCTCAGGTATGTGTGGTCTCCTCTCGAACACCATCAACCCACCGACCGTCTCATCACCATTCGCCACGATCAACTCTTCGCCATCTTCCACTGACACTGCTCCGACCACCGATCCAAAGAAATCGATTGTCTGCTTGTCATTCCAATCCATCGCATCATACACGCTGACAATATCGTCCGACTCGGCCACCACCAGTGATGCTCCTCCGCGATTCGAAGTCGTAAAGTGGAGTGATCTGGCACAGCTCATCTCGCATGCAAGGGCCGCCAATGGCATGTCCCACCTCCGAGCATCGTATACCACCACCTTGCCGTCCTCACTGCCCGTTGCCACATGCCACCCGTCGGCAGCCCACGCACATGCAAATCCATAGCCTGTATGCTGCCGCATGCGGAACAGCACGTTCCCCCTCTCGGCGTCAGTAATGAGCGACTCGCAAGTGTCGCCAACAATCATTCTGAGACGGCCGTCTGGTGACGTTGCGGCGCAGTTGATTTGGTGCCCATATCCGAACTCGGCGGACCAGGAGTTGGTACCAATATCAAGTATTCGGACTTTGCTGTCGTTGGAGCAAAAGGCAGCCCCCAGAGCACCTGTGCGGCGGTGACTGAGTATGTGGACGTGTGTGGTTTCTTTCTGCTCGGCGACGGTGACAAAGCCTTCGGTCGGACGATCGCCTAGCGTAGAGTTGAGGTTGAGCAGAGCATACTCACCCTCCAGTCCGCCAGTGACCAACACGGCATCCGAGCAATATCCGTCAAAGTCCGTGGCAGGTGAAACAGCAATGGTGGTAATATAGGTGTCTCCGGCTTGATTCGGGTTCGTCGACGCGCCACTAAAGTTCATGACTACATCGGTGTATGCAGGACAACTCAGCGAAGTATGCATGACTTTGCTCTTGGAGGCATAAAAGACATCATTTCTACTTCGCGCTGCGAGCACATTTCGAAGTTGACCATGCGAATGGCTGGCCTCGTGATGAGGGTAGAAATCCTTCGAGGCATACATGCGCTGTTGCCGGCATATCGAGTCTTCGTCATAGGTGGCTGGCGGAGTCCATGAATAACGAAGAGGATAGAGCATTTTTCGCGCCAGTCGGGCTTGGCTTCTGCTCGTGTTGAGTGCTGCCCAATTCAAGCCCTGTAAGTCGTAGTTCCCAAAGGGCATCTTGTTGAGCGGTCGCCACCGTCTCTTGCGTTCATCATCTACGTGCATGAGCCCAGCCTCTCCCATGTGGTATTGGATGTCCCAGTGGTCGAGAAAGTCAGCGACATCGAAGTCAACCCAGGTAGAGGCGTCATAGTGGAGCTCCTGGGTAGGCTGGATTGAAGGGTTGGTGAGTGTTGCATCAGTGGTTGGCCAACGAGTACTTGAAGTCTCTGTGGGCGAAGATGGAAAGACGCTCGGTGTTGTCGAGTGAGGGGCGAGGGGTACATTGACAGCTACATGTCCTGGCAATCCGCCTGGCGCCGAGGTATAGGGTGCTCGGGAGGTGACGGTTGTATGTTGATACCGGGTTGTCATGAAATCGTTGTTGACGAAATGTCCTGGTGGTCTGTCATGGGTACTGAACTGTTGGTCCGGGCGGCTCTCATGAAAGTCGGCCTGGGTTGCGATACCAACGCCGCCTTCGGTGGCATTCCATGAAGACTCTATCGTCTCATGCGATGGCATATACTGGCGACTATAACGGCCTGGCTCCGGGAAGGAGTCGATGTTGGCCCACGTCAAGGGGACCCCACCATGATCGGGGTCTTCAAGGTGGCCGGGTAGGTGATGAGCAGAGTCATCACACGGATGTGGTGTCTGGCTCAGGGATGATATAGCAGACCCTCGTCTCGACCGAATCATTCTGCTGTCAAATCGATGACCCTGTAGCGTCGAGCCACGCCGCAGCGAATGCCCCGGATATGAAGAGAGATGGTCGCGAAGGTCAGGATCCGACATGGCGCAAGAGACCAATCGGTATTTTAGACAGGAATCACGGGCGCCAAGCTCGACAGTGGGAAGAGTTAGCCAGTGACCTTGTTCTCGTTTCGACGTGACAGCGGGTGATCAAGAAGGCAGTCGGTGACTGCGCTATTGGCCCTCCTAGGCGTGTCGCAGGAGACCAGTCAAGTACGTAGCGCAATGGTAACAATATGATCGAATGAGGGAAAGGATATGGTGGCAACAGGCTGATCTGCCACCCGCAGTCGCCGCAATCCCACGACAGCACCCACTCTCAAAGATGAGATCGTATTGGTTATCGAGAAGTAGAAGGAAGCGCTCTGGCGGAAGAGAGGCAGGCGCACTTCGGGCCGTTGCTAATTGTAAAGTGACAGCTCCGGAAGCGAGCGAGTCTCGTGCAACGGCTTAAGGACGAACTGACAGGAGGTCAAGGCCTCATTCGCGTGGTTATCACGTCGTCTCGTCGTCTGCTGCAGTGCAACATCGTTTACGCCTTGAAGACGTATATCCCGATTCTTCCCTTTTCCGTAAAACATTGCATGAGCTTCGTCTGTCACCTGCGCCCCCTGACCTATGCAAGCCAATCACAAAACACCTGTGCCGTGATACTGCATATATTCATTAAATAACTCAGGGATTCATACTCCTTGTTATCATGTTCCGGCGCCAATAGTTAATTATCATGCAATTCATGCAGTCCGGCTCGACCATCATTCCCTTTTCCTCCTTCGTAAAGAAGCGAACGCCGAGATCAGACAAACTTGCCCTCCCCATCTCTAAGAAAATTGACCGCTTTCTCTAGTTCAATATTCGTAGCCAGACTCATAGGGATACGATCCCTGTGCTGACGAGTTGTAGTTGGTACCACCAGACTTCATGCGTCGCTCATGCTCGAAATCAGCCCATCTCTTCATCGTAATCTTGCTGCTGTCAAATTCGCCCTCGGCATCGTCATGACCTCCTTTGGTCTGCTCACCAGCCGTCTTACGAGTGTCACCCCAAGAGAAGTCATCGAACTTCCAATAAGCGTAAGTTGGAAGGATGAAGTTCCAGACTGGGAGGGAGAGGAGGTAGATGAGCATCCACGCAACATAAGAAACGCGATGGGCGGTCAAGACAATAAGAACACCAGGGAGACCAAGGATGAGCGCCAAGAGCACCAGCGACATGACTGGGATAGTCGTATGTTCAATGGCAGCCTTGATGGCAATAGCGACTNNGCGGTCTGGTTAGCTTGAAGTTCTTGAGAGAGCCGTAGAATAATACTTACCAACATAAAAGGTGAAAGCGATGGCAGCCGGAAGCACGAGTGTACCGACCAGTTCGACAAAGACAACAAACTGCATACTGAAGCAGAAGGTTCCACAGAGATCACGAACCAGTACCAACTCCATGAGATTGTGGACCGTACTGTTGATCCATCTTCTTCTTTGGGAGAGAAGAACCTTGAATTCGTCGGGTACAGTAGTCTTGCACACAGCTTGCGGGATGAAGACCTGCTTTCGCTTGGGGAAAGTCCTCAGCATCAAAGTCGAGAGGTAACGATCTTCACCGAGAAGGAGCAAATTTTTCTTGTGCAAGGTGTCGACGACGTTTTCAGAATAATGCTCCACGATGTCGGGATTGGCCAAGATTGGCACCCAATAGTTTTGGTCGCCCTTTGGTGCCTTGATTCTGTACATGCAGAAACATCCGGGAAGACAAGTGACACCACCGAAAACAGACTCGAAGGATTTGGACATATGATGTGAGATGAAATANTCTGGGATGTATTGTCAGTAAGATTCGAGACTTCTGATAGACGGGTCGACTTACTCGAAGACTTGAATCATCGACACCCAACTGGCCCTCTTGTTGGCGATCTTTGTTTCGCCACACAGACCCATGATTTCGGGATCCTTCACCATGGCACTGATCATATGGGTCAGACTGTCAGGGAAGACCTTGGTATCGGCATCAACCATGAGTACAATCTCATAAAAGTCGGGGGAAATGCCAGTGATCTTCCAGACACCATTGAAAAACTCATATTCAAGCTCAGTCATACGCTCGTCAAACATGACCTTTTGCAAGAAAGACATGAGGATGATTTGACTGTCACGTTTACCACGGTTACCAGGCTTCGATTGAGTCGCTTCCTCGGGAGTACCGCACTTGACGATAATCACCATGGGCACGCGTTCCTGCTTTTCGATGGGGATGATGGAGTCCTCGCCATAGTCGTAGAACCCAGAATAGATCTTGGCCATGTTGTGTCGTTTGGATCCACTAGCCACGGCGACATACGAATAAGGCTTGACTTCATCAGGAAGAATGGTGTGTTCCTTCATCATGCTCAGCGCGACTTCAGGGGTAGTCATGGTCTCACCATGACCCTTGATGATACCGTCGCAAATGACAAGGATCAGCTTGTGGCTGTTTGGGTATTCGGTTGTGGCGACGGAATCAAGAGTGGTACGCATTCCTTCGGGCCCTTCGGAGTAAGCAGTGACCAAGCAAATAGCATGTGCGAGAGGGAATCCAAACGGCTGCCACTCAGGAGGAGGCTGAGGCACAACAGCTTCGTGGATGAAGCCGTGAGGACCAGGTCCATCCGATTCCATAACGCTGGAGTACCTCTTCTCACTGCTGTTGGGAACCATGAGACTTGCGCGGCTCTCTTGCAACGTGTTCTCGCTACGGTTGCCTTGACCATACACACTTGCAACAGGAATTAAACGCGCGGTTGAGCTTTGGCTGGCCATTGTGGTATATGCTGGACGTGAACGCGCCATGGACCGTTCAATGGCATAAGGACTGGTGAACCTGGAAGTGGTGGGAAGGAAACTACCTCTCTTGTTGGCACGCTCACTGCTGTTAGCGACAGAGTCGGCGATTTTGGGAGCTGGACGATAGATATCGTCAGCCCATTCCTCAATCTGCTGTTTCCTCTTCTTCTCATCGCCGCTGAAGGCAGTCTTGTCGGCGGCGTACTTGCGGCAAAGGAACCATTGGAAAGCGAGAGCAAGCACGAACTTGGCGACGACAATCGACAGAATGAAGACAAGTGCAACGTAAAGGACAATCTTGGAGGCGATACAGCCAACGGTTTCCGTGTCAATTGATCCAACTTTGATGATTTCCTGGAAGCACTTTGCGATCTTCTTGTCCTGGCCTGAAGAAAAGGCTAGACTCATATCAGTGCCTCTGACATTGGCGTTTTCACGAATGTCATCGAATCGAGAGGGNTATGAGACTTGGGAAGTGTTGAACCATCGAAGGAGGTTAAGATCAAGAACGTCGCCACCATAGACCATGAGGTTGCGGCTTGAGTTCTTGATATCGTCCCAAGTAAAGTAGACGTCGCCTCCAGACTTGAGGTCGTAGAAATTTGTGCGGGCAAGCTTCGAAGTGTGGCAAGCATAGCCGAGATAGTAGGGAATGGTCAAGTTTGGTTCACTAGATCCGTCCTGGTTGAAGGCGTTGCACGGGAAATACCATGCTAGGTTGCCGTCGCTGTCAGTTTTGACATCGGAGCCCTTGGCAGCGGTGATGAGCCCCTTGCAAGCTCCGTTGACATTCTGGAACATGAAGCTGCCGTCCTTGCCTCCATATGGTACATCGAGATCCCAAAGAACATTTTGGTTTCGCAGTATACCTCTAGCCTGTGGGTGTTGCGATCTTGTCAGGTCGTAAGCCTTACCATGAAAGATCATGTAGCCGGAATCGACCTTGTTAACACGGAAGCGTGAAGACGAGCCGGAAGGGCAAACAGTAGCAGTGAAACCGAAGGTAATAAAGCCAACAAATGCAGCGATCATAAGAATGATGCTGATCAAGCCCATTTTCTCCCTCCAGGCCTGCTGTTGGGCCTTTTCAGGCATGCCGAAGCATTTGAGAACAGGATTCGGACACCAGAAAGTGACTAGATGACAGTAAGTGCCCCAGAGCGTGGGCGGGCTGGCACCGGCTTGCTTTTGTCTCTTTTTCTTCTCTTCGGCAGTCTCGAGAGTAGGCTTGCGGTGCAATTTGCGGCTTCCGCTTCTTCCTACGGCCATATCGGCGGAACGACCTTTCTGACTGAGCTGCTTCAATTCGATGTCATCGGAACTGAGAGTAGCGGCCTCTGCCTCTGCTTCTTCCAACATTGGGTCGTGACCGGTAGTCGAGGGCATGACTGACATGTTCTGAGCGTGCTTGCGGTAATGGTATTGCGGATGGTCTCTGTCAACCTTGGTGCGCTCGGGACGGATCAGACTCTTCTTGCGGCCCAGGTCGGAGGCGCCCATCATAGGCTCATAGTCGTCAGGCGATGTGATTCGAGGAATGGGGGATGCGATCCGAGAAACATAGGGCTCCGGCTCAGGCTTGGTATGGCTGCTGGTTCTCCGGTGGTGCATGGGTCGAGGCGACTCGAGATCAGAGGGTCGTCGCCTACGCGAATCTGATTCGCGATGCGCTCGCGATCGCGAGTCCCGACGCCTAGGCGATGTAGGGTAATTGGATGACATGATGTCGATTGTCAGGTGTAGAGCGTGCGATGGTGATGAGTTTGTGCCACTGCTCAGGGGCACAGCGTCCGGGGCCTCAGAGCGCGTTCAAGCAAAAGAAAAACGAGGGGAGAAGTGTGGCGGCGTAGCGACTGTTTTGGGCAAACAAAATATCGCTTGTCGTGGAAATGAGTGCCTGCTGTCTACCAGACAGAACGAGAGAGAGGCAGAAGTGAGCGACGGAGATATCAGGTGCACTCTGGTTGAGGCAAAAAGTCAAGCCTCACGATACCTACAGGGACATCGGAAGTTTGAGAGTTGTGTTGTCATTCATGGGATGGCCGGCCCCTGGAGCCACGCCTCCACCAGCGTCAAAGCGTCAATTTTAGTCTGCCCTCGGAGGCTCGGACCTGCATCGCGGATCTACAGTTCCCTCCCAAAATAACATTTGCCTCGTGTCTTTACGACGCTTCTTGTCTGCCTTCTGAAGTATGTTGAGGTTTTTCATTGTACTGCAGTAAGAACCTATGGCCATACAGAGTGGTCATCATAGCCCATCTCCATCTGATATCCACAGAGAGGGCTAATGCAAATCGTGTTTTCCCTTGTTCAAGCCTTGTCTCAGCTCAAAGCCACATCCATCCCCACGAATTGGAGAGATGGAGAGAACCGAGCAGCACGCCTCGTCCTGTGTGCATCATCTTGGGTCCGATCAAACATCGGTCTTTGGACGCTCCATCTACCTTTCGCACTCACACTTCGACATAGAGTATGGTAGCCGGAGCAGCCACCGTTGAGCGGCCGACAGCAACAAGAGGGCTCGTACTCAGGTATTTGCCTCCCTCTCTTTTTGTTCTTTAAATAGGCTTAAGACGGTAAGGAATAATGGGCATATGCTAAACATCGTTAGTCAAGTTGAAGGCGTACCTTGATCATGTGGTAGGGTATCTGGTTCAATGCGACTCGCGACTCTGCACGGAGCCCATGCTAGATGCTGGAGTGTGTTGGTGAGGTGGGTAGGTGTTCATCATGGCTACTGACGATGATGAGGAGCTGCCTCCATCTTTGGTAGCTGCAGAGTTAAGGTTCGGGGCTGCATGTGGAAGACTCTTCCAGCATAACTTTGCTTTCTTTTGGACCCTTGTTGGAGGCTCTGCTGGTGCACGAGATAAGAATTTTTTGATGCAAGACACGTGGGATGTAGAAGCGGTACAGATAAATATATTTTCAGGAGTCAGGACTGCTCCATGGACGCACTTCAGGTGTCCTCCACAAAACTCTTTGCATCGATCAACGGCGTTGCCGCTACCCAATAAATTTAGGCACGCGCACGCGCAGCGGAAAGGAAGGAGCGCGGACCGGGAAGTTGCAGATTGCACCCTCGTCAGCCCCTCTGCTGTTTCGATTCTGCTTTCTCATTCATTCATCCATCCAACCATCGCATTCCATTCTATTAGCGAGAGCTAACTTGTCTTCGTTTCACTTGTACATCTATTAATCCGGTACGAAACTGAGCAATTTGCCCTTGTCCGAGATCGCTGTTGCTTACACTTACATAGACAAAAATCCACCTTCATTACGAATATATCCGCCTCACCAGTCGATCCCATTATTCTTGCACGACTATCAACCTCTCGCGCTTCCCTCGTTGTTCCAGATCACAGCCTTGGCCTTCTTCAACCTTGGACGAATAGAGAGAATTGCGTTCGCAAGCGCATATATATACACATTGTTTCGAAAACATGGCTGAGGTACAAAGGAACCAGACGCTGGCTTCCCAAGGGAACTTTGGTAGCCCACAAGATCAGAGACGAGCTTCCTTCTCGCCCAGAAAGAGTAGCGTGGTGCGACCGACCATTCGCATGCAAGAAGCACCTTCGAGCCCAGACACTTCAGAGTCGCCACGACCAGGCATGTCCAGATCTTCATCTGATCAGGCGGATCATCCTTCGAGCTCTTATTCCAGATCTGCTTCTCAACAATCATCCATCAAACATCTCAACTCTATCAAGCATCTTGATTCTATAGGACAACTTTCTTTGAGCGATCTTCCGACTACCGGTGCTGAGGAAGTAGACCCAGAACCATTGCCCATGCTGCAATACCACCACAAGGGCCCTGACGAATCCCCGGTCAAGAGAAACAATCCCAATCGCATATCTCAAGCAACTCTAAATAGTGTTGGCTCTTCTTCAAGTGGTGGCGCACTCAAGCCGCCGAGGACGTCAGGTCCTCGTGTCGCCTCGCAAACCTCATTGGGCGCTGATCTCCGGGCGAGCACATATTCGCCATTGTCTGCAGACGACAGCTTGTCGGTGAGCGGTTCGCCTAGAATCTACGCTCGCAACCAGGCTGGCAACCGACGTTCGCCTGACACCAGACCGATGTCGTATATTGACTTGCTGAACGAAGTGCCATACTCGCAACAAGTGGCGCCGGCTCCAACTATGAATAACACCAGTCTCCAGTCTGTCGTTGGCAATAATGCGTCATTGCTTGATAACAAGAAGACTCTTGACATGTACCGTGCAAACGTCAAAAAGACCAACGATCCCAGCATTCAGTACGAATTCGCCATCTTCATGATTAACGCAGCCAGAGATCACGCTGAGGATACGGACTCTGCTGCAGATTTGATCAAGGAAGCTCGCGGCATCCTCCAACGTCTCTCGGATCGCGCCTACCCTTTTGCGCAATATTATCTTGCCGACGGTTATTTCTCCGGACTGTTCAACAAGGACAAGCCAGATTACGACAAGGCTCTGCCGCTTTTTGTTGCGGCAAGTAAGCATGGTCATGCAGAATCAGGATATCGTGCCGCATTGTGCTACGAATTTGGATGGGGCTGCGCTAAAAACTACCCGAAGGCTGTGCAGTTCTTCCGTGCTGCTGCATCGAAGGGTCATCCAGGAGCAGCAATAAGACTGGGCAAAGCATGTCTTACTGGTGACATGGGGCTTGTGAATCGGTATCGGGAGGGTGTCAAATGGCTAAAGCGTGCTACGGACTCTGCCGACTACCAATATAATAGCGGCCCTTATGAGCTTGGATTGTTACACCTCACTGGTTTCGGCGAGGACATCTTCAAAGATGAAGCATACGCCGCTCAGCTCATGACCAAATCGGCCGAGCTGGGTCATCCAGAAGCGAATTACCGGATGGGCCAAGCGTACGAGAATGGAACATTTGGATGTCCCAAGGATGCTGCACTAAGTGTTCACTTCTACAACGGCGCGGCATCAAAAGGGTTGCCCGAAGCTATGATGGCATTGTGTGCTTGGTACATGGTTGGAGCTGAGCCTGTGCTCGAGAAGGATGAAGTTGAAGCTTACGAATGGTCAAAGAGAGCTGCTGAAATGGGTAAGGGTTTTGTTTCTGAGATCCTTAGAGAAGCAATGCTAACATGCGCAGGACTTGCAAAGGCCGAATACGCCGTGGGTTACTTCACGGAGATGGGCATCGGTTGTCGTCGCGACCCCTTAGAGGCCAACGTGTGGTATGTTAGGGCTGCCGACAAGGGCAACGAGACTGCCAAACAAAGACTCGACATTATTAGAGCAGCAGCCTCTGGCGAGTCAGGTGTACCTATGGCCAAGGGCAAGGCAAAGACGAAAGAACTCGGCGGTAGCAAAGAAAAGGAGTGTCTTGTCATGTAACATTAATGAGGTGAAGCATTGAATGAGGAGTTTTTGGATTTCTGACATTTTGTTGATGAAATATCCTGGAGCATATACCACGGGCAGGCATCTGGAGGAAGAGTTTCATGGCATATACACAAAGAACGACGGCAAGAACGTAGGCTCATAATTAGCGGAGGCAATTCATAATCAACTTCAGAGACGGGACCCTGTCGTTCAAAGACCCGAGGTTCCTTGAAAGGGTCCGAGCTTCCATTCGAGGATGGAGCTCACGGTCACAGTTGATTCTTATCAAAGGCACTATCCATGTCCTTTGCAAAACGCCGACTCTTTGCAGCTGTGATACGTCCAAACGTCAAATACTCCCTGCCTTCTCGTGTGACCGAGCACTACAGCAGAAGCATAGCAACCATGGCCAACCAAGCATCACTCAAGCCGGCTGAGGACTTCATCGAGTTCGTCAATGCCTCTCCAACACGTATGCCACTCCTGCATGGCAAGCCATGAAGCAGATACTGATACGATTTGANNACAGCTTTTCACGCCGTATACACGGCCACGCAACGGCTTGAGGCTGCTGGCTATACCAAGATCAAGGAGCGTGACGCCTGGGCTCATTCTCTCGTTCCTGGCGGAAAGTACTACCTCACCCGCAACTCGTCTACCGTCATCGCCTTCGCCATCGGCAACAAATGGAAGCCTGGTAATCCCATTGCCATGGTCGGTGCCCATACCGACTCGTGCTGCCTTCGACTTAAACCTGTGTCGAAGCGTCAGTCTGAAGGCTTTATCCAGATTGGTGTAGAGGCGTATGGAGGCGGCCATTGGGCAACTTGGTTCGACCGTGACCTTAGTTTTGCTGGGCGTGTCATGTGCAAGCGCGCTGACGGCGGGATGGAACAAAAGCTGGTCAAGGTCGACCGACCCATTTGCCGTATCCCCAACTTGGCTGTACACTTTGGCGGTTCTGTTCCCTTCGAATTCAACAAGGAAAACCAGCTCTTCCCTATCGCAGGTTTGGTCGAGGCCGAGCTGAACAGACAAGGCAAGACAACGGAGGATACCCAGAAAGAGAAGGACCAAGAGTCAGAGAGCGCCGACTTCAACCCTTTGAAGAACCCGACTGAACGCCATCATCCCTATGTCGTTGAAATCCTCGCTAAAGAAGCTGGCGTCAAGCCTGAGGACATTCTCGACTTCGAAATCGTCTTATACGACACGCAGAAGTCATGCCTTGGAGGTCTCAACAACGAGCTCATCTTCTCTGCCCGTCTGGATAACCTCATGATGACATATTGTGCTGTACAGGGCTTGATTAATTCTACCTCCTCCCACGGCAAGCCTCTAACTGATGAAAACACGATCCGTCTCATTGCATGCTTCGACCACGAAGAAATTGGCAGTACCTCGGCTCAAGGCGCCGACTCCAATATTCTGCCATCAGTACTTCGTCGTCTGTCAGTACTCCCTTCTTCGCAGGAAACCGAGAGCGACAGTTCCTATGACCGAGCCGATCAGCCCACCCATAAGGACGCTGATCTGAGCACCGCTTTTGAGCAGTCCCTGTCAAGCAGTTTCCTGATCAGTGCAGACATGGCTCACAGTGTCAACCCAAACTACGGAGCCAAGTACGAAAGTGAACACAAGCCGCAGATGAACAAGGGCACAGTCATCAAAATCAATGCTAATGTTCGTTACGCAACCAACTCTCCTGGTATCGTCCTCCTGCAGGAGCTTGCGAAGAGGGCAAAGAAGAGCAGTGGCGACGTTCGCAGCAGCGGCCAAGGAGTACCGCTGCAAATGTTTGTTGTTCGCAACGACATGCCCTGTGGAAGCACAATTGGACCCATGCTTTCAGCCAACACTGGCGTCCGAACCTTGGATCTTGAANACGCGCAGCTCTCGATGCACAGCATCCGTGAGACTGGTGGAGCTTATGATGTGGAGTATTCGATCAACTTGTTTGAGAGTTTCTTTGAGCATTATGGCGAGTTGGAAAGCAAGATTTTTGTTGATTAGGTGGTGACGAGTCTGTCGATCAGATATTGGAAAGTATCATTGGATTGGAGAATTGCAGAGTGTTGGATAGATAGGCTGATTGGGCTACAATCACACGTAAATTCAAGAATTGCGATTGGTATAAATGATTGTCAGTGTCAGAAGCGGGAGGCGGCTCAGCATACCTAACGCTTGATTCAAGGTTGTGGAGGGAAGAGAACGGGGAAGGTGCGTGCTCTCGGAGACCCTTGACCTGGCAACCACGGTGCTAGAGTCGGTAGGGCTTTCCTCTCTTCGTTCGTGGAGCAGAAGTCATTGACTCTCACAAGACATTGTTAACGAAGCGGCGTTTGATCACTTGTTGACTAGGTATTCTTCACTTTGGTTGCGCTCTCTTTGCGCTCTTCCTGCGCCCCCTCTTGTGGTTCGTTCACGTGCGATTGTCCAAGCACAACAATAGAGACTGCACGGACCAAGGAAGCAGGCGCGGAGGCTGGCAAGTTGCGAGTGCAGAGCACCCTGGCACCCTGGCCTTGACCAACGTTTCAACTGTCAATCCAAACACATACCGCCATCGCTGGTCGCTAGACGCACTATTCCTACCCCTCTGTCACATTGCATCGCCGCCACTATCGCTCCACCGACCATCGCTGTGCCCGCCTCGCCGCCCATTTAGTGTCGCCAGTGGGCTTCTTCCGTCATCTCCGTCCGAGGCGCCGCCTCCACCACGACAATCTCTCCATATCACGACAACGATGCGCTCCGCTCGTTTGGAGGCCAAGTTTGGCGCAAAGTCCGAACCCGACCATGTACACACACCGAAGCTCCCATCTCCTCCTGGCACAAAGACTCCTCCGACAGTGTCGCATACTCGTGCAAACGTCAACAATGACATCGACAACGACAACATTGCCAACCAAAAGAATGCAACATCAACTTCGCGCAAAACATCCGAAGCCGTCGACCCGGATGCCTTGAGCAAAGCACTTCAGCAATTCGAGGAGGCCGGCCGGAATAGGGAACATACTCCTGGAGAAAGTCCCAAGCGCAAANGGCAGCGCGTCTACACAGACCGCTTTATACCCAACAGAGCTGGCCAGGACCTCCACGCCAGCTATAACCTGCTGCACGACCAAGGCTCTCCGGCCACACCACATCGAGCTATCAAGAAGCCGCCCGCCAACGAGCTCCACGTTCAAAAGACCGACGAGGCCAATCGAACCTATTCATCCATCCTCCGCTCCGAGATGTTCAACGACGAGATACCCCAATCCATCCCGCAGCACGACAAGTCGCTTACGCCTCCCGCCAACTTCAACCTTACTCCTTCCACGCCGCACAAGAACCTCTTCTCGTACAAGTCTACACATCCTACACCTTCGTTGACACCACGCTCGCATTCACGTACCGAACGAGGGCCCAACATCAATGCTCGCTCCGACATATACAGCTTGTCACCCGTCAAGTACTCGTCACAATCCATGCTACTCTCGCCGCGCAAGACGCCTAGAGCTGTCAGCAAGGTTCCCTACAAGGTCCTCGATGCCCCCGAACTGGCCGATGACTTCTATCTCAATCTTGTCGATTGGGGTTCAAGCGGTGTGCTGGCCGTCGGTCTGGGTGACAGTGTTTACCTATGGAATAGCGAGTCTGGAAAAGTCGAGCAGCTGTGCAAGTTGACAGCCGACACCGTTACTAGCGTTGGTTGGATACAAAGGGTGCGTATCACCGCGGTACTGTCTTGTGCAATTGACGCTGACGTTAATAGGNGCTCACATTTAGCGGTTGGCACGGGTAGGGGACACGTCCTCATCTTCGATACAATCACGCAACGGAGGTTGAGAACCATGATAGGCCATTCGGCTCGTGTCTCTTCGCTTGCCTGGAACGCTCACATCCTCTCCACAGGCAGTCGCGATCGTACCATCCTCCACCGCGATGTGCGTTCACCGCAACAATACCTTACCAAGCTTGTGGGTCACAAGCAAGAAGTTTGTGGCCTGCGCTGGAACAGTGACACGAACCAGCTGGCATCTGGTGGTAACGACAACAAAATCTTCATCTGGGATGGCCTAGGCGATCGCTGGTTGCATCGCTGGGGCGAACAAGAAGGGGGCCACAAGGCTGCAGTAAAGGCCATTGCATGGTCTCCACATCAACGTGGCTTGCTCGCGAGTGGAGGCGGTACGGCAGATCGCTGTATCAAGTTCTGGAACACAATTTCTACAGCTCAGCATTCTGCAAACGCCGCCCTGACGAGCGCAAATTCGACACATGCGCATCTGGACCTCACATCCGCCTCTTTGTCGGCACTGCCGCATCACGCCTCTCCCGACCCAACGGCCTCAACACCTCAAAACCCCCATCTTTTGCGTACTCATGACACCGGCTCGCAGGTCTGTAATCTCCTCTTCTCGACTTTGACTTCGGAGCTCGTTTCGACCCACGGTTTCTCCCAACACGCCATCAACATATGGAAATATCCATCCATGTCTCAAGTGGTCAGCTTGACTGGCCACACATATCGTGTACTCTATCTTAGCATGAGTCCCGACGGCAGTGTGATTGTTACTGGAGCTGGAGATGAAACACTCCGCTTCTGGGACGCTTTCGGCGGCGTTGGCAAAGCCAACAGGAACGACAACAGCGTGACAGGCAAGGGAAGTCTCGTCAAGGAGTGGAACGTGATTCGGTAACGAATTGGGCTCTGTCTGGCGAGCTTTGCATTTTCTTTCATCTCGAGGTCTCGTCTTTTTCCTCTATTTTCTTTCTTCTTCTTTCTTTAACAGTCTACTCACATTAACGATCTGAACGAACTTGAGATGAACGGGGAAAGGGCGGAAATCCACACATGGGCAATCACAGGACGATTCATCTTATGCAGAAACTGGCAGGCATGGCATGGGATTGGGTTCATGGAGAGCATAGGCGTTTTAGTGTTCTCCTTCATCAAATAGGCAGGGTGGAGTGCCTTGATGCGATTCTGTTCCCAAGGACAGCATGGGACTTATATCCAATGGTCTAATAGGAGTTTTGCGGACATCTGTCAAAGGCTGTCCTGTCTCATACGGCACGGCTGGGAAGGGTCTATATTCCAAATATCATCTTTCTCATACCCACATTATCGTCCTGGTTAGCATGTCATGTATTCATTGAAGTCGAGTATTTGGGACAGGGGTGTCCGATCTTCTTGCTTCGGTCCGACGGTCTTTTGCTTTCTTGCTTGTTATACAGACTTCTGGATGCCCTCTGCATATGAGGATACTTCGATATCTCGGTCACACTTGCGCATTACCTATCGACCGCTGTCCTGCAATGAAGACTGTGCTGAACTTCCGTTTATGGGCCGTAATTATTGCGACACAAGTGAGTCGGAAGTGACAGTCCGGTGTTGTAATTGTGTTGTCCTGGATGGTCTTGTGCGAAGCGAGAAAGGATTCGATGACAACGATGATGCGTCGACCCCGAGGCCATCATACAAGTCATATTCAAGTTCAAAGGTACATCAGATACATGAGAAGGCTTGGTTTACTGATTGTAGACGTTCATGGCACCACAAGGTCGTTGGGCAGATGTGTGCTGATAGTGTCAGGGTTTCCCGCTCAGCCACAGCGATTTTGGTCGGTACACCGAAGCCTTGACTGTCCACAAACATCTTCTCGATACACTCTTGTGGAGCATGTTCTTGACAGCCGTATAGTAGAAGAAGGACACCAGTGCAATATACATACTTCTTTTGCTACACAATATCCTGAACCATGTCTATGCTTCGCTCTCGACCTCTGTAGCCGCAGAGGCAAGCTCAGAGTGCTGTTCCTCGGTATTGCTTGTTTCACCGATAGCATCCGCTACAGGCGCCTCTCCGCCTTCCGTCACATCTCTATGCGAAGACTCCTGGTCTGCATTGCGGTCGCTGGCATTGACGCCGGCGGCAAAGTACGGTGTCGACTCGTCGTCGTCGGCGTCAAGTTGTAGCAAGTATGTCTCCCAGAGCTCGATGAGTTCCTTTTGCGCCTCGATTGCTGACTCGAGGAAGGTTTCGACACCACTCTTAAAGTCGTCGACTTTCTCGCGCTCGAAGCGGTCCAGCTCGCTACGCATCAGACGACCCATGTCTTCGAACAGCAGACGTGCTTGGTGCACACGTCGCTCGGCATCTGCAACATCTGCCTGCATCTGAGAAAGACGGTCTTGCTGAGTGCGGCCGGCTCGCAATAGCTTGTCGTGCGTATTCTTGAGCTTCTGCAGAGCAGCTTCGGCCGTGTGCCAGTTGTGATAAGCCTTCTGGCGTTGTTGGAAGGCTGTTTTGATGCTGCCAATCAAGCGAATGTACTCGTCAATAACAATACCCAGTGTCAAGACGTCCTGTTGGGCCTGGCGATCGTTAAGGTCACGGATACGCATCTGGATGTCGGACAAGGCGTCAAGAGGAGCAGAAAGTTCGGGCGACAGCTCGACCGAGGCAAGCTGGTGCAACGAAGCAGAGAAGTCCTGGCAGCTCTCGGCTAATGATTTACGCTGAGCAACAACCGTGTCGGTAGATTTGAGGAGAGCCTTGAGTTGAGTTTCGAGGGCATCAAGGTAGATCCTGCGGTCATGGAACCACTGCGACATAATAGTGTAAGTGTGGTAACTAGGGACGACGGGTTCGGGAAGGGCGGGAGATGGAGGGAGGGTATCGATATAGGAAGAATAGGCGGCACTTACGTCGTCGTGTTCGACAAACTTAGTGCTGGACCCGACCGACAGGCCAATGGCGCCCAGCATGCCGCCGCCCGACTTTGTCTCGGGTAAGCCGACGTCCTTGCGCTCTTTGTGCTTGATGTCGACGTTGAAGGCCTCACTTTCGAGGAACAACTTAAGATCGCCATCGTGCTGCAGGACGGGATGAGCAGCTGACTTGTTGAGCATGCGTTCCAGAGCGGCGCGGCGGCTCTCGACAAAGTTCTGGTCGAAGCGATTCATAGCCTGCTTCTCTGGTGGCGGCGGCACCACGACTCCAGGGTTGTTGTTGTGCAGTTGGTTATACAGCCATAGGAAGTCACGGTAGCGACGTGAGACGGTGAATTCGGGGGTTCGGTAAGCCTTGCTGGTCGTCTTTGTGCGGACTTGGTAGACGGTGTGCGAGCTGGTCAAGTCTCCGACCTTGTGCGGGTCGCCAACGCTGATGTCGAACGACGGTTTGGCAGCTTGTTCGATGCTGACACTGGGCTGCACCTGGCGCTTAGGAGTATCGGCTACAGGTGCAGGCTGGACAGGGGGAGGAGCGCGTCCTGAGATGGTTGAAGTGCCGTCATCGTCGAGGGTGGTGCTCTCCATCAAGGCGGTCGGAGGAGCATTGCGGGCATTCTGTTCCTTCTGTGGTGGTGCAGGGCGTTCCTCGATGGGAGCAGCTTCAGCAGGTACATCGCCTAGGGGACCGAGAGGGCCGAGCGAATCGTCGAGTGCTTCGAGAGTGGTGGATTGTGTACCGAAGCGGCGCGATGGACGTGCCTTGGACGGCGGGCTCTTGACTTTGGATCGAGTGGTATCCGAGGCGGCAGGAGTGTCTGTTTCTACCGTCGATGGCGTCGCCTTGGTCGTCGATGTCGTCGGCTCGTCTTCTGTAGCTTGGGCGGCCAGGTTGCTGTTGGAATGCGATCGTGACGGGACGTCTGCAGCGTCTGGATCAGCAACTTTCGAAAAGATTGACTGCGACCTCACTCACCGCCCCAGGGCGAATCTTCTTCCATGATCGCTTTGTCTGTCTGCTACCTTTGAGTGTCTAGGTTGTTTGGCGCATGCGTGCTGCCTCTCGCACCTTCCCCACGTAACATGCCAAGTCTCGCCGGCGCCGTCACTGGGCTTCCGTCCACTGCCGCGGTGACTGACTGCCTTCCCGTCTTGCATTTTCATGTCTTCCTCGATGTCCTTCATCTAGCTCACAACATCTTTCAGCTTTCTCTCACTTTCCGTTGTGGAATAAACCTATCATCCGATCCATCCAACCACTCATGCTACGCTCCTCTACTCCAGGTCTTTGCTACCCCCTGACACGTCTCGCCTCATCATCTGTTTCGTGACAACCAACACAATTGAAATTGAATGAATTATATAGCGCATGGCACGACGATGCCTCCACACGAAAAACCAATTCCAGCTCAGCTGGCCTCATCTTCATTGGTCTAGTGGTCATGATTTCCGCTTGTCAAGGGTAACATCTCGTCAAGCGCGGGAGACCAGGGTTCGATTCCCTGATGGAGAGACTCTTTTTGTTCATCATCGACAATGTCCTGATGTCTTTTGCCATGCTATACTGTTCTCCGCGAGTGCTAGAGATTGTTATACGGTAAGTACAGAAACGTACAATACTTTCGAAGCCAGAAGCGTGGCCAGGAAACAGCTCAAAAGAATTTAGTTACCATGGACATCACTCCCTTCTGGTCCTTAGGGTGTCGAGACAGAAAGTAGTAGTGCGTAATATGGAGTAGTACTGCTAGACGACAGAGGTAGTTGTCAATGAGTGAATACAAGTGAAATTAGCACATTGACCGTGCGTGCAAGAATATCCAGAAGCCTTTTTGGCCATGCCCTTAACGCCCGCTATGCTCCATGATCAGTAGCCCCAAGCGCCAAATTTACAACAGGATCAGCAACATCCACCCTGCTTGCCGCGCTTTTGTACAGAAGCAGCATCGTTCATGCCCAGATTGATTGTTCTTGCAGTGTTACCGCCAGCAGATGCACCGGGGCCCTTGACTCCGGACCGTCGGTCATTCAAGTCATACTTGCCGGCTTCGATGTTCTGGTATATTCTCTCAGCGACCTCACGGAAGGCTCTTTCGACGTTATCGCCACTCTTGGCCGAGGTCTCGACATATTCCATGACTTTGTTCTCTTTGCACCATGCCTCGGCCTCTTCCTGTGTGACTTGTCGTTTGTTCTCGGAGGCGCTACCTTCGGAAATAGTTGTTGAGGGCGCGAGATCACTCTTGTTGCCAACGAGCACGACGATGATGTTCTCCTCTGCGATCTGGCGAAGGTCGTTCAACCATGCAGTCACGGCGTCAAAGGTTGCGCGGCGGGTGATGTCGAAAACCAGTAAAGCACCGCTAGCACCTCTGAAGTACGATCGGGTGATTGACTTGTATGTCTCTTGGCCGGCCGTGTCCCATAACGAAAGTTTCATGTGCTTTTGATTTTGCGAGTCGGTGTTGGATGATGTTTCAATGGGGGTCGGGTCGGCGGAAGGGTTGTTGACTTTGAGGGCTAATGAGGCAGGTGGACCAACAGGCACGATGCGGCTGCCGAACTCGACTCCGATGGTCACATCATGATGAGGAGAAAAGCGTCCTTCGCACAGTCTTATCGTGAGNCTGCAAACGGCGAGGCCAAGTTAGTGCTGGACGTGGGCTCTGGACAATCGACGACGTACACTGGACTTTCCACAGCCAGAGTCACCAAGCGAGACGATTTTGGCAATGTAGTCCCAACTTTGCGCCATACTTTGAGATGGTATAATATGTTGGAAGAGAAGACCAGACCGAACGAATCAAGAAGGAGCAACAATCAATCATCTGGGTCCGCCTCGGTCGTTCCTGCGGCCGCCGACTCCGCAGATCTGGAGAAGGATTGCCCTGTGCGTCAGCCCACTCGTCATGACCGGCCAGGTGCTATCTGTTACTCTCTGGCCCTCTTATGCATCGCATGCCTTGCTCAGTCGGTCGTGGAACCGTCTGGCTTGGTGTATCATACCTGTATACTCAGTCCATCTCGACCACTGAACTGCAGCCATCTCAAGCGCTTATCAACATGGCCATCATGTCCGTCCGCGGACGACCGTTGAGAAGCCGGGGCCGAATGACCATGCGCCAATGATCGTAAACATGTGCTAATACATGATCAATACTGTAGACTTGTCATTCACTCTTCTCTCCTTGACTCTCTCCTTGAATCTCTCCTCGACTCTCCCCTTCCTCTCATAGACCACACACTCACACCCATACCTACACTCTTTAACATGGCAATCAACGGCAAAATAGAACCCAAGGCAGGACAGGCGATANGCCCCTCGTCCGCCACCTCAAACAAGCCAGTTGTCTGTGTCTTGTAGGTCATGTTCCCCCTCGGAGCCCAGAGCCATATCTGACACTCTCCGAACAGCTGCGGTGCCTCTGGAGGTAACTCGCCCGCTCACCTCGCTGCCGCCCGCGAATTGGCCAACGCTCTCCACCAAAACAACATGAAGCTGGTATACGGCGGTGGCACCGTGGGCATCATGGGCGAGGTCGCAAAGACACTGGTCTCCTTGGCTGGTCCGGATGCTGTCCACGGCATTATCCCTGAAGCCCTTGTGAAGTATGAACGCGACTACAAGGAAGGCGCTCCTCTGGACTCTGTCATCGACGAATCCACCTTCGGCCGTACCACCGTAGTCGCAGACATGCACACGCGGAAGCAAGCCATGGCCCGCGAGGTCATCGACGGCGGTGAGGGCGGCGGCTTTGTCGCCTTGTCGGGTGGCTACGGGACCATGGAAGAGCTTATGGAGGTCACAACTTGGAACCAGCTGGGCATCCACGCGCGTGGTGTTGTCATCTTCAACGTCGAAGGCTACTACGACGGCCTGCTGCAGTGGGTACGCACCGCCGTCAAGAGCGGCTTCATCGCCAACAACAACTCCAACATCATGATCGAAGCCAAGACTGGCGAGCAATGTGTGCAAGAATTGAAGAATTACCAGAATACAGAGGGTAGAATGAAGCTGAACTGGGACCAGAAATGAGTCTCCAATTACTAGCATTCTTCACTATTGTCGGCCAACGATGTCAGCCTAGGGCGGGCTGTCACAATTAGCCCATCGGACTTGTTCTCATCGCTAAAGACTATGCCGCCATCTTCGCGTCCCCGTCAAGCCGTGGCATCAATGCCATGCAGCCATCTCGAAAACCACTTGAAGGTCACGGCGTACTAAACCATGTCTAGACTCGACTAGACTCGAGAGATCCTGGAAGTCTAACGTCATGAATAGATCGCATTTAGAAGCCACACATAGACGCCACGAAATTTACAACATCCTGGTATACCGAGCCGTAACGTAAAATAGCTTGAACAAGCATATGGTCTCAATTGAAGCGATTAGTCGAAGACAAGTATCCGATGCAAGTATTACACATGCGGAATTAGGTCGACATCGCCTCATGCATACGTCCGCGATGAGATCCCGTCGGTTGCCGCATTGCGATAGAATGATTACCATACTGACTGACAGTTGCAGTCGACCGGTGAAGCACAATGACTGACGACCACTGCGGGAGCGGTCTGGTCGCAGCAGGTGTTTGTCAGGGACGTGCATTCTACTGCATCCTCGCTGTGGGCGTGAAGACATTCGTTACCGCGGCCGATACCTCACGTTCCGACTTATCCTCTTCTTACAAGATAGGTAATCATGTGCGTTCGGTTTACGAATATATCAACATTCCGTCTACACCTTTCACCTCGGCACAACGAGCTCGCAATGATCGGGCCCACCGTGCATATGACTACCCGTGGTCAATCGGACCCGAACAGAGAAACACTCATGGCCACCCAATCTAATGCGTGATTCAATCTCTCGAAATGGAAAATAAAATAAAAATGGGTTGAGACGTTGATCTCTGCTATACCTTCTCCTCGGCCGGTGGGGAGGACGCCATGGGTGTCTGCTTTTCTCGCTCGTCTGTGCTTGCCAATTTGCACTTCAAAAGGCCCACATGCATATATGCATGCCCCTCCGGAACGCCTCCTTGCTCCCTACCGACCTTTGAAATAGCATGGAATTCGTCAAGGTCAAGGAGGGGTTCGCATGGAAGAATGCATGGGCGAGCCTAGATCTGCTCAATATTGCAGTCTATGCAAGTCACCTCAATGCATAGTAGAAAGCAGCAGGGTAGGTACCACTTGCGACGACCAAAACTCACATGGAGGACACTCCGCTACACGAGATGCTGGTGCTGTCACGATGGTGGGTGAGATACGAACGAATTCTTTTTTGACATTGATCGATATACAGGTATGACTCAACGATGAAACGCAAAACAGACCGAAAGAGTTGCCAGCTCAGCAACAACGGGATGTTAGCCGTTCATCACTGTTCCCGAAACTAGGGCATCTGCCGCCATTACGAGATGTTGCATTCTCGTCGAGCGCGGGCACACCATGTCGCACCACCAACCAGACGTCTGCAATGATCTTGTGAAGACGAAATTGCAATTTCCAAGCAGGCCTTAACCGTGCCCTCGGGCCATGAGCGATCATTGGCACATCAACATTGATGCGGCTTTCTCCATAGTCGCCGCCGAGTAAGAAGAGCACACAACCACATTGTCGAAGCTACTTGTATCTGATGGTGACGCAACCGAAGTGCTAATGTAAACACTGGACAGCGGCACCTGCGACCCGCCGCGAGTGTTGTGCAGTACCTCCACTACTTGCGAGGCAAACTTGGTTTGACAAGGCATGTTGCTGTTCGTCTTTGTGTCGATCAATAGGGTTGGGTCGCAATTGACAACGACGATAGCTCCTGCTTTTCGTATCCACGCGGCATGAAGGTCTGTCAGACCGACTTTTGCAACGAATGGCACATGTCGGATCCGAGCGTGCCACTTGCTGAGAGAGCGGCCCAAACACTCGAAAGGATCTTCGTGACCATCAGCCGAGGGGATTGCTGGCGTGAACAGAACAATGAGTTGGTCTGTTGGGAGGAGGTTGAGCGTCTGTAGGCTGGAGGAGGAAGACCGCATGAAGCGGACGCTGGAGGAATTGACCTCGGTATTTGTATATGTTGGTGATGGTTTGATATCAGCCATGGTTGCGATTGGGAGATCGGCAGGGCGATGGTGACTAATCAGGGACATTGGTGCTTTGAAAGGGTCCAATGTTACTTCATTAGAACGAGATAGAGTTTTGGTCTTGGGCTGTACGATAGTGTTGCGGAGAGAACAAAGGGTCTGACAAGGGGAAGTGTTCAAGGACTTATAACTCAAACCTCGGATAGAGCCTCACAGTGTCATCCAGATACTCGCCAAGTGCCATAACGGCCTGCTGTAATGATAGGCCGCTGGGAAAACTCTGCTCGGGCAATCATTCATGCATCGAATGCATTGTCAATGGACAACCCACATATCCTTTCTCGTATTGACATATGGAATTTCAGATAGTGTGGCTGAGATCGAGATGATGGCCTGACGACTGTGTGCTGCCCTGCAGACTAGAGAGCGAGCAGAACCAGGGGTTTCGGGTCTCGCGAATAAGATGGAGCATTACGATCATGTCTATCAGTGTCAGGTTAAGGAATCACCGTTAGGGGCGACATACCTGATCCTGATCCTCTAGCCGCTCGAAACGGATTGCATGGTCTTACTGGACAGACTGAAGAGGCGTACAAGTACATCTCGCGAGTGTATTTTTCAACATGTCACAAAGTGAGGACGTAATCATCAGACTTGAATCGATTTGCCGACGGCCAGACAAGCAACCCATGACACTAAAAGCAATGGCATTAATGTATGATGACGAGTTCTGTGCCTCTGACAGTATTTCTCGTTGTGGGCCTGTAGGCATGCCTTATGCACGAAGGTAGTCGGGTTCTGACTCCGACAGAGAGACGGCACACCAAGCATTGCCGGAGTTCAAGGCCGGCAAGGACGCTGTGGCTAGTACACCTCATGTTGTGCGATATCGTCGATACATTAAACCATTTGCGTCGCTTCGAGAAGACAAGTCTTTGACGGTGGCTTTGCTGCATGTCAAGCAGCTAACTGCAGAGCCATGCACAACAGGGTGAAGCATTACATGTGCCTGAGCGTGTACAGCAAATCAGTCGGTCTACATGCGTATCTGCAAGCAGCCATGTTGATGACTTGCATGGGGTTGGAGCTTTGTGGCTTGGAGACCGCGCTGGTAGTCCGAACTGAGGCCTATTGGCTGGACTGAGATGATATAGTCCTGTAGCGAATAATGGATAGTGCGTGCAGTAGTAAGAGCCCAGATACAGCCCGCTCGGGCGTGGTGGAGCACCCATGTGACAATGTTGGTGAACATGGACGGCAAGAGCGATACCGTAATAAATGCTGTCTTTAATGATGCTTTAACGCGCTGGGCGTCGGCAGCGCGCTTTCCGCGTTGGCAACGCTACGCGCATGTGTCAGCAACAGCAGTCTGCGAAACTTCGAGCATCCGTCAACCCGACCCCCGTTCATTCAGCAGAGAGTGCACCAGCGACCTGTGCGTGTGACAAGGTCTCCAGCGAGGATAGGGCAAGGGAACCTGCTCGAAGAATACCCAGGTCAACAGACCTTTTCGTCGCGGTCTTGTAGGTCGGCATCAGCACATTGCAGCTAAGCACCCATCACCTTATCCGTTTCGATTCGCCAGCTCGGCGCTTAACTCGCCTCTCGTTCCTTGGTTCACGGCGCAGCATGTTGATTAACTGAGCCAACATGTCGCAAGGTAATCGGCCGTTCAGGGAGGTCAGCCTCACCGTCACAGGCGCGCAATTCTTCAAAGATCGCTTTTCGAACAGCAGACGGCGCGACGAGAACGTGCCAGCATGCTNNTCGAGGCATCAACGGCTTTCAAGATACCATGCAACGCGGTGCGTAACACGGCCAGGACACGACGAGACTCTTCGCTCATGAATCGGCCAGACCGGTCTTTCTCATGTATACAACCTCTATTTCGTTGCCTATGTTGACAATATTTACGTTTATGAGCCACAATTTCCCTCTCAGAGTATTGAGCAGGAACCGGCTCTGGTTGTACATACAGAGCAAAAACCAAAAACTCCTGAAGAGCAGAGGCTTTATGGACACTACGCAGGTCACGGCACGCGCGCCATCAACAAATTACTGGTACAATTGCTAGGCAATGAGGAAGTGGTTGCTGTCGTTAGAGATGATGGCGATGTTGAGGCGTACTACACGCGGCACATCTACAACGCCATCGAGAAGCGAGCTTATCATGATAGCACTCTGGGTATCCTATCTACCGACATCAGGCCATTTTTCCAAAGAAGCGTTGGATTTAGTGCCTGGGGATTGGCTATACACAGTACGGCTCGCATGATCGCCGTGAGCGCCAACACACATACTACCACAGTTTTTACCTTTGCCCTCACCGACGGTGTGTCAGATGACGAGAATGACTTTCCTGACGAAGACGAAGTCTACTATTACGGAATGAGCGGAGTGGTGCCGCCAAACGACAGGCGCAAGAACGATGTACGTATCCTGGCCCATTCGGGAGGAATAGAAAACTTGCCGGATATTGCTTTTTGCAATACTGGCCACGATCCTGCCGGTAGATGGCTGTTGACTGCGGATCTTCTGGGACAAGTCGCCGCGTGGGATGTACACAGCCTACAGTTGAACCAGCTCGTCAATACCGCCCTCAGTCCTCCTATCTTTCGAATACCCAAAGACAATATCGATAGTCGCAATGGAGTATGGGGTCTGTTGTTTCTCGATCCGCTTTCTTTTCGTACCACGACTACGATAGAGGAAGCTTTGGGCGTTCCTTCAAGCCAGATTGGTGTGGACTTGCAAAGAGAGAAGGACAATGCCATCTGGGATCTAGGAAAGACAGTAGACTGTATTGGTCATGTCCGTCGTCCTTTCAAAGATGTGGGAAATCCGGTCGTGGTAAGGAACGGCAACTATGCCCATCCCTTGGAGCTATCTCGGCATGGACCCCCGGGTCTTNCGATTATAACTCCTGTTCGACGGGTCAATGCCAACGTCGACAGAAGCAGCGAAGAGGAGGAGGTGGAAGAGGAATCAGAAGAGAGCAACGACGAAGACCACCCCTGGGACAGCGACGACAGTTACGACGGAACTGGGTACGATTCTGCCGAGGACACGCATGTTGCCTTTCCGAGGCCAGATGGGACCATGTGGCAGATTGCAAAGCCANAAGTAAGTTTACGTTCATCTTGTACGCCAACTTTGCTGATACGATTCTTCAGACCTGGAGCTCGGTTCAGACGTGGTGAGAGCATGTGTGGCGATCTCCCCTGCCCCATATTACAGCTCTCCTTCAAGGACATCTACCTCTATCAGCCAGCACTAAGCAGTAAGGCCTGGGATCACTTGCCCATACCGTCTACACGACGTCTGTTCCAGCAAGAAGTGCCGGTCGCCTTCGATTCTGGATCAACAAAATTTGGCCGGATTAATATGTATGCGCAAATACCGAGTTTAGGGGTTGTCATCATCGCGACGCAACAAGGTCGAGTTGCCATCTTATCGCTCACACAGGCGATTACGCGTATGCTTGACTACGAAAAGGTCGAAATCAACCAACCACTGCTTGAAAAACCGCGAATGGAAAAACGCATCTTCGGATATAGGGTAGACCATATTCTACCTTTGGCCAGTCAAGAGGAAGCCGGTCATCGACCTAAAGCCGGAATTCATGGTATCGCCGTGGGACCTGTCCAGGGAACCGAGCACCTCGAAGATGGTCTGAAAAGGTGGCGTCTACTGGTCCATTACCAAGACCTCTCCATTCTGGCCTATGAGATTGGCAAGCCAAGCAGAGATCAACTCGACTTGAGTCTGATGGCCATCTAAAGGTTTAGACCACAGAATTTTTACAAGCCTGCTCTCTTATCAAAGGACAAGCTTGAAAAGCACATTCATCTCACAATGTGCCGTTCAAGCCAGAATGTCAAGACGTCAGATTACGACATCAGCAAAAGACACAAGTAACACTTGTCTGTATTTATATTCGAATCGACATAGATTTTGATTTCAGCCCACCCCTCCCCTGTCTAGAGATAATTATATTGTTTTGTTCTCCCCGTGCTGTGGATGCTCGTCTTGTTCGAGTTCACTTCTACCATGTGCCCTCACATCACTAGTCGTGTCCCTTTTGTCAAATCCCTCTTTTGTCTGCGTCGTAGTTTGTTTCGCCTTCCGACTTTGCACTATCAGCCACTTCTTTCTTCGAACCTACATGTTGAAGCAAGCCGTCTCCCAATTCTGCGCGGGAGGATTTATCGAAAGTAGGCGCGACAAGCGGAAGTTGCGAGAAGACGAGCGTGTATGCTAAGAGGTGCAAGGAGTGGCGTGAGCCGTGGATACTGACAAGGCGTTCTTGCCATAGGGTGAGATCAAGAACGAGAAGGCATGTTCTGCCAAAACGCTCGTCTAGTAGTGTCGTTCATTAAAAAGGCGTATCAAAGAAGTAGAAGGGAAAAAGTGGCCGCAACACTCTAAAATGTGTCTCCAGACATCGTTCGTATATCTTTTCTTCCTGCCGGCCAACGTGCTGTGTTCTTCCAATTCCTGTCCAAAGAGACTAGCGGGAAGCGGCCGGCACAGATCGAAGGTACGTCGACGCTCAAGCACTGCCAGCAGCCTCAGCAACAGTAGTGGGCGTCAAGATGTCGGCCGTCGTGCCCAAGACGCCACTGGTTGTGCCATTCTTCACCAGGTCTCCCGAGACGTAGTAATAAGCACGGTGTGCAATGATTCTGACATGACGGGGCAGGTATAACGCGACGGCGATCGAGACCATGGCTAGGAAGAGGAAGAGGATGGAGTCTNNACGGGCGGGCTCTGATTAGCAACGACTCGAGAGTCGCATCGAGCAGCAGTCAAACTCACTGAAGATGAACTTCTCGGTGGGGGTCAGCATGTACAGCGAAAATGTGACTTCGTATTGGTAGCGCTTGCGCTGGAACCAGCGCAACAATGAGGAAGGGTATAGGGCGAGAGCGAATAGGAAGATAACGGCAGCGCCGGCGAAAACGGTAGGGAGACTGATGGGTGCGGACAACATGATGGTGGTTGTCGCGGGGTTCAAGAGTCGGTGGACGGAAGTGGACATTCAATTGTGGTATGCCTTTTTGCCGTGTTTGTCTTGTGTTTTCGGGAGATTGGCGATGGACCGTTTTGGGTAAAAAGGCGGCGGATGTAGGCGGAAGTGGTGTTGGTGTGAAGGCACAGACGTCGAGACTGGAAGATAACAAGGGCGAGAGAGACCAGAAGAAGCGTGGAAGGTGCGATTGATTTCCCGACAGCGTCGATTTACATAGATGGAAGGCCTTCGATTTCGGGGGAGAAGCGCCGGCCCGCGATTCGACTCCGGGCCGGCTGCTTCAGAAATGACGTCTATCTCAGTCGTGCTTTCCTTAAATATATTCACCAGGACACACGACCTTGCAGATATTCAATGTTACCGCTACGCTGCCTCTTCCTCTCGGCGAGCCCGTTCCGAACCACTCATACCCCCACACTCCGTGCTCTCTTCGCCACAACAACCACGCTCCTTCAGAAGCCACTTCCACCACGACCCACCATCCTCGAGAGCGATATCACAGAAGCCTTCCTCAAAGGCACCGGCCCCGGCGGCCAAAAGATCAACAAAACCTCGTCTGCAGTGCAGCTGAAACACCTTCCCACCGGTCTCGTCATCAAATGCCAGGAGACCCGTTCGAGGAGTCAAAATCGCAAGATCGCTCGACGAATATTGGCAGAGAGGATTGAGCTGCTGGTCCTGGGAGATGACAGTCGCGCTGCCTTGAAAGCCGAGAGGGNNAAAAGAAGAAAAAAGGCTAGCAAGAACAAAAAGGCCAGGAGAAAGTACCGCAAGCTAGAAGATGGTAAGGAGGTCGAAATCGATGACGACAAACCCAACGAGAACGAGACCGAGATCGATGAGGGACAGCACCAGGAAGAGCATGAGACACGCGACATCAAAGTGCAACCGGACAGCGTGGAAGGGTCAGCTGCACCCGCTCCACATGCAGCTCAGTCGCACCACAAGCCTTGAGGGAAACACATGCCCAGTCTTGCACCAACTTCAAACCCTGACTACACGGTCCAATCCTGCCAGTTTATACTCGCCTTCGCGTCTCCCCTAGACTGCCTAGCAAAGCATGGCGTTCCTTCAGAGCAATGTCCAGAACTAGTGCTTCCTGCCTGCAGCCCACAAGGATCATGCCCTGGCACGTTGCATGACTTGGAAGCCACATGGAACAAGCCTCAAGGATACTCAAGCATCCCCACCTCTCCCTCCATGCAATGGCGTTCTCTCGTTGCCCGAATTGCTGACATGCATTCTGTGACATGTTGCCTTGCATGCACTTCCGAAACACAGTCTCGGGCTCATTTAGACCATGACGCTTGTCCCATACTTGGCATATTCCGTGACACTTTGGAGTCTGGACTTGCCAATTATAGATTTATTATATATCTGTACCACCGGAGCAAAGTAGAACGAGAAGCCGAAAAGATCGAGAGAATATTGGTTGATAAAGATAGAGCATTACGATTAGACGGTAAGGATGTCGATATATCTGACTTCTTGCCGCCTGGCTTCGGCTCATGAAAGAGAAAGAAGAAGAGAGAGCAAAAAGACATTCCACAATGTGAAATGCAAGAAAGAAGAGAAGGGGATATAGTGAGAGAACAGACAAAAACATCAAATCAAGATCGTGAAATCAGACCCTCGAAAACATATGGAACAGAAAACAGAAAAGCACAACCACTCCAAAAACCTTTCCTTAATGACAGTACAGAAAAGACGTGTATACTTCCATCTTTTTCCGCCTTCAACTCCCCTTCCCAAAAGAAAAACTCCACAGGCATGTTAGAAATAATTGATCCAGCCGTCAAAGTTGATGATGTAAATGGCGTGCACAAATGTTGATGATATGCAAATAGAAACGTCGAAATGCCTTTACCCACCGTCGCCGCGGTGATCCACGGCCGTAATTATGAATGGAACAGATCCCACGCGCGCGAGCACAGGCGCAAGAATTCGTCTCTCTTCTCTTGGTTGCTCATGCCCGAACGCCAGTCGGCGCTGGCATCAGGGTGATATGTGGCCCGTTTGGCTTCCTGCTGTCCTAGGGGACTGCCGTGTTCGCGCTCGTATTCGTCGCGGGGGCGTCTTCTACCAGCCATCTGGGATTGGCTATGCTCCGACCTGAGGGCGTCTACTCGTGCGGCTCCAGAGGCGTGGGGCGATTGACGCTGGGGAGGGTGAGGATATGACTGCGGGTGGCCGGGATGTTGAGCTTGTTGACTCGGAGGCATGGGCGATGGGGGTGTGGGTGGTTGCGCGCCGCCATAGTGGACAATCTTGGGTAGCAGATCTTCACGTCCACGGGACATTTCTTGTACAGCTTCTTCTGCGCTTTTGAACTCTCTGCTGCGTCCCGTGAGCGGTCCCTGGCTGTGTTGGTGCTGCTCTCGATATTGCTGCTGCTGCATCATGCCGGGACTCTGGAGGGGAGGAGGGCCAATGCTAGGCGAGTGACCAGTTGCGAACATAGCAGTTGGCGGGCGGGCGGAAGGAGGGGCTTGAAGACTGTCATGGGCAAAGACATCCGAGATTGGAGGAAGGCGGTTGGCTGTTTGTGTGGCAGGGACATGATGGATGTGGCTTGTTTGACTGAGACCGCTAGGCTGGTGAGCATGTGGGCGCAAGCCTGTGAATGAGTGGTGCAGTGGAGCGGATTGGATGACGCGCTCGTTTGAAAAGGTAGCTGCCGAGGGAGCTGTGATTGACAAGCCAGGGGGAGGGCCTTTTCTACGCGACGTTGAGGGTGTCCTTTGAGGCATGCCGAATTGTGATGATTCAGCGCCGGGTCCAGTGCCAGGGATATCGACTGGAGGCTTCACGCCTTTCTGGCGCGCTTCAATTATCTGACGCTGCTGCTCTCTCACATCCAGACTGCGCTGGAGCTGCGAGCGCATGGTTGGGTCTTGGGTTTGGAAGCCTGGCGAGAGGCATGCAACCCCAAGGTCATGGATAGCAAGTCCCGCCGAGTCTCTGGCTGTCAAAGGAGCCGGACGGGCAGTCTGAGGACCACGACCGGTGGCCCCGTGGACAGACAGGTCGAGTCGTCTCGGTCGGGGTTTTGCCGAGGGGTTGGGAGACGCTGGCGGCTCCTTCTTGATCTTTGTGACGGATCGCAAACCAGCGGCGCGAGCACTNGTCGGGCATGATGAGTATACAGATGTCGGAGTCATGGGGAAGCAGGACACATACCTTTTGGGAGAGACGTTGTCTTCGGCACTGTGCCTAGGGGCAGATCTGGGAGAGTGCTCGGTCGAGACAGGCGCGTTAGTACCGGGAGGAGTGGTTCTGGTGGCCATAGGAGGAGCAGAGGCAGCGAGATGAGCAAGGCTGGAAAGACCTTGGTCTCGGGAAACGGCGTGAGCAGCAGGAGCGGCAACAATGGTCGTCATGGCGCCGGAGAGAGGGAGCGGCGGCGGCGACGACGATGTTGATAATGTCAATTGACGGGCAGCTGCAGGGTCAGAAGAGGATCACGACCAGTGGACTCGAGGGCACACACTATTGACGGAAGAGATGCGGCGATCGGCAGTCAGCGTTTCCTTTGCAAGCGCTGGTTATCGGACAGGCGGCTAGGATACGAGTATTGGCACAATTGCTGGGAAGGCTTTGAGCGAACGAGAGCCCTGCGGTAATGGGGTGGGCGCAATGGATAGGCAGTTGCAGCAAGAGACAAAAAGACGCCGGGAAAACTCGGTCAGTCTGGGTCAAACCAATACAAAAGGGTTGACAGCCACGCGCGAGGGGCACGGCGGACGACGTCTGCTAAATCTACGTTGAAGAAGGCAAGCGAGACGGCCGCTGTACGATTTAACCTGTGACAACCAGTGCTTTAACCTGTGACAAAAGCAGACTTAGCTCCCCCAAACCCAGCTGTTCCCCATATCCCTTACCCTAAATGGAACCCCCTGTGAACCAGAAGAGCATCATGATGGCCATGTCAGCGAGAGCTTGGCGCCGTTTCACTCTTGTCCGCGGACCGTCTGCCAGCGAGCAAAACGACGTCTATCTCGATTCTCTTGTCGACTTTAAATCTCTAGACACGTTCCGCTTCGCCAATCGACGAGTGCCAACAGACCAGCCAACAGGGCCTCGTCGTCTCACGTCCGCGCAACACGGTGCAAAGCGTGTTTCGACCAATGGCAATCTTGCAACATGCGCTGCTGCAGGCGCACGCCCCTGCAAAGGTGAAGTGAAACAATCCGGCTAGCGGGAGATCCCATCGTTTGTGTGCCCGGAAGTCTGGATCTGAGCTAACTCCGTTGAGCACTGTTGACTCTCCTTTTTCTCCTTGAGCAGTCGTGTCCCTGATGACTCGACCATAAAATTGATGTTATATGGGCCATGGCAAGCTCTTTGTCTTTACCAAAAGAGCGCTGTAGTTCGTTCGACTTACGTGCGAGTACTTTGATTCAAGACAACAACGATGCAATTCGGGCGGCCTGCACCCTGATTCCTCGAACGTATTTGTCGAAACGTCACGAACCCGTCCGTGGTTTTTCTTATCGCAGCCAGGGTACCTATCACACATCAAGTTTCGCTCTCCAACCAACACAAGATCAATCATCGATTTCGTGTTTGCTTTTCAGGCTGTATGGGCACCTCCTTGAAATTCGGGCCGCCAGCCCTGTTTAAGAGGTGATGGTTCAAGTGTTGTTCTCCTCGTCGGCATGACTTGTCTTGGACGTGATGCACACTCCAACCTCCCAAACGTTCCTCAAACGTTCTTCGCTGTACATCGACGCGCCCAAACCGGTTTCCACCACCTGCAGCCTTCACCGTCTAGACACGCCTGAACGCCGCGCGTCTCACTGACAGCCATACGCCTTCTCTGCATGTCCTAGCAAGCATTGTATGGGTGGGCCTGTATTCAAGACTTTATACTCAGGTTGAGTCGTGGCTTCAGGGCTCGATTGCGTCTACGTTACCCCTCGTGATTGAAGCTCACTCAACCACACGCGTAGCTGGCGTGAGTGTGCCATCTGCCGAGGTGCGCTGTCAGAAGTTGCAGTCCCCACCACTATTTTGCAAGATCATCCATCTACTCGATAATAGCAGCTGTCTGGCCTCCTTTGGTAGCGCATCCTACTCGCTCGGGCCAAGAGTCTGCATTCAGCAGGTGATGGGCAGACAACTGCATCTGATCTAACAGAAATCCTTCACCAAATGCAGCACGAATTGATGAATTGATATTGTGATTCCCGCGCGTCTCCTCTCCTTTGGGCCAACCACCTAACACATCATAAGCAATACTTGCTCATCCAATCTACTCACACTGTACCCTACCTTGGCGGCGCCTGGCGCTTGTTGCGCACACGTATTTGCTACATATCGCGTACGTATCGCTTGCGGCAATCTTGACCGTCCTGGTCGCGTCACCCGCAGTGTGTATTGTTGATCCGGTTTGCCGACAGTCTTGCGGCTCAATATGAATGTTGGTGTGATCGACGACAGGCCGTAATCGTTTCAGTATCGTTTGGCTGCTTGTATATTGTGGGGACATTATCGATCCACAACCACTCTCTACAGAAAACGTACGATACGAGACGTCTACTACAGAGCACGTTGGAGACTGAAGATACTTGTTGCTCACAGACATATTTGCAACCTTGGGCAAAACGATAGTGTGTCAGAAGACGCATAATTGAAGGTGCGCCTCACCTTCGTGGCTTCTCCGGCGTGTCGCAATAGGGTAGTAGTACAAAGTCCGAGGCGTGTATCACTCATTACACTCACGCAAATGCCAATCTCGAAATCAAGATTGATGAGATTCCTGATAGGATCCGAATTGTTAGTGGTGATCGTTTCGCAATCCTCTCAAATTGCAACGTCCACCATCCTTTCGATTTTCATTTCCCGCACAAATTGCGACTCGTCGAACAGGCACCAACATTTTCCCCAGCCGTTCGTCGCGAATAAAATGTGGCTCGTGAAGTCACGAGCACATGAAATGAAGCGATCGGGATGGCAACCGTCGATGTGGCTTTCGGATATTGCTGCAACAAGTCGTGTAGCGTTGTGATTCCTGATGAAACACAAACCCCATGATCAGAGTACGATGAATTCTGCTTCTTGTCGTTCTATCACAATATTCTGCACTAATTACCTCAGCGTAGTTGAGCTATACCTTTGGTACTGTTGTTAACAATCTCGGTCTCGGTAACAAGTCATCGCTGACTTCCCATATAGGCAGCAGTAGAAGCCATCGTTTCACGCCTCGGTCGTAATGATGTGGTGGCATGCATCATCGGCAGTATTGATCCTTCACACTGCTATAGAGCTAATAGCATGATGGCATCGGTGCAGGCTACAAGGCTGAATATCTGTCGGTCCCAGGTAGATGCGCGTATGGCAAGACGAAGTATGAGTGTTCGCGCGACCAGCTCTTTCGTTGCGGCTGTATACTTGGAGCTATATCAGGAGGACCCTCAGTAGATTGGATGATACAAGACGTGATTCTACTATTACTGGATGGGCTTCCGCAATGGTGGCTCGTCCCATATCTGGTGGATACATACAAGAGGTGAGAGCGAGCGAGGTCGAGGATGATCGATACAGTACTTTCGCAGTATCTATTCTGAAGTTGCCAGCCCGAGGATACTAAAGTCATAGTGATTGCATGACGAACGTTTATGGAGTCGAATGAGAACACCAGCGACATCGTCGGCCAATGAGATTCTCTCTCAGTAGGCAGACGAAAGTCCCTCTCAGTAGGCAGACGCCAAGCCTTGGGTATCTATATCATGCACATCTGCCCTTTCAGTGTCATGTTACCTTTCGGTCGGTGTGTGACTTCGGACACCCGAACAACTTTGTATCGTTCAAGCTGTAAAGAGGATAGAGCTTGTGGTTGGCGAATTGAACAACTGGTCCAACGGACGGGCACTGTTGGTCCGAAGCAACCGAGCAATCTCTAACTCTATTCAAGAGAAGAAAATTCAGGCATTAGGTACGCACCCATGCATGCCATTCGGTGGAGGTACACTCACCTGAGAAAAATGGCGTGTCTATGAGTATGCTGGTCGTCCAGGATATCGGTTTACGGGATAGTCGAATCCTCGGTGATCGCTCTCGGACGAACGACCGCACGAACTCGCCACTCCTTCAAAGGAAAGAGAAGAGAGGGAAAGACGGCTCATATACTCAGTCTATCCACAACTTTTTTCCCTTGACAGCACAACTTGAAGATTAGGTCGTGCGAGTCGCCAACCCTTACACAACCTCTTCGACGTTTTGCCGGCAAGCTCCGCAAAGAATAGACACCTTCGTACGCTTGGACCCTGAACAATCTACCCTATCAATCCTATCTACTGGAGTACGCACGCAGGTACTGGGGACCTGAGGCGCGCGCCGGTCAAGCCGCATTTTTCCATCTATCATTGCAAGAATGATCGCGCACATCGAACACCACATGGGTTCTGATGTTCAAGCCAAGGCAAGAATGAGAAGCATGGTTACTCTTAGCCTTGCTTGTTCACACAACAAGATATGCGCCACTGTCAAACAAGAGTCGTGAGGAGTCTCTTCCACCACCTCTATCTCTTGGCGAGTCCATGCGTTATCTGCCATTGGAGGCAAATTGAGCCGGCAACCCTTACTATGACTTGGCGGCTCCTTCGTTCGGGACTACTCGAGCACTACCTAGATATTCAGGCTATCTGGCCTATCTCTGGAAGGTCGGCAATCCTAGACGTAACAATACATTCTTTGTTATCATCGATTGGACGTCGGTGTCTCAACAGTCATCAGTCAAGATGGCTCAAATCGAGACTCGATCTCTAGCGCATTCGCATGCCCCCAAAGGCTCAAGAGCGAGAAGTCGGAATCAACTCTCTTCTACACGCGACAGTGCTCCCGTATCGTCAGTGGATGTTCGGCACAGATGTATTGATGCATGCATACGTGTAGGTCATGTGTGATGATTGTAGAGATCCAACTGCGAACTACCGCGCCCCGTCGACCAGTCTCGCTCGGCAGATCTTTGGTGTCAAGCAGTGGAAATGGTCCGGGTAGCGAATCGCAAGCAGACCCGCTATCAATGTACGACGTTGATCTGCTTGTGGGTATACCAAAATAGGGTACATCGCCATTTCTGCAAGCCTTTACGAGCAGTCCACGGATGCGACATGCCATACGAATGGCACCTGCCATATACGTTAAGTTATTTTTGCCTCCACAATCTTTCTATCGCGGCTCTCGATGCTTCTTCTCGCCTCGCTTGGCTTATCTATGAAAGCCAATCACAAGTCAATTCTCTTAGTGAATCCAGAATACGTCAATTAATTGACCTTCTAATTAAGGCCGTCTGGCTTCTAGCTATCTTCTAGGGGGTGTGGTCCGTCGGAATCGTGACAGGCGTATATAAGTATGGCCTTTGTCTGACTTGCACTGGTCGACCATACACCTCCGACAGTCTTCTTGTCCTCAATCCTTCTCGCCAACATGCCTAGCTTCCTCAACAAGCTGGGACTCGGCTCACCAGAGATCAGCGAAGGTGTCGCTCTCGATGAAATAGAGAGCCCAGGCACTTCCAGCCCTAAGGACGGGAAGGATGAGAAGGATATCGGTGTCTCGTCAGCACATGAACTGTCTGAACCAGAGGCTGCTAGACGGTTGAAAGGTGATTGTCTCTCGAATGCTTGTTGACAATCTTTATATTGACTGTTTTCGCAAGTTTTCAAGCATAATGCAGACGCACTTTGGGATCCCAACCTTGAAAGTGATGATCTGCAAGCAGTCGATGAAGCTGTTGAGCATCACGACAAGGATGGCGAGAATCATCTTGTCAACGAACTTTTCGACAATAGCCCTTACCCAGAAGTCAGGGCTGCTGTTAGGAACTACGACGTCGATCTGTGAGCCTGTCTGACCCTGCTCCCAGTCTTACCCCTCCCGCTGACCACATCATAGCNNCCTTGTAACACTATCCGTATGTGGGTCATCTCACTTCTGATGACTACCATCGGTTCGGGTCTAAACATGCTCTTCTCTCTACGTTCGCCCTCGATCACGATAACCTCCTATGTTGCGCAACTCATCGTCTATCCCGTTGGTCTTGCGTGGGACAAAGTCATGCCAAATCGTGAGCACACAACCTTTGGTGTCAAATGGAATCTGAACCCTGGCCCCTTTAACTTCAAAGAACACGCCATGATCGTGATCATGGCCAATGCCCNNTCATTTGGAACCGGTGTGGGATACTTCACCGATATCCTCCAGGCTCAGCGCGGATTCTACAAGTTCAATTGGGGATGGGGCTTCGGCGTGCTCGTTGCTCTGAGCACTCAATGTGTTGGGTTTGGCCTCGCTGGTCTCTTCTCTCGCTGGCTGGTAGAGCCAGCTCCCATGATTTGGCCCCAGGACCTCGTCAACTGCGCGTTCATGTATACCCTCCACGACAACTCGAAAACGGACCCCGCCAAAACAAATGGCTGGCGTATTAGCAGATACCGCTGGTTCTTCTATGTCTTCGTGGGCTCATTTGTTTACTACTGGTTTCCAGGCTACATTGCTCAGTTCTTGAGCGTCTTCGCATTCCCTACCTGGATCACGCCTAACAACGTCACGGTCAACAAAGTTNTTGGAGGCTTCAGTGGTATGGCACTTCTGCCTATCACCTTTGATTGGACCCAAATCACCGGATACGTTTTCAGTCCTTTGATTCCTCCTTGGCATGCTATCGGAAACACCATGATCGGTCTTGTCCTCTTCTATTGGATCACCGCCTCAGCTGTTCACTTTAGTGGAACCTGGTACGCCGACTACCTCCCTTTCAGCGATTCCAGTTCCTACGACAATACCGCCAGCATTTACAACGTCTCCCGCATTCTCACCCCGGAAATCACTCTGGACCTTACAAAATACAAAGAGTACTCGCCTCTCTTCTTGTCTACTACTTTTGCACTCTGCTATGGTCTTTCGTTCGCCGCTATCTCCGCCGTCGTCACCCATACTATCCTCTTCCACGGAAAATTCATTCTTGATAGATGGCGACGTTCGCGTGATGACATGCGTGATGTGCATCAAGAAATGATGGACAAATATCCCAAAGTGCCTGCTTGGTGGTACATAAGCTTACTTGTTATCTGTATCGGGCTTTCGTTCGCCACAATCTACGCTTACCCTACAGAGATGAGTTGGTGGGCATTGATCTTAGCATTTATCATCTCGTTTGTGTAAGTCGTCTGTTTCTTGATTACTCTAAAGTATACCTGCATAAGAAAGATGCTAACAATTCCTTAAACAGTTNGGTTCTTGCCCATTGGATTCATCCAAGCAATCACTAATGTGCAGCTTGGTCTCAATGTCTTCACAGAGTTCCTGATCGGATACATGCAGCCCGGCAGACCTAATGCCATGATGTTGTTCAAGACTTATGGCTACATCACCATGACACAAGGTCTTGCCTTTACTCAGGACATGAAGCTCGGTAAGCATGTTCATCACTACTGAATTATGAACACAATGCTGATGATACTTTTTCTAGGTCATTACCTAAAGGTCCCTCCCAGGACGATGTTCCTTGGCCAGTTGATCGCTACCATCTGGTCTTGCATTGTTCAGCTCGCGGTCTTCGAATGGGCTTTCGGTGGTGGTATCGAGAACCTGTGCGCTTTGCATCAGGCCAACCATTTCACCTGCCCTGGAGGAAGAGTCTTTTACAATGCTAGTGTAATCTGGGGAGTCATTGGTCCTGCACGCATGTTCAGTGGCGATGCTACCTACAAGAACCTTCAGTGGTTCTGGCTAGCTGGCGCTGCTGCTCCCGTCCTCATTTACTTCGCCGCGAAGCAGTGGCCTAAGTCACCCATCCGCTTCCTTAGCGCTCCCCTAATATTCGGCGGTACTGGACAAATTCCTCCTGCTACGCCGTTGAACTACTTGTCGTGGGGTGTTGTTGGCTTTATCTTCAACAAGTGGATTCGCAACAGCTACAGAGGCTGGTGGATGCGTTTCAACTATATCACATCAGCTGCCCTCGATTCTGGTCTGGCCATCTCGACCATATTACTTGTGTTGACAATCAGTTTGACCAATACTGATCCACCTAACTGGTGGGGTAACGTTGGCATCTACAACACTATGGATTATTTAGGCACGGCCGTAGCCAAGGTTCTGCCTGACGGTGCTACCTTTGGTCCTTCTAGCTGGTAGAGGGTCCATAGACTTTGCTCTACAGTAATGGCGGTGACTCAGCAGGGAGATAAAATCTGAGGTCGAGATGCTCCTTTTTACTCAGACTGCACAGGAGATGGATGCTTTGTGTTCATTGCTTAGGAACCGTAACTGCAGTAATAGACTCTCCTCCTGACTGTATGACACATTCGCTTTCCGGTAGCTTCGCTAACATCCCGAGAATGCCGAAGGAAAGGTGATTTCGGAGCAACAAAAGATAAGCAGAGAAGTTGGTCACAGTGAACTTCATGATTGAGTATGCTATTGTTGTTGACTGATACATGTCAACCGATGCTGATTCCATACATAGCCTGGCGATCGCTCCTTCCAACAAGGACCCGCGAGCTATGAGTCAGCTCTTTCCCTACACAAGTCCTCTCCGTCTGTAAGCACGCCGACATGCTCTTTCCATGCGTTCGATCTCGTAGCTTCCTTCAATCAAAACCGCCCTTGCTACCTCCTGAACGACCCTTTTCTCTTCCTCGGTTTCCAACAATCTTTGTGATTCGGATTGCGTCGGCCAGACTGGAGAAACCTCTTCGTCCAAACACAGACCGATACCCTCCCTCTCGTTTTTGGCGCGTTCTTTGGGCTGCTGCCACGTCTGACTGGTGGAGCATGAGGAGTCTGCCTGAAAGGCGAACCAGAATGTAAGATCCGAATCGCCATGAACCTAGAGAATTTGGGTCACGGCTATGGGCTCGCTATCGTTGTCTTCTCTATTGGGTATGTCTACCTCTTCGTCATCATAGTCCGAGATTTCGTCGTCAGAATCTTCTCCATCGGCTTCATTTGTTCTCATCTCGGGCCTTTGCGCCTCTGAATTGGTGTGCAGTCTGACCGGAGCCGCCACTACACCTGTTTGTGTGTTTATGTTGCGGATTGCTGTGGTGAGGAGATCTTCGACTATCATCTTGCGACCTTGAGGTAGTTTGTAGAGGAATCCGATATTGCTTGCTATGGTGACACCGCGACCGAGGATGAGGTATAAGTCTCTCTTAGGGCCGTACGTCACACCGCCACAAGAGATATTGAGATGTTGGGCCATGCAGAAAATTCTCTGGTCTCAAGACATTGGTGTTCTTCTCGGGCTATGGTTCGGGAGATGGTCTTCTGATGGACTCTAGGGTGGTCGGGCGTTTTGTATGTCTGGAGTCGTGTAGTCTTGCTTGTTTGCTACATAATCTGTGTGACACCTAATGAGCTGGCTCAGTTCACGACGTGGACCAGAGCTTGACCTACCATAAGGCGAAGTGCAACTTTCGGGCCTTCTTTATGATACAGAGTTTCATAGGTGAGCAACACTTGATACACTAAGCAGAAACAGCACAGTTTGCAACATCGACCATTGCATGGATGCCCAGATGATCTAGTCATAGAAATATCTTTTGCCGTGGTGACTCCAACCAACATTCTCGGTTCCTCGTACGACCTGAATGCTCTGTACGTGTGTTTGCGCCTGTTTGGTGTTATTATGACTATGTGATCTGCTTCTTCTCGCCTGGCTTCAATCCCTTAGCCAAGTCCAACTTCCATGGCGGATTGATACCATCGTTGAACATGGCATCGGTAACGTCCTGGCACCAATCCTGTTGCGCCTTCATTCCACGCGCTTCAAAGTATTTGAGAGCAAACACCAGCGGCATGAAAGTGGCAAAGCGGCCCATTGACGAAGCATCCGGATCGCAGAAGTATGGCATCATCTGACACATGTAGATTGCGATTTGCAGGATTCGCTTGTTCAGTTCGTCCAGCGAGAAAGCGCATTTACTACCAGGGTACTTCATCAAGATGTCCTGAAGCGTGCGCTCAATAGTGAAGAGATAAAGCCAGTATATCGACTGTAGATATCCTGTAAGAAAATCAGGGAAGTCGATGGCCAGTGGGAAGGTCTTATTGTGGCACAGTCGTGTGAATCTTTTGAACCTCGATATGTCAACGTTCGTAAAGGCCGGATGCTTTAGCTCGGCGTGAGACTCGGTTTCCCACTCTTGGAGTTGCTCGATGGCGGTGACCAAATCTGCAACCACACCGTTGAGATAGGTAGGTTTACCACTTGCAATCAAGTTGTCAGCCCGCTCAAANAGCCCCGGTATATGTACTAGGACGTCGAATAGACGAGGGGACGAATCCGTGTAAGGTGTGTCTTTCGTGATCGCCAGCCATCTTGGCTCGGCAAAAATGATAGCCTTGCGTTTGAGAACACCTTGGAGAATCTTGCACCCGTCAGTAACAGTAATAGGAGTATCGTCGAGGACACTTACGGAAGAATGTCTGGCGTGGAAGAAAAGCATATTGTCAAGTTCTGTTATCAGTGGGACTGGTCCCCGCTGCACTAAGAAGTTTTCCACTCCGTTTACATGGCTGATCCAGCTTCCTTGCTGTGCCACCGGATGGAATAACNNTTAACATTCGTGTCAACGAAAGTTTCATTATTGCGGATCGGGATGACTTACCTCACAAAACTCGAGCAGCTTCATGGCACCCAAAACATCGTTGTTGCCAAGCACATTTGGCTTGTTGAGTGCAACCACTAATGCTGTCAACGCCTGTCCATACCTTCGACGAGCGTGTTCGAAGAAGGCCTTGTCTTGGTAAGATACACCAAGTTGCAACAGACTGATGGTATCAACAGCTGCAAGCAATGCCGGTGAAGATTTGGAAGTGATGGTCTTCTGCAAACATGAAAAATCGGAGATGTGAGCACGCAGTGGCTGATCAACCAGTGTCGTGGGTCGGTACAATCTCATGCTGACATCGAACATCTGCGAGCGGTTGGTCGCAGCGCTAAAAACAGCCTGTGGTATAACCGTATACTCGGTTGCAACAGGCCTCTCGACCAGACTCAACTCCTCGACTCTCTTGGTAGGCGGAGCACCGCCGTCGGACTCGCTATTGTGTTCAGGACTGCTGCTACCGGAACTGGTCTTCGATCCCATCCCTACACGCCTCGTCACCGCCTGAGTTTCGTCGCGCCATTCCAGTCCGTCAGGTTTGATGCCTCGGTATCCTGGGCATGGCGTGTTGTGAATCTGACACTTCTTGCAGCCTGGACGGCCTTCATCGCATTTGATCTTACGTTTCCGACAGTTGGCACAGCCGGTCGACCGTGGTGCCATCACAACAAGTCCATGTGAGAATAAGAAAGAATGAATCAGTTGGAAGAATGAGTCGTCTATTGAACCCCTTCTAATGCGATATGCGAGTTCGAGCGATCCGGCACTGTGGATCGGCCGTATTGATTGGACTGTTCTAGGGCCCGCAATCGCCACGCAAGTCGACGTATTACTCGATGTATAAGGATATAACTAGTTGACTAAACATGCTTCCATCATCAGGTCGGTTAGCTCAGTTGGTTAGAGCGTGGTGCTAATATCCGATGATACACGGCACGCCAAGGTCGCGGGTTCGACCCCCGTACTGACCATGTTAATTTTCTTTTGCGTTTTGTTGTATATCACTATCTCGAAGTGCTCAAGGCATCTTTATTTTTGGAGCGAAAAGCCTCTCAAGACGCAATCACCCAAGTGAGGCGCATGCCAATAGCACGACCTAGCCGCACCATGCATCATCATATATTAGCACCACGCTCTAGCCAACTGAGCTAACCGACCCGTTGATGGAGGCAGGCTAGGTCGGCCTGCTAAAGCAGGCCAGTGATGCTCTTCGAGATATCCTAGGTCTTCTCGGACGAAGAGCGTATCCAAGGAGACCAGTCACTGGCTCTCAAGGGCGTTGACTTGTTCTTGAAAAGTGTTGTGCGTTGTGATGGCTGCTTGCGAGACGGTTCCTAGTATATGAGAGAGGTGAAGAATCGTCACTCATGGTCGAATGCCTGTTACAAGTGATAGGTCGGGCTGGGGTATGTCAAGCACACTTCGAGGGTAAATCTCAATCTGACTCACTCCCGAGTCGAAAGACTCTTTCTGTACACATACCATGATATGTCTACCATTCACTAAGCGAAGATCTGCACGGACTAGGAGATCCTTCGTGTCTGCCTATATTCGTACCCTTCGGATATTTTCCGTGCCGTCTCGTTGGAGTGAAATAAGGGTATTAGGTGGCGATAACAGATTTACACGACGCAGCGATCCGATGGATGTGTGCAAGAAACAATAGATTATTCGGGTACAAGTCTATATATACTGTTCTTGAAGTAAGGTCTGGACCGTCGGAATATGAACACGGAGAGGAAAGGCAACCGTGCCATCCATCAACGGGATAAGAGAGTAGAAGCAAACGCATAACATCAAGTCTCCGAGCCCCAAGCAGGAAATTTGGCTCCCAAAGCACTGTTGCAAGGAAACTGTACAATATCGATCGACGAGCTTCCCGTACCCAATCCCCTGTTGGATGCTAATAAAACACTGCCATCCGGAGCATAGATATTGAAGTCCAGCTCTCCAGCACCTCCTCCGTTCGCAAACATGACTCTGATAGGGAGATAGCTTCCAGTGGTAAGGTAGACGGCAATGGTCTGAGGCGTCTGCGTGGCGATCTGGCTGCTCCAGAATTGAACAATATCGGCATTGCCTCTGGTCCACCCGGATACCGCCTTATCGCCATACCAAACCATCTGGATATCATCCGTGTAGGGAATGTTGAAACTGTAGTATCCATCTTGACGAGCAAACACGTAGAAAGTGTGATCGATGACCCAGTTTTGGGTAGAGGTTTGTTGGTTGTAGTACGCTACATTGTTGCTGCCACTGTTGACTTCGGCAATGTAGTTTGTCACGCCCGTTTGCGAGGGTTTGGCGGATTTGTAGACGGTAGGGTTGAATTTGGGATAGCCCGAGGTGGCTTGGCCGCCGGCGAATGAATTTGTGTAGCCGGCGTAGGCAATTCCGACATTACCGCACGTGGTGACGGGAGTAGGGTAGACGATTTGGACAGTAGCTACTGTGCCTATCGTTGGAAGGAAGGTCTTGGTTTGAACCGCAGTAAAGGTTCCCGAATCAGTGGTTGAAGTCATGTAGACGTAACCGCCCGAGCTGGAAGTAGACATAGCAGTGGTCTGGACCACACCAGGAGTAAGGATGATGACAGTAGCGGATAAGCCGTTGAGTTGAGTTGTTGTTGATGTAGTCTTGCCTGTCCAAGCTGAGTTGATGGTCGTGAAAGAGACAGTGGCCTGAGCAGAAAGTGAAGGAGCCTGGGTCGAGGTAGTAAGGGTTGTGGGAGTGGGCGTTGGGGTGATTGATAAGCTCGAGGCTGAGTTGGTAAGACTACCGAGAATAGCAGTAGTTGTTCCCGCCACGATTCCAACAGCACTGGTGGCAGCACCGACAGCAGACGTAGCACCAGTAACAATACTGACTTCCTTACAGATAGCATTTCCACTAGCGATATCTGTGTTTACCGATGTTCGATTGAAGTAGGCATCGATACTGCGTATCTGAAAGACAGAGTCATCATTGCCATCTGACCAAGCATTCCACAGCCAAAGGCCAGGGCTCGCCTCGCTAGCTGTGTTATCAACAAGCTGGCCGTCAATGTAATAATTGGTGGCCCCAGGGAGCCAGTCGACACGATACTCGTGCCATGCTGTAGATGCATCAGGGACCACGGATGTATCGTAGCTAGAGTGATAGTCCAGCCAGTTGAGGTCGATCTCCATAGTGTCGCTTCTGTACGAGGTGAAGCCAGTAGCGTTACTCAACAAAACTACAGCTCTGACACTGCCGTACAAGATGTCGTTGTAGGAGGTGTAGAGCTGGGTGCTAGAGCTGACTGTCGCTTGTACTGATGCAACTGCTGCGCCAGTGCCAGAGACGATGGCTGCGGCCGCACTCGCAGCATTACTTGCTTGTGATGCCACTGATTGTCCCATCGAGGAGGGCACAATCCTGAAGGATAGAGAGTTGGAGAACAGAGAGAAAAAGTCACCAAGACCTCTCTTGACTTTGCTGCTTGTTGTGGTAGTGGATGTGCTAGCAGTTCCGATAGTATAAGCAGAGGACACGATGCCAGTCAAATCTTGAGTGGCTCCAGTCGTCCAGTCTGCCACCCATCTGGTGTTAAATTCTCCTACTCCATCAACATTGTAGTAGCAGTTTGAGTAAATGCCAGCCTTCGATGATTTGAGCGTGGAACTTGCTGCTGCGGGGGCAGTAGATGATGAGATCACCGCAGATGATTTTGATGGTGATGATGACGAAAAAATGATCGAACTCGTTGAAGAAGGAATGATGGACGGAGTTGAAGTTGCAGAGAGTGAGAGTGATGTGGTCGTGCTAGTGCTTGCGCAGAACAGACCGAGAAAGCATCCAGCCGGAGCCATGCTATGAAGTAATAATGAATGTTTAGTATTCAGAGAGTCTGGAAGAATGTCGAGCCCTTGGGCAGTATGTAAAGAGTGTGTGAATTGAATAAGATCTAAAGATGCAAAAGCAGAACTGAGCCCCAAAGGTGACCTTCTCGACTTATATACTCATGAGCACTCTTCAAAATCCTCAGACGACTCATATGAAGAGTACTCATACACAGATCTTTGGTTAGGGCTACTCAGACATCGCAACGGTATATTAACTGGAAAGACAACCGTCGGCACTTGGCGAGACGTTGATGAAGAGAAGCCGCGGGTCCACGATTCAAATGCAAGTAAGCCGCTGCCACCTTGTAATGACGGTTCGGTTCACTCATAGCACGAGGACTGCAGTACTTGTAGTGCTATTCCAATCGACATCATTGAGCTGAGGTTTCGAGTCCGCGAATCGAATACAGAGACGCTGCTGTGCACGATGCGAAAAGGTTCGCGGCGTGGACTGCCGAAACAGATTGTAGGGCTTAGGGTGAGATTCCGGAACAAGGTGTGAGACGTGATCGGCAAACCTCTTTTGTCTTGCTATGGTCGCGATTATCCAAGACAGAGCTCGAGGAAGTACGGCATCACTGTGTAGTTGGCAAGTTCTAATACCTGCCTATTGAGCGTTGTGTACAGTAGCAACGGTGAAGCAAGTTCGCATCCACAGACGAAAAGTGCCGTTTCAACGCAAAGCCCGGCCTCCGACCAACGTTTTGGGAGCCACAGCATCCGGATATGTACACTTCACGACTCAAGTGAGACCGACTGATGAGTTTTGTTGTTAGATTGATCATAAACTGACTCAATGTCGTTGTTCCGAGAGCTCATGGCCTTTTGAGTAGAAGTTTGTCTTAAACAGATATCAAGAAAGACGTTAAAGCACTAGCGGTTTTTTTACCAAGAAAGAATTCCATGTCTATAAGGGTAGCCTTAGCTAAGCCATGTCTAGTGTCTATACCGAAGTCCCACCTAAACGCCAAACGATAATAGTTCTTCGCCCAGGCCACCATCGCTTCCAAGAGTAGAGAGAGCCGTATCTCGTTCAAACATAGTATGCCTCCTCAAAAATTGTAGATAGACTTGGGGTTGGCATCAAGCATCGGTTTCAGCGTCGTTTCGCCCTTCTCAAAGGCTTTTTGGTATGCAGGTCTCTCTCCAATCTCTTTCAGGTACCTTAGAATGTTGGGGTAGGCGTTGAGGTCGATTGGTACGAAGGCCCTCTGTGTTGTAAGCGGAAAGACCATCTGAATGTCGGCGGCAGTGAGCTCATCGCCAACGAGGAATTTCGATTGGCTCAAGCGTTGCTCGATCAGGTCAAGATAGTGGTCGATTCTTGAGTTAGCCACCTTGAGGCCAGGGTGGTCCTCTGGAAGCGCTGCAGCAAGCAGCTTCATTTGACATGTGGGTTGGAACGAGCCGTGTGTAAAGTGCCACNNCTGGGTGCAGAGTTAGGACGAGTTGTTCCTTTGGGCACCGACAGGATATTTTCCTTACCAGAACAGCCACTCCTTCCAGTTGGAATCCCAAGGCTTGTTCAATAAGCGTCCTTGGCCATGTTTTCTGCAGATCCATTCGATGCACGCCTGAGACTCTGCTAGACGGATGTGGTCATGATTTGGTGTATAAGTGTCGACGTCTTCAATCACAGGAGCAGTTTTGAGCGGACTGAGTTCCTTGTAGGCATCAGGAGCTAGGAGTGTCTGCTGGTCGCGGTCGTGGCATACCAGCTTGTAATCGATACCAAGCTCTTCGCAAAGCCAGACGATTGATTCAGATTGACTGACACGCAGGTGGTGGACAACAAGGGTCGAGGACATTGTTGCAGCGAGTAGATGAAAGAAAGCGGTGTGGTATGTGTTGTGCAAAAGCTAGAAAAGGTACAGGAAGAGGTCTACCCGATCCACGGCAGGGCAGGGATATATATACCTTGTACGGACTTACGGTGATAGCATCGCCATCCCAAACCCTAAACGCACTGAAATGGTGATTGACTCGATCGTGTCAGGTGGTTGAGCAGGCCGATGCGTCACTTGTTCAGCAGTCGCGAGTTGGCTATTCTCTAACAGAGCGCGAGGAGTCGTGATCACGGGCAAACCGATCGACTGGCGAGTCACGGCGACGAAACGAGGGCCCCTCAGATTCTCATTCGATGTGCGCGTGGGTCGGTGATGAACAATCGTGGCTCCTTCGGCGAACAGAACAAGGACCGAAAGTTGAGGCTTCAACTTGAAACGAGATGGCCGAAACGTCATTGCTGCAGCGCACGGACTGAAACGCACATGTCAATCCCACTTGCCCGCCCCCACTACTTCAAGTTCTTCTCGGAAGTGTCAACATCCGCTCTATATCAGCGACTGACTCTTCGAAGTTCCTGACGGAGAGCGTGTAGGCTTTGTAATCCACTCTTGTACATTTGGATACCGCAAGAAACTGTCTACCAAAGCCTTTTCTCAGACGTCGTGAGGACCTTCTAAAACACCCAGTCATAATGTCGTGAACTTCTCCCTTCCCCTCATCCATGCAGATCAAACTCCACAGTGCAAAGCAGTCAAACCCAATACGCGAAAAGGGGCCTACGACTCGTCGAAGTCAGGGTTGGCGATGATCTCCCTGGCCTCACGTGCGCCAGCAACAGCAAGCTCGTCGGCGGCGATGTTGCCCTCGTTGGTGGCATGTCCCTTGACCCATACGAACTCGACCTTGTTGACGCTGCTGGTTTCTTGGGACATGTTCTTTCGCTGCTCGATCAGAGTCAAAATCTTCTCAATCAGATCCTTGTTCTCTACGGGCTTCTTAGACGCATTGAGCCAGCCATTAGCCCGCCATTTGACAAACCACTCGGTCACGCACTTGATCGAGTAGTTGCTGTCAGTGTAGATGGTGACAGGGCGATTACGTGGGGCGATCTCGAGAGCACGTTGGATGGCGGTGAGTTCGGCGCGTTGATTCGTTTGACGAGTACCGGATAGTGGCTCGGACAGATTNGCTGCAGACTGTGTTAGTGGAGGATAGTAGTAAAGCTAGGGATGCATGTCATACCGCTTGTCCTTGGGACCAAAGTACACGCCAACTCCTGCAACGGCTCCGTGAGCTCCGTTACCGAGCGAACTGCCGTCTGTGTAGATGACGACTGGTTTGTTGTCTTGCAGGTTGACAGCCTGCCACTTGGTAGTGGGCTCTTTGTACTCAACCTTGCCAGTCAGAGGGTTCAGTGTGATGCGCGGATCAAAGCCGTCTTCAGCCCCTTCGGGCAAGGGACCCTCTCCAGCACTGTGTTCGACCAAATCCTCAGATTCTTCTGTATCCTTCTTCTGCTTTTTGGCGGGTGGGCTTGCTTGCGAAGGCTCCTCGGATGCTCTCTTTGGCGGATGACCGTTCTTGAAGAAGGTTTGTGCCTCTTCCCGAGTCTTGAACGATTTGTAGACAGCGCCCTTGAAATCTGCTATTGTGTTTTGAGCTTCTGCCCATGAAGTGTAGACGCCTGGCTTGTGGCCCTTGTGTACACCATAAAACTTGGTGGGTTTGCTAGACGCTGTCGATGATGAGGAATTGGTTGTGTCGGCGCCGTTCAGCCAGGCTTTGGCCTCATTGAGTNNAGGGGGGAATGACTTGACTGAATTGAGTTAGTCGTGTTCATCTCGTCAGACCGATGGCTACTCACAAGCGGCGCCCTTGTAGCCTCTGACCTGCGACAGACATTCATCCCAGCTGTGGTAGATGCCAGGCTTACGGCCGGCTTTGACGACGTAGAACTTGGCGGGCATGTTGCGATTAAAGATGTCGAATAAGGATCCGAAAGATAAATATCTGGTTTGAATCGCTTGTTGCACCTTTGGTGAGCGCAGCGTCACGACAAAGTCGAATGCTCGTGTTCGGTGAATGGCGACTTGTATGCTTCGATTCGAGTTATAAATCAAGGTGGATACGATAACGCAAAGTTCGGTTTGATGATGGTGTTTGCAGTGTTGATGGATTGCCAAACGCGGAATTGATCGAATGCAGCTCCTCACCGCCTTTGGCGTCATGCTCGTTGTGTGCAGTATGACCCTGTCTATAACACTACATCAACAATGCTTGGGCCTAATTATAGTCTTGACATTCTGGTGTTGCCAGTCGAGTCGTTAGAGATATCGCACATCGATTCACCATACTCTATAACGCTGGAACACGTTTGATGTTGGTGATATCCACTCGTTTCACACTCGTGGATTTGATCAACGAGTTCTCCGTACATCCTAGTGGAGGGCAGGTCGCATGTCTCAAAGAATCGTACACGGTGATTTCTGACCACACGCACATTCTACGTCCAAGTGAAGAGGCGGAAGACAAGTATACTTGCACTCAGTCGGCACAATGCGATTGACCTGTGACAAGAACAGACAAGGGCCAGATGGTATGAAGCTTCACACAGAACTCTGCGGGATTGTGTCAAAAATTACAGAAACGATGCTATCCAGTAGTATCCAAGTAGTACAACAATAACTATCCAGATGCATACGGCTTACTACAGCTGCAGGTTGTAGGTGTAGTCATCCTCCATGTTCTGCGAGACCCACAGGACGACAGAGCTAGAGGCTTGGTCAGTAGCATTCTACAGCAAAGAGCAACGAAAGGCATACCTAAGAGACACTAGAACATTGGCGATGACGTTGGCGACACCGAACCAAAGGGTAGGGAAGGTGTATTGCGGAACAATGTACTTCAGGACCATGACGGTAACACCGCCAGCAAGACCACCAGCCATAGCAGCAAAGCCCATGAACAAGACGACACGAGCCTTCCAGGCAATACCATCACCGCTGTAGCTGAAGTTATCAGCAGAAAGGCGCGTCTTGTCGATCGAGTTGACGATGAGCATGCCGAGGGCGCTGAAGATGACGGGGATCCAGTCGATGAAGGTCATGTGTACGTCGGAGCCATTGAGAGCGGATTTCGAGTAGATGGCGGCATCGAGGAAGACGAACAGGGCGACGGCGAACTGCACCGAGTGTGTTAGCTATGGCTCTCGCAGCAGCGTCGAGGTCGGTGTACCAAGNGCTCCAGCAAAGTAGACGCCGGCTGTGCGGGTGGTGGCGCTGTTCATCCATTGCGGCTTGCGGAATGGCAGGCGGAAANNAACACGTTCACTGGACATGGCGATAGGTAGATACAGAGAGCGACGGTGAGGTGGTATAGCAGTCGGTCGTGCGAGTGACGGCGTCGCAACTCGCAAGAGACGGCGGGAGTCGGCGCTTGCTTGGTGCTCGAGCCTCGGCGTCGAATCGCGCCGCTCACCGCCCGCTCCCCGATATCTTGGCAATCTTTTGTTCTGCCAAATTCAAGTCTGGAAATTCTCGACTCGCCGATACTTGTGAGTTTTGTCAGCATACTCGACACACTCCACGTACACAATGGCACCTACGAAATCGACAAAGGGAGCTCCTGCAAAGGGCGGCGCATCCAAGGGCGCCAAGTCCGCTTCCAAGTCAGGCGATCGTCCCAGACCGAAGAAGCCTGCTGGTCCCAAGCCAAAGACTGTCGAGCAAAAGTCAAAGTCGACCTCCCACGGCCCTGCAAAGAAGAAGAAGCGCGTCTACACCGAAAAGGAGCTCAACATCCCCACTCTCAACGGCATCCGCCCTGCTGGAATCCAGAAGCCCAATGGTGTCAAGAAGGGAAAGACCTTTGTCGACGACAAGGAGTCCTTGATGACCATCCTCGCCATGGTCCAGGCCGAGAAGGAAGGAAACATTGAGAGCAAGATGATCCGCGCTCGCCAGATGGAGGAGATTCGTGAGGCCAGAAAGGCCGAGGCTGNNAGAAGAGAGAGGCTGGTCGCAAGGAGAAGCTGGTAAGAACTTCAGACACAGTCCACACAATAGAGCACGCCGCTCACACCATCACAGGAGGGAGTCAAGGATGAGCTCCGTAAGAAGAAGAACAAGAAGGGAGCCAAGTCCGATGCCGACATGGACGTCGAGCCTGCCGCCGAGAAGCCCAAGAAGAAGAGAGTCTCGTTCGGTTGATTTTGATTGCGCCCTTGCCTGCCTTTTGTCTATCTTCGCGCACGATACCCACGTCTATGCATCTATCTCCATCTTCTACTCCGGAAGGTACATTTTTCTACGCATTGGCTCAAACGAAAATGGGCTCTTGAATCCAGTGTTGGACGTGGCGGTTCTGGTCATCTCCGACAGAGTGCCCGTGGGACCGTCCTTTCTACCCGTCTCATACTCTCGCGCCATCTTCTGGAGGAAATTTACTGCNCTGTCAAAGTATCAGCACTCCGCCAAATCCAATCGAGTGACGAACCAAAAACATACCGGCTTGGAAAACCATCTCGTTCCACCAACCTCGAACCAACTCAAGTGGCCGCCAGTCGAGGTCGAGCACATGACAACATACGGATTCTGCTTGATTTCCTCATAGGGAACAGCTTCGTCCACAGCAATNCTGAGAACCATGAGCCATCAATCGTGTCAATCAACAAGAAGGCGGCAACTTACAGGATCGTCTTCAGCATGGATGGCGAAGGTGGGAATGCGAATGGCAGTAACTGAATCTGCCGAAGATGCGTCGCGATAATACGCGTATTCTGTCGGATATCCCCAAGTCGGGCACTGAATCTCGCGGTCGAACTCGTGTAGATATGTTACCCTTGCAACCCTCTCTGGGTCAATGTTACCTTTCTTGACCACTTGATCCGCGTGTCTGTATGATTTCTCAGCTTTCTATCACTCCCGTGGCTTCGTAGCAACTCACTGTGCAAANAGCTTCTTCATGCTGGTTCCCATTGTCTTGGAATATACGTTGAGTCCAAGCCAAGTGCGCTGCAGGGCAAGACTGGCAACCTCAAGTTTCCAGGGGTTGGAACAGACTACGGCCGCTTGCAGCTCGCACGCATCTCCCTCTTCACCGAGATACTAGAGAACACGAAATATTAGAAGGGAAATCTTCAGCTTGACATATTGACCAAATCTACGTACGTTTGTGAGAATATTGGCACCTAAAGAGTATCCAATCGCGTACAGAGGACGGTTCGGGTACATCTTCCTGCACCATTTGACCGTCTGTCGCAAATCCCAAGTGGCTCTCGCATTATACAAGATACCAGTAGTGATCTTGCTCATGGCGCAGCCGCGGCTATTGACGACAATGGCCTCCCAGTCGCCTTGCTCACTCTGGTCCACCAGTGGCTCCAACACATGTCGGAGATAGATCTCGTGCGATCCACCACTCAATCCATGCAGCGTGATCAACATAGGCTTGGTGTCATCACTGCCAATATTTGAAAACTCATCCTCAGTGAAGTAGGTCGTACGAGGAGGGAGGCTAGAGTCTTCTGCCGATGCCGGCTCGTGGGTTACAAAGTCTACAGCAAAAGTGCCTGCAAAACGATCGTCATCAGACTCGAAGATCTGACGCTTGTACATGATGGGAGGTCCAGCGGCCTTTACGGCTGTCCAGGCAGTATGAAGATGGCCATTGAAGAGTAGAGGATTCAGCTTGCAGGGAGGCGTGGATGCTTTGCATATATCGGACAAGGCCATCTTTCCGGATTTCGAGGCCAGGGATATAGTGTTCTTGGAGTGATGGAACGAAACACGGGCGTGCCCGAGCAACCACGAAAGATCCATGACTTTCCTGAATTTAGAAGAAATGAAAAACTTGATCTTGATCCGGAGGACAGCAAGCCGACCAAGTGCTTTCTGGGTTATAAAGATCCTGATAGGGCTGACAGCGAGTGTTGCGGGACGAACAAGGAGCAATCCCAAGTCTAGGGGATGTTTGATATATTTATACAGTTTTACGATCCGATAGAACGCTCACGGATCGGCGTCATACCGCACCGTGAAGTTCTGGCGGGCCCGGCACTCCCGATCAATCTCGGCTATCTCGACTGCATTGAGGAATCTTCGCGAAGCATGTGAATTCACAGCCAAGTGTATAGAGGCTCTTTGACACGTTTGAGGTTCGAGGGACAGAGTCAGAAATCCGTGCATAATTTCTTCCTATGTTCGTGTTGACAGTTAGGAGATTGCTGCCTCGGCTGCCAAGACTGATTTTCTCACCACGCGTACTTCTCCAGATAGCGCGTTCTTTAATTGATTTTTGACAGTCTTCATGTGATTGTTCGAGAGCGGATAGGCATCGATGAGCAAGGGCGGGCATGGACAATAGGAATAACAACGATAGTGGATTCGATGCCCGGCGAGGGTATGGAGTGCCTCCACAGCAGCTACAGGCCATGTACGGCTATCAACCGTCGCCTACAGGAAGTGGATATCAACAGCATCCCATAAATGTGATGTCCGCATCATCAACACCGGGACAAGGATATAACATGCAAGCACAGTACCCTATGAATGGAAATTCCGGGCGACCACAACCACAGACTTACATGGCATCCCCGGGCGTATCAACCATGGGTCAGGTAATGCAACAACCGCATTATTCCATGTCTCAAGCACAATATCAGCCGCAGACACTTTCCTATCAGAGTCTTGCGCATAACTCACAGTCACTACCACAGCTTCTGGTAAACCCACAATATCAAGCCCAACAACATCAACCGCAACAATACATGCGTCCGCAAGCTGTACAAGCCTATCAGATGGATGGTGCTTACTCTCCGGGAATGCGCCAACCGCAAGGAACCCAAAATCAACATGCGCCATCAAGCCAGCAGCGATCGCGCCACCGACCAAACCCTAACCAAACCGCCACGACTGGAGCTGCTTCAGAAGCGCGACCTATATCAAACACTCCTTCAAGGCCGCACCAACAGTCACAACCGAAACCTCAAGAAAATCATGCTCGGATACCCTCACAGTCACACCCTCAACCTATTGCATCGCCATCGCAGTCACATCATAGAACGCCCAGCCAGCCTCAGCCTAGAGCAGCTCCTCAACCACATAACCATGCCATGTCTCCACCTCAACCGCTATCACGACCTAAGCCGTCGTCTGATTCTCAACCCCACCCAGCATCACAGCAACGACCAATAGCGCAGACGCGATCTCCGCAGGTAGTCATCGAAACGAGACGACCTTCATCGCAAAATGCAACAGTTCCAGCGCCTTCACGGACGTCTGCTCCTCTGCCTCGGGAGTCGCCTATAGATTTGCAGCCAGTGCTTCTAGGACTAGCCGACCAGTATATCAGCAAAGCTCACGGAATATCTTCATACTTAGCGCGTGCCCCTCAAGAAGCGGATGTCGATCAATACTATAGCCTCATATCTGCCGGTCTCGGCTGCATGGAGTCTGTATTGAAAAACTGGAAGTTTCCGGACCCAAAGGCCGAGGCGCGGTTGCAACTACGATATGCGAATCTTCTACTGGAAGAGACTGAAAACGACGGAGAGCTGCAGGATTTGCTTACCAGGGGTATCGCGTTATGCGAGCGGAACCGCCTTGTTGATCTGAAGTACAGCATGAAGCATGTTCAAGCTCGGTCCTTGTTTCGCACACATCCTCGGTCTGCTTTCAAGATGGTGGATCAGATGATTGAGCTCACTGAGACGTATACGCATTATTCCTGGATGTACGTCTTCCGATTCTTGCGCGTATCCTTCTCCTTCCAGATGTCGCATCCGGATTTATTAGCAGCTTTGCAACAGCTCCGCCGGATTTCTCAACACGCGGAGAAGCAAAGACAATATCCCATACTCACTACATGCTCGGCTCTTGAAGCACTAGTTCATCTGAGAAGTGGCCAAGCCGATTCAGCGGATAACTTCCAAAGATCATTAGCGGCAGCACGTACTCACCAGTTGAATCGTGAGGTCACTGACATCTCTCAAGTTGCGACCTTGTTAGACTGCCTGGATCTGTGTAGTGATCTCATCAATGCTAAGCCGGACCAGCTTCTTGATAAGATGACTGTCATGCAAAGAGCACTGGATGGCGGTAAGAGGAAGACTTCCCCGGATGGAAGTTTCTATGTACCGACTGCGGACACGGCACCCGACGATGTTTCCCTCGATACATGTGGTATCATAGAGAGAACAGCGGATGGGAAACGTGCCATCGTCTTCCAGTGGTTGCGCAGGAGTGAGTTGTTTGCTCTAGGATACATTCTCAGCGGTCTGGCCAGCTCTACTAGGAATGCTGTTGATCACAAGTCTGAGAAGTATGTGGTTGAGGGCGACAAACTCACACAAAGTAGGTGTTACACTCACTCTGTGCCATTGGGCGAAACATGCTAACCACATTAGNACGACTACAATCCCGAAAACGAGCGCAAAATCCAGTCACTTCAGTCCTCCTCGGCTCACCTGGATCGACGCATGTTTTATCATAAATTGTGCCTGCACCTGCTCGCCTCACTTAGATGCGAGCGCGCTGACTGGCAAGGAGCTCAAGAAGTGCTAGAAAGGCTAACCGAGGGACTGAAAGTGGAAGATGTTGACGAACAAGACTTTGTACAAGTGTCTGCGCTCTATCTGACAGGTACGGTCAAGCAGGCGACAGGAGATCTGGAAGGTGCCTTGGAATGCTACAAAAGCCCGGCTTTGACGTTACAAGCTGGGCAGAGAGCAACGACAAATCAAGATCTTCGCGTCTTGGCCACGCTCAACATGGTCCTAATTTTAAGGCCTCGTTCGGGGTCGCAGGACCACATCAAGCATCTCATGGACCTTGCGGAACCGCTATGCGAAAACCATGCGAACATCAATTTCAAGTCCGCAATGTACATTGTCAGAGCGTCGTCGACAAATGCCCTGCCCATCCTCAAGATGAAGCACTACCTATCAACGTCGGCCAACATTGCCAAAAACCAGGGGAACGCATTGCTGCTCTGTGCAGCGATCAACTTGATGACATCGAACTTCTTCACGAGCATCATGGGAGAGAAGGCAGAGTTGTCGGCAGGATCAGGAAAGAGGCTTGCCGACAGAACACAGGTGCCACTGTGGCAGGCCGTTGCTACTCAGCTGTTGGGCAACACATTCCATTTTAGCGGCAAAGGCGCAGAGGGTAGTGCAGCACGTGTTGAAGCAGAGAGATGGATGCAGATGGCGCCTGAGAGTATAAAAGAGAAGTTCGAGGTGAAGAGGTAGAAGGAGAGCATGGTTGTGGCTTGACGATACGACAACGACGGCGTTGCTTGTGAGGAATCAAGAGAATAAGCAGAGCGCAGTGTGCTGGTTGAGCGAGGGATTTCGCTGCATGGCAACATTGCTTCATGACAAGGGGATTCTGCTTCTGTATCTCAAGGAAGGACATGTTTAGCTGTCATCAAAAGCTCCGAGATGAAGGGGATCGTAATATTGTAGCAATAAAGAGTCGTTTAACACATGACGATTAATGCTCGAGAAGAATACATGGCTCACGGATGAGCAGGTATCGGTATGAATATGATAGACTAGATATAGGTAATGTGAGGGACAAACTAAAACTCTTCGTCTTCGCGGAAGGAGAGCGAGAAGCTGATGATGGTCGAGTAGATGAGGAGACCACCTGCTATCGACATGGCGGCAGCAGGGACGTTGATGTGGCCGGTATGAGCAAGGACGACGGGGAGGGCTNNGACGGACTTGTGTAAGTGTGTTGTTTGAGGGCTTTCGATATTGTGGCAGAACGACATACCAACACCCATGACGACCAGGAAACCGGTGATGAAGCGGCCAAGCTCGACGACGGCACTGCTGCCTCCATCCATAAAGTCGTCCGAGGATTGGGCGCGTGAGCAGATCCAGTTAGGCACGGGCGCAATAACGTAGGTCGCGACGACTAGCAGGGGCAGGTAGTTGTGCCATAATGCCGACGAGAGAATGACGAGCAGGAAGCCAATGGCGAGCACCNNTAGTCGGGCGTGTTAGCTCGTGTGCATCAAGGTGGTGATTAGGCAGGAGGGGAAGGTGGGGGAGCGTACAAAGGAAAGAGCGATGATGGTTTTGAGGCCGGCCATGTCGAGACTGCACGAGGAAAGAGAGGTCGAGTGTGGGATATGATCGTCGTCGTTGGTCTGTCGCAAGTTGTCGTCGGCGGTCCATCCAAGTCGCGGGCCGGAGGTTGCAGGTGCAGGCGGTTTGGCGGCGCGGTCGCGGATCGCCAAGCCAAAGTCTGGGGAGCTTTGGCCCTTACAGGCGCCATCTCATTCCATCATCGTTGGAAGTGCAGCAACAGCAGCCAGACATATTCACTCGCCTTGTCTTGTTTGCACTGCATACCCATCTCTCGCTTCTCGTCTCCTTCTCTACCCTCATCTCCTCGCATCCTCGCATCCTCGCATCCTCCACATCACACCACAGCCATGTTCCGCAATAACTACGACAACGACTCGGTCACCTTGTATGTGCCAACCTAAACCGCCGTCTACCATCCACCGCTAAACTCGTGCCTCTCCAGCTCGCCGCAGGGTCGCATCTTCCAGGTCGAATATGCCCAAGAAGCCGTCAAGCAAGGTTCCGTTGTCGTTGGCATCGTCAGCAAGACCCACGCCGTCCTCGCCGCAGTGAAGGTCCGCCGAAATCCACTCCCTCCTGCGCCATGACTATCACTGACACAACCGCCAACAGNNAGAAACGCCGAGGAGCTTTCATCCTACCAAAAGAAGATCATCCCCGTCGACTCACACTACGGCCTCGCCCTGGCCGGTCTCGCCTCCGACGCCCGCGTACTCAGCAACTTCATGAAACAGCAATCCCTCTCGTCGCGCCTGACCTACGGCCGCCCCATCCTGCTTTCAGAAATCACCTCGCGTGTCGCCGACCGCGCCCAGACAAACACCCAGCAATACGGTCGCCGCCCTTACGGTGTCGGCTTGCTGGTCGCCGGTGTTGACGCAAAGGGGCCCCATCTCTTTGAATTCCAGCCTTCGGGCATCACCCAGGAAATGGTAGCTTGCGGCATCGGCGCCAGATCACAGATGGCAAGAACCTATCTCGAGCGCAACCTCGACCAGTTCGAGGGCAGCAGCCGTGAGGAGCTGATCAAGCATGCTCTGCGCGCTTTGAACGAATCTCTTCCCCAGGACAAGGAGCTTACTGTCGACAACACTTCGCTGGGTGTCAGCGGATTGGAGGAGAACTTCACCATGTATGAGGGTCAGCAGATTGCTCAGTGGTTGGACACGACGTTTGAGAACAGAAACGACGATGCTGGTGATGCTGCTGCTCCTGCCGCCGATGCGCCAGCACAACAAGAGGGTGCCGGAGAGTCGATGGAGGTTGACTCATGATCATGATGTGCAAGAGAAGCGGAAGAGAAAGCAGAAGCAGATTCCGAGAGACCATTACAATTGACGTCCTGACATGATGTGTATCAAATAAACCACTTTTTCAACATTCTCATCATTTGCCCTTAGCCATGTATAGAGATTGACACTTGCATAGACACTAAGCGAACAGCGGCACAGTCAGACGGCTCGAGCAGTGGATAAATATGCCTTCTGGCTATAAGCTTGCATTCCATATATGTACAGACGGTATTTTGCACCCTAGGAGATAAGCACACTGGCTTACTTTTTCCCTGCCATCCAGCCAGCAAGATCGAAATTTTGGATTTGCTGTGCTGTGTTTTGGCCCGGTCCTCCAGCTGCACCAGTGGCCATACCAAGAGGACCCTGTTTCTGGATTTCTGCAAACTCGGCCTTTGTTTCTTCGTCCACTNNGTTCATAGTAGATTAGCACGCGGCATAGATAGAGCCAGAGGAAGGAAGAGTTCGAAACTTACTGTTCTCCATCAAATAAGGCATTCCAAACACCAAGCCCATGGACAGCACACCCATCAAAATCATCGGGTTCTTGAAGAAGGACAAAAGATCAAAGCCCTGTCTCTGTTCATAGAACGTTTTCTTTCCCAATGCAGAAACAGAGAGTTTGACTTGCTCTGCCGACGACAATGCAGCAGTAGAGGCAGCAATCTTGGCACCCAGATGCCCCCATCTATTCGACGGATGCGTGAGATACACAGTCACTGTCTCTGGTGTGGAAGCCACAGGCGCAGCTTCTCCATCTCCTTCTTGCTTGATGGGGAGTATAGAGACTGGGTCTACGACATCGACCCTCAAGCTGGGGAATACGTAGTCTCTGGAGTGTACGTCGAGCAGCCACTCTCCTTCTTCGAGGTTGGGGAAGATGAACGAGTTGTCGATGCGTAAGGGTGCGGTGGCGCGTTTGCCGGAGGGTCCGTAGAGGGTTGCGTGCGTGGATGAGGGGAGGTTGCTGAGGTCTAGCAGCGAGGACGAGGGCGAGATGCTGAGGTGGAGGGATGTTGCGGCGCAGGTGCCGAGCAGCGCTGATAGTGTTGGGAGGAGTTTCATGGTTGTGCGAGTGCCCTGGGTTTGTTGTGTCCGAGCAAAGAAAGAGCTTGTCGGCGATGTTGCGACGGTTGATCAACTTGAATGATGCAGTCGCGAACGACAGAGTTGCGGGTTGGAAAGAGGCCGAGCTTGTTTGAGCTACCCCGGAGGTCCCTGCACAATATGTATGCCAAGCTTTTATGCAAGGCTTCACCGGCAGCAAAATCCTACACCAAAGATTGTATCTCACTAGAATAACCACGAACACAAAAGAGACCCGATGTATCATGCTTGCTAGATCTCTGGCAAAACAATTGCCCCCTGACGGAGTCGAACCGGCGACCTCGGCATGATCTAGAGCGGTACTAGTGCCGCGCTCTACCAACTGAGCTAAAGGGGCTTGATGATGTGGCTCTAAATTGGTCAACAATAAGAAATTGTCCCATGGCGGGCTACAGGATACCAAAAGCAGCCATCAAGCAACTGTTTTGTCACAAGCTTCATCCCCATGTGCTATGGACTGTGGCAATGTAGCTATACAAAAACACAATTGTTTCCAGGCAACAGACGAGATCGAAAGAGAGCCGATGAAACTACCACTCTCAGTGGATGCTTGTTCCTTTCCATAACAGATTGTGCATTCTTATAGCTTACCTTGTTACTAAGCATCGCCATGAGAGAAGAGTCAGATGTAAAGTGATGATTAAAATGGCACATAGGGAGGATCTACGTATGTGGGATACACTTGACCAATATTGCTACCGTTTCTGATGTGTGCGGAGACTAGAAGATAGCGGTACCATTGACATGTGTGCTAACACCACCTAAATTCCAACGTTAGCAACATGATCAATATATAGATGCACCACGGAGAGTCTTACCTTGCACATTCGCGGGCGCAGCGGTAAAGAAGAACGTCCACCTGTTCTTCTCGCGGCACGTCTGCGACAGCTTCTCCAAATCCAGCATTTCTCCGAGAGGCATACCCCAAAGCGCAAGGATATATTCATGAAGATGATATTCTGTATGATCATAAGTCTCTGCTTGAGGTTAGGGTGGAATGGAGACAGGAAACCGACCTTCATGTGTTGGCCATGCTTCGAATGCAGGAGCATCGCCTGCTACAGCGGAGAAGTAAGAGTCGTGGAGCCAGTCCAGCATTCGCTCTTCTTGACTCAGTCCTGCAAATCTTTGTCCGTCGTCCTTACCCAGGGCATGTGGTCTAACAGCCAACTCGTTTCGTTCAGAGGGCGACTTGCTGTGATAGGCCTCTACCCAACCAGTCCTTACGAAGAGAATATCGCCAATCTTGATATCACCGCCCTGAGCAGCTGGACGGATGTCGATACCCTGATCTGCGGCGCAGTGCTTGAGCTCTTCAAAGGAGATGGGATAGTACTCGTAAGGATCGTAGTTGATGCCCTTCTTGTGGGCGTAGCCGCGGTAGTCGAGGAGGATGCCACGGCCAGCAATACCATGTACGGCCCAATGATGGATCGAGCACTTGTGATTTGCGTTGGGGCCCACGATATCTGAGCCTTTGGTGTTGTTGTAGAAGGTGCCAGAGGGCATGTGAGCGAAATGACGGAAGCCATCGAATTGAGTGCCCGATTGAGTGTTTAGATGGTAGACATCATCGTAGGCAAGATCTTCGGCGAGTATCTTGATTTCGTGTTTGAAGACCTCACGATTGAATGCAGGAACTTCAGGGGTGTTGAGAGGGAGGTTGACAGGGACAATCTCTCCACTTCTGATTTCCTTTCCAGCAGCAGCAACTCGGGTTGGTGTCAAGAGGTTGAGACGGCCGATGTTGTCGTTGTCTCCCCAGACCCATGCAGCACCTTCGGGGGCACCTGGAATAATGGGCAACTCTTTGCGAGTGGGAAAGATGGTTGAGTCAGGGTCAAGNGGCATGGACAGACTTGCAGTCTTGTTCATGGTTAGAAAGTCCTTGATTTGGGTCAAGCGAGTGCTTGTTGTACTTTTGGGAGCGGCCATGGTGATGAGTGTCAGATTTGAAAACAAGAGACAGACCTACCTTTTGGGAGCAGATATGGCATGACTTATAGTATGTTAGTGTACGAAAGATGTCCCTCGGTCTCTGCCCCTCCTCGTTCGCATATGGTAGTTTCCCCGCATTGCGAACGTCATTGATATACTTCGGGATGCACAAGCGTTGCGTATGCAAGCGGCAGTCAGAGTGGGTTCGCAGTGTCAAGAACCTGTTTATAGGGTGTGGTTCATGTTGACCTGACGGTCCATGGGTCAGTCAGAAGACAAATCGGCTGCCTCGGTATAGAAGTCAGGCTCGTCTGTCTTGCTTTGTAGCATTTTGTTAAGCGGCTGCCTCATTTCAACCCCCTTCCAGGAACGCTCAAGAACATATCACAAGCTTTCAGAGATGGCAGCTTTCACTTGTTTGATGTGATGTGATAGAAGTTGAAGGGTTGACGTAGATGTAGTGGGTCAAAAGGTGGAGGAAAGGTGCGGCTTATCGATAAGATGCTATGACGAAAAGCAACTCGCCGTGACAAGGTTAACGAGCTAGAAATCAACACACGTTCAACCATGTTCAAGAAGAAGCCGACAGTCAAGCCTCTGGCGCCTTTACGTTCGTCGGACCGCCGCAAGACAGCCGACAGCATCATCGCCGAGTATGGCCTGCAACCAAAAGCCCAGGACGACACCAAGGTCGAGGACAAAGCAGCCGCCACGCAAGAAACAACAGCGCTGAGAAACGCCCTGCTGCCCGATGGCGTCCAGACCGCACGATTCACCACCACTCATGGTCCCGACCTCAAACATGTCTCTGGCACCGTCTATGTTGGAGCATACCCTGGAGATGATGCCCGAGTACTATGGTTCAAGATTGAGGATCGCATGTATCCCACAGTATACACGCTCTGGAAACAACCCGGCATCGTACCTCTGTTGCACACACCCGGCTTTGTCGTCCAGAAGCTGCAAGGCGGTGCGGATCTCATGACTCCAGGCCTGGCCAATGGTCCTCCCTTCCACCCAAAGGCCATCAAAGGTGCTGTTGTCGCTATCGCAAGCCTTGAACAGCCTTCGGTACCTGTCGCTGTTGGTGCTTGTCTGATCGATGTCGGCTCGCTTGATGTTGTCCAAGGTTCTCGTGGCCATGCTGTGCAGACGATGCACTGGGCTGGCGACGAGATCTGGTCCTACAGTAATACAAACAAGCCTGGCATCAACCCTCCGGAGTCTATTGAAGGCTGGCTTGCAAGCAAAGACGATGAGGAAAAGCTGGCCGAGCAGGCTGCCGACCTAAACATCGACNGAAGACGAGGAAGAACAAGGGGTGTCAACTTGGACAAGTCTCCTTCAGACCAGCCTGACCCATCAGAAGGCCTGGAAGAGGATGCTCCCGCAGATGAAGGTCTTGTCGAGAAGGTTGATGTCCAAGAAATGACCATCAGGGGTACGCCAGTTCTCTATGGCCTCCTTGTCAAGAATGTGCTAACGATAACCANNGAAATTGATGACGCTTTCCGCAAAGCCTTCATCTACGGCGTACATCACCACAAGGAGACCAACTCCAGCCAACCAAACTTCGGCCTCGAGTACCCCTTGACTCAATCATTCGTCATGTCCAATCTCGTCCAACCTTTTCTTCCTGCCTACACGCCAGAACAAGCAAACTCGCTACAAATCAAANAGTCGAGCTACAAGAATATCAAAAAGTTCATCAAATCGCTAGACAAGGCAAAGATTGTCAAGACAAAAGAGAGGGACCAACACGAGACCGTCATCCTCGACATTGACTTCAACGACGCTGCTATTGTCGACTTCAAGCCCTACCGTCTACCTAAGAAGGAAACAGCAGCCGGCACAAGTCTCGGCCGCGGCGCCAAAGCAACAACCGAAATCGACACAGCCGATGGTTCAATCGGCCAAAAACTCGAAAAGCAACAATACTACAAGCTAAAAGACAGACTGCTGCCTCTCTTCGAGTCAGCAGACGCATCTTCTCAATCGCTCTTTACAGCCGCAGAGATCAAACCCATCATGACCGCCTACATCGAGTCAGAAAACCTTGTCAACCCAAAGAACAAACGCCTCATCACCCTCAACCCTACCCTAGCGAATGCCGTCTTCGATGGCTCAACTCCTCTGGATAAGGAAGTCCTTGCCAAAGGTTCCGTCCCCAGAGACGCCCTCACCGAACGCATCCTCCAAGCCTGCACGCCCCACTACGCCATCGTCCGCACCTCCCCTTCCTCCATTCCAACACCGAAGCCCAAATCCGGCGCAGCACCAAAGATCAAAGTCACCCTCGAAACACGCTCGGGCAACAAGACCGTGACCAAAGTCTCGGGAGTGGAAGCTTACTTCATACCTCCCNAGCCGCTGGCCGACGAATTAAGGAAGATGTGTGCGGGCAGTAGTAGTGTTGAGCAGTTGCATGGAAGCAGCCCCAAAGCTCCTGTAATGGAGATCATGATTCAAGGGCCACAGAAGGATGCTGTCATGAAGGCGTTGGAGAAGAGAGGTGTAAGATCTGCGTGGGTAGAATATCTGGACAAGACCAAGGGAAAGAAGAAGTAGACGTGGATCATCAAGATTTTGCATTTCTCAAACTTGTCATAACGTATAGAAAGATCGAGCCGACGCAATGATTAGAGCTTTCTCTTTCTGTCTGGGATGTATTCACAGGTTTTGTGTCTTTCTCATGAGGACTCTCGCGGTGAATACGCTAATATCGCCAAACGTTCCCAGAGCAGCAGAGAACGATATCTTCTGCGGCCAAGGGTAAATAAGCATCCAGTGTAGCGTTAGCTTTCAATACATACCTAGAAATTCCAATATAATATGCTTGCTTATCAATGTTGTATACATGCACATGTATAGTCAGGGTGATACTGCAAGCATCGGTCTTAGCCAGTTTGTTCTCTGTTTGCACGCGGAAGTAACGCGTTCTACTTTCACTTCATCAGCAACAACCGACACTAACAGCATCACCAACACGATAGCAACACTTTGGATACCATCGACTGGACATCACTTGCCTTTTCATCGCACTCAGATCAAAGGTGGACACCGCTAGCTTCTGATCAGTCGTAAAGAGAGAGGCTGTAAGACGCGTCCTACTGGCTCTCGGACACATCTCGCTCGGTTGTACATAAACTTCGAAGAGTCTAAAATATTATCATAGAAGGAAGGAGACATCACGATCAAATTGAAACTGCCTTCTCGACGGTATTACCAGGACTGCTGAGCGTTCAGGCTATTCTCAGAAGGAGCTACCGAGACACGTCATTCTGAGCAGGATCTCGACAAAACAATCCAACCCGATCAAGAATCTCCTTGTACAACTTGATATACTTGTATCCTCAAGCCTTCCGCCAACTTCAAAACCTCACTCCAAAGCATCAGAAACACGCAGAGATAGAGGTAAAAACCACATGCCGGAAATCAACAACAATGCCTCCAATCCCCTCACTCGTCTCTGCACAGTACACGTCCATCCCCACCAGCGGCAACACTCCCATGGTCATCTGCTCGCACTGCCAAACCTTCAAACTGCCCCGAAACTCGCTACGCAGAAAGGAAGAACACCTTCGCACCTGTCCCTCCTTTGCTCTCTCCNCCTTGGCCACCCAACGAGACATCAATGGCAGAACTATGCTGGAGGACTCCATCGCTAGAAGGGCTGGAAGAACAAAACCAGGAAACTCGAACAAGACAGAGGAAGAAAGAGAAGTGCTCAGGCTTAGGAGATTGGGTGCTGTGCTCGCTTATGGAAATGTCAACGGGGAGTTGCAAGAGGGTATTCAAGAACGTGTTGAACGTATTCTTAGAGGGGAGAGTTCGATGCTTGGGGCACGGGGTGTTGGCAATGCTAGCGAACAAAGAAGAGCACCAACGTGGCAACCATCAAACTACGACAATGGAGGCAACAACGATGACAGCTTGGACGCTTTCGGAACCTCAGACTTCGAAACACCTACTACCACTGTCAACAACACACATCAAACCATGGCCGCACTTCTAGAATCGGCAACAAGAAATTCGCACACACCACTTCCTCCCGCGTCGATGGAGAACTCGAGGAAAAGACCACTGCCAACTGACCTCGACAACACTTCCACATCACAACAAGGCAACACGAAACGCTTCAAACACGCAGAACTCTACCTCGATGAAGATGACCTCGCCTTCATGACCTCTGCTCAGACGGCCAGAGAAGAGCGATTTGCTGCTTTGGTGGAGAGGCTTGCTAGACTCGTCAGACTCAGAGACATGAGATAAGATACGATGTGATTAGGCCAGTGCGACAGGAAGAATTATTGCTTGCGTTGAAAGAATACTATGCATAGGCTTTGCAGGCTGCAAAGAATCATCACCATAGCTATAAGAGTAGCTGACAGCATGTCTACAACCACAGCTTTCTTTGCTTCATCTGTGGCAGAGATACACTAAATCGTCAGACGTTGCTGTTTGTATGTTTCCACAGCCTGTCTTCCTGGTGTTCGTCTGTTTTCCGATCCAGTCTGTGATTCGCTATAGTTCGATTGCTTACCAAAACCCAGTCTGACAAACACGCATACCTGTCTGCGCCATTTCAATTCCATGCCATTTCAATTCCGTGCCATGTCAATTCCGTGCCATGTCAATTTCAAGCCATGCCAATTCATGCCATTTCAATTTTAATTTCATGCCATCTCAAGCTCACGCCGTTAACTGTCCAGTCGATAACGAGTTCGGTGAGAGAGAATACATATACGAGGCATAGGGCAAGGAGTGGGAGTGATCGCCTTCTGTGAGTCCTAGAGTTCTTCCACCATCCTGATTCAACGCCATTTCTAATTTCATACCATTCCGATTCTATGCCATCCTAGTTTTATGCCATTATGATTCTGAGTCATTTCAGTTTCATGCCATTTCGACTCCATGCCATTTCAGTTTTATGCTGTTTTGATTCTATGCTATCTTGATTCTGTGCTAATTTTGTATTCGATGCCATTTTAGTTCTATGCCATTCATTTTATGCCATTCAGATTCTACGTTGGTAATTTATATAGTCAACAACGAGTCTAAGGTAAGACAAGACACGTTCATAAGGCATAAGGCAAGGAGCAAAAAGATCTTTTATTGCTATTCTTCCGCATTGTTGCTATAGACATAGTAAGAAAAGAGAGCTTAAGCATATTTTCTTTTCTACAACTTTGATTGCATGTTATTCCAATTCGATGCCATTTCAATTCTAAGCCAATTCAACTTTATGCCATTTCAGTTTCAGAGCCATTTCAGTTTGATGTCGTTCTAATTTCATGCCATTCCGATTTCATGTCATTCCGATTTCATGTCATTCCAATTTCATGTCATTCTAATTCCAATGCCATACATTATGCAGTCGATAAAGAGTTCAAGGCGAGCAAAAGTGCGCACGAGGCACAGGACCAGGAGCAGGAGACCTTTGCTGCTATTCTTCCGCACCCTTGCCATCAACACAGCAGGAGGGGAGAGCTTAGATGGTCTTAAACATGGAATCGTTTTGCTTGCACGAGCCTGTTACACACGCGAAGGCGAGAAGACAGCATTCATCATCATATTCGTGGTCAGGAGAAGCAGTGATATAAAAGTAATAGGTAAAGGGCTAAGCATACGAAGCCACGGTAATACAACAGGGAAAAGATGGCCACGAAGGACGCAAATTGAAAAGAACGAAAAAGAAAACGCCGGCCAAACGCCCTCGAGCCCCCATTTCCCCAGAACCCTTCCTGATTTGATCAGTGCTAATGCACACCCTGTATAAACACATTCATAGTAGTAGAAGAAAAGGAAAAGAATAATGTCATGTCTTCATCTCCTCTTTCCGTCATGATCATGCCTTGCGATACCGATTAGCCTTTCACAACCCTGGCCAGTACTACTGTTGAGAGGTTGGCGGACGAGTGGCTGAAGCAAACGGCCCTTCTTGAGTCATGGATTGCAGCGACGGCAAAGTGTTGTTCAAAGCAGACATTGGGTTATGCAAAGATGGATGCTGTGGTGGACCGCCCCATGTCATTCCCTGATTGCGAGAGTTCATGCCAGGACTAGGTGCACGAGGTGTCTGCGTGTCGCTCAACGGACTAGCTGTTGGAGCCTTTGGGCTAGGATATGTCGTGGGGATGGAAAAGCCGTTCGGTGCGCCACCAGCTGTTGTCGTTGACATGGCGTAAGGGTTGGACGGATGCGGCAATGTTGATTGTGTGCTGGCAGCGTCTCTTAGCATGCGATCGTATGCTCCCCAGCGGTTCGAGACACTTGGCTGACGAGCCTGTATGCCAATCTGCTGCTGGAACTCCTGTGGCGTCTGGTATGTGGGCTGCGGGCGATAAGTGTTGCTGGGAGGNAACTGTGTATGGGTGCGATCGTATTCATGGTAGATCTGCGAAGGTGGGGTCCATTGTCCGTTGGCAGGGCGAACGCTGGCTGTCGTTGGTGACTGAGCCGTAGGTCTACTACCAGGAGAATTCTGCATGTTCTGCGTGGGAAGCTGAGCAGTAGGTCCACTCTTGTTGACCAAGTCACCGATTAAGTTGCTGTATGGTTTTAGAGAAGCGCGACTGGCACCTTGCTGCTGAGCATACCCAGCGCCGGTCTGGGGGCTGCCCGCACTTGACTGGGACATCTGGGAAGGAGTTCCGTAAGGCTGTGTCTGATAAGGTTGCGTTGTAAGAGGACTGCCCGATGTACGGCGCACCTGTTGATGGAACTGCGAGTATTCACCAGGAATGGCAGCAGGAAGAGTTCTTGACGAGTAGTAGCCCTCTGAGAAAGGACGAAGGGGAGCCGGAGGCGGCCGTGTTGGTTCACTATGCTGCTGACGAAGCGAAGGGATGGGCGGCTGAGAAGAGTAGAGCTCTGTAGCGTACGAGGCTCTTCTAGCATCAGCTTGCTGGATGAACTGTTTCTGCGAGGCCAGCGCTCGTTGATCCAGGCCATAGCTCCCTGTAGGATAAGCGGGAGTTTTGGGTTTGTACATGTATGGCCGCTCACTGTTTTGTACTTGTACAGGTCGCGAGACTTGGGGCACGGTGTAACCACCAGTGTAGCCTCCAGTGTATGATGGTGCCACAGGTCTAAAAGGTTTAGCAGGCTTGACGCGCTCCATAAAGTCGCCCATAAAGACGTGATTCTGGCCCTTGGGGTCGTCAGTAAACCTGCCTTTAGCCTCTGTCGACTTCTTTGGCAGATAGTAATACAGCTGATCAGGCTTGTTCAGATCGATCTTGACCTGATCAGGATTCTTGATCACGGCTGTACTATAGCCTTGAGGAGGGTCCTGCAGATTACGGAAATCGGCCCATTTCCAAGCTGCGTCCTCATGAAAAGGTGTATCAATAAGGGGAACACCGTCTTGACGGTTTCCAATCGACACAGACAGCTTGCTCATACCCTCTGGCATGGGAATGGCAGTTGGAGAGGGCTTAGGACGTTCAGAGTCAATGGGGTCCAGCACCAAGATCCATTTCCATTCGACCTCGACTTGATCACCACTGGGAAGCACGTTGACAAGAACAGTACTTTCACCTGGGCGGTTCTCCTCGACAATGCCTGCGAAGATGTCGCCACTAAGGAACTGAGCCTGGATAGCATCGCCTTGCTTGAGAGACTTGGCAAAGGTGTTGATGAGCTTGCTGGTTTCCAAAGCATCAGCATCCACATTCTTTGCACGCTTGGCTCGATGGAAACGGCATCTCAAATCGATACCCTCTTCGTAGTATTCCGTTCCATCCTCGCCGAAGGTTGGCACGGGGCCGACATCGATCTGTACACCAGCGGCAAGAGCGCAGGTTGCATGGTACGCTCTGGTGCACTTCTTGGCTTGGCATTGGAAGCAAGCACCACGCTTGGAGCGACAGAAGTTGCACTTGAGATCGAGGCGTGCCTTGTCGATACCAGCAACGCCGACGATCTTGTCAACGCCATCCTCGCTGTTAATCCATGTTTCGGGNGTGTAAAGTGCGCAGCAGCGATGCGCTTGCTGGCCGTTGTCTGTAGGTAGCAAAGGCTCGTTAGGAGGGTCGTTTGGACAGAGGACACAAGGCTCCCTGTGAGGACCCTTGATAAGGATTCTGATACGCTTCTTCTTTTTGCCTGCGTCCTTGTCCTTGGGATCCCGCTTACGCTTGCGAGCTTGCGACTGCGGCTTACCGGCGACACTTGCAGGTGGACTGGGAAGATCCGTTGCAGCATCCAGATTCATTTCGTCGTCATCATCATCAGTTTCTTCATAATACTCAGGAGTGGGTTCGCCTCTGAGTTTACGCTCAATTTCACCAACATCGACCCAGACACTGTCGGCCTCGCACTCGCACTTCTTTGCGATACGTCCGTAGTCCAGCCAGGACTCGGTGGCGAAGTTGACAGATTCTGCACAGTTGTAGCCGATGTTGTATCCAGAGTGATAACCGTAAGGGTAAGTGATGACGAATTCACCTTCGTAATGAACAAGCTTGTTGACTTTGATGCCGAATTGCTTCTGCAATATTTCCGGAGAGATGAGGTATGTCTTGTGACGCAAGAACTGATCACAAGCCTTTGAGTCGTTGGGCCAGATGCTCTTCATGGCCTTTTCGAACTTTCTGGCGTCCTCCTGAGAGATACTGTACCACTGCTTGGGCGCTCCAAAATGGATGTAGTTGATGCTGTAGAGATCAACATCCTCCAGATGCCATGCGAATGTAGCCTTCCACATTCCCATGTACAGATAAGCAGTATTGACACCAGGCACCTTTGTTCCAAGAACATCCAGCAAGTTGGGCAGTTTTGCGACATTCCAGACATCACACTCGTCCTTGAACAACGAACCAGGCATATCAGCAGCATACATGGGCTGAGCAAAGGTCAAACTCTTCCAGTATGCAGTTTCCAATTCGGCACATCGCTCAGATGTGAACTCCTCCAGGTCGTCCATGTGGTAGTCGAAATCTTTGAAGGCGGCCTCGTCGTAGACGTCGTTGGTTTCGGTAGTGTTGTTCATTCTGCGAGAGGATACAGACTTCTGCTGGCCTGCTTTGGGTTGACGACCTCTCGGTTTTGGCTTTGGCTTGCTTGGAGTTGTGTGTTCAAGAGGCTCGGTGGACTTTAGTACGGGNGAGGTAGGCGTTGGTGGTACTTGGCTGGCTCTTGACGATGATTCCTCATCATTATCGGCCTCGTTCTTCAGAGGGTTCTTGCGAGGCCTACCAGGCTTCCTCTTGTTGGTAGCATCTTTGGGAGTTGAAGTCCTAGTTGAGGTACGGGTCTTAGCCGCAGCACTCCTGGAGACTTGTCCTTGATTTCGACGGCGTTCTCCTCTTCTGGCAGGGGGCTGGTATTGAGTTTCCTCGGTAAGCGCCTTCCATTCGGGGAGGTTGTAAGAGCGTTGCTTCTCGATGTTGGCTTGGGTGTAGATTCCGTGGGTGCCCATGAATTCTTGCGAGATTGGATTCTTGATTTTAATGGTCTTGACGAGTTCGTCGAGGGGAGGTTGCTCGGCTTTCCATTCTGGAGGAGGAATGACCTTTACGATACCAGATTTCATGCCGTACTTGTCGATCTTGTCAATATACTTNTTGAAGTCGCGGAACTGGGCCATTGTNCTATAGCAAAAATGTGAGTACATGTAGGTTCTGTTAGTGGTGAGGTGACGTACTGGTTTGAAAACAGGCACTTTGCCGTCATCCCAATAATGGTCTGGTTCGACTTCTTCCTCATCGTCCATGTCGAGGTCCAATTCAGACAGGTCAGAAGAAGCGTCATCGTCGACTCTGATGTTATTGTCCTCGGAAGTGGGTGGAGTCAAAGCGTGAGCGGGTTCGGGGTGCTTGGACAAGTTGGAAGCTTCGGGCAAGGCAGCGTCGGAGGAGACGTTCGAGGGCTCGGTCGCAACGGCCGGCGAAGGCATGGATGCATCCATGGTGGTGGTTGAGATAATCAAATACTGCCACAAAGGGCGTAGCTAATTTTCGAAGGCGACAAAACTCGAAGGGGAGGCAGCAAGGTGGTTGCTTGTGTCGGTGGGCTTGCTGGGACCCGGGTGGGCTATGCGGCAAGCGACAGCAGACGGCGGCAAAGGGAAGGAGAGACAGTCTGTGTCGACTGCTCACGGGCGTCGCGGCAGAGCGGAGGATAGTTGTCGCATGCGCAAGGCAGTCGTAGTCCAGGACGTCTCGCTGTCGTCGTCGTTGTGCGTGGAATGCGAGCAGTTGCGCAAAACCGACAGTCGTCGCTGCCGTCGCTCACCCCATGGATCAGGTGCTTTCCACTCAGAAGCCTTGGCACACGCTTCAATCCGTGGCGCACGGACATTTATTGACCAGAGCCTCACTCGCCAACCTCGAATTGCGAGAGCCAGACAGAATGACATTTGATCCGTCATTATGGTATGTTCAGAACAGATCGAGGCATATGAGAAGACAAGACCAATATCACGTTGCATGCGAATGTCTATTTAACGTGTTGCTGCATGGATTGACCAACACGCAAATCTTCTACACATCCATACCGGAGTCCTCTCCTTGATTAGATCCGTCGTGCACCCCTGATCGACCCCAGCCCTTGAGTCTCCAGCATCTGACAGGGCTGACATTGCCCAAGCTTTGCGGACCTGATGATCCTCGTATACACTTGACGTAGTCAAGGTGCCAGAGACTCTTCGCCGCCGTGAATCGAGACCAGTCCTCCAGACTCTTGTAGCCCTCGAAATCCACACCTCCTTGGCGAACCATGGTTTGGCGCTGTTGAACAGGCACCGCTACGGTCGACATGCATAAGGTGCAGCCACCGGAGGATAGAACACAGCCATCGATGCCTCTTATGGGATGCAACATGTTCAGCAGATGCTCGGAAAAAGAGACAGTAGTACAGTTAATCAAGAAGAAAAAGGAGATGGTCATCGATCTTTCTGTCGCTTCACTCGTCGTAACGCTTGAACGCATGTTGTACAAAACACGTTTTCTTTCTCTTTTCCCGTTTCCAACTATCAGAAAACCGAAAAGACGAGACAAGACTCAAGAATAGTATCCAAAATAGACTGCACACCCCAGAGCTCCGATAGCTATGCAGCAAAGGAGAAAAGAAGCAGAACGCCAGAAAAGGAAAGGAGAACAACATGACGCTCCAGCGCTCCATTGTACATGACAAGAAAAGAGCATGTCCCGAAAAAAAAAAAGAGGTGTGTAAAGAAAGAAGTGTGTGGTATGCAGAAACAAGAAAACGCCGTCGTGATCAAATGTCAGTCATTTCTCCATTGATAGCGCCCCCTTCCCTGTCCGTGTTTGTTTTGTTTCATTCGTCTGTTCCTCTTTGCAGTACGCTGAGCGTTTGCGCTGCTACGAGACCCCTGACGCTGTACCTCAAGGCGACTTCCTATGCCTGGGGCTGAGGGGCTCCGCCACGGCCACCACGACCGCGGCCGTCACCACGGCCTCCTCTGAAGCTGCCGCGGTGTCCGCCTCTAGGGCCACCGCGGCCGCCACGTCCACGGCCTCCGCGACCTTGTCCTCCTCTTCCTCCGCGTCTCTCGACAGATTGGTATCCCTCGGCATCAGTCGAGGCAAGACCGTTGGTGGTGGTGTTGTTGTTCTCGGCAGCAGCCTCGGTAGCGGTGGCGTTTGCGGATGTCTGATCGGCCCAAGAGCTGGTCGATTGGGGCTGGGCGGGTTCGTGGACAGCCTCGGTCTCGTCGGCGGGACGAGGAACCATCTCGAACGAGTCGTCAAGCTGCTCTTCGGTGCCGGCGGTGGCAGCAGCGTTGTCCCACTGTGTCTCGGCGGACTTGTTGGCCGAACCGTCATCAACGGAGGCTTCAGCGATTTGATCGTCGGCAACGACAACAGGCTTCTCCTCCTCTGCGGGTTGGTTCAGACCAAGTTCGGTGAGACCGGCGTGTGCAATGGTAGGATCGCTCGAAGGGACGGTGTCCTCGGGCTGGACAGTGGTAGCGTCAGTGGACTCGGCAGGGGCCTCCTCTTGAGCAGCCTCCTCGCCAGGGAATGCGCCGAAACCGACGGCAGCCTGCTTGACTTGCGAATCTAAAACGGAGTCAGCACCAAGATGACCAACCAGAATTTGAGCATTCTTACACTTGACGGGCAGAAGCTCGCCCTCGACCGAGGGTACCTGCTCGTCAGAACCCTGGATCAAGTTCATGACAGCATCAACGGCCTTGTCGTCACCTCCGTAGACTAGCAAGAGGGCACCTTCGAATGCCTTTGACTCATCAGTGTCGGCCTCCTCTTCAATAACACGCTTGGCGGCAGCAGCTCTGAGGAACTGGCTGAAGGTGAGCAACTTCTGGCGCAGAGCAGAGTTGAGTTGGTCCTCGAGCTGCTCCTTAAGAGAGGTCTTCAGCTTCTCAATTTCGGCCTGGTGGGCTGAGGTCAGGTGCAAGTGCTGAGCGGACATGCGCGACTGGTAGTCGGCATCGACCTTCTTGTACTGAGCGATCTGTTCCTCGAGTTGAGCGAGCGAAGCCTGGAGAGCGGGCTTCTTAGATGCTTGGGCCTTCTGGTCGGCGTTGATCTTGCGGGCAGCGAGGAGTTCGTCCAGAGACTTGCCAGGGTTCTCGGCGAGGATAGAGTCCAGCTTGGTCATGGCATTNCTGTGTTCGGTCAGTGTCGTGTGATAGCGATGGGTAGGCGGGTGACTAACAAGCTTCTTGTTCACATTGCGAATGTTNCCTGGACGACAGTCAGCACTGCCGATCTATAAGATAGAAAAGCACGCAACACACTTCTGCAATTCCTTGACGTAGGAGCTCTCAAAGGCATCGCCGTTGGTGTCTGCAAGGTCGGGGGTCTTCTGGCCGTCGCTGTCCTGCTGAGGCTGGCTGGCGGCTTGAGCAGCAGTAGCGGCTTCGGCCTTCTCACGCTTCTTGCGAGCGCTCTTGGACTCGCCGGCAGGCTGAGGNGGGTTACTGATTGTGTCGGCTGACATGATGTGTGGTAGATAGATGCTTCCGAGCTGAAGATAGAAGAAAGAATCAAAGTCGCGTGCTGGTGGATACAGAAATGCGACTTCTTGTCACACGCCAGCTCCAAACACCCCCGAAAACGTCCGTGCACAAGCTCTCGCCAACACTCACTCCGCATTCCGTTCTAGAGCCTTCGAATAACTTCCACTCCAACAACCCAAGACAGGAAGACTGATACAGCTGGTACATTGCATGAGGTTCGATGGTGTGGAAATGTTCGTTTCAGTGCATGGCACTATAAAATCTATCTACAAAATCTACAAAAATCGAATCGAAATCTAAAGTCCATTGAATCATGGAAGGGGTATATCACAGTCCTAACTTTTTCATCGGCGTCCAGCGCCTCCTCTATTTCTCTCATTCATCCTAGCTCATGAGCTGCACTGACCAGGGTACTTTCTGTCTGTGATCTTGTCTCCAATCAAGCCATACTTGACGGCGTTCTGGTAGCCCCAAGCACCGGGTCCCTTGAAGTTCCACATGAAGTAGCCGCGAGCGTGTGCCTCGAATGTGTCGAGCTCGGCTTCGAGGAACTTGCGGGTGGCTTGGATGAGGGGCTGGTTCCAATTCTCGATGGGTACGTTGGCCGAGCATTGACAGCCATCCGTCCAGCAGACGCTGCCAGCAACAGTGGATCCATCAGGGTTGGCGCAGATGTTGGTGGCAGCGCTGAACTCGCCAACAATCACAGGCAGCTTGGAAGATGAAGGCAGTAACTCAGTTGATTGCCAGTTGCAGGCCTTGGCGACATGTTGGTCTTGGGTGAGCAGAGAGTCAGCTGAAACCTGGTTCTGGTAGAGATGGGTGTCGATCCAGAACTTGGCATCAGAAAGAGAAGCGTCTCCGTTGACAGCAGAGCCGACCTCTTCCCAGTCAGAAGGTCCCATGAAGCCATCGTGCATGATGACAGCAAGGTCTTGGTTGGTCGATGCAGACTTGACAGCTGCGTAAGCCTTCTTTGCCCATTCCTTGGTCGTGTCGATGTTGTTCTGGTCCCACGAGATGGGTTCGTTGACAAGCTGAATTCCGAAAACGACGTCAGCGTACTCCTGAGCACCGTACTTCTTGGCGATAGTCTCGAGGATGCTGATGCTCTGCTCCATGTTGTCATCTTGCTGCCAGGCAACGTTGCCCGAGCGGCCAGAGTTGTCGAAACCGTTCTGCGAGCCAGGCGAGCCGTGGCAGTCGACGAGAACCTTGATACCGTGGTTGCGACACCAGCCAATGGCCTTCTCGAGGTAAGCATCGGCGCCCATAAGGTAGGGTGCAGACTCAACGTAGGACCAGAAACCGATAGGGATACGCACAGCGTTGATCCCTGCGGCAGCCAGTCCCACAACGTCGGACTCGGTGAAGTAGGTTGACCAGTGTTGCTCCAGCTTGTCTTTGGCGCCGTCACAACTGTCGAAAGAGTACTGATCCTTGGCATCAGTGTTGGCAAAGACATCCCAGTTCATCCATGACTCGAGAATAAGCCAGCCGCCAATGTTCACTCCGCGAAGAACGTCGGGGAGGGCGGCAGATCCGGTGGAGGCAGTTGCAGTGCCAGAAGCAGCGACCGATGTTGATGAGGCGACAGTGCTGTTAGCAGAAGCCGAGGCTGTGCTGTTGTATGAAGCGGTAGAGTAGAGAGATTGAGAAGAAGATTGACGATACGATGTCCACCATTTAGCGAAGGCGGTGGCATTGAGTTGTCCAGTTCCAGTAGGTTGAGGGTATCCAGTTACTCCAGAAGGGAATCCAGTTCCAGTAGGCCAAGCATATCCAGATGCGGTTGGGTAAAATCCAGAGCCAGAGGCGAGATATCCAGAGGGGACAATTCCAGTAGGTGCGATGTGTTGTGATCCAATAGAGAGGGTCGGGAAGGTCGAAGTCGATTCGTACGTGGCCGAGGGGCTCCAGGCTGGCGGTCCGTGGTAATAAGATTGGAGCGAAAACGATGGTGCAGATGGGGCAGGTGCAGGCAAAGCTTCCGCAACGAGAGAAGAGAACGCAAAATAAGCAAACGCAAAAGAGGTTGAGCTGAACATTTCTGCTACAGCACTACTTTTTCAGAATGAGTGTGAGAAGTGTGCCTTGATATATGTCGTCAAATGTGTGACGTGGCTGCGGCTGTGGCTATTGGAAATCTATTGGGCAGATTGTATCCTGGGAGACGTAGCAGAGTTGAAAAGACCGTTGAGTTCGCCGGTAGTGATCGTGAGGAGTGATAGACTCGAAAAGAAAGGACGTAAGCAGCGTAAAGGCTTCTCACAGAGAGCGCAGATAAAGAATGACAGCACTAGGCTGGGGGATAGAGAACTCGAACAGAATGTTGAAAGAAAGAATAGAGAGACACAGGGAGCCACGGCTGTCTTATCGTGGCCGTATATGCAGCCCCCTGTGTAGGTGTTCCCCCTGATAGAACGAACCTACCGACTCAGTATGTTGTGGACCAGGACGTTTTGAAACCGTGGTTGCCGCCTGGCTGACCAGTAAGGAATGCCGTTAGCCGCGACAGCACGTCCTGATCACAGTCAAAATCTCCGTATAGCTCACGGGAAGACAGAGCCTTGCAATCAAGCCTTTTCCGACCATTTTTGAAGGGTGTTGTGGGTGGATCTTTTCTCATGTCTTTGTGCTGGACAGCGGCGGAAAGAGGAAAGGGAAGTTTCAGGAAGATGGTGAAACGTCCGTGCTCCTCTCCCTGAAGGATACTGCCAGCGTTCTCTCCCTCCACCGCTCACTCGGGCCGTTGATACTGGCCATGCATCTGAGCTTCTATTGGTCTGTCGAGTCGCGACTTGGGAGAGCCGCGTCTCTCAGAGGCGCGGCGGAGTCAGTCCTTGTTGGCACAGGGCCCCACAACTTACAAGCCTTGCAGATACTCTAAAAGACACGAACTTTCTGCACAAAGAAACAGTTGGGCGCCTACGACGACTTGGGTCGACCACTTTCGTCGTCAGTCGCATGTGGTAGTCGCAGCCGTGGGGTCGAGGCGAAGCATGGAGCAATGTGATTATATTGAGCTTTGATCCACTTGGTGGATGGCGCGTTCTTCATGGCCATGGCGCCATGGTCTGTACGACTTGTGGCAGTGAGATGGTCAAGGCGTGCATAAGGGGGCGATGCATGGAACCTGACATCTTGTCACTGACTACATATCACTGAGTGGTTCGTCTAGACCTCGACTGCCACGATTGTTGAATCGATCAACTCGAGCATAGTCATACCTCTACTATATCGTTGAGAGTCCTTGCAACAAGGGAGGCATCTGGGTCTGGGGCCTGATACTGCCGCATTTCCAGCATGTGAGACAGGCGGTCCGGTCCTTCAATATTTCCTGCTGACGAGGCGAACTTGATGCAGCACATGCAAATTAGGGCAACTACAAGTATATATATCCCTCGACTGCCTATTCATAGGATGTTCTGTCGCTATGGCAATTCTTCGAGACAATGTTGGGGAAAGCTCGTGCTGATCGTAGTCTTTGCGACAAGCATCTCACATGTAAACTCCTAGAGCGGTGTCCCGACTTGATGATTCACAGCGACCGTCGATATTCTGTAATTCCTCGCTTTTCTAGTGACATGTTTGCTTCTATCCCGACTTTTGTTACGCCAGATGAGTGGTTGTTGTCATCTGTCCTAAGCATCCAGAACATTAAGTACTCATTAAGATAATCTCTGACCTCGATCTGATCAACCATTCCTAGCACACCTGGCATATTTGACCAGACAGACGCTGCGGCAAAAGCGGTGTCTGGTAGAGATAAGGAGGCTCTCTACTCTCGTCCGGCTCAAGTGCTGCGCCTGTTTGGACGAAGTATCGTAGATCACATCCTCTCATCTCTGGATCATGAGAGGCCTGCAGGAAACGGTCAAGACATAGTGATGTGTGACATACGAGAGATGGGGTACCGAATCATGTATGCCATGAGAATGCAAAGAATCGGGTTCATGGCTCCAGACCTCGAGGATAACAGAAGAGTGAAGGTGACACTGCCCCATCTGTCCCGAGCTTGAACAAAGAGATGGTTTAGGTCATTGTACCAAGTGCACATGACCCGGTATGCTTGAATGGGCGTCGCAGATAAGCAGGGTGGATGCATGAAAAGAAGTCGGAAGAGTCGAGCATTTCAACCGCGTTAGCCTGTTGTAGACGTGACCAATGAAGTGCAGCAGAGGTGCGCGTGTGGCATCAACAAGCTAGATAAGACATTGTTGCAGGTGCTTTCGAGATGAAACAGATTGTAGCAACTCGAATTGTTCTCAAGATTGCAGACAGTAACGTGAAGACAAACAAGCTGGAGAGATACAAGAGAAAAAGATAGCAGAAGCTGGTGCTATGCAGGTTGATGGGAAAGGCTGAGGTCGGTCGCGTCGGCGCACGGAAGTTGGTTCGTGTCTGCCGGCGCGACTGAAAGTCGGGGGTCTTGGACCACCTTCTCCTCCCCACCCCATGTGATCTTTCAACGTGACCTCGAATACTCCCTCTCCTGCTCGTTGACTATCTCGACGATTAATAACACAAATTGCCCAGACCTAGCTGCGCCGCGCAGAGCTAAAGGATTCACTTCTCGACGTCGATTTTCTGATACCAAATTTGGCGGTCTTGTCGCGTTCGATCAAGATTAAAGCGCCCGGCTTCCAGCGAACTCGTGACTTGTCACGGGATCTCCAAACGACGTCGACTGTCGAACTCGGTGAGTGCATCCATCCACTTCGTGATCTATGCAACCGGCATCCCGTCTGGACTCGCTCTCCGCAACCAACCAGGCATGGCTCTTGACCGGTCTCGCTCCCTCGTCGTCGCTGCACCCGCGCGACTCCTTGCCTGCGCACGCGTCGCGCCCTCGACCTCGACCGCCGACGTGCCATGTCTCAGCGACACTCAAGGACTCGAAGGTCAAANNCATCTGTCGCAGAGCCATGCCGGTCGCGTCTGGCCTTATTCATGTCTGAAGAGATGTCGTATACACATTCGACGCGACGCGACGCTAGAAGCTGCGTCTGTAGCGAACCTTGACAGCTTGCCGGCTGCCCATGACGATCCGTGACCACTTTGTGATATACCCATGACTAACCAAATTTGACAGCCTAGTTTTCGTCAACACGCGTACTCGAACGTGATTCCCAGACCAACACGAAACCGAAATCAAAGCGGTAAACGCTGTTGAACTCTACGTCAGGTCAACGTGCAATCAAAGATAGCATAAACACACATGCCAACCATGACATCTCTGGCTCACAAGCGCAAGCGTGACTCGCTCGATCACGACGTCGGCCACGCACCCGTGTCTAGTGAGTTCAAGGAGTTCAGAGGCTCGCCGAATGGCCAGGTCGAGTACGAAACGCCCTTTCTAAACCACGAGAACGACATGCCGCCGCATTTTGCCGATGCTTTGGTTCAACACAATGCCGGCGACCACGGTGTCCATGACCACTCCCTCCACGATCACAACGTCCACCCCCAAGGTCCTACCAATGGACAAAGCGCCAGCGAGACGGCCAACGCCGCTTTACATTACTCCATGGGCGTACCGCAGAACCACGACGAATCCTTCCTCACTCACAACGATGGCCATCGCGAGTCAAGTGCTACCTTCTCCCTTGAAGCCGGCGCTGGCCAGCCGAATCCCGAGTCGTATGGCGAATTCGCTGGTCTCGAGCAGCTGAAGGAGAATGCACCTCAACAGCAACAGCAACAAGCTCCTCCACAGACTTCAGTCCTGGGTCCCAGCGAAGGCTCGCCATCGGCAACTCCTTCTGGTAGTAAACCTGCAGTGGGTACTGACGAATGGCATAAGGTGCGCCGTGACAATCACAAAGAAGGTAAGACATGACCATAAATGTTGGTCGTTACGCCTTTTGGCCGTATACTGATCGTGAACACAGTCGAACGTCGTCGCCGCGAAACTATCAATGAGGGTATCAACGAGCTCGCTAAGATTGTACCCGGTTGCGAAAAGAACAAGGGAAGCATTCTCCAGCGTGCAGTTCAGTTCATCACACAACTTAAGGAGAACGAATCTCAGAACATCGAGAAGTGGACACTGGAGAAGCTTTTGACCGAGCAGGCCATTGCTGAACTCAGCGGATCCTGCGATAGACTGAAGGCCGAACTGAACCAGGTCTACAAGGACCTAGACGCGTGGAAGAGATGTGCCCAGCGCTCAGGGCTTGAACCTTCGGACGAAGACCGCGCAAACGCTGCTGGCAACCGTGAAGATGATGCTTAGTATGCATCACACGCCACACCAGGAGTTGCAGCATGGCGAGCAGCAGCAAACGACCAGGCTCATTCCGTCGAGGAAATACCATCACAACCCACTGAGAGTCAGAAGAAGAAGCGCAAGAGTGACACTCATCCTGCTGGCATCAGTGTCTCGCACTCTTGCCATATTCTTGCTGCGGCTACTCCTGAAAACAACCCCTTAATGCCTCAAGCTCCGGCCGGCGGTCCTCCGGGTGCCGTAGAGTGGTAGCCGAGCGCTCGCCACGGCTGCTACAATCTGACTTGACTGTCTTGTCAGAGCGCTACACTCTCTCGACCTGCGCAACTTGTTTTGTTGCACTTCTTCATCCTTTATCAGATCCGACTTGCTCTATTGTGAGCTCTTGCATGATTCTTTCTCATTGTTTCCGGACTTTAATCGAACGACAAAGAGTAATGGACGACTAGGGGTCATGGCGTTGTTTTTACAATGGAAAGGCGTCTTGGGAGGGTTTAATCTGCTTTTTGTTTCTCATGAATTACTAGCATCCGATACCATTTCCGTTCACTGCAGACAGAACATCGTAGTGTCAATCATCGAACTATTCTATTTTTCTCCTTGCTTGTTCTTATACCTTGTGTACGAATGCCCGCCGACATTACTTTCTGGATGGACGCTGGTCGCTCGTTGTTGCTTGTAACACCCTGTCTTTATAATGATGCATCAATCTCGAGTCACTGTGCTTAGACAGAACATGTCTAGGAGCTCGTTAGTTGGGAAACAACATTTACTACATTACATGGCAATGCTTTGGACTTGTTTCTGCAATGTAGTGGCCACGGTGTCGCTACTCGACATTTTCTATCGTCCATTCAATGCTGCGAGCATATATTTGTGGATTTGACCAAGTGATTGATGCCATAATGTCTGACGAAGTTCAGGACATACTTCACGACACAACAGATAGTCTTTCAATCCAAGAGCGCTCTTGCATACCACAGTAAAGACGTGAGATACACTACATAGCAATGCAACAGCACATTTTCTCTGATCACTATATGCATCGGATATATTTCGGAATCCGAGGGTGAGACGCTTACAATCGGCACTTTGCTTGGCGCAAAACAGTGATTTGTCGTTTTTGCATTTCCACTATTTGTACAGTACCTATTGCAACTTGAGCACTGCAGAGCTGTCCATAAAGCAGAGATGCAATGAAGCGATATAGAGAAGACAGGCTCGAAAATATGCTCTCTGACAAACAGGTGTTCAAGAGCAGAAGCTTGTCGATCGAAATTGAGGCTCAAGTCAACTCCCGAAAACAATGACGAAGTCGACCTCCGAGTCCGAGAAAACTGCTCCGAAACGGCCCGGTGTGGGTTTAGTGAGTTCTCAAGAAGCGAGCTCATCTGCTGAATTTGCACTGTTGAATTGTCTACGACGCAACATGAAGAACTTTGAGGCCTTGCATGAAGTGAGAGAAAGTGTCGATATAAGACAAATGTAGCAATCGATGATAAGGCAAGAATGGCCCAGAAGAGACAACATACCCCCAGCCATCCGACTGCAAAGATAGACGGTGCTATCTCGGAGCAACGATATCTAGCTGGGAGGCGCCGTTTGTTTAGATTAGCAAAGAAGCAGGCAATGGATACCAGAAGAATGACGAGACAAATCCGAGCCAGACCCGGAGTTTGACAGCAGATGGGCAAAAACTCGAATGGAGGGGCGCCTGCTGCGGTATAGACTCATACACGCAGTCATTGACCTCTTGTCACACGATATTTTGCCTGTCTTGCTCTCTGGCCTTTGTTTGCGTTGAACCCAGAGACTCTTTGCCCTTCCCAATCTGTCGCAAGCGTGGATGCGTATCCCATTCTGGCCGGTAGAGAACTTGTTCGGACGCGCTGGCCGCTTCGCCTCTTGCACATTTCGATCAGGCATGCCCAATAGCCTGAGCGAAACCACTCTGCTGTCACGCAGCCCCCCTTCTGGGGTCATGACCCCGGTCAATCCGTCGGAGTTTCCAGATGCACAGTTTGGAGATCTCGAGAAGGGGCTGTCAGACAAAACCGAGATTGATCTTCCTAAGCAAGATGACCACGGTTGGCGACGAATCGTCCGTGGATTCACTCCTTCGTAAGTTTCGAGATCCAGAGTGTATTGCAGAGGATAGCTGACTGATTTTCTCCACAGTATGTTCTCCATAACCATGGGCACGGGTGTCGTGGCGATTCTGCTGCATCAAATGCCGTACAACAGCAGCTGGACGGATTACCCTTGCTACATTATTTTCGGACTCAACGTCCTAATATTCATTAGCGCTTTGTTGGTGTCTATTTTGCGGTATACTCTTTGGCCTGAGTTATGGCCAGCGATGATACACCATCCGACTCATTCTCTGTTTTTGGGCTGTTTCCCAATGGGCCTCGGGACTATTGTCAACCTGATTGTGTTGGTCTGCGTTCCAGCGTGGGGTCCTTGGGCCGCGACAATGGCATGGGCATTGTGGTGGATCGATGCTGCTCTTGCGGTGACCATTTGCTGTTCAGTCGCCTTCCTGATGTACGTTGCTACTCATGGCTTCCAGATTGCAAAGTGCTGCCAAACTGACGTTTTATTTCCTAGGATATCGGTCCATGATGTGACTCCTGAGAAGCTGACTGCTGCATGCTTGTTGCCTGCCGTCAGCTGTATCGTTGCCGCATCGACTGGCGGCCAAGTTGCGCAGATGGAGGCACTCGAAGCCCATGAAGCACTCTGGACGTTACTTACCTGTTATTGCTGCTGGGCAATCGGGTTCTTTGTCGGGTTGATGGTTCTATGCATTTACTTTTACAGGTTGTTGTTGTTCAAGCTTCCTTCGCAGGAAGTTGTTGTTAGCGTGTTTTTGTCTTTGGGACCTCTCGGACAGGGAAGCTTTGGGTGAGTGCTCCTGCCATTTTCAGATGGGGCTCGACGCTGACCTCCTTCCAGAATCTTGCAATGCGGGAAGGCTGCAAGGATGATTTTTCCAAAGCTCACTCTACTACCATCGGAGGCTGGTACCATACTTTACGTTATGGGCGTTATCATGGGTCTTGTTATTTGGGCCATGGCTATTCCTTGGATGTGTTTCGCAGTAGGATCCGTCCTGCGTCTGAGATTGAGGTTCCCCTTCAACATTGGCTGGTGGGCCTTTTTGTATCCAGTCGGTAGGTCCAACCATGTTTGCAACTATACGCGCAATCGGCCTGCTGACTTGATGTTTCTTANNGGTGGTGTTGCTTCAGCAACCATCACATTGAGTGCCGAGCTGGACTCTGCATTCTTTGGTGTGATTGCAGAGGTTCTCACCGCTATCATCGTCCTCGTCTGGATCATCTGCTTCGCGAGAACCGTTAGAGGAGCCTTTTCAGGCGAGCTCTTCCCGAAGCCAGGTGTTTGTGAACTTCGTCCAGATTCAGGAGCTAAGGTAAGACCAGCCATCATCTAATGCAAAGAGAAGAAATACTGATGTTTAACAAACAGACTCCTTGAGACATTGTACAACTCAAGATGAACGAAACTTGACGCAGACTTCGAGCCACATCATCTGCTCGAGCAGACGTTTGACTACTTTATGAGACCCTTGCCAGTCGCGGCTCGCTCGGTTATCATGTCCTTGATATTGCGGAGTCGTCCCGTACATCCGACACCCGCAGCACCACATCTCCCCTCACCTCAAGGTGTTCGTTCCTGCAAATCGAGCGAACACCAAGCCGATGGCAGGCCGATCGATCCGGAGCCCTCTGTCTGCAGTCACAATATAAGCTTATTGCGACATGTCCGTCGTTTCGACAGACCTACATTCAGCTCCAGACGCCTAGCCGCTTAGCAGTTGCCCGTCAATCCCGGTCCGGATCTAAATCTGCAACAAACGCATCCTTCTCAGGATTGAATCCAACTGCTGCGCAAGTAGCCAGCAGGATTCTACGACTTACGAAGCGCGTGGTGCCTCCTTTTGTTCTCGGCACAGCTGATACCTCAAGAATGTCTTCATTGCAAAAGACCATGACAATTGCGTTACTCCACTCTCTACTTTTTCCATATTCGGACTTGGCTCGGGTAACAGAAGACGATAATGTCTTTGCTTAGCATCTTTGCCCGTCACTGTTGCTCTTTGCGTTTCTGGATGAGTGCATCTTTACTGTTTTTTTTCAGCACACTGCATTGATACCCCATTGCCTTTGCAAAATCATTAGATATAGATTAGACTAGAACGTTTGAACCATCGCTCCCCTAAGAACGACAGCGAAGCGATACCGAAAGCCCTACATGCACCTTCCCGCACAAGCGAGCTGTCTCGACAAAGCATACTCGAGACGGCGAACGACAGCGATAAACGAGCAAAGCAACGGGTCCAGACCACTTGAGGATCAGCCGTGGCTTACGTGACAGGTTGACAGACAGGCCGTACCCCAGATCCACACTTGCAACAACAAGGCAATAACATCAACTGAACAATTGGCAACGCTCGCCAGGTCTTGCGCTTTCCCAACACACTAGTACGTCCAGTCCGTTTGGCAAGAAGACGAAGATAGAACATCTCAGCGGACCCAGGACCGAGTAGACAAGTCCAGACAGCCTAGACCTCTTACTCTTTGCAACACGATCGGGGAAACAAGACCCCAACAAACGACAAGAAAACGTTGCAAACGGACCTTACAAAAGAGTCCACAGTAGCTCGGACCGTAGGGTTTCCGCCGCCGGCGAGCCCGCAAACTATTCCAGGGCAGGAAGGCGCAATTAAGCCAGGTCCTTGGAACTCACGGCATGCAAGGCGGTTACCATGTGGGCAGAAACAGCCGTTAGCCACAAGTCATAGGAGAGCAAGAACGAGAATAAAGAAAAATGCACCACCGACAACATGCCAAACCACATTGAGGCATGAGGTCGAGTCCAAATGGTCCAACGGCCGCTGAGAACCCAGCATTCATTCGCGGTCGAGTTCGGAGAAGCAAAAGAGCGGAACCCATCAGCACAGGTAGAGAGCACAAATCGCGAACGATCTCGGTAGTAGGTCCGTGAAAAGGACACTATCAGTATTGCAACTGCATGAACGTGTTTCGAGCTACTGTGGGATCATTGTTATCTTGCCCTTAGCCAGCCCCTTGGAGGTACAGACACAGTGGTGGCGATGTCACTGTAATACATGACTCGTGCCGGATCATGAGGCGAGCAGTTATTGTCAATAGTAGTATGTAGCAGAAATTCGGAAAAGAGCGGCTAGATACGGACTTGTTTTTATATATACAAAGGAAGCCTAGTATCAATATGTTAGTTCAAGGGGTGATGTGATGTTGGGTCCAGGAGAGGGCTGGCCAGATCGACCTGTCCAATTCAGCTCAGGAGGAGTTGGCAACACTAGGGTTCTCATCCGGGAACCGGATGGTCCTGTTCAGAGGTGCAGGTGATTCGGCGGGAGTGACGGCGCCGGAACGGCCTGCGGTAGGGGTAGCACCAAGTGGAGAATCGCGGTTCATGTCTTTCACGATGGTTTTACCAAGCGGGCGCGGGTCCGATGGTCCGGAAATGTGCCTGTTGGCGATGTCGTTTGTGGATTCCGAGACGTCCTTCGAGCCGGTGGCCTGCTGATGGCCTTTGTGCACATCCGATACCATGCTCTTGCCTAGGCGCCAGAACGAACGGGGTAGAGATGAACTGTTACCAGAAGTGTCTGCTCTGTAGCGACGGAACCGACTGGCCAGAGCGGATCCACCAGACAAGGTATTCTCGCCGATGGGCGTAGGCTCTTCAGATGATCTACGAGGGAGACGTTCTGTTGAGACTGCGGCCGATATGGTCCTTGGAAGATAGAACCCGAGCTTTCCAAGAGGTATACTGATACCGTGTACGACNCTACATTATGTTAATATCATATAGCCAACAGCGAGATTCCTGTCACTTACAATACTGCAAATTGCCAAAAACCAGATCACGACCAGCATGATCTCGGACAAGCGTTCTGCATCCTCTCTGACCACACCGTTCACCTCGATGCCGCGGAGAAACTCGCGGCTGATGTACAGATAGAAGACTGCACTAACACCAATCGGGCCAAAAAAANNGCCCACCACGAGAGCCTGGCGAGGTTCCTCAATTTGGTGAATCTTCTTGTGCATAGCAAAGACGATAGGGAGTCGGCGAAGAAGCAAGACCAATATTCCTAGTGGGATGAGCCGATAGATGGGGATCACATCGTTGTGTGCGAACTTGTACCAAGGTGTGACTGCGCCGAACCATATGAAGATCGAGACATTGAGCAGCATATCAATGGTCGGCTGCAAAGAGTCATCGAGAGTCTCCAAGCGGAACCAGTCANNCTGTTGTTGATTAGAACTACGCATCTCTTCATCGAGCAGGGAGACTTACTCCCAGGTAAAGACGTTTCCAGCAATAAAGCAGGCGAGAACGTCATCGGAGCCGATCATGCCGACAGTTCCAACAATGAAGAGNCTGTGGAAGTCAGTCATGAGCAGAAATCCATGACAAGGTAGACTTACAGCAAGTGTAATGGCGAAGACGAGAAAGCTTTCTCTATCCACGTACTTCTTCTCTTCTGCCCAGTGCAGTAATTCTTTGGCGAGATAGCCAACGACAGCTCCATAGATGACGCTCAGGATGATTGTATAACCCCATGTCTCACCAAACCACAGGCCCATCGCTTTCGAAGCACCATTGCCTGTCAGTTCAGGATGATCAAGATATTTGATCAGATACAACGGTAAGAACAAGAAAGGATAGCCAAGACCATCGTTAGCTCCAGACTCGGCAATGATGATTCTTTGGAGCTCTCTAGGAATATTCTTGTCGGCGAACTTGCCTTTAACAATGCTGTTGCTCAGCACCGGATCAGTAGGAGTAACGCAAGCTCCTATGGCAAGCGCGAACAAGATGTTGATATTAGGAACCAAGGCCCACACAAGCAGGCTGGTCACTATCCACATGACGCACATGCCTGGGCCCTATTGTTTACTTAGCGCATAGTCTGTCACTTGGTCAGGGTACTAGTGACATACTAAAAGCAACGACAAAGGTCTCCATTCTTGCTTGAGATATTTGCTAGGTAGCTGAACGCCGGCCAGGACCAGTTGCACACCCAACACCAGTCTAGTGAAATAAAGCGTTATGGTCTCGAGGTCTTCTGCATTTCCTTGAGCATAATCAAGTGGACGAATAAGATTGGCCGCGTGAGGCGAAAAGATAAGACCTCCGATCAGAGAAATGACTNNGAGAATGCGGTCAACGCCAGGTTGCCAGAAGCGACGACGCACAAAACACTCACGAGCCTCGGACAAGTAGTATTTTTCCTTGAGCAGGTACGACACCAGGCCAAAGAGCGTAATGAAGCCTCCGAGTGTGGCGCAAACAATGTTGAAATTGACGACAGAGAGCGTAGGCATGCCTTGCGGATTCCGATATGCGACTACGCGATATCAGACGTGGATTAGAAGAGCACGAAGATGTACAAGTGTTCGTGAAAAGGATGTCATGCGTCAGAGAAGTCGAGGAAGGTTGAGGTGCCCATCATTACGCCAAGACGGACAGACGGCCAGAACCGATCGCTCATCTAAACAGGCAGTTACATATCTCACATATATATTGTAGAGCGAACAATACAACCAAGCTGACAGCACACTAAGTGGCTAATTGCACTCGTGTATACCAAATATCATGTATAGATCAGCTGTGGGTCGCCGAGAGATGAGAGTCTGGAGATACGGCACTTGTTTTGCTTCACGTGCTTCGCTCGATGCTTGTGAGCGCTTGGCTATACCAAGCGCAGAAATTCTATCAGCGAGCCAAGCAGGCAAATGTCAAAAGCGGATGACGGTGTTGTTTTGTCGAACCTCTCCCACAATCCTGCACGATGACTCGACCTCAACTCGTTATGCAAGAGTATCGTGGATCAATTGAGATGGGTATTATACAGTTCATTGTATGAATGCTTGTTGGCCAAGACTGAATGAAACCTTTGTTCGTGTAAGAGTGAAACCGTTCTTGGCTGCGCGTAATGCTTTCATAACTCCTAGTCCATCCCGATATTTATACAGGACCATGCAATGCACCTCGAGAATACCACGCCTGAAATGGAACATGCTTGAATGATAGAAGAAAGAAGAGAAAAACAAGAGAACGCCTGTTATGTATGCTGAGCAATGACTTTATGCCCATCTGTGGTATCGAAAAGGATGCAAGACTCCACAGAATACTGTAGTCTCCTGTGAAGAAAGTGGAGAGACGACCGGTTATCGCTCAATTCGTCTCGCTGTCCGAGACTTTGTCGGCGAAGGGGCTAACATAGCGCTTGTGAATGTGCTGTCGATTTGGTTCAAGGGTTGTTCGCGGTTGAGGAATGACAGAATCGCGTGCACTATCTGCACGGGTTCTGATATCTGTACCGTTGAGCGAGGTTGCACTGTTTCTGCGCGACCTTGCGCTACCAGGTGAGAGAGGTTGTGATTGGACCATCTGCGGTAAAGCGTGGTTGTGGGTTTGTTGAGCGAAAGTATAAGGAAGCTGGTAGTGACCGTGGGCCGATGTGGTAGGTGAGGTGCTGTTGCTACGGGGCTCACCATGGCCGGCCGAAGCTGAGGTTGAGCTCGATGCAGAGTAGTAATGTTGTGCTCTGGCAGCAGCTGTTTGTGACTGTGATTGAGATTGCGAAGCGGAACCAGCCAGATGGAAAACGGGAACATTGGCACGGCTAGCCATCTCGACTTCACCAATTTGCCAGTGCATTGCCTCGGCAGCTCGCCATGGCAAGGCCATCTCTTTGGCGATCTTCTCCCACATGTCCTTCTTGAACCTTNNGAGATGTCTGTTAGTATGTCATGTCAACCAAGAGGAATCAGCATCAGTAACACACCTTTCGTAGAGACGGGCAAGCTTGTTCTTCTTCTCGTCGTCCCACTCAGACCGACGCTCAAGGTAGTTCTGGAAGCGAAGTCTGCAGCTGATGGCACTGCGGCCAGGCAAATGCTTGGAAATGTCTTCCCACTTCATGCCATTGCCACGAAGCTCAATGATGGCAGCATCCTCCTCGGGGCTCCACTTGGATTGCTTCTTCTTGGCTGGAGACTCAGATGGATGAGGCCCAGAAGGAGCTAATCGCTTGTTAACCGGGCCATTGGCCGTGTAACCATTGACGGGTGGCGGAGGTAGCCTTTGATCCTGGGTTGTGATAGGAGGTAGCTGGCCAAAGTTCTGCTGTTGGTGGTAAGGCGGTAGTTGAGGGTTGAAGCTTTGTGATGAGAAAGTAGGTGGTTGGAAGCGAGTAGGCAAGGATTGTTGGATGCTTGGTTGTAGAGGCATCAGATTAGGTTGTGTGTTGTGAGTGTAACCCGAGTCCATGTCAAGTCTGGGAAGAGAGTTGCTGGTAGGATAACGCGAGGACGAGCCTGGCGAAGGTACAGGGGGNTCTCTAGAGCCCTCTAGCAGGGAAGAGATATCCATCTTGAAAGCACTTGAAGGCTTCAGGGCGAGCATGAAGGATGGAGTAGTGCAGTATATCCGGGATGATGTTGTATTGTTGTGAGGTTGGAGTGTTATGAGGATGGCGAATGGGAGTGGGGAGGGTGAGGTGTGATCTTGTTCGAGGAGGATGTGATGTTTATATGAAGTGAATGCTTGCGGTGAGTTGTGCGACCCTGTTAGCCAGAGGTGGTACTAAGGAACGGTTCCGAAAAACGAGTTCAGTGCTACCAAATCTTGCGAGTCGCGTGTCCGGCTGATCGGTGCTGGGCGCGGTTTTGATCGGCAGGTAGAGGCGTTTGTGGTGCGAGACAAGAAGAGGTCGGGGCACGGAGGAGTTTATCAGGAGCGAGAGACGGGATGGTCTGGAAATGACTCCACGAGATCGCCTCAAGGGCTATGATAAAGTTAAAGGCGTGACTCGGCTGACATCAGAACTGTCCGTTGCCTTGAGTGGGGAAGTTTTAAGTAGGAGTTTTTAGTGTGATTGAAAAAGAACAGAGGAGGAGGATAGAGTTTTGCTTCGTGCGCAGAATTCGACGCCAGACATGGAGGTACCCCGACAGATCGTGCAGCATGACAAGTTTATATGACGATGCGACCAGTCGCCCGGCTGCAAGATGTACATGCGAGTCGAGCACCAGCAGACTTCCAGAGCAAGGGATGAAACAACTGTCAACCAATGGTGGAAACCGGTGCACTAAGGCAAGAAGAACATCAACGGGAGTGAGTGTTGCGAACATGCGGATCCTACTTGGTATGGGCGTACGGACTGGCACTCCCTTGGCCGCTATTGGGTGCGCGAGTCGTGACTGGACAGAAGCGCCACAACATGCACTCGAGTGTAAGATTGGGAGCCAGGGCTTAGCGCTGGAACCACTGGCGAACGGCTGACCGAGGGCACACTCTAGCTCATGCGCCGAGGCGAGTGATGATTTGCTTTTCCTTTCCTGCGGCCCTTGAGGCTCTTCTGAATCGTGCATGCAATGCGACGAAACGTTTCTACAGTGGATATCCTGCGCAGCTGCCTCAACGTCTTTCCTACAATCGTTGCCATGTTGCCGGCAGTCAAAACAGTCAGTCGGACGTACTCATCTAAATGCTCACGAACGTTGTTTTGTCCATACGTCGTCGAGACTCATGCAGTTGCCCATGAGCGGTGAGCGCAGTGCGATGGGAGCCGCATGTAGCCACAATGAAAACAGGGGTCGAGGTTCGAGACGAACCATGATCTGCGGGGTTTTGTCATTCTGCATGTCGGACGGAGACAATTATAGCCGAGCCATATCTCATTTGGGTCTCACCCGATCCGGACATAAGAGCTTGTATTGAGAGATCTTCTAAGCGTTTGTATCGGCCGATGGCAGCTGTAGACGGGTTTGCAAGAGGAAAAGAAACCAGAACTCCCACCAGCGAACTCTTACGCTTCCTGACGCAACCATTTTGGCACGATTCGGGTGTGAAGCAGTCTCTGTAGCAGACGCGGACGTCGGACGTAGAGGCCGACAGCGACGCGAACATACAACAGAGTTGCCAGTGCGGATCTGTGGCAGGCGAGCGTGTTGAATAGAGCTGTTTGTATATGCAGGTATTCTAGCGGTGTGTACTCTAGCGCTTCCAACCCTGTAGACCCCAACTGGTTAATATAGAACTGCATGTGTTCGATGCAAGTCATGACTGGCATGCTGTATCTGGACTGGAAGCACGGGGCCGCTGTTCTGTGCACCTGCCTTTGCACAGACTTCCGAGATGTTTCGGCTCGTCGCTCGCTCATCGACATGATGACCAAACACAGCCTCCAGTAAGCTCATGTTTTCTGGATACCTACAGTACTGATGCTGTCGACAAGTGCGAGCCCATCAGACGGTGGCAGGTCACGCGCAATGTCCGCCATGGAGGACGATTGATGATCTAGTTATGCTTGTCCAGTGACAGCCGATCTTGTTCCAATAACATGAACTGTTCAGACTAGGCTTGTTCAGGAAAAAAAGCGCCACCAAAAGACTCGAGGGGCTTCCGGTCAAGGGGCCTTCTGCTCGCGCGGAACCATCCACGAGTGCGCCTGAACGGACATGACAGAAGTTAGTGCTGTCTCGAGGCCGCCAAGGCTGAACTGCGCGTAAGCGGTCAAAGCTGTGAAAAGAACTGCTGCTTCAGCAGCGCTGCGCAAACACCAGCGTCAGTCGAGACTTGTCGTGCAGTTTGACCAACTCGGCTTTCCCAACGTCCATCAGATAGTGCGCAGCCTCTCCCCCATCGCTTGTCTCTCGCTTTCGCTTGTTGCGTCTCGGCAGCTTCTTCCGCAGCAAGATCTCTCTCGAACTCAGCTCCAAGTGTTCGCCATCGGCAACACACCCGGGACCTGTTCACGTCGATTCACATCTAGGACACCAATTCAGCCTGGAGAAGATGGCAACAATGGCTGATGTACCCCTTCTGATTACTTCGGAAAACGCCCGATCTGAACGACGTATCTCGCCTGCTTGGACCATAGCTCAACTGAAAGGACGCTTGGAACCCATCACGGGCATTCCGGCTTCCTCACAGAGATTGACCCTGAAGGTCGCTTCCTGGCCCGATCAAAACTTGCAGACGGTCGATGAAGAGAACACTCAGCTTGATGCATTCACCTTGCAAAGCTACGCAGAACTTCATGTAAGTAATCTTTTCGACGTTTCATCACATGTGCCGAGTAGGCACTGCCGCAGCAGGTACATGACATCCTCTCATCCGGACGCTCGAGCGTATGTGGTCCGGTGGGCCTCCGTCGCTCTTAGTCTCGCACCACCATCTCATTATCTGCTAGAACGTTTGAAGTACTCGTCAGTCAGGATTGAGGAGCTAGACAAGCAGATTGTAATGTGCTCTGCATAGGAAATTGTTTGGACCCACAATCTCATACAATATTGAACCGGCTTGGTGGTTTGCCCACTGTTGGCACTGGTACTAAGATGGTCTCGACTGCAGACTTTCTCCGCATGTTGTTCTATCGGCTGTGATCTACAAAGAGAGCCGAATCTAGTGGAGAAGGGGTCGAATGGATGCGAAATGCTCAACACTGACCAACAACGATGTTAACGTCGATCCTTACTGATGATTTGTCAAGGTAGCAGACACCCGTCCAGCAGGACTACGCGCCAACTACACTGATGTATCGGCAGTCGAAAAATACGAAATGCCGCCAGACGAGTATGAGAGTCGCACTGATAGTGTGCTGCACTGGAAGAGGACTCATCAGTTGGGCCGATTTGATCCCAATGCCCCCACCATAGAACAGCAAAAGGTCACTGGTATTGAGAGAGAAATTGAAGAGAGAGGTACATCTACATATCTTGCGCCTTCAACAGAATTTACTGACATCTAGCCTAGGGATCAAACTGGACGCACGCTGCCGTCTATTGGCTGCCAATCAAAGCGAGAGCTCACTCGAACGTCGCGGAACCGTCAAATACATTGGCGCTGTTCCTGAAATCCCTGGTATCGGTGCTTGGGTTGGCATCGCGTTGGACGAACCCACTGGCAAGAACGATGGCACTGTGAAGGGCACCCGCTACTTTCAATGTGGAGCCAACTGTGGTGTCGTAGTACGACCCGAGAGAGTTGAGATTGGTGACTTCGATGTGATTGATGAGTTCGGTAGCGACGAAGAGTTCTAAGTCTCAAGCAGCGCCAGAGATCAAAGATGGAGGTCAACGATCGCCATGAGAGGTCGTGTACATTCTGAACTCTAATTTGGCCATGACTTCGAAAGTATGAAACCCTGAGGGACGGCAATTGGTAGGAACTGAGACCCGATTACCTTTGACCCTTCACTCAAACATCTTCAGGACAGAGATTACACAGAGTAGCAGCCAAGTACGACTACCTGCGGTTCAGACTCTAGACTGGAACCAAATAGACATTTCTGCAACGGACCACAAAGCGTCCCATCTCAGAGCACATTCTTAGAGTACCGCATAGAGCGATGTTCCAGTGTTCGTCATGTAGCGCTACAGGCGGTAGTTTTGGGGCGCTCATGGGAAGACATGCTCATGGCCCAAAGGCTGACAACGCAAGTACAGGCGAAGATGGAAACCTTCAATGACGCGGGTGTTTCATCAACCTCAAGTCTTCAAATCAAGACCCACGAGACGGTGTCATGCAGACCAAAATTGTGTCTCTCAACAATAGACGGTGATAGAGTTGGGTTCCAAATGCAAACTCAGCCGTAGCCACACGTGGGAAATCGTGTGGGAGACCTGGATATTGGCAAGGGGCTGAAACGCAAGTGCAATGGCGCTTCTGGTATGAGAACTTAGAGAAAAAGTCACTCGGAGAGAGCAGCCGCTGTCATCATGAAATGTTGCACGCATTTTGCACGCAAAGTCTCAGTCCTGCGTTGCGAGTCACGGCGCGACTTGGATGTGGCTGATGTAAGTTTGCGCCTCATGTCAAGCCTGCACGTGGAATGTGTGGATCATCTGTTCGCAACATCTCTTGACTCGCCGCGAACTCGATCTCCCGTAAATAAATGCTCTCCGTGGATGGAAGGAAGTTGGGCTGATTCCAGCGACTCATGTCCCGTCCTCGACCTGTTGACATCTCCTGATGTACACACACCTCGAAGCAATGTCCAAGTCCTAGTCATCGGTCAATCTTGCAGGTCCTGCTTTTGGAATGTACAAATCATGCAAGTGGAGTTACATTCGCGAAAGCGAAGCTACGTGCAGTCGTGAAAGCCCTACCCGCCTGCGGCCTACCAACGTTGAACTGCCGGGTCAAAAGGGCCCAGTTCGTCAAACTCGTTCTGCGCAATCTCACGGCGTTGACTAAACATGTACCGGTGGGCGCGTAGCTTTTTGCCAAGGCCCACGGCTTTTCGCCAGTGTGAAGCACCCAGCCAGACCTTTGCTACCAATGTCGCCATACATGATACAGCGTCCGTTCACAGTTTGCATGTCGAACTCTAGCATATTGTGCCTGACACGACTCTACAACATCAGGCACATCAAAGTTTGAGAGCCGGTTTCCAGCTTTCACGATCTTCTACTTGGCATCAATACTCAGACCTTCTGTTCATTTAGGACAGATTTTGTTACGTTTAGCGGCGCCTGGGGCCATTGGAAACTCAAATACTCTACAAATGGTTCTTGCAACAATGGGGCCGTGTCATCTTCGGCTTTCCAGATATGTTCAACCCACGAGGCGTGTAGCCCTACGGGCCTCGTGGAAGCCACTCAAGTCAACCTTATTATTGTGGAAGCACAACTAAAAATCCGTCCAGCTCAACACAAGTGTAGTTATCCGGAAATGAATCGGAGCTTACTGTGAGTTGACACTCAGGGTGGTTTGCTGTTTGATATGAGTTGTACTGCGTCTGATCTTGAGCGGGTGAGTATGGCGGTCCTGTGATAACGCCAAGTCAACCCCCACCATCCCGTGCAGAAGTATTGCAAACTGCCTCATGCTTGTTCAGCCAATTGGGAGATTCTCGGAAGCTGGTATGCCAATCGGAATCGCTCGACGATCCTAGGGCATTTGCAATACTTCTGCTCACGGTGGTGCCCCGTTTACGGAGTTCCAATTCGAGGACACACGTACAACACCCGCGAGGCAGCTCCGCATATCTTTCCTCTCCTGTTCATGGATCTTCGTGGATGTTCACAATGCTAGATCGTATTCGCCATAAGCAGGTGATCAATTGGACGTGCTTCTCGATATCCGGTCGATGTGATCCAGGCTTTCAACTCGTAGTATTTTGATTGGCCACAGTGTATCAAAAATAGGCTCGGGCTCCAAACGGTATTGCCGGCTCCGACTTCGAGAGATAGCGCAGTCTCAACTTGGACTCTCCCGCGATGATGCTTCAAAGCTCGTCTGACCTGGTTCATGTGGGTGCTGCCATCAATGCTTTGCGGTCATCATCACCAGAGATTTGACAATCTCGAGCCGATGGATTACATCGTTTTTCGTACAGCTTCTGAGGAGCCAGGACAACTATCTGCCTTAAGCCGCCTACTACCTACGGCTTTGCAAACTCCTGAGTGAGATACTCCTTTGTACCAGCCACATATCTTACCCTCAGAAAATCCTGCAGCCACAATTGTTCGATTACGTGTCGTACCGGCGCGTTCATGGTGGCTTCAACGAAAATAGCCAGTTGTCTGCTGTACTTACAAAAAGTCGACTGATCCCATGAACCAAAAACAGTAACTAGTGTGCGGAGCGGTCGACCTCGGTCGAGATGAACCGTCTCTGAAGCTGTCCTGAGCCGCAAACTCCTGGGGCATAGCTTTGCGAAGATATCGTGTACGTACCAGGCAAATGTACTTCCAAGGAGTCGCGCCTCCTTTTCGAACAGACATTCGGACGTTGTGCCTTGGAAGATTGCTGTCAAGGCTCGACGACACAGTCAGCCACAACATCGCGACAGGTAAATGTGACGGATGGCTTCTTATGACCGGCGAACTTGTCCGTGGTTTCAGGATTCATTGGAGTAGCTTGACATGGAAACCACTCATACTGGCCACATTTGACGATCTGCTAAGAACAGTAGTATCGAGGTCTCAGCCGCATCAAACCATATTCCAAGTACGTGAATATATGTATTTAGTGAGCGAATTACAAACTACGTTGGAGATACATCAGTACGTACAGACGCCTCTTCTTCCAGAGACCTGGTCATGGATCAAAGATGTTAGGATTATCAGTTTTCTGGCAAGATAGTTTCAGCTCGGGGAGTCGCACTTGCAGACCGATGATACGAGAAGAAATCACCATAGCCGTCGGCGCGTCGCCCGATGAACATACGCATCGCAATGTATTACCTAGGGAAATAATCAGGAAGCTCATCATGGACGATGTGTGCCACCGGTCGTTCACGCTACGAACTATCATAAACTTCCAACTGTTGCTGCATACCTACGTATCTATCACATCGGAAGACACAACGTGCAGTACTTTTACGCCCTCTTACGCGGCAGAGCGGACATCGCCTGACGCCCCCGTCTCGATGCACGCAGCCCAGCTGTTCTTCCAACATCCTTTGCGAGTTCGACACCATCCCATCGCTTATGGTCAGCTCTACTCGTCCAACACAGCGCAGATGCGTTACTACATATTTGACCCCTCTCGCAAGTCGAGATCACACACCTGCTTGCAAGAATTACGGACGTGTAGTCGTGTTTGGGTTAAAGTTCGGACTCGCACCCTTAAATCGTTTCCTTTGCGTGAACCGCTCGTTCCCGTGGCTTCCAACCCTACTCCCATGACCAATCACATCGAGTTTCTCATCGCCTTGAGCGCCAAAAATGAGCAAAAACCGGAGCCTCATCATGCGGAGACGGAAGGATCGACTGCGCCATCTTGGTACCTCCTCTTTGCGGAAAGCGATCCTCCTCTCCGGAAAGCGACCGTCGATCTGCATCGTCATGTGCTCTGAAGTCTGGCCCTTAGGGTTTGGTAGAGGTTTGACTCGTCAAGCTTCTGCTGCTGTCCTGTTTGAGTCACTCGCATCGCACTGGTCATGTGAAAAGCGTATTTCACGAGCGCGACATCAAGTTCCCACTTTTCCTTTGCTCACTTCGAAGATCAGAAGATTGGCTTCTTGATGCTTTTTGTATTGGCGGTGGTCATCACCGTCGCCTATCATTGCCGACCGCGGCAATCGTCGGCAGAGAAGTCTCCAAGCCATACTTTGGAGAAGAGAAGCATGTTCACCAGCGGCCGGTTCACAAAGTTGCCGAACTAACGTTTGACAGTGGACAAACTACAAGGTTTGCCCACGCAGCGAACGAAACAAGGGACTGACATCGAAAATTTGATGTCAGGTTTTGCCTATCGCTGTAAAAGTACCTGACTTGAAAACTCTAAAACAATAAGAGCAACACATGCTTGGCACAAACCATATAGCACTATTGCGTTTCACTCCTACACACACCTTTACCAATCAGAAGCAGGGGAACGGCCTTTTCGCGGTGTATCCTTCCGGCCATGCAATAGAGTTGGCGGAGTCTGGAAGGTTTGCGATACGTTCTGGTTCTCCCTCAAGGTTTGAAGGAAGTATGCAACAGCACCAAGCAGGCAGTTGGATACACCCGGTGAGAAGAGCGAAGGAAGGCACGACTCTCTGATGCTTTCCACACGAGTCGCGGATTTGATGTCTGTCCTTTGCTCCGAGGGCGTGCCTATTGGTATACGCTCGAAGGGGACTGTCCACCTATTGCAAAGTAAGATGTGTGGAGAGAGGCTATTGAGTATGGAGATTGGCAATCTCGCCATCATCGGAAGAGAGCAAATACAAACCAAGATCCAAGGATGTCTTGGATGGCAAGCACGAGTACCGCATTCACCATTCGAGTTCGATGGTAGCGAGGCCCATGCATGTGTTCGACAGACCTTGATGGCTGTGGTTTCTGATGAGGTCTTGTCGACGGTCGCGAGCCAGGACCAATGCTCTACTCAGTCACTCAATCCTTTGCATGTCGTGAAGCAGACTAGACCTGGTCTCAAACACTTTGCCAACATCAATTTGGCCTACTCTACTTCCTCGTATCTCTGCTGTCTACCAACATCATGAACATCGTGAGTAAGCATTTCACATTGAAACAATAAGCAAGCTCGAGCCAAGTACACATCAAAAGCAGGCACTGTAACCATAGAACATCATATGTATTTA